CGAATCGTACTGCTTTCGTACCCGCGTCCGCGTTACTCGTGGCCGCAAGTCTGTAGGAATTGGCGCCGCACCATTGACTGTAGGCATAGTAAATGATGACCGTGGCCGTGGTCCTCCACGACCACGGTTGGGCGGGAACCCAATCGTAGTCCCAGAAGCAGCAGCAACTGAGGCAGCGGCAGCAGCTGCTGCTGCTGCTGCTGCTTCCGCTGCCGCTGCCGCTGCAGAAACGGCAGCTTTTTCGTTGGGATCTTCAGATGATCCGCCCTGAAGCGATCCATCAATACCATCAGCACCATTATTCCCATTGTTTGTCAACATCTGCCCCATAATTGCATTATCAGTGCCAACAATTTTGTCATGAGGCCGCGCGAGTTCAGCACACTTTTCGCAGTGCTCCACAAAGTGTTTTGGCGTGTTAAAAATCTTTTCACAGGTTCGACACCAGCCGCTTTCTGACTGTTTAAACTGCACAAAATGAACTAGTTTGAGATGTCTCTTTAGTACATCCAGACGATTAAAAGACCCACCATTGCGGTGACAGGTTGGATCTGATTGCCAGTACGGACAATGGAAAGTTGGCTTTTCGTGTGACCTCAAATGCCGCCGTTGATCTGATTTGCGAGCAAATGCCCAAATACATCCTTCAAACTTGCATGCGTAGGGCTTTGCTGCGGTGGCGGTGGCCTGGCCCACCAAAGTTGCTGGAGAAGTAGGAGATGACGACGAAACAGACGATTGCTGTAAATTGACATTGGATGATACTTGCTGCTGCTGCTGCTGCTGCTGCTGCTGTTGTTGTTGTTGTTGTTGTTGTTGCTGCGACTGCGACTGCGACTGCTGTTGTTGTTGCTGTTGCTGTTGCTGCTGCTGCTGCTGCTGCTGCTGCTGCTGCTGCTGCTGCTGTTGAAGGTTGCTTTCGCGCACGGTAAGATAGGGACTCACCTTGGATGAGTCTGCACCACGTGGAGTCGACATCGAGGTCAAAATACGAGACGGATGAGAATCTACAATCCCTGATATGTGACCATGATCTGCGGTAATGTCTAGTACTGATGAAGACAAGAGCCCGATTCCATTGGTGGCACTGGCCAGAGCATCATTATGTTGTTGATTATGATGATGTTGGTGGTTATGATTGGCAACAGCAACAGCAGCAGCAGCAGCAACAGCAGCAGGATGATGCTGGATATGTCCACCTGCTGAGTTATCTTCAACAGCAGGTACACCCATATCTTGAGTACCATCTGTTTGCTGCTGGGCACGCGACAAATAAGCTGAACCTTCTTCATCTGATTCTGGAGTGCCAATACCAAATCCCATGCTATCAACATTAATGTTGGGCATGTTGAAAGTAACCGAGTGAGCAGCAGATACGGCATTCGATCCCTGGGAGGACCCTGGAGCAGAACCTATAGAGTCCGAACGACTTGAAGAGCCATAAGGTTTAGGGAGAAGCCGTTCTCCACGAACATTACTTTCCTTAGGCTCGCTTTCGCCTATTGAGTACGAGTCAGTTCCGTAGGAAACAGAGGATGAAAGGGCTCTTTTAAGTTTTCCTCGACCTGAAGAAGGGTTTATTACATTTGACACGGACTGTGAAAGGGACCGGGACTTGGACAATATGACATTGGAATGGAGGTCGTCTACATCGTATGACGTCGATGAAGATGAGGCTGACACTGACCCAGCGGTAGCTCCAGTGGAGTTGTTGTTATTATTTGTGGCTGTGGTTGCCGCAGAGTTCCCTGAAGAGTATTGCTGGGCGTAGTATCCCATTTGGCGGTAAGCCGGGTATTCCTGGTTTTTTGTGGCACCTGCACTATAGGCACTTGAATAAATGTCTCCAGAACCGGTTGAGGCCTGTTGTGAGGAAGAGGGACCTGTACTGGTAGGGTAGTACGGGCTGTAATATGGGGCCGATGTAGCAGTAGCGTTAGTAGTTTGCGGGGTTGTTGATGATGATGATGATGATGATGGTGCTTGCTGGGCAGGACCGGAACTGGAACCAGGAGAAGCCCCGGCAGGGGCCGAAGTCAGAGCCGAAGCAGCAGCAGTGGCCGCAGCTACAGCGGCTGCGAGCCTTGAAGTTCTGTTATTATTATTATTAGAGCTATTAGAGCCACTATTGGCAATGGCCGTCGGAGTGCCAGTGTTATTGTTGTTGCTGGTATTATTGGAAGTTTGTTGAGAGTGGGCTAGGGTTGGCGCCGCGTGAGCCGCTGTAGCTGGGGCTTCCGTTTGAGGGGCCACCGCCGCAGAAGACACCGAGCCGCTCTCCGCGGGGAGCCCACCAGACGAAGTAGAAGTAGAAGAAGATGAGGGAGGTGACTGACTCTCATTATGAGAGGATTTTGGGCCAGTTATAGACGCAGTTGATTGGATTGAATCGTCACTAGTCGAGGAAATTGTGGTGCCAGTAGACGATGGAACAGTGACTGCGGTTGTTGCAGCATTCACGCCCTTGGTCGCGGCTTCCAGAAGATTGGCAATGGAAGAACGACGAACCGACGCGTCTGGACCAAAGATTTTGGATGACAACAGGGTCATCGGCGGGGCCTGGGTTGTGGGAAAAGACGATGATGATGACGACGGAGCTGATGTCGATGTGGTTGGATTGGCAGTGGTTGGAGCTGTAGAGGAGGACGTACTCGCGGAACCCGCAGAGGCCGTGATGGTTGGTTGTGTTGTTGTTGTTGTTGTTGTTGTTGTTGATGTAGTGGATGCGGCGTTCATAGACGCGACTGCCTCGGCCGCTTCAGCTTCAGCTTGGGTGGTTGGCAGTTTAGAACCCTGCGGCGGCGGAGAAACTGTCATATTTGAGAAATCTTAGAAGCAAAATTGCAGCAAAGAGAAATGGGGATTTTTAATTCAATCGAGATTTCCCCTCAATCTCTTTTTATTTTTTTTTTTTCAAAAAATTTTAAAATCTTTGATTTCAAAAAAAAAAAAAACAGGTATTAACCCTCTCTCTCTCTCTCAAAAAAATGTTTCTGGTGGTGAAGAAGGAAAAAGGAGACCGGCCGTGCGGCGGCGGCGGCTCAAAAATTTTTATGCGATTGTGATGGTGGTGGTGGTAGTGATGATAAACAAAAAGTTACATAATCTTTGACTCATATACCGTTTTTGGGCACCGCCTAATTGGCCGCACGCCACACTAAATATTAATAAATATTTACTCATCATTAATAATAATATAAACTTTAATTTTGCCAATATCTTTCAATTGCAACAACACTCAATCATCTTTCACAATCATAATTATGATTTTCAAAGGCAACTTGTCGATATATGATTATATTTTTAAAATATCATTTCAAAATAAATTGATCTAAGAAAAAAAAATTCTTTTTTCTTATTAAAAAATATGTTCATAGACAATTTTTGAGAAATGCCATTTTGTAACTTAACGTTTTTTGAGAAACTTTATACCACCGAGTACAAAATGTGATTGGCATTCCAAGGGAACATCCAAGAAATTTAAAGAAACTCCATTATATTAAGGAACATGTTTTCTAAATGAGAATAAAGAGAGAGTTTGATTTTTTTTAAAATATCAACAATGAATAATACCCCGAAAAAAAAGCCGAAAAACTGAATTTACAGATAGAAGAATCTTGAAGTTCTTGGAATATTGTTCATATTTGACTTATATTTTTACTGTTTTCTAAACTCATCAATTTGGTTTACTTCTCGCATTTATAAACCGGTGATAAAGATATAATGAATTATACATCTGTTTTCCTGTTATTGAACAATAAATTGCTACAAAAATATATATATTTTTTTTAAATTTGAATATACCAGTTTTTATAAGACTTGAACTTTTTTTTTTTCATTTTCCATTGATATACCAAAGCATAAAAAAAAGGGTTTTGCATAAACATGTTTCTATAAAGTTTGGATGGACGAAATCCACTCTCTAGTTTGCTTGGACAATGTTCTTTTGAACTAAACAAGTTATTACTTACTGGTGGAGCATGGAATAGATAATGATTTTGAAATATATAGAAGGAAAGGAAACCGAAACATCTTAGAAAATTATTTTTAAAATTAGTTTCATTACTAAATTTTTAAATGTGACAAAAAAAAACGTGTTCAATGCGAATTCCTTAATTAAACTTGTCCAACTACCAGAGCTGGCTAGCTATCGTCACATCAGTTATATCATCTAATATGTTTATTTAATATTGTAATTTATATACTTTCACTATTCCCTTTTTTTTTCTCGTTGTTAATTTTTTTTTTAATCAAATCATTAGTTCTTTTAAAAATTTCCGAGCCTCTTCTCGGACTGCGAGTCGCACCCGGAACGCCGGGGGCTCAACAACCAACGAGTCCACTGCTTTAAAGCGAGTCCACACATTGGTCTCCATTTCATTTCTCGTATCAACTGGTGGTGATACATGGAAACATGCTATAATCTTCATCAATGCAACGTACATTTCACGTTCAGCCAACCGGGATCCAGCGCAAATTCGTGATCCTGCACCAAACGACATGTGCGGCAGCCCAGTCCCTTCTTGAGCTCGAATTCGCCATTTTAGCATAACCTTTTTTTCTTCATTGTCGGATCCACCCTCAATACACTCTAAATACCTCTCGGGGGAAAACCGAAATGGATCTGGGAACCTCGTTGAATCAAAGTTGGCAGCAAGTGTGTTCATAACAAGCATGGTGCCTGCTTCAATGTGTATAGGCACACTATTTCCATCTGCGTCTTCTGTAAAGTCATCAATGGGTGCCACTGTTTCGCGAGCAAGATTAATAGGCTGCGCGCTTGTGTGCCGCATACTCTCCCAAAGAAGCGCTGTAAGATATGGTAATGCAGAACGGTACTCTTCAATCTCCTCATCAGCATTTAGAGGCTCATATTGGGTATTTAAAGATGCAATCCCCCAGGCTGCCCACATGACGTGTGCACCGCCACGTTTTGCCCACATGGCTTGGATTTCTGTGTATACTTCAGCTTGAATGCGTTGCCCGTATTTTGTAGCCAAATGCCCAATCGCACTTACAATATTAACGGGTATTGTATCCAAACCAGCTGAGACCATAGTCAGGCACACAGATTGGAGTTGGGACGGAGTCAAAGCTGGGGTTCCTTTTAGTACAGACCCTAAAATACATGTAGGGTAAGAATTGTCTTTATCTGCCAAGCCTTGACGTAACCGAGCCATAAGAGTGTCCATGTACTTTGCACGACGAGCTCGAACGGACAACACGGTTTCACGATCAATTGGAGCAACTCCGGCCTTGATTGAAGGATTCAATGTGTTAAGTGTTCGTTTCACAAGCTCCCCAATACCTCCAGCAACACGCGTAAGCGGCACGTAATCTTCAAGAGAATGCAACGCTGCTCGAATTTTGTTAATTTGTTTTTCCACGTCTATAATCTCTTGTAAAATGCCGTCATCGTCTTTTGGAGGGACTCCATATGCAACTGCTAACGAGACTTTAAGAGCGTAAGTTTCAAAAAATGGACTCAGGTCAATCTCACTACATCCATCTTTAGCCATTAAAATTACTGCTTTGGCAACACGGACCAAGCAGGCACTAGATTCACGCTCAATAATGGGCATGTATGCGGCCACTGCGGGTGCATTGAGTGCACGTGCAGCTACGCTCTTCATGCGCCGCCAATCCGGGCCATAAGGGGTAGTTCCAATGGTTGTACCTTGTCCTTGGGCAGCCAAAACTGCATGAAAGGTATGAAGGACGGGTCGCGAGCAGTTGCGAGCCCAGTGAGTAGCCCAGAGACGGCGGGCTGCCGCGTACGAATTGACAACAACGACACGGCGGGCACCCAGTCTGAGCTGGAAAATGGGGGTAGGCTGTGGGCCCGTGATAGGGGTACCGGTTACGAGAGAGGCCACGACGCGGGGATCGGCTAGGTATGCAGTTTGGGTATTGTGAGGGGTAGTAATGGCAGTGGAAAGTAACGGGTCAGTTGAGGAAGGGTATTTCCATGTCCAGTAAGTGAGAGGAGCACTGGGTCCGAGTTGGAAAAGGTTTCCTATGAGAGGTAATATTTTAGGTCCTGGTGAGAATCCATCAAAGACTGGAATGTTTTTAATAACCTTCTGAGTACAGTAGATATTTGATATCAAGTCCAAGGCAAGATAAGCCCAAGGTATCAAGAGTAGAAGAGTAAAGGTAATGAAAAGAAACAGAGGGGACGGGCAAGTCAATAACAATTTCAGGATGGCCCTAAAAGTGGGAGAAGTTTGAGAGAAAGTTCTAATGTTGAGGGTGGGCCGAAGAACCAGTTTCCATACAAGAAAAACAGGTATGGAATAGCAAACGGCTATGCGTACAAGAGAGGCAGGTATCAGTGAGACATGCTTTGGAAAGGAGTTTAAGGGGGTATTCAAACAACAAGCTGGAATCATTTGAGATAATCAAAGAAGGGGGTATTGATAGGCAGGCTTTTCTTTTTTTTCTTTTTTTCTTTATTTATTTTTATTTATTTTTAATTTTTTTAATTTTTTAATTTTTTTTTATTTTGATAGTATTCGAAAAGAAGTTTGAACAAGATGACGATAGTTTTGCAAGAAATATTTAACCGGCAAACAGTAAAAAATCACAATTCTAACGTCACTCACTTCCTCTTCATAGCAACAAAGTTGGAGTCGTCTCAACTGCATAAATTCTTTCCATTTACCTTTTAAAAACCAATTTAACCTCACAACCTTAGACTTAATCTTAAAAAAAAAGAAAGAAAAAAAATAGAAAATGATTTACTTACACAAAGGAATAACTAGGGACTGAGGGGATGATGGTAGGAAATAGCCAGAACTCATCACCTTCTTAGTATGTACAAAAACAAAGGATTATAAGCTTTATAGTATACCACCAGTATACCAAAGCTTTCCTTTGGTATATTAATAGTACCATATAAAAATAGTATTATTTCAACAATTCTTTCATTTTCCAGGGCTTTTTTTTTTTAAATATATATATATATATATTTGTCAATTCTATTTAAAATTAGTAATTAGGCATGAAACAAATCATTAAAATAAATCTCATCCGACATTAAAGAAAGAAAAAAGCGGGGGATGATAAGAAAAAAAAAGAAAAAAGACTGAACAAAAGATTTAAAAGGGTATCCAATATTAAATATATATATATATTTTCGATTTTTTTGTATGTTAAGTTTTCACATTTTCTTATCAATAAATATATATTCATTTTTTTTTAAAATTGCTGGTTTTTAAATGCAAATCGGGTCAAAAGACAAATATGATCCGAAGGATATATAGCAGGTCCTTGAGCCAAACCTTCTTGTTGAACATGCTTGTTTGTTTTGTGCCCTTTACCTTTCCCATTTTTATTATTCGTATTACTATTACTATTAGTGTTATTGTTGTTGTTATTGTTGTTGCTGCCAATACTGCTGCTGCCATTACTTGCAGACCCATTCTTCTCATTCCAAACGTACTCATCGGTGTAGTCCTCGTCCTCCTCAACCAGTCGCTTGCGCTGATTGGAGTCCGGACCAAGCACCTCGGCCACGGCCAGCGTAGGTGTTGAGTACCAAATATAATCAGAAAGAGTACCTCCATCGGAAGCAGCAGTACTCATCTTGGTATACGGCAAAATATGTCTGCATGTGGAAGGTATTTTTGTGGTCGGAACAACCTCCTCTTCTTCTTTTTCTTCTACAACCTCAACAGGTGCAGGAGGAGGCGTAGGAGATGGCGTGACATAACTGCTAAAGGGATTATTGCTCATCAGATGAATTTCAGCGACAGAAGCAGCAGCAGCAGCAGCAGTCACAGGAGAAGGTGTAGCTATGATAGGAACCATCTTCTTTTTAATTGTTATTTTCTTCTTTTTAGCCAACTCATCTCCCCCCCAAGCCAAGTATGAAGACCGTAATCCCAGACGTTCACTGGTATGCCATGGGTGTACACCATCTGTGAAACGCGCGTATTTGCGGCCTTGCCAATCACTCAGTTTTGACACGGGTCTACCACGGGCTGCCATCAGATCATAAACACCAGAGGCAGTGGTTGAGTTCAAATCACCGCAGAGAACCACCGGAACTTTGTTACCGTTATCAGCCGACGACCTAGGGGCAGCCGAGGTGTACTTGAGTGTAAAGTACTCAATTTGTTCCAAGCACAATGCTGCCTGTACCATGCGTACATCTGACAAAGTTTGCGGGACAGCTGATGCGATTTTAGAGCCCAGTTTTGTAGGAGGTAATTTAGTATCAGGGACAAGCTGTGTATTGGCAACGATAAGGGTTTGCCCGCTTGGGACATGGCGCAAAACAGCGACAATGCCAACATTGGAGCGGCCTGCCACACGTTCACGAACGTCTCGTTCGGCTGCAAATGCTTCAAGTCCTGCTTCGTCAACAAGCGTTTCTGTTTCAGGTTTGGACGCTGCGGCTGCAGACTTGTAATAGAGAGTCAGATCTGCGTAGTTAAAGATACGTTTTTCAAGCAAGCGGAACTGGCTCATTTTGTAGAAAATAGCAGGCCCCTCGATGGGCAGCGTGTTTTTGGCTGCAGAGCCAACTAGCGGCTGGATCGAAGTGGAACCGAGGCCAGAACCACCGCTAGGTGAGTGCATGGGGGGTGGCGATGATGAAAGCAGCATTGAGTGTGGGCGGGCGCTGCCACTAGTATAGAGCGAGTTCCTAGGAGCATAAATACTGTCATAGTCAGCAAGGTCGTAGTGCATCTGGCCGTAGTACTCTTGGGCGTCCACTTCTTGCAAACACAAAATATCAGGAGTGTAGTGTTTGATTTCCTTCATGATAAGGGTCATGCGTTCGCGGCGAGACCGCATTGCCTGCTGCGAGGCCAATGATGAAGGGGAGGAAGAAAAAGTGGATGAAGAGGAGGATCCTAATTTACGCGCAACGGTATTTTCGAGGCGGTTTGAGTAGAGACTGCTAAGAATATTATACGACATGACGGAAAAACCTTGAAGACGGTGGAGGTTTGTTGACTCGTCGTCGTCTCCGGTGGGGGAAAGTGAAACGTGGGGTAACCTTGTTGCGGCGTAGTCATTGTAAAGGGGCTCGTTGATAGGGACCCATGGACGCAGCGGTGGCCATGATTCAGGCGTGGGGTCGAATTTATCTGACTTATCAGTAGAGGATGATGATAAAGAAGAAGAGGTGATTCCAGCAGCAGAGCCAGCGTGATTTGTTGAAGCCGAAGCCGAAGAAGAAGTAAAAGAGGAAGATGGGAGGGTATTAGAGCCTGCGGTTGCGGCCGGCGCAGTTACGGGTGGCCCCGGGGAAGAAGCTGTGGCGCGAGCGACGACACTGGAGGTGACACCCTGAGCGCGGGAAACTAGGTCCGGACCAAAAGTGGATGCACGTTTTTTAAAGTGTGCGGAGAGTGAGGAGAAGGTGGCTTGGTTGTGTTGTTGTTGTAGCTGGTGGTTCTGCTGCTGCTGTTGCTGATTCTGCTGCGGTTGTTGCTGCGGTTGGTTTAAAGTATGGGATGGCGACGTCAATGAAGAGTCAGGCTTTTTCGATTTAAAGAAATATTTGCTGCTTCGATTTGACGAGGTATTTGCGGGACTAGTTGTTCTACGCGGAACTGGGGTTACAAGAGGGGTAGTAGATGTGATGGTTGTGGTATTATGGGTATTGACGGAAGCGGAGTTCAAAGTAGTAGTAGGAACCGGCCGTTCGGTATCTAAGCTGTAACGACCAGTACGAGGGTTTCGCAAATAATGCGGTTTAGGGAAGGCCAAGAAGCTTTTGCTATTTGTTTGAGATTGAGATTGAGATTGAGATTGAGATTGAGATTGAGATTGAGATTGAGATTGAGATTGAGATTGAGATTGAGATTGAGATTGAGATTGAGATTGGGATTGCTGTTGTTGTTTAGGAGGATCGTGAACATTTACAGGTAATATCGAAGGCACCATAGGGAATGTAGGCTGCGGCTGTGGTTGCTGCAGGGGAATTTCATAAACGTTTGAAAAGGGATTTGTATTTGAAGGTAACTGGTAATCATTGTGGCTTGTTGGAGAGGATATTGTTTGATGTGCAGATTTAAAAGGCGAAGGAGGATTTGTCGACGCAAAGGAGGTTGTTGCGGAGAATTGGGAAGAATGGGCCGAGTTTGATGACACAGAAGATGATGCAGAGGAGGACGATGCGGAAGAGGACGACTGGCGTGGAGGTTGTTGCTGCTGCTGCTGCTGCTGCTGCTGCTGTTGTTGTTGGGGTTGTAGAGAGAGTGGACGTGCTAAATGGGTAGTGGTGATGGGAGCACCATGATGAGTAGTTGGTGGAATAGGAGGCATTTGTAATGTGGATGATGCTGAATGAGATGGGGATGGGGATGGAGATGGAGATGGAGATGGAGATGACGATGGAGATGATGTTGATATTTGATGGATTTGTGCGTTACAGACGCTTTTTCCTGGTCTATGAGGGCTTACATGAGGAGGAGGTGGTGGTGGTGGTAAAGAAGAAGATTTTTGATGATCGATAGAAGTGACAGTAGCTGCGGTTGAAGATGAGCTAGTAGCAGAATCCGACCCTGAGGAGCGAGCAGAATAGGAAGCAAGAGTATCTGAGTCATCTTGGAAGGGAGAAGTTGATGGAGAAGTTGTTGATTGGTATGACGAGGAGTCAATGATGACGACTGGGGACCCTGAGTTCCCTTGTTTTTTCTTGAAAAGGCTCCTGATTTTCATGATTGCAGTTAGTATTTGATATATAATGTGATAGTAAAGTAATTTGAGAAGAAATGGTTTATTGATAAGAAAAAAAAAAAAAGAAAAAGAGAGTTAAAGAGAGAGAGAAAGAAAGAAAAGAAGGTTAAAAAGGAAAGAAAAAAAAATATAAAAATAAAAAAGTCAAGAGAAAATTTCCTTTTTAAAATAAAAACTAAAAAAAAAAAAAAAAATTGTGTTGAAATATTTTTTTTCTTCTTTTTTAATCAATTTAATGCACGCGGACCAAATAACGAAACACTCAAAAATTATTTCAAAAAATAAAAAAAATAAAAGACTTTTTTTTTTTTTTCCAAAATTCAAATGTAAATTCAAATGTAAATTCAAATGTAAATTCAAATGTAAATTCAAATGTAAATTCAAATGTAAAATTCAAATTCAAAATTAAAATTTAAAAATTTTAAAATTTTTTTTCTTAAAATCTTGAGAGATATCTTTTTGATCTTAAGATATCTTGCGATAACTTGAGATATTCCTGCTGATAGTTTTTTTTTAAATAAAAAAAAAAATATTCGGAAGAATAAAAATAATAAAAAAATAATAAAAAAATAATAAAAAAATAATAAAAAAATAATAAAAAAATAATAAAAAAAAAAAATCTTCGCGCGCGTCTTTAGTTTCGTTTTATATATATTCTCTCTCTCTCTCGTTAATAAAAACAAAAATTCTTTTTCTGATTTTTTTTTTTTTTCATCGTAACTTACCGAATCTTCACGCGAGGCCTTTTTTTTTTTATTTTAGCAATGAGTTTGCGGTGCGTTTAAGTGGTGCTGCTACCACTTAAATCGCTACTGTTGGTGTTGCTGCTGCTGCTGCTGCTGCTGCTACTGCTGTTAGTGTTGCTTCTGACCGATGGAGTGGATGGCTGACTGGTTGGTACCTTTTTAGGGGTATCTCAAATGTAATAATAAAAACGTCCTTCTCCTCCTCCTCCTCTCAAACAGCGCCATCATCACCATCCTTTCGGCCCTTAAAAAAAGATTCGCTCGGTTCTTCCCTCATTTCTCCATTTCATCTCGGAATTCCGGGCTTCGGACTTCAACTCATAAAAAACCAATCAACCACAAATTTCTTTTATTCCAACTTTGTTAATCCTTTCTTATTATTCTTCTTATTCTTATTCTTATTCTTTTTTTCCCTACCCCCACCCTTATTAGTATCCGCACGACAAAGCCCACTCCCAGATATTAAACAATCCCCACACCTCTTCCCCCTCGAAGGACACAACGTCTGCCCAAACCCAACAAGCTGCGGATTAATATCTAGCCATAACCCTTGCGGTAACCACTCCTCAAGCCCAGCTCGGGTCGCCTCCGGATCCCCATCATTGTCTTCCTCACTATTCTTCTTTTTCTTTACCCACCCCCATTGCCTGCTCAACCGGTGAACATGAACATCCACCCCAATCCCCTCTACTCGGCCCCATGCCCGCTGAACTAGTAAATGCCCCATCTTGGGACCAACTCCAGGTAACCCCACTATTCCTGCAAGTGTCTCTGGAATATCATCTCCGTGCTTCTCTCGCAACTGCTGCGCAACTCGTAACAGGTACCCTGCTTTGCGCCTGTGAAACCCCACCTTGCAAATTAACCCATCAATCTCACTCTCAGGTGTCATAAGAACGGAACCAACAGTCAACCCTCCTCTCCCAGTAGCTGGGTCTATTCTTAGTCCCGCGCGCAGAGCTGCAACTGCTGCCGCCGTAACTGCATCTTTAGTCTGCGAGGAAAGAAGTAATGACACTAATAACTGGAACCGGTGAATGGCAGGAGAAACCCCCTCCTTGGATGTTTCCTCATATATCTTCTCAGGAAGTCGCTCGCACCCCATGGTATCCACTGGTGCTATTGTATGTGCCCGCATCTCCTTGACCCGTGCATAAATCTCTCGCCATCCTGCTGGCCCAGGACTATCACTTTGATATGTCTCGAAAAACTTAACACGGCTAAACACTGGCACATATGGATTAACAGGCCGTAGTGAATATTCCTCAGCAAGTGGACTATCACAAAGTTCAAGAGATTCTTCTTGTTTGATTTCATTTGCTTCTTCTATCTTAATATTGGTATTGGTAATCCCAGGTAGATCATCAATCTCTTCCATCTTAATTTCAAGATGCTCTAGATGTTCATGCTTGATTCCAGATTTTTGTTCTATTGTAGAAAAAATATCTGCATCTTTGGTATCTTCTTCTTTTTTTATTTCTTCTTCTTCTTCTTCCTTCTTGATTTTTTTCTTCTTGTTTTGCTGTCCAGAAAAATACCCACTTTCTTCTTCTTCTTCTTCTTTTGTAACACTCATAGGCCCATTGCTTTGACTGCGTGCACGAATCCGGGCTGATTTCCGAAGAGGAAAAACCCCTGATTGTATCTCTTCTCGAGTCATTTGTTTAAAAAAAACAATGTAAATTTGATAAAAAGCAAAAGATTGGTATAATTTTTTTTTTGTTCTTTGTGGTAGTAATATGTAAATAATGATGAGAGTTTTAACAAGTTAAGGAGTTTTTTAAGAATTTTTTTTTTCAATTAGATTTCCGGAAAAAGCAACCAAAATCACGTGAAATAATTGGTATTTTTGAATTTGAATCACAATTCACCTTTTTTTTTTTTTTTTTTTTTTTTTTTTGAAAAAACTACACCAAAGAATCAAAAACAGAAGCAACTCATCTATTATTATTATTGTTATTATTATTTTTTTTTCATTTTTTTCATTTTTTTTCATTTTTTTTTCTCTTTATGTTTTACGTGACATAGAACTAAAATTTACAGGTGGGTGAGATGGAGCCTTTTCACGCAACTTTTTAAACGCAAACTCAGCCATAATTGGAATGTGATCTGATGGGTGCGAAGCATCTGGAATAGCAACGTGAGTCGAGCTGTAAGCAATATCCATGGGACCCAATGCACCCTTCACTTCCAGAGCCTGATCCGCAAAGAAAATGTAATCAATCACCTCAACAAAGTTAGGCGTAAAGTTGGTAAACTTAAGCTCATCCTTAAGCCCCTCATAAGAGCTCTTGAAGGAAAAGTCGTGCGACGTACCTTCAGAAGAGTACCGGCCATAGGACCGGCCTGCAAGATCCTCATGGTCTCGAATATGGCCGCTCAACAATAGCGAGCATACACCAGAATCCGCAGTACTATTAAAATCACCGCAAATAATTGCAGGGACATTCTTAATATCTGCATGTCTTTTGTTGTTATTGTTGCTACTACTGCTGCTACTGTTATTCCCATCACGGCCACTACCAGCATATCGCTTTATCACTTTTGCCAGCTCCTCGAGCAAAATGACAATTTGCATTACCTTGACATCCTTATACGCAGGATCCCAATGCAAGTGCGTATTGGTAGCAACCAATAGTCGGCCGCTTTCAATATGCTCCAGCACCAAAATCATAGCCACATTGTCACGATTCAAAAATCGATTAAAAGTATCCTGGCCCTTGCGCAGATCTGCATTCTCGCGAGCTGCTTGTGCAAATTCAACTCCAGCACGCTCAACAAGCTTGAACTTGTCGGCTCGGTAAAAAGTTGCACAACCGTCCACCCGGGTTTCATCAACATCACTGTGCTTACTGCGTGTCTTTTGCATGTAGTGGGCTTCATAGCCTCGCTTGCGCATTGTTGGCGCAAACAACGCTTCGTAATTGTATCGGTCAACCTCCTGCAAGCATATAATGTCCGGATTGTAGTATTGCAGTTCTTGAAGAAGGTGCTTAGACCGGTACGACCACTCAATGGCCCATGATGGTGTATAAGAATACATAGAGGGGGTTGCATATGTATCACACAAAATATTGTAACTCAGCACCGTAAAAGATTCCGACGCAGGATTTGTAGAGGTATTAACTGATGTATTGTTGTTGTTATTATTATTATTATTATTATTATTATTATTATTATTATTATTATGATTGTTGCTTTCAGTGTCCTTGAAACTATTAAGAATCGAATTCTTTGCACTCGACGAAGTGGGGAGAGTACCGACCGAAACAACATTACCTTCAAACACACGCCATTCACGAGGAGGTGGATCAACATCACGGGGAGCCTTGTCGCGAAGATTGAAAATCACAGCACGAGTACCCTCAGTTGCCATAATGGTGCGTGTTTCATTGTCGAGAGGATTACCTTCTATGCCCATAAAATCGAGCTGGAAAAGAGAACCAAACTGAAGAGGTAAGTGTTGAATCTGATTATCGAAAAAGAACAAATAGCGGAGATGGTACAACAAGCCCAGTTCATTAGGGAGGGAAGTAAGGCGGTTGGATGATACGTCAAGGATCTTAAGTTGTGTGAGATGCTTGATGGATGAGGGCAGGTACTCGAGCCTATTATGAGCCAGGTAGAGCTTTTGCAAAAAATCATAATTAAAGAGCTTGGGAGAAATCTTAGGAAGACTTTGACCAGAAAGATCAATTGCAGTCCAAAATTGTTTTTTAACTTGCTCATTAATTTGACGTTGGCGTTCATCTTCCATTTGTTCTTTACGCTGATTCATGTGGTGAAGGCCTGTGAGAGAGGCAGAGATTCTAGAAGATTTGCTTGGAGTTGAGGGTGCTCCACTGGCGCTAGAAGATTCATTTGTAGAAGATGAAGACGTGGTAGTAGTAGTGGTAGTGGTTGTAGATGTAACTGTGGTTGTTGTTGCTGATGTAGTTGGGGCCGAACCAGTAGTATTAATGGCATTTCCGGTATTAGGAGTTGTAGTAGGATTAGTACTTCCACTAGAGCCAGAATTGTTGTTATTATTGTTTGCAGCATTCTGGGTATTATGGGGTGCTACTATTGTTGTTGCACTCCCTGCAATCGTTGAGCTATGAGTCGAAGAAGAAGATGCGGCACCTGAACCTGAAGCATGAGCAGCATGAGCGGCTTGGGCAGCAAAGTGATGGGCATGGATATTTTGGGCAACAAATTGCATGGCTTGTTCATAAATGGTGAGGGGGACCTGAGGCTGGGAACCTTGAGGTGCGTGAGATGCGCGAGAGGCCAAAGCTGCATTACGGGCATAAATATGAGATTGGGTAGCCTTTGAAGAAGCAATGGCGAGTTGGGTTTGTTGCTGCCAAAACTGTGAGTTGGCAAGAGCAGGATCCAATGGTTCAGGAGCAAGTATGCCTTGTTGTTGCTGGTCAGAAGGTTTTCCTGGTGTAGCGGTAGCAGTTGTAGTTGTTGTGGAGGTGGTTGTTGAGATGATGGCAGAGTTTGGGGAAGTTACAGATGGTACAGCGGCAACCACTGGAGAGGAGGTAGCAACACCTAAACCGGCGGCCTGTCGTAGTTGAAGGTTAGCGAGATTAGCATTTTGTTGTTGTTGCTGTTGTTGAGAAAAGTAAAGCTGAGATGAATGTTGCTGAGATTGTGGTTGTTGTTGTTGTTGTTGTTGTTGTTGTTGTTGTTGTTGTTGTTGTTGTTGTTGTTGTTGTTGTTGTTGTTGTTGTTGTTGTTGTTGCTGCTGCTGTTGCTGCTGTTGCTGCTGTTGCTGCTGTTGCTGTTGTTGTTGTTGAGACTTTTGAAACTGGAGAGGATACATGGCCTGGGCATTGATAGGACCGCCCATTTGCAATTGATGTTGGAGCTGGGAGGCGTCCTGCATTGCCTGGTGGTAATTGTTTGCAGCTTGAGATGGGTTCATGAGAGGAGACAGAAAAACAATTAGGGAAGGTCAATGGATATTAAGTGAGTGAGTGAGTGAGTGAGAAAGTGGGTAAGTGGCGGTAGTTATACAATGTTGAAATGTTGAGGTCAATCCTCCCATTGAGAAACGGGGGGAAAAAGGAGTAAAGAAGTGAGGAGAAAGAGGGTGAAGGAATATGGGATTGTCAATGAAAAGACCAATCCTTTTCCAAAAAAATAAAAAAAAACAAAAAGATGAAATGTCAAAGAAGTATTCTAATATAATTTGAAAATTAATAAGTGGAGTTGATGATGATGATGATTATTATGATTGATTAACTTTTTAACTGTTTGTTGATAAAAAGAAGATGTCGTGGCGGGAATTAAAAAAAAAAAAAAAAAAAAAAATTTAGTGTAGTGGTGGTGACGCGCCAAAAGTGGTGGTTGTGTAAAAAAAAAAAACAAAAATAAAATAAAATAAAAAAAATAAAAAAAACAAAATAAAATAAATCATGTGACTACTCAAAAATACTAAATTTTTATGGTTCGGAACGGGTTCGAATCCTTCTTGATATGGATAAAATTAAAAATGCCGGGTAACTTATAAGTCTAGACTTTATTTATTTGTAATTACACTGCTGTGTAAGGGGAGGGAGGTAGAAGAATAACTTTAAATTGTTCTAGACCAAAATATTGTTTAGTAATGATCACGTGAGGTGACAAATTGATCTGGCGGTCCAGGCACACAATGCTTAGTCATTTATGTACACGAGTAGGGAAAAAATAATAAAAAATTAAAATGTAACAAAAAATCAAAGTGTAACAAAAATAACAAAACTCTTCTTTTTTTCATTTTTTTCATCCCCCCCCCACAACTGTTCGCAGAGACCCGTCCAACTTTAAGATCATCATCATCATTATCATAGTAATTAATCAATAACAAACCAATTGGTTCATAAAACATGACAATTACCTGTAGATATTTATAGAAATCTAGCTGGTACATCATTTGAATGGGCTAGAATAATATTTAAAGGGTTCACATAGTTATTTATATATATAAATAAAAGCATCTGTATGTAATAATATTATACAGAAATCAACAAAGAGCGGACAGCCGATAAAAGCCCGCTAGCCAGTCATTTGTGCGTATCAAAATTATCAAAATTATCAAAATTATCAAAATTATCAAAATTATCAAAATTATCACAATTATCAAAATTATAGAAAATTATAAAAAGAATTATAAAAACTTTTTTTTTTTAAAACATTAAAATATAAATAGGCTTACCTGTTTCAACTGCCAACGGCCAACATCAATTGAGTTTGTTAAAAGACTAACGGAAAAACGACTCGGTCGTATAATTTATTATTATCTGAGTTTGATTGAGTTATTATGACAAGGTTTAATCCCAAGACGGAAAATCAAATTCTTCTACCTTATAATGCTATTTTTTTTTATTTTTTTAATCTCGTATATAAATTAAATAAAACCATCAAGGAACCTTTTCATAAATCAATTACCTTTCTATATATATATATTCTCTCAGAATTGGACATTGGGCATTGTAGCCCAACTTGAAATTCCCATCTGTTAAGGTGCGGCGGTAACTTTCTTTGGTTCTTTTGATTTCCATCACTTCTCCCTCCCCCCGTGTTGACCTGCCTTAAGTAATAGCTTATAAGCTTATAAGGTGGTCTTTTTTCCGCAAGTATAAAAAGGCCACCAAATCCCTTTTTCCCCTTCTTTTTTTTTTTTTTTTTTTTTCTTTCCTCTTCTATAACCCTTCTTTAAAAAAAAATACCTCTTTACCCTTAACAAACAAACAAATCACAATCAAAAATGGTCGCTACTGTTAGACACCCTGCTCCTTCTTTCACTAAGACTGCCGTCGTTAACGGTCTCTTTGAGGAAGTTTCCCTCGAGCAATACAAGGGCAAGTGGGTCGTTCTCGGCTTCTTCCCTCTCGCTTTCACCTTTGTCTGCCCTACTGAGATTATTGCCTTCTCCGAGGCTGCTGCCCAGTTCAAGGAGCGCAACGCTGAGGTCCTCCTTGCTTCCACTGACTCTGAGTACTCTCTCCTTGCCTGGACCAATGTCGCTCGCAAGGAAGGTGGTCTCGGCCAGATTGATATCCCCCTTGTTGCCGACACTAACCACTCCCTCTCCCGTGACTATGGTGTCCTCATTGAGGAGGATGGTGTTGCCCTCCGTGGTCTCTTCATCATCGACCCCAAGGGTACCGTCAGACAGATCACCATCAACGATCTGCCTGTTGGCCGTTCCGTCGATGAGACTCTCCGTCTCATTGATGCTTTCCAGTTCACTGAGGAACATGGTGAGGTCTGCCCTGCCAACTGGCACAAGGGTGATGCTACCATGATTGCTGACCCTGTCAAGTCTAAGGATTACTTCTCCAAGGCTAACTAAGTTTGCTTTGTTAAAAAAAATAATTAAAAGTAAATAAAAATTCTTTAGAACCTTTTGTGAATATATTTGTTTTAAGAAATTTTTTTTTTTTTTTTTTTTTTTTTTTAATAAAAGACCTGTATAAGCTTAAAAATTAATTTTAAAAAATATATAAAAAAAAACATCTAATTATCATCATCATTATTATTGTTGTCATCACCATCACTATCAGCAGGATCAATCTGAACTACCTTAGTAATGGGAGCAACCCTTGGAACCCGATCAAGCACCAATTGGTACCTGACTACCCCACGCAAAATCAATTCAAATGGGTGCACATTGACTCTAGACCATCTCTTTTGTCCTGAATCAAAATGCTTCTTTGTAGTGGCAGAATTGGCCTTATTTCGTTTGTAACTTATGCTGCTACTGTTGCCAACATCCTTGCCAACATCCTTGCCAACATCGTCATCATCATCGTCATCACCATCACCTCCATTTTTATCCTTATTATCTCCATCGTTTCCTCCTCCGCCCTTTTCAGGAACTGTAGAATTAAATCCGGGATTTACAAGGCGCAATTGACCAACAGCTTGTTGTAACTCATGGTTAAATACACTTCCCTCAAACACTAATGGCACCTCAAAATGATCAATGTTCCCTAGAAGCATGGCATAATTGTTGCCATTTCCTGGAGACGTCCGAGGAGGTCCACTGGAATTTTGTATACCTACAAAACTGTCTTCAATCACAATCACTTTCTTGGTATCTCCACTTTTCCCTCCATTTCCATCTCCGCCATTGTCACCATCACCATCATCATCATCATCATCATCATCTCCTTTCACATAGGGTGACCGTGCAAATACATCCAAGTCCAAATCATAAACTTCAATATCCAAATACCCAGGATTAACACCCTGAACAACAACATCAAAGACAAGCTCTTCATCGCTCACAAGAACATCAAAAACACTAGCAAGCCCAACCCGGTGTAGTGGCTTTGACGAAGCCAAAACAAATCCAAGAACAAATCCAATCCCCAAAAAAACACACAAGCCAAGCAAAACCCACATTGTCCGACGACACCCAGAGCATAACCCAGAACCTCGAGACCCTCGATTAGTGTAATTATGGGGGCTATAGGTCCGATACCCTCCTGGTCCTTGCATCCGCAATCGCCGACCCACAGAGTTACCATACCCAGCAATTCCCAATTCTCCTCCAAGTTCTCCACCACCACGTCCACCAGTGCCTAATTCTCCACCAGTACCCAGCTCTCCTCCACCACCCCCAGAACCATCTCCAGCCCCTTCATATAGTCCTTTGCGCAATGGTCCAACATCAGAATAATCATAATAATCATCCTCGTTAGACGTATTTTCGTCAAAGTCATATCCATCTTCCCCTGCAAATTCTGCATCATCGTATGGAACAAGCCATCTTGGGCCTCCATTGTTGCGCACACCCGGTCCAACATGATGATAATGATGATGGTAGTTCCCCTTGTACGAAGACATATTTGGCGCTGGTCCTGGCCCAGCATTCCCATTATTGTTGCTACCGCCATTATTTAAAGAATCGTAACCCATTTTCCCCGACCCTTGAAGTAATGGCTGGTGATGTGATGCTAAACCTCGTGTACTATACCTTGAAGAATGAGAAGGACCTCCTCCACGCGCCGCCGCCGCCGCAGCAGCAGCCGCAGCAGCCGCAGCAGTTGCAGCCGCTCCTCCTCCTCCTCCTCCTCCACCACCACCACCATTAACTCGCCGCGGACTTTCCGAGTGGTAGCTAGAAGAATTGGAAACTGTGCGCATATACGACGGCTTCTTGCGCAAAGTTAAAAAATCCTCTTTATCCAATCGCATTCCAGGCCCACCGCTTGGTGAATCCTCCATTGTCGGAGTATAAGGTGCACTAACATTATCGCTACCATTGGCCAAAGTTGCAGCTGTTGGTGCTCCTCCATAAGCATCGCTCACAGATTGCATAATTAACGGAGGCGAAATTTGCTTCATAGAGGGGAAATATCCAGCTTGCCCAGGATAATTAGATGTCTCTCCACGGTTTCCCAGTCCGCTCAACTGGTGCTGAAGAAGCATTTGTTGTGCTTGTTGTAACTGTAACAATTGAGCCTGAGCTTGTGATTGCTGCTGTTGCGACTGTAATTGAGCTTGTTGAACCTGAGACTGTTGAGCTTGCTGCAAATTATACAACTGTTGCTGATATTGCTTTTGTGTCATGTTATTTCGCCGTGAACTCGACATCATTGCTTGGTAAGAATCAACTTGAGTGCCAGCCCCAGCACCAACCGACGGGCCTGCCGGTGCCAGCCCGTGGTGATTGCCGTGGTGGTGATGAGTGTGGTATGAATGCCCGTTAGAAACCGTGGAAGGAGGAGTAGATGCAGAATTACTACCGCTAGAGCTCATAGGCATCGCCATAGCCATAGCCATACTACTGGATCCTGTCCCCGCCGTGCTACCATTGCTAACACTGCTTGCCATGCTGGTGTTTGTGCTACCATTGCTGCCGCCCCCATTAGATGTATTATTTGATGCCGAGTTGGGTGTTGTGGCGCCACTGGCCACACTGTATAGAGATGACAATGACGGAATGTTAGATAATGAGGGAACCTGGGGTGTTGCCACCGTGGCAGCAGCACCTGTAGATGGTGTCCCGGTAGCCAAAGAAGGTCCCATTGTTCCGGACCCAGATGGTCCAGATCCATTACTCGTAGTGGTACTTGTGCTTTGATTGCTGCTACCGGCTACCGTCATGGGAACTCCATAACTGCTATTAATGCTGCCATTGGCAGCAGCACTAGTACCGCCGCCACCTCCTCCACTACCGCCTCCACTAACACTAGTCACTGTAGAATATTGAGTTCCACGATGACGCTCTGTTGGATTTGATTCATAAACAAAAGTCTCATCTGAATCCGATGATTGTACTTCGTCAACTGCGTTCGCAATTTTTGCTGCAAAAAAATCAGCTTTAGTGGTTCCGTGATTACCAGGTCGTGGAGTTCGTTTTTTCTTTGTTCGACTAGAACTTTTCCCATGAGTTCCATCGGAATTTCTTTTAAGCTTAATGCTCGACCCACTAGGATTGACACTTGTTGTTGCCACTGCCAAAAGTGGGACAGCAGAAACCGTTTCAGTTTCCACTGTCATTGTATTGCATTCAGCCTTTTTTTCCTTCTTAAGCGTAGAATAATCCGAAGAAGTCGTCGAAACAGAGTTTTGTGACAAATGCGAAAGCAATGGTGGCGGTAACGAAGGCTTTGACAAGGTCGATGCAGCCGGCAGAGGAGTCGAAGGTGGTGCCACGGGGGTTTGTGGTTGAGGTGTAGAGGTCCCTTGAGTTCCAGGGGCAGCTGTATTGACAACTGTCGAAGCACTAGCCCGGCTGACGCCGCTAATAGTAGCATCAGATGCGTTTGGTGATTCCAGTCCACCAACAGCCCCTGAAGAAGAGTTACTAACTAACGGTGCTTGTTGTTGTTGTTGTTGTTGTTGCTGCTGCTGCCTCACCATTGATGACGACGACGGTGCCGTCAGTGAAGAATTTCGGCGAATGCTTTTATTTTTTCCGTAAAGTGCTGAAAGTCCCGGATCATTTGGTGTCGGCGTTGTAGAAAGAGATGATGCACTGGAAGGGCTTTTAGGGCCTGTAGACTCAAATGTTTTACTTTTAGGGTACTTTGGCGTAACAAAAGGTTTTGGCCGTGCTGCTCCCCATCCTTGAGGCTGTTGTTGTTGTTGTTGTTGTTGTTGCTGCTGCTGCTGCTGCTGCGATCCAGAAGCGATACTGTTGCTTGACCCAAACGACCCACGATCATCGCGCGATATGCTGCTGAAGCGCTTTTTGCGACCTTGAGAAATATGGATCGACGAAGCATCACTAGATTGTAAATCGTCATTGTCATAGTCTTCCGACTCATATTGGTCTTCAGATGTCGTAAATGAATATTCGGAGGTAGCCGTAGGATGTCTTGTCAACGTCAATGACGAACGAGGATTAAAAGTAGAAATTGAAGAAGCTGCTACTGTTGTATCATTGTTATTAATACTACTACTCCCGGGTTGATTAGAGGATGAGGCAGAGTTGGAAGGCACAAGTCGCCTTATGGAGTCTGGACTGGTTGTTCTTGGGGAAGCAGTGTTCCCAGAAAGCTTCATATTAGAATCGTTTTTTTTTTTTTTTCAGATTCAAATGCTATATTTTAATAGTGCCTATGGGAAAAAAAAGAAGTAAACAAACAGTTATGATGTCCAAGAAAAAAAGAAGAAGAAAAAATTATTTGCTCAGGTGTATATAGAATATATGAATAAAAACTTGAAATTTTGCATGAACTGTCGGACAATGGTTCCTAGGAGAAATACCTATTTGAGAAACGAGTGAAATGCCAAAAAAGGGGAATGAACGAAATAAATAAATAAATATATATATATTTGAAAAAAAAAAAGGGGGAAGGGGGGGGTAAATAAAAGATTAAATGTTAGTCAAAATATAACTCCAGTTATTATAAATATGATTAAATGATAAGGAAACAAAAGAAGAATCTGGAATGTAAAAACCCGCAATGACAAAAAACAGAAAATTTTACCTTAGTGGAAAACGAGAGATCCATGATGGCGATGGCAAAAGTTTTGGTGGTTTGCTTGATTCAGCAACCGTTCAAAATTACATAATATAGGTTCAAATGCTGATAAATTACATGTAATCTATTTACTATACAATCAAAATTTATAACTTAAAACTTAAAACTTAAAACTTAATTGACTATGTTTTTTTTTTCTTTTTTTTTTTTTTCGTTATCTTTTCTCTTAAACAAAAACCCCACTTCTTTTAAAAGACCTCACCCAACTTCAATCGCGGAGCAATGTTCATGGAAATAAGCTCTTGGAATAGCAACTTTGCTGCATAAGGAATTGTCATCTTCACAACACCTTCAGTCACCTGGCATGTCGGGCACCAGCCTTGGTATCCCATCAAACCGCACTTCTGACAAACGTCCACTTCAAATGCATCGGATGAGATCATCAAACGCTCAAGCAGCAGTTGGGAAGCACCATATGCAATAACACAGTCACGCTCCATTTCTCCTAAACGCAAACCACCATCGCGTGAACGACCTTCTGTGGGTTGTCGTGTCAAAGTTGTGCGAGGACCACGGGCACGCGCATGCATCTTGTCCATAACCATGTGCTTCAGCTTCTGGTAATAAATGGGACCAAAGAAAATGTATGCCTGCAAGCACTCACCAGTAATACCGCTATACAACATATCCTTGCCGGAATAATTGAATCCCTTATCCACAAGGATTCGTGACATGTCTTCCAACTTGGAACCGCCAAAACATGTACCATACTGCAGTGAACCATCTAATACACCAGCCTTACCCGACACAAGTTCAATCATCTTACCGACAGTCATACGTGACGGGAAACCGTGCGGGTTCATGATAATGTCGGGATTAATACCTTGATCATTGAAAGGCATGTCCTCCTGTTGTACAATAATACCACAAACACCCTTCTGTCCGTGGCGCGACGAAAATTTATCGCCAAGTTCCGGTCGTCGCGTTTGACGCAACAACACCTTAATGATGGGTTCTTCACTTTCTGATGATGACAACATAACCTTGTCGATATAGCTGCCCTCAGGACCCTTGTAAACAACAGGAGTTTCACGGTACTCTGTAGTCGTACTGCCATTAATCACAGCTGTTGGGTTATCACCAGTATCTATAGGCACAGCCTTGTTAATGTAAACCTTGCCGCTTTCAACCTTGACACCAACCTGAACAAGGCCATCCACATCGAGCTCACTATGCTGTGGAATAGGAACAGGGGTCTGGTTTTTGTGGACCTGCTCATAGTTGATACCGTTCAATCGGTCGGCAACACGGGCATAACGACGCAGTACCGTTGTGTTCTTCTTCATCACTTGACAACGGCCAAATCCACGATCTAAAGAACCCTTGTTAATGACAAGAGCATCTTCAATATCGTAACCAGAGTATGACATGACAGCAACAACGGCATTTTGGCCTGCAGGCAGTCTGTCGTAATTAATAAGCTCGATTGTTCGAGACTTGACCATTGGTTGCTGTGGGTATACCATAAAGTATAGCAGCGTATCAATACGGTTGAGCTGATTATATGCAATAGATCCAATGGCCTGCTTACCCATGGCACATTGATATGTGTTTCTGGGAGATTGATTGTGGTGAGGATAAGGAATAAGACCTGCAACAGCACCCAAAACAGTAAATGGCTCAATTTCAAGGTGGGTGGTTTCATAAATGATATCCTTCTCGTAAATGGCAATGTAACTATCGTTTTCTTCGTTACAATCCAGGTACTCAACAATACCCAGCCGAAGGAAATCGTCAAAAACCATCTGGCCAGTCTTGAGTTTGTATAAGTGCTCTGCCGTCACTTTGGACTTTTTGTTTTCAACAATAATCAAAGGTCGGCAAATGCGCCCACCATCAGTGGCAATGTGCACAGCGTTGTGATGATGGTTACAGTAAATGCTAATGAACTCCGAAACCTTGCCTCGGCGGCGCATGTATCGGAAATTGCTAATGAACTTCAGTGGGAATCGAGTCACACCAATGATGGTACCGTTAATGTAGATACCATAAACACCAGGCAAGTGTAACTCCAAACCACCGATAACTGAAATGTCTTCGGCACCGAGAACAAAAGACAATTGCTTGATAGGTTCTTCGTCATCATCCGTTGTGATATGCGTCATTAATGCCAAATTCTTGACAAGACCACAGGCTTCACCTTCTGGTGTATCAGAAGTACACAGCATACCAAATTGTGATGGTTGTAGAGCTCTGGGACCAGAGACTTTGCGTGATTTCTCAAATTGCGACGAAATACGAGTCATCATACCAAGGGCAGAAATGTAAGAAAGTCTACTTAGAACATGGGTAACACCAGCACGTTCCATCTTAAAACGTTTTAGCGACCAGTTACCCGTAGAAATAGCACGATTTAACCCAGAGGTAATAAAACGACCATGAGAAACAATGTGCTGTACAGCATCAAATTCAGAAGCCAAGTTACGTTTTCGTAATGTCTTGTCCATAAGCTCCTTGAAAGATGAGTTAAGGGTTTTGAACAAATCTTCAAATAACAAAGACATAAGCTGTCCAGCCAATTCAAGACGCTTGTTACCAACATAATCTCTATCATCAACCATCTTAGGGTTGTCCATTGTTTGAACAACACGTCTTGTCATGATTGCCATGTAAACGGCCTTTTCACGGAAATCAAGACCATCAACATTGATGTGTGCAATAATTGTAGTTGCAATAGCCTCAATACCCTCCTGAATTGGTGTGAGCTTTTGGGCAGAGAGTCTTCTAACTGTTCTAATCTTAGTTCCGAGGTATTCCAATGCCTGATGCTGAGTATAGACGCCGTAGCGTGTAGCCTCTTCAAAATTAATAGCAAAAAGATCTTGGTATTTTGGGTTAGAACCACAAACAAGCTGCAAAATTTCTTGGTCACTGACAATTCCAGCTGCCTTAAGCATAATGACAATTGGCACATCTTCACTGATAGAGTTATGTTTCAAGTAAATTTTGTCGTTCTTTGTAAGAACATAAGTTTTAGATTTTCGCTCATGAGTGGAAGAAGTGACAGATGCTTGCACAATTCCCTTCTTTTCGTCAGCTTCAACAATAATACGATTTTTACTAAGCTGCTCCTGAATGAGAATGACTTTCTCAGTACCGTTAACAATAAAGTATCCGCCCGGATCCAAAGGGCATTCCTTCATGTCTGCCATTTGCATTTCGTCTTTTTCGTACAAAACACATTTAGAACTTCGAAGCATGATAGGCATTCTGGCGAGCTCAAGACCTCTGTTAATTATAATTTTGTTGCCGCGTGTGTACTCAACATCAACAAAGATTGGTGCAGCGTAAGTTAAATCACGTAATCGACATTCATGGGGTGTAAAAATGTCATCGCGGGCAGCTTCTTCTTGACGCTGAGGTCTGCCGACGCGTATATCTTTATAAACAAGGTAAAACTGAGGGTCGACATCACTAACAACCCTTTCATTAGCCTTGATAATTTTTTTTATGTCGACATCAACAAAGTAATTGAATGAATCTAAGTGTTGTTTAACAAGACCCTTAACTTTCAAAAATGCAGGAAGGAGGTTCCATTTATCTCTTGCTGTATCAATTTTATCAGTAAGCTCCTTACCCATATACATAGGCTGAAGAAGCTGGTTAAAGGCCTGGTCACTTCCAGTGTTCGAAAGGTCATGATCATGATCCTGTTTGTGATCCTATAAAGCTTCTGTCAGAATGAAAAACTAAAAAACTAATATGAAATAAAACTTACATCATTTAAAGCAGGCATCTTGTCTAATGTCACCCGAAGTCTGTTTAGACGACAAATGGAACTAAAGTGATTTTACAGTAGCCAAAAATAACAGTTGTGAAGCTTCTAGAGGAACCCAAAAAAAAAAAGTATTGATGGTGAGAAAAAAAAAATTTCCAGCTAATATTTGTCATATGCTGACTAACTGGTAACTAATACTTTAAGACTTAATCCATATAGGTATTAACTTGACACATGTAAGTGCTAGGTCACCAACGTTCAACTTCCCTCTCAATGAACACTTGGATCTCTGAGTTGATAAGAAAAATCAACGATAATATTTCTCTTTTTCTTTCATCCTCAAACCATTTTAATATTTAATACAAACCTATTTATCATTAGCTATGACTGAAATTTACGAAAATGCTAAAAAGGGGGCTGATTTCATTGTCAGCAAGTATCCCGAAAACTTTACTACCCCTAAAGTTGCTATCATTTGCGGCACTGGCCTAGGTGGCATTGCCAATATTCTTCACCCCGATAGTAAAGTGGAAATTCCATATGGAGAAATTCCAGGGTTCATGAAATCAACAGGTATGATCATGAATGAAAATTATTTATGTACATATTCTTACATAGAAAATTTAGTTCAGGGACACGCTGGAAAATTAATTTTGGGCTATATTGGATCAAATAAAATTCCCGTAATCTGCATGGTTGGCAGATTTCAGTAAGTAAAAATAATCTTCTCACTGAAATTACACTAATTGCAATTTAGTTCATATGAGGGTTATGATATTAAAGATACTGTGTTTCCGGTCCGTGTTTTTACTGTTCTTGGTGTTTCTGTTCTTATTGGTATGTGTAATCGGTTTTATGCCCAAAAAAAAAACTTAAGCAATATTTTTTTAACTCATTGTTAAGCTACCAATGCTGCTGGAGGTCTTAATCAATCATTTTCCATTGGAGATATCATGGTAATCGATGATGTAAGTAATTCTACATTAATATTAGCACAAAACTAATTATTTTAGCACATTAATATTCCTGGATTGGCTGGTCTTCACCCATTAAAGGGTCACAATGATGAACGATTTGGAACAAGATTCCAGCCTTTGAGCGACGCTTACGACCATGATTTGAGATTTTTGGTTTACCAAGGTGCAGAGTCCCTTGAAATTTCTCGATCCATTCATGAAGGAACCTATGCTTTTGTGTCTGGTCCTACGTTTGAGACTCGCGCTGAATGCAGATACTTACAAACAATTGGCGCTGATGTTGTTGGTATGAGTACTGTCCCTGAAATTATTGTTGCTAGACATGGAGGTCTGAGAACACTGGCAATGAGTCTGGTTACAAATGTTGCAGTCATTGACAGACCTCCTAGTGGAAAAGAAAAACTTCCTGAAAAGAAAATGGATGATGGCATTGCCAGCCACGAAGAAGTTTTAGAAGCTGGAAAAGCTGCATCCAAAGATATTGAGCAGATTGTTAAATATGTTGTGAACAATCTTTAAATAATAAATAATACAATTTAGACAGAATCATATATTTAGATTTCATATTTTAAATATTCCCAGGTATTGTCACTGGCTCAAAAAAAGTTGTTTATTCGTCAATAACGCCAGCAGATTCCCATTCACCCTTCAAGTTTTCCTTCCACAGAGTAACCTTGTTATCGCCTCCACTGACAGCAAGAACGTTTCCAGAAAGAGACCAGCTGACTCTCCAGACAACATCAGGGAACTTTTCACTTCTGAGGAGTTTCATGGTCCATGGACCATCGCCCTCCTGAGTCCAAATAATAACAGTCTTATCTTGGGAAGCAGAAGCAATGTATGACTTTGACAAAACAGAGGGCGACCAGGCCACGTCGCGGACCCAATCGGTATGGCCAGTCAAAGTAGTCTCGACAACATAAGTGTTCGAAGCAGGATCAAACTTCCAAATCTTGACACTGTTGTCAGAACCACCACTGACAAACCGTCGTGACTCTTGAGTCTGTTGTTGGCCGCTAGATTGAACGAGAGATCCAGAAACGCTTGGGGGTGCCCAAGAAACAGCATTGACACCAAAGCTGTGAGCAGAAACAATGATGTGGTCGTACTTTCCTTCATCCTTGAATTCAACGACTGAAATAAAGCCATCGGATGAAGCGCATAATAACAAGGCGCCATATTCTTGTGGGGCCCAAGAGATGGAGTTTACAGATGCCTTGTGGACAGCGTGCTGGTGAATATTGTTCCAATGTCTGTTTTCTTCACGCCAAATCAGAACTTTACCATCATAAGAAGCACTAGCTAGAATAACACCAAACTTAGGGTGAGCCCAGCTGACTTGCCAAACAGGGCCTTCGTGCTTCTTTAAAGTGTCAACAAGTTTTTGATTCTCCCCGTCAATTTCAAAAATCTTGATTGTCTTGTCAGAAGAAGCAGTTGCAAGACGTTTGCCGTAGTAATCAAGAACAGCATCATGCTAAACTTTTTGTTAAAAATCAATTTTATTTTCGCATTAGCATAATAGTACTTACAATTAAATCATTGTGCGCATTTCGAATTGACACCTTTAAAAAGATATTAGCAAGTTTTCTTATGAAACAACAAAATCACGTACCATTGTGAATATATTTTTGTGAGATTAAAGAAAATAAATACTATAGATATTGATGACTGCTGGTATTAGAAAATTAATAAATGATCCCAATGTAAAAGGGAGCTACAGTAGTATTTTCAATGTTGTGCAATGCCCTTTGAAAAAGTAAAAAATATGAAAAAGGGTGTTGTGGACGTGTTAAGAATGAAAAATAAAAACTGACTAAGCACATGAACCGGGTTCGTATGGTTTCAATATTACGCAATAATACTGTAGTTCTCAGAACAATTGAAGTCTTGCCTTTTTTTTGTCATATTTCATGACTTTGTGGATTTTTCTTCTCTAATCTATTCACACTCATTTTTCAATACCCACGGATTCAATATAGTTCTTGATAAACTTGATTTTATATAAACAGAATCATTTAATGTTGGAGCTGAATTCTAGTGTCAATGATTACCTCGAGCGTCTTCCCGAGGCTGTACTCACACGACTGTTTCAATCCCCCGCAACATGTTTAGCTATCTTCAGATTACTGCCTAAGCTGGCAAAAACAATAGTTTTGTCCATGCTGTATCGAGATGAACCTCTCCCAGTGGAATTTGTAGATACATTAGTAAACAATCAAAGCCAGAGAATACAAGGCGAGGCACTAAAAAAATTAAAAGGTCTTCATGTGGTGAAGGAACGACATCAAATGCTCACCCTAAATCCAACACTAAGACAAAATTTTAAAAACGCATTGACAGGAAGTAATGGAACAAGTTCATTTGGGGTACCATGTGAAACTGAAGATCGACACAAGGTTGATATTGCGTTCTTGGACCAACGAGCGCAGCAAAAATGGGAAGCCATCCTTCATTATATGGTCGGGACAGACACATCAGGTTTGCCAGAAGGTGTTTTACTGCTGCTAAAACACAGTGGACTTATGGATGGTACTGAGCTTGAAAATATGAAAATTACTAATGTCGGATTTCAATTTCTTCTGCAAGATATAAATGCACAAATTTGGACTCTTCTTCTTCAGTATCTCAGTATGTCAGACAAACTACATATGGATCACGTCGATGTTCTGAACTTTATATTTATGCTGGGTTCATTAGAACTTGGAAGAGATTATTCATCGGCTAGCTTGAGTGCTACACAAACACAGATGCTGGAGGATCTGCGAGAATATGGTATTGTTTATCAACGCAAGTCATCATCTCGACGGTTTTACCCTACTAGGCTGGCTACAACATTGACATCGGACGCTTCAGCCATTCGATCGGCTTCCAAATCTATGGAGGTTGCTATTTCTGCTGCTTCAGGAGAATCAAGATCATCAGTAACTTCTGCCTCGTCAAGTAGTACATCTCGACCAGGAACTGCTGACACAGATAGTTCGTTGACAACTTTTAGCTCCGTTTCATCTGGTTTTATCATTATTGAAACTAACTTTAGACTTTATGCATACACCAATTCTCCACTGCAAATTGCCGTTTTAAATTTATTTGTGCATCTAAAAAGTCGTTTTGCCAATATGGTTGCAGGCAACATTACGCGTGAAAGTGTGCGTTCAGCATTCATGAACGGTATTAAGGCTGATCAAATTATTCAGTACTTGACGGTTCACGCACACCCGCAAATGGCAAAAAACGAGCCAGTTCTTCCTCCTACTATTGTTGATCAAATCAAACTCTGGCAGATTGAAATGGATCGCATCAGAGCTACAGAAGGATACCTTTTTACAAACTTTTCAGACTTCAACGAGTACAATACTATTGTTAATTACGCTAACCAGCTCGGTGTCGTGGTTTGGCAGAATGCAAAAATGTCAAAGTTCTTTGTCACAAAAGAAGGAAATTCTCAAGTTATTGAGTTTGTAAATAGAAGAATGCAACAGCAACGAAACATACCACCATCTACTTCATAGAACAATTAGAGTAAAAATACTGTATCATTAACTGTGATTATTTTGGAATTTTTATTATACATCTAAAATAATTTAAACCAAATATAAGTGCTACAAAAGATATCTAAAAACATGTCATTTTACTGTTGCAGATTTTCGTTTTCCTCTGCTTGGTCATCTGGAGTATCATGCGGTGCAATATTTTGCTGGGCCTGTGTCGGAGGCTGTATGTGTGACTGCACCTGAATCTGCACTTGAGATTGCAATTGGGGCTGTCCATCGAGATGTGGCTGGTGAGGCTCTTGGTATTGATTTTGATTTTGATTTTGATTTTGATGGAGCGTTAGAGGGTCCACAGGTTCTTGAGTATGAGCCCGTTCATGAATGTGATTGGGGTTCGCATTTTCATTTCCATTTTCATTTCCATTTCCATTTTCATTCCCATTTTCATTCCCATTTTCATCCCCATTTCCATCCCCATTTCCATCCCCATTTCCATTCCCATTTCTATTTCCATTCCCATTTCTATTTCCATTCCCATTTATATTTCCGTTCTCATTCCCATTTTGATTTCCATTTGGGTTTGGGTTCTGGCCCAATCCAAGTCTGTTGCGTAAATCCCGGATTTGTCTTATTCTTTCCCGGATACCTTGAATATTACCTCCTCGATTTTGCCATTGGCGAAACATGTAGCTGAAAATAAGAAATGTTAGAATAAGAATTAGATACTTGTCAATGAACTCAACTGCATCGACTGCATCCACAAATGTTTCAAGAACCTCTTCTTCATCATCTTCATCATCTTCTAATTCAGGGTTAAAACCACCACGCTCATTCCATTTCTTCCAAAATAATTTTATGGCCTCAATAAAACTTTTGGGTTTTTCACCTTGTTCTGAAGGCTCACCTTCTACTTTATCCAAAATATCTTTTTCGTCACTAGAAATGGGCTCATTAAATGTATTATGGCGATGATCTGTTGGATTTCTTCGCCATGAATTCCAATAGCTGCGAGTTCGTAGTTTAAAAAGTGAAATAGTAACAGGAAAATATGCGTCCCGATTGACCAGTGCAGCATTGTCATAATATCTTTTTGCAAGATGAAAATCTTGCTCAACACCAATACCATTTTCATACATCCAGCCAAGATTCCATCTTGCAATAGCGCTGAAGTACTCAGCTGCAACTTGATACTGGGAAGCCGCTTTTGAAGGATTAGGTTTGACGCCAATACCATTAAGGAAATAATCACCAACCTTGACAATAGCATCAACGTTATAATCATTGGCGAGACGAGACCAGTAAGTAAAAGACAAGAGATCACGCTCGCGTATCCACGTTGCGTAGTCTGAAGGATCTCTATAAATGAACTGGCCAAAATCACAATGCTCGCCTTGAATAGCTTTTTTGTGGAGTGGATTTAGAGGTCGTACAGAAAATTCATTGTGATTCTTTTTAATAGAAAAGAAGGAAAGAATGCGCTGAATATCTAAAATATTTCTCTGGTCATCAAGCATATAAGCGGTATTAATTTGAGCTTCACTGTATCCTTCTTCAGCAGCAATCAAGAAACCAAGTAGGGCTGAACCAAAGTCACCTTCAGAATATTGTTTGTGAGCCCAGCGTAAAGGACTATGGAATTCATGAATTCTTTCAGAGACAATTTGAAAGTAAGGAACAGGATCTGAAACGATTTGAAAATATTGCGCCTTCGAGTCTTTTTTGCGTGCTCCACTTGAAAGAAGCATTCCGATGTGATAAATTGCAAAAGTATTGCTTCGTTTAACTGCTTTATCAAACTGCATATAAGCTGCATTTATATCACCTTGTCCCAAAAGAATTTCGCCTAGGTAAAGATGAGCAGCTCCGTTATTATCTGCCTTCTTAAATAATTCAATTGCTTTCTTTTCGTCACGTTCGACACCGATACCTTTCCAGTACATGAGGCCTAGCCCAGTAGCTGAAAGTTCATCCTCTGCTTCAATGCCAATTTCAAAAAGTTGTTTAGCAAAATCGTAATTTTTGTCAATCCCTTCACCACGAAGATAGCGAAATCCTAAAAATCCTAAGCAGGCACCTTCTGTTCGTTTATGAGCATCACTAGCTTGAGACTCCCTAATACATTCACTGGCATATTCGCCAGCTGTTTTATAATCAGGATCAACAACAATATCACCATCATAATAAAGACGCGCTAGAGCATAGTATGCAGGCGCGGCAGTGTCATCAAGTAAAGATAGATAATTGAGATAGCGAACAGCCATGTCAAAGGATTGCGTTGAGGAAGATGGAAGGAGGGGATAATGACGAACAGGAGAAACCCTACTTGCACCCTCACCAAAAATTCCACCGTCCTTGTCTGAAAGAAGCCAGCCATATTGAGATAAATGTCTGCCACCAGGAGGACCATCAATAGCATATTTATAAGCAGTTGTTGCTGTTTCCTTGTATATTTCTGCAGCCAGTTTAGCATTTTTAGGAGTGGAAATGCCATGGTAGTGACGATAAGCCATAGCCATCTTGGCTCTGTAATCACCGTTTCTTGCTGCAAAGGTATAGTATAAATTTGCTCTAGCTTGGTCCTGAGGAGTACTTCCAAACATACCCGTGGAGTACATAACACCAATCATGAATTGAGCTGAAGAGTTGCCTGTTTTCTGAGCAACTTGTTTGTATAGTCGAAGAGACTCGTAAAAGTCTTGTGGATGGGTGTAATTGCCATAAAAATAGAGCTCAGCTCTTGTATAAGTGGCATCGTTGTCTCCAAGAGAGCTAGCATCAGCTAAAAGTTCAAATGCTCGTTTAAGCTCGAGCTTTTTTGATTCAAGTGTTTTGAGTTTTGCAAGGCGGTCCTGTGATAAAAAGGTTTTTGTATTTCTGAAGATTGGTGGAGGTGCCGATGATGTTTTTGACGGAGTTGACAACACCTCTGGTGAATTTGTTTGAATTGAATTGTCAAACGACAGCCTTGCACATAATCGTGTTCGTGGCGACTCTGGAATTGGAAAAAGTAGAGTATTACATATAGATTGAACACCGCCATCAAGAAAAAGACTCCATATCGAACGACGAGGCCTGTAATAGCGGCCGATATTATCTGGATTTGTCGCATCTGGGAGAGCGTTGAGAATGGAACGTGCTTCCATATAAAGAATTCTTCCTCGTGAGCGGTCAATCTCTGGGTCACCGGTAGCATATTCAGATATGTGTTTTTGTGATGGAGGGCTTTGAAAAATAATTTGAGGGTCTTCAGTCTGCTGGGGAGAAGTCCGCAATGCTGCCGGACTATTGGGTTCAGTGGTTTGCAGGTACGAAAGGTATGCCACTGAACAGAAGAGACCAGCTACCAGCACAATGAAATATGTTCGGAAACTGTTGATTTGCTGGACGGTGAGCATTTTAAATTAAGGAGTTCATGAGAAAAATCTAAAAACAGTGATAATCTCCTTAATAAAAGTAAAAAAAAAAGGTGATTTTTGAACCAGAATCGAAGTTCCTGTGGCAAATACCAAAGGGCTTTTTTTATAAGGAAAAAGGTAAAATGCTTATAAAATAGTACGTAAGTAGGTGGAACAGGTTTTAGTGGTGATTATTAGAGGAATTATGGAGAAAATAAGCTGGCCGTTTTCCTGCACACAATTGTCTGCACACGTACTCCGTTATACGCGTATTTGTAACTGCTGCTTGTAATATCTGAACTAAGCTCAACTAACCACCATTCCCATCCATGCCTCAGCGCCGGCCTTTCCCATGGGTAGACATTGTCTGTCCTTGTCATGATGATGATCTTGTATCACTGGATGGTGTCTTTATTTCCGATCTTCATCATGGTGCTTCGGGTCTTAATGAAAGCACACCTCGTACCCCTCAAAAAATTCACGCGCATACACATGCGCCGAAGCGACCACGCTCTGCTATTCCAGCATCCATCTGGGATCCGTTTTCGCGGCATAAAGTTGAAACGCTCTACTTTTGCGAGCTTTGCCAGGAGATTCGATGTCCACGATGTGTTGATGAAGAAATTCTTTGTCTCTACTGCCCTGTGTGTTTATTTGAAGTCACACCAAGCACTGCACGCGCAGAGGGCAACAGATGTCCACGGAATTGCTTTAAATGCCCTAAATGCAGTACTTCAGTTAACCCAAGACCAATTACAGGAACCGTATCGAATTCTTCTCTTCTTACAAGTGATGTGGTATCACAAGGCTCGGCTCCTGCTTATTCATTAGCATGTACGTACTGCTCATGGACCTCCGACATGTCAGAGCTAGTTACTCCAGAAAAAATCGGTCATGGTGTTGTGTTTCATCGTGGAAAAACAGTTCGACAGCAGCTTTCAGGTGTTGAAGGTCGTCTCCAGTCTGACATTACTAAACGGTTTCAAGATTTGCGCAATTTTTATTTTCAAAAGAGTTTAGAAGAAGGTACAAGAGCTGCAATTATTGACGACGAGCTATTCAATGGAGGTAGGCTCCGAAATATTGCTAGATATAAAGAAGTTGACCAAGGTCCTGGTGGATCTCCAACTCGTGCAGGCTCTGGAAACAATAGCTCCGGTAGCAATACCAGTAGTTTGTTGGCGGTGAATTCCAGTAAGGCTCGATCTTTTGCAGAGGTTCTAGAAAAGAGAATTCAAGAAAGGAATCAGATTGACAATAGTGCAGAAATTTATGGAAATATGGAAGAGGTTGATGAGTCAACAGATCGATACGAAGCATCAATTCGCAGTTCACAAATCACTGACACGTTTAACCAGTATCGTCGACTGCAGTTGGACCAAGACGGGGAAAACGGTATAGGAGTAAGTCCAAACATTCCAGCATGTCAAATAAAAGGCACCATTGATGTTTCGCAACCTCCGCATATTGTCCGTGACCCCCTTGATATTAAACAAAGCTTACCTGTTTCACAGCCATTACATTCTAAGCGTATTAAATTATGTACCGCTTGTCGGCGTGTACTAGCGAAACCCGATCTAAAGCCAACATCAATACGATTCAAAAAACGGTTCATGGCTTATGACTATATCCCCGGACTACGAATTTCAGAATACCCGTCAAAAAGTGGATTTCCAAAATCACTTGTTCCTGAGAAGCCTTATACGTTTTTGCTGACAATTACAAACTCCATGAAAGTGAAAATTAAAGTATCACTAGCAACCATTTCACGCAGCACAGGTACAGCAGATTCTGATGAAGATTTATTTGCAAATACTCCACTACCTGTCAATTTTCAACTGGGTGCCATGCCAGTAAGCTCAAAACAGGAAGATGTGAGTGGGGCGGCCACACTAAATACTGCTTCTGTCCCATCTTCGTCTTCGTCAAACTGCTGGAACACTTCAAATAGATCCAGGCCGTATCCACATAGAGTCACACTCGTCACACCAACGGTAGAGCTTGGTGCTGATACAGGCGAATGTGACGAAGTGACCCTGCTACGAGGTGTCCCTGGAGCATTAATTGCTCGTGAATCGGAGTTTTCAAAACGCGTAGAAGTCGAAAGAACCAGTCGTGCTGCTGGTGTTTCTGGTGCAACCCTTACAGGCATCTATCAAACAGGCAGTAATTGGAGCACAGTTGGTATTGAAGTTGTGCCTTCATCCCAAACACGATTTTTAGAAATCCCGCTGTTTATCAGTTTTACATTTCAAGTTCCAGATGATGAGGAACGTTTAAAAGAAGGTAATTCTGACCCTGAACATTCATTAAAAGAGCCCCAATTCATGTCCTTTGGATATTGGTCTGTTCTTGGGATTGCGCCTATTGAAAAGTAATTTTATGCAAGCTATATTTGTGTTGGATATAAGCAGATCTTAATAGAAAGTTTAACCCGCTTTTTTTTTATTTTTTTTCTTTCAAAAATTTATTTAAAAAACCTGCTCATGAATACAATAGACTTAATCCCTGTCACCGAAGATGATGTTCAAGAACATGTTTTCGATATTCTTGTGACCCATGCTCCCCCAGAAAAATCAGATTTAGGCGTTTACGAGCGTAAGGATGGTATAATTACAGTAGATTTGCGTGTTCCGTCTACTTACTCTACCACCGGGTTTCACGGATCGGCTGCTTCTACATCTGTTTCGTCGTCTAAAACACGTCGCAAATCAAAGAAGAAGACTGGAGGGAAATCCAAAGAGCCCAAGTATGGATTTATACAGTTGGATATTGGTCAAAGTATTTCGTTGTTCACTTCGAGCACAGAAAGTTCAACTACTGGAGCCATGCTTTGGCGGGTGTCTGTATTTTTTACAGAATGGATACTTAATGTATCACAAGGTCATGTTATTGACAGATTTCAAGAGCAACAAGTTTCTGAAAAAATAGAAGAGCCGAAGATGGATGAAGATGTTAAAGTTAGATTGTTAAATTATCCTTTGGAAGAATGGGATGTTGTGGAAGTCGGGTGTGGTGCAAGTGGATTGGTTGCAGCTGCCTTGGGCCCTGTTGTGCATAAATATCTCGCTACAGACCATCTTAAATCAGTTTTACGACAGGCCGAAAATAATATAGTGGCAAATGTTCCACGCAGACTTGTTACTACCCTTGATGGTGAAGTAAATGCTGTTGAAAGCAAATTTGATAATAACGATGATTATGATGATGATGATGCCATAGCAGCAGTTTACCGGGCGGCTCGCAAGGAACAGGAAGGAAAGATCCAATGTGTTGAATTTGATTGGGAGGACATGGATTCCGGAATTAATAGTATTTCTAAAATTTTAGGGTCGGAGAACAGTAACCTAAATGTCCAACTAGAAGCCGAACTTCAAGGTCTCAATGTTAAGGACGAGCCAAAGTCTACACGAATCACTGAAAAATCTGAAGACAAGCCACTTGTAGTCTTGGCCTGTGACACAGTCTTTAACGAGTACTTGATTCCGCACCTCCTGGACGCGACAGCTTCGCTATGTGGCCGTGTGAGACCACAAAACGCGCACGTCATTGTTGCACAACAGGTTCGCGACCCACAAATTATGACATCCTTCATGGAGCAGTTTGTCTCGCATCGGGCTGAGGATTCTGACCAAACAAGTTTTGAAGTGTATGCGGTACCAGATCGGTTACTTTCTCAAGCTCTAGTTAATGGATATACTGTTCATTATGCACGCTATAAGGGAATCTAATATGAATTTATGAAATTTATCATGGAGAGAAAATTTTTTTCGTGTTATATTTTTCCGTTCTAGAGTTGTTTAAGATCTTAATCAGTAGATTCATAAGATACATAAGCTTCATTTTAATGTCTGATTTTATATAGGTTTATTATATTGTGATTATATTATCATAATTATCATCATTATCATCAATTTTTATTTTTTTTGTCATTTTAAATTTAAATAATAGGTCATTATACTAATACTACAAAAACAAAGAAATAAGGGGGTCATTAAACAAAAAAAAGCTAAGCTCAAAGGTACCTGATTAACGTTAATCATAATGCAAAAAATTTAAAAGGAAAATGGAAAGAGTAATGGGCGCATGAAAGTTATGGGAAAAATTTACCGTAAAAACTCCAGAATGTCCATTTCACCTTCACTTTCGTCGTCATCTCCATTACTCTTTCCCTTATCTAAATCTACTCGTCGTGCCGTAGTGGTCATGAAAGGAGTATCTGATGGAATAACTGTAGGCCTGCTGAGCGGTGAGGGATCTCCAGGCAATGCTCCACGTCGATTTCCAATATGCAAAAATGATTTAAAATGCGGTGATGATGAACGTGGCCGTCTACGCTCTCCAGAAGATCGGGGTGAGGTCGATGGAAGTGTGCAGTGATGATTGTGTGGATGGTCTCTCGTTGGAAAGATAATTGGCGGTGCAAGAGGTCGGAAAGTGGGAACTTGTGGCTGATTTCCATGTGGGTAAGTTACGTCGGTTGAGTTAGACAAATCTGAGCCCAAAGAAGTTTGGCGTGCTTTGGCTATTTCAGCCTCTGGTTGCTGAATGTTCGATGCTGTACCAGAATAATGCTTTATCATATGAGTTGCCGTAGACGTGGTGGCTGTATCGTCATGATCATAATCTAGGATGCTCTTTTTATCCATGTATGAAAGCACAGTTTGATGTAGGGTATTCTTGTTACTCGACTTGGTATGCTGGTGGCCGGGTACATGAGCTGTATTTTGCGTCCCGCCGAAAACATTGGGATCCGAGAACCCAGTTCTATTTTGATTTTTATTCCTGATAGTGTTTGCTCGGTTCATTTCTTCTCCATAATACATTTCTTTGGCCAATTCCATATCGGAGTCTTGGTCATAATACTTGTCTTTGAAAAAGCACGGGAACACACGTGCTGCATTCTCACGAGTAAAAATGACTTCTTTACGATCTATCCATGGCTTTTCTCGAATGCAAAAGGCGACAGTATCGACGACACAGTTGAACGGTTGCATGAATGCCGCAATGGCGCCTATCCAAAAGACACCGCCATGGTTGGTCATGGTTTTGTATTGTAGGACGTGGACAGCAAATGGAGCCATCCACAAGAAAATATACGCGACAGGGTACACAAAAATGGACCGTATCTGGCGCTCAATCGCGTTGCGGCGCAGCTGAAAATTTGCCATACTCTCTCTTTGAAATGCACGTACAGCAATCATAGTTGGATCCATGTCAACTTCGTCATCTTCGCTGTCGTCATATCTGCGTGGCATTAAAAATCCAAAGCCTGGGAAATATGAAATGAAAGTAAGAAGCGATCGGCAAATCATCTTGTTCCACCGCTTTAATTTCAACTTTATTTTAGACTGATTTATGCGGGTGTTGGTGGAGGAGTGTGTAGTGGGATGAGCATGAGCACTTGAGCCAATAACCGAGCTCATTTCCTTTTTGCTGCTAGCAGCATTGCTATTGTCTAGCCATGGATGGGGCTGGATTTCCATATCTGAAGTGTCTAAAATATATGCTGTGTAATCGTGTCCTGTCAGTTCTGGATCTGCAGAATCAGCTTGAGAAGCCACAGCAGGGGAAGTCACTGAGTGATGTGCTGTTTGTGTTGATTTAAAGTCTTTGACCACCTTACGGTACTCAAGTTTAACGTAGATGTAAATGGCCAAATAGATGGCCAGAATTGAAACGATGATGATGTAACGTGGAGCCCAAGAAAGCAAAATGTGAGACCATAATGGTTTGACTGGGATGTAGCACCAGGTGACCATTGGTGCAAATGAGCGTCGGCCATTATTGATGAAAACTAGAGAAGCCATACCTAAGGGAACAAGAACATGGGCTGAATAAACCCAGTTCCTATATGGATAGAGACCGCCTTCGGGACCCGAGTTTGAAGTGAAGACAAGTAAAGCCGTGTGTATTGCAAGAGACAAGACGGCAAAGTCAGCGGCTTCAATAAAGGCCGATGTAAGGAAACCGACAATATCGCAAAAATTGACATTGTCATAAGCTGAAGGTACGTTTAACACTCGAGAGGGATACCAGAGCAGGACAACGGCCTTTCCAAAGTCGAAAAGCAACAGAAGTAAAATCAGATGATGCCGAAAGACCTTGACGCGCATGGAAATGTAAAGGTATAAAGCCAAGAGGCCAGCTGCAATGGAAACTGATGAAGCAGCCACCGAGAGCACGCGCATGACATACTCCTGATGCGCGGTGAAGTAAAGACCGGGGATAGAGTCCGAAGACGTCATGAGTAAAAAATCAAAGACGTGGAGACTGTGCTAATGATTTATGGTAAAACAAATTTTTACTTGACAGAAAGATTGGTGGTAATGGAGATTGTGGTAGCGGTGATGGTAACAGTGGTGCGAATAAGAAGAGAAAAGGGGGGAGGAGGTGGAGTCGGGAGAGGTGGGAAAAGTGAACGTAAAAGAAAGTTTCAAAAAGGGAAAGTAGTATTAAACTATAAGTAGATTAAAGCCGATGGCAACATCAAATCAAAGCTAAATAAATGACGGAATCATATATTGTACTAATCAAAGGTAGGTAAACGACGGGACATTTGCTTTAGGAGCTTTGAAGGTTTTTGTTCAGATTTCTTCTTTTTTTTTTTTTTTTAACTTGGAAGGATTTTTTGTTGCAATATTATTTTTTTAGGCAGTTCATCCATCCGGCATTTTGGAAAAAAAACAAAAAAAAAAAAAATGAAGACATAACGAGTTAGTTCTGCTAGTCTGTGTAGTATCCAATATGATATTATTATTGACAATTTTTTTTTCTTAATGTCACATCTTAAATTCTACTAATTTATGGATCTTTAGTTTTTACAAAAAATCTAATGTAATTCTTCTTTTGCTGATTCGACATTCCACAATTTGACCATTTTGTTCGGGTCTTGTTCGGACCCTGCCGAGGAGCGGCTTATTAGGCTTCTTTTCAACGAAGTCCTAAAAACAAAAAAAATAAAAAAGTAAAATAAAAAAAAAAAATTTCGTTCCAAAAATTTCGTTCCAAACATGCACAATTGAAGCCTTACAAGGCTGAAAATTCAGGTTAGGGTAAAATTATTACATTAAATTAATTAATTAATTAATTAAAAATATTGCAATAAGATCTTGTAGCTAATGTCAATTAACTATTAATTAATTAAAAACATCACTACCACCATTTAATCTTATCCCAACCATCATCTCCAACCCTTTGTCTGAAGAAAACTTCTACAAGCCATGTTTTCTCAGACTGGGAACTTCCAGCAACAGGGATCCGGAGGCCCCAGCGGTGGAAGATCTGCAGGCTTTGGATTCAACAACAATAACAACAACAACAGTAACAACCAAAGTTTTAATAATGGATCTACTGGGGGCCCAGGCTCTGCTTTCTCATTTTCATCTTATAATCCTTTTCAAGCTGCAAGACAGCAACAGCAATCTACCCCAGCCACTACAGGTCCCATAAATCCATTTGGAAATACAGGAACAACGACGGCATCTACTGGATTTTTAAATAACAATAGACAAATGAAGCCCCGGCGATCAAAAAATATGTCTATGACGTTCAATAATGGTGTTCCTAATGCAGCAAATAATAATCCTTTCGCTAATAATTCTAACAATAGTCCTTTTACAAATAAAACTAACAGTCCATTTACTCGAACTAGCTTTAATAATAATAATAATAATAATAATAATAATAATAATAATAATAACAATGATAATAATATCATTAACAATACCAGTACTAGTACTAGTACCAGTAACAATAATAACAATAATAATAATCAAGGACAAGGACAAGGACAAGGAAGGAAGCGTGGTAGTGGGCGTGGAGGTCGTGGACGTGGAGGCAACCAAAATTTTTCTTCATTTACCCACATTAATACACAGCAGTCTTCGATGTCTACCCCACAAACTCAACCAAATCCTTTTATTTCTTCTCCGCAAATTCAACAGACTCCGTTCATATCATCACAACCTTCGCAGGCTCTTTGTTCAACGCCAACTCTTCCTACACCTTCAGGCTTTAAACAGCGTCAAAGAAATCCCAAAGTTCCACTACCATTCCTCGTAGAAGAATCTGCATCTTATACAAATATTAACCGCACTCCTGATCCATGGGATATGAACAATCAAAAGGAGCTTCTTCGAACTGAGCAGCTTCAGTATTCTGGTGTTGATCTCGAAACTCTCTACAAAAAAGTAAATGTCAATGTTCAAATGATGTTAAATTCAGTTACCACAGTTTTATTTCCATTCTAAAATGTATTGATTACTAACTTTTTTTTTTAGATGCAAGAAATGCGCGAGTTTGAACGCAAACAAATGGAAGATAAAGGCCTTGTCGACAAACAAAATGTTAGAAAAAATTTAAAGGACGCAATTGTCTTTATTGGTACATGTGAAGACATGTGCCCTACATTTGAGCGTGTCCGGAGATCTTATGAACTTGATACAAAACCACAAGAGCGTGTAAGTATAATTCATGTTGCTTAAAAAAAATCCATTAACATAATTTCAGGGTCCCAATGGCTATGCAACGCGTGAGCTTGCAGTAAAAGCATTTTCTCGACCAGCTGCTGGCCAACCACCACCCCTTCCATCAGACGTCCGACCACCGAAGGTTTTGGTATCTTCTTTAAAATATCTTATCGACAATGTAGTCCCTCAGTTGCCCAAGAGTCATACTTTCCTTTGGGACAGAACGCGCTCAATTCGACAAGACTTTACTTACCAAAATTATATTGGTCCTGAGGCGGTATTATGCAATGAGCTTATTGCACGAGTACACATTGTATCTCTTCACATTATGTTGACTTCTGATGTGGAATATTCAAAGCAACAGGAGCTTGAACAGTTTAACAAAACTTTGCAAACTCTTTCAGAACTTTATGCCGCAAATAGGAAACTTGACCCTAGTTTTCGTTCGCCAAACGAACCAGAATTTCGTGCATACCAGTTACTTAGTCATATAAATGATACTGAAACTCTCATGCATATTCAGGCTCTTCCTTTTGATATTTTAAGAGATGCTCGTCTACAACTTGCATTAACCTTGCGATCTCTAGTTCAACATGTCTCTAGAAACAATCCAGACAATGCATTTAATCTTTTTGCTTCATTTTTCAATACATTAGTCAAAAACACTTCAATACCCTATCTTTATCTTTGCCTTTTGGAAACACATTTTAGCGACATTCGTTCAAATGCTTTGGCTTCTATGGCACATGCATATCATTCTCGTGGAAGCCCGTACATTGTTCCTCGCTTAACATCGATGCTAGGCTTTGACAACGATTTAGATACAATCAGCTTTTGCACAGACTATGGCTTAAAGGTGGTTGATGATGCTCAAGCAGGTCAGTGTATTATCGTCACTATTGATCCTAAAAATCTTACGCCTTCCACTTCAGCGGCAAAAACGTATAAATCGATTTTTATTGACGCCAGAAAAGGCCCCAAGACTTGGTCGGCCTGCATTTACAATGAAACCAGTGGACTTGTTCCTACAAAACCTTTTGTTTCTGTAAAAGCAACCCAAGCTATGCAACAAATGAAGCCTCTCAGCACAGGGTTTTCGAACAATACAATCAATAGTAATGCTGCAACTTCATCATCTCTAAAATTTTCCTTGACACCCAGTGTTCAGCTTGGAGGTCCAAACCAGTTTGATGGAATGAACCAATCTACTTTTGTTTCACCGACACAACCAAATGTATTTAATGCACCAAGATCATCAAATGCATCTCAAATAAAATCAACTATTGGTGGGAGTTCTACTTTTGAAAAACCGCTTTCAGTTCAACCAACTTCATTTTCATTTGGACCTACAAAAACGGTTCCTGCTCTATCTTTCTCTGCACCAACCCCTTCACCTGCACCCGCTTCGGTTACAGCTGTTCCTATATTTAACCCATCGGCAACTTCATTTTTAACTAACAAATCCAGTCCACTTTCTGCAACACAAGATGAAAAACCAAAGACTCCATTATTTTCTTTGAACGAACCAAGAGGACAATCTAAACCTTTTTTTACTGATTCTCCCAAACTAAATATCAGCTTCAATAAGAATATTGTGAATCCAACCAAAGAAGCTGTGGCACAGAAAGTGCCCGCAGTCGTTCCTCCACAGCCAATCATTATAGCAAAATCAAAACCCAAATATTATTATGATGATGAAGATATTCATTCAGAAGCTAAAAAGCTTTTGAAAGCCTTTGTTGTTAGAACCCTTAGGGAAAATATCATCCCTGGAGCATGGAAACAAGTTCAGAGAGAACGTGCTGATAACATCAAACGCAGAAATGAAGCTTGCAAGAGTGAAATGAAAGACATGATTCATGAACTCTTAGTCGAGGAGGCAATGGTTGCTAAGGCGAAACAGTTTGATTCTTTACGCCTTAAACGCTTGGCTGTAAGATGTATTTCGGACGCGGCATACCGGGCAGTTGTTAGAGCCGAAGAAAAGGAGCGCAGAAAGGAAGAGTACCTTCACATTAAAAATCAACTGGGGCGACCACGTATGATTTCATCACCAACTCCAATTTCAAGAAGCTCCCGTGGCTCAGCTGAAAAATTAAGTGACTTTAATATTAGCAGAAGTGATACCAACAATGATAGTACAAAGTTGCGGCTTTCTGGTAGACTAAATGATTCTACAATACAAACACAAGAACAAATCACGGCAAAAATAAATCAGGCTCAACAAGTCGCCAATCGTTTATGGAAACCATTAGATCTAGCTACATTGAGTCTTCCACGATTAGAGCGCTCTCTAAAGTCACAAGTTCATCTTTATGGCAAAACTAAAGTTATTCTTTCTTGCTTTTGTCGTGATTGGGACTCGGTGGCTGGAAAATGGATCAAAACAAAATTTCAACTTGAGGGACCGGAAATTTCAAGTAATTCCGGAACCACTGTGCTGGAAACTCAACAACTTCGAGACGACGATCTTTCATATCGGAATTTGATACAATTAGCCTTTGTCTGTGGTTTAGATGATGATGGTCGACCAGTGGAACGAAATGCTGAGGAAAGTATTTCTCAATATGATGCAGCAGCATTGGCTGCAATTTTACAGCGAGTAATTCCAAACTCTCTTTTTAAAGTACAACTACTGATTGTTTCATGGACAAATCTTTCTGAACAGGATGTTCTAAGTCTTTTAAAGATTAATGACTTGAAGAAGGAACTCGCATCGATAACCTTTTGCTCTATTCCAAACACATCGCCAATCAGCCAAGGAAAAATATCTGATCCAAGTCAGGAGCTTGAAGATGCAATTGATTCTATGACAGCTCAGTTTTCGGCTCTTCCATCGATTCGAGGTCAAGAGGCTCGAGACCGAGAACAAATTCAGAGACAAGCAGAACGTCGCGAACGCCAGAATCGTGAACTTTTAAAAGACCAAAATTTGTTAAATTCTGTACAGGAACAACGGTTTCAACAAATCCAGGGTATGAAATGGCTTAATCAGTTTAGTGTTCCAGTAATTAGTCCAGGGAATAAGCGTAAGAGAGTTATGGTAACAAATGAGGCGGTTAATGGATTCACCCAATTTCCTATACCTGCTTCCCAAGTTTCATTACAACACGCGGAACTTGAAAATGTTGCCACCCCCTTGCGCCAAAACCAAGCATTCCAACTTCCTGACACCCCTGTTACGCCAATACAAATATCTTCGGAGTCTTCTTCGTCTCAGAATTTTTTTTCTACACCGCCTTCATCATCATCACTATTGCATGGTGATTCTGGAAACAGTATCCCAGTGCCCAAGAGTGTGCTGGAGCTGCAGGAGCTCACAGCATCTGTACTTAAACGGCCAAAGGTTAATCAAGTTTGAAAGGGGAGCAAAAATAATTTTGTATTTAATAATCATTAATTATTATGACATTTGTCTATATATATATATATATATATATTATTTTTTGTAAATTTTTATTCTATCGTAATTTGGTGACATTGTTGAAAAGAACGAGTTCTAATAGCCCAAGTTTGATGGCGAAGCCGCATACCTAACTTAATTTTTTTTTTTTTTTTTTTGGGATTTCTCTAAAAATACCTTTCCAAACACTTTCAATTCCACCAACAATGGCCAAAAAACCTTCCAAATCGGTTTCAAAACCAAAACCAAATATAAAATCAGAGTCATGTTCCGTATCGATAGACTGGCCTAAATCTCTTTCAGAGTTTAAGGTTAACTCATACCAACAAATCGAGACAGTGGTTTCAGGCATGATTTATGTTCTTCCGCACTTTTTCTCTCCCAAACTTTGCGACGATCTTATTCGATTTTTTGAAACGACGAGCAACCTGAATGAAAATTCCAGAGTTCCTTCTAAAAACAAATTAAATTTCACGACTACCGAAATGCCTCCGAAAAAGGATTATGCTGCACGAGTTAATGATAGAGCCATGGTTGAAGATGCACGATTGGCACGTTTGCTATGGATTCAACTGAAATCATGTCTCTTGTCAGAAAACACTTCTGAGTATTTCAATAATGATAATGAAGAAGAACTACCAAATGAAGAACGTGAGCAAAGAGAAAATTTCCAGGATTGCATAGGACTTAATGATAATTTACGAATTTATAGATACATTCCAGGACATTACTTTGGCCAGCACTACGACGAATCTGTGAAAGCTTCAGTACTGCCGCTTGATGGAACTCAGGTCAGAAAATCTGGTGAAACACACTGGACTTTACTAATATATTTAACTGGTGAAACTGAGGGCGAGGTTTCTGGTGGTGGAACCATTTTTTATCCTAATGAACATGAAGCCGCAACATATGGAAAAACCAATAGAACAAGCCAAAGTTCTGGAAAAAGCTCTGTAGTACACGTTAAGACGCAAAAAGGAATGTTGCTACTACACAAACATGGCGATGACTGTTTCTTACATGAGGGAGAGAAAGTGACAGGCGGTGTCAAATGGATTTTTCGTAGCGATCTTGTTTATCCATTAACATAAGATTCTTCAAAATATACATACAAAAAAGACAACAAAACGTAATCATACAAAAAATCAATAATCATTAAGAAAAAGCGTCATCAAGCATTATCTATCAGGCTCTAATTCATTTCTCCATCCATCAATTCATTTTTTTTTCTTTCGAATTTAAATCAATTCCTTGGCCTTAAGAACCTCAGCGATCAAAATACCCGAACCGGCGGCACCCAAAATGGTGTTGTGCGAAAGAACAACGAACTTAATGTCAAGAACTGGGTCTTCACGGACACGGCCAACACTGCAAGCATAACCGGCATCACGGTCACGGTCCAGACGAGGCTGGGGTCTGTTGGGTTGTTCAAAAACGTGGATAATGTTCTTAGGGGCAGAGTGGCAGCCGAGGTCTTGAACAGGGCTGCGGAACTCTCGAAGGGCGGCCTTGACCTCCTCGACAGAGGGAGGAGGGCTTTGCTTAAACTTGATGCTAAGGCACTCAGTGTGGCCATCAATGACAGCAACACGGTTGCAAGCAGCGGAAATCTTAAAATCCTCTTCAGGAATAATATCAAAAGAAACACCGTCACTGGCAATGTTGGCCAGAATCTTACGGGGCTCCCACTCGAGCTTGTCTTCCTCACCACTAATGTAAGGAATCAAATTGTCCAAAATGTCCATGGAGGAAATACCAGGCGAAAATCCAGCGCCAGAAACAGCCTGCATGGTGGTAACAATCATGGTGGTGATAGGACCAAACTTCTCTTGGAGAGCCTTAAGAGGAACAACCATACCGGCAGTAGAGCAGTTAGAGATGCAGATTTGGAAGCCCTTGCCTTGCTTCTTGAGGTTGGCACAAATGTCCAAATGCTCGGGGTTACAAGTAGGGACAACGAGAGGAACGTTCTCAGCACGGCGGTAGTTCTTAGCATTGGAGATGATAACAAGGCCAGCGTCGACAAAGGCTTTTTCGATATCACCAGCGTAATCGGCGTCGAGACCTGAGAAAACAACATCACATTCCTTAAAGTTTTCTGGGGTACACTCCTTGACAATCATGTCAGCAACCTTGGTAGGAAGAAGGCTGGCCTGCTTCCACTCAGCAGCATCGACGTACTTCTTTCCGGCGGAGCGCGAAGAAGCACCGAGAACAGCGAGGTCAAAGTCGGGGTGATCGGCCAGGAGCTGCATAAAGCGCTGACCCACACTGCCTGTGGCGCCCAAAACACCTAAATGATAAGAGTTAGAATCATGGAATGAAAGCAATTGCAGATAAAATCGCCTACATACCAGCTTTCTTGAGTTGAGAAGACATTTCTATGAAGTAAAGAAGAAAATGATTTATGGGAGAATGCTTGATAGCTTAGTTTAGCCAGCTTTTATAATCAAAAAAAAAAAAAAAAAAAGTCAGAAAGTAAAAAGACGTGAAAAAGGATTTTGGCCAGAAAATCTTTTTTTCAAAAAAAATGAGTCAAAAGGGTTAGGGTTGTCATATCACGACGCCACACTCCGGGGCTACCCAATTTTTTTTTTTTTTTTTGTTTTTCACATCACAAGGCCCAACCAAAAGTGCAATTGTCGGAGAAATCTCACCACACAAATAAAAAACTAAGTATAACTCAACATGGCGGATCGTCAAAACCCGGAACAGGGATTTCGCCCAAACGATACCTTCCCAGTCTCACAACGTACTCCTCATTCTACTCTTGGTTTACATGCAAACCGTCCTGCTACTGGACTACTAGCTAGTCGTCGCGGGCCTTTAGTTTCGCGTCAGGATCGTATTATTCAGTCAACAGACATTGACGCGTTGTCGTCCAAATACTCAGCATTTCTTAAAGGATACCTCCAAGACCCTTATCTCGAAGCAATTGTCAATGGCCAGAAGCATCTCAGTAGGCCCCGTGACCATGTGGCATCATCTTTTGTTGCAAAGTTCCCCATAATCAACATTGGTAAGCACGTTCTTGCGGCTTGTCTTGTGCTCACCAATCTAATTATTCTCTATCACAGGAAGCTACATTCGCAATTATGCACTCAACTTGATTGTTGATGATATGCTGGCTGCGGTTTTGCCTAAAAGTCCCAAATGCCAAATAATTTCACTAGGAGCCGGCTCCGATACCCGCGCCTTTAATCTGTTTGCCCAGCACGGTACTGACGATATCATTTACCACGAAATCGACTTTTCTATTACCACAGCAAAAAAAGTTGCCACTGTGATGATCACCCCAAATTTACAAAAAATAATTTGGCCATCGCTTGCTCAAAATGAAATCCCCACCTTATCATCAAGCGGCATCGAGCCCAACGACGAAATACATACCCCCCATTATCATCTTCATGCAAGAGACTTACGTGACATTACTTCATCAAGCGATTTGCTTCAGGGAATGGATCCTACATTGCCTACTTTAGTTATTTCGGAATGCTGTTTGTGTTACCTTCAACCAGATAAAACTGATCATGTTCTCGACTGGCTTTCATCTCATTTTACCTCCGGCCTTGGCATCGCAGTCTACGAGCCAATTGGGGGAAATGATTCCTTTGGTAAGGTTATGATTGAAAACCTTGCTTCTCGCGGAATTTCCTTGCCCTCTTTGAAAAAATTCCCCACACTTGAATCTCAAGTACAAAGGCTAGTTGATCGCAAGTTTACCCTTAATGATGGGCTGGCGGCTGCAAATGACATTTGGTCTATTTACGAGGACTGGATTCCGGAAACGGAAAAAATTCGCATTTCTAAACTTGAAGTTCTCGACGAGCTTGAGGAATTACGAATCTTGTTTCAACACTACTGTATCAGCTGGGCTGTCACTGATGGAACGAGTGATTCCGCTTGGGTTAAGGCTTTTTCAAAGTTTTCCTATAGGGCAAGAAATTAAGATACAAAAAAAAAAAAAATATGAGCATATATACAAGTTGTAGGTAAAAGGGTGAATAAAATTGTTTTTAAATATCACCCCCAAACCCAACGGGAATAGGCTGACTCTTGGGAACAATACCCATCACTTTATAGAGTCGACCCATAGCACCTCCAGATTTTTCAGTTAGTCTGTTATAAGCATCTTCCACACGTTTCTTTCCCTCAGGAGTGTGCTGACCTTGAGCCAGCACTGTAGCTCGGGCACCAATTCCCATAGTGTGCAGCCAATCGCCCTGCTCAGCAGGTCCGTAAACTGCCACATGATCACCATGATGTCTGGTAGCTGCAATTTTAAGTGCCTGGAAGTCGACGTCGGTGGACAAGTCACATTCACCTGGATTTTCAAAAGGGTTGACAAACTTGTGATCCTTGATACCACGTAGAGTGTTGATGGGAATGGTATCTGCTGGACCGTAATCAACAAACAACATAGCTCCTCCACGTTTGGGATTGATCTCATTGGGTACTATGTACGATGTAAGCTTTTCAGTAATGTCCCATGCTTCGGGACACACCTCAAACTTAGATCCTGGTGGCAATGACTCGTAACGGGGATGACTTTTGGGAATGATACGAGCAGCTGCACTAGCAATCTTGGAGGTAACAAGCTGGAAAACGGGTTTAGCATCTGCAGTGGAAGATTTCTCAGTAGACTTGATTACAGTAGTGTTGGGCAAAATAATTTGGGATTCTTGGGACTTGACATCAGGAACCATGTAATCCACAACCATTTCCCTCCATGACGACTGACGATCCTTAACAAGCATTGAAGAAGCTCCAGGATCATCAAGAACCTTTTCAAACTGTAAAATTGGTAACGCGTCAAAAAATTCATGTGCTGTAATAAAGTTAGAAAGTCCGTCATTAGGAATACCGCGAATGTCTTCAGTCCAGTAAATCGGGATACCGTAGTTTGTGACTGACTTCCAAAGTGACTTATCGGAAACTTGTTCTAAGGGAGTGCTACCGCAGAGCTTCTTGTGTTGCATTCCACGCAAAGTTGGACTAGCCTCCACCATGTAAATTTCTTTAATGGCATTGGCAAACGGGCGAAACGGTTTTGACGACTGACTTATTAGATAAGGATCTTTTTATGTTTATCAAAACTGCTACTTACTCGTAAAACATCCGACATAAGAGTACCACGACCAGGGCCAAGCTCCACCAGTCGGCAAGGTTGTCTATGTTGTTGCATCCACTGAGCCAAATGCCAGATACCAACAAGCTCGCCAAACATTTGGGAGATTTCGGGCGAAGTGACGAAATCACCACCCATGCCAAATGGGTCTTTGTTGATATAATAACCACCATGAGGGTTAGTTAGACATTGTCTCATAAACACAGCTAAAGACAAGGGGCCTTTTGCCTAAAATCCCAAAATTTTAGCATAAATTTAAACTGATTAACGCAAAAAAAAAAAAAAAATTTACCTTTATAGTTTCAGCAAGAAAAGTTCCAAGCTCATTTTCTGCAATGGGTTTGTCATTTTGAGGTTGAGGATTGGAAACTGTAGACTGTCTTGCAATCTGAAAACCAAATCTCGAAAACTGATACGGAAACAATCGAGTCACATAAGATGACTGAAGTCTTGTAAAGTTCCCTGTAAGTCGAACACTCATGATTTATAGTTTGGATTTTTGGAAGAGAAGGATTTTAAGACCCTTCTAAAGTGCAAATATTTTTTGCCAACTACCATTCTGAAATATTTGTTATGGTGGATATTAGAGAATAGATTATATGGAATTATGAAAAAAAAACTCAATTACCCACCTTTTTAAACTTGACAGGTATTTCAAGATCATTATTTGTTAACTTGTAAATTGATCATATAACAATGATTTTATTGAAAATCAATTATTTTTAGTCTTTAAGTGTTTTAATTTATTAAAAAGTTATATTAAAAAAAGGTTATGAAACTCTCCAAACTCCCGTTGGCGCTGTTCAACCGCATATCCACAATTGTTTCAAAAAAAAAAAAATGAGGTCTGGAATTTTTTAATTGACCAACGCTCTTTCTTTAAATTGGAAAAAAAGGCACCAGGGGATAACTTTTTTTTAAAAAAGTTTTGTTGTTTTCTTCTTTTAATTAAATGAATATGGAATGATTCCTAATAAACATAAAAGAAGGTGTAAAAAAAACAGCGTGATCTTTCGGGAATTAGGATTTAAGAAATTTTTTGTCATCAAACTCAATTATTTAGGTTAAATCATTTAAATCTTTGAAGCTTGATTAATCATTGTTTTTGAGATTTTTTCACCGTTTCTTTTTGGTTCTTGTGAGGTTATTAAATCCACGGACTGGCTCTCGTGTTTCATCTTAGATATGCTACCATCTTTAAAAGTGCGCAGCTATTATTATTAATGTTTAAAGAAAAAGTCCAAGTATAACCGATGTAAGATCTTTATTTCAATATTTTCAAAAATTCCCATTTATTTTGAAAATAAAGTGATTCAAGTTATTCATTTGTACATATGTTACTTAACATTGAAATCCAGGGAGCTCAAAAAATTAAGTTTCTTTCTCCAAAAAACTTTTTTCGCTTATTTTTTTAAAGTTATTTTTTAATTTGATTTTAAATACATAATTTTTCATATTCTGATCAATTGAGATTCAGTTTTTATTTTTTCAATAAAAAAAAGTATCATCAAATAATACCCGGGAAAATAAAGAAACATAGTCATCATTGAAAAACCGGGGGTATTCATCACTTGGTTCCTGTATATTCACGAGTTCATATAACATTACTGTAAACGTCGTAAAAAAGTATACAAGAGCAATCCCAAGGAAATGAGATAAAATCAATTAATAGCGAGTTTAGGCTGCGGTCTATTTTCTTATTTATTTCATATTAATTAAACAAGAAATGGCCACATTTTATTCTGCATAAAATTAACATCTAAATAGGAAAAAACGCAAATGAACAGAGCTTAAAAAAACTATAATTACATTTTCCATACTTTTAAAATCAAAGAACCGAGTGTCTTTTTTTTAATAAATTTATATATCAAACTTTAATTAGTGTCAACTTTGTGTCTTGGGTGTTTATATGTTTTTACTTAGATAAAAGTAATTTTAAAATTCCAAAAATGAATGCAAAAATGTTATCATAGCTATTTTGCGATTTCCCAAAACATAGAGGATTAATTTTTTTTAGAATAAGTTTAAATGACTTTTTTGTCGATTAAACATAATATATAATACTCTCACACTGCTCTCATTTTTTTTTTCTTCAAGAATAGATTTTTTTTTCTTACCTTCGCGATTTTTTAACAAAAATTGAAATCATTTTATTTACCCTCAAATTTTTTTAATTGAATGAACAATATTAAAGTAAATATAAAATGGGAAATCAGCACTCCAACTTAAGGTCGGCAACTACTAGCACAGTTCCAGTATATGAAGAAAAAAACCATGAATTTTCGTTACATGGATATGATATTATGAAACCTTTGGGAGAAGGATCATATGGCAAAGTTAGAGTAGTTAGACAAAAAAAGGACGGCAAGTACTATGCTTTAAAGTACGTTGATAAAAGACATGGTAAGTTTTTTATTATTAAAATATGCATAAATATGAATGCTATTTTTGAATGAATTAAATGTTAACAAGATGATAAAGCTCCAATTGTGATTCGCACTATATTAGAGGAGAGAAAGGTTCTTTCAAAAATACGGCATCCGTTTATTTGCAATCTTAATTTTGCATTTCAAGATGAAGCATTTTATTGCCTCGTACTTGACTTTGTCGATAGTGGAGATTTGCGACATCACTTGGAGCGATACACATTTTCGGAGATGACGATTAAACATTGGATTGCGGAATTGGCATGTGCGGTAGACTATCTTCATGAGCATAATATTGTGCATCGAGACATTAAGCCAGAAAATATATTGATGAGTTCTGAGGGTCATGTATGTTTGGCTGATTTTAACATTGCTCGTGAGCTGACATGCCGACGTCCAGTAATTAATGGGGTATCGGGAACTTTTAACTATCTAGCACCAGAAATTCATCGTGGCCAACCGTACACAGAACAAGTTGACTGGTGGGCTCTTGGTGTTGTTTTTTATGAATGTATTTACAAGCGGGTGCCATTTCGTGTTCGGCACCGATCGGAGATTTTGGCTGTTATGGATGCTGGATTGGTATTTCCAGAAACCGATCCACCCGTGGCAGTTTCTTGTAAACAAGGTATCTGTGCATTGCTAAATATGGAACCATTTTTAAGAGTGACAAATGCGGAGGAATTGTTTGCAGTTGAATTTTTTGATGGCTACGATCGTGGTGTTCTTGAAGCTATTCCATATATTATGCGGACATCTGAACTTTCTTCGGATATATCTTCTTCTTCATCTCCTTTATGCTCCAATACATCGGAATCTTTAAACCCAACAGCAGTGGCATCCACGGCATCTATTCGTGTTCCGCCTATATACGATGTTGCTTATCATCCTTTTTTCAAGCAAGATATGGAAGAATTGAAGCATTACAGTGCTTGTCAGGCGGCCAAAGATGAAATGAGGGGGGAGTATCAGAAGTGGTATTCAAAACAGATACAAGTCAAGATTGAGCGACAACGGCGACAAAAAGAACAAAACATGCGCAAAGAACGGGCCAAGCAAAAATTAGAGCGTGATATGGAGAAGATTGAGAGGAGACATATGCTTGAGAATGTTCCACAGGTCGGAATCAAGCGTGCTGTTAATGTCAACAAGCTTTTTGAGGAGAACAAAAAGAATCCAGCAGTTAATGTAAAGGTTGCTGAGGTCGATAACTTTCCAAAAAAGCACAAGAATGTCGATGAGGAACTCAGAAAGGAGTACAAGAAGGAAGACAAAAAAGAAAAGAAAAAAAAGAAGAAGCAAAACAAGACTGGATTGAGCACCAAGTTATCAAAACTAGGTGCTGGTAGAGTTCTTGTAGTTTCGCTTGCCATGATGAAGAAAAATGCTGAGTTAAAGCGCAACAGCCGCCGCCATGAAAAGGAAGCTGCGCGTATTACAGAACAAGTTGGTGAACCTGGAGAGTGTACTATGACACGCAATGAGCAAGAAAAGATTGATAATTTTGATTTCCATAAATCACGGGTTCCTGTACCACGACAAGGCCCACGCGACGTTACACCTATTTGCAATCAACCGATTAAAAATTACCAGCAAAACCATCGCCAATATTTGACTAGTGGATACAATGGTTCAATAAACAGTGAGGAAAGCAATGGTACAGGTGAAAGTGGCTGTGGACCTTCCATCAATGTTCCCAAGTGTCCCCATGAAGAGGGGATGGAGCCGCGAGCACCGCAGGTTCTAAAGCATAAGCTAGACATTCAACGCAGTTTTGAGCCGTTTGACTACCGTGATTCTCGTGAATGTAGGTGTTCTACCGTTTATTGTGGACTTGGCGTTGCTGCCAAGCGGCTTGAAGAACGATCATTAGAGGTTTTGCAACAATGGGAAGAACTTAATAATGCTGGTGAAGGGTTTGAAAATTTTAGTGAGAGTGAGAGTGAGAGTGAAGTCAGCAGTAGTAGTAAGTGCAGCGGAAGTGATACTACAGCAGTGAATGATGGTCTTGAAAGTCAAACTGGATTTGATTTAAAAGTAGCAGCTGCTATGCGCAAGAGCCGGAGTGCTATGGAAGCAGCTATACTTGTGAAGGAGCTCAAGCCTATCAACAAAATGCACACTAAAAACAGCCACAGTTGCGGAGAAATTGTAACTGCTGCAATTGAACGACTAGCGGCTCAAAGTGGTGTGCAATTAACGGTAGGACGAGCTGTGAGTGCTACCAGCACAATGACAGCTAATATGACTGTTACCAGTGGTACAAGCTGTCCTGGGTCTATAAGTGGTCGCAGGCGGGTTCCTGGAGGACAGCAGCAACAACATCATCAACATCATCAACATCAAAGACACTCACGAGCTATTGCTTTACCGACCAAATCTACTGGTGCAAATATAATGCTTAATGGTTGCCGAGTGCAGCGAGCAGGTCGAGTTCCTAGTGGAAGCCTGCGAAGCAGCTATGAAGAGAGTACTGGATTGCCTTTGGGGGTTTTAGGGACTGGTCAGCAAGGCCGTGTAGTGATTTGATGATTATTGATATCTTCAGATATATACATACACAGCTACAGATATTTATATACATATATATATATACTTTTTCTATAAATTTAAAAATTCAAAGACTTTCCATATATTTTCAGATTCTTTCTCTCAGATTTTGGGTTGGGGGCTTGAATAAAGCCCAATTATTGCATTGGGTTACTGTACTTTTTATAAAATACCCTTTAAGGACAATGCAAATTTCCTTTTGGGGATTCTTAAATTCTTAAACAGGCTCACGCGTCAATTAAATTACTTTCTTAATAGCTGTTTTGGGAGTAGGTTCACTTATTTCGCTTAAAGCAACTTACTGTTATTAAGGCAATCAGTATAGCCCTAACCCTGAAATTCAGATGATCATGATCTTAGGCTCTATGAAGGACATCCTTCTAAATTAACAAATTTGTTAATTTGGAGGGATTTCAAATAAACTATTGGTATATATACCTTATCCCCCTTTTTTTTTTTTTTTTGCAATCAATTGAATAACTCGGGACGTGTTCTGGCAGGACTCAGGAGAAACTGCTTTACATAATCATTGAATGGAACTTCTGGGATTCTTGTTAATTGAAGAAACCTTTCTAAATTAAGCTTATGTTGCTTGGTAACCTCTTTTTAGTGATCCAGCCTCCAACATGACCGAATGGGGACCTGCAGAAACGGTTGTGGGGGGTGGTTCCAGCCGCATGTCATTGTCCCAAAATGTTAAAGGCTGCGGCGCTTATTTCCTGATGAGGAAAGTTGCCTGTGCCATCTATGGCCTTACTCAAGGCAGAAGACAAAATTTTTCAACAATTTGCTACAGTCCAGCCATCAAGAAGCGAAAAGCGGACAGTTGCCGACTAAGCTTATATAGTTGGGCGTATTTCCGCAGACGCGATGGAAGTCATTGAATTTTAATTGTTGTTTATAAACGAATTAAAAGCAATCCAACTTTGTTTGTTTAACCATACCTAGTTAATATATCAGTGATTAAAGGCCTTTGTGAAGCTTGGGGTATGTGAATATTGTTGCACTTGTTGCGTATGAAGTGAACTTGAAACCTGCTACTGTACAAGGAACTGATGGACAAAGAACATGAATGCCTAACTTCTGTTTCTTCTTTTTTTCTTCTTTTTTTTTTTTTTTACTTTTTTATCTTCGTATTTATTCTTTTCTTCATTCTCTATTCTTTTAGACAAAATCATTCTTGTTAAATAATCATCATGTCGACATTTTCAGCAAGCGAGCCTGATCCAGAAAAACTTTCCAAAAGGCTTACAGAGCTTCTAGACATACCAATATCCCAAAATTCATTAGCAGATATCGAATCAACACATTCTTCCAGTTTACTAGATCCCAGTAGCATTAAGATAAATATGAACTTACGACCAGACAATAGTGTTTACAACGGTTCTGTAGTCGGTGGAAGCTTAAGCACAGGCGACCTGCTACCAACAAATAAACCTAGCACGGGGTTAACCTCCACGCGACCCCCAAATCGACGCGCACTTTCAGGGGGAGATGGTGCTAGTCTCCGTAGTGTGTCGCGATTGCCGAGGCCTCCCCCTGTTCTTATGGCTGGTGAAAACCGACGATACTCGGTATCTCCACCACACTCCTTAAATTCTAATGTCACGTCAACATCGACGTCGTTAGGCAGGCACTCTATTCCTCGGTTTGAGCTCCCTGGAAGTGCAGCCGCTACAGACGTTATTTCTAATTACAGCAGAAATTCGCTTTACCGTGCTCTGCATAGTAAACGAAACTCTTTTTCTTCAGACAGCTCCAACTATCACAGTGACGATGAAGACGACAGTTCATCACTAGAGTCTGTTTCCGTGAATCCTGTTGCCGATACCTGGTCTACACGATATTTTAGCGCTACATCAGGGCAAGGGAATTCGCGAACATCCGCCTCTGTTCGTCCTGTGTTACCCCGTCGTCGTAGCAAGGCTTGTGACTCAATTTTGGACCCCTCAGACCACCTTCATAGTGCATTTAACATTCAGACAGAAGAATCTGGGCTTAATCTTGCCCAGGAACAGCCGGAAACCAGTTCTAATTTACCCATAAACGTTGCGGGTGGAACCGCAACAAGTTTCAAAGTGGAACAAGAACAAAATGTTGTGGAGCCAATGGGAGGAGACACACAAGGTCGCCCACTCGTACATATAAATTTGTCTCCCCGCTCCTCCTCCGCGTGCTCCCTAACTAATCCCAATACCAACAACATCAACAACAACAACATTAAAAATTCTAACTGCTCCAATAATAATAATAATAATAATAATAATAATAATAATAATAATAATAATAACAACAACAACAACAAGAGCGCCGCCATGACAAACAACTATACCGGCGGAGTCAACGCTGGTCAGCATCCAGGTGCCGATGACTATTATCTCAGCGGAAGCGCATATGCTCCTAGTGACAGTAGTGACAATATGCACCCTGGTTCGGCATCGTTTTTACCTGGGACATCTTCCTCAACTCACCTTGATCCGCAGCCCAACACTAGTTCTGCTGCGGGTGTTACAGCACATAGAACCCAGCCTGATTTTCACGATTCGCCAAACGTTTATGACGAGAAGGCTGTAGGAATGGGTGGCAGCGCCGGAGCCAGTGCTGGTGCTGGCACTGGTGCTGGTGCCGGAGGAGCTAAGCGTGGTGGCTTAGCGGGGGTTTGGTCTCGCCATAAGAAGCTGTGCTTATTTTTGCTTCTTTTAATTGTTATTATAATTCTTGTCGTCATTCTTGTCCCGATCGGTGTCGTCGTCGTTGCCGGCAATAAAGATGACAATAAAGACAGTAATAAGAATGCCGATGTAGCTGGGGCTTCAACAGCCTCAAGTGTTTCGGGCACTGCAACTGCAACTCAATCTTCGCACGCTACTTCTACTCCTTCAGCCTCTTCATTACCAGCAAATTTGAAAAACACTATTTACGATATTGATACATGGTTGGATACAACTGACTTCAACACGACATATACGTCTGAGACTGTTGGTGGTATTCCCGTTATGGGCCTCAACTCCACTTGGGATGATTCCGCTCAAGCAAATTCGCAGGTTCCACCTTTGAATGAGAATTTTGAATATGGAAAAAGACCCATGCGAGGTGTTAACGTTGGCGGCTGGCTTATTTTAGAACCATTTTTAACACCCTCATTTTTTGAAAAGTATAATTTGAGCCTTGGTATTATTGACGAATGGACATTGTCAGAATATGTTCGTGAAAATGAGGGGGATGATGCTTTGAAAAATCTTTTAGAAACGCACTATGCCACATTTGTCAATGAAACTACATTCCAGGAAATTGCAGAAGCGGGCTTAGACCACGTCCGTATCCCCTTTGGCTACTGGGCTATCCAAACTTATGACAATGACACGTTCCTCCCCCAAGTTTCCTGGCGCTATCTCCTTCGTGGTATTGAATGGGCTCGTAAGTACGGTCTTCGTGTCAAGGTTGACTTGCATTCTGTTCCTGGCGGTCAAAATGGTTGGAATCATTCGGGCCGTCAAAATCACCTTGCTTGGCTCAATGGCACTAATGGTGAACTGAATGGTAACCGCACTTTGGAACTTCACGCTCAGATTTCAGAGTTTTTTGCGCAAGACCGTTACAAGAATATCGTGACTATTTATGGTCTTGTCAATGAGCCGCGCATGACATATCTCAACGTTACCGTTGTTGACGACTGGACCGAAAAGGCCTACGATGATGTTGAAGAACATGACTATGATGGATATATTGTCTATGGCGACGGGTTTTTGGGTGTTGATGCTTGGAAGGGTGTTTTTAATCAATCTGATTTCCCCAAAATGGTTATGGATGTCCATCAATACACCATCTTTGATTCCTACCTCCTTCAAATGACGCATGCAGGGAAAATCAATTACGTATGCTCAGAGTGGAAAAACCAACTTAACCGTTCTTCGAATCCACTAACAGGCCATGGCTATACATTTGTTGGTGAATGGAGTCAGGCTGACAATGACTGCACACCTTATCTTAACAATGTCGGTGTCGGATCCCGCTGGGAAGGAACGTTTGACCCTGAAGTCATTGGCACCAATGCCGTTCTGACGCCCTCATGCAATGGGCAATCAGGCTGTTCTTGCACTGAATCAGTCGCCCATCCTAGTAACTACTCTGAGGCATATAAGACATTTTTGCTGCACTTTGCGGAAGTCCAGATGGAAGTGTTTGAAGAATACTCATGGGGGTTTATGTACTGGAACTGGGATACAGAAACTTACAATGCTACCCAATGGTCTTACAAAAAGGGCCGTGAGTACGGTATTCTTCCTCAGCTGGCCTACGAACGCTCTTTTAACTGCTCTGCCGGCACACCGGACTATGTTTCTTTGGGTCTTCCAGAGACTTATTAATTGACAATGATGATTGACGACGCACATGACACCAAAATATGAAAATAATAAAAAAATGAAAAATGAAAAATGGAAAATGAAATGAAAAAGAAAAAGAAAAAGAAAAAAAATAATAGAAAAACAATTAAAAGTAGTTATTATTGCTTGTATTTATAAACTTAATAAATAATGTCTTAAACAAATAATGAAACATGATAAATTTATAATTATAAAATAAAGACCTTGATTTTACTAAAAATCATGTCGATTTTAGACTAATCATGGGGTGTCAGAAAAATTAGTTTCTTCCCAAAAATCTTTAATACAGCTTGAAAAATTGGCCTAGTTCCATTTGAAGCTTTTGCGATTGCAGTTTTTTAATCAAAATTTCGATTTCAATCATTTTGTATTTAGCTTCAATATGTTTAACGTCTTTAATAAATAAAAAAAAACTAGATCGTCTAGGTTTTGTAGAAAGCTAATCTTATGCTTAAAGTTTTTCTGAAAGGGTTTCCAGAAATTTAAGTTAAGGTCAGCTTAGACTATTGCAATTAGGTTTTTTTTGTTTATTTTGAGCATTTACAATAGCAAAAATAAATAATCTCGCAGTAGTTTCAATTTGATTATTAGTATAAGGAAATGGAGTTTTTCTAAGCAATTAACACATTATGATTGTAGAAACTTTTAATAAATGTATAAGTTTATCTAATTAGATATTTTTCAGGGCCTTAGCCTTGCGGGACAATGTTTACAAATTTATCTTTATGTAATATAGAATATATATTTGATTTATTTTAAAATGATTGGAGATACGTATACAACAGCAAAAATCCCAAGGCTTGACAAAAATAATACGCAATTTAATGGGCGTAAAAAAATTTCTTTTCATACGGCTGTTTTCAAAGCTAGATATCACTTTTCAGCACAATTCGGGCTTTATGGGTCCCTCAATCAAAAGTTCAATGCGACAATAAAAAAGGTTTTAATAATTCATTCAGCAAGAATATCGAGAAAAAAAAGCTTATATAAATTTCTATAGACTGTTCGCATAATATTTTTTTTTTTCAAAAAAGTTTTTTAGCTTTTTCTTATCGAATTTCCTTAAAATTTATAAATACTTATCTCAGGAAATAGATATGATAATAAATTCATGGTTTTATAAAACTTTACAAAGATTTGTAGCTTCTTAGCGGTATTATTTTTTTTTACCAGCAATATGAACTCATAATAGTCCAGTGAACAGAAGTAGCAGAAGTCAATTCGCCCATTTCATGAGCCTAGTCTTAACAATCTGAGGAATATTAAGTATATAACACACATCATGTATTTCATAAACCTAAAAAATAAAAAAAAAATGACCTTAGAACAAACCAGTCCTGAAAAAAAAAATGTGGAGATTGAAGTATTGATAGGCCTCCATTTCACTTGGGTATCGCAACTATACTCGAAAAATACATGGCGTTCCCAAATTTTGTGCAATATAAAATAACAACCTTATTGTTTGTTTTATTTGAAAATTTTAGGATTACTTTTTGAAAATTTCTTAATAGATATGGATTTGGTTATTCTATCTGTTGGATTATGGACACCATTGTCCTAATAATTTTACAACTAAAGAGAATGAATAATTTACCAAATTTAGTCTTAATAATGCTATATTCGCGGATTTTAGGTTTACCTACATAATTTTCCTGATATCCGAGCTATTTTGCAGATGTTCTGTAAGCTTTAATAAATATTTTTTTTTTAAAATGTTCTAATGCGATTAAATTTAGTTAAAATAATTTTAAATTAGTGTTGAATATAACAATTGTTAAATAAGAGCTTAAATAAGTTAGATATTATGAACTTACAGGTTTCAATATTTTTATCTAAAATAGCAAATTTGTTGCTAATAGAGCAATAAAAATTATAAAATCTTAGAATTTCAAAATCATTTATACAGTAGTCATTTTATATGAATTACCGTAATGTTTCCAGATTAGCAGGTTTAACACAAATTATTTCAATTTTTTTTTCAATTTTTTAATTTTTGTTTTCAAAAGCAACAACAATCTTTGTCAGTCTACCAAAGAAAAATTAAAAAAAAAAAGGAGAAACTTGTTTTTAATATTCTTATTAATATAATTATAATAATATTTTTTTTAATACCCCCCTAAACTTCCAGAATTGTTTTTGATCTTTATTGAAGATGATTTTATGTTAAAGACGTTGGTTAGCTTTTCAGTTATGGTAGGCCTAAGCTACTCTACTCTTAACCACTTGCTTATATAATTTTTTATTATTTTTTTTTTCTAGGAAGAGCGCTTCCGCTTGGAATGTTCATTTTAAGTACCTCGTTTGACACGGGTCACCACAAACTTTCCATCTTTCTATTTCTGGGATTTTAAGAACCCGAGATAAGGAAATGGAAGCCAACCTGAGGACCTGTAAATAACTATTTTGGTCCATATCGCCGCACGCCGCACGCCGCACCGGAGAGTGCGGGGATACACTAGTGTCACTGGGTTTTTTGTAGATTCTCTTCCATAGTAAACTTTCTAGAAAAAAGAATTTCCAGCCAGCCAAACAGAAAAACACAAAATAAAACGACGTTTATAATACTTGAGTAAATGCTAGAGAGCAAAAAAAAAGAAAGAAAGAAAGAAAGAAAGAAAAGACTTTTAGATGTAACTCGGGTTGCTTCAAATTCTGGGAAAATCACCGGGTTGCGGTTGACACGCAGCCAGTCGCAACCTTGTTATCTAATGTCCCCCAACTCAAAATTATTAAAATAAAAATAAAAAAAATCCCCACCAAATTTTTACTTTTTTTTCTATTTTTTTTATATAAAAAAATCCCTTTATCCTAATGTTGGATTAAATTTTTTTTATCAAAATCTCCATTTTACTTCTACTCATCTTATTCTCCTTTAAACAGCAGTTTTTCTCTTTTTTCTTACCTGATTTAATCCAGTTCAACCTGTTATCAGCCCTGTTCAACCATGGTCTGGTACAATCTATATGTCATTTCCTTTACAGCTCCAGGAGCAGCAGACCCAAAGTCTTCCCACCACGCGATTCTGATTGTTCCTACGGCTCGATACACCTCCGACGACGCTACAGTTCCCGGACCAAGTGTTTACTTTTTGGAGTATCATGGGCTTATTTATGATAAGGTCACTGGTTCCCGTACTTTCCCACCGCAAACTTCATCTATTTTGGCAGAATATTATATTCCTAAAGATCTACCTAATATTACTGAAAATTCAGATTACGATGACGACAAAAACGATGACACTTGTAACTCGGAATTTAGTAGCGCAGTTTCAAGCCGATGCTCAACCCCAGCACCGCCTGTTTCCCCTCCTCTTATCTCATCTCCGGTGGCTAAAGATGGAGCAGCAAAACCTGGAGAGTCTGATACTGTGGATTCTACTTGTGCTACTAACCCCGCAGACGTTGCTGATACAGCTGCCCCGGGGAGGCCACTTATTCGTGCGCCACAACCAATTTCCTATCAAGACTGGTTGCTGCGTGCAACAGGCCACACTTCGACACAAACCTCTATTCAATCTAATTCAGAACCTACAAAATCTATATCTCCAAACTTGACTGTATCTCCAGCATCCCCAGCATCCCCAGCGTCTCAAGCTTCGGTCGTTTCGCCACCACGCACCCCAAGTCCAGCTCACACGCCTCTTCAGATACGTATGGAAACCCCTGGAACTCCAGAGTATCTTTATTTGCATGGCCCTGAGTACCCTATTTCAGGTTATCGGTTATTGGGTCGTACCCAAGATCCCGAAGGCATGGTGCATCAAGCGGAAACCATTACCAAAATGCTACAGGCTAATATAAACAAAAATGATATCGAACATGATAGAGAAGTTGGTCCAGAGGCTGGACTGTCTTGGATTAACAGTGTCATTGATTCCTGTATTTTACAGCGTATTTTTTGGCCATTGGACGAAACTGAAGACCGGTACTTGGATTTGAAAGCACTCGAACATCATAAATTGCCTGAAACTTCCCGGGGTCCTCGTATAATGGGACTTGGTCAAACAGAGCCTGAGACAGACGGAAAAAAGGATGTCCATGTAGCGGCAGTATCCTCGGTTAAAGCATCGTCACCATCTCGTCCGGCCCCAATTTCCATCCCACCTGCTAGTAAGCGTATTTTTGTGCGCAAAGAAGATCTTTCTCCAGTACTACAAGATTCAGATTATAAACGCCGTATGGCTCGACGCGAGGCACGTCGAGTGCGTCGTCTTGAAAAATCAAAAGCTGCTACTGTTTCTGCTTCGAAAAAGCATTCGCACCGACGATGGTGCGACCGGAGTCATGGTTCTGACTCCAAAGGTGATGATGGTATCGCCGATGGAGGGAAAACGCGGCATCATAGACATCATTTTTCCCGCTCACACCACCATTCCCGTCAGGCTCCTACCCCAACTGCTGCACTGGTGACGACTACGGCACCAGGAACTGCAGTGACTGGAGGAGGATCCAACTCGCATTTTGAGCTCAAGCATCATTTGTTATGGTTTGATCAGCATAATAATGATTCAGACAGTCGAGCTCGAACCCCTCGGTCTGAGTCGGAACCACCAAATCGAGTGCTACAGCCGAATTCTTCTCCTTCCCAGTCTCCTTCTCAATCACCTCACCGAATGCGTCGAATGCGCATGTTATGGGGCCGTTCCAAAAGTCCCTCAGAATAGATGTATATTTTGCTTTTTTTTTTTTTTTTTTTTATAACCAATTAACGGTAAAAAATATATTACCCTTTTCAATCAATATAAACTTCCACCGTAAAATCTTCTTCAAGTTCCGTGTCTCCCACTGTCCCGCTCATTTCAAGGTCTTCATCATCGAAAACCAGCCGTACTTTGGGCCACAGAGCCGCTTCAATATTTTGATTCTTACAATAATACTCCACTAAAGTCTTCATCGTTGTTTGAGCCCGGACCTTTACAGAAATTGGATTATTGTCTTTTCCCCGTAATTTAATACGGAAGTACCCGTCAGTATCATCACTTGCACCAGCACTAGCACTCTTTTCTTTTTCTTCTTGGGCTTTGCGAGCCAGTTGCTCTGCTTCCATTTCTTGTTTAAGTCGTGCTTCAAACACCTGTTGAGGATCTCTTTCAACATTTTGAAGTTCACGATTTAAATCTTCATCGTTTTGATAGTCAAATTCTAATCTTAACATGACATCAATTAGCAAGGTAGGTGTATCTTCCGTAACCTTGAGAATTTCAGGGGATGATGTGGGGAATAAAATTTTGTTTTTCCATACAAAGACAATATCTTGAAGAGAAATACGTCGCTCTTCTGAAAACTTTTTGACTCGGTCTTTATATTTTTGAAAAATAGGGCCCAGCGAATCCGTACTCGTCACACTTTCAAAAAATGGTGGAACCAACGCTTCTAAATCAGTAACCTTTGTGCGCAGCACAATAGTCACATTAAAAGAGCTTCCAGGTTTGCTTTCAGCCATCTTTCGTTTTTTTTGTCGGTTCAGCATCCGTTCCTTGATTCTCTGTACTTCCTGAGCTGTTTCTTCCTCTTTGCGCAGCAATAACGTGCTCCGGCTCTCAAAAAGAGGGGTCGTACTACCGCCACCTGCGCCTGCGCCGGGAGATGGTGACGCTGTTAATGAATGAGATGAAACCTCTTGATGACGTATTATTCTCGCGTTATTGTTTTCATTTTTGTTTTCATCACTGATTCCGTTATTGATGTGTGGGCCTGATGATATAACGATATCTTCATCATCATCAGATAGAACAATTGGTTCATTTGAATTGTTCAGGTGTCCAGTTGAGTTCGGCTGCGTTCCTGCATTTGCGGCTGCATGTATTGTTTGGGTAAAAGACTGGGACCGTGTTCGTTTATTATTATTATTAATATTATTATTAGACTTAGAATTTGTGTTCGATGAAGAGACTTCATTTTTGGGTACTGGCGGAGCATTGGTTGTATCCTTTTTAATGTTTTCTTTTTGCAGTTCTTCTTCCTCCTCCTCGTCATTTCCCCCAGTATCGAGGTTGAAAAAATCAAGATCATTGTAAACCTTGGGAGGTGAGAAAGAAGATGCACTTTTCTGGGAACCTTTCGAGCCTGGAGCAGATGTTGGCTCAGGACTTTGAACGTTGGTGGTTGCTAAAGAGGATGTAGTGATTTTGGAGCGGTCTATTTTACGGCGCATGGGCCGTTTCCGTGCTGGTGGTGCTGGTGGTGCTGGTGGTGCTGGTGGTACTGCTGGTTGTGTTTGAGTAGCTGGAGCAGGCTGCGGTATAGACGATATTTCTTCTGGGACTGCCAAAGGTTCTGAAGCCTCCAGTAGCGGTGAAGTTAGACCTGTAAGGTTGGCCTCTGGAAAATCAAAAGGCTGGTCCATCGAAATATCAGAATGACCGAGTGGTTGGTAGTGCTATCGTCGAAATTGATTTATTACCAAAATGAAATGGTGGTTGCATTTTTTTTTTTTTAATTTTGTTTATTAGTTACTTAAACAATATTTGTTAGAGAACACAGATTTTCTGGGAATGAGGGGTCTGTATGCTTAATCGTATGTGTTAGTATTCTGGTGGCAGTGCATAAAAATCCCAAACTCGCGATATCCAAGGCCGGGTAATGGAGGTTAGGGCTTTTCAAGTTTTGATACAGTTCGATTGCGTTCTTATTATTTTCTTTTTTGGTCCCACCATTTCCACTTCTTCGATCATAAATTTGAAATTCTTACAAAAACATAAGTAAAAACAAATAAATATATCTGTTATAAATGTCTTTTGTTGATACCGTCGATCTTGAATCTCAGGTGCCTTACTCGGATTCCCCCGAGTTTGATCAGCTCACAGAAAAGATTTCCTCTGGTTTATTTGCCATTAATTCTAGTTTGGGCACACTTCATAGCCACCTCAAAGCCCTGGGCAAGAAAAATTCTAGCAGCAGCATACAAGAACGCGCTGTCGCGCTAGCAGAAGACTTACGCAATAAGTTTCGTGAGCTAAGTGATAGTATAAAAGAACTTACGGAATGGCAGGAAGATGATGGAGTTCTTTCAAGTGGTGTGGGTGACGGGCCTGTCGCGATCTCACCTGCCCAAAAGTTTACACAGCAAAAACTCTCACGCGAGTTTTCATCAGCCTTGGCTGAATTTCAGGATTTACAAAGACAACTTGCAGAGAAACAACGCAAATCAATTGTTCTGGCTAAGGAGCAACAACATCAATTCCAAATTCATCAACAAGAAAACAGAGATCGAGCACAGCAGCAGCACCACAGCAATCAGTTATTATTAGAAGAAGAAGAAGTTGAGGATAATAGTGACCTTGACGAGAACCAAACAGCTGTTTTACAGGAAGAGCAAGAAGAACAGGAACTGATAAACCAACACGAACTTGATTACCAAAATAGGTTAATTCAAGAACGCGAGGCTGAAATCAGAGGGATTGAGCAGGGTATTGACGAACTAAATGAGATTTTCACTGATTTAGGAGCCCTTGTCACTGAACAAGGTACTGTCATTGACAATATTGAAGCTAATGTTTACAATATGGCATCTGCTACTCGTGATGCAGCCGGTGAGCTCACCAAGGCTGCAAAACACCAGCGCAACTTTCGTGGTCGTGCTGCCTGTCTTCTCATTATTCTTGTTATTATTCTTACAGTTATTCTTTTAGCGGCCTTTTTAGGATGAAGAATCAATGTTTTTTTATTCATCTTTTTATGAGTTTATGTTTATGATTTTTAATGGATTTTAGTGTTTTTGTTTTAATTGAACGGTTATATTTTTTTTTTTTTTTTTTTTACTTGAGGCCACTTTTTTCCAATTTTCCAATTTTGAAAAACAATACAGTTTTCAGGAATTAAAAAAAATGATATCTGAATGTTCTTTTTTTATTTGATTACCATAAAGACTCTAATACAGGTTTAATATATATATATATATATATATATTTATCATTTTGGTTAAATAGTTTTTTTTTTTTTTTAAAAAATCATTTTTAAGCAATAAATGGTATATATACCATATAATTTAGACTGTTAAGTTATTTGATGTTAAATATTGCTATTGTATTTAAAGAATTAAATCTTTTAATTGTTTGTTTATACTCAATTTAGACGTTTCTTCTTCTATTATAGAACATTCAAGTTGCTCTGATTTAAAATACACCATAGAAATAGTAGCCGTATGTATTCCACGTGACTATTGCCAAGATTTGCCTCTTCTTCTGAGCTGAGCTGAGATTTTTTTTTTTTCTTTATCTCATGGCTGCAAAAACCTTCTTTTAAGAATCTCCTCTCTTTTGCTCTGAGATGGTAAGGCCATTTTACTATCAGGCTTGTTTTCTTTTCACTTGAGCTTTACTCCACATTTTCTTTGAATTTTCAGTATTAATTTTTTTTCTATTTTTTTATAAAAGGCGGACTGTTTCACTTATATTTTCTTTAATTTCTCCTTTTTTTTTTTTTTTTTTAATAGTCACCTGCTTATCTTGCTTTTATTTCAACATTTGGTAGCATCATGGGTCAGACATTAAGTCAATCCGGATCTACAGGGGGGAAACTGACCAAAGTACAAATATCCCGTCTTTTTTCAGCACGATGCTCGCATCAGTTATCACCTATTGAAGTCTGGTCTCTTAAAGTAAGTTTTCCATGGTGCTTGGTTTTCAATATTTCGTTCCTAACATGTACTTTTAAGGATAACTTTAAAAAATCAGCTTTAGAAGAAGATGACAAGCAATATTGGACCAATACCATTTTGTAAGTTAACTAAACCTGTTAATTGATTAATTGATTGATTTTTAACTTGATTAGAATTGAAATGCTTGGTGTCCCCCAAAGTGTTAACATCACTGACTTGCTGTGCAAATCAGCGGACTTTTTAATCAAATTTCCTTTTATAAACAACAACGAAATAAACGAATCAACATTTGATCAAAAAATTTCATTTGAACAGCTAGTAAAGCTTATTGCAATTTATACAAACAAACTTAATGGTATCTTAGCCATGGACTACAATTTACCTAAGCTTTTATTTTTATCATTTTCAGACAGTGATGCTGAAATTGTTACTCCTGAAGATAAAACATCTGAGCCTATAGCATTTCCTTTAAAAGATACGGACACATGGAATTCGCTTGAAGTAATAGAGACCTTTGATGGTTTAGATATAAAACATCGATTCATTTCTGCATTTGACTTGTACCGACTTGTTTCATTTTTACTCGCCATTGTCGAATATCGTTCGCATCATCGGGCTTTGGCGTGCTCAAAAAAATTTGCTGGTGATTACTTTGTTACCGGTCCATATTCACAATTTCAAAGTGCAGCTCTCTGCATCCTTCGAGCTATTGCGCAAGGAAATATTCCTGAAAGAGAAGATTGTATCGTTCAAAGTGAAGAAAGCTCTGCTATAGTTGCACCAGGCAGTGTGGAAGCTGAATGGACACGACGAATGAAAAACGTTAAGATTTTTTTTCCAGAATTTGAAAGGGCATTCCATGCATCTTTCCCGTATCTTTTTGTTCCTCTGACAGAACTTTTCGGGCGATTGCTTTTCAGTGAATCTGCTAGTAGTCGAGAAAGAGATAATAGCGGGGCTCATGATTTATATGATGATGGCTACGACGAACAAGAAGACGAGTTTAGCGAGGACAACAAGGAAGAGTTTGATGAAAAGCAACGCAGAAGAAGCTTAAACGTTGAAGATAAAATGTTAAGCAGACCATCTATAAATAAAGAGCGAAGCATGAGCTATAGTGGTGGTTTGAAACCAAGCATACCATCTGCTTCTGCTTCTTCTTCAAATGGTAATAAATCAGCTTCTACAAAGCCCAAAGGTGATATTTTTAAACGAGAAGGTCGAACCAAACTCATAACACCAGCAACTATGGCTCAACTGAGCGCAATGCTTGGTCCTGGTTTATATACTCGTCTCAAACGTTTATATGTTGGTTCCGAAGCTGGATTTTCTTTAAGATCATTTGAATCGCGTGTTTTCAAGTGGCGAGCACCAACTCTGTTGCTTGTTTCTGGTAGAGAGATTGAGGTGCCATTATCTTTAGCTGGTGTTGGATCTAGCGTGGGACCCAGCGGTACCCCCATTGGTGCACGCGAGCGTGCCTTTAATGACTTGATCCCACCGTTGCGTCGATTACACGAGCAAACAACAACGAAAAAGCATGTACGGCGACCAGTTTTTTTCGCAGCTTATATTGTTGAGCCATGGAAGTCACATGCCAAGAATACGTTTGGAAATTCCGAATCATTTTTGATTCAATTGGAACAGGTACAAGATCGATTCAATGCAGAAGCTAACGGACCTGCAAATGCACCATATAGCACTGCGGGTAAGCCTAAGCACTATGCATATTTTACCCGAACCCAACCAGGTGGAATTGGATTTGGGTCGCCAGTGCCTCAAAGTGGTACGTCCTCTACGGTTTCTTCCTTTTCCCAGAGTCACAGTGGCAGTTTAGGGTCTTCCGGGTTCAAAATGGGAGGAAGCAGTGGCAGCAGTGGCAGCAGTGGTAGTGGTGTGTTTGGCCCACGGTTTGATTTGGGTAGTGTGTCGCTGACGTTGAACGAGTCACTTGAATATGGAGTTTTCCGGCATGTGGGACCTGGTGGATCATATTCACGGACAGAAGGTATGCGCAGAGACTGCGAGTTTGAAACTCGTTTTGAGATTACAGAGGTGGAAGTATGGGGGTCTGGTAAGGACGAAGACCTCGAGGAACAGCGAAGACGATGGGAATGGGAAGAACGCGAAGCACAGTACAGGCAGCGTGTAAATATCCATAATATTGGCGAAGAGCGTGCGTTCTTGGAAATGGCTGGGCTTGTTGGCAACCATGGGAATGGAGGGTCTATGGGTTAATCAATCAAGCTATTATTATAGTAGGAACTGAAAGAAAGAAAAAAAAAATTCAAAACAAAACAAAACAAAACAAAATTCTATTTATTACTGTATAAATTAATTAATTAATGAGCCTTTTCAGCAGCAGCCTTGAGTTGTTTCTTTTTCTTCTTGGAAGCAGCATCGTTGATTTTTTGCTTCATGTGCTTTTTAATCTTTTTTGAACGCTTTTCGCGAGCTTCTTCCTTAAGCTGCTTTTTGCGTTCCTTGTTAGCCTCACGGTCCTTAAACTTTCGACCTTGAGAATCTTCGTCTTCATTATCATCATCGTCTTCTTCTTCTTCGTCGTCGTCGTTGTTATTCTCTGAATCCCCCTCCTCATCATTATCATCATTATCATCCTCTTTCTCGGCATTACCCTCATTTTCTTCATCATGCACTGCATGCATGTCATCATGCTTGTGTGATGCTTCATCATTATCAGCATTAAGATTCAGATTCTTATTGAGCATGTCACCATAAATGAGTGATTTTCCTTTACCCTTTGAGACGAGTTCAATGTCGCGCTCAATGTCGTAGACTTGTTCCAAATTTTGTGGAATGTAAACTTCACGGAAAATAGCATCATCTGCAAGATCCTGTTCGGTAAGGTTTTCCTTAGGAAGAGATTCCAGTACTGACACAAGATATGGTGTTGTTTCTAGCTTCATATCGATGGATTCTGGATGAGGGAGCTTTTCAGCTTCTTCACCAGAAAAGAAGGTGTGTATCAGAGTAGTTGAAGTGATGAATTGAAAGAGGCGGCGCTCGCTGAAAAGAACAGGACAGTGGCCCTTTTTCCGGAAATAATCAGTGACATTTTTAATATCCATGCGCAGAAACTCAAGTGAGTGGGGGTGATCGTGTTCGACAGATTGGGATACGTCAATGATCCAAAGCTTTTTCTTGTGGTAGAGAATATTGTACTCAGATAAATCTGCATGTACCAGTTTACATTGCTGATAAAGAATGCGCATGTAAGCAATTAACTGGTAGTAAAGAAGTTGAAACTTTTGATCAATAAGATCATCATTATCTTCACATTCGGCTGCAATAGTTGCGTCGGCGTCGCGAAGACGAGGAGATGGCCAGCCCTTTTTAGTTCCGAGAAATTCCATAACCAAAACATGAAGACGTAAAAACAAAGGTTCTGGGACAGGAATATCTGAGTTTGTTTTGATTCTGCGCAAGTTTCTAAACTCCTTTTCAGCCCATAGTTTAACCATTTTGCGTGGGTTGTGTTTCGAGTAACCGTTTCTGAAACGGAACTCACCTGTGACGTAGCGATCACGGTCTTTAAAAACTAGAATAGAGGTTTTGTAAATTTTAATAGCACGGTGAGCACTGGCTTCTGTCATGGCATGGTACACATTTGCTTCCTTGCCTGTGGAAATACAGCCATTGATTTCGAAAACAACGCCGCGATTAATCATTTTGAAAAGAATCATACGTGTACGAGGATCCAGCACCTGTTCTGTGGTTGCACGGTTGGCACGATCATCTCTTGCCGAGCCCTTTGCAGAAGATCCACCGGAAGACCCTCCACCAGACCCTCCAGATCCTGTAATGGGTGATGCACCAGTTATTGCGGTGTTACTACCTGCAATCTTTATACGGGCAGCCAGTAGGGCCAGTTGTTCTGCTGTGGGATGGTATGAATTTACGGATCCATTTTTAGAACCAGACAAACCATCTTGTTGATTATTGTCTTCATTGTCGCTTTGGGGCTCAACGAGATGAGTTTCGGCTAGTTCACTTGTGGCTTTGGCAATGGCAGCGTCGCGTGCACGTTGAAGTTCATGTGAAGCTACAGTAGCGGCAGATGCTGAACCACCTTTGGGGTTAAATCTTGGAACTGATTTGGTTTGAAGCAGAGTACGTTGACGATTATATTGCTGAGTCAATGATCCAGAGCTGCTGGCCGAAATGTCATGGCTAAAGTCCGAGTCAAGGAACTGTGGATCTTCATCGGAAAAGTACTCATCGTCGTCATCATTATAGTCAGAGCTATAATAATGTTCTTCTACATTTTCTAAAGAGTTTTCAAAAGAAACTTGAGGATTATGGGTATTTTCCAGAGTCTCACTCTGACTGGTATTTTGATTAACCAGAGTCATTTGTTTTTTTTTTGGTATTTTTTCACAGAGTATAAATCTATTTTGTATATATAGATGGATGTTGAAGCCCTTGATCTAAATGAGAAGAGTTAAAAAAAAAAAAAAAAAAATTTGCAAGCCGCATACTTCACGTGATTAAAAAGTGTAACATATTACATAATTAATTTGTTTCCGCCCGTAATTTCCTTAGCAGTGATGTGCCCACTTTGAAAACCTCCCCTTCAACACCACCACCACCACCCAAAGTAAGTTTGGCCACGCGCACAAACAAAACTAAAAAGGGCCCTTTGGGAGTTGAAATGGCATAAAAAGTAACACTAGTGGGTTTTGTCTATGCATATATTATTATTATTATTTTAATAATTTTTTTTTTAATTTATTTTAATTTTTATATTATTTTAATTTTTATATTATTTTAATTTTTATATTATTTTAATTTTTTTTTTATTAATATTACACAGAGATCATCACCACCACCACCACCACCAAACTTTTCTACCTACCTACAAATTTCCATAGACCTTCCATCTACATCTACTCAGCAACCTTCTGCTACTCAACTTTTTTCCTTTCTTTCTTTCTTTATTTCTCTATTTCTTATAACGCCACCTTTCACATACATTTGTTCTATCTAAAGGAAATACTTCATTTTGCTCGTGCCCATTGGCATTGCATTTCAAGCTTCTCTGCTTTCTATTCTGCATATATTTTTAATATTCAACCCGGACTTATTTCTCCTGCCTTTTTTTTTTTTACTTACTTACTTAATTACTTACTCTCTCATTCAGTCATCACTTAGCCAGTACAGTCTTTCAATCTCCTTGTTTCTTAAGTTAGTTGCGCAGCCTGCGCTTACTCGCTCTTTGAAGAAATAGCATAACCCAGCATTTCCCTTTTCTATCTCTTTATTATCCATCCTTTTTTTTCATTCTTTGCCCCCCTTTATCATCTAAGGGAAATATAGATTATTTTAATTTTTTTTTAATTTTTTTTTTTTTGCAAAGTTTCGCACGCTGTCGTTTTATGCACTATTGACAATGCCAACTACGCCATCGTTGTCTTGCAACACTTCCTCTTCCACAAAGCCTCAGCCAGTGTCTGCTAGCTCTGTTGCAGTGTCAAATGAACCACAATCACCGAATTTAATTCAACAAGCATTATCTTCTTTTTCTTCTTCTTCTTCAGCTTCAGCTTCAGCTTCATCCAAAAACATCCCAGCAGCTGTTGCAGGCCAGTTTATAAATACTCGCACAGCTCCCACTTTTTTGGGATCTTCTTCCTCTTCTTCATCTTCTCCATCTCAATCCCCATCAGCACATTCTTCTTCGCTATCTCCAGACGACTCCAGTGCCTCTCCTCTGATAAATCCAAGTGATACACACCCATTAAACCATCTTAAGAATCTAGATTCCTTGACTTCGAATAACAACTCCCTTATTGACGTTTCTGTCGCTTTGGACCTTTTACCACGCTCTATTAGAAACTCTGCAATTAATCCTGGATCTACAACTCCAAGTATATCTGCACTATCTTCACGCAGACCCTCCTATACTGCAGAATTTTCCTCTAGACCCCGCCTCTTGAGTAATAATAATAATAACAATAAGACTAGTATTAATCCAAATACCAATATCGACGACTCTAACAGCAATATCGTGACTTCCACTACATCACCAGCAACAAATTCTACCGTTACCCCCGAATCTCCCTCCTCTATTAAAGCTGCTGATACTGTGGTTTCATCTTCTCCTGTTGCACCTTCCTCATCTTCATCGTCTTCTTCTTCCACTTCCTCTTCTGCGCAACCTTCTTCTTTTTCTGCCGTGTCGACATCTCTCACTAGAGAGTTTTCCCTCACTTCAAGTATAAACTCTGCTTCACTCACTGCTGGCAGTTCAAACTTAAACGCCACCACTGTGACTCAAAACCCTCCCTTGACTACGGCTGCAGCTTCTCAGACCCACCCAGCCACCTCATCGGCCACTTCTTCTTCCTCTTCAGTCTCTAACTCTTCGAATTCTTCGAACTCTTCAAACCCCTCTTCCTCTTCATCTTCTTCCTGGTTCGGTGCTGCTCGTCGAGCATCAGCCTTTTCACTCGGCCAGTTTTCGTCTGCATCTTCTTCTTCTTCGTTTTCAGGATCTCCTATAGACACAACCATGGCTGCCAATGGCTTACCTATCTCGGGCATTTGGTCCTCTCATCTTTCAACTGCGACTCCTTCATCATCATCTTTTGATGGTTCATCCACTACAAGTACCACTGGTGCTATTAATACTATAAGCAATAACAAAAATAATAGCATAATCAACAACGCCACTGGCGCTCTTACCGCTGGCTCAAGCAATATCTTGACTTCATCGTCGGCATCCTCTTCTTCATCAACATCTTCTTCATCGGCATCCGCCTCCCCCCCTACTTCTACGTCTACCAATGGCTCTTCTAACCCAGCCACATCTAACGGTTCTGCTTGCCCTTCTAAGTCACCTGCCCTTACATCACCTGGATTAGTGCCTGTCCGCAAACCTTCAGCTCAATCCCTCCACCAGTCCTCTTTTGTTCTTTCTCCGATGTTTCTAAACAATACTACTGGTACATCGGCAATCCCTGTTTCTTCTTCTTCTTCAAATACATCTACTACCTCCTCTGCTCCTTCTGGAACATCCACAGTGATTCCTCAAAGCCCATCATCTTTATTGGAGACAACGAATTCTGTATCTCCCCCGATGCACTTTTCTTCAGGTTCGGGAATTGATGCTTCTGGAGATAGCTTAAATGCTCTTCCAGCTTTGTCGTCTCCCGCAAGCGTTCCAATTGGTAGTCAACGAAATTATAGATCTATATCTTTTTCACATCCAGATCGTAGATCTCTCGCATCGCGATCGCCCCCTAAACAGTATCTGGCACCATTTTATGAATCACAGTCGTCACCATCAAATAAGAGTGGCAATAATAATAATAATATGTCTCCGCAAACTCAAAATATTGCGCCGCAGGGCCAGTTTTCTGCATTACCTTTAAATGGTTCGCGTTTTATGGATTTGGGCGACCCTGCTGTTGCCGAAATGATTTCAAAGCTTTCTATTGATGATCGAAGAATGCTACAGTCACAAATTTTCCAAGCTCAGCAACAACAGCACATGCCTCCCCAATTTATGCACATTCAATCTCAGTCTGCTATTATGCCTCCACCTACAAATATATGGGAATCTGCATCTAGACGTCATTCTCTTGCAACACCAACTGACCCTCAACTGAGATACCAGCCCCACTTTGTGTCAAATTCGCCAGTGGCATCCCCATCATCAATGTTTGGTCGTTTCCAACACGATTTGAATGCTTCTCAAGACCAGCAGCATCCTCTCGACGAAAATGACCAAAATCAAGAATCTCCTCAACCTAGAAATATAAAGAGTATGGGCCTTTCTTTTGCTGCTGCCGCTGCTTCTGCAGTTGCACCCCAATCTTCATCTACTTTATCGCCTGGAAACGCGTCACCATCTGCTACTAGTGCACCTCCTCCTGAGCCTATGCGCACCGTTAGTGGACCCGTATTGATGGGGCCTCATCCAAATTCATCTGCTGCTGCTGCTGCTGCTGCTGCTGCTGCTGCTGCAATGAATGTTCCCAATGGATCTACACCACCCCTTGACCCTTCCATTGACGCTTACTTTAGCAATGACTTTTTGGGTCGCAACTCTGGTGTCGATTGGGATGACTTGGATAACTCTGCTGCCATTAATATGAAAAATGGGTCTGAAACAATGTCGCCTTCTGCTTTGGCTGCTTTGATTTCAGTTCCTAGTCGCAAGCTTTACTTGGTTCAGTTTAAGTCTGGCCGGGTAGATGTATTCTACATATCCGAGACTAGCAACTTTGAAGCCCATGTTAATGACTTGGTGATTGTGGATGCTGATCGCGGGCGTGATTTAGGCAAAGTGATTAAAGAGCGAGTTCGCACTGAGGAGGCTGGTTGGCTCAAGTGGAAGCAACATCAAGAACAACAGGCTGCCTTGCAACAGGCACCTCCTTCACCTCCTGCTAATGGTTCTGCCGAATCTGGGTCATGTATCAATGCACCTTCGGTCGTGACACCTAAGCAAATTATTCGATTTGCTCAGTATAACGAAGTACAGCAGCTGATGTCAAAACAAATTGATGAAGACAAGGCAGTAAAGATGTGTTCAGCCAAGGTGCTTGAAAAAGGTCTTCTTATGTCTGTTTTAGATGCCGAGTACCAGTGGGATCGCCGCAAACTTACGTTTTTTTACTCTGCATCTCATCGCATTGACTTTAGGGAGCTGGTGCGCGACTTGTTTAGAATTTATAAGACGCGTATTTGGATGTGTGCTGTGCATACACCTAATGGCACCAGTCCCAGGCTCCAACAACAACAACAGCACCCGCAACAGCAACATCAAAATCAACATCAACATCATCAACAACAACAACAACAACAACAACAACAACAAAATCATGGTGTACCGATTAATACTGGTGGTTCTGCCGCTGCTGCTGCCTTGAAGAAGGATGAGGATGCTAGAGCACAACTCGTTATGCAACAGCAGCAGCAAATTCATATTCAAAATCAAAATCAAGGTCATCGTCATCATGAGCATTCATCGTCCGCCTCATCTATGGCATCAACTGGCTTGCCCGATATGATGTTGCCGCCTGATGCGGATATGTCTATGGGTCACATTGGGCCTGGCCAGCAGCCTCCCTTGGGCATGCCTTTTGTTGTTGTACCTAATGGCATGATTGGCGGCGCTGGTGCGGGCATTCAGATGCAGATGCCACGCACCTCTCCTGTTACTGGTCAATTTTCACCATGGAAATCTAATGGAGGTCTCGCGAGTAATGGCACAAATGGATCTACCAATGCTCCATCCACTTCGTCTCCACAACAGCAACACCAGCAGCAGCAGCAACAACAACAACAACAACAACAACAGCAACAGCAACAACAGTTTTGGCCTGGGATGGCTTCAAATATAAACCCTGCTGGGCTTGGGTTTATTTATGATGGCTCACACAATTTCCAGGCCCAGGCTCCTCGTAATACCGATTTAATGCTTCCACAGGCACCACAGCAGCAACAGCAGCAGTCAATGGGTGGCCCGCAAATGTATTCTATGCATTCTGTTTCCGCCATTGGCCAACAAGTTCCTCAAATGGGTATGACCATGCCTCAGGGTCCTGCTTCTTTTGATGGTGGCAACAATGGTGCTTCCATTGTGGGAAACAATAATAATTCTGGCATGACCATGACTGGTGGCCCCAATAATGGAAATGTCTATTTACGCAATAGCATTCCGAGCGGTGTTTTAGGTCCATTTGGTGCACCAGTCACTGGTGCAAACACTGGCTTTGGTGGAGCTGGCGTTCCTGGCACTTCTGACGAGTCGCGACGACAAGCTGCTGGATTCTCTTCATTTACGACACGCTTCTACTAGACTAGAAAAATACAAAACGGAAAAACGAAAAAAAAAAATTTTAAAAAAAAAGAAAAAATTTTTGAAAAAAAAAATGAAAGAACTCTTGATTGAGTTTCTTTAAAAAAAAATTATTATTATCATTATTATATATATTACACGGAAGTTTCAAAGGTTTTTTTTCTCTATTCAACTGGGTACAACTTTTTTTTTTTGTTTTGAAAGAGAGATGTTTGTTATTTTTTTTTTGTCTTGATTTGTTATTATTATTATTATTATTATTATTATTATTATTATTATTATTATTATTATTATTATTATTATTATTATTATTATTATTATTATTATTATTATTATTATTATTATTATTATTATTATTATTATTATTATTATTATTATTATTATTATTATTATTATTATTATTATTATTATTATTATTATTATTATTATTATTAGTAGTAGTAGTATTAGTATTATTATTATTATCATTAGTATTAGTATTTCTTTAGAATAATACAATTATATATCTATATATTTTTTTTAATTCAAACGAATGAACGAAAAACGCGTCTGTTTTGTTGACGCGTTTCGCAGTGTTTTTATGGTGGGTGTTGCCGGGTGATTTTTTTTTATTTACTATGTAGATTTTTGTCCACTCACCCATTCTTTCATTTACACACTTTTTTTTTTTTTTTCAACACGCTTTTTTAAAAATCTCGCATATTTGACGCGTAAAAAATTAAACTTCTATCTTTAACTTTGAAAGAACGGAAACTAAGAGAAGTTTAGCTATGGATCTGGAATCGGGAAAAAGCTGTGCAGCAGTCTTGCACTCTTCGCAGCTAGAACCGGTTCACGCGACCTTGTCGCAGACTTGGGCACAAAGTGTGAACGCGCAACTCAACCACCAAGGCAATACGAGCATTAGTAGCAGTAGCAGTAGCAGTGGGGGTGACAGCGATGATTCCCAAAGATCTATTGACTGGGCTACAGTGCGTCTTCGTGCTTCACAAATGAGAACATCGCTTGCTCGCTGGAACGAAGCCAGGAAACTTCATGAGCAGAAAAACTCTGACACGCGTACCAATCGCGACGCGTCACTCATCTCCACCACAAGTTCAAACACACTGCCAGCCAAACTTACAACCAAATCCAATTTTGCTTTAAAAATGGAAACCGAGGGAAATCTTGTACATATTGCTACTCATTTTGTTCCTATTAGACCTAAACCTCGCTCAGAAGAAGAATCGCACGATTTTAAACAAAGCCGCGTAAAGCGTGCCATTGCACACTTCGACGCGTTTGCTGCAGCATCTGGGTCATCTGTTGTCGGGCCTGGGCTCACATTACATGTGGGCCACTCGCCACCTGGTAAGAACACTGCTCTTGCACAATTAAGTGTTTCTGGGAATGGGAAAGCATCACTTGCTGCAATTATTCCATATCCAGACAGACGACCCACATCTCCTCCTCTTTCGCCTACTGATGCACCACGAAGGCACAATCAACTTAAAAGACGGCGGCCTGACTCAGACAAAGAAGATAAAATTGAAAGTGCCGATAAAGAAATTGATTCACAAGCACGCAAGTCTGGAAAATCTGGATCAATTCATAATGGTCGGTGTCATCGCCGTCACAGCATTAATGCATCAGTGGTCGTGCCTTTATCGGAATCCAAAAGACACACTAGCTGCGTCGAATCTGAGAATGGGCGCGTGCCAATTGAACTATTGCGCGAAAAAATTCTGCAACAAGCTGACTCTGTGACTGCAGCAGCCATGCGCAAACCTCAACAAAGGGTTTCCAAATCAGATTTGCATTGCTCACACAGTAAAGAAAAATCTCACTACCATGATAGAAACTGTAGTGATCATCGCAGTCATAATGTCAAAACTGAAGACCACGTTGAAGGCGCGTTTGGCGATGCGAGAGCAGCATTGGTTCGGCTTCGTCAGTCAGGCTCATTTTTGTGTGACATAGGCAAGGTGTGTGATTTCAATAATTCTTTCAAATCTGGTCCCAACATCAAGAAAGAAATTAAAGGCAAGCATCCCGTTTCTGAAAAGAAAAGAAGAGTTGGACGCAGTAGTAGCCAAAACAGTATGGGTATCAAAAGGGAACAAGAAGGAAAGAAAGGCTTAATTGAAAAGTCACCGACTACAGGAAAGACTCGGTCATCTTCAAAACGAGTTAATGTCGATGTGAGAAAGCCCAAAATTTCAGGTGTTTCAAATGCACTTGGTAATGTGCGAGTATCCAAAGGCCCTACATCAGCATCTATCAGTTCCAAGTCTCAGCCACCATCTCTAACTCGTGAACATAGATTGACTCGGGCACAAAGTGCTAGTCTAAGTTCTCAGCAAATTGCTGCAAAGGGTACTGTTTCTGCTTCTTCTAACATCGTTTCTGAGTCGAGCGGATCATCAAATATTCCCAAACCAGTCAAGGATAAGACCCTGCATCCAACGGAGCCATCGAAACAGAATGCTCGTAAAAGCGAAAATATGTCTGACTTGTTACTTCCACATGATTCTGATATCATACGGCATTCTACGGCTCACAAGAAGAAGAAAAAGATTGCGGTGCGTACATATAGCAGCCCTTCACCCAATGTTAAGCAAAAAAGTTTGATAAGCAAACAAGAAACAACTGAAGCTGGAAAAGCCTTACGAAGCAGCACCGAAGCTGATGAAGGAAATAGTGGCAAAAGTAGTCCGGTATACGGTAGGGAAGCTGAATGTATCAGCAACTTGTTGTCACTACGAGCCGGTGCGTGGACATAAAGAAGGAAAGTAGAAAGTGATTTGAAGAAATGTCTGAGTGTGGGTAAGCATAGTTACCAGATAAGAATTAAGTTAAGTTAAGTTAAATTAAGTTAAGTTAAGTTAAGTTAAGTTAAGTTAAGTTAAGTTAAGTTAAGTTAAGTTAAGTTAAGTTAAGTTAAGTTAAGTTAAGTTAAGTTAAGTTAAGTTAAGTTAAGTTATCTATAATTAAGTTAAGATAACTTACCCAAAAATAAAATTAATTCTATGCAATGACAACAACGAAAAATAAAATATTTACACAAGAAAAGGGAGAATAACGGTCAATTTAGCAAACAGTAGGGATAGGCTTCTCAGGCTGGTAGAGCTCGGAAAGGTACTCAAGAGCCTTCTTCTCAATAATGACAGTGTGGGCCTTAAGCAGATCGCGGACTTCAAGAGCTTCTCTGGCCACAATCTCAACGCGCTTACCATGCTTTTCCTTTGTAGCATTGTGGAAGTTCCATCGGAATTCATCAGGAATTACAAGCAAGTTGGTGCTTTGGCCAATGTTGTGAGTCTTGACAAAAAGATCACCGGCGGTGGGGTGTTCAGTAACAAACTCAGCTTCAACAGCGTCGTCAAGAACAAGCAGACGGCCAGTAGAGTAAAGGTGGGAAAGCGCAACACGCACAGCCTTAGCATAAATTTGACGGGGGAGACCAGTAGACCAGTCAAAAGGAGCGTGGCGGGCAAAAGCACGGCCACCATCATGGCGAGTGGGAGAACCACGAGAACCCATACGAGCCTGACCGGTACCCTTTTGAGGACGAAGCTTCTTGTTAGAGTAGCCCATTTCGGCACGCGAGCGAGTGTTAGAAGAACCGACACGGGCAGCATCGGCTTCAAAAACAACAGCACGCCACAGAATATCACGCCGCAGAGGCTCTCCAAGAATAGAAGAAGAAACAGGGATCAGAGTCTGAGGCTCAAGGGAGGGGAAAGCGCGGCCAGTGGTCAGGACATACTTGGGAGGGACTAATCAATGAAAGTTAGGATTGAGAATTAAAAAGATCAAATCAGGAAAATATAATAAAAAAAAACTTACCACCAGCACGCGAGGCAATGACGGTGGCAGAATTTGCTGAAGATGGGGCAGCAGCGGTAGCGAAGCTTCTGAAAGCTGTGGTTATCGAACGACGAGCAAACATTTTTCAAAAATGGCTGGTGGTGAAGACAAAATGCTGTAACAGGCAGGATTTTGGAGAGTGTCGTTTTTGGTGATGTGAAAATTTTCAACCAGTAGTAGTGGTGGTTGTGAAAATAACAAAATATTGTAATTTTATCTGGGTTAGGGTTGGTTCAAAAACTACCCTATACTAGAAAAAATAAGAAAGTAAGCATAAGTTTTTTATTTTCTTAAGTATAAAAAAAATAAAAAAAAACATTTTAATCAGTTAAAAAGAAATGAAATCGATAAGGATTCACCTAGTTTTAAGCCATAAATCTAAGAATGAGATCAATGTCAAAATAAAATATTAATTGAATATTATGATTAATATGAGTTATTATGTCGAAACGAAACACCAATATTCGGGATTTGATGTATTATAAGACCAATTAGTAATTAATAATTGGTCTAATATTTGTATAAATACGTGACATATACTACATAAATTTTTCCTTTTATTATCCTCCCTAACCGGTAAAATAAATAATAAAATAAAATTTAATAATAAATGAAATATAATAAAATAAACTTTATGATTTTCTTTTTAATAAAATGATATTCTCGGACCTTCCCTCTGAAATTCATTCAGAAATTGCAAAATATCTTACTGTGCCAGACTTTATTTCTCTCAGTCAAATCTGCATAGCACTCCAACCCTTGTATCAAGTATTCTCATGGCGGCTTTGTATCGTCTCTTGGATAAATAAAGGCGCGTCTTCTACGAAAACTCATCGCTTTATCCCTTATAAGGCTTTCCTTAGTCCAAAGAAATTCTCTTGGTTTAAATTTTGGGAAGTCCAAACTATCATCTTCACAGATGTAGATAACGAATGTACTCGTTATTTTCTTCAAATCCCAGCTGATGCAGAATTTCGAAAAGCATATCGGTTTCTACAAGAAGTATATATTGATTCCAAGGAAGATAGTAGGGCTATCGAGTTTATCTTGTCCTCAGAATTCTATTCCACCTTTATATCTCATTTCATTTCGTCAACTCCTTCAAATTTTTCATTTAAGCTATCACTGGTTGTTAGTCAGTCCTACAATGAAATTGTGACAGGGCCACATGCGAGCTTGTCTCTCAGCGGTCTGTCCTTTATTACCAATCTTACCATGATAGGCTCTAAGCTCTCTGCAGCAAACATCCCAAAAAGTTTTCCCTTTCCTAATTTACAGACATTGACCATCAAAGATGTACGAGTCTCTCTCATGACCAACTTTCTTGAGCAACTAGAAGATAGACAAGTCGCTCCCAAACTTCACACGATGTTTTGTGAACTTGGTATATATCAACGCCAAAACGTCATATATGTTCAAAACTCTATTGCAGCTTTGGCCAAACTACCAACTTCAATACCTAATTGTACTCTTCATATTATTACATCTGATGAAAGCAGCTACATGCGATTAGATCCTAATATCGATGACACAGAGACGTCCACTCATTTGTTCAGTTTGGATATTGTTACTATTCTTAAGATTGATGAAATTAACTTTGACATGTCTTTATTCAGTCTCATGATTGCATTTCCTCGACTTTCATTTCTCCAATCCCCTATATACACAATGACTGCAAACATAAGTCCTATTTTATACCTTGATAACTTTAATATTATGGGGCAGCTCACTAAACTCTCCTTTTTGTTTGATTCAGTTCTCAATCTTCAAACGCTTCGTGCAATTAAAACACTTAAAACTCTAAAATGTTTTCAGTTTTATCGTGGTGGTGAGGAATTTTTCAATTTTGTACCAGAACTTTTTGACTTTCTATGCGATGGAATTAAACATTTTTTTAAGTATGCCCGTCACTTGAACAGAGATGAAATTGTTGCTTTACTTCGAGGAAAATACCAAAATTTGATTGGTATTTTAAAAACAGTAAGACCAAAAGCTGAAGCTGTTTCTCATTCTCTTGCAAGCTCTTCTGATGATAGTAGCGATAGTTTTAGTGATACTGATAGTAATGAAAGTTACGACAGTCATAGTATTGAAGATAACACCGTCACCAACATGTTTAATAATATTAATGGTGATGATGATTATGATTTTACTGGTGGTAGTATTGACAAAATCGGTAGTGGAGGCAGTATTGGCGGTAACTACAATTATGAAGATGAGAATGAGAATGATAATAACAATGAAATTAAAACTCATAACATTTCTCCCAATGAATATAATAGTCAAAGTGAAAGCGAAGAAATAGATCAAACAACAAAAAGCCCTGTTTACGACACAACACAAAAAACAGGTACAGAATCGAGCTCAAAATCCGGAAAGGTAATGAAATCAAAAGCTTATGGAAATGAAAAAAAAGGCAACACATCTTCGGATTCTGCTGGTTTTCTGGAAAGCAAAAATGATCCATATTTTGATGAGATTGTAGACATTTTAGCTCTCATGTACGAAAATCCTACCGAATGTCTTAGAAAGTACCAGGATTCATCGGTTGGAGATAATGGGAAACTCTTGATCCTATCTATTTGTTTCTCTGACTCATACCTCGAAATGTTTCTTAATTTTAGTAGTCTAGAATATGCTTGTCTGGACCTGGATGTAATTCGAATAAACTATCCCACGTTTGGGATTATCAAATATTTGGAGCAACACAGGGGTTCTTTGCGTCCACATTTGAAATCTGCCAAGCCTCAGCATTCCTTGAAGCAATGTTTGATTTCTTTTGGAGAGCGCCAGGGAGCTCAATGCCCAAAAGATACTGAGTACTGGGACTTTTCTGATGACATTGCTGACCCTGATTTTTTCGTGTCACATTATTATGGCGTCTTTTATAAGGACCCTTTTATTCTTAAGCTTAAAACAGGAAGAGAATATCAATTGCTTTTTGATTTAGAACAGAGAAGAAAATTCCATGTGCCAAATAAAGAAAAGGGTGAAGAAGGGGCTGTTTTGCGTGTTGCAGATTTTTTTGATAGCAATTTCAATGGATGGATTTAAAAGAGAAGTTTAAGTCATACGAAGCATCCTTAAAAAAAAAAATATTGATACTTTGTACTATTATTTTTACTTATTTGTTGGGAAATATTACATGTAAAACGGCATTTGTCTATCTCTGTCTGAGATGCGTCTTATTTCCCATAAGTGCTTGGTCAGATATATTGCTGTATATTTCTTTAGTAAATATTTCTGTAAAAAGGTAAACTTTACCCTAACCACATTGATTCACCGTTTACTAATTTAAATTAATAACAATGCATTTATACTTCTTCTACATAAAACCATAAAAAAATTTAATAATAATATATTTTATTATTATTTTATTATATATATATATATATATTTGAAATACCAAAAAAAAAAAAAAGAAAAAAAACATTCATACTTAGATCAGTAATTAACAGTAACAAAGCCACTTTTTTTTTATTTCTCTCTCGAGACTTGTGGCTTCAAAATGAACCTAGATTTGGTTTTCATTATTGCGGCCTCTGATTTAACTTTAAGTATTTTTTTTCTTTAATATTTATTATTATTATAAGCAATGTGCTTTTATACCGATGAGCAGTTGTGTCTAATAGGCCTTCCTTCCGAAGTCCATACAGAGCTTATGACATATCTTTCTATTCACGACTGTATATCCGTCAGCCAAACATGCACCGCTGTTCGTGACATTTACCAAAACTATACCTGGCGCTACTGCAGCATCCTAATCTTAGCTCCGGCCGAATATGACTCGTATCGCCATTTACATAAGGACATTTGGGTTAACGGAAAAATTGAGATTGAATCTCGCCGACGTGTTTTTCCTGTTGATGTATTTCTTTCTCCCATCCGTTATACTTCATGGTTCAGACCTTGGGCTATCCAAAATATATATGTCGTTAATCCCTCCGCAGCAAACGACAACTACAGCATCGCCCCCAAAGTCACCACGGAGGATCTTTGGGATGATTTTGTAAAGTCAGCAGGCACCGCTCTTAGTCTCAAAGACCCTAATCGTGGTGGTGCTCCTTCTTATGGATTATTAAAAAGGTTTGAGATTGTAAACAGTTTAAGTTACAACATGTTCTCCAAGTTTTGCCGATCTCCACTACGATTATCTCTTGATAAAATTCCAACTCTCAAGGTACCATTGAGTGTTCAGTTGCCAGTAGACTCAAATATAAACGGCGTCTTCCCTATTAGAAATTTCACGTCAGATATTTTGGAAAATTTTTCTTGTGTTACAGATCTCCGCATTGTTGGCCCCCAGCTTCTGGTTACGAATATTCCCGGAAGTTTAGATTTAAAAAATGTTCGCACTCTTGTCCTAGTAAATCTACGTACTTCTTTGCTTGCACATCTTCTCGAACAGGCTTCGCTTGAAGAAGTTGCACCCAAGCTACGTGAAGTTGTATGTGAAATGGGTGCATATCAGCGAAAAGACGTCATTTACGTACAAACAGCAATCTCAGCTTTAGCAAAACTCCCTAGCAATAGAATAGAAAGCTGCATTTTGCATATTACTTCAGAAAAAGAAGGAGAATTTATGCGATGTATTCCAAGAGAGTTTGATACCAGCGATAATGATAACGGCACAGGGTCGAGCGAAGGAACAAGAGGTCCAAAGCCATTATACGATTTAGGAGTGGTAACGCAGTTAAAGGTGGACCAAAATAATTTTGACCTGACTCTTTTTAGTCGCATTTTTGTGTTTCGACGACTCTCTTTTCTTCAATGTCCAGTTTTTAACGTAATTAATTCTTGCGATAGTGTATTGAGTTTGGAATACTTCAACATTGCCAACCAGCTTACAAAAGTTTCGTTATTATTTGAATCAGCTCTTAATCATAAAAAGCTTAAAGCCTTTACTTCGTTGACTAATTTACGTCAGATCCAGCTATATGGTAATGCCGATGAATTTTTTTCATTTGTCCCTGAGTTTTTTATGTTTCTGTGGGATGGTATTCGCCACTTTTACAAAACATCTAAAGTGCTTACTCGGGAAGAAATTGCCCAATCTCTTTCAGAGAAATACAAATCTTTGCCAACATTATTACGAAATATACGTCCTGTGTCTACGAGCTTTCCAGATTGGGATGAATCTAGAGATGAGCAAGACGAATATGATGAAGAGGAAGAAGAGGAAGATGAGGAAGATGAGGAAGATGAAGATGAAGATGAAGATGAAGATGAAGATGAAGATGAAGATGAAGATGAAGATGAAGATGAAGATGAAGATGAAGATGAAGATGAAGATGAAGATGAAGATGAAGATGAAGATGAAGATGAAGATGAAGATGAAGATGAAGATGAAGATGAAGATGAAGATGAAGATGAAGATGAAGATGAAGATGAAGATGAAGATGAAGAAGGGGAAGGGGAAGAAGGAGAAGGAGAAGGAAAAGGAGAAGGAAAAGGAGAAGGAAAAGGAGAAGGAGAAGGAGAAGGAGAAGGAGAAGGAGAAGGAGAAGGAGAAGGAGAAGAAAATAGACAAAATATGGGAGCTCATGATGATAACGAGATTGAGATCGGAGTTGCAAATGACACTACAAACGATAATCAAAGTGAAATTGAAATTGAAACCGAAACCGAAAATGATGGTGAGAATGAAGAAAATCTAAATGAAACACTTAGACAAGGATCTCGTTCTAGTGATTTCGAAAGAATAACTTTTTCGGATAATAGCAAACCTGAAATTTTGGAAGAATTAGCAGCTTCTACCCGTGTTGCTGACGATCAGTATGTTAATGATATTGTGGATATGCTGGCTCTTATGTATGAAAACCCATCAGAGTGCATGACCAAGTACCATGAAAGCTCACAGAACGATTATGGCAAGTTGTTAATTTTAGCGCTATGTTTCACTGATTGTTATGTCGACATAATTGCTAGCTGTCCGCGGTTAGAATATGTCTCCTTAGACTTTGATATTGTAAGAAGGCGGCACCCATCAATCGGCATCATGCGTTTTTTTGAGCAACACGTTAAATCTAAGCGGCCAGAACTTGCTGCAGGCAAGCCCCGACACGCAATCAAGCAGTGTTTTGTGTCTATGGGCCGTCGGGGCCGGTACCAGAGCCCACGCGATACAACTTATGGGGAAACAGATTTAGATATTCCCGACGATGAGTACTATGGGTCTTATTATTATGGTGTGTATCCTAAAGACCCATGTGTGCTCAAGATGAAAACAGGTAGGCAAAATCAAATGCTTATAGACCTTGACCAGCGGCGCCAATTTCATGTACCATCTGAAAATGAAAAGACGGATGGATGTCGCATTTCACCTAAAATGTCGGATTTTCTCAAAAAGGACTTTGACGGCTGGATATAGACAATATAATGACTAGAATAACCCGATATATATTTTTGGTTTTGTTTTTTGTTTTGTTTTGAATAATTAAAAGAATATTTAAAATTTATGTTTTTATATATAAGCATATTTTAAACTTCATTCTTGTTATAACGGAAAAGTAGGCAATTGAAATAATATTATTACAATGGTATGGAGGAAGAAAAACACAAATTTAGAAATTAGCAAGTTTCTATAGAGAAAGGACTAGTGGAACAGTGAGCCGCATTACCTGAAATAGGAAAAATTAAATTTTGTTAGAATTTGTTGAAATTCGCTGGAAGTTCTAAAGTTTCAATTATTACTTTTTATCTAAATAGATAAATTTCAAATATATTTGAATTTTCTGCTTATTCTGAGCAAATTTTTAATTTAATTGTTATATAGCAGTTTTATTTCATCGAAATGTCAAAAACATTTTATTTGAAAACAAAGCTAAATGACTTTTCACCAATATGAAGTTCGGGGATTCTAAAATACATTCGAATGTATTTTCTGATTATATCATCCATATAAAAAATCTATACTAAATATTTGGTTTTGTTAGTGGGGGGAAAGTGTATCCAGTATTTTAGACAAGTTACCTAAATTTGTTTTCGTACTAACTTTCTAAATGTGTTTCTTTTAATTTTCCAATTTTCTATTTTTGTTAAATATCTAAATTTAGGAATTTATAAATTTATAAAAAGATTCAGGAAAAGGGTTGTCAATTCTTAAGGTTTTGAAAAGCGTAATAAATATGTCAGTACCGGTACTTAAAAGCAACAAAAGTGCCAATGCCAATAACGAAGCTTCATTTATTTGCTTATCACCAGAAATCCATTGTGAGCTAGTAAAATTTTTATCGATTAGAGATTGTATTGCAGTCAGCCAAGCATGTACTACATTTCGAAATATATACCGCATTTCTAGCTGGACTCATTGTGATTTGGCTCTTATTTCGTCAGACCAACATTTCGAATACATTAATCGCCATAAAGAAATATGGGAAGACGAAAGCTGGGAATCATGGGACCTCAAGAAAATCCAACGGCGTCAGCGGCGACATGTGTTCCCATTGTCTTGCATTTTAAACCCTAATCGTTATAGTTGGGTTCTCCCAAACATAATTCGAACCATCCGTGTTCTTAACGTTTGTCATGAACTACCTGAACAGTCTCAAGAATATGAGTTTCTCGAAAATGCCTTAAATGTCATAGCCACTAGTTTCCAAAACGACAGAGATTCGAATGCTAGTGATGTAAGCTATAATGCGCTTCGAAAGCTGACAACATTACATGCAATCAACCGGACTGGGTTCGACAAAGTTATCAAATCAAACCTTTTAGATGTTTTTCTTGCAAACAATAGTAAACTGCCGCTATTCCAGACCGAAAGCTTTGATCTTCGTTTGCAAATCAATACAAACACTGACAAATTAGCTGCCCAAAAAATTCCGGAAAGTGTTTCACAAACTTTTAGTTGCGTTACTGAACTCGAAGTTGTTGGTAAAAAACTGTTTGCATCACATTTGCCATCTCAATTAAAGCTTGAAAAGCTGCGTAAGCTCTCTTTGCATGGTTTGCGAGCTCCCTTCCTTACAAATATTTTAGAAATGGTTGCAAAAAAAAGTGTAGCACCAGTGTTATCCGAGCTGTACTGTGAGCTCGGAGTGCATCAGCGACAGACTTCCATTTACGTTCAAAGTGCCATTGGAGCAGTAGCTGAATTACCGTCACGGATAAGTTATTGTATGTTGAGGTTAGTGAATGAAGATGAAGGTGGATATATTCGTCTTGGTTCTGCACAAGATGCTGCTTCTCTAGAAATGAATCCATTGTTTAATGTTCCTGTAGTGACAGACTTGATAGTTGAAGAGGATAGCTTTGACTTGACTTTGTTTAGTCGACTTGTGAGGTTCCCTCGTCTTTCCTTTTTAAGAACTCCTCCATTCAATTTGACGAGTTTAAGCAGTGAAAAATTCTCTTATCAATATTTTAACCCCATGAATCGATTAACTAAACTGTCATATGAATTTGGCACCGCGCTTTTTTATGAGCGACAGAGGGCTCTGACACTACTGCCGAACTTACGGCATGTACAGTTTTCCGGTGGCTCACCAGACCTCGTCCCCTACATACCAGAGCTTCTTGACTTCTTTTGCGATGCTTTTTTGTATTTTTCGGAGCATGGAAAGATCCTTAGTCGTGATCAGATACATAAAATGTTGGCTGGGAAGCATAAAGCAATGGTTCCAGCGTTAAAAGAAGTTCGTTTTCGACTGGATTCTGAGCAATATTCAAGTACGGGAGAAAGTTATGTCGAAACATCAGAGTTTGATGAAATTGGTGATAACTATAGTACAAGCGATGAAGAAAATAATGGCGAACTCCATGGCGATGAAGCCCCTGAACAGCAAGCTCAAGCCCAAGAGCAAGTAGTTACATCAGCATCATTGCATCCATCAGATGGAAATTTAGGTGATGAAACAAACAATGAGACAAACCATGCTGAACTTCTTTATAAATACGGCATTCCTAGTGATGAAAATATTAGTGGGGGAGGTGATTCCATTAAACCTTCACAACCAGCTGGAGTTAATGACAGTTATTTTGATAAAATTGTGGAATTTCTAACATATATGTTTTACGATCCCACAGAGTGCTTTCGAGAATATCAATCTAAGATTGCACCTGATGATTTTGGAATGATGCTTTTGCTAGGTTTGTGTTGTTGTGAAGCGTACTTTGACATCATACTTGACTGCAAAAATTTAGAGACCGCATCACTTGATATGAGGATTGCAAGAATGTGTTATCCATCGTTACGGTTTTGTCAGTTTTTAGAACAATACTATAAAAATAATAGGTCAGATTTGACTGATCTCGATCCGCGTCGACACAAAATCAAGCAGTACTATTTAGTGTTTGGACATAATGACGAAGAAAAAACCCCATGTGAGACGATGTTCAATGAGATGGACGATTGCTTGGAAGTCAATGGCAGAAAGTTCTTTTTATCAAAACGATACGGAATGTTCCCATATCGCCCCAACTTTTTAAAAATGCGACGAGGAGAAAAATATATGTTGTTCATGGACTTTGAGCAAAAACGAAATTTTCATATTCCACCGCCTGGAGGAAAAGGAGTGACGATTAGAGTAGAAGACTTTTGGAATCGTGATTTTGATGGATGGATTTAAGAGTATCCAAAAGGGTTTTACACATATTTACAAAACACGTATATACGTGTTTTTTTTTCAAGTGAAAATTAAATTTACTTTAAGTATAACTTGGATCAGTTTTCCAAATGTAACCACTAATGTATTTGAATGGTGATTTGCAATTGCTTATTAATTTTTTATGCTAATTTTTTTTTTTTTTTTTTTTCAAATGTTTGATTACTGTAGGATATTATTTGATCTGTCCACACTCTGCTCGCCTATTTGCGTACCTATGGAAAACCTTGCAAGACAATATATATATATATATATATATCTACAACGTATTATGTTTAATTTAACAAAAAAAGAAATGACTCACTAAAAAAACAAGCATAATGGAAAGACATGGATTGTCTTTAGGCCAAATTTGATGTTTATGCTTCCGCAACCATCAAAATTTACACCTGGTTTTTTTATCAATTTTTTTTTATTTTTTAATATTCAATGAGTACCAAAATTAATATTTGTCTTTGAATTTTTTTTTCTTTAACACCTGTAATGTTTTTTTATATTTTTTTATTGGTATTTGACTTATTTTAACGCACATAATGTCGTCAGTTAACTTTTCATATGGGTTCTCTAGTATGCCGAGATCATGTTTTATCTGAGAATTATGGACTAAAGAGCTGTTTTTATTTCCTGGTAATCACTGTTAGACGGTTCTTGTTGTATGATACCCCTAAAACCTTTTATTTATCAATATGGATCATAATCTATTACGTTTCCTGTGGTACTCAGTTCATAACGTGCGAACCATTAGTTTAATAACCGCTCCTGGACCAGCAACTATACGTGGCAGCAGATCCGAGCTATCAATATAAAATATCCTGATTACCATTAAAGTTGTTCTGAAAACCACTGATAACATATGAGAACCTTTGTATTCCTTTCTTAAAGAACTGTCGTTTTTATCACTTTTTGGTACAAGATGGCATCCCCACATTATACGCTGTGCCGGGTATTTACAAGGTACATCCATGTTTCCATTCTACTAGTTGTCTTAAGAGCCCACAACCCTAGATTCAGAATCTCTCTCTTCAAGCCAACAGCAGACAATTTTCTGCCTCTCACCACCCTTAAGTTTGTTGGAAAAGATTTGCTTTTTGTAAAACTTCTACAAATGCTTTGGTCCTGGCTAGAGCAGCTTTTGATTTATAATCTCTACGCACCATTGTTGACTTTTATTCCAAAAATGGTTGTTACTAACTGCGTCCTTCATCTTGACTTACTTTTGTGCTAAATTAGTATGTATCAGAGTCATAGTACAAATCGAGTTCAAGCAAATGTGATTGAGAGGTTAGCGAAGCTTTCCGGGTCTCACGAGTGTTTTTATTTTTATTTTTTTTTTACGCATAGGGGGGTGCAGACGCTCAGGGTGCAAAGGGTTAGATGTGCAGAATGTGCCTGTGATTACTATTGAGCCGGATGCTTCACTCAATATTTTGCAGAGACTCGAGTAGGATAATTCCTTTAATCCCACGCTTTTGGGGCAGCTGAACAAGTCCTCTCAGCTTGATGGTTTGAGCTTCCAAAATACTCTATTAATTGTCCCTTTTTGCCATTTATGTCAGAAGTTAATATTCCAAAGTTTCTTTACTATAGCACTACCACCAAACTGGAAAGGATTTTTTTTTTTTACACAAAGAGCTTTGAAAACCTCTAAGAGAGAAGCATAAAAATCATATTTCAGTCGTTAGAAATTGTGGTCACTATCATTTTTACATTAAAATATAATGATGACTGATTTCAAGTACAACTTTGGAAGGTATATTAAAGATGAGATTTCGATAATTGTGAAATTGAAACAACGGTTATCTGCAAGATTTCAGCGGCAATGATTACAATCAATCTGTCATCTTGTCATTAAATAGAAAAAAAGTACAAGAAGAGTTCTACTTTGAAAATATTTGGGATTTGATTACCGATAGACTGGAAGATCCAGTTGCTGCTTATTTAAAATATGGAAACTGTACATGAGATGATTATGGAAAAAATGTTTTTTAAAGGAACTCTGCTTTGGCAATTTATTTTTCATATATATAACACAGTATCCTAAATTCTATTACCCTTAAGTTTGGTAGGCGCAAATGATAGATCATATGAATCAGGTAAAATACAAGGGCATGTTCTCATCTTTGAACCAGTTTTTTATTGGTATTGGTTAACCTGTTGCTTGATTTTTTAAAGAATGTTGACAATGGAGATTATGACGACAAAGACTACTATTGACATTATAATGAGAAGGAAGAAGAGTTAATTTCAAATACTATCATTTTGATCGGCACAGCTACTACAAGATTAGCAAAAAAAGTAAATGTTATGTAGAATGATAGCTAGTATGACATGTACTACACAACCTTTTAACTATCTGTGCACTATTGGGTTTTTGTTTGTCAAGTATAGGTATCTGTTCAAGATAAAATGTGGGCAGTAGTTTGTTTCTATTGGATCTAAAATTACTGTGGAAGTTTCACAAGAACGATGTTTGCAGCCAAACTCAAGGACCTGGTGATGTTGATATTTGGGTGAATAAATTCTTTTGCCGGGACTTACCGGGTGAGTTTAAATGTTATTTGTTAAGTATGTGATTTATTCCTTGCCAATCAGTATGGTCGGTTAAGTTTTCCTCTGCTTGTTGCTACAACGTATGGGGGTTTTTTTTTTGATTCTTTTAAATTATCCAAATAAGCATAATAGTGATAATTTTAATTGCGTTTTCGACTGAGTACAAAATAAAAATAAAAAATAAAAATAAAAGCTGGATAAATCTTTCTTTTTAATTAGATGAATATATATATATATAGCCCAAATTAGCCTTCAAGATTTTCAGCAAGGGAAAGTATTCACGAGCAGCTCATTTCTTATAGCAAATTCGGTGTGTTTGAGGTTCTTTTTAGTCTTGGTCTACGTGATTAATTTTTTTGTTTAGGTGGTGGAATGGAGTATTTTTTTAAAAAAAAAAAATTAAAATTCACCAGGAATTTTAAACATCACAGGATATTTTCAAATTTCTACTTTTTCATTCCTTACTTATTTAAAAGGTTTTTATAAATAATTTTAATGCTTATATATATTTAAAATATTCTTCATTAATATAAATACTTTTTTTTTTCTTTTTTTTTTACTTCAGTTCCAGTCTTTATATCACCCCTATTCTTATTCTTTTTTCTTTGGTTTTTTTCCCGGCCCAATTATCATCCTTATATTTATGTCAGTATTTTATTAAGCCTCAAATATACTGTTTTTTTTTTTTCAACCTCGCAAGCCCCACCTCTTCTTTCATCATCTCTTCCACTGCTATATCCTGATACCACAGACCTCCTACTGTCATGGCAGTTCCTGCCACCGCTCATGCTGTTGCGGATGCCGCCGCAGACGCAGCCGCTTCAGAAGATCCGCCTTCATCAGATCCTTACCCTCATCCTCCCTCATTATCTTCAACGACTACTTTCCAATCCCTCCCGCCAGAAATTCACGCCGCTATTGCCGCATATCTCCCGGCTTCAGATTCTCGAACGTTATCGCACACCGGCCCTGTGCTACTAACTATATATCGCCGGCTTTCATTTCGTAGGTGCAAAGTGGCTCTGGAAGAACAAGTATATCATGATGCAAACTACCGCGTCATAGCACTAGATGTGTTTCTTTGTCCGCGCAAGTACTCATGGTTTGCACCAGATGCTGTGTACGATTTACGCATTTTGAATGATGGTGCAAATAAGTCTGAAACTGCCTGGCAGCGGTTTCTTGGGACTGGGTGTTTGGATCGCACATTGTATCCTTCAGTCAAAGTTTTTCGCTTAGCCTATTCGATTGATCGTTATGATCTTGACAGAGTGGTCAATTCAAATTTATTTCAGTCGTTACGCAAAGATATCATGGCTCGACCGCATTGTGCGCTGGTCCATTCCCCAATGAAATCGTTTGTCAACTCATACCCTTCGCGATTTACTGACTCTTGCATTGATTACACGTACTACGATGATCTTGTGACAAAGAAGGCTATTATTCAAAGAAAACAATTGTCTAATAATTGGCCAATACGGCAACAAGATGTTAAGCAAATGAATAATGGGATAGCACAACATCAACAGTTGCAAAAATATCCAAATTCACAATCGTTGCGGCAATTAAAAGAAAATGAGTGGGAAGATAAGCAAAATTCCAAATACAAGGAGCAAACACCCGCTGTCTCACTAGAAATCTTACTTGCGGTTTACTTATTTAGCCCAGAAACACCTATTCCCCTACTCAATAATCCCGACTACTTTCGAATGCTCAGCGACCTTAAGCTTATAGGTATCGGGTTTTCTGTCAATGGGATGCCTACAGAGTTGACATTCCCTCGTCTCGAGCGCCTTTCTGTATGCCATTCTTCCTCTTCTTTTCTTTCGCTTCTTGTGGATGCCGCTTCCCGCGCTCCCAAGTTACATTCTTTTGTGTGTGAGCTTGCTGTCCATGTCAAGTTCACGGGTGAAATGGGTAATATTGTTGGAGGAGCTCCTACCATCACTTCAGCAAATCAGATTATACCCGGTGGCAGAGAATCAGGTGGCATGCGCATGCACGGAACTATTTATGCGCAGAAAGTGATTCGACTCTTCGACAAAATTCCCCACGACATTCCGTTGTTCTCGGTCTCACTTGTTCACCAGGAAGACTCAGACAGTATATCGCTTGGGTCCTGGAACGATGTTTGGCCCTCAATCACCACTCTAACCAATAACATTAATTCATCCACCGGTGACAACAATAATCGCCACCCGAACCACTTTCTCCATACTAATTCAGTTACCTCAGAACTCACAATTCACAGCATTACACGAGTTAACTCGTACATACCAGACCTCGATGTTGGCCTTTTTACGCGCCTGGTGCGCCTGCCACGGCTATCAACATACTATATGCCACAATTTGGCAATTCTCATCTCATCTATCCACCTGCGGATTTCGGTGGAATGGGAGCAACGCTTGCTGTTGTGACATTGGACTTTTCGCACGTGTCGCTATGTGGGTTTGGCCCACAACTGTTTGACTTGCTATGTGCATTACCTCGCGACCTCGTGAAGCTCCAGAAATTGTTTCTAGCGTTTGGTTCAAATATTAGCAACGGACGGAACAAGAACCCAGTGGAAGCCAAGGAGCTGTTCCAAACAGATTTGGCAGAGTTTCTAGAAGATTGTATTCTGGATCGCTATAGACAGAAACAGCAGTGTCAGAATAGCGGTGCGGGCGCTGGTTTCAATTTGAATAGTGAAGACACTATGAACCTGGATGGATCAGTGTCGGAGGAAAGCATAGCAGCCATGAGTTTCAAACTGCGAAACGAGTACCCGCGGCTAGTACACGCACTATACAAGCTGCGCCTAAATATCCAGCGCAATACCCTGATAGATGGTGGATGGCATGATGAGTTAGGTGACCGTTACGAGGCATATGGAGAAAGTGACTACGATGACGATTATGACGATTATGACGATGATGACGATGATAACGATGAAAATGATGATGACAATGAAAATGATGATGACAATGATGATGAATACAATGAGTCCATTATAATTGATAGCAGGAGAAACAGTACCCGTCAAACAGGAACCTCGGATGAGGGTGAGGGTGACGATAGGTATATCGTTGCACGAAGTATGTCGGATGTTGCAAGTGCAATTATGCATAAGCCAGCATCACCACAACGACATGCACACCCCGTTCCTAGCACTGCTTATATGCAATCAATAGCTGAGTTTTTGATAATGATGATTTCAAATCCTATGAAATGTTTCCGAGAGTTTCAGCATTGCTGGAAGGCCCACGGAACGCCAGAAGAGGTAGAAGGTGTGGGTACAGAAACAGCTACGTTAAATGATGACGGCACTGTCAATACAATCATGGGCACCAACGGGAATTCAATTGAAACTTCTGAATATGGAGATGCTGGTCGGCGATTACTGTTGGGTGTGTGTTTTAGGGAATCTGTGATGCAAATTTTATGCAGTATGCCACAGCTGCAGTTTGTACTAGTTTCAATGACAGGAGCAGAAGGTGTATACCCTTCGGTCTGGTTGCAACGATTATTGAACGAGTTTCGGTGCCAGTCTGGGAACATAGACAGTAAGGAGCCCCCAAAGCCTGTTATTGTTCCAAGTGGTAGGCAGCTCAAGCAGGTGCTGTTTTCATACACCGTGATACTTCCTCCGCTTGGCAAAAAAGGGGCTGATGGTGGTAATGGGAGTGAGTCCAATAATAATGGAGATGATGAGAGTGAAGATCAAGATCAAGATGAGGATGAAGATCAAGATCAAGATCAAGATCAAGATGAGGATGAAGATCAAGATCAAGATCAAGATCAAGATCAAGATGAAGAAACAAATTTGGAATATGAGCAAGATTGTGTAGATTATTGGATTTCAAACGCGTATGGAATGCTTCCCAAAGAACCGTGGTTAATCAAGACAGTGACAAACTATGGTGGAGAATCACCAACAGCCCGTCGGCGCAGGACCTTTCGGTTTATGTACGACGTATACATGCAACGGCGGTTTATTCCAGAGGCGATTTATGAGGAAACTGATTTTTATAGGCAGGAATTTGAAGGGTGGATTTAAAAAGAAAAAAAAAACGCAATGAGAAAGAAAGGAAATGAAAGGATATTGTTTTTATAAGAATTATTATTACTAAGGGCACTTGGTAGTTTTTTTTTTTTTTTTCTTTGAGATTGAAATTAAAATTGATATTGAAATGTACACTAATTAAGAATTTAAGATTCTCTTTGCGTTAAGACTTGTGACGATCGTTAACTACATTGATTATATACTTTGCCACAATATCAGCCATATCGTTTGTAAATATGTGGCCAAGACCCTCCTTTTCATAGAGGGTTCTGTCTGCCGGAGATTCAGCTGGTGGACGGCCTGTGAGGGTATGTTTTTTAGCATAAGCATAGGAGACCCAAGATGGGACTAAAGGATCTGCCTGAGAATTGACAATGAAGACGTTTTTGACATGTTCTGGAGCTTTTTGAAGGGTAGCACGGTCTTCTGAAGATAACTGTTGGTGAAGCATGCGGGGCCAGTATTCTGGGAAAGTTGAAGATAGAAGTGTGCCTGTGGGGAAATCTTTTAAGAATTGAGCAAACAAAGGGGCAGTCTCGATTGCAGCTGCAAGAGATTCCCAAGACAAAAAGGAAGCATAGGGGACATTTAATTGGGCAAAGACTTCATTTTCAAGTAAATACCGTGCGGTATCACGATCAAGTCCACAGACCTGGACAAGCAGACGGTGGACTAGAAGGGTAGTAAGATCTGGGGCTCCAATGATGGGTACAGCAGCGAGAATAGAGTAGGCCCCGGGGTCTGGAGTAGCAGCCGCATGAGCCGCTACTTTCCACGTGACATGACCACCCTGGGAGACCCCGGACACAATATTCCAAATAGGAGCGGAAAGAGAGGTGTTTGCCTTCTGTGTTGTGAGGGCTTGAGGAAGGTATGCTGGAAGAAATCTAATAACTAATTCCACGTCCTGGACAGATCCGAGAATTCCTGTTGCCATGTCCTGGCCGTGAGCACGGTTACCTCTTCGCCAGTCGGAGTTGTTTGTTGAGACAATTCTGTGGCCATGGTTGCGGAGGTCGAAAGTAGCAGCAACACAAGGTGGCAGGAGTCGGTTTGAAGAAGCTGAACGAGCATATTCAGCCAGTAACAATGTTGCCATACGCTGTGTGTACTCGTAAGAGCGGGTGCGTGGGTGGACAAGATGAAGGATTACAAGCTCTGAGGGGGATGCAGGAACTGCAGCAGCCTCGAGGGCCTCTGCGACACCGTAGACGTGAACAGGGAGACCACCGATGATATATTCAGTGTGAGATGGAATAGAACAATCATTTGGAATTGTGAGCTCTGCAATTGCAGGGGCAGTCTTTGGAGGCTGTTGTGGTTCTGACATTAATGTGAAATGGTGTAGGTTGAGATTTGGGGAAGAGGTTGGTTGGATGGCTTATGGCATAATCTATTATTAAACGGAATATTTCAGATCACGTGATATAATCTTTTGATTTTGTTATAGTTTAGTTGTTTTAAATTATTTAATTTAACATTGATATTAATCAATTTAAATATTTTAGTACGAGGTTATTTATTTGATTATTTTTATTTAATTACGTAAGTTATTAAATGTGGCCAATTGTTTTAGTTTGCGTTTTTTTTTTTTTTTAGGAAGGCAAATATAAAGACGCATACTTAGATTTTATTAATAGTTACAAAACTTTGTAACTTCTTTCGTATTCATACAGATAAGCTCTGAGTCATCTTCATAAACTTTTTTTTTTTTTTTTTTTTCGAGACTGAGCTAGTCTTTGTGTTGAACCACAAAAATTTTTTTTATCGCCATTACAGCAGCAGCAGCAGCAGCAGCAGCAACAGCAACAATAATAATAATAATAACAATAACAACAATAAAGCCTAAACAAAAAAAATGAGAATTTTTTTTTAAAATAAGTTTTTGATTATTGATGAGAATATTGACTGATCTTAAAAAAAAAATTATAACAATGATAATGATATATATGATTATGATGATGTTTTGAAAGACGCTAGAGAAAAAAAACCCTCAATTTCTTATATTAAAAATTTTTCACTGTGGGCGCTAAACATGTGTGTGTGTGTTTTTATGTGGCCAGCCTGGCTTTTTTTTTTTGTTTTTTTTTGTTTCCTTCCTTTCACCACACAGTTAATATGCAGCAAATGGGCAACAACGAATAATCGGATTCTGTGATTTCCATTCAAATTAAGAAAAAAAAGAAATATTTTCATCATCATAATTATATACTTTGATGATTTTTCTTACAGCTTAAAAGTTTTATTCAATTTCTCTGTTTGGGACTTAGCTACATTGTGGTTTTAATTATGTGTGTGTGATGCCCTCTCCTCCTCCCCCCTTTTCTCCATTTAAAAATTCTAAACTTTTAAAGGGGGAGCGGGGCGCTTGTTTGTTTGTTTGTTTGTTTATTTGTTGTTGTGTGTTATTATTATTATTATGAAAATGATGGCGTTGGCGTTGTTGGTGGTGGTGGTGATTAAAAATATATTTTTTTTTTGCGCAGCGTGCTGGAAACTCCACGCGAGAGTTGATTTGACTATGTAGAAATGAGTCTGAGGGCTGGGGGGTTTTTCAGCTGACTGGGCCAGTACTTAAGCAACGCGGTTCCCCCCGGTTTTTTTTTTTTTTTTTTTTTTTTTTTTTAAAAATTTTTTTTTTTTTCTTTTCTCTCCTCATCATAAAACACACACACAATTTTTTTTTATTTTTTTTATTTTTATATTTTATTAAAAATTTCTAATCAAAAAACTTACTCATCACATACAACCCTAACCCACTTGTTTTTTTGTGCACCACCACCATTCAGCCAATCACACATTAGGCCTACAATTTCTTGCAATTTATATATTAAAAGTTAGATAAACAAATTAGCAGTTACCCGGACGTGCCTCTGCTTACGGCATTAACGCGTCTCTTTTTATTAATAATTAATTTTTATTAAAAAAAAAAAAACAAAAAAACGCGTTTTTATTTTATTTTTATTTATTTCTTTCCCTTTTATTTTCTTCTTCTTTAAATATTTTTTTTTTAATCACCACACACACACACATATATAAATCCTACCATCTGCCTACAATTTTTTTTTTATAAAATCCTTTTTTTTTTTTTTTTTTTATAAAAATCACCCCTCCTCTTTCCCCCCCATCATGTCTGTAAAGGAAATTGAAATTGCAACTCCAACAACTTCAGACCTTTCTCATGATGAAACTCCCGCAGACTCCACTGTTTCCCTGAAAAAACAACTCCCAGAAGAAAAAGACTCAATGTCAGCTCATAACCTTTCAACCCCAGTCGCGTCTCCACCACCGCCACAACAACAACAACAACAACAACAACCAGCCGATGCTTCATCAAATAACTCTGTAACTACCGCTACAAATACAATTTCGTCACCACCCCCATCAAATTCTCAAGATGTTGTCATGGAGGATGCTCCACATGATAATAACGTTGACGTTGATGATGACGACGATGACGATGATAACGATGACCTTTTTAATGAGCCTGAAACAGAAACGTTAAAACCTTTGTCAAAAACAGAAGAAGCAACACAACAACTGACGACTGATGAAACTATTCCAACATCTACAGAAGCCAAAGATACTACTACACAAATAGCAGATGAAAACGCGAAAACCTCTTCTAATGACTCTAATGACCTAATTAATAATAAAACAACAAGTAATGATAATGATACCTCTGCTAAACCTGCTTCTTCACCCGAAATTAAATCAGAAGACGCGTCAAAATCAACTTCTTCTTCTGGCTCCTCTACTTCTTCCTCAGCTTCCTCAACTTCTACTGCTCAAACTGATTTAAACAACCCTACTGCTGTTCCATCTTCTTCCCCAAAACGCGCCCAGACTTTGGAACACGAAGATCCAGACCCAGTCCCAGCAAAGCGCCCACGTCTCGATGACTATGTCAAGAATGAGGATATTAAACATGTCGAAACAACAACACAAGTTACAGCAGACCCGCGTGACCCTCCTGAAGGTGCTCCTCGTCAGCTAGCAAAACACCAAGCAAAGTTTGCCCTAGCATCTTTACGTGCTGTCAAGCGTCTCAAAGATGCTGGCCCATTTATCGACCCTGTTGACGATGTCAAACTCAATATCCCCACTTACTACACTGTTATCAAACACCCGATGGATTTATCAACTATGGAGCGTAAGGTCACTGGTAGTCTCTATACTGGCGTCTCGGAGTTCATTTCTGACATGAACCTTATTGTCTCTAACTGTGTGCTTTTCAATGGCCCCGAGTCTTTTATTTCAAACATGGCTCGTAACATTAAGGCTTCCTTTGATAAGCATATGAATAATATGCCTCCATATGAACAACCTGCCCTAAACTCCAACTCAAGACCCAAAAAGAAGACGGGAGCTGGCGCTAAGAATCAACGCGTCGCTGCCACAGCTCGGAATTCAGCTTCACCAGCCCCTGCTGCCACAGCTACTACCACCACACCTTCTTTGACATCTGCTGCTGCAAATAAGGCAGCATCAACACCAGCCATTGCTTCTCCAGCTAAATCAAAACTATCAAAGGCTGCTGCCGCTGCCTCTGCTACAACTTCAAATACTTCATCTACTACTACTCTATCTACTACTGTACCGGCTTCAACAAAGGTAACCACCAACCCTAACCCTTCAGTTTCTTCAAAGGGTCCACTGAAGAAGGTCAGTCCAGCTGCTGAAGCTAGCAAACCTTTTGCTCTACAACCCTCTGGCATTCCTACAATTCGCCGCGACTCATCCGTAGATGGCCGTCCGAAGCGTGAAATCCATCCTCCCAAATCTAAAGACCTCCCTTATGGCGATTTTAAACCGAGAAAGAAAAAACACGCTGCTGAATTACGGTTTTGTGGTGGCGTCTTAAAAGAACTTATGAGCAAAAAGCACGAAACCTTTAACTTTCCCTTTTTGCAGCCTGTTGACCCTGTTGCTCTCAACTGCCCTTCGTACTTTAAAATCATTAAGCATCCCATGGACTTATCGACCATCCAGCAAAAATTTAATACAAACCAGTATGAAACTGCTGAGCTTTTTGAGGAAGATGTACGTCTCATGTTTCGCAACTGTTATAAGTTTAATCCTGAGGGATCCCCTGTTAATCTTATGGGTCACCGTCTCGAAGCTCTTTTTGATCAAAAATGGGTTGACCGACCTGTTCCTGCCCCCTCTCCACCTCCTATTCCTGTCGAGTCTGAGTCTGAAGAAGAATCTGACTTGTCTGATAGTGAGCTTATTCGTGATGATCCAGGTATCAAATACCTTGAAGCCCAACTCGAGCGTATGAAGAAGGACTTGGAGAAAATGAAACGTGAAGCATTGCAAAAGGCTCGTGAAGCTCGTGATGCACGCAAGCGAAGGAAGAAGAAAACAAATGGTTCTGCCGGCGGCTCCAAACGTGGTGCCAAGGAAGGTGGTGGCGCTGGAACCACTCGTCGCAAGTCAGCTTCTGGTGCCGCTGGTCCAGGCCGACGTGCAAGCAATGCCAACGGTGTTTCTGCTAGTGGTAGTACTGGACCAAATGCAAGTGCCTCGTCACCAGCGGTTGCTGCTAATGCGTCAAACGTGGCCACGGCTGCTGCCAATAACGCACCTACAGCTTATGTTACCTATGAAATGAAGGAAGAGCTTTCACGCATGTGCCAGACTCTACCGGAAAAGAAGATGCGTCACGTTTTGAAGCTTATCCAGGAAGGAATGCCCAATCTTAATACTGATAACCAGGAAGAAGTAGAGCTCGAAATTGACCAGCTTAACCCTGCCACTGTCCTTAAGCTTTACGATTATGTTGTCAAGGCCAAGCGTCCGCGGGCCAATTCGACAACTAAGCGTGCTGCTAACAATGCATCTAACGTTCCAGCAGCTGGCACAGGTTCTCCTGGACCTTCTGGTTCTAAGCGCAAGGGTAAACCAATTTCAGAGGCTGAGCAAACACGACAGATTGAGGAGCTGCAAAAGAAGATTGAGCAGTTTGACCGGGCCGAGGAACAAGCTGCTGCTGCGTCTCGGGATGATGATTACGACGGGATGATGATGAGTGATAATGACGTTGTATATGTAAATGATGACAGCCGAGGAGTTGGCGGCAACGCTGGTAATGGTATTGGTAGTAGTGGCAACGGAGTTGGAAGCACCAACAGTAGTGCAGGCAATGGTGGCAGCGGAAGCAGCAGCAGTGGCGGCCATGGCGGTGGCCACGATTTGATGGTGAGTGCATCTGGTGCAGGCATGGCTCTTGCTGGTGGCCGTGGACCTAGCATGCGAGACTCTGATGATGATGACGATGACGATGACGGCGGATCTGATTCGAGCTCTGAGGAGGAGTAAATGAGTGACGATGTGATGATAATGATGATGACTATAATTATGATGATGACATGATGTTCTATGATGAAAAAAAAAAAAAAGAAGTGGCGTTTTCTCTTTTTTTATTCAAAATTTTTTTATTTCGTTGTCTTGTTCGAGTTTTTAATTTTCTCGGTTTTTTTTTTTTGTTTTCCTGTATAGTACTTTTGATTTAAATAAATAAAAAAATATAAAAAAGAGATAAATGTGATTCTTTAAGAGTGTTTGTTTGTTAAAGTTGTTGTTGTTCTCTCTATGTATGAGATGAAGATGGTGATCTTAAAACTATCTTTCTAGAGGATTTTTTTTTATTGCCCGTAAAATTTTTTTCTTTCTTCTCTATAATTAATACCCAAATAAAGACACTGCGGCTCACACATTATTATGGCCCATCCCCCCCCCAAAAAAATAAAAAAAATAAAATAAAATAAAAAAAAATAAAAATCAATGCATATAATAAATAATACAAAAGCAATCAATAACAATCAAGATCTTGTTCGTTTAACACCTCCAGGCCGCACAATATCAGTATGTCTACGGCGTCTTCTTGAGCTTGCCGACCACTCGTGCAGCGGCTGCTGTCGAAATGTCTCTTCATCTTGCACTTCGACAAGTCCACCATACTTAGGTGGCGGAGGCGCGTATTGTGACCAATGCGACCTCTGGAGCTTTTTCCGACGTTGTAAAGGGCCCGGTTTCTTTGCACCTAACACGTCAGACGATGATAAATGTTGTTGTTGTTGTTGTTGTTGTTTGGGCTGTTGACGTCGCGTCCAGTCAAATTTCTTGCCCTGCCACCCAGAAATTCCCGTGTAAACATCACCACTCCCCCCAATACTCGCTTCATCATTGTGGTGGTGGTGGTCTTCGTCGTCTATAAACTCAGAACCGTTTTCGTGCTCGGCATACCCAGCACCATCGTCAGATCCATTCTCAGCATGACAAGACCATGCCTCGTGCTGCTCAGAAAACTCCGGGGCAGTGCTCAGAGCCGCAGCCATGGTTGGCTGGTAACTCCGAGGCGGGTATTGGACAGAAGGTGTCTGAGTGTAGGAGCGTCTGTGCTCGTCAGCAGCCATCATAGTATCGGTGTGTCTGCGCCGGCGGTGAGCCAGTGGACGAGTGCGAACGGGTGCAGACATAAGAATGCGAGAGCGTGGGCTACCAGATGATTGCGAAGAGGTAGAGTGGGAGTAGTATGCAACAGGCGGAACGTCTTTGATAAAGCTTCTGCGACGTGTAAATACTCTCTCCTCGCGACTAGTTTCTACATCATCTGGATCTTCTTCGTCAACTTCCTCATCCATCTCTTCACCAATCTCTATTCTTTCTTCATCCTCATCCTCCTCCTCATCCTCATCCTCTTCTTCTTCTTCTTCTTCTTCCTCTTCTTCTATTTCGTAGGCGGGTATAGCCGGTCCGCGCGCCAGGCGCTGCTTAGTCATGGCCTGCATGCTCAGTTCTAACCGCTGCTGCCGCCGCATCGTGCCCATATATTCCTCCAACATTCCCGTCCATCTCTTTAGCTCCGCAACCTGTCGCCGCAAGCTACTATTATCACGTTCTAGTTGTTGCATTCGGATTTCCATTTCTGACCCTTGCAACTGCCCAGATCGTGTAAAAGATTCTGGTGCCGGTGCTGGCATTGTTGCCTCAAATGTCCTGTTACTACTGCTTTCTGAACCATCGACAGGTGCCTCCAGGTAACTATACAGTGGAGAAGAGTACCTTCGTGAAGAAGTAATGTGACGCGAATGGATTTCAGCTGCAGAAAAAAATCTCTCAGACTGGCGCCGTGACGCTCCAGATCGTGCAAACACTGAGATAACAGAAGGCGGTACTTGAATGGATTTTGTGGGTGAGGCTGAAGTAACAGGCGACTGGCCACGAGATTGTGTTGAGCCGTGAGCCGTTGGACGTGAGTTTGAGTGAACCGAAGTCACAGGTGACTGACCACGGCTCCGAGAAACTCCAGGTGTAAGGGCATGAGCTGGAATACGTGAAGCTGATGCAACCGAAATGACAGGCGACTGACCACGACTTCGTGAGACTGTAGGTGTCGAAGCGTGTACCTGCAGAGATGCTGATACGGTGGCAGGCGAATGAGGTCGGCTGTGTGACCCTCCAGGAGTTGGAGCCCGGGACGGAACTTTGTGAGAATATCCTTGTTCATTGGAATAATAATATTGTGCATCATTTTGTTGCTGCTGTTGCTGCAACCTAATTTTTGATGTTTCAGTAGATTTTGCAGATTTTGCAGATTTTGCCGTTTCAGCAGCAGCCGCTCGTGCAATATCGATATTGTGTGTGCCATGCGAGGTTTGGTGACCAATCACACCAAGACCATGCATTGGAGACGAGGTTCTAGACGACGACGACACATTGGTAATGACAGAGGCTTGAGAAGTTCCTGGAGGCGAAGACATCATCGAAAGAGCAGCTGCATTGATAAAAGCTGAATGCATAGTCGCCTGGTTTGTATCGTGAGGAAGGGGCAATGGACTTGATTGGTTCAAGGGACTGGAATGGTTGATGGGACTCATGACGATTTCCTCAATGGGCTGTTGAACATCCAGTTGCAACCCAGGCTCAAGTCCGTGGTTGCGATTGTTGTTTGCTTGTTCTGTAGATTTTGTGACTGTAGCGACACTTTGAGCCTTTTCCTGTTCGTCTTCGCCTTCAATAAGCGCACCTCGAAGCCTCCGCAGCTCATTGATCTGATCGCGCAGCTCACGAATCTTAATTTCGCGCTGAAGACGTTCACGCATGCGCATTGCCGCACGCGTGCACATACTGGGTGACAGATGTTCACGTGCAATGGGTGGACCCAGACCATAGAGCAGTTTAAGGTCGTCAAAGTTGGGAGCTGCTGGAACACCAATTCCAGGGACATAATAGTTCTGGCATGCGGCTTCTGTTATTTGAATCGCAGCGGAGGCCGAGTCGGCGCCTGAGCCGTTATTCAAACGCTCAGTAAGCGATGGCGGGGTTCGAACATCGGCAAAGGGTGCGTTTTTGCAAGCTATTTTGCGGATGGCTGCGCGTGGGGTGTGAATTCCAGGGACCTTAGATGGCGCAGAAAAAATGTGGTCGTTATCAGTGACTGGATTCGATTCTAATTCATGGTCATCTTCAATCTGTTGAATTTGTTCTTGAGTTTTGTGAAAATCTTTTATTCTTTGAGCTTGAGGAATTTCATTTTGAATTTCTTCTTGCATTTGTATTTCTTCTTGTGTCTCTAGTTCCTCTTCGTCATCTTGAATTTGAGTCATATCTAGTTCTATTGGCGAACTGTACCCATCTTCTAACTGGGGTTGTTCAGGTTGTTGTTTTCCATCATCTTCACCATAATCATTATCATCATTGTCGTCGTAGTACTGAGGAGATGATGAGCCAATGCTCACTTGATCATGGACCTGCCCTTCCTCTCGGTAACCATATTCATTTTCACTTGCCTGCAAAGAACCGTCTGAAAATTGTTGAATGAGGGTAAGATCAACTTCGTCTTCCTCATCCTGATCTCCTGCAGGGTATTCACGAGGCGAGCGGCCATTGATTAAAAGAGCTTCTGGACTTGACAGTGAATAAATTTCGCCAGGATTCATATTATGTGTGAAATTCCCAGAAGAAGGATTAGCGAGCAAATGATTTTTTATGCTGGAATGGTCTGTTGCTGATCCATTTATTGTGTGGAACCCGAGAATAGCAGGACTACTTGGTATCTTTGAGGATATGGGGACTTTAACATTTTGCGAATCTTTCCCAGAAGTTAATGGTGGAGTATCGTAAAACTGACCTCCTGTGGATGATACAGGAAGAGCCGATGGGTCAAAATCAGGAAGGGAACTTGTTACTGGTGGTGGTAGCGATGATGAATGCTTGTTAAAGGCAGTAAATGCTTTTACGGGAGGCAGATGTGCTGGTTTTTCCCTAACTGAAGTTGTAGGGTGTTGTGAATGTTTCTGCAATTGGATATGATCAGTGCGAGACGACGGAGAAAGTGAAGAAGCTAAATCAACGTGTCGATACTTTGTATGACTTGGTGAAGACGGGACATATGAGTAACCGAGTGTGTTTCGCGAAGGTGATGATGATGGGAGGTTTGAAGTAGAAGAAGCTCTGAAAGAGGGCGCGGCTCCTACGGCAAGCTTAGGCACAGTGCTATTCTGTGGAGGAGGGGAGATTGGGTCCATCTGATGTATTATTGACCTGATGAAAAGGGGTTTGCCAGATAATTGTTTATGATGAAAGCAACTGGCGATGATCCCTTTTTTTGATATTTATTATTGTTTGTTATTATTTCAAAGTGGTTGGAGCGACTAGGCAACTGGTGGTTGTTAGGCGATATTGTAAATAGTGGTAGTTGGAGGTGGTTGGGTTGGCAAGAAAGAAATAACATTAAAGCACAAATAAGGAAAAAATAAAAATAAAAAACGCGTTTACGCGTATTTTTGGTGGCGCGTTATAATGGTTATCCATTGGTAGAAATTTGTATGGGATGGTTAGACCTAAACAAAACTTGTAAACTTATATTAGCTCATCAAATGACATTGTAAGCAATTGAAACATTCAATTCTGAAAAAAAAAAAAAAAAACAATTTAGTTATAATTGAAAATCATATGCGTTTTTTTTTTTGATGTTAATTTACGCGACATCTTTAATTTATTTCGCTCCAGCACTTCATCATGGCGCACATATTGAAAAGACCTGTTGCAAAAGATGGTTTGGTGATAGTTACGGTGGCAAAATATTTAAATCACATGATAAAAGACAGTCACATTCAATACTACTATTTTGGTATTTTCAGTTTGAAATATACGCAGCTGCGTACTCATATATTCATACATATTAAATTGATATGGGCGACTCTTTCAAATATAAAAAAAAATTTTAGAAAAAAATTGCTCAGCCGTACGTCTACATAGATTATTGTGACTTTGTAAGAAAAAATAGTTGTAATTAAAAAATGTAACAACTGTTTACCAAAGACATTACACATTAGATCCACCCCACACACACACAAAAGAGACCCGGTCGGAATCGTGAAGTCGTTGACGAAGCATCAAATACATCTCAGTTAAGCTAAAAAACTCTAAAGGAAGTAAGTATTCTATGGAATTTACGATACTGCTTTAGTTTCTGTAATTACTTTGATGTCAGAATTTGTCGTCTGTCTGTTTGGAATATGTTTGAAACTACAGGGTTAGGGTTCACGTGACCACTCACTTTAGACCTCCCCCCCGAGCCGCGCAAAATTTTTTTTTTTTTTTTTCGCCGGCAGCCTCTGGGAGTGTGCGTGCCCGCCTCTGGTCTGCCCTTTCCCTTCTCACTCCCCCCCTTTTTTTTTTTCTCCTGCCCATCTTGCCGTCAAGTCTTGTCGTTCGCAGCACAACAGCACATATCAGTACACAATGAGCTACAACAAGGAAAAGGAGATCCAGGACGAAGCTCCCATCCAGAAGGTCCGCGTTACCCTCACCTCGACCAAGGTCAAGGAGATTGAGAAGGGTGTGTATTTCTTAATATACTCTTGTCGATGAAGATGATACCCAATGTTTTGGCTGTTTTTAGATGGCTTAGGGGATCGCTCGTCGATGTTATTTGCTTGCTTGCACACTTGCCTGCTTGCTTGATTTTCTTTAATAACTATCGTACTAACATGCTTTTCTAGTCACTGCTGATATCATCAAGCGTGCCGCTCCCTTCACTGGCGACAAGAGCACTGACAAGGTTGTCCTCAAGGGCCCTATCAGACTCCCCACCAAGCACCTTAAGATCACCACCAGAAAGACCCCCAACGGTGAGGGTTCCAAGACTTGGGACACTTACGAGATGCGCGTCCACAAGCGTGTTATTGACTTGTACTCTAACATCTCTACTGTCCACAAGATCACCAACTTCCACCTTGAGCCTGGTGTGGATGTGGAGATCACCATGGCCCAGTAAATTCGGTTGCTTCTGTTTTTTGTAGGGGATATTTCATTGTTATAAAATAAAATAAAAATTTCAAAAAAAAAAAAAAAATACAAACTTCATTGGCTTAAAGGTCTTTATGAAACGGAAAATACATATTCTATGCTTTTAGGCTTGTAAAACGCACTTTTGAATCCACCATTGATGAAGTCTAGAGTCAGAAGTCAACTCTGGATGGAAACTTGTCCCTAGAGTTCGGCCCTGGCGCACTGCAACGCACAGCTCTCCCCCGGCTCGCTCCAGCGTTGTCAATACTTCAACAGGATTGTTTGCAACAAATTCCACCCACTCAGCGCTTGGGTTGGGCGCCTGAACAACCAAACTCTTCTCAATGTCTCTTTCAATAGCTTTCTTTTTCTCTCCAAGTCCAAACAATGTAGGTTTGGCCGTAGAAATGTTGACAGCATCAACAACAGGTGCTCTAATAAAAACACCTTCAAATGGAGCTCCATTCTCTGACCCAAGTTCTTTTAAAATAGGCATCTCAAGTGGTGCAATAAACGAGTCTAACTGACTTCCAAAATGGTTTCGAGAAACTTTCACATCTAATCCTCCAAGGATTTCTTGACCTCTAGCAGGACACCCGCCAGCCTCGCTAGCAACTAAAATGAGCCCGGCACATGTCCCCCACACGGCCCGGCCCTGACTCAAAACTCTTTCTTCTCCCGGTTGTCCTTGATGAACAAGTTCGTGCACATAGGCACGTAGTGGCTCTAGCATCCCTGTGCGTTCTGCAACAAGCGAGATGGCTGTACTCTCACCCCCAGGAATAACAAGCCCCTCACAAATAGATAACTCTTCGGCAGTTCGCACTTCAATCACGCGAATTGACGCTCCTCTAATGCTCCCATTTTCCCCCATGGAGTGTTTCTGGAGCGTCAACGCCGCCTGTTTCAAGTGCTCAACGTGCTCCGCAAACGCCCCCTGTAGCGCAAGCACACCGATAGTAACATTTTTGGCTTCAATAGTCATTTGGTAGTTTTTTAAGAAACCCTCTATAATTTAATTTCTAAAAAAAATTGTTAGTTGTTAAAGAACCTTTTTTTGTTTATGTATATGTGTCAGGATAGAAATCATAAAACGATAGGTCTCTCTCTCTTTAAATAATTTTTTTTTTAAAAACATTCACTCATACGGTACACTATTACACTATATCAACTACCACCACCATTGGCCCGCATTGATAGCCGCCGAGTCAGCTTCTGGGCCGGAATCGCAACTTGACAGTAACGTTTCAACTTCATTGATACTCGTCTTCGCAGCCCGTCATGTCTTCCTTCACTTTTATACCCTTTATTAAATTCCACAGGGCTGGCCGAATGTTCTTTGCAAGTTTCATCATCATTACTTTTTTTAATGCACTCTCCAAGACTCAGATCAGCGCACGGGCTAAACAAATCAATATCACAAAAATATCCGTCACTATAGTCTGCACTGGATCCAATACTTGAACAAAGGGCAGAAAAATTAAATGAGTCTGTGCTTATGGGTGATGGCAAATCTATTTCGCGTTCTGTAGGGACTTGTGTTCTGTTCCTAAACGACTCTAAGATACCACTATCAATAGTACCTTGCCGACAACTGCAATTCGGATCAGTACACTCAAACTCATCAGATGCCAATAATCTTTTAGTGATAATCAATGGGGGACTAGATGATCTTTGGGTTTTCCAACTTGTGTTATTGCTGGAAGTTTTCATTGCAGAGCTTGGCAAGCGTTCAACTACCAATGATGATGATTTTTCAAATACCGCAGGGAATTCTTCCAAAGAATTGTTAGAAGTGTCACGCTTCCATTGAATAAATGTCGCTGCAGAGTTACGCTTACTCAAACTATTATTAGATTGAGATGATTCCTCAGGTAGCATCATGCTATTCATATCATTTTTTTCGTCCTCAACCATAGGCTTGTAAAAAATCGACGTCTTAGCATATCTTAGTGCATTATCAATTGCAGACGTATTTTTGTATACACCATCGCCAACATTTCCGTGATAGGCTTGTAATGCTTTTTGATGCTTTGGACTATTCAATGCCGTTAAACTTCCATATTCTTCAAGGCTACCAGGCCCTTGAGTAGAAACAAAATACTTTTTGGCCAGTCTATATACTTGACGTTGTTTTGGAGTTAGTGGTAATCCTTCTGAGAGACTTGAATCAAAGTCATCCAATGCCGACAAATGTAGTGGGTTCATTTTGCTGCTGATTTTTATCTTTTTTTTTTTCACGTCAAGCGTATGGTAAAAGTACAACTTCACTCAAGTTTTAATTTATTTCCTTTTTATATCTTACAAAAACCCACATTAGTTAAACACATTATAGTACCATCCTGGCAACAACCGGTATCCATCGCATCTTGTTTTTTCCAAAATGCGCTGTTTATATAGCCACTCAAGCAGCACATTTACCTCCTTGAGCGTCAGTACTGGTCGCAATCGCCCACACAAAAGTTCGGCAGTAATACCAGGCCTACCGTTGATGAATATTAAAATCCATACAATCAGCCGCTCAAATATCGGGCCGCTCATTAGGCCCTTAACACCAACCCAAATGTACTCGCCCCGATTGCCCATTGGCAATGGTGTATGAGGTCGCACGACATGCCCAAGCGGCGGTACTGTTCCCAGCACGCCTTGTGCGACTGGCTCAGAAGTATTTTTAACTAGCTCATCATCATTTTTCTTGTCAAGAACTGGCGTGCGCACGACAATATCGCAATCATGCTTTGACCGGTCAAAGTACCGTTTGCCAATCAATTTATTCTTGTCAGGATTTGCATTCTCATCGTCCTTGCCAATTTCCTCGTTTTGCATCTTCACTGGCACAAGATCTACTTGAAGGGAAGCGATTAAATCCACCAAGCACATCATATTAGAATCAGGAATTGCCCTAGAGACAATGTATCCATTGTTACCAGAAAGTGCTGTTTTGACATTATCAAAAAATCTGCTTGCGGTCATGAGAATGTTAGGATCAACCCACAATGTAATTGTAGACATGAACCGATCAGAAAACATAAAGTTGCGGCCGGGCTGAACTTTTTCAAAGTCGCGAGGAACGTAAACAATCGACCGCTCGTCGTCGAGGGACTTGACTGCTCCATTAATAGTTTCATCACTGTACTCAAGAAGCATATCTCTGGCAACTTCTGTGTCGTACAAGCGCTCAGGTGTACCAATAAGTGCTTTGATTGACGTTTTGGCACGGCCAATTTCAGTGTCTTCCTCCTTAATTTTCTCTTCAATCTGCGGCATCTCAGTCCGTGGTGCTGCCATGCACCAGTCAGCTAGCTTGGAATTTACCTGTACCATTGACTTATGGTTAAGAACAGTATCGTATTCCTTGACATAAGTCCCAGGAATAATGATATATTCCTCCTCAAATTTCTTGCGATCCTCAAACAACGCGGGGGATCCATCGGGATCCTTAAGGAAAGGCGACTTTAGTCTCCAATATGCCACTAGATATGGAATGTCCAAATCTTCAGGATCCATGAGCTTGATTTCACCAGATTCGTAGCCGCGCTCAAACAGAACCATCCAAACATTGATGAGCTGGTAAATCTGCGTTGAACCCCCAATCTTGACTCGGCTTCGAGCCCATAAGCTGCGTGCCTGAGATGCAGAAACATCAGGATACCAGTTTCGGAGCTCTTTGGCAATATGCTCCCAGTCCATTTTAATTAATCCGGCCTCAGAAAACGATCTGCAAATAATAACCACACGAACAAAGGTATCCAAATTGGTAATATTTCTGATAGCAGCCCGATGTCCTCTTTCCTTTTTGCGTGCTGGCTTATTTTTATTTTTTTCTGCTTCGCCTTCGGCTGTCTTGAGTCTCATCTTGGATGCATATTTGCGAGCATTTTTAAAAAGTCTGTGAGAAACAGTAGTTTCTCGCAACAAGATTGGATCGTCACCCCCAATGAAACTTTGTGCTTTTCTCCGTCTCCTGACTTTTTTGGTATCTGAAATGCGAACTCCAATGTCTATGTCTGGATTACCAGTCTCTTCTTCATCGCTTCCACGAGACTTGCGACTGCGACGCTTCTTAGTATTATTAGAACCATCACCGCGAATGCGCCGGCGTTTGCGAATACTGTCTTCGGTCTCACCTTCTTTGAGTGAATCATCTCCAGAATGCTTGCGCTTTTTTCTACCCTTTCGAGTTTTTTCACGATCAGTGTCCGCTTTTCTAAGACGGCGAGTTTTAGATTTGGGAAGTAACCCATTGATAGACAGATATCGCAAGTTACTTCTTCGAATAGCTGTCTTGTACTTTTCAGACATGACAAAAAAGTTTCCACTTGCAGATTTTCTTGCAACGCTATGGGGTGCTGCCCGATTTCTGAGAACCTCCAAGTTTTGAGCAATTCGTTCTTTTACTTCTTTTATTCGGTTATCATCATCTGAAATACCGTTAGCAACAACCAATGATTTCGAAAGAAATTTACTGCCATCTTTATTTTTGCAAGGCAGCGTAAATTTAAATACACGAATGGTTTCATTTTCCTCCATTAGCTTAATCATCTTTTCATAAGTTTTTCTGTCCATGCTTGATCCGTTTTCTTCTTTGAACCGATTATTAAATTCGATCAAAAAGGCAGTACCATTTTCTGCAACACCATTGTTCAACTCCAAAGCTTCCAAAAGTTGTTTAATACGTTTTTGATCGCCAAGACTAACAGCCTGTGTCCGCTGTCTGACGAAGTTGCGACCTCGTTTGACAGGAGTTTGACTGTGTTGGGATATGATTTTCATGATTGAATTATGAGTCAAGTCTTCATCAACCAATCCGACCATCTTTTTATCTTGACGGTCTTCTGAGTCCACTGAAGGCAAATTTTGTGCTTTTTGACTTTCCTGAGTTTTTTCAGAATTTTGACCTTCTTGATTATTCTCAGAAATGTGATCATCTTGAATGTCTTGAGAGTCCAGGGATTCTTGGGCCACTCTGTTTTCTTGAACCTCTTCAGCTATTCGAGTTTCCTCGGCCTCTCGTGTTTTTTGAGCTGCTTGAGCTTCGTGAATTGAAGGGTCAACAACAGTTTCGGGCTCAGCAACACGAGGAATCTCGTTCGAAGGAACATTTTCAGCGGGAATACTCTGTGCTTGAACCACCAAACTGCTTTGAATATCTGACTGTTGTGTTTCTTCCTGAGAAATTAAATCCGGTTGAGTAACTGAGGCCGTAGTTGGTGATATAGTTCTCAGTGCTATAGATGCTTCAGGTTCATTTTTTTTTGATTTTTTAGATGGAGTTTCAACAATTGGATTTTTGCGAGGGCGACCACGTTTTTTTCCTCCCGTAGTTGGAGTCGACTCAGGAATAGGTATATCAAATCCGTCTTTCCGTAGTTTGGAAATTTCTCCATAAAAAACTAGTCTAGCATTGCCATTTGATTCAGATACAACGTTTGCACGACCTGGTAACGGAATGGAACGACCTTTTTCCATTTCAGCCAAGCTTTGGAAAGCTGGTTTTTCGGAAAAAAAGAAAGATCCCCATATTTCTTTCTCAGGTTCGTTATTGAACTTGACATAGCCTGTATTTGTAAAATACCGATAATACTTAATGCGCGCAGAAAAATCGACACCACGAATTACTAGCAAATGACCCAATGGTGATTCAATATATTTTTTCAATTGATCAGAAGTTAAAGTTCCCGTAAGACCCTCCAATTCTTTATTAACAACTCGAGCAAAACTGCGGCCTGTAAGTTCTTGGAGAATAACACCACCTGGAATACCAGCAGCATTGTAGTTTTTAATGATTTGAAAAACCTGACTAGTAAATGAATAGACAAAATTGACTTTGTGTTGTACTGAGCTTTGACGTTTATCTGCAGCCATTTCTTCAGCTTTGGCCTCCTGCATCTTTTCCAAATCATTTGGGCGTAATTCCTTTTCGTTAATGATTCCCATGGTTTTCGAACTTTCAGGGTCGTCCATTCCGGGATTCTCATCTTCAGCTTCTTCAGCGTCCTCATCATCGTCATCATCGTCATCCTGTTCATCTGGGTCATCAGAGGCTGGAAGGTCTTTAAGAAAGCGAACACAGAGATAGCAGCGATGTGGGGCATCTTCTCTGAACATAACTAATTGTTCGACATATCCTTCTTTTGCAAGTTTTCTTAGAATACTACCAAGACGTCCGCGTCGAACATTAAGTTCTTCTACCATATCAAGATAAAATAGAATGTTGCGTGGAGCCACCTTAAGAGCTTCCATAACTTTTCGGCGAATAAGTGTTTTATCTAAAAGCACTGCATGTGCTTTTTCTGTTGAGCTGGAGCTGCTTCCATTTTTTTTTGGTTTTGAACCTTTTGTCTTTGATATTGGGTCTCGCTGAGCCCACACAAACTTATGGAAAACTGAAACATAGGTCCATGAACCGTTTGAAATAATGGAGTACTTTTTGATAAGGCCTAATTTAATAAGCAAATTAAGTCGACCTGTTAATGATCGTGCATCTTGCTTAGTTACTTTAGCAAGGGTAGCACTGGTGATGCCTTCGGCTCGCGCGCGTGCGATTTCGCATAAAAGTTGGAATGGGTTGGCACCAATATCTGATTGCGCTTTGGACATACCGGTCAAATGTTGCCAAAGTTCATCTTCAGAAAGTACTATACTGAGATTGGACTCTTGATACTTCTCGAGAACCTCTGAATAAGGCCAGTCTCGATGTTCTTGCGGAATCTAATAATAGTTAGATTGACTTCGTAAAAGAGATAGCGATAAACATACATCTTCGCCGTTATATAGAATGCGGGTCTTTTCTTTTAGCCTGTTAAGCCAGGTCCATACAATAGACTTATAAAAATCGTCTACAACAATAACCAACGTCTCGATAAAGGCCCATAGTTCAGCAAATGGTGTAGCTAAAAGAAATTGTGAGTAAAAAATATTCTTTCATTTTATATTTAAAAAGAGGGGTTGGACCGAGATTGAACCAAGATATGATTTTTTTTTTTTTGAAAAAGATCAAGTCCTTGAAATTTCTTCAATCATGAAACAAAAAAATTGGAAAAGTTTTAAAAAATATGAAAGATATAAAGTTTTAAAATATACTTAAAAAATGAAGATTGAAATACATACACGTACTGGAATTGTATGAAAGCTCTTCAAGAATACTGTTTACAAGATCCAATGGTGAAAGAGTGGTGGACATTTTCTTGTAAAATTCTCAAAGGAAAATATCAAGGGAAAAAATACTTCAATATGAATTATATATTCAAATCAATAGTTAGGTATCGTTAAATAAATTGGTATCAGTGTGTTGAATTATTGTGTTTGAGTCCAATAAAAAAAAAGTGCAAATTATGGCGGGAAAGCGTTGAAAATACATTTTAGGGTCTTTTATTTTTTTACCCTAACCCAAAATGTGCCAATTTGTGGAAAACAGACTGCGGCTTAAATAAGGAAATGCGAAGAATGTGACCATAGTGACTTGGAAGATGCTGGGATACACTACAATACCAGGGTTCACACAAATGAAAATATAACGAAAACAATTTCTAAGTTTTTTTTTATGTCTATTTTTACCTTTATCATAGCTTTGGCTTTGCCCATATAGTTCCAATTTCTCTTGTTCAAATATAACAGCCAACCAATTAATATATTTTAGACTTCACAGAGTCCCGTCAAAAGAAATTGAGCTTAGCAGATTTCAAAACAGGCTGATCTTTTATAATTTTTTCATATGGCCGTATGCATACTTTTAAAGGTAGCTATAAGTTTTGCAGATTACTGATTTATAAGGTTGATTAAAATTAAATTTGTTATCATTAATTCTAATAAGCAATAATAGATATTTTAAACTTATTAGTGATTTACTAACGAAGGTTCAGCCCTTTGTTTAAGAACTGTAAGCAACAATCTTATCAATGTTCTGAGGAATTTTTTAAAGCAGAGAAACACTGAATTATTTTATAGTATCATAAAACAAAATCAATCTTTAAGTACGTAAAATTTCTGAATCTATTTAATTTAATTTAATTTAAATTGATTTTGATTCTATTCCATTCTATTCTCTTCTATTTTTTAATATTTCTTAAAATCATGCTTATTAAATCTAATAAATTTTAATGGGGGGTCATATTTAAACCTTATGTACTAGAATATACGCAGATATGTGTTTTTTGTGGAACGGAGTTTTGGTGGTCATTTCCACAGAAACACAGCGTAAGCAACACTGAAATTTTTTTGTTCAGCAATTTTTTTTGTCATCACAACCTTTAGTTAACACATCTTCTTTTTGCATCCTCTACGTTTGTTTTAGGTGTCACTTTTAAAGATTTCTTGCTATAGTTTAAAACAGAGGGACATTTTCATATTTTTATAGCTCTTTTTGGACACACATTTTGTATTTGTGTAAATTCATTGCCCTACTTGCGGAAAGAATACAATGGAACAACAACGACACGGCCGCCCTATTCGCGATAGGACATCAAGAAGAGTGAACCCTTATGCGCGATTCAAGCCTGAGCCTGAACTAAATGCCAATCCCAATCAGGTATGCGTTTTTTTTTGATGTTATTTGACATGTTTACTTTGTCTAACAACTTTAGACCGGATCTTCAATTATCAACAAAGTCAAGTCGCTTTTCACATGGGCCAAAGCGCCAGTAAATTCAGAGAATGATAATGAAGAAAACAATACAAATAATACCAAATCATTTTTTGACAGTTTCAAAGTTTTTAAATTCCAAGCCCCTGATTTGTCTCGGTTTGGTAGCGGCAACAGCAACAGCAGTAGCAGCAGCAGCAGCAATGATAGCAATAACACAGCGCTACAACTTTCAACATCTGAACAAGCCGGACTAAGTCGTCTTGGACTAGAAAACTTGAATGAGGATGAGAATCTGTCTAGTAACTACCATGCTCTTGCGGAGTTTTTTGAAAAGAAAGGCTCTGAGCCTTTGACTGAAATTGAGGAAGAGGGCGTAAAGTCCATTTTAAGACGAATCCAACTGAAATCAGCAGGAAACAGTCCAAATGGAAAGCTGAGATACCCTGTAGCATCTATTCATGCACCTTCGCTTAATAGATTTGATAGTATTCCCAACACAGCAAATTCATTCATGCCGCGAAATGGAAAAAAGCAAAAGGCAAGCCACGAAAGTTCCGATTCCACACCGCTTATTAAATACACACCACTATATTCTGGAAACACAAAACGTCCTTTGGAAATAACCAAGTTTAAACTGCGGAAACTTAATAACCTTGCATCTATTCCTACACCTTATAGACCCACCACTGATTTAGAGTATTATCAATCTCAAGAAGATGATGAGCAGCTCCCTGACGTCGATAATGATTATGAGAGTACAGCTTTAGTTAAAGCGACTGAAGAAAATGGAAACTCCAATCTTGAGGAAGTGACTTCTGCTGAGGAAGAAAAGGAGATGAGCAAGACCGCTTCAGCTATGCTTTCACTTATTGAGCCTCTGGATGAGGAAAAGAAACAAGAGAACGGCAAACCCCAACCGAAGAAGCCTTTTATTAATCCATATGCATCTACAGCGGCGCGGTCTACGCCGCGAAATAAACGGCCTCGTCGGCCGGTCGTAGCATCATCTTTGTCTTCACCTTCAGGAATCATTAAGAGCTTAGAGCAGACCATGCCCGAATCCGGTGACAACAATACCGAAAACTCTAACTCAGGATCGGCATCGCTTCAGCGTAAAACAGATGCGGCTTTTGTGGATAAGTACAAACCAGCGCGTTCTTCATCACTACGCAAATCGCTTGATCTGACTGCTGACGAGGGGGGGTCTTCGCCGCGCGTCAGTATGATATCCACAACAATCATTGATACACAACAGCCCAAATTTACTGCTCGATGGTCCGCTCCTGAGTTTGCCGATGAAGAGGACGATGAAGGTGATGTCAAGTTAGATGATGCTCCTAAATCGTCGTCATCACCGCAATCGGCGAAGGCACCTTTATTTTCCTTTAGCAAGCCTAAAGAGAGTGCAGCTGAAGGCAAGCCTGCTGCTCCTCTATTTACTTTTGGCGATAACAAAAAGACTGAAGAAGAGAAGAAGGATGATTCCGAACCCCCTAATAAAGCTTCTACGTCACTTTTCAGTTTTGGTGGAGCCACTACTGATAAGCCTGCTAAGCCGCTCTTTGAGACTGGTATTGGTGCGGCGACAACGGCGGCGATCACGCCCACTATTACTTTAGGCTCAAATAACAGCACTGCATCACGGACCCCAGCCGCCACTTCCAAGCCACTATTTCCTACTACCTCATCATCGAAGCCTCTTTTCAGTACTGGATCCACAACCCAAGCACCTGCATTTAAGTTTGAGGGGCCTGCTATTGTTTCTGGTAATGCAGGATTTAGTGCTGCGCCAGCGGTTGCAACACCTACACTTTCAACATCTACAACAGTTCCCACAACATCGCCTATACGGCCAGCTGGGTCACCTGTGAAGTTTAGTTTTCAAGGAGCACCAGTTTCTGGGCCCAACAGTGGAGGTTTTAATTTTGGTGTGAATGGCAGTAACAGCAGCAGCAGCAGTAATACAGGTGCTCCCATTTTTAAGTTTACGGCTAATGGTGGTGGAATCAATGGTAATAGTGCAGTAGCAGCGACAACTACAACAGCCTCAAGTACTGGTAGTGGTGGATTTCAATTTACAGGTGTTGCCAATGGTAGCAACGGTAGCAACGGTAGCACGACGACGAAGCCGTTTATTTTTGGAGTTTCTCAGCAGCAATCAACATTGGCCACTAGTAAAGACAACAACGATGAAGAGTCGCGGAAGGTTGCTTCTGTTTCTGATTCGATGAAGATTGATTTTGGGACTGTTGATTTTGTGACTCCACCTTTGGGAGCTGTTGATGAAGCTGTAATTCAGACCCTGAAGGAAACGGAATTTATATTTTAGTTTAGCGCATGAAGTGCGCCAAGTTCCGGATTAATATTATATCTATATAATAATAACAATAATAATTATATACAATATAGTTTTTTTTTTTTTTAAAGATGAAGAATTTTCAATTTTAAAAAAAAAAGGAAGTGTAGAAAATTGGATTAGGGTAGATTGTTTTTTAGATTTTTTAGATGACGGATTCTCTATCTGTTGCTTGTTAGGTTTTGAAAGGTGGTTTAGAAATACGCGCGCGCAGGTAATAATTAACCAGCGGCTCGAGGACACCTGCCAACCGGTATTCAAAGATGCTCAAAGAGGCACGCGGGCAGACAGCGTTATCTATCACCGTTACGTAACTGGCTTTTGAGCGATGAGTCATCACATGACAAGCTTATGGCCCAAAGTGGCTTTGAATCGGTAATAGTGGGAGTGGTGGTGATAATTGAGAGATAAGGAAAGGCCGAGTATATAAATGTGCCACTTCCCTAAAAATCTTAAACATTTTTTTTTCTAGGTTTACTCTTTTTCTTTTTATTTAAGCTTATTATTTATTTTAAAACTTTTATTATATATATATAGACATCATTTCTTTCTTTTTTTCTCTTTTTTTTTTTTTCTCTCATTCATATAATCATACTATGGAACCTTTAGCTACTTACTTTCATTGTCCACTGACAGATAAGACTGGTACACCACTGGTCCAGTGGATTGCACGATATACTGGGTCTTGTGTTTACGGAACAGAATCTACATTATCTTGGGTCTTTGGATATATCTCTCTCATCTGCTGGCTGGGTGCTCAGCTCCCTCAGATTGTGACAAACTATCGCAACGGCTCTGTCGAGGGGTTATCGCTAGGACTTGTTTTCAACTGGTTCCTGGGTGACTTTACAAACTTTGTGGGTTGTGTACTGACCCACCAGCTTCCCTTTCAAACCCTCTTGGCCCTTTATTACATTTGCGTGGATCTGGTCCTTGGTGGCCAGTTTTACTACTACACTCGTCCTAAGAAGCAACGATTTCATCTTCACAATCATTCGCATGTCCAACGTCATAAAAAACACAAGAAACATGCTCATGTTGCGGCCGAGGATGAAATGGAAGCCCTTCTGAGTCCCGAAACATCTTTGTCAACAGAAACAGCTACTACAACTCAATCAATGAACATTCCTAGTAACCAAGCAGTTAATGTACCTCCACATGAACCACCATCAGTTACCTATGATTGTCCTATTTCCAACTCAGGCTCGTATCCATTTAAGAACTCTTCAACCGTCAGCCTCAAAGCTCTTTTAACCTCATCTTTTGTTTCGTCTTTCTCCAAAGTGCGGGGAGCCCCCCTGTATGCTCCTTCACAGGAAGATGCGTTTGATAACACAACAATAACACAAGTTTCATCCAACAATAATAATATTATCAAGACTCTTTCTACCGGTTTTTTTTCGATTCTTGCTATTAAATCAGAAACTATTGGTTTTATTTTTGCATGGACATGTACATGTTGCTATTTGATGTCACGAATTCCTCAGATTTACACAAATTATCGCCGCAAGTCTACGTCCGGCACGTCGATTTTGCTTTTTCTCGCTGCCTTAACCGGAAACACTACTTATACTCTTTCGATTCTATTGTCTCCAGCAGCCCGTGGACCTGGCTGCTGGGATTTTTTAAAGAATGAGCTTCCATTTTTGTTGGGTTCTGCTGGCACTATTATGTTTGATGTGACGATTTTCCTCCAGTGGATTCTTTACATGGACAATAAGACAGCAGTTGAGCTTGACGAGGAGAAGAAGTGCAGCAGCGTGATTGATGCTGCTGGCGATGTGTCACCATCAATGATGATTTCGCGGGAACACCATGCCGAGACCCAATCGGCCGGGTCTACTAAAAAGATTACTGCTGGGTCCACTAGTCCAGCTCTTTACTCAGAATCGCCCATGACTCAGGAGGCTTTACGGATTGTCGCGCAAAGAGACTTGAATGTTGCCTCCGAATCGACACCGCTTTCTGGTTCACCTCCACATGGATCCTACAACTCTTTGTAAATATTACAAGCACTACAAGCATTAGATGAAAGAGTTTCATTTTTTTTTTATTTTTTAGCATTTTAAGCATAGATAGATTTTTATTTATTTTTTTTTTTTTGGGAGCATTTTTGTTATTATTACTTGACATATATATAATAAATAGATTATGGTTTTTATAATAAGTATTTTTTTGAAAAAAAAAAAAAAAAAAAAAAGCATTTTGCGAAAATGCGATTGATTATGGGAGGGGATCGGGAGGAGAAGGAATGTTGTTAATTTGGTTTAAACCGGATGCATCAAGCCCATTAAGTGACACGACAATAAGATTCCATTTTCTTTTCCTCTATGACGCACAATAATTTACGCGACAAAGAAATTTAACTTCGATGAGTAATAAAATATATATATATATTTTTTTTAGAATCTTTAACATTTGTTTGTTTCTTTTTTCTAGTTGTTAAAAAAAGAAAAAAATAAATAAACAAAAGAGAACTCAAAATATTTGAAACTTTTCATATATGTATGTATATTGTTTATTTTTATTTTTTTTTTTTTTTCAAGATATATCTATTAAATTTTTTTTTTTTTCTTGTTCCATGCTTGTTCACGTGCATCATCACATTTTTTTCTTTCTTTCTAGAGCTAATCACGTGTAATAAGTATTCAGCCGCACTGTTCTTTACTTTTTTTTTTTTTTTTTTTATTCTTCTTGGGTTTTGAAATGTCAACGATCAACGATCATGATTATAATTAGAAGCCTCGATCGATGGATAAAATAAAAAAAATAAAATTGAAATTAAAATTGAAATTAAAATTAAAATTAAAATTAAGTAAGAATAAATAAAGTAGATTTTGATTAAGTACTGTAGTTGGATTTTTTTCGTTATTTTTTGTTATAATTTACAGATCAATTAGATTTTGCTAGGCATTAATATTTTATTAAAATCACAATATTTTACAAAGACTATTTTTTTTTAGTTTTTAAAAAAAAAAAAAAACTTCAAAAAATGCGCCTTGTTCAAAATGTAATTATTTTAATTATTTTAATTAAAAAAATTATAATTATTATAATTATTATAATATTTATTATTATTATTATTACTATTACTATTACTATTACTATTACTATTACTATTACTATTATTTTCTTAAACTCGGAAGTGGGGAAAGATATTGAGGAGGAGAAAAGGACCGGCAAAGAACGCACAAGTGAGTGGGAAACAGTGCAGCGGAAGATGGGAGGAATGGAAAGATAATGCGTAAGAAAGAGGACCTATAAAATACTTTCGGTCAACTGAACTCCATCTTTTTTCATATATATATTACTTTTCATTTCATTTAATTTTGTTTAGTTTAGTTTAGTTTAGTTTAGTTTTTTTGAAAAATAAAAAAAATATCAAAAAAGAAGGCTTTTTATATTTATTTAGTACACTACTATGATCACATCTTCAAAATTTGTATATTTTTAAGAGTAATTGAAAGGGCTTTTAATGTTCGGAACAAGCTTCCGGATTAGGAAGTCTGAATTATGGCAAAGTTTTTTAAACGATCACGCTCATCATCATTTTTAAGAAATTTTTCCTAATAATTATTATAATGAGCCCTTTTTTTTTTTACTTTAGAAAAGCACACACAATATTTTGCTCTCTTTTTTCTTTTTCTTTTTTTTTGCCTAGAGATTATAATGAGTGAAATTATTATATCTCTTTGAAAAATCATTTGTAGGGAAGTCAGCTGCCTTTTTGTTTGCTTGTTTCTTTTCATTTTTTTTTGTAATTAATAATAATAATATTATTATTATTATTATTATTCTCTCTTAGGTTTGCCTCTTGTTCTACTACCCCAGATTCTATGTACCCCATTGGTCAAGATGATAACGAAAAAGAAAAGAAGATCATAAGGAAATACTAGAATAGAAAAAAGAAAAAAAATTATTTAGAACTCCAATGAACTTTTAAAAGTTTCAATATTGAAATCAAAAAGTTTTCCTGGAACGTAATTTAGCACGTCATTCAAAGACATTTATTATAGGACGAAGAAGAAGAAGATGATGATGATGATGATGATGATGATGATGATGATGATGATGATGATGATGATGATGATGATGATGATGATGACTCAAAATGTAATGGATTCTACTATATCTGAACTATAATCACTCCATTTATTATCAACTAAGATATTTTCAACAAACTTTTTCATTTTAGACCCCTCGGTATGTGGGCTGTTTAAAAGAAATAAAAATTCTAAAAAAAAAAAAAAAAAAAAAGGTGACTGGTTCTTTGGCACCTCGTCTCGTAAATATGTGTGGTCTGAGAGGTTGTAACATTAATAGAAAATAATAGCAATTAGCATAATAATAATAATAATAAGCAAACAATACAAACCACGTCATTTGATGAACTTTTCAATTCCTTGCTCACATTCTTCTTCTTCTTCTTCTTAATAATTATTCTTCTCCCATGATCATTTCAAAAATTGTAATCACATTAAATTTCAAAGGCACTATACTTTTCAGCCAATTACGACAAATCCTTAGGCGTAATTAGTAGCCCTTATAGAAATACAAACTTTAGAATTTACCACTAAAGCAAACATTCCACACACAAACCTAATAAATAGTTAATCACTGGATAATTATCTTATAAGTTGACTAAAAAAAATTGTAGACATAACTCAAGCTTAAAAAAAAAAAAAACTTAGTGCTGATAGGCGCGGCAAGTAACCTTATTTTAATTTTTTTTTCTTCGTCCCTCCAATCTGGTTTCAAGGCCATCACTCTTACCCCGGATTTTTTTTTTTTTTTAAACTTGAATACATGCAAATTCTCAAGTGTGTATGTTGCAAATTTGCAAATTTATAAATTTGAGGCAACAACAATTTTTCGGGCTTGGCCGAATCTTCTCCGGAAATTAAAATTTTACCGTCAGCAGCTTAAAAAAAAAAAAAAGAGTGCGTGATGTTGGGCATCCCCACAATTTGCTACACTAGTAGCCGTTAGTGCTCCCTTCCTCTCCAAAAAAAAAAAAAAAAAAAAAAATTAGTGTACTATTATCCCTTTGGCCAACAACAATTACCCCACGATTTAGCAATTGTGTTATTTTATTGTTTGTTTGATTTCTATTCAAGGGTTATAGAATTATATAACATCAGCATCTGCGCTATCCTTCTTGTCCATACTATATATCTTTTCATTTTAATAATAAACTTTTAATTTTGCCTTCAACATTGCATCTCCAACAGCCGGAAAATAAGTCCTTATGCCATAACAAATATAGGATCACGTGAACAAAAAGTTTTCTAAAAATAGCAACAAATTTTTATTATGTCTTAATATTAAGATCTGTTACCCCACAATCTACAGTAACCTATGGCACTATGGCCGAGCGGTTAAGGCGAAAGATTAGAAATCTTTTGGGATTTCCCGCGCAGGTTCGAGTCCTGCTGGTGTCGATAACTTTTTGCTTAGTTTTTTAGTTTTTTAATTAATATTTTTTTTTTTTAAGTTTTGAAAAAAAAAAAAAAAAAAAAACTGAGACTACAATGCTTTTCTAATCCTCCATATAAACTCACTATCCTTTAAAAACAATATAAAATCCTTATCCATGTGTTAATACTTTTTAATAAATTATAATTACTTCTCTTTTTATTTTTTTTTTATCTGATAACCATCTTTAAATTGTAATTTCTGCCGACAATGGCAAGTCTCGGCTGCTATTGCCCACAAGGAATCGATACTTTCCTCGAGGAACAACCCAGCTTTGGCTTTCCACATCCCATACACTTAAATCTCTGCGCTGTACTTTAAAAGTAAGCTTAGCCGACTGTCCCACGTTCAAATATGGCTTCTCAAACCCTCGAAGCTGTCTAGGTGGTACATCATATTTGCCGCCCTGCGGATACTCGACATAGAGCTGGAAAGCCTGGCTGCCGGGAAAAGGACCATTATTCACAGCAGTCACACTCAGTGTATATGCAGTCTCAAACAAAGCCGGGTTTCCACCTAAGCCACCTCCAGCAAGCGGAGCACTAGAAATGGCATCAGTCACATTGATACAACTACCCTTGACATTTCCAACGTCTCCAGAATTGCTCAACCAAGGGTAAATGTACCGCGGCACTGCGGCAAATCCTGGAGGAAACGTATAAGCATCTGCATTAGTGGGCTTGTTGCAAGCCAAAGCTGACACAGGCTTGAGAGAAGGAGGCTGCGGCAACTGTTCCGAAGGTGCTGTTCCAGATTCAATCTTGAAGTCAGACAATCCAAATGACGAGTAAGACAACCCATAGCCAAACTCGTACCGTGGTGTCAACCCATTCTTGTCAAAGAGTCTATAGTCGACATAAATTCCCTCGGTAAAGTCGGCCTGCGGCTTGCCATTACCGGGGCTAGTCACTATAGGTATATAATCCTTGTCATCGCGAGCAATGGTAAACGGAAGCTTACCACTGGGATTGCTCAAGCCAAAGAGTACATTGGCAACTGCAATGCCAGCATCTTGTCCACCCGGAAGTGCAAATAGTACAGCCTTAATATTGGGATGATCAATCCAGCGTTCCAAATTGGTCGGGCCCACAGAAGAAATTACCACAATATTGTTTTTGTTTTTTTCTGCTGCACGCAAAATCACCTCGTCCGCATTATGCCATAAAGACGCGTTTCTGCGATCACCATAATTGCTATCAAAACTCGCAAACCCTTCGCCAGCATTAGTAAGAGCAAAAATAATATTGGCATCTGCAATAGAAACCTTGCTTAGAAACCCATCCAAATTAAACGCCGTAAAGTCATAGTCAACTGTCATGCCAATTTTGCGTGCAGCATCATTCACTGCTTCAAAAGGCGTCACAAAGTGCTGAAAGTCAACGGCACCAGACCCCCATCCTTGACCAAGAGCACCATCGCTGCATGCAAAGTCAGGCTTGCAATTGGCCCCCCGTGGATCGGGACCCGCAGCCTTGCCAAAAATGTTAATCTTGCGCGGATTAAGACTTCCACCAACAAGTGGCAACACATTACCACTATTTTTAAGCAACACAATACCTTCAGTTGCAACTTGTAATGCTGCTGATTTTGACAAATCGTTATTGCTAGCAACCACATGCTTATTCACTTCGCGCCAGCCAACATTACCAAGCGGATGCTCAAACCCCCAAGTATCCTTGGTCCAAGAAGAAAAGTTGGGACCACTCTGCGTTGTATTGATACTATCCAGTCCCACATAATAGTATGCTGCCAAAATACGCACAGCCATGTCATCCAAACGCCAGTCACCCAGAGACCCGTCCAGCACGGCACGCGTCAAACGATTACCCCAAAATGTGTCCGGACTTGTAAAATACCCAGAGTCACCAGGCATAGCCATATCCAAACCAGCCTGTGCAGAAAAGATACCCGTCTTCATGGCCCACCAGTCAGACATGACAAAACCTTGAAATCCAAGCTCTTCTTTAAGAAGCTTATTAATCAAGTATGAGTTTTCGCACGCATATGTATTGTTGATAGTATTGTATGAGCACATTACTGAGCCCACACCTTCATTCACAACATCGGCAAACGGCCACATATAAATCTCATGCATAGTACGGTCATCAATGTTGCTGCTAAGAGATTGAGAAATTGGTCCACTTCCATAGTACTCGCCAACCTGCCTAAAGTGTTCTTGTTCATTACCAATAAAATGTTTAATGGTGGCCACCAGCCCAGCTTTTTGAATTTCACGTGTAGTCGCTCGAGCAGCCACACCCTGTAGGTATGGATCCGCACCAAAACCTTCCCATGTTCTGCCACCAAGAGCATTACGACCAAGAGGTCCAACTGCTGGACCTAGTACCACATGCACTCCTTTGGCCTTGTGTTCAAGAGCCAAAGCCTTTCCGCGAAATGCAATCAATTCCTTGTTAAATGAAGCACCAGCAGTGATTCCTGCAGGGAAAGCTGAAATAAAATCGGTAAAACGCACACCTAGAGGACCATCCTGCATACATAACGATGGAATATTAAATCGAGGTACCGAACCAGTGTTTCCGACACATAAGTCAGCTTCCCAGCCTGAACCTGTAGTCAAATTCACCTTTTCAGGAATTGTCATCTGTGAAACAACGCTTCGTGCACGGTCATAAGCTTTGCTCCATTTATCATCCGTAGTCAACCGACCACCAATGGCTTTTTGGAAGAAAGAAAAGGAAAAAATGTTAAAATTAAAGATTTGAATGGGTTTTTTTTTACTGGTTTGTACTTACGTGATTTCAAGTACTGTGGAGATGTGAATTGTGCAACAGTTAGAACTGTGAGGTAAAGAGCCGTCAAGCTCGTAATTATTTGAAATTTCATTGAGTTTATTCTTGGACTGAAAAGGAAAAAGAGAAAGAAAAAATAAATCAAAATCTTTCAAAAAATGAGATGTTCATACATATATATACCAAAATTCATTATTATTACCAAATTCAGATAGTGTCTGAAATTTCAAACGTTTTCTTTTCCTTTCCCTTTGGCAATAGATGAGCGGCGATGTTTCATAGAAGAAAAAGAAGTGAATAAGCGTTTAACTATATCAAAGGCAAAAGCCGAAATCTCAGATTGTCATATGACTCTTTTTCCTTCTTTTTTTTTTTTTCTCTTTAACCCTTAAACTTCATCCCATATTAACTAATATCCAGAAAAAATGAAAATTATGTTTATATGACTAAAAGTCATCATTTGAACAAAAGAACCTCGTAAGCCGATAGCTAAGTTAGTATTATGTCATTACGCAGCAATATCTTGCTGAATTTTTTGTTTTGACGGGTTCGGAATAAAAAAAAATAAAGAGGGGCCCTGTTTAAACAAACTATATAAATGTCTGTATTCGATGTGTCTGCCAAATTAATGCCATCACAATGTGAAAAATAATTACTTGCTCAAATTTGTGGGAAAGAATACATTTACAAAAAATAACAACTTTAAAAAAAATTATATAAACTGTTTAACTATTTTTCTTTTTATAGTTTAGTCACATTGCTAATATATAAAAATATCAAAGAAAAAGATAATCAGCAATAATGTTAATATTTTCAAAAAGAGAGGAATTCTATTGTGAAAAAAAATCGTTAAAGGAAAGTATAAATTTTCTAAATAAAAAAAAGAATTAAAAAGAGAATTAAAAATTACTGTACTTTATTGATAGTTTAGAAGCTGGAGTCCGTTTAGATTTTATACGTCTCTTTCTATCTTCTTTGATCTACGACTTCCCTCCCTTGTGTAGTATCATTTGTGAATTCTAATGTTTTGGATCTAAAAATAACCAGTGCAAATGTATATCAAATTTAAGTTATTTGAAATCAATTCAGTACATTTTAGTATTGTTCCAAGAATTATTATTGTAAATTTACAAATATATATATATATATATATATATTCAATTCGAGGATTATTATAAATTGTTATATCAACATTAACGCTATTTAATTTGTTCTACTATATATATAACTTTTTGTTTTTACAATGAACCGTTAATTTGATTTCATCATTGTATCGCCAATAGCCTGAAAATTATTTCTAAAGCCAACTCAAAAAAAAAAAAAGGCACAAATTAAACCTTTACAACTTATCATCAAATACCCGTTTGTTTGTTTGTTTGTTTGTTAGTTTTTATTCAAGGGTTATATAATTATATAACATCAGCTGCGCTATCCTTCTTGTCCATACTATATATCTTTTCATTTTAATAATAAACTTTTAATTTTGCCTTCAACATTGCATCTCCAACAGCCCGAAAATAAGTCCTGATGCCAGCTTACGAGGAACAGGGGGTTAAAAATAACCAAACCTTCCCAACTTATCTTCACTTGTCTTCATCAATGCTGTAATTGTATTTCTTAATCCCTCCAAGCAGAGATAAAGCTTACAATCTCTTGTAAGCCAGTTAAACTGTTTAAGAGAGTCGGCATGTCCATCTCTGAAGATATCCGTTTCAGTCCTTTTCTTTCTTCTTCAAGCAAAGGACACTCAACCAAAATGTGATGAACTGTTTCCAGCTCTCCACATTTGCAGTTGTAACTATCCTTTTCAATTCCAAACTTTTTAAACCATGCGCCAAAGTTGCCATGGCCTGTGCGAAACTGAGTAATATTACTCAAGATCCTTCGACTATCTTTCTTCATGATCACTCCCGTGACCATTTTGGAAAGATTATCGGTACATTTCGACTCCACTGTGATATTATGACACCACAGATCCTTATTACTATTCCAATACATTTCTTGTCATTCTTCCATTGCTTGTTTCTTCAAAATTCCAATCGTCTGATTTTGTTGATGTTTCAGTGTAAGAGGTTCAACCCTCTTGCATTTTCGTTTTTCATCCTTTTTAATCATGTAGTCTCTATCATCTTCCGCCAAAATGTAAAGCGTGGTTAGCTTTGGAATTGGATATTTCTCAATCAATGTTAACAAATGACCATTAATAGGATTAGTTTTGCTAATATTTAGGTGTAAACGAATAGCTTTTCGTGCCACCATAAATTTTAGCCTAATACTATATGGCATAATACCAGCTTCCTTTTGTAATACCGCAATAGGGGTCGTGCGATAAGCACCAACAATTCTTCTTAAAGCCATGTTCTGCCATCAAATGTTTGTTTTTATTCAAGGGTTATAGAACTATATAACATCAGCATCTGCGCTATCCTTTTATTGTCTGACTATGTGACTTGCCGGTTTTCATTTGTACCTTTTTAGTACGGGTGGTTTCTGTTCTGTGCGTCTCCGGTAGCCCGGAAGATGGGCCCTGATGCCAGCTTACGAGGAACAGGGAGAACCAGTCTGTCGGTCCCAAAACCTTCCCAACCCATTTCCACTTATCTTCACGGACGCCCATGTATTTCTTAATCTCTTCCGTCAGAGATACGGCCCGCAATCACCTGCAGGCTATTTAGACTGTACGAAAGAGTCGGCATTCCTGTAACCAGGGTAGCCTATGGTTTTCAGTCTAGGTGTATACTCCCGTACACATCCTCAGGAAAAGGGGGTATTCTGGGAATCGAACCCAGTATCTTCCGCTGTCGAGCAAACGTGTTATCCTTTACACCATCCAGCCCTTTCCCCTTTCTGCCATCAAATACCCTAAAATTTAACATTTTTTTCTAATTAGTTTTTGCGGTTTATATAGAAAAGAAATTTTTTATTACTAATATGCACTAGTAGTTTAGGGGTAAAATTTGACGTTCCCATTGTCAAGTCCCCGGTTCGAGTCCGGGCTAGCGCATTTTTTTGGCTCTAACTTTTCTTTTAAGTAATTAGAAAGTTTTTTTTTTTTCAACAAACAGGCCTTGTAAATTTTTTTTCAAGAGGACAATTTTTGATTCCGATAATTGTTAAAATTTCTCAGAGTATTATCATTTAAGCAAACCAATTTTTAGTAAAAACCGAAAATTCAAATATATTTTTTATATAATTTTTATAATACAATCTAATGATACAAAACTAAACATTAAGCAATAAACCAATAAAATAACCTGGTGGGATGAAGAAACCGTGAGAAGAGAAAGGAATAAGATGGGATAAAAGAGCGAATGGGAAAAGTCATAATTTTTTTTTGTAACATTGTTTTTTTTTTAAGGGGGCATCAATCATAATAAAGGGGTCGTAGCAAGAATTGAGGAAAGTTCCTCTTCAAAAATCATAATTCGTGAAAGGTGAGGTGTGAATTTGAATGGAAATAAAAAAAAAGCAACTTCGCATCTCTTTGTTAGTCCATTTCTTCAGAAAAGATAGAAGAAAGAGAGAATGGAAACAATAACCATCATGAAAGAAGAAGAGGAAACAGGTGCAGTGCCACGAGCAGCACCATTCAAGCTTTCGACAGTGACTGTGGCAAGACCACCATTAACTGTAGTTGGGAGCAAGATTCCAGTAACCACATCAGTGGCTGTGGCAGAGCCCGCTGAGTTGGATCGAGTAGTGGTGTAAACAACACCAGTAACTAGGGTCTGTTGGCCACCCTTAGCAGAAGTCATAAAGGTAGTAACCTGCTTACCAAAGTACTGGGGGAGAGCAGTCAAGGTGAGGGTGTCAGTGGCAGAACCAGAAGACTCAACAGACTCGTAAAGAATACCAGTGGCGGTAGAGAGCGAACCAGCCGAGTCGGTGGTAGTGTATACAACAGCAGTGTAGGGAATTGTGGTAGTCTCACCGCTGAGAACAGTTCCTACCGTTGTAGTATAAGGGAGGTCAGGGTTGGGAAGGTGATGGAGAGTGACAGTAACAATATCACCATCAGAGTTGGTTGTGGGGTAAAGAATGCCAGTAACGTCTTCAGGATTGCCATTGGCATCTGAAGTGGTAGCGAAAACAACACCAGTAACAGTGACAGTGACACCGAAAGCATCAGTGGTCTCAAAAGTTGTTGTGGCAGTGGGAGAAACACCAGTGACATCAATAATATTATCATCAGTGCTCTTGGGGAGGTGGTGGAGAGTGACGGTAACAATATCTCCATCAGAGTCAGTGGTGGGGTAAAGAATGCCTGTATAAGAAGCAGTATTGCCATCAGAGTCAGTAGTAGGAAGAACAACACCAGTAACTGTTACAGTATTTCCAGAAGCATCGGTAGTCTCAAAGGTGGTAGTGGCTTCAGGAGTGACGCCAGTAACGTCAATGAGGTTGTCATCGGCGGAAGATGTGGGAAGATTATGAAGAGTGACAGTAACAATATCACCATTAGAGTCAGTGGTGGGGTAAAGAATGCCTGTATAAGAAGCAGTATTGCCATCAGAGTCAGTAGTAGGAAGAACAACACCAGTAACTGTTACAGTATTTCCAGAAGCATCGGTAGTCTCAAAGGTGGTAGTGGCTTCAGGAGCAACACCGGTAACATCGATGAGATTATCATCAGTGGAAGAAGGCAGGTGATAGCCAGTGACGGTAATAATATCGCCATCAGAGTTGGTAGTGGTGATAAGTAAACCAGTGTAAGAAGAAGTCTTGCCATCAGCATCAGTGGTAGGAAGAACAACACCGGTAACAGTAACAGTATTTCCAGAAGCATCGGTAGTCTCGAAGGTGGTGGTGGCCTCAGGAGCAACACCGGTAACATCGATAAGGTTATCGTCACTAGAAGCAGAAGAAGGCAAGTGGTAGCCAGTGACGGTAACAATGTCGCCATCAGAGTTGGTAGTTTGATAAAGAACTCCAGTGTAAGAAGAAGTCTTGCCATCAGCATCAGTGGTAGGAAGAACAACACCGGTAACAGTAACAGTATTTCCAGAAGCATCGGTAGTCTCGAAGGTGGTGGTGGCCTCAGGAGCAACACCGGTAACATCGATAAGGTTATCGTCACTAGAAGCAGAAGAAGGCAAGTGGTAGCCAGTGACGGTAACAATGTCGCCATCAGAGTTGGTAGTTTGATAAAGAACTCCAGTGTAAGAAGAAGTCTTGCCATCAGCATCAGTGGTAGGAAGAACAACACCGGTAACAGTAACAGTATTTCCAGAAGCATCGGTAGTCTCGAAGGTGGTGGTGGCCTCAGGAGCAACACCGGTAACATCGATAAGGTTATCGTCACTAGAAGCAGAAGAAGCAAGATGATGGCCGGTAACGGTGACAATGTCTCCGTCCGAGTTAGTGGATTGAATAAGAACGCCAGTATACAATGAAGTGTGACCTTCTGAATCTGTGGTAGGGAGAATGACACCAGTGACAGTAACAGTATTGCCAGAAGAATCCGTAGTGGCATAGGTAGTCGTGCCCTCAGGTGTCACACCGGTAACGTCAATTAAGTTATCATCGTCGCTGGATCCGGCACCAGATGTTGGAAGATGACGGCCGGTGACAGTGGCAAGCTTGCCATCCGAGTTTGTGGTCGGGACAAGGAAGCCAGTGTAAGAAGAGGTTTGGCCATCAGTTCCAACGGTGGGGATAACAACGCCTGTAGCGGTAACGGTGTGACCAGAAGCATCAGTGGTCTGGAAGGTAGTAGTAACTGGAGCAACACCAGTAACATCAATGATGTTGTCATCAGAACTAGCAGCAGAAGCAGCAACAGCAGCGGTAGGCAGGTGGTGGCCCGTGACGGTGACGAGATCTCCATCCGAGTTAGTGGTCTGGTAAATAACACCGGTGAAGGAAGAAGTCTTTCCGTCGGACCCAGTAGTGGGGAGCACAACGCCAGTAGCTGTGACGGTCTTACCCGAAGCATCGGTGGTCTCGAAAGCGGTTGTGACAGGTGCAACACCAGTGACATCAATGATATTGTCATCAGAAGCACTGGGAGACGCTGTCGAGGGGAGACGGGTGCCGGTGACATCGATAAGATCGCCATTAGAGTTGGTAGTTTGGTAGACAATACCAGTGACAGTGGAAGGCTTGCCATCGGCGCCGGTGGTAGTGATGAGGACACCGGTCGCATCAACAGTCTTACCATCAGAGTCGGTGGTTTTCAAAGCTGTAGTAGGGAAGGAGCCAGTGACGTCAAGAATGTTCTCGTCGGAAGCAGTGGCAGCGGCGGCGGCACCACTACGAGGAACAGCGGAGCCGGTAACATCGACAAGATCGCCATTGGAGTCAGTGGTGGCCTGAAGATACCCAGTGGCAGTAACAGTGGCACCCTGGTCATTGGTAGTGGGGTAAATAACCTGTGTGACTTGATAAGTAGAGCCAGCGGAATTAGTTGTGGGGAAAACGGTAGTATGAGTAGCAAAAGCGGCACCAGTGGCAGTAGCAGATGCACCAGTGGCAGTAGCAGATGCACCAGTGGCAGTAGCAGATGCACCAGTGGCAGTAGCAGATGCACCAGATGCACCAGAAGATGCACCAGAAGATGGGGCGGTACCAGTAACATCAACTATGCTGCCATTTGAGTCGGTAGACTTTGCAACAGCAGCGGTGGAAGCAGTGACAGTTTCAACGACAGTGTGTTTGCCAGAAGATGCTCCAGAGGCAGATGCTCCAGTGGCAGATGCTCCAGAGGCAGATGCTCCAGAGGCAGATGCTCCAGTGGCAGATGCTCCAGTGGCAGATGCTCCAGTGGCAGATGCTCCAGTGGCAGATGCTCCAGTGGCAGATGCTCCAGAGGCAGATGCTTCAGAGGCAGATGCTCCAGAGGCAGATGCTCCAGTGGCAGATGCTCCAGAGGCAGATGCTCCAGAGGCAGATGCTCCAGATTGAGCAGGTGTAGAAGGAGCAGTGCCAGTAACATCAACCAAACTACCATTGGCATCTGTGGATCTTGCAGAAGCCTCGTTGGAAGCAGTAACGGTAACAATGTGAGTGGAAGGGCCAGTGGCTGAGGCAGTAGCAGCAGCTGAGGCTGCAGATGCGGCAGCTTGAACAGAGGCAACAGATGCAGCAGCTCGAACAGAGGCAACGGATGCAGCAGATGCAACAGATGCAACGGACGCAACGGACGCAGCTGAAGCAGCTGAAGCAGCTGAGGCGACAGACGCAACAGAAGCAGCAGAAGCAGCTGCAGCGACCGATGCAACAGATGCTTGGGAGGCAAGAGAAGCGGCAGAGGCTGAGGCACCGGAGACGGCGGCAGCAACGGCGGATGCAGCCTCAGAGGCTGGGGCGGTGCCGGTGACTACGACAAGGTTGCCATTGGAGTCGGTAGAAGGTTGGAGGTAGCCAGTTGCGAATTCAGTGTTGCCTGCAGAGTTTGTTGTGGGGTAGAGGATTCCAGTGACATCGATGGTGTTTCCTGAAGAGTCAGTTGCGGAGTAGACGAGCTGGGTTTGTGTGCCGGTAACGCTACCTTGAGCATCTGTGAGTTCGCGTGCTGTTGTATAGAGTGTTCCAGGAATTGTAGCAAGGTTGTTTGTAGCGGCGGTGTTTTCAGAACCGGCAGTGACGGTGACTGTTACAGTGATTGGTTGAGGGGTCAGGGTCGGGGCACCTTCTGCACTGACGGTTATGATGTTAGCGGCAGAGATTTCGCCTGCAACAGTGGTTTGTGCCGCGTTGGTTGCAGCAGTGTTTGCGGTTGCAACGGCAGTGTTGCCAGCAGCGGTAGCAGCAGTGGCGCCGGTAGGTGAGTCGGTGGAGGCATCAGAGAGCCAAAGGAAAGAGAGGGGGGCTGTTTGACCCGTGACGACGGATTGCGCATGGGCAAGGACGGCGGCCGACGCCGTTGCGAAGACCAAGGAGTATCTCATTGAAATGAAAAAGGTAAACTATATAGGGGTATCTTAAGAATGGGGGGTATCTTGAAGTCCAATAATAAAGAATTAAAATTAGAATTAAGCTTTTTAGAAGGTCGATGGATATTATGGAAGGTTTGTACAGAATTAGAAAGTGATTTTGAAATAAAAAGAAGAGGAAATAAAAAAAAGTATAAATTTAGAAGAAAAGAAAAGGCGGATTTTGAAAAGGTTTATATAGTTTTTTTTAAAAATTGTTTTTAATATATATATATATAAAAGATCAAATATTTTAGATATAATAAAGACCTTGCCCATTTTCAAACAAAAAGGAGGCGGCAGTTGAGGCATGGTCATAATGAGGAGACCAAAAAAAATTTGAATGCGAGTGAATGAATATCCGCAAGTTGAATTTCAGAGGAGAATGCAGATGGCCCGAACAAGTATATTAATCATGGTATTATATCGGCAGGGATGAAAAAAAAAAAGACTTAAGATTGAAAAAAAAACGTGAAAGGAAACCCAGCCAGCCTTTCATGTTACTCAATTTTAGACTTTGACAGGTTCTTTTTTTTGGTAGATCCAGCCAGCCTTTTCTTTAATTTTTATGGCATGGAAGCATTCCAATGTATTGTCGAAAAAAAGAAAAAAAGAAGGATAATATAAAAAAAAAGAAAAAAAAAAGAAGGATAATAAAAAAAAAAAAAAGGGGGGAGAAGAAGTAATTATGATGGTGAGAGAGAAGAAATTAAGCAGCTACCTAAATTAGACCAAAGTCTGGCAGTACCGAAGAGAGTCTCCGAGTGGTCAACTTCAATTCAAAACCGTTCAGTTCGGTTCAGCCCAGCCAGATAGCTCTCGATATTGAGAATTGAGAATTGAGTCCAGCCAGGTAAAGCAAATGGACAATTCTGGTTAAGTTTTTTTTCGAGTTAAAAAAGCTTAAAATCCGAAAAGAGCATTAAATAGCCAAAATAGGAAATTCAGTGACCTCCACATTGGATCAGCCGCTCATGTTGGCAAAAGTTTAAAACGCCAAACTAAAGACGAGCCCGAGAATTAAAAAAAAAAAAAAAAAACCATTTTAAAGATTAGATTATGTATATGAATATTTTATTATTATACTGAACATTTTGTTTTTTTTTTTTGTGCCTATGTATATATATATGTATATATATTTATGTTGTGAAATTTCCACAAACACCTTCCCATCATACCCCCCACTCTAACCCAACCTAGCCAGCCATATGCTATTGTTATGGGCGTGCGTCTGGCGTTTGCTAGTCTGACGCGCCAGAAAAAAACAATAGCAAGGGGCACGGCTATTATTTTTTTTTTATATATTGAACAGCCGCACATTCTCGACTTTCTTTCACTCTCTACCAAACAATATTTTCCAGTCCCACGCGCCCTTCATTGCCAAAAAATTATTTCTATATAGAAATTGCCCCTGGGTCGGTTAATGGGTGAAATTAATAATTCGACTTTAAAAAGAAAAAATTAAAATAAAATAAAAAAACCTGTTTCGGTTTTTAGAAATAATCTCCAGGATATATGGAAATAGCTACCTAAACAATTGAGAATTGATAAAAAAAAAAAAAAAAAAAAAAAAAAAGAGAAGATCCAAATTTTTAAAGAAATGGTCAATCTCCAAAATAATCATAAGGCAAGCATGAAACTACGCGTCCCCTTTTGATTAACTAGAAGGTGAAATTGAAATTTTTCAAATAAAAACCTCCCTAACCCAGCCCTCCTCCATCAAATTTGCTTTTGTTTGAACCCAAATGTGAAATGTCCAGCCGGCAAGCCACTCAACCACCTACCACAGGGGCGTTTAACATGCATAGTCCAGGTCCCGTGATTAAATGTATTCAAAACGCCCTAATGACGTCGTCAAAAAGTAGGAGCCGCTTAGTAATATTTCTCCTTTAACATATTTCTGTTGCAAACACTCACCAGTTAAATAGCTTTCATAAAAATTCACCTTTTGTTCTTTCCAAAATCAAAAAATAAAATAAAATAAAATAAAAATTTTTGTGCTGCGATAATAAAATTTTTGACATAAACCACCCATTTACACATTAAATATTAGACATGCCAGCTTTATTATCCCTACATTCCGAAGCTGCTCCAACCGCCCTGCTACTGGCCATTGCTTCGGCCCTTCTTGGCGCTTACTCAGCATATCTCGTGATTGATTTCCGGGACGCGTCCCGACACCCTCGAGACTCTAAAAAAAATTCCTCCTCTCCTTCTACACACCCCATTCAACTAACCGATCTTACATCTTCAAAATTATCGACTATCCCCCTGGCCCCGCTCCAACCTGTCCGTGCTGGCGTCGAGGAGCTCATCGGCAACACCCCTATGGTTGAGCTGCGATCTCTTTCAGCTGCAACCGGTTGTCGCATCCTCGCCAAACTCGAGCTCGCAAACCCAGGTGGCTCCGCAAAAGACCGCGTCGCTCTTGCCATCATCGAAGCTGCAGAAGCAGCCGGCCAAATCTCTCCCAATTGCGGTGATGCCGTTTTTGAAGGCACATCGGGATCCACAGGAATTTCTCTGGCTATGCTAGCCAGCGCCAAAGGCTACACCGCCCATATTGCTCTCCCAGACGACACCTCCACAGAAAAAGTTCAACTACTAGAAACCCTCGGGGCAGTCGTCTACAAGGTCCGCCCAGCCTCCATCGTTGATTCGGACCAATACGTTAACTTTGCGCGCCGCAAAACTAACGAGATAAATGCTGCTGCAGATGCTGCTGCAGCTGCAAACCCAGAAGCCCCACGTCTCCCTCGCGCTGTTTTCGCAGACCAATTTGAAAACGAGGCAAACTGGCATACCCACTTTAAACACACAGGCCCAGAGATTTTTGCGCAGACTGATGGCGGGAAGCTCGACGCATTCATCACTGGAGCAGGCACTGGCGGTACTATTGCTGGTGTCGCACGTTTCCTTAAATCAACCATAAAACGCTCTCCTGGCTCTACCCCATTCCGTGTCATTCTCGCAGACCCACAAGGCTCAGGGTTCTACAACCGCATCAAGTACGGCGTCATGTACGCACCCACAGAACAAGAGGGCACCCGACGCCGTCATCAGGTTGATACCATCGTTGAAGGCATTGGCCTCAACCGCATTACCGTCAACTTTCAGGCCGGTGAGAAGTACATTGACGATGCCGTGTGTGTGTCTGACAAAGAAGCTCTCCAGATGGCCAAGTGGCTCGTTTCACACGATGGCATTTTTATCGGCTCTTCTTCAGCAATTAACTGCGTTGCTACTTACCGCACTGCAAAGGCTTTGGGCCCAGGCCACACAATTGTCACAATTCTCTGTGATTCTGGGTCTCGTCATCTCTCAAAGTTTTGGAAGGAAGCTCAAACCGTTGAACCGTTGGAATCTCTGGACAACCTATAATCGAAGTCACGTGCTTGATAGTTTCCTGCAGTTTTACCAACAAGCTATTTAATTTTTCAACAATGTAATCACATGTAGTTAGTAAAATGGTATCAGATTGGTATCTTAGTTTAAAGCCTATATATAGTTCAGGATCGGGTTGTCTTTTGAGATCAAACTTATCAAATGTGGAGGATTTGCGTGAGGAAGAGTCACCAAAAAGGAATTTAGCAGCACCAGAACCTTTGCGTGGAAGATATTAATCAGTGTTGTGTAAAACTGGTTTACCATCAGGGCCAAATGGACACTGATTGATGGAATGATGATAACCACACCAATTGCACATTGGTTAATTTGATTACAGGTGTAAGGGCGGTACTGTTTCTTATTCTTGGTGTCTTTGTTGTTCTAGACAACGGCAGCATTAACTTTCGACTTATCAGAAGGTGGATCTGAAGGAGCGGGGTTAGGTGCATATCTGTTACCCTTATCAGTTCTATTAGCAAAAAAAAATCGTCATTACCATAAGCTGCTTTTTCGGCCGCCGGTGAAGTGAAAGAACAAAGTAGAACACGAGAGATAGGAATGTTAATAAAATTAATCACAGGAAATGGTGAGTTTAGATTTTTGGTAAATTCGGTGTCCCTAGCCTTAGCGCTGCAACTATTCCACAAATTGATAAGGGTGTCGAGGTGATCGACAGTTTGGAGTGGCATAGCCCTAACTTGCATGAAAATCTCTTTAAAGGCTGGTTCAATGATGGGATTTCTAACTTTTTGAAAATATTTGCTGTAGATGGTTAGTGGGAAGTTGAAGTATAAGGCTGTGTTGTAACGGACCAAATGGGTTTCTTTGAATCTTTCGACATAGTTAATTTCTTCCTTTATCTTAGTGGCAGTACCTTCATCAATATTGTCAACATCACCCATATGGTAAAATAGACTCGAAAAATATCATGGTATTCTTTGAGTACATCAAGGAGCGGGAGGGGCTTAGGTTCCCAATTGTGGTAATCACGTAGGAGACTGTAAATATTGTCACTGTTGGGTTTGCTGGTAGCATTGGCATTGGGGAAAAGTTGTGCAAATGATTTAGCAGGAACACAAATTTCTTCGATCAAACCTTCAAAATTTCCAATTGAGTGGCGATATGTTTTGAGACCAAATCGCTGAATCAACGCGGAGACCAGGGACTGTTGCAAAAATTAAGTTGTAGAGTGGCTGACAGTTTTCTTCAACACAATAAGATTTGCATCCAGTGTCCTTAGTGTAAGTCCAAAGTTCCTCTGGGGTAGACGTATGTGGGATTCCCAACAATCTATTAAGGAACGAGGCCTTGGGATGGCAATTGAAAGCCCTGGCAAGTAATGATTTGTAGGTTTTGGCGCTAAACTTGGTAGTCCTGGAGGAGAGTGTGAGCTTAGGGATAAATTCATCATTAATCTGGAAGACAAGACTCATAGCATCCTGCTGAGCCCAATATACAGCCGCTGCATCATCATCGGTAGGATTACCAGAGAAAGGCCTAGGAGTGAAGGGCTGAGACATGGTTGCAGGAGGAATTAGAGTGGTTTTTATTTTTAAAGAAGCTTTTTGATAGAGAAATTAGCTTTTAACCTGTGGAACTATTCACGGAGAATCGATGAGGATTTAGAAGAAAGTACAGAATTATGTAAATATTTATACTATTTGGAGTTGATTACTGAAGTCCGGGTAAGTGGTTCCTGGTTATCTACAGGGTTCCGGTAACCATACTTCGACAGTAATTTATTAATTTTGTAGTACAGTTAAAGAAATAAGAAAGAATTAGATTATGTAATTTCCAGAAAACAAAAAAAAAAACAAAAAAAACTTGTTTTTATTAAAATAAATAAATAAACAAATAAACAAACCAACCAACCAACCAATATATACAACAACCTTTAGGAAGACAAAAAAAAAAGAGAAATAAAATACTTTCCTTTTGATTGATTTCACAAAATGGCTAAAGATCTTGATGCTCTGATTCTTGAAGGGTCTAAAAAATACGCCTTACGCGATTTTGAAGCGGCTACTGAAATCTTTGCAAAGGCTTGTGAACGTTACTCCGAAACTCATGAGACAGACAGCCCCGCGTTACTTTTTCTCTACGGTCGGTCATTGTTCCAAGTAGGTGTCAGCAAATCTGATGTTCTTGGTTCCAGTAATGAAAATAAGGAAGATAAGGACGACGAAGAGGCCGACGAAGAAGATGAAGCCAAGGAAAAGAAGCCAGAGGTAGCCAAATCAACAGACAAAGAACCCAAATCCAAGTTCCAGTTTGCAGAAGACGAGATTGTCAAAGATTATGAACAAGAAGATAAAGAAGAAACCGAAAAACAACAACAAACAGGTGATGAAGCTGAAGCTGAAGAAGAACAAAGCGATTTGGAAGCTGCTTGGGAAATTCTAGATACCTCTAGAGCACTCTTTCTAACAGAAATCGAAAAACAAAACAAACTGCTAAAGGAGTCAGACTCACAAGCAATCAAAGACAAAATTGAGGAACTTGAAAAAGGTTTAGCTGAAACTTATGATGTTCTTGGCGAAGTTTCTCTCGAATCAGGTATGTCCTAACCATTCAATCTCAACAATTCACTACTAACATGTTCCCATAGAAAACTTTGAGCAGGCAGTTCTCGATCTTCAGGAATCTCTGAAACTGAAAAAGAAGCTCTACGCACCCACATCATCCCTCATATCTGAAGCCCATTTTAAACTTTCGCTAGCCTACGAGTACTGCGTTGACGACCCAGAGCACCCGGCTAGCAAGCCCCATGAATCATCGACGACAGAAACAGCCGTCAAAAATAAGCAGCGTGCTGTTGAAGAGATGGAAGCCGCCATTGCCATCGTAACAGCACGGGAAAAGGCTGGTGACAACAAAGATGCAACTCTTCTGCACGATCTTGAGCTACGTCTCAATGACCTCAAGAACTCAATCAAAAACGGCGAGGAAACAGATAAGCAAAAGGAGGACGTAATCAAGGGCCTCGCAGGAACTTCTGCGTCTTCTTCAGCACAGGATGTCGCTGCTACACTTGTGAAGCAGTCGATTGCACAGGCAATTAGCGGTGCAACTGATCTGAGCGGGCTTGTGCGCAAGGGAAAGAAGAAGAAGGACACCGCGGGAAATAAACGCAAATTGGAGGAAGATGAACAAGGTTCAGACAAGAAAAAGGTGTCACGATAAATCAGTGAGGCTGGAGAAAAAATAATATAAGTAGGGTTAGGGAAAATGTATTTTGTAGTGAAAAAAGTGTAATTTTTGGGTTGGAAATGAAAGCTTTTATGAGGTTACAATTCATAAAAAAAATTTAAATGGAAAACTTTACAGTTATCAGAAGGCTAATAAATATGGGTTGGTGTTCGATGAACTTTTAACATATATAAAATAATGACAAGGCTTTCATTTTAGGATAAATATTTCATTTAATAGTAACAATATATGATGATACTAACAATAAATAGTGACACTAACACATAATAAATTAACATAAACTCAATATTTTGAGTTATACATCAGCCCAACATTTAGTTAGACTTGGAAAGACGAGCCTGGAGCTGAGTAATGGCATGATCAAGACGAGAAGTGTTGACATTGAATCTAACAGCTTGGGCTCTCAATGAAGTAAGTCTGGTGGTGTAAGCGGCAGCTGCAGTTTGCATACGATCTTCAGCACCACCAACCAAATTGCCGATGAGAACCTCAGCACCGTTGGTAACAGATTGGGCAAAGGGACCAAGAAGAGCATTTCCAACGGCAAGGGAAAGACCACCCGTGAAGGGAGCCAAAGCGTGGGCAACAGTGGCAATGGCATTGTCAATCTGGGAATCAGCACCAGTGATTGCAGCAATGATACGGTCAGCGTTGTGGGGCTGGCTGGGGTTAAGTTGCATTTGACGGTTATAAGTCTCAACAACTTGTTGGTGGTTGACCATGGACTCATGAGCACCTTCGACCCAAGCATTGGTGTTTGGGTCAGGGAAGTTAGGAGTGGATTGCTGGTTAGCAGGAGCAGCAATGACAGCAGAAGCAGCAACAGCGAGGGAAAGAGTCTTGAATGAAACCATTTTTAAAAGCGAGTGAAAAGTAGTTGGAATTTGAGGCTTAAGAAGCTGTAGTTATTAAGATTGAAGTAGAAGATCGAGTGATGATGAAAAGAAGAGAAGAAAAAAACAATTTCGAAAGGAATTTTTGGCTCTTTTTATATTCAAAAGTTGACGAAAAATTTAAAAGGCTTATACATTCTAGTTCTTTTCGATTACAAACTAAAAAAACTTCTAAATAACACATACTAATGTAAATATTTTTTTTTAATTAAACAATAATAATTCAGGGTGAGGTTTGAACAGTCAGGATTTTGACAGATATAAAAAATGTAAGTGAATGTTTCAGAATGCCGATGATGGTGCCCTTCGACTAAAATTAATCGACAAAAATTTTAGTAGAAATTAGGTCGGCATTTTTTTGTACAAACAGACGATTAAAAAAGATTCCCTTTAGAAAGCCTTCAACAAAATGAATGATTTTTTTTTCTTTTAACTATGTAGATATAATCATTATAAAATCTCATTTTATAAGTAAAACCCTTGAAGTAGTTCTAAGTAAGTGTCAAAGAAAATAAAATGTCTAAATATGTTTAATAATATCGAGTTCCATAAGATAAAGCATTCATTTTCATATGCCTTTAATAACTGATTCAATATATACCAGCAAACATTTTAAAGTCACAATTCAGTCTTATAAATCACAGGTTCCAGTCTTTGTAAAACATCAATTTTTTTTTGCTAATCCATATATCCTTATTTACCACTTTTCATTGTTTTCTTTATCGTGTTGTGTTTCGTTTAAATGAAAATATCTTTATTAATATTCGGCTTAAAACTTAAATTTTATACATGCATTTTTTTTCTCCAAAACTTTATTTTTTTAACAACAATACATATTGCTGATCAATTATCCGGTTAACAAATAAAAGTTACTTTTTTTTTTCTTTTGTTTTTCTTTCTTTTTGGATCACCTCTCATTACATTCCACTTATAGAAAGGTCGTCAATCAGGTACCACGTTTAATATCGTATTGTAAAAAACGATAAACAATAAAAAGTCTATAAATACAAAGTTAGGATACAATTTGATTTTCATTATAATGATTTAATTGAAAAACTTCCAAGAATCACCTTTAATTTGAGAAAATCATTTGAGGGACACTTGAACAGTATCAATTTATCGTCATAAAATTCTTTTAGAATATGGGAAAAATTTTTTATGGCATTTATTTTTTGTTTAATAGGTTTTGGCCCATAATAATTTAGGCTATGTTTCAAGGAAAATGTAAAAAAACAAGTTGAAATTTTATTTAAGCATGTTTAGGGATTGTATATTGTACCAAAATATACCCCGCGGGGTTAAGAAAAATAAATACCAAAACATTCAAAAAAAATAAATTTCAAATTAAAATTCAACAGCCTGCTAACTTCCAGATGTGTTTATATTTTTATTTTTTAATGCTTTGAATTACTACCAGATGATGGCTTAAGCCCTGTTTGAATTATTCACTGCTGCTCTCTGCTTTCATCTGTACTGGTGGAATATTTCACCTATTAAATAGCTTAGTTATGAGCCTTAACTATTACGTAGCTTACAATTTCTAACTTTTATATTCATTGTGCCTGACTGATAACAAAAGATTATAAAAAGATTCTTTTAATTGTTAAAAATTATTAATAAAAATTTATTAAAAACCTATAATATAAAAGAGTTTAAAATTCACATAAACTAAATATTTTAAACTACAAGTCAGTCTAACATTTAGTTAGACTTGGAAAGACGAGCCTGGAGCTGAGTAATGGCATGGTCAAGACGAGAAGTGTTGACATTGAATCTAACAGCTTGGGCTCTCAATGAAGTAAGTCTGGTGGTGTAAGCGGCAGCTGCAGTTTGCATACGATCTTCAGCACCACCAACCAAATTGCCGATGAGAACCTCAGCACCGTTGGTAACAGATTGGGCAAAGGGACCAAGAAGAGCATTTCCAACGGCAAGGGAAAGACCACCCGTGAAGGGAGCCAAAGCGTGGGCAACAGTGGCAATGGCATTGTCAATCTGGGAATCAGCACCAGTGATTGCAGCAATGATACGGTCAGCGTTGTGGGGCTGGCTGGGGTTAAGTTGCATTTGACGGTTATAAGTCTCAACAACTTGTTGGTGGTTGACCATGGACTCATGAGCACCTTCGACCCAAGCATTGGTGTTTGGGTCAGGGAAGTTAGGAGTGGATTGCTGGTTAGCAGGAGCAGCAATGACAGCAGAAGCAGCAACAGCGAGGGAAAGAGTCTTGAATGAAACCATTTTTAAAAGCGAGTGAAAAGTAGTTGGAATTTGAGGCTTAAGAAGCTGTAGTTATTAAGATTGAAGTAGAAGATCGAGTGATGATGAAAAGAAGAGAAGAAAAAAACAATTTCGAAAGGAATTTTTGGCTCTTTTTATATTCAAAAAATGTTATGGTTTTTGTTATAATTTTTTTTTATTCTGAATCTTTTGTCAATTAATAATTTAAGTAGGTATTTCTAGATAATAATTTTCTTTTTTAATTAAACAATTCTTTCTCCCCAGAAATTATTTTTAATAAATGAACATCAAAACAAAAAAGAAAGATGAAAATGTTTCACATTGTGCTGATTATCGATGAAAATTAAACGAAAATCACATACTTGGCTTCAGTCATCCTAACAGTTAAACCGTTGACAACTGATAGACATACATTTAATTCAATAAATCAAATGATATTCAGTATTAATAAGCAATAACAGAGGCATATTTTTAATGTGATATTGTTGTTTAATCATTCATACTAAATATTTTTTTAAGTACAATAGAAGAAAAATTTCTTCAAGACTCATTATTTTTGAATGTTTGAAAGCGGATCAATATTAAATGTCCATTAATTATGAATATACATCATATATGCTTCATGGACTATTCACTAAGAATAATGAGTTCAAAATTAAATATTTTAAGCTTAGTAAATAGCAAGTTCTGGTTTCAGTGAAACATTTTCTTTGGATTATTTTTTTTTGTTTATTGCTTTGGCGTTTTGTTTCGTTTAAATGAAGATGCAAATTTCATGCTCCGCTTAAAACTTATAAATTTAGCATTTGTCTTGAATTTTGTAAATTCAATTCAATGACTAATAAATAAAGGTTATTTTATCTTTAGGAAATTTTTTTATCATATATTTACAAAGACTCAAGCTCCAGCCTTCAGAATATACGACCTCATTGAAACCGCTAATTTGCTGTAGTTAATAATAATGCTGATGTTATATACTTCTATAACCATTGAATAATAATAAGCAAATCAAAATTGGTGCCATCTCTTTAATTTCCAAACTTTAAAAATCTACGTTTTATGCGTGTACATATTCAGTACGAACTGTTTTAATCTGTGCGCTTATGATAACTCAGAGGATAGGTCCTGATGTCAGCTTACGAAAAACAGGAGGAAGCAGTTTGTCAGCCCCAAAAATTCCCGACCCATCTCAACTTATCTTCATGAAAGCCTGTGTATTTCTTGATTATCTCCCTCCAAGATGTAACTCGCAATTACCTCCAGGCTAAATAGAGTAAACAGAAGAGGTAGCATTCCTATTCACCAAGGTAGCCTGGGAGGGTTTAGCTAAAGTGAGCACCCCTGTAAAGTTTCTTCTTGTTGGGCTGTGGTATTTTTTTTTTGTTTTTTTGCATGTTGTTACCGCCGATTATCAGGATTTTATGCCTTAGGTAAAAAAATTCAAAAACTTCAGATATTACCTCACCATTTGTCCTAATAACTAGATCAAAGCTTGTTGAAATCCTTTCAATATGCATGAAAAAGAGCTGCCCATGAATTCCGTAAAATTCCAAAGTTATTTGTGCCATTTTTTATGCTTAGAAAGATGAAAAACACCAAAATCATGTAAATTCAATCACTAAAAGAGCCCTATAAAAGAATGAGAAAATTTCTGAAATCTCTTGAATTTTTTGTTGGAAATCATCCTCAACAATGTTTGAAATTCTAAAGCGTCTAACTTTTTCTTTTAAAAAAGCTTCTTCCTTCTCTTCCACAGATTCTGAAAAGGGTATCTCTCCTGGCAAAGATATTGGTGTAGTTTCTGCAGTGTTCCTTATCTTCAACCGAATGGTTGGGACAGGAATTTTTGCTACACCATCAGCCATTTACTCTCTCTCTGGATCTGTAGGTGCATCACTGCTTATGTGGGTAGCAGGAGCACTTATTGCTGCTTCTGGTCTTGCTGTATATCTCGAATGGGGAACTGCCATACCCAAAAATGGTGGTGAAAAAAACTACCTTGAGTACTTCTATAACCGCCCTAAGTTCCTCATGGTGTCTATGTTTAGTTTTTATGGTCTTTTGTTGGGTTGGGCAGCCTCCAACTCTGTTGTATTTGGTGAATATGTTTTAACTGCTGCAAATGTGCCAGTAGACCGCTGGAATCAACGTGCTATTGGAGTGGCTTGTATTACATTTTGTTTCTTGATACATTCATGTCATGTTAAGACTGGTCTCTGGATTCAAAATGCTCTTGGTATATTTAAATTGGTTGTCATTGCAGCTATTATCATCACTGGAGCAGTGGGACTTGCTGGTGGTTTGCCTTGTCCTAAAACAGATAACTTCGTCAATGCATTTGCAGGGGAGAAGCCAAGTGGTTATGGTGTTGTGATGGCACTTTATAATGTCATTTGGTCTTTTATTGGTTACTCAAATGCAAACTATGCTCTTGGTGAGGCTCGTGACCCTGTGCGCACACTTCGTATTGCTGCCCCGCTTGCTTTAATTGGCGTATCAATTCTCTATCTGCTCGTTAATGTGTCTTACTTTGCTGTTGTTCCAAAATCAGATCTTGTGTCTAGTGGCCGAGTACTTGCTGCCTCTTTTTTCCGTCATGCGTTTGGACCTTCTGCTCAGCGCGCCCTCGCAGCATTTATATCGCTTTCTGCACTTGGTAACGTCATGGCTGTTATATTTTCTCAGGGACGCATTGTTCAAGAGTTAGCTCTTGATGGTATTTTGCCCTTTTCACGCTTTTTTGCTTCCAAAAAACCGTTTAATTCTCCAGCAGCTGGCCTATTTTCCCAGTGGTTTGTGTCTGTAATAATCATGGTAGCTCCTCCTCCTGGAGATGCCTACAACTTTATTCTCAATGTTATCTCGTACCCGTTGGCTATTATCAATGCATTGGTCGCTTTTGGTCTTCTTGTTTTATCTATTCGCCGAGAGAAGTATAACTGGTTCCCTCCAATTTGCTCACCAGTGCCTGTTACAATATTTTTCCTTATTTCCTCCTTGTATCTTGTTGTTGCACCATTTATTCCTCCTTCTGTGGCAAGTCAAAGTGTTTACGAGCACTTGCCATATTGGCTGCATTGTGCTGTAGGGATTGGGTTTTTCGTTGTTGGAGCGATTTACTGGGCTATTCGGTTCAAGGTGCTTACTCGTATCTGGCCAAATAAGTTTCCAGAAGTTCCCATAAGTTTTCGAAATGAAGATATCAAAATCATTGTTGACAATAAGTTGAGCGATTCTGATGATTCCACTGTTTGTTAATGATATTATAAGATTCCATTTTTTTTTTGGTTTGGTCTTTAACAAGACTTAAGTATTTGTTAGTTTTTAATTTATTTAATATTTTGTATTTAAGAAAAAAATTTTTTTTTTTGAAAATCTGGGGAAATGAAGATATTCCAAGTATGTCAGCGCTTAGTCATTACACGTGACTTGGCAAATGACAGACGTGTTAAAGGCCATTACAGACACTGAAATGCGCATGACCAATCAGCGCGCATGCGATATGGCATGACCGGGTATAAAAAAGACCACTTTGTTACAACTTGAGGTGTAACACAAAAACCCGTCTAAAGAAACAAAACCGCAGGCCTTTCAGGAGCGCCCAAAGAAAAGTTTTGCCTGTTCGCTTCCTTTTCCTCTCCTTTTTTCCTTTTTTTCCTTGTCACCACCATCACCACATCACCACACCCCAAACCTTCCCGCACAGTTACTTCACAATGAGCTCCCTCACTGTTTTCAGATCGGCTCTTACCAGATCCAGCATTCGCTCCGCTACTCCTTTCAAGGCCGCCGTTTCGGGTACGTCTTTTGTTAGGCTTTTTTGAGAGCTTAAATGTGCGTGTTTGAACTGCTGCTGTTGCGACTATGTTCATCCGTTGTGTCTCTAGGATTAATTCAATATTATGAAATTTATAATTTATTTTCGCAAATCTTCGGCAAATTAATTGCTTTTAACGACATTGATATCGTCTTTTTTTTCTTTTTTCTGATTGTTTTTCTTTTTCATTGATTGTCATTTACGGTCTGGTCATGGTTTGCACCAATCATGTGCCTAGTGTATTAATATTGAAAAAAAAAAAATTTACAAAGCCCTCAGACACAACAAACAACAGCTTGCAGCCAACATCGAGCATCTAAAGCACCAATGCATTTCATCATATATTGTACTTTCATACTAACTTGTTTTTTTTATAGCTCTTTCCCAGAAGCGTTTCAACCACGGTAACCCCATTGGTGGCTCTACATACAATGTCCCCGACTACTCTGATTACTTGAGAGAGGACAGAAACTCCGACTCCAACCGTGCCCTTTCCTACTTCGTTGTTGGCACCTTTGGCATGGTCTCTGCTGCCGCCGCCAAGTCCACCGTTCAGGACTTCCTTTCTTCCATGTCTGCTTCTGCTGACGTTCTTGCCTTGGCCAAGGTCGAGGTCAACCTTGCCGCCATCCCTGAGGGCCGCAACGTCATTGTCAAGTGGCGTGGTAAGCCCGTGTTCATTCGTCACCGCACTGCCCACGAGATTGCTGAGGCCAACGCTGTCAACATTGCTTCCCTCAGAGATCCCCAGACCGACGCTGATCGTGTCAAGGACCCCTCTTGGCTCGTCATGCTGGGTATTTGCACCCACTTGGGTTGTGTCCCTATTGGTGAGGCTGGCGATTTTGGCGGCTGGTTCTGCCCATGCCACGGTTCGCACTATGACATTTCTGGCAGAATCAGAAAGGGCCCTGCTCCTCTTAACCTCGAGATTCCAGAGTACGAGCTCAATGGCGACGACCTCGTCATTGGTTAAGCATATCATTTTGAAATCAGACCCAAAAAAGAAAAAAAAGACACGATACATAATTCCTACTCTCTCTTTCTCTCTCGCCCTTTCTTTCCATTTTTCCCCTTCCACGCTTGATAAATATTCTCTCCTCTTGCAAATGAAACTGCTAACCCGTATTTTATAATAATGAATCAAAAAAAAAATGAGAAAAACATAGCCTTATTGTAATCCTTTACTTTGAATGGTGTATTTCACTGTAGCCTATTAGCGAGTGTTAAAATATACACACATTTTTTTTGTGTATTTTTCAAGGATTCCATTGGTTAAAAATAAAAATAAATGTAAATGTACATAAACTATTCAAATAGTTCCCGCATGATTGTGTTTATGTCGACCACCTTTGCGATGATGGCGTCGCTTTTTGACCAACATACTTAAACGCCGACCGGCCAAAATTTCTTTACTATTACTACTACCAGTATTCCCACGCTTTGAACCACCATTATCGCTCTTTTCTTCGTATTCTTCATTATCGTCACCATGTTTCTTGTAGTACTCAATGGCCTCAGCAATATCGTCTGGCGGATTAAACTCAGCACTTGCAGATAAAGGTACCAAATCGTGTAAAGCAGTTAAATTTGGTGGCCAGTACGCAGCCTTCGTGTCATGTCGATTCACATGCTTTGGACCACGTCCTTCCCGAGCTCCTTCATTTCGAATACCACCATACATGGCTCGCCACGAGACACTCCAGTGAAATTTGGCATCTAGCGGTACTACTCGTCTGCGACCTGCATTTGGCACAACTGATCTTGACCAACGGTCTTTATTCTTGTTGAACCGAAACGTTGGCAATGGCAGCAACTCAATAACCCACCAAAAAAAAGACTCAAAAAATGTCTTTTCCGCACGTCCAAATTCATCATCCTTCTTCACCCCCCATAAACGCACATCTAGCGAGTCGTGAAGTGGTGCTCGCAAACTAGGCAAAATCTCATGGTCTCTTAAATATTCTTCCACGGCGCCAGGCTTAAATCGCACTCCAGCCTTAATGGACTCACCAATTAGCCACCGAAACGAAATATCGCCAGCAAGACCTCCGTTGGAATCTGATGCCCATCCACCTCCAACGTCACTGTGGTCTCCAGCAAACCACAGCTCAATCACATCTGAACAAGCCTGGTTGTGATCCATTGGACTAATTTCCCCATGAACCAATCGTCGTGTTGGCTCATTCATACCGGGCGTGTCTAGGAGCGAAATTGTAGTTCCTGCCGCTTTAATCCAATATGATGCGGGAAGCTCCTCGTTCCTTGTTGCAAGCACTTTGAGCTCCGAAGACTTGTCTTTACACATAGGTTTTAAAGGAACTGCGTTTACTCCATTAGCAACCGATCCAGCAACACTGCTTCCAGCAACACTATCTGTTTCAGTGGAATTTTTGCGCAATAAATAAATTTCAATATTCTGAAGCCTTTCTGAATTGTCTTCAAAATCTTGTTTATTCATGAGTCCTTTATCTTGCAATTTTTTATGATCGAGCTCGTCAATAAATCTACCACACTTTTGCAATAATTGGGCTTCTTTAGCAGTATAAGCCATGTGATCCTTGGGAACGCACTCATCATCCGCATTAAGAATAGAGTTTTTTGGACTAGGGGGATTAGACAAAAGCTCTCTTGGAACATCCTCAGAATCATTACAGCATTCATGTGGACAACTCATTATAGACTGCTCACAGTAATCATCCCCACAATTTCCATCAGCTGACTGGACACCCAAAACTTGTTCAGGAAGCGACATTTCTGTTGGCGAGTTTCTGCGAGTACTAATAGTTGAAGCATTTGTATTGGGCGAATTGTTATTGTACTTCCCGGCAACAGTATAGTAAATATGTGAAAACGGATACTGCTTGAATTTCCCTCGTCGCTCGTCAATGCTCATTGCGTGTCGAATATGGCGAATAATACCAGTACTAGAGGTGTGTGGAAACATTCGGTCATACAATATTCCCACAGAGTTTACTGAGTCCAGCAACCCCATAAATTGAATTTTGACTGACCGTCGTGAAAAAGTTTTTTTAAACTAAAAAAGAGTTAGTGATATTCCAAAGTCACTTTTTTTCTTCTTCTTAATTTACCTCATCAGCTAACGTTGTATGCAAACCCGTACTTGGCCCACCTTTTGTATCTTTTCTTGCATACTCCCATGTTTTGTAAATATTCCAAGCAGTCGGAATAATTTCCTCCAAACCCGGATGAATTAAACCAACAAGTTCAATCATCCCTGCAAGCACCCGCGCTGTGAACCCACCACGACTAAACCCAATAAGATATATGCGATCATGGTCTTCATAGAATTTCATCAGAAAGGCATAAGCTTGCCGAATTTTTTCGTCAAGAGAGTATGCAATGGCAGAATCAATTCCATTTTTGATAGTTTCAACGATTCGCAAAGAGTAGCCTATGGCTCCAAGAGCCTTTACATAAGTTCCGATGCCAGCTTTTATTAAAAAGTTAGTTTTAACAACAACAACAACATGTTTTGAAATACTTACGCTGGTAGTAGGATACTTGTACTGTTTTGTCTGAACGATCGAGAAGTTTAAAAAATTTAAGCACATTGGTATGCGGATTTGCTCCAAATGTCTCTGATGTACCATCAAAGCACAAAATAATATTCTTACCCTTCTTGGGTATTTTTTCTGGCGGTAAAGTTGGTGGGTTTGGATCAGGATGTGGCTGGGGCCCTTTGGGAGGCTGGACTGGGGGATCTTCAGGCGGATAAAATGGATCTGGAGGTTTCAAATCATTAAGGTTTTCATTATCATCTTCATCATCACTGCAGCTTCCACTGGTATTATTGTAAACATTTCCAGTTGGATTAGTAGTGTTTATACCATCTACACCAATAATTGTTTCGGCAAGGCTTCCCAAATGATCCCTTTGGCTGTCATCTGATTGACACTTTCTAGTAACTGGTTGTGGGACTAACAAGGGTGTTACCACATTGATATTGCTACTATTGGAATATTGAAAGAATTCATCATTGGAACAAGGTGAATCAGAAGATGCAGAAGATGTTGGTGATGATGTAGGAGATGGTTTTATTTCAGCTGATGGCTCTTGTGATGATGGTGACGATTTTATTCCCAAAAATCCCAAAACACCAGTAGATTTCTTTACTCCATTACCATCGCTAAAAATTTGAAATTGAGAAGAGCTTGTTTGTGCATTATCTAATTCCCCACCCATTTCTTTTGCTCGCTGAAAAATCCCCTTATTTATCTGATATGACTTCTTATGAATCCGTGGCAGGCTTGAATCCAAGCTTTTTATTCCTAAGTCATCTTCTTGTTCGGGGATGGATGGCAAAGAATAGCTTCTGGATTTGGGGGTTCGGTACTGCAGTATTTGGTGCGTAGGTAGCTTTGAAGAAGAAGTGGTTTGCATTGATTCCGCGCTCCAACGATTGGATATCGCTGTATTCTTTGACGTTTGTAGTACAAGCACAAAAAAAGCGGGATCAAGTAAGCTGCTAATATGGTAGACAAAACTGCGACTTTGATTTTTTTTTTAAACGAGGTAAAATGTGTTTTTTATTCGCTGATAAAAATGTGAAATAGCTATTTTAAAAAGAGAACTTTGCTTTAACAGGGAGAGGAACACCTATGTTAAATGTCACAAAAACAAGATTTATGCGGAAGACTCTTCGACGGAGTTGAAGATTAAAACTGAGATTCATTAATCTTTTAAATCAACACTACTAAAAAAGATTGAAAAGAGAGAAGCAAGGAAAAAAAAAACTAATGAAATGAGAGGGAAACGTCCTTTTTATAAGTTGGACGCCAAGGTACAAAAAGTCTGTAATACCTGGTCAAAATCAACTACAAACCTAACAAGGTTGTTGAGGTTTTTATTGCAATGATACCTATGAGAGATTGAGCCTCATGTGAATGAAATTTCCTTAATTAGGAAACATTTCCTTTTGGATATAGGAATAAGAACAATAAAAGCCAACAAGTTTACAAATCGATTTTTTACTACATCACCACAAGATATCATTAATGAAATACCATTATTTAATTTAATTTAATTTGATTTAATTTTTTTAAAATTATTAGTTATCTATAAACCACTAATCAAAACTACTCATTCTTTCATAGTTCATGCATTAACTAATCTCAACCGTTGTGTTAAGGGCCTAACATTAATGTCACTGAAGAACGCATTAACAAAATAAAAATAAATAGAATATAGTATAATCTTTTTTACCACAAATTAATGATACTATGAAGTTTTTTAAATTCTATAAATTTAAGCTGATTTCCTTAAGAAAGCCTGATTTCTTCCCCAGTATACATATCATATCAACTACCCCAGATAAAATGACTTGCAAATACTTTAACTACATTTCGGCCGATCTTTGGGCCACTCATATGGTTGTTTTAAATTCAATGACACTGGAAGAGCAAAAAGAATATATTAAAGCCCTTGATGAGCAGTTTGAGCTATCGCTGATACATAATGACAATATAAGCTCAGGTGCCTCTTCTATTTCATCTACCCCAAGTAAACAAATGTCTGTGGGTTCACTAACACTTGGTGACAAGAAATTTCCTGAATTTCCGAAAGCATACCATGAAATGTCGGTGAAGGAGAAAATTGATGTTTTAGTTGCAAATTCTCCGCCTGGCCACCAGGTAGTTTTAATTAAAGAAGACTTTACAGATGCAGAACTTAAAGAAATGAACAGAATGTATTACAGAAATATGTATAATAAATAAACATTTAATATAGGCTTGCTTGAAAAGTTTATTTGAATAAATTTAGCTAATAAAATTTAATATTTATCTTCAAACAGCTGGAATTCCAAAATAATGCAGAGTTAGGTCAATTGACATGTGGGCTTTAGTAGATGAATGTATAAATTTCCAAAAGTGATTTCATATGAATTATTTGCATAAAACGAGAATCCTTGAATTCATGTTGAGGTGAAAATTTCAGCATGCAGTGCTGGTTAATAACAAATTCATGTGGGTATATGTGTTTACTATTTAAAATAACACAAGAATTAATTTGAAGTATTTTTTTTTTATTATTGACCAGACATTAATAGATAAACCACCTGCTAATACCTGAACGTTAAAACTATTGTGCATGAAATTGAAATAAAATCTATACCACATTTTGGCATCAATTAAAAGTTTCTATCGTCAATTTTTAAACGATTAAGAAGGAACATGTTTGAACAATGGATAAAAAGAAATAATGTATAAAAAGAGCAAAAATTCTCGAAATTTTCAAAAAAAAAAAACTTTTTATTAAAATCTATTTAAACAGATAGAAAAAATTGAAAATGACTTGGCCGAAATATTCATCTAACAAATCAACTGGTCTCAGAGCTAAGCTTTTCTCTAAAAAGAAAGATTATAACAAATTCACTGACGCTGGTGACTTTTTCCCTAAACATCTTGCTTCTGTTAAAGATGTTTTTGGAAACGAACCTGCTACCAACCCTTTTGAAGACCCGTCTACGGTTTATGACTCTGAAGATGAAGAATTAAATATGAAGATTATGGCTTTTCAGGCTCGATATAAAATAGTGGAGTCTCCATTTAGTGATTATGTTAGCGAAAGATCCTCAGTTTCTTCCACTATTTCTCCTGAGTCCGCTATGGAGAAAAAGTCTCAAAACCCATTTTCCCAAAAAAATGAAGGGTTTGAAACCAATTTCATTATTACTCCTATAGACTCAATCAGAGATTTCCCCAGTTTCAGTGAGGAGTCTTCATCAAGAAACAAAAATTTGGAAATAGTTGACCCCAGCGTTTTTTGTTATACAGATGATGATGAATCCTATATGGCTACATTTGAAGTTAAGAAGCCAAAGACTTCGCTTAAAGCCAAGTTTCAAAGAACATTCAAGAAGGTGTTCCACTTGACGAATTAAAATTTTGAAATACATTAAACCATAAGTTGAAACCCTCTATATGTAATGAAAAAAATAATATTGAAGTAATTGTTTATTAAATTGAATCAAATTGTGAGAACTTAAAGCTAATGTAAAATTTACCATGTTAAATAAATTTTAGGTAAATAAGCTTACAACCTAGTTAAACAATAATCAGTCATGAAATTTTTATGCAAAAAAACCATGAAAATCCTGTAAAAATACTTGAAAAAGATATATTTCATGCCCTCAAAAAATGATAGCTTAACTTCGCACAGTTAAAGACAGTTCTTTTTTTTTAATTTAATGCTTTAAAATCTATTAAAAGTTTTTATAACAAAAGATATAAAAGGGAAAAGTTTTCTCTATTTTTTATAAAAAATCATTTTTTTTTTTACTTTACAAACAATATATTAATACAAAGAAAAAAAAAATTCAAATTCTAACAATGAGCAAGTACATGAATTCTCTACCTTTTGAACAACAAGAACAGCACTGGGCCATTTTAAATACCATGGTTCCAGCTGAACAAGAAAGGTACTTTAAAGATCTTGATAAAAAATATGAGAGTACTTGTCGAACTGAATATACTCCAAAAGTTACTGTTTCTCCACAATCTGGCCTTCGACAAAAACTATACGAAGCGGTTTTGAAAATGGAACAGGAAGAAGAAGAAAGAAAAAGACAGGAAATTTTAAAACATGTTGAGGTACTTTGTGCAACATCAATGATAGTTTCTTCAGATACAGAAAATATGACTAGCCAGGGGTATTTTTATGAAAAGAAAGAGCCTGAAAACGGAGAAAATCAAAATTCGTTTCCCCTGGACAATAATACCGATGATGTCATGTTAAAATACAAAGATCAAGACCAAAGACTTGAAATAAACAATACATATTGTATTATACATAACAGCTCTCTTGAATCTGATGAATGGAAACCAAGTGTTGTTTCATCTGTGACCACCATGGAGTCTCTAGAATCTTTTAACAGTGAACCAGAACTGTTCACAGAGTCTCCCAAAAAGAAGCATCAAATAAGAAGTAAATTAAAAAACTTATTTAAGTTATCTCTTAAATAGTATATAATAATGGGGAATTATAATAAACAGTTTTAATAATCGAAGTAAAAAACTTGGATTTAAAAAAAAAAAATTTGATTTAAAAAAGAAGCCCTACGGGGGGCTCGAACCCCCAACCTTGAGATAACTATTATCTAAGAGTCTCACGCTCTACCGATTGAGCTAGCAAGGCAAGTAACTTAAAAAGTTAAAATGTAAGACTTATATAAAAGGCATCATCAAATATTATATTATTTTAAAATTGCATCAAGACATCTTTTTTACTGAAATAGAACAAAATTAAAGTGAAAAAATATGTGATAAGTTTCATTAAAGTAATTCAAACACTTTTGAAGTAATTAAGATACCGGATTTATTTACCAAATGCCCTCCCTTTTCCGGAGGGAGTTTACAGAAGTGCTCACTTTGACTGAACCTAAGGAAAGAATATTATTTGGTTTAGTTTAATTGACTAGCCCGTAAAGATAAGTGGAAATGTGCTGGGTAGGTCGCACAGATCAAAACCACTCGTAGGGAAAAGGAATGAATACCTAATAGAAGGCAGAAGGCTTATTAAAGTGAGAAAATTATTATAAAAGTAGTTTCATTTGTATGTTTATATTCAATTTATAAGAATAGAGTTAATAATATGTAGGGTTGTAATATTTGAATCAAAACAAATAAATCCTTAAGAAACAGTGAATTTTATTGTTTTATTTATTATTTCTGTGATTTTTGAGTGGGGAAAAAAAAATAAACAAGCAAATAATTATTATTATAAAAATACTTACTACATGTAATTATATATATTGATATCAAAAGCAAATTATTTTTCTTATAAAATCATACTTATGTAAAAAAAAAAAAAAAATTCTTCACTTTTTTTTTTTTTTTATTCTAGTAACCGACATTTACTGTAGTAGTTGGCGCCCTTTCATTAAATGAATACATTGTGCTTTCTTCATTAAATTCCAACCCATCATGATGATGCTTATCAGAATATCCTTCATCATCTTCTAAATCAACGTCTTGGTATTGCTTGTACTGATTGAGCAAGTCAATTAAGTTTTGCTCAGCTTCAGAGAATTCAGCCTCGTCCATGCCTTCGTGGGTATAATTGTGTAGAAAGGCCTTGCGCCTAAACATTGGTGTGAATTGTGCTTGGATACGAGAAAAGACTTCTGCAATGCAAGTATTATTTGCAATAAAAGTTGCTGAAACCTGATGAGTTTGTGAAGGGACAGTGCATAACGAGGTCTGAATGCTATCTGGAATCCATTGGACAAACTGTGCCTTGTTTTTATTACGAGCAATCTTCATATGTTCTTCAACATCACGGATAGAAAGTTTTCCTCTGAACGATGCGGCAGCAGTTAGGTATTTACCTCGTTGGGGATCAGCAGCAATTAAAACACTAGAAGGTGCAAAGAGCTGCTGAATAAGTTCTGGGGCAGACATTGTGCGGAAAGAAGCTGCTGAGACTGAGACAAGGGGGGCAAACCCAACTGTCAAAAAATGTAAACGTGGGAAAGGTACTAGATTTACTGCGAGCTTGCGAAGGTCAGTATTGTGATGACCAGGGAACCTTAAAGAGGTAGTAATTCCTGAAGCTGCTTGAGCAATGATGGTATTTAGGTCCGTATGAGAAGGTTGCGGGAGGCGAAGGGTTTTTTGGCAAATATCAAATATAGCTTCATTATCAAAACAAAATACTTCACTTGCATGTTCAATTAGCTGGTTAGTTGCAAGTGTGGCATTGTAAGGTTCAACTACTGTATTAGAGACTTTAGGTGAGGGTAATATTGAAAAAGTAGCCATCATGCGATCTGGGTATTCTTCTCTTAGTTTAGCCACAATAAGAGCTCCAAGACCTGAGCCAGTTCCTCCACCAAGAGAATGTGATAATTGAAAACCAGTAAGCAAATCACATTGTTCTGCTTCTCTTCGAATGGTATCCATAATTTCTTCTGCCAAATCAGCACCTTCAGTGTAAAATCCCTTTGCCCAGTTATTCCCAGCACTAGCTTGACTAAACACGTAATTGTCAGGTTTGAAAAGAGATCCTAAGGGACCACTGCGCAAGGAATCAATTGGGCCTGGTTCCAAGTCAACAATAATGCTGCGGGGGACATATCGTTTATGGTGGTTAAGTTCGTTGAAATAGACATTGGCTCGGGTGAGTTGGGATTCAGGGGTATTACCAGTGTAAGAACCGTCATAGGAAATGCCATGTTCTGCACAAATTGTTTGCCAAAAGGCATTTCCAACTTGGTTTCCGCATTGACCAACAGATAGATGAATGATTTCTCTCATGGGTGGGTGTCTTGGTGGGTTAGTTATAATAATAATTTTATTTTCTTTTGAACTTTTTTTTTTTTTTTTGAAAAGTATAAGGTAAGATTGAACAAATTACACAACAACGAAGATGTTTAGAAATTTTTAAAATGGGTTTTAGGAACAATAGAAAAAAAAAAAAATACTAAATTGGCCATTTTAGTATTTAAATTCAAAGAGAATTTTTTTTTTAAAAAATATATATATATAAATAAATAATAGATAAAAAATGGATATTTATCTTGAGATAAATGCAATCAATAATCAATAAAAAAAAGATTTGAGTTGCAAAGTAAAAAAAAAAAAAAAAAATTAAAGTCTATGCGTCAGCCCGGAGTCGAACCGGGGGCTCGTCGATGGCAACGACGAATTTTACCGCTAAACCACTAACGCTTGCTTAAAAGTTTTAAATAATATAAATATATAAAGAATATTTATGAGATAAATAACCCTTACCCTAATTATTTATTAAACAATTTAATGGAAACTAAACAAATGGTTGAAATCAGTAAATGGAGATAAGCTTGGAACTTTTGGTGTTTGATCTCTTGTTTCTCGAGAAGCTGGTTTTAGGGACTTATTTTTATTTTTATTTTTATTTTTTGTGGTTTTGGAGATGTAGTGATGAAGTCAAATTAAATAAAAATAAAAATAGGGTTTTAATAAAGCGTTGAGTGCCTTGATATATAGTATGGTGAAACAAAGCCCATGAAATTTTTTTTGAAAGCTCTTTTTTACCCCACGATATTCATCTTTTTTTTTTTTTATTTAAGTGTATATCATTGAGTCAGAAGATTGGACATGTGTAAATCTCACGTATATTTTACGATATGTTATTTCAAAAGAGAAGGGGGAATTGATAAATATAGCCAATGTATATATGCTCACGCGATTAAATAATTATTAGACTCTAACACTTAGAGTTAGAGTCTAGTCTAAAAACAAATTGTCAAGGTTTTATGGACGAGCAAATTGTCAAAGAACAAACACACTAAAGTCCCATCATAGAGGTATATATATATTTCTCATGAGAGCACATTATCTATTTTTTTTTTTTTTAATTTAATTATATTTTCAATGAGAAGTAAAAATAGAATATTTTTTTAAAAGGAGGAATAAAAAAAAAACATAAGCTCTTTTGAGCATGATTAATATACATAAATACGGAATTAAAGGATTTAGAATAATTCCGAATGAAAAATTTGTATATGAACGATGAGCTAGTTATCAATGTGTTTTACTTTACTTTTTTTTTTACTTTTACTTTAATTCTAAAGCATTTTATGTTTAAAGACTACCTAAAAATAAAATAAAATAAAATAAAATAAAACCCCGTGGCAAAAGAAACATGTACAGTACAGAAATGACGGTAGACTTAATAATATGAAGGTAACCGAGATCCGTCAAACCTCTAATATTTAGTTTATATTTTTTTTTTAAAGGTACGGAAAGATTTCTCTTAGGGATATTATAATAATAACATTGAGTCTCATCAGAATCATCTTGTAAAATGGGGAAAACAGAGAAACAAATTCAAGATCATGATGAAAAAAAATAAAACAAAATAAAACAAAACAAAACAAAATAAAATAAAAAAATTGGTTCTAGAACCGCAAGATTGACAAGAGGAAAGGAATTTTTTTTTTTTTTTTTTTCAAATGTTGCAAAGATTCAAATGGAATGGGATGTGTCAATCTTTCCGTCAAGAGTAAACACATCATGGAAGCTGGAAACTCGGGAACAAAAAAAAGTGATGCCATTTATTTTGTTTTTTTATTTTTATTTTTTTTTTTGTTCAACACGGTTCCATGCAAAGCCTTACCAAAAAAAAATAAAAAAAAAAAATTAAAGTAACCTCGGATCAGAGAAAAAAAAAAAAATATTTGAAAAGCATTTGAAAGATCAAAGTTCTTTTTTTTTTTTATTTTTTTTTAATGTCTTTAATGCCGAGGCTATAATGGATGTAAGCATATATATATACGATATACGATAATAACCATTGAAGAATAAAGAGAAAAAAAAAATTGGTTAATGGCAGTCAGTGTGATTAGGAATCATCAAATCCTTGAGTTTGTGATTTGTGCAAAAATAAAAAAATAAAAAAATAAAAAAATAAAAAAATAAGAAGGACATATATGTTTTATATTATATCAGGGCAAACTGTTTATAATTTTTACAAACCCGATCATTTCCAAGTATGAATTAAAATGACCCACGGGGCAGTCGGGTTCGTCCACATTGAAGTGTAGTTATTCGATAGAAAAAAAAAAGATTTATTTAAGAATAAAAGAAAATTTTTTTTTTCTTCTTCTTCATCTTCTTCATTATTTTATAAACAAACAAGTTCTGTTACATATGGCTTTATAAAAGTGTATAACTGGTTATTTCAATATATATATATATATTCTTATAAGAAGAAATAAGGTACAGTATAAGAATTGTAGCGCAAGCAAATGTGTAGTGCGCGCGTATGTTATGTTGGAAAAGTTAAAAGTAAAAATATTTCAACAATAAATCATTGAAGAAAGAAAGACAAATGCGGTAGTTTTCTTTAAAAGAAGTAAAAGTAAAAGAAGAAGAAGAAGAAAGCGGTGCAGTAAAGTTTTTCTACAATGATATCATTTCTCCTGAAATAAAAAAAAAATAAAATAAATTCATTTTTAAAGATGAAAAAAAAAAAAAAAGGAATCATTTGAAGTTGTTGAAGTTGTTGAAGTTGTTGACGTTGTTGAAGAAAAAAAAAAATTGTAATCGGGCGGCAGAAATTTGTGGCAGCAAAATCAAAAGAAAAGAAAAGCAACAGCAGCAGCAACAGCAGCAGCAACAACAACAATTAAAAAAGCAGCAGCTGCTGCAAATTTAATAGCAAACCAACAAAGTTACGTAACTTACTATATTAATTATTAAATATATATATTAAATATATTATTATTACATTATTATACAATTACACTATTACACTATGATAAAGGCTCTTATCGCAGCTAACGATAACCAGCCTTTTTTTTTAAATAAAATAAAATAAAATAAAAAGTAGAAAACAAAGATATGTCTGATATCTCAATATAACAATAACAATACAAGTGCGGAGTTGATGATGATGATGATCATCATTATTATGATAGAATTGATGATTGAAGAAAGGAGGTCATTGATAAAGAAAGCAAGTCTTAGCAAAGTTTGAAAACAAAAAGCCCGCCTTAAGTTAGAAATAAAGACAAAAAAAAAAAAAAAAAAAGAGAGAGAGGGTTTCAAATAAATCAAATAAATAAATCAAAAGCTTTATTATTATTATTTTTTGGAAGTATATTATTATTAACATTATTATTACAAATTTCCTTAGCAAGCAAACAAAACCATTTGAATCAAATAAGATATTGGTATGTCCAGTAAATTTAAAAAAAAAAAAAAAAAGGAAAACTTTTTTAAGACTCCGCGGTAAACCTCTAAATAACCGTTATTTTCATCATCATGGTGTAAGAGATGTGTACAGGGTCAACAGGTTTTTCAAAGAATTTTTTTTTTTTTTTTTTTTTTTTTTTTTTTTTTTTGACAGAGCCGTGCCAATAAGCCATATATACGATAAAATGAAAAGGCACGTTGTTATCTTTTTTTATTTATTTATTTATTTATTTAATTTTTTTTTTCAAGGTCCGGCCGTGCGACCCGATCTCAAAGATTGAAAAGGTTTTTTTTTTTTTTTTTTTTATATTTTTTATATTTTTCAAATTTGAAGATGAATCATGATTGTGTAGTACTTAAAGTACTTAAAGTACTTAGTTGTAGTATGTAGGTGCAAAAGTTATTATTAAGGAGAATTCCTAAAGAAAATGAAGTAAATTGTATATATAGTCTAGACAAAAAAAAGCTTTGAAATTTTCTTCAACATTGAATGAATGTTATCATGAAAACAACAAAGCAAAGACTATTTGTATTTAATTGGTACTATATATATATATACTTTGATTCTTTCCTTTTATTTTTTTTTTCCCCAGCTTAATTATTTATTTCATATATGTAAAGAATGACAAAAGTTTTGAAAAAAAAAAAAAAAAAAGTCTGCAGAGAGGATCTGTGTCAACAGGACAGTTCAAAAAAAAAAAAAAAAAAATAAACAAATTTGCTTGGCTGATTTCCCAGAATAATTAATATATATATATTATATATGAAACCAAAGGAAAAAAAAAAAAGTAAGAAATAAAGAACGAAAGAAAGAAAGTAAGAAATAAAGTGTGGGGAAGGATATTCAAAAAGACAAGGCGTCGTATAAAAAAAAAAAGATTGAGGGCCTACAAATGTGAATTGCAAAAAAAAAAAAAAAAAAAAAAAGGTGGGGGAGGAAAGTGGAGGAAGAAGAAGAGGAGAAGTCAAGAAAGAAGTTATTATTTTTTTTTTTCTTTTGAAATTAAAAGGTAATAGAAATATAAATAGCAATGGCAATGGCAATGGCAAAAGGAACTTAAAAAAGCAAGAAAAAAAATATTGATTTTTTATAAAAAAAAACTGAATCTTTAAAGAAAATGAGAAGATATATATATATATATATATATATTTGGTAGGATCACAAAAAAGAAGGAAAAAAAAAAAGATAAATTGAAGTAATAGTACATGGAAGAAAGATCTTAAAAAATTTCAAATTAAGTCCGCGGAACCAAAAGAAAATAAAATAAAATAAAATAAAAATAAAAATAAAACTAGGGGTGATTTAGAATGATAATCAATCATTATTCATTATTCATGAATAAAATCTCTTTTTTTTTTTTAATTTTTTAATTTTTTAATTTTTTAATTTTTTAATTTTTTTAATTTTTTTAATTTTTAAAGAAAAGAGTTTACGTTAATACGATAGGTAATATTGAAATCGATTGTTATAGTATAACGTGTAATATATATATATATATATATATAAATAAATAAATAAATTAAAGTTTTGACATATATATCTATTGAGATATCAATTGTTCTAAGCCATCATTAGTTATAAACTTTGTTTTTTTAATTTAATTTAATTTAATTTAACTTAATTTAATTAAATTTATACAAATAAAAAAAAATAAAGTAGAACTAGAAAAAAAAAACGATTTTAACAAGGAAAATAAATAAATAAATAAAACACTTGTTCTTTTAACAATTAAAAAAAACTTAAGTGAAGGATTTTTCATAGAGTCTGAGGTTTTCATTTTTTGTTAAAAAAAAAAAAAAAAACTTTTTTTTTTATTTTATTTTATTTTATTTTATTTTATTTTATTTCATTTCATTTATTTTATCCCGAGAATGTTTCAATCATATTGATTTATTTTTTTTCTCCGCATTTTTAAGAGAGCATCTCGTGATGATCCATTTATTATTATTATTATTATACATATAAAGAACATCATCATGAAACTTCATACGGATAAAAAGTTTGTCCAGAAACTCAAACAGTTTTTCCGAGTAATTACAAACTCATATATTTCTATAAACAAAGAAGGAAAATAAAACCTCCCCCCCCCTCCCCCTCATATTTAACCATTGAATGGAAGAAATAAAAAAAAAATAAAAATTCTTTAATTATCTTTTTTTTTAATGTTTTCTTCTGTAAAGTTAAGAATACAAGCTTAAACTACATGATTAAATTTAAGGAAACCAACCCTCCATAAACGTGGGAGGGAGGAGGAATCAAATATGATATAAATTGGTTTATAAACCAATTTAATTTAGTCTGGTGATGATCTTTTTCTTCTTCTTCTTCTTCTTCTGAAAAAAAAGTCCCAAACTTGAAGAAGAAGATCAGAAATCAACCCACAATATTTTTTACGTAATCATGGCAACTTTTTCAAATTGTAAGAGAGAAAGTAAAAAAAAAAAAGAAGAATAAGAAGAAGAAGAAGAATAAGAAGAAGAAGAAAATAATATACGCGTATACATAATTATGAAATGAATGTTAATTTGTATAACTTTTTAATAATAAAGAGAAAAGAAAAGATATAAACAAACAAGTTGAATTTTAAATTATGGAGGGGAAGGGGGGAAAAAAAAAAATACTTTTAATTTGAAAAAAAAACTAGTTATTTAGTATAGCTCTTTCTCTTTCTCACACACTCTCTCTCTATATATATATATATATATATATATCTAACTATTGGTTTATGTACGGCTTGTATAGTAGTTATGATGATTAATAACACAAAAGGGTTTTTTTTTTTTTTTTTTTTTAATATATTGTAAATTCGACAATTTCTTTTCAAAGTGTAAATGAAAAAAAAAATGACATTCAAACAGAAAAAAACACCTTTTTTTTATTTTCATTTATTTTTATTTATTTTCATTTATTTTTTTTAGGTTATAAATGGTCAACAATCACCTATTTCTTTTTTTCTTTTTTTTTTTTTTGGATCTTTGGTATACTATCAAATACTATGAAATATATACATGGGATTCATTCATTTATTCCTTGATTCCTTGATTCATTTATTATTATTATAATTCCTATGCACTACATTCCTCGGGAAAAGATGTTCCATTTATTTCCTGACCCTTTTGGTTACCAAAATTTATATATATATATATATATCTCCATCATGATAATATCTCTCGTTCCAACCCCTTAAGTATATGAAACGTTGAAATAAAAAATAAAAAGAAAAAAACAAATTTTAATATTTTGATTCCAATCAATCATTGTTATTTTGTATACAAAAAAAAAAAAGACCTCAAAAGGGATACATTTTTTTTTTCTCTTTCTCTCTCTCATGAAATTGTAAACAAACAAACAAACAAAAGATTTTTTAAAATGTTAAATTTTTCAATTTTGTTTTTTTTAAAAATATACAAAAGTGGTGAGAAATAACACACACACACACTTATGAAATATATATATATAAATAAAAATACATGTCTAATAATTTAAAAATTGGGAAATAATTTTTTTTTTTTTTTTTTTTTTGGAATATTCCAAATTAATTTAAAGAATAAAAAAAATGATAATAATAATAATAATAATAATAATAAAACATATATATATATAGAAAAAAAAATAGTATAAAGTGAAAGTGTAAAAAAGGGTTTTTTTTTTTAATTTTTATTCTTTGAATTCTTCTCTCTTTATAAACGAATGGAATTTTTTATAAATATATTTTTTAATATTTTTTTTTTTTTTTTTTAATTTTTTAAAAATTGGCGGGGTGGGGTCGTCACTTCATTAAAAAAAAAAATTTGGTCATCGTTAGTCGTTCAATGAATAATAATAATAAAAAAAGGCCATGCTAATGAGGGTTGTTGTTGTTGTTGTTGTTGTTGTTGGTATAGGTTTGTAAAATCCCTTTATAATCCGATAAAAAGAAAATTCCATCTCATTTACTCTTCCCTGTAATGATAATAATAGTTGTATAGCTGTAATAATATATCCCAAAAAAAAAAAAAAAATATAAATAAAATCATGTCTATCTAAATAAAATAACGAGAGACTCTATAAAATCAATTCTCCTTGGTCTTAGAGACTAAAGAACTTGACGGCTCATCATTAGAATAATAGCTACTGCTACCCACACTAGACCCTGATGTAACCGGCCTCAGAGAATAAGTTTGAATGGGTGTCAGTAACGAAGACTGATCTTGTTGTGATTGTGATTGTTGATTTTGATAATCCGGAGCTTCGTCATCATTGGCAGCAGATGATGCAAGACTCACGGTTGAAACATTCACCATTTGTTTCTTGGGTGAAAGATAACTGCCAGTGTATTCATTTTCACACTCAACGTCACTCCCCTCATCACCTACATGGTTGATAAATATAGAGGGAGGAGGAGGTGCAAGAGTGTTGCTGTTGTTATTATTATTATTATTATTGGTCACCACAGCCTTGTTAAACGTCAGGGGGACTCTTTCATTATTATTATTATTGGGATAAATTGCTGAGGCGCTATTGCTCTTGGTATGATAAAGAGGAAGCAAGCCAGCTGATTCCTCCTTATTGGTGTGACTGCTGTTATTAGTAGCTTCATCATCACTGCTATAGTAAAAATCAGCAATAGAAGATCCACCATTAACATCCTTGTCAAAAAGTTTTGAAAACAAATGGCCAAGGAGAGGGACAGATGAGACAGCCGAAACAAGCACAGAACCTCCAGTGCTTGGGGTAGACGACTGAGAGTCTGAAATGATGGAGAGTTTTTCACCTCTAGAAATGTAAAGGTTATTATTAGAAGTGGCAGTGGCAGCGGCAGCAGCAACGGCAACGGCAGCAGCAGCAGACTTTTCATCCAAAAAGTCGTCATCAAAATCGAGATCATCGATGGCAGCTTCTTCATCGTAATAATCGTCAGATGTGGATTGTAAGCTAGGCGAGAGCATGATAGCAGCTGTTTGGGGTGTTAGCATGGCGTCATCGGAGGTAGCGGGAACATAAGTGTATGTGGCCGACTTTTTATTATTATTGTTATTATTAATAGAGCTTGAAGAAGAATGTTTGCGGGCCAAAGTTGCATAAATATGACGGAGGAGTCTGCGAGTTGAACGTTTTCTGCGAGAGTTGTTGACATTGGGAGAGAATTTTTTAGAAGAAGAGCGGAAGGAGAGAACCCATTGGACGAGTTTGTATTCGCAAAAGAGGAAAAACAAGCCTAACATGGTGCAGCCAACAATGGACACAGCAAGATGTTTGCCCATGCCAAGGATAAACTGGGCATCACTGAGATGCCAGGAAGAGCCCTGAACTTGGTGGAAAAAGAGAGAGGTGTGTTTTGATCCAACGAGGGGGAGGAGAACTTTGATAATATCTGAACCTTGTTGAGGGGTAGCACGAAGGTATTGTTTCCAAATGACTGAAAGGAATAGGGGGCCTGTAGAGTACATGATGGTGATGTAAGAGACAATCCAGTTACGGTTGTACTTTTCAAGGCTTGAAATGACTCTTTCAAAGAATTTATGTTTAGGGATAGAAGCCATGATATCATTTGAGACTCCAGTTGGGTCAGTTTTGCGAAGCCATGCTGGGATACTAAGCAAGGGGTCGAGTTTTGTATCGCAGCCATCGTCAAGGTCAATGTAGATGCCACCGTAATGGTAGAGGACAAAGTAGCGAATTACGTCTGCACGCATGATATTGTGATGATAGGAGTCAAAAGTTTTTAAAAACCAGTTGTAATTATCCTTGATAAAGTTGCGGGCCATTTCATCAGTCCATAGAATATACTTGTAATCGCTATGGAGGTTGACACAAGATTGTTGTTCATTAATCCATTTTTTAGGGATTTCTTCTGTTTTGTAAGTTTGGTGGATAATTTTAGGGATGATGAGGCTTCGCGAGTCATTCTCAGAGATAGGTTCCATATCTGAGGAAGTGATTGGATTTATTTGTGCCGAGTCATGTAGAAGAGAGATGAGGTCTCTTAATTGAAAGGCTGCGAAGAGTACCAAGAAGACATTGGCGAAGAAGACGATTTTTATTTCCAGTTTCATGACTGAAGAATGTGTATAAGATATTTGGGTATGAAAGTATAATGGGAAAAAATTTAGAAAAAGAGAGAGAGAGAGAAAAAAAAAAAAAAAAAAAAAAAAAAAAAAAAAAGAGAGAGAAGGAGGGGAGAGGTGGCGGTTATTATATATATAAATATAAATATTAAGGAAAGTGGCTGTGTGAAATATATATATATATATATTATAAGACCCCGAAATAAATTATGACGATATTCAAAAGTTTAAAGAGAGAGTAGATATAAATGAGATAGAGAAGAATATATAATTGAATGAATGAATGAATGAATGAATGAATGAATGAATGAAAAAAAAAGAAGAAGAATTTCAAGAATTTCAAGAATTTCAAAAATAAAAATAAAAAAAAGTAAAATAGGAAATTTGATAATATATATATATATATATATATATTTAAACGAATGAATTAGAAGAGAAAAAAAGAAACAAAGAATATTAAAATAAAAATATTAAAAATAAAAAATAAAAAATAAAAAATAAAAAAAAAAAAGTTAGTTTAGACTTGGCTTTTTTGTTGTTTTTTTATGATATATAATTTTTTAAGTGAATGTGGTGGTGGTGGTAAGAAAAAAAAAAAAAAAAAAAAAAAAAAAAAAAAAAAAAAAAAAAAAAAAAAAAAGAGAAAGAAAAGGGAAGAGAAAAAAAAAAAAAAAAAATTTGTGGCAGTGAAGTTGTTTGTTGTTTGTTGTTTGTTGTTGTTGTTGTTGTTGTAAGTCTTTTAGGAGGAAATCCTTAATTTTTTTTTTTTTTTGAAATCTTTCATAAATTTTTAAAAAGAAAAAACCAGTGCTGTCACCATACAAACACGCAGCACACATAAAAATTAAAACTGCCTGACAAAAAAAAAAAAAAAACTATTAAGGAAAGCTTTTTTTCTTAAGCAAGCATTAGCGCCCTTCTATGGATTAATGGATTAATATTTTATATAATAATAATAATTATTATTATTATTATTATATATTATATATTATATATACACAAAAAAAAAACATGTGCATATATAAATAAATAAATATATATATATATATAATTCCCTAACCCTGGATATTTTTTATATTGTATATACCCACTTCCACACCCCCTATTACAATAATTACAATAATTACAATAATAATAATTATAATTATAATAATTATTATTATTATTAATAATTTATTTGGAACACACAACCGTTTTTTTTTTTTTTTTTTTTTTTTTTTTTTTGATTTATATTACGTACCGCGGTTAGAAGGGATTACGTGATGAATTCCGATAAGTAAGCCACTATTAATTAATTATTAATATATATAATAATAATAATAATAATTAATATAATAATAATCTTTGGATATATAAACAGCCAGTCATTCTAAAAAGTACAAGCACAGGCAAACAAAAAATCAATAAATATTTTTATATAAATTTTAATATCCAAATAAAACAAATAAAAAATAAAATAAAAAGGCAAAGTTCTTAAAAAAAAAAAAAAAAAAAAAAAGTCCCTGGCAATTGATTAATTCTTTTTTTTTTTTTTTTTTTTTTTTTTTTCACTACTATTGTGGCTGTCATTGCTTGCTGTTAACTGGTCCTATGACTTTTTTTTTTTTTTTTTTGGCAAACAAACAAATTAAAGATAACCGAATTGACATTAACATTAACTCTGACCATATCGGGAGTCCCAGGTTTAACAAGCCCTTTTTATTTATTTATTTATATATTTTTATTTTATTATATTTTTTTTTAAAAAAATTCGATTTTATATTTATCTACAATAATAAGAACAAGTCCAAACCAATTTCAAATAGGATTGAAGATTTTTTCCCTTTTTTTTTTTTTTTTTACCTAATTACTTCTTCATTTATATACAACAACTCTTTACTTTCTCGGAATGTAGCTTTTTTTTTATATCTTGTTTAATAAAAAAAAAAAAAATTAAAGTCTCTCCTCTCTCTTTACTTATTTTTGTAAGTCGCTGTTGATATTGATATTGATATGTACAACTATGTACTTTAGTATTAATACCTTTAAATTTGTACTGGTTTTGGGGGGGGGAGGAACTTGAACTTTTTAGGGAATAAAAACCTCGCGGTGCTTTTTCCTTTCTTTCTTTCTTTCTTTCTTTCTTTCTATCTTTCTATCTTAATTTCTCTTCTCTTTTCCGGCTTAGAATAAAAAAAAAAAAATCAGGAACCGTATGAATCCGGGACTTCCGCTGTTTTATTCCAAAAAAAAAAAAAAAAAAAATCTTTATTGGTGGGTCTTTTTTTTTTTTTTTTTTTTTTTCCCTTTATTCCCTTTAAGACCAATAGATAACTGGCTGTTACTTAACTTAAATACACCCACAATAATATAACAATAATAATAACAATAACAACAACGACACTCAAATTGTTAGTAAATCACGTGCCACAATGGGTACTTAAATCAAAGTATCAAAGTATCAAAGTATCAAAGTATCAATTAATTTATTTATTTATTGATCTTTTCCACAACAGCCGCCGTCCATTCCCATATTGGACCCATAAAATAAAATAAAATAAAATAAAATAAAAAATTTTTGTAAAAATTCCGTTGGCTTTGCAAAGGATAAATAAATAAATAAATAAAAAGCCAAGAATGTACTTTAAAATCAAACAGAATTAAAAAAAAAAAAAAAAATAAACTTAACATTGTGAAAAAGTACTATCCCATATTATTATAATTGAATCATTTTAATTTTTTTTTTTTAAAAATTTCATCAATCAAATAAAATATAAAAGAATTTCAAATTTCAAATTATTTTTTTTTTTTTTTTAAGTTTCTAAAGATTATATCTTACATACTTGTACTTGTTATTATTAATTAATTTCACAAAAATTTGATATCCCATCTCCAATTATTTACAAAAAATAAAAATAAATAAATAAATAAATAAATAAATAAATAAATAAATAAATAAATGATTTCCATGCCTTACCACCCATGGCCTTTCCTCTTCTCTGCAGTTAAGAGGCACTTTCTTTGATAACATCACACAAAATCATACACAAAGTTCTTTTAACTACATTATCTCGCATCATCCCTACAAGGCTTTAAGGTATCTCAATGTATCTTTTATCAACAAATAAAAAATAAAAAATAAAAAATAAAAAATAAAAAATAAAAAATAAAAAATAAAAAATAAAAAAAATGAGCAATAAAAGCCAAGATTTTACTCTATATTTAGATTTTTTTTTTTTTTTCATTCATTATTTGACCAAACTATTCCCCCTCCCCGTTTTTTTTTTTTTTTTCTTTTCTTTCTCAAACTAATTAGTTAGTAGTACCTACACCTTTATAAACAAAAAAACAAAAAAAAAAAACAAAAAAAACAAAAAAAAAACAAGCTTCAAAAGCCAAGAATTTACTTAATTTAGGAAATTTCCCTTTTCATCTATTGTGGTACTAAATTGATACACTATCTTTTTTTTTTTTATCCAATAAATTTACTTATGTTTCTTCATTAGTAAACTCATTTTTTTTTTTTTTTAAAAAAAAAAAAAGTAAAGCCAAGATTTTACTTTATTTAGAAATTTCACTTTATTTAGACATTTCAGTTTTATTTTTTTATTTTATTTTATTTCATTTCATTTTTATCCATTATTTGATCACTATGAAGTCGCTAGTTGTTGCCTAAATAAATACCTCTGAGAAATATCACTAATAATTTCTATCATCTATTTTTTTTAAAACCTTAACTTGCATTTAAAAAACAAAAAAACAAAAAAGCTTCAAATCTTGGTAGATTCAGACCATGTGAAGCAATATATCTATGTTGTATATATATATCATAAAACAGAGGATTACCTTGATTACAATAAATACAACAATATCAACTGAGTGAATAACTTGAGGTAAACTAATAGTAGAATCAAATGACAAGCCAACAACAACAACAACAACAAAAAGACAAGTACTACTATCATCACTTATTAATGATAAAAATTAAAGATAAAAGAATATTAAGAAAAAAATAGTTTAATTATAAAAGTTGGATAGGTTATTGATCTCTATGACAAAACAAAGTTAATGTTAATCAAGTTATATAGCGATATACTTTTTTTTTTTGTTGAGGCACGCTACTTTGGAATAGCAAAAGCTACAGATACTTTAAAGTAGCTGTAGTTTCAAATTCATTAAATTCTATTTTATTTTATTTTTTGTAAATTTATTGTTCAATTTATTCAAACAAGGTAAAATTAGTAGTAATGATAATATATATATATATATAGATATATTTTTTAAAAATAAAAAAAAAAAAACTGTAAAGCCAAGATTTCACTCTATGTTTATTATTTTTATTTATTAGTAAATTCTTATAAAGTTATAATTTTTTGCTTAAATGATTTTTTTTTCTTAATTCAATAAATACCGCCATGGAAATAACACAGGTTGATATATATATATATATATATAAATATATTTTTAATACTTATTCATGTTTCTTAAAACAAACTAATAGCAAAAAAAAAAAAAAAATTAAACTGTAAAAGCCAAGAAGTCACTTTATTTATTTATTTTTTTTGGAACGTACTTCGCCTTCATTTTGACATTATGGTATATGTTTATACTAACTACACTTTTTTTTATCCAATCACTTGTATTTATCTAAAAAAGGTATTATTAATAGCTATCATTATTCATTTTTATAGAGTATTTAAAAAAAAAAAAAAAAAAAAAAAAAGCAATTAAAGCAAAGAAGAGCCAAGATTTTACTTTATTTGGATGTTTGGATGTTTGTCTTTTTTTTTTCTTTCAAATTCATTTAGATTCATTCTAAATCATATTCACTTTATATAATATAGCTCAATCTAATATTCACTCTTAAAAATCCTAAATAGATTATATATTTCACTCGTTTTCTTTTAATCTCATGATGTCTTCAAACTAATAAATAAATAAATAAATAAATAAATAAATAAATAAATAAATAAATAAATATTTGAGTCAAGTGATCTAGATTTCTCGACCGCAGCACAAAACCCTTTATTCTCAAAAATCTAGAACTTACACACTCACAAAAACATAAAAGTTTTAGCTAGGTTTATATATACTTTTTATTTATTTTTTTTTTCACTTTCTAACATATTTATATATTTCTTTTTTTTAATCTTGTTCATGATAAAAACAAACCTGAATATCAGTACCTGACATATATATCACGTTAATGCAACTTTTGTTGAATAAAAAACTAAACTAAATAAAAAACCTCATTTTTTTTATATCATCATCATTAGTCTATATTTTATTTTATTTTATTTTAATTTTTTTTTTTTCTAGATAGCCCTCGGCGACTCAAGTTCCGTGTTCTATGCTTAAACATGCTATCTTCTTTTCTTAAACAAATTTTTTTTTTTTTTTCATAGTATGCCCAAAAATCAGTGAAAACTACCTTACCCTGAATAGTATCTATTCCCGAGCCTAGTCCTGAATCTAGCTTTGTGTCTAGCCCATCGCCCCACCATATATTTTGGGTCTCGTTTTATTCCATTAAATAATAAATAAACTGGTACCAAGTCACAAATCTCAAATGTCACCATGCAAAATTCTATGCCTGTACATTTTTCTCCCTCCCACCCCCCACCTCTTTACTCTTAACTTCTGTCTTCGTCTCCCATCCCCTTTCCTCCTCCCCCACCATATTGAAAAAAATCAATCTTGCACACACAATTGTGTTACAACTTTCCAGAATGTCTCCGAGGTTCTTCCTTAAGTTGTAATGTAACATCCCTGTAACACAACTTCTCCACCATTTACACTCCACACATGGTTCACAACCTCACCCCCAACAAAACATTCCCCCACATCATTTTATTTTTATACAAATCCATTCCTATTCATCGTTAAAACACAAACCATTCACCCCCTCCCTCTTCCTCCTCAAAATCTATACCTCTTCCTCTATCATATACCCACCTCTAATGAGTAAAGATAGAAATATCCTTCAGGATTTCCCTCTAGCGGAAAATCCAGAGCAGGCTGCTCAAACAAGTAACTTGGTCGAAGACTTTACACGTTTCCGCGAAGCCCCTATCGAGTCTCTGCGCACTCTGCTCAAACATATCACAGGATCTTCATGGCGCTCATACGACAATTACATTGGCCAGCAGCTTTATACCCAAGGTGTAACTGAGTTTTTTAAACAACAAACTCTTGCAAACCCTGCTCTTCAAGAGAAAATTAACCAACTGGCTAATGCACAACTCGATTTAGAACTCCCACTACCAACAGACCAACAACTCCCCCAAGAAAATATCTCAGACAAGTCTCAAAGCAAATCTGCAGAAAGACAACGTCGTGCACTTGAAAAACTCATCAATGCCCGTGCTCAAAGGTACCCTCAACTTCAACAATGGCTTAACGATATGGCTAACCGTATGGTGGATGAAATGTCCTCCACTTTTGATCACAAGTCTGTTCTCCGTTTTATGTACTATATTGTCGCCCAAATATTCTCTAGAACTTACCACCAAGGAGTCCATGTTAATATGGACCAAGTCAATTCTCTTCGTGCAAAAGCCGCAGAACTCCAAAAGAAAAACCAGTCCCTCATCTTTCTCCCCTGCCACAAGTCACATATTGACTACATGTCTATCCAGTTTATTTGCTTTCGCATCGGAATTTCTCTACCATCTGTAGTTGCTGGTGATAACCTCAACTTTGCTGTTGTTGGTCCACTTATCCGCCAATGTGGTGCTCTTTTCATTCGTCGTTCTTTTGGAAACGATAAACTTTACAATGCTACTATGCAAGCCTTTGTCGAAATGCTTCTTTCCAACGGCTACAATTTAGAATGCTTCATTGAAGGTACTCGCTCTAGAACAGGCAAGCTTCTTCCTCCTAAATACGGAATTATCAAGTTTATTGTCGAAAGCATTCTATCTGGCCGCGTGGAAGACGCTTGGATCGCACCAGTCTCTACCCAATATGACAAGGTGGCAGAAGCTGAATCTTATGCTACAGAACTCCTTGGTAAGGAAAAACAACGCGAAAATTTTTCTCAGTTTCTTTCTGCTCGTAAAATTTTTGCTCTCCAAATGGGTCGCGTCGACGTTCGTTTCCACAAACCTTGGTCCCTCAGAGACTTTATTACCACTCAGGTATCAAGAGATCTTGCACGCTCAGCAATGTCTACTGAACTTCTCTTGGCCAAAACTGAAGATACAAACATTGCACTTAACCCCCATCTTCTTTCTGTCATTTCCCAAGACCCTAAGACTTTTACCCCAGAACTACGCGTCAAACTCTTGCGCTCCCTTGGATACCGCGTTCTTAGTGACATTAACGACGCTTCTGTCGTCATGCCAACCTCTCTTATTGGCACAATGCTTTTGACCAACCGCGGCCGTGGTATTAGCAAAAATAACCTTGTTCGTCGTGTTCGCTGGCTCATGGCTCTCATCAAGGTTCATGGCGGCCAAATTGGCGAGTTTAGCCAGCCCTCAATTGAGTCTCTGGTAGACAACGGTCTCAAGGTCTTGGGCCCTGATTTGGTTGGCGTTGAAAATAAAGACTTGCTACAAACAACCTATTACGCAAAGGACCCCTTCAAACTCTCCTACTACCGTAACCAACTTATCCACCTTTTTGTCACAGAGGCCATTGTGGCTGTAGCCATCTATTCAAAGGTCCTTAATACCCCCAACTCTGAGGATTTCATCACTTACTCTGACCTCCTGGGACGTGTTACTTTTCTTTCTCGCTTGCTTTCAGGTGAGTTTGTTTTTGGACCCGAGGGTATTCAAACAAACTTGAGCCATACACTTCAGTCCTTAGCTGAACAAGAGGTTATTGTTCTTGACAAACAAGCTGACCCAAGCAACCCTGCCCACAGGGAAACAATTGTCCGCATTTCTCCCAAGGAATTATCCCATGGCCGTGAAAATTTTGACTTTTACTGCTTTTTTGTCTGGCCCTTTGTGGATGGCTTTTGGCTAACTCTTGCTGCCCTATTTGCTCTTACTCCAACATTGGAGCAAACTTCTGAGTATAACGCAAATAACACCAGTACTGTCGAACCTAGAAGTCGTGGTGATATTCCTCTTCTTTGGGTTGAAGAGCGTGTATTTTTGAGCGGTGCCCAGATTCTTGGGAAAACGCTTTATCACCAAGGAACCATCACTTACTACGAAGCCGTCAACAAGGAAATGCTCAAAAATGCTTTACTGCAGTACGTTGCTGAGGGAATTGTTCTTCAGCGAAAGGCTGAAGGCAAGCCTACAATGTATGCCCTTCATCCTTCATGGCTTCCTTCCCGTTATGATAATGAACGCCCAACTTTAAGCCATGGTGCCCTCACTTACATTGACTTTGATGATGACCCCCACATGGTCCACGCTCTTCATCGTGGCGACATTGTGCCACAGGGCAACCTCTACGACTTTTCTGAAAGCGTTGCTTATACCCGTCGTCTTATTCGTCTGCGTCGTGACTCTCCAACTTTGACTGTGCCAATCCTGCGTCTCGCGTCTTCACTTTTTGACGGTACTCAGCCTGACGCCATTGTGACTACACCCTCAGCAATAATGCAGCCCAATGCTGTAGCTGTTTCGAAAAAGAAAAAGTCCAAGAGCAAACAAGCTAATGTCTTTGCGGAGATTGTAGATGGCATTAGTTCGCGGTTTGTCACACCAGAAGCTTCTGTTATTGTGCAGAGTATCAACGAGGCCAGCCGCCCGGAAACTGATAATACGGCCGTGCGGGTTTCGCGGCCGTCAAAGACTTTGTACTCGGCCAAGCTATAGTTAAGATATTAGAAGGATAGGGAATGCTAGATAGGGTTTTGAATTAGAATAAGAATTTTGTGTGAATTCACATAGCCTTCAAAGGCTTTGGGGAATTTGCTTGTTTAAATTGGAAGTACGATATTATGTAATTATTCTCATGCTTTGAGGATTTCTGGGGGAAGTAGGGGGGGTAAACAGGGTTAGGGGGAACACCACCAGTGAATTCGTCAAAAAAAAAAAAAGAATCCACATTAACCCCATTAAAATCTGTTATTCTCCATATCTCAAATTTTGTTAACAGTCAGTAAAATACATTTTTATCATTGCTTTGACCTTTATATAAGGTCATATTCTTTTGCTTTAGAAAATATTATGTGGACTTCATTTTATAGTGCTAATAATGGCGGGGAGTCTCAAAATAATCAAGGCTCACAGTCAGTCAGAGTATCTTCTTCTTCACCGCTCCCAACATCTATTGATAATTTACAACTTTCTACTCGCAAGCTGAGCCAGAGACTGGATCGGTTTGATCAGATAATGGTAGTTCTTTTAGAAACAATTAAGTCTCAGGCTGAAGAAACGGTAGGCTTTTTATCGGAACAGATGACAGCTCTTAGTGGTACAGGGAATCCTGCCGTGTCCAAAGATATTTTGCACATGCTCACAATTAATTTTAACACAGAAAAGAAAGTTTCCAAGCTACTTGTACAGCTTGAAAACATGCGTGAAGCAACTAGTGTTTCTAAGAACGAACTATATGCTTTAAACAATGAAGTAGCCCGGTTTATACCGTCATCCCAAACAAATACTGGCGAAATAAGACCCTCACAATCTGGTTATAATAGTGACACAGAGACAACCAGCACTTCACAACAAACTCCAGTTGGACTCCAGCGGGGGTCGCAAAGAACTGCTTCTATAGTACCGCCGTCATCAGCTTCGCGTACTAAAACAGCAGCCTCAATGAAGCCTAAAAGAACCTCGAGATCCATGCTAGAATCTGTTCAACACTCAGTTCGCGACACACGCCTTGATCACGTTCCTGAAATATCAGAGACTTCCAAACCCGTCGCTTCTTCTTCTCCTCTTAAATTTGAAAACAGCCAGTCAAATAAAGAACCGGCCCTTAACCAAAAGGCTCAACAAAATTTAAATGTTTCAAATAAAATCTTTGACAAAACTATGGTTGAATCAATATCTCAGCCAAATCACTCAAAAAGTAAACAGAATAATGGGAAATCAAATGAGTTTGCACTAGTTCAAAAAAAGGACTCAGTTGGCGCCCAAAACCCTGATCAGGTTATTTTTTCGGATTCTGAAGAAGAAATTGTAATCAAGTCAGAGGAACATTTAAGTAATCAAGCAGATGCAAGCATCAGAGCAGACACTTTAAATGTGAAAAACAATACCAACCAACCACAACAGGAAAGAACTCAGCCTTCACAAAGCATAGTTTTAGCTTCTCAGCATCGCCGCAAGTCGTCACAAGGCAATGGAGGCAGTGCTGACACAACCAAAAGCAATCAAGGTACCACACAAAACACCAACAACAGTGTTTTTGACTCTGATTCTGAAAGTGAACTAAGTTCGCTCTCTAATGATGACTTGAGCGATTTTGCATCAGATGCTGATATAGCACGCGTACTTCAATCCGATTTTAGAAGAAGCAGTTATCTACAAAAAACAAATAGAAGTGTTCATAGTGACGATGAACATGACCATGAAGAAAGCGCAATTGATGGTGAAGAAAAAGCAAACAAAACGTCTAGCCATGAGGGAAATAATAAAAATTACAATCCGAATACCAATTCAATAAAAGAAAAAACGATTACAAATAAACAATTAGAACCCAGCAAATTAGAAAATACAACTTTTGAAGTGGAAGAAGATATTGAATCAGTCCCCAGAATCATGATTTCTTTACCCAAAAAGTCTGCCAACCACAACATATCTCCCTATGATGACTATGTCCGCTACTACAGGCTTCTTCCTAGAAGTTACCTTGAATCCCATCAAAAGGTAACCAAGCCTCCTTCAGACGGCGTTACAAGATACGAAAATGGCAACGTTGTTTTATTTCAAAATTTTTCTGCTTCCACTCTACGGGCGCTTTGTCTTGTCAGCAAAAATCATGGCAAGTTCTCTCCCTTTGAGAATGACTCTAACCAAGAAAAGCTCATCACATTTGTCGACGAGCTTATAAAACTTAGAACAAAGCTACAGGCTTATGTGACTGAGGAATCAAAAAAGGTACACAGGAGATTGAGCAACTCTACAACAATAGGATCATTTACCAGTGCTAATGCAGACCGCTCAACCACAATACCCTTGCTAAAATGCATCGATGTTAAAACCTTAGACGTTAGTGCTATAAACCTTGATTTACTCATTTCGGGTCTCTCTCGAAGCATCAAGGGCCCAACTTGGTCTGCAGAATATTGTGTTTGCAATAGGATTATTGGCTATTGTACTTCCTTATGTCCTTGTATGAGATCTAAAAAAGGCTGTGTTTCCTTGTGCGAGCAGATTGATCAAACAAATGATTATTGCTCTTTAAGAAGACAAACAAATAAACGGAAAAAACTCAAATGAACTTGTTTTTAATTAACCTATCAAATATACATTATTTTTTTATTTTATTTTTATTTTCATTTGGGACCTTCAAGCAAAATGGCTATATCGTCGAAGGCCTTAGAAAATGTCTTTTTAAGTAAATTTGCTTTTTCTGCCAATTTTTGAAATTCAATCTTTTCCTGAATTGAATCAATTGTTTCTGAATTTTCTTCAGCAACTTCCAATTCTTGGTCCTGTCTATCTCCAATTCGCATTTTTTCCTTTTGCAAAAATGTTTGCATCATTTCTTCCATCAATGTTATCAATTCCTCCAAACGAGATACCCTTGTGTGACAGGTCTCAAAACGATCCCAAAAAAGATCCATTTTCCTCTCAAGTATTTTTCTCAGAGATAGCTCATTGTGATCCATAGATTCTTTTTGAGACTCGGTAAGAAATTGTCTATTATTAAGATCTGTAGATGATACCTCTGAAAGATTCATAAAATTTTCACCAGCCACAGAATTTGACTTGAACCTCTTTTGTTCCAAAATTGCAGGCTCCGTGGCTCTTCTTTTTTTCAATGATGAGGACAAGGATAAAGATGGTTCGTTAGCTGTTATATACAGACTTCCATCAAAGGCTAAATTTTCTGTTGGTGTGTTGAGTGGTGTTGGCGTTCCTCCAAGAAGAAACCCAAACTGTTGCAACTGATTTTTTTGATAATGTTGCTGCTTAATAGGCATTGGAAATTCTTTCATATTTTCCTCACACAGAGATGAGGGTGAGTGACTTGGAGAACTATCTTTGTCAAAATTAGTATCATTTGTTGAATGTGAATTGTTATCTGTTTTGGTATATTTCGACCAAAGAGCAGGCTCTGTTATAATGGGGTGGATTTTTCCAGGTTTCATGATAAAAAATAGCTAGAATTAAATAAAAGAGGTAAATTATAAAGAGGAATATGTTTTAAAAAATATAGAGATAGTGATAATTTCAAATTTTTTACAAGAATTTGGCTGCTATTTAAAAAGAATTTTGAGTTTCTCAACAAGAGGATGTTCTTTTAGAAAAGAGGAAACTTCAAACCAAGTCATAAACACTAGTACAAACTCTTTTATAAAATTCTATTGTTAAAATTAAAGGAATAGCCAATACAGATTTAACATAGTTTAATGAAATAGACAAAGAAAAGATAAATTCCTCTTTAAGTTTTTCATAATTCTCCAATTGCATTAATTTATTTATCAAAGGTTCTCAAATACCTGTAAATAAGCGGCTCATCACTACAATGTCGGAAAGAACAGTAGTATTTAACGTTTCTCACCCAACAAAACGAGCCAAGATAGGAATAGTTTTTTTTTTTTTTTTTTTTTTTTTCAATGACCGTTCCATTTCAAAATCGGAAAATACAGCAAATCATTAAATTAGAAAGTCTAATTGATATCACAGGTAAAACTATGTTTTTTCTAGTCTCTGGCTAAGATAAGAACCAAACGAGTTATTATTTGCTTATCTCGAAATAATTTTTATTGTTTTTTTTTATTTATTAGACCAGAATATTATTCCATTATTCTTAATGGAAATCACAAAATGGTGGGGAAATGAAAAAAACTTTTTGACAATCGTAACATGTTCTAGAACTTGAGAAATAAAAAAAAACTATATCCTTAAATAAAAACAAACAAATAAAAAAACTAAACTACCTTTTTTTAAAAAAAACAAAAAACAAAAAACAAGCTATTAATACAAAATCTATAAATAAAAAAACAACCATAAAAATACATTAGGAAAGTGAATGATAGTAACACGAACAGTCTTTGCAAAGAGGTACTTCGCATATCTTGCACCAATGACTTGTCCGCTTAATGTTAACATTAGGTTTTTCGTGCTTTGAATAACGGCACTCTGCGCAAAATGGCCGTCTTCCGGATGGCATAGGCACTAAGCTATGATCTCCTGGAGTCAACCGCAATGAGTTTCTTTGAGTATTGGCACCAATGTACAGCTTTAAGTCGCGCATATTTTGGCCAAGTGGAACTCTAACTTCTTGTTCCATTTCGGCTCTGCCTTGATCCAGCAACCCTTGTGAAAGATTGAACCGGTAATTAAATCGAATATTTTGTTTATTCTTTGTAGGGTTTTGGGTAATGAATAAAACATAACTGTTAATGATAGATGTATCCAACAACCAAAAAAATAAAGGCAACCATTTTTGACTTGTCTTGGAAGAAACATAATAGTTTGACCGCAACATATCAAAAATACCAACAGACTTCATTACTTGATCGTAGTCATCCATGACAATAGGAACAGGTAAACTTGCTATTCTTCCTACAGGAACATCGTAATCAAAGTTTTTTGAGGTTGGCCTCTTGCGATTGCGAACAATATAAGTTCTAGGATCCTTGTCATTTTGATTGGCCTCATGGACAGTGGTCATGAGATATACCAAATTATTATCGTTCCAACCAAGAGTATTGATCTCATGTTCAGTAGTTTTGGATTGATCAGCTGAACGCTTTTCACCTGTGGTGGGACTTCCAGGGGCTCGTGTAATCTCAGGAACTTTTTGCTTTACTATCTTGCCAATCATGTGGTTCCATTTTAAAACTTTCCCTGCCTCTCGTTTATCAACATCAATTTCTTCTGGAAAGTTTTTGCTTGATGATCTAACTGTTCCCATTGCTCCAATTCCGAGCTTGCGTAAAGTGCCAAAAAGTTCGCTGTTGGTAAATGTGTGGTCCATGTAAATAACAAAAAAGTGTTTGCGGAAAGGTAAGGAACAAATCATTTGATAAAGACCACGAGATGTGGGAGAAAAGGAATGCGTTTCATCGTTGGCTCTAACTGGAACACCTTGCAACCCTGAAGCTGAAGATTGGAAAAGAAAATCATATGTATATCCTTTATGACAGAGGGAGACGGTTCGATAGCTCTTCTTGAGTGATCCAGACTTGTTGTCTGAATGAGAGAAAGGAGATCGACCTTTAAATCCTATTGTCATTTCATCGATATTCATATTTTTACCTGGAAGGAAAACTGCTTGAGAATTTTCTTTAATAACTCTGGCAAACAGTGTAAACTTTTCCCAAGTTGTTGAAGAACCAGCTCCACTTTGAATAGCAAGCTGATCATTATGAGTGAAATCTTTTCTATCATCATTGTCACAAGGGAAAAAATCTGAATAATCACTAATGTGGAAATATTTATAGATTTCTTCAAAGCGATCATATGTCATATACTCGCGCATTTCATGTAATGGCATTTCTTTTGAAGAATTCCAAAATAATCGTCTGTTGCTGATATTGAAATTACCCATATAGATGAGTATGCCAAGCCAAATTTTCATTTCTCCCCTTGTTACCGGTGTCCATTCATCAGGTTTGGTATTAGCTGCAGCAAAGTTATTAGTATAATGAACTAAGATATTGAATGATTCATTGGAAAGAATTTTAGAAAAGTAATAGGTTGATGCTTGATCTGCTGTTAAACCCTGAGGTGGCTGTTCACAAAGCACTTTAGCTTCTTGACTTTCTTCTTGTTCAAAAGATCTTGTTAGAGGAATAAAGTTTCCTGGAGCAGGAAGACTTAAAATCTTTTCACGCGTAGAACCAGGTTTTTTTGTTCTAAAGTCTTTTGCAGTTTTTGGTCGTTTTGATCTTATGGTTTTGAAAACTGAAAGGTTTAGAACCTCTGGATTTTTTTCAAAACCCATGACGTTAAAATCTTTGGTTTCACAATAACTTGATAAAGGATAGGTTTGGTTTTGAGAGGAGTCTGAATTATCAGAGCTCTCATCATAACTCTCATTGTTTTCATTGGAAATTGAAGAGCGATGTAGTTGATCACTCTCAGCCGTGCCTGGTTGAAAGTTGACTATTTCGTTGATTTCCATTTTAATGGGCTGAAATTTGAAAATTAATCTTAAAGAAAGAAATGAACAAAATCATACTTTCTCAAAGGTTTATATAGTAAAAAAAATTGAAAAGAAGTTTTTTTTTTTCGAATTCTTTAGAAATTTATTAGAAATAAATTTGATCATTTGATCAAAAAATTATCTATTTCTGGGTAATTTTCCAGAATCGTCTTTGATAAGAGGCGAAGTTACTAAGTAACTAGCTTGGCTTATGCAATAATATTACATCAGACTTGCTACATCAGACTTGTATCAAAACTCCTATCAGTAACCCTAACTATATATTATTTTTAAATTAGGTCTTACAATATTTTAATAGATGGTATGTAATATTTAATTTAACAATTTTTTTTAACTAAATTAAATCGTTTCTTATTAATCAACACTAATAAATCACTAATTATTAAATAATAAACTTGGTTTTGTGTTCGTCGGCATTTGCTACCTCTTTTTGACAAGTCATCGCATTGAGTGATAATTACCTGACTTCAAAATACGTTCAACCCTAACAGGAGGGTAACTATGATATACTTGAGCAATCATTACTGTTTTAATCTCAAAAAATATCAATTGTCCCTATCTTTAATAACCAATTATCTCAGAATCATTAATATCAAGAGGATCACAGAATAATGTCCTGGATCCTACTCTCTGGCTAATATAAAGTAGAGATTAAGGATATAATTGCTAGTGCATTTTTGTTACAAAGAAAAAATCAGCCACCAAACTGACTTTTTGCTTGGAGTGGCTGTAGCCCACTGCACTGTTTGCATCAAAATGATTCATGTGTACAAATTTTCTTCTATTGGTTGGAAAAAACAAAGCGGGTACATTCAACCCGCAAATCTAGCCAGTCAGAGATGTCGAGAGTTTAAGAAAGTGCTGGCTATTTTTGAGTCATTTAACACTATTCAAAGTATAGATGGGATGGGATGACTTGTGTTTCGCCACAATAAATCTTTAATTGAAATCTGTATAAATAGGGCTCTAATTCCCCATATTTTTCTCTTTCCTCTTCTTCTCATTTTTTCATCAACACCTTTACACTTCAATCACTTAAAAATACCTATTAACTTCTAACTATTTGGTGAGAATTATAATACCCTATGATAGTACTGAAGCTTTTCATAGTACTAACACATTACTACCCATCCTCGTATTAAAGATAAAAGTATGTTTTTGTCTTTATAAAATTCAATTTTTCGAGGATGGTGTAAGAATGTTTTTTGTTTTTTTTTCTTCTATCTGAAAGAAGGGAATGCATGGCCGGTGCCGTTTTTAAGTGAGATTAGTATCAATCGCAAAGAAGCCAATGGTTATTTACTCTACTTGAAAACGTGCTGAGATTATACGGTTGTACTTGATCTAGATAACACTAGCGAAAGAACAATGCATTCTACAACCATCTTCCTTATTCGTTATATGAAAAGGAAGTATGTGTTGGTCTTCTAACTGTAGTTTTTTTTAGATGGCTCCTGCTACTGCTTCCCTTGCTCCTTACCCCATCACCATCTTTGACAAGGCTTCCAAGTCTTCCAATGATGTTGCTGCTGCTCCTAAGCCTGAAAAGTGGGATAACTTTAAGTTCAACCCTATCCGTGAGTCCCAGGTTTCTCGTGCCATGACTTCCAGATACTTCAAGGACCTTGACACCTATGCCGAGTCTGATGTTGTTATCATTGGTGCTGGTTCTGCTGGTCTTTCTGCTGCCTATGTTTTGGCTAAGTCCAGACCCGATCTCAAGATCGCCATTATTGAGTCTAACGTTTCTCCCGGTGGTGGCTGCTGGGTTTCTGGTGCCCTCATGTCTGCCCAGGTCATTCGCAAGCCTGCTGAGAAGTTCCTTGATGAAGTTGGAATTCCTTATGAGGACGAGGGTGATTACGTTGTTGTTAAGCACGCTGCTCTTTTCATCTCCACCCTTCTTTCTAAGGTTTTGCTTTTCCCCAATGTTAAGCTTTTCAACGCTACTGCAGTTGAGGATTTGATCACAAGAAAGGATCCTGTTACTGGCGAGGTCCGTGTTGCTGGTGTTGTTACCAACTGGACTTTGGTTACTATGCACCACGACGACCAGAGCTGCATGGACCCCAACACCATTAATGCTCACATTATTCTTTCTGCTACTGGCCACGACGGTCCCTTCGGTGCTTTTACTGTCAAGAGACTTGCCAGCATGGGTCTTATCAAGCTCGGTGGTATGCAGGGACTTGATATGAACTCTGCTGAGGATGCTATTGTTAAGAAGTCACTTGAGGTTTATCCTGGTGTTGTTGTTGCTGGTATGGAGACTTCTGAAGTCTACGGCTGCAACCGTATGGGTCCTACCTTTGGTGCCATGCTTCTCAGTGGTGTCCGTGCTGCTGAGTCTGTTTTGGAGGTCTACGAGACCAGAAAGAAGCAGAATGAGGCCAGCTACTAAGTTATTTAGTTTTAATAGTTGCTTTTTTATTTTTTAGGGTTATGTTTTGAATTTATTGAATTTATTGAAGTTTTTCAAATTTTTGTGGAGTTTTACTGAAATCAGATAAGAGTGCGTCAAACCGGTTACTTAGATAAACGAAGTAAAAGAATTCTGTTGCATTATTCGCCAATTAGAATTAAAAGAGATTGGGATAAAAGTCCAAATCTAAAAAAAAAAAATTACAACCTCCACTTTTTTTTATAACAATCACTACTCTTTTTAAAGATCAAATAGCTTTGAATATCAAAAAAAAGGAAAGTTCTTTTACGGCTTTAAGAATTTCTAGTTATTAGATAATTAGGTTACTATTTTTTTTTGTTAATTTTATTTATCCTTTTGAATGTTTAATATGACTTCAGGTCAAGAAAATATTTCAGAAATCTCTTTATTAATCAAAAACACCATCAATCAATTAAAATATTTTCAAAAAAGTTACTTTCCAAATATCAAGGAACGTTTAAAGTATTAGATACTATTCAGTGAAATATTTAAGATAAAACTTTTCACTCATTTTTGGTAAAAACGTGAGCTATTGCATCAAAATGGTTCAATGACGGGAAAATCTAAATCGTTGTCATTGCCCCTTTTTCAATAATGTTATGTAGAATAGAAAGGATCAAAAAAAAAAATAAAATAAAATAAAAATAAGCCCCTTATTTTTAAAAAAGAAAATTGAATTTATAGAAATGAGAAAGCTGTTAAATTGAAGAAAAATTAACATAGAAAGAAAATAACTAATAAATACTTTTTCAAATTATTGAAATAGAATAGTTTTTTTTTTTTTTTTTTCATTTCAAATAAATACACCATGGTGTATGATTGGCCAATCATCATAAATATTTAGATTTCATATTAATATATATTTTTTTAAACCTGAAAAAAACTTTGTATTTTTTTGGATATTAAAAATGGTATTATTTCGGAATTTGAAGTCAAATTTTTAATGTCATAATAGTTTATAACCCTAATTAGGTATTAAGATGAACTGTTTGAGCAACTCAACATTAATGGTGTTTAAAATAGTCATGAAATCCTACTAATGCTTAAAAAAAATTAAATAAAGAAATAAAGAAAGAAATAAAAAAATCAAATGATTTTATGAAAACCTTCAAGATTAAATTAAAAGGTTATAAAAGCAAAAAATGGATAGAGTTGATAACAATGTTAAACATTTTTTATCCCTTAAATATAAAATAATAAATAAAAAGATTTGGAGATATCAAAGTGCTAATATAATAACTATTATAATAATAATATAATATACTAATTAACTTAAACTCCTATTGGATCAACATTTATTGTTATTTTTCTGTCTTAAGTAGCATTGGAGTGCTATTTTTATATATTCAACATGTTACTAAAAAAAAAAAAAAAAAAGCCCTATTGACCACCCTGTTGAATTGGTCGGCAAGTAAAAAAAAACCCCTTCTAATAGTTAAAGTAATCTGCAAGCCTAAAAGATATTTAGCCTCATAAAATTTTGCCCTAACCCTTTCATATCTTGATGCAATAGTGAGAGTGTTTGTTTCTTTTGGTATCCTTTAGTATATGCCTTGGTTGTCCCCCTCCCCCTTTTTTGCCTTGGCTTTTCAAGTCTTTCTTTTGTTATTGTCAAAGTATCCAATTTTCCCATCCTTAACTTTAAATTCTTTCGATACCATAAACCTTTGAGATTACCTTCCTCATCATAAACAATGTTTCGTCCAGGTGCTCTCTCATCCCTGTTGTCACAACATGGAGCAGCGCGCCCAATTTTACAGCGACTAATGCTTCTGTTTATTTGCTTTTCTTTTTTAACTACACTCTTTTTTGTATTGTCAAATAGACAGTTTGATTACCAAGACGTCTACAATACCGCAGCAAAAAAGATTCAAAATACTTTCCAGCTTGATGATAATACCAGTGCTTCAGCTAGCCAGGATGCCATCGACGCTCCAGCTACAGAAAATAATATTCCTGGTCTGATAAACTCGACACTTGGATTCCAAAAAGTTATGTTTTTGAGCAACTCCTTGCTCTATGACCTCAGTGACATCACATCTATGCAATCATCCATTAGTGGTATTGCCATTGATTCCTTTGATAGTGTTTCTCCAGAAAACCTCAACACACATGGTCTTCCTCCAGACTCTCTTCATGTTCTTTCTCGTTATGAACAAGCCCGGTTCCGTTCTCATGCTAATTTGTGGCGTGAAATGCTCAACCAAGATTGGACCACTTTGCTCATTCTCGAAGCAGACTCAACATGGGATGTTAATATTCGTCGCTTAATGATGCTCTTTTCTAACGGTCTTCAAGAGTTTATGCGCAAGCAAGGCAAGTATTCCGAGGTAGAGGAAAACGCCAATGATCCATACGTTTTCGCCAACTGGGATGTGCTTCAGCTTGGAGGCTGTCTGCCAAACCGTCGTAACGCTCATTTGAGTTACCCGTACTATGATCCTTATGTTCCTTCTTCGCTTGAATTTTATGGCGTCACAGTTCCTCCCAAGCACCGTGTCGTTCGCTACCAGAGTCCTGAGCGTTGTGCTAATGCTTATGCTGTTTCCAGAAGCGGTGCCATGAAATTACTTCTTGCCACTGCAGTTGATATGAGTACTCCTATTGATGTCATGATGCGAACTCTTACTATTGAGGGTCGTCTTGATGTCTACTCAACCTTCCCTGCTCTGTTTGGTCGTTGGGAGTATCTCAGCGAACTCAAGCATTCTGACGGTAGACCCCCCACTGATTTACCTCAAGATGAGCGCAAGAAGATTTGGGAACAGGTTTACAAGAACTTTAATGTGTGGAAGTCCGGTGGTACCTCAACTGCAGAGGGTGATGACAAAGACACTGGTTCTTATGTCAGCTCTATGCTGGACCAAATCAAGAGTTACATTTATGGCACCAGACCTAATTTATTTTCAATTTTGGAAAACGAGGCTCCTCGCAACGACTTTGATGGCGAAGTTGATAACAAGAATATTGAAAATGCTGCTGCTCCAGGGAACAATGATGATGGATCATGGGTTATCCCCCAGCTTACTGACGAACAGTTGGTAGGAGAAGATAAGATTGGTGCGGACTGGGTCCACAGTGATGATCAGGCTATTGCTGCCAAAAAGGAAGCTGAGGCCAAAAAGGCTGCTGAGGCAGCTGCATCTTCAAAGTCTGCTGCAGAAGCAGCTCAAGCTACTCAAACTGCTGTGGCCCAGGCCAAGCCTACAGTTGATCAAAAGGCTGAAGATGATAAGAAGGCCGCTGCTACTTTGGAGAATTCTGCAGAGACTAAAACTGAGGCCAAAGCCGAAGACAAGAAGGCTCAAGACGACAAGAAAGCTGCCGCCACTTTAGAGAATTCTGCTGAGAAGAAGCAGGAAAAGGATAACGCAGCTGCAGATGCACCTCCATCTGCTGAAGTTGTTCAAGAAAAGGCAAAAGAAGAAGCTGTTCCTGAGGTTTTGGGAGATACACCCGAGGAGGATCTCACCAAGACTGGTGGAGCCAAAGCTGAAGGAGCACCTGCTACACCTGCTAAGAAATAAAAAAAAATAGATGGGAATAATTAAGAAAAAATTTTAATCGTTTTGTTTTTTTTTTTTTTTGTTGATTAAATGTATGAAGATAATGAATTGTTTAAATTAGTTTTTTTTTATTTATTTTTTTTATCTTTTTATTCCTTTTTAAATAAAAAAACAAAAAGAGAAAGAGAAAGAGAAAAAAAAATTGAGATTATTAGAGAAACTCCAAGTATACATATATATATATATATATATATATATATATAATGCTATTTAATAGCATCTTTACAGAAATTCTGTTGACAATATTAGTTTATTCTTTTTTTTTTTTCTTCTTCCATTATTTTTCATTTAATAACTAATTAGTTATTCCTTCAATAACTTATAAGTTATAAAAGGTAACTAAATAAGTTTAAAGACTATGTTAGTTACCATCATTCCATAGGTATGCGTGTATATATACACATTTAACGTTTGATTAAGGAAAATATTAAAGTTTCTTTTAATGCTTTTTCCCCCCATAAACTGAGATTAAATTTTTTTTTATTTTTATTTTTATTTTTTTTTTACTTCTCAAGGTCTTCGCTAAAATGCAAAAAGTAAGACATTGTATTAATGAAATTCTTCTTCTTTTGTTTTTCATTTTTCTTCTTTTTTTTCTTCTTCTAAAAAGAAAAAAAAATTAAAAAAAAAACTTAAAAACTAAAATTTTTTTTCATACATAAATTTTATTTTATTTTTTTCTTATATATATTCATTAAGGAACGGCATAAAGTTGGACATGAAGAGTAAAAAAAAAGGACAAGAGTGGTGGTATTTTAAGAAATAGAAAGAAAAGAGAAAGGGGATGATGGGTGGGCATTAAAGGAATGACTGGAGTTAAAAACATCAAAAAAAAACATTATAAAGGAAGAAGAATAAAAAAAAAATAAAAAAATAAAAGATTGGGATTCATCAAAAAAAAAAAAAAAATTCATGTAGAAAAGGAGCGGCAAAAATTAACCAAAACAAAATATTCCAAAAAAAAATAAAATAAATCCAAAATCAATGTCTTTGATTGTTCTTGTAAGTCAAAAGACTTGCAAGCTGCTCGCGCGGACAACCCTTCTTCAAAAATGGATGCTCCACCAACTCATCTGTAGAGGCACGGTATGTAACATTAACACACAAACACACACTCAAAAAGGACTTGATTTCACGCGACAGCTGCTGGGGATGTTTGAGCTGTGGTGTACCATTTGTGGCAATCAAATAAAGAGCCTTAAGAGGTTCCTCGTTAAGGTATGGAGGTTCCGACTCAATCATTTCAATGGCCATGATACCAAGTGACCATACATCCACCTTGGCACCATATTCCTTTTGCTTAACCACCTCGGGTGCCATCCAGTAAGGAGTACCCACCATAGTTGCTCTCTTATTCTTGTGCTCCGTAAGCTTTGCACAAAAGCCAAAGTCCGTAATCTTCACGTGGCCTTGAGCATCTAACAGCATATTGTCAGACTTGATGTCACGGTGAATGATATTCTTATGGTGCAGGTGCTGCAGACCCTTGCATGTTTCATAGCAAATTGTGGCAATTTGAGCCTCATTCAGCTGGTTGTTTTCAATAATATCGGTAAGAGATCCACCTTCCATATACTCCATAACAACCCAAAGCTCATTTTCATGGCGCAAGTAAGCCTCCAAAAAGTTGACAATGTTAGGATGCTGGCTCTCCTTCATTACAGTGATTTCATTAACAATGAGCTCCTTACGGGGCTGTAGTAGTAAATCAATCTGTTTAATAGCAACACGATGGTAAGAAAGCATACTGCCCTTGATTGGCTGAGCAAGATAAACTGATCCAGAAGCGCCTTGGCCAATCTTCTTAAGTCGCTGGTAAATGGTTTCAGGATCTGCTGGACTAACTACCGAACGCAGCTTTTCCATAATTTGAACATCAGTCATGGTTGAAATACGCTTCTCAGCCTCACGAAGACGAGACTTGGCAGCAGAGCTCATGGGAGTGGATCCCTCAAGAGCAGCTGCAGCCGCATCGCGTGCAGAGGATGCAGATCCACCATTTGCGGAGACACCTTGTAAAGGCTGCTGAGGTTGTTTAGCTGGTGTAGTTGGTGTAGATGATGCAGACGATGTTGGAGCAGTAAGTTTTCTAATCTTCGAAGGCTCCTCAATAGCTGGTGGAGCTGGTGCCGGTGCAGATTTTGGTGCTGGAGGAGCAGTGGATGTGGGGGAATTGTTATTTGAAGGAGGAGGTGTGGCTACATTCTGGTGTTGTTGTAGAGCTTTAGGCTTTGTATTGAGTGGTTGGACCGGAGTACCATATCTTTCCAAAGCAGCAGACTCTGAAGGAGAAGAAGAAGATGAAGAAGGAGAGGGGGAAGCTAATGATGTGGACGACAAATTGGCGAGCTTGGCGGCCGCAGTAGCAAGCTGAGGTTGTGGGTGGTGCAAAGGCTTTGAAGCCAAATTGGGGTAAACCTGAAGAGGTTGCTTATTAAGACTTGTAGAAGATGAATTGGCATTGCTATTGTGAATATTTGCTCCCAGAGCATTATTGTTATTATTAGCCATACGCTCACACTCACGCTCCAGACGTTCACGATCATTATTGAGAGGCTTATTATTGTATCCAGAAGCAGCGGCAGCAGCAGCAGCAGAAGAACTAGGGCCTGAAGCACTATCCAAGCGTGATCGACCATTATTAGGGTGGTAATCATGCTGAGGAGCAGAAATATTGAGCTTGGCCATTTTGGGCAAGTCTTGTTGCTGCTGGATCGGTGTAATGGGGCTTTGCGATGGAGGCGGAGGAGCCGGGCGCTGTGGTGCGCGAGGCGCCTGGCGCAGAGGGGCAATATGAGCCAAATGGGATGTGTTGTTAATGCGAGAAGTGGACGATGTGTTCTGTGCATTAATAGAAGAGGAAGATGAGGAGGATGCAATGGCAGCAGCGGCAGCAGCAGCAGCAGATGTAGTGGTGTTGGGTGTGTTATTATTACTATTGGTTGTTGCGACATTGAGTAATGGTTTCGGGTGGGAAATGACGGGGTGGTCCAATGTCTTGGACTGTGGACCAGAGGAGGCGAGATGGGAAAAGGATGGTTTAGAGGTTGGTGTTTTTGTCCACTCTTGAAACTTGTCATTTAATGCAGAAGAGCTGGTACTGTGGGACATGCTCTTGTAAAATGGTTGAGGAGGAGGCGGTGGGTACATTCCCTGGCCAGCATTGAGCTGTGCTGAGCTCTTTTGCTTTCTGAGGGTTGCTTGAAGTGCTGGTCTTTCGCCAGCAGCAGCAGCAGCTTCAAGAATGGCACGCTGGGCTTGTTGAGCCTTTTTACGGAATTCCTCAGCAGCCAATAAATCATTTTGTTCTTCCTTTTGCTGTTCGCTATAAAACTCAAGGACTTCAATGACAGCTTGTGGGTTTTTGGCAAAGTCTTCCTTTGTGATTGCGGATGCACTCAAGAGTTTTGACCAAGCATCTGGAAGGCCAGTAAAGTCACGGGAAATAGGATCAAATCCGACATGGACTTTATGAGTAAAATTTGTGGGAGATGAAACTCCTGAGCGGGGGCATTTGTTGTAAATTTCATCAATCCAAGAATAAAGCTCAGGGTCATTTTTGCAGGAAACAAAGACAGATTTGTTTGATGAGGAGCGGATAATTTCAAAGCAGTATGGTTTAAGGTCAACGCGTGTCACATTTGAAACCGAATAAAGAGGAATTGAGAGGGATGGTGACGCTGAGCTTGAAAACGAAACCTGTAAAAAAATAATAATAATAAAAAACAAAGGTTAGTATTATATATTATATTATTATTATTCTTCCAAAATATTTTATTTTTTTTTACTTTTGGTTGTAGTTGTGGTCAACAAAGGGGTATGAAAAAGAGGTAATAAAGTACCACCACCACCATCATTACAAACGCTTGTAAGTCAAAGAAAAAAGATGAAACAAACTAAGCAAAGAAAAGTAATTTGGCACTCCAAAAAAAAAAAAAAAAATTAAAAAATTAATTTTTTATTATAACATACCTCGTTACGATAAAACTCAAGAGAATTATCACGTAAAACTAGAAACTTCTTTGTCCACATAAAAGAGCGCAAGGAACCATCTTCTTTAACAGAAGCCCAACCTTGTTTGATGGAACGGCCCTTTGTAAATTCATCTCTTGGTTGCTTTGAAGGAGGAGAAGATGACGAAGTTGCTGTAGAAAATGAAGAAGAAGTTGCTTGTGGTGAGATTTTGTAAGCAAGATTATTTGTAGATGCTGTAGGGGTTGAATCGGAATCGACAGAAGCATTGTAAACACGCATAGAATTAGAACTGAATCCATTTGAAGAGGTTGTAGATATAGATGCTGTAGAGTGAGCAGAAATTGCTGAAGTTGTTGAATGTGTAGAAGAGTCTGAACCTGAAGGAGAATGAGAGTAAAGAGTAGAAGAAGAAGAATATGATGATGAATGTTGTTGCTGTTGCTGTTGCTGTTGTTGTTGCTGTTGTTGTTGTTGTTGCTGTTGCTGTTGTTGCTGAGATGACAATGTTGCAGAAGAATCATTTGATGTTCGAATCTTATTATGAAGATGGTGGTATGGAGAAGTGCTAGTCATTAAAATAGGATTACCAATGGAAAGAGGAGAATCCGGGAAAGATGACATAGAAGACGCTGATGAAGATGCAGATGAAGACGCTGAAGAAGCAGAGGAGTTTGATGAGGTCGAGGAAGTTGATGACGTAGCTCCTTGTTGCTTTGAATGGATACCAGAGAGGTGTTGAGAAGCAGAACCTTGGGCATTGTTATTTGAAGATCCAGAATTAGCGTTAGGTCTGGCGTTAGGAGGTGCTGGGGCAGGGCCCGGGTTAAGGAAAGCGTTATGAGAAAAGACGGCAGCTGTAGAAGAGAATGACATGTTTGTGGCTAATAAAACATTTGGTTATTTAATGAGGTTATTTAAAGGAGAAGAATAATGTTGAATAAATCTTATATATTTAATAAAAAAAAAAAGATTTAGAATAAATGAATCGGTTTATGTTTTAATTGTTGAGATTTGTAAATTTATATATATATATATATATAAAAGAGAGAAAGATATAAGAAGAAGAAATAAAAAAAAAAAGTAAAAAGTAAAAAGTGAATGGTAAAAAAGAAGGAATAAGGGATGACAAGGAAAAGAAGAAAATCTTTTTTTTTTTTTCTCAGCTTAAAAAAAAAAAAAAAAAAAAATTAGAGAAATAACAAGGGGGAGGGGGGGTGGAGTTTTGTGTGTGTTTGTATGTGTTGGTGTGGTAGGAGAACTATTTGGTTAATAATATTATTCAGACCACAGACGCAGGGAGAAACATGAAAACTAAACGTTGCAATTTCCAGGAAATATTTAAAAGTTTGTGACATTGCAGGATTGTATATATTATAAGCGTGTGTGTTACAAAAAAAAAAGAAAAAAAAAAAAAAAAAGGGGGCGTGGGTGGGTTTGCAACAAAAAGTCTTATATCAATGCTGAGTAACTTAAGCAGAATTTATTATGTAAAAACGCGTGCGAAAAACATTATTATAATAATAATAATATAAAAAAAAAAAAATTATTACAAGTAGACAAAATATATTACATTACTTTTAAATGTTACAATATTATCACAATTTATAATTTATTAGAATTACGTAATAATATAATAATAACCACATTTAATCTTTCCATAATTTTATCATAAAGTACAAAATGATCACCACGTTGGACTCAATGAGAGAAAGAATTTTGTTTTTTTTTTTTTTTAAAAATGTTTTCCAAAAATTCCCTGGACAGTCCTTGATCCGAAAACCAAGGGGAATACCATCCAGAAGCGGTCATGGTTAAAGTTTTCAACCAGCAAAAACACAATCTCAGACGAATCTTCACGGATATGCGTAATGCCCGAGCATAAGGATGAAGAAAAAAAAAAAAAAAGGAAAAAAAAAAAATTTTTTTTTAGGTGAAAATGTCAGATATTTATACCTGTACGGCAAAAAATTAGCTAATTACTAGTGGCAAATCATATAACAAAAAAAAATATATATATATATATATATAATAATATGTATTTTGGCGCTGAGCTGGCCTTGTATCATGTGACTTGTCTATTTAACAATAGTTACCCGGCATTTCCATATTGTCGCGTTATTGTCGCGTTTTTGTTTTGACATTTGTCGAAATCCTCGAGTTTCTTTCAACATGTATTTTATTCATACAAGAAAGAAAACATACATAAAAATAAAAAAAAAAATAAAAAAAAAAAAACAATTCTAGATTTTATAACTTGAAAATGTTTTTTTTTTTTTTTTTTCATATTTCATAACTCCTAAAATATCCTTATTTCATAAATTTAATCCCCTAAATCCCTAAATCTCTTTCTTTCTTTTTTTTTTGTTCTTCTTCATACCCTCCCCCCGCGTCAAAACTTTAAAAGACGCGTTTTGCTAAGATTATTATACTGTTGTTGAAATATCTTTTAAAATAAAAAAAAAATAAATAAATGAAAATTTCAAAATTACTCATCTTTGTCAAACCTATTTCCTCTGTACTAGTCGCCGCCGTTTCTTGGGGTTTCGATCAGTCCTACCTTGCTCCATCTCTTGGATCTCTTGAATCTCTTCAATAATATCATCATCATCATCATCATCATCATCATCATCACTAATCTCCAAAGGCTTGTCTAGTCCAATACTCAGACGTGGCTTTTTACTCCTACTTCCATGACTGCTTCTTCTTTTCCTTCTTCCACTTTCAGATAACCTTTGGTTCCTTCTCTTGGCTCTTTTCTTTTCTTCTTCTCCTTCTTCATCCTCTTCCTCTTCTTCTTCTTCCTCTTCTTCCTCCTCTTCCTCCTCTTCTTGTTCAATTTCATCATCAACAATAAACCCATCCAAATCGGACTCATAATCATAACCCACCTCCTCTTCAACATCAGTCTGACTAATTCGAATACTATCACGTTCCTCGTAATTCAAATCATTATCCCCCCTGTTACTCCCTGTAGCTCTTCTACCTCTTCGTGTAACCTGGACCTTACCCCGACCACCATGTGCTGAAGGCGTCCTCTGTATACCACCACCAATCCGATTTTGCTGTTCCTCCCCTTCCTCATTTCCTCCAAATCCTCCCCTAATCCTACCCCGTGATGAATACTTGTTAGTCACACTCAACTGAGGCCGTACAGGCGTTTCTGTAGAACTGCTAGTAGAAGCAATTGTAGGTGAGGTAAAAGAAGATACACTAGTACCAGCATTTCTTCTAGCTAATGGAGATTTACCCATTCCAGAGCCAAAATATTGGCCACTAAGTACTGATTTGGTTCCATTTAAAGGCGTCCGCGAAGTCCCGCCCCGCTTATTATTATCAGAAAAATCCCCAAAAGCTCCTCCAGTCTTTTTCACCGGCCCAGAAGCAACCTCATCAATCTGCACATCCGATCCATCGGAATCATCAATGCTTAGATAAACAGGCCCGCTGTTGTCGCTTCCCTTTGGTTTTTGAGTGCTGCTCATACTATTTTCAATGTCACTAGTTAAGCTGTTACTAACACTGTTGCTGCTCTTGTCGCAGATATTTTTATCCGTAGATGGGGGTAACCTGGTTATGCAAGAAACCGCCTCCTCCACAACCCCACTTTTTTTGGTAGCAATGCGTGTTTTATCTGATGGTGAACCACTGATACCACCACCACTAGTACCCAATGTGTTAGATTTGTTAGCGCCACGCGTCGCCAACGCGTCACGTTCCTTCTCCAAACCATTTTCTTTAAAACCATTCCCGGTAACACTCTGTCGTTCTGCTCTAGCCCGACTACTCTTCATCCCATTACCCGCAACAACTCTCTGTAGCGCATCTTTTGTCTCTGAACTATCCTTACCACACTCGTGGCGCAAATACTCATCATATGCAAGCTCCAATTCAAGCGTTGTACTCGCATCAATTTTCTTTGCTGAATCTGCAAGAACCACACTTCTTGGTCGAGTCGCAATACGTGGCAGCGGCCGACTGCTCTCAGGATAAACAACAGACTCGGCTCGTGTCAAAGACCTCTTACTAACACCACTTTTTCCTAAAAACTGAGGAAATAATTGCCTAAATTCACTATCATTCGAGGCTGCAGTGTGGTTGTGAATCTCTTGTAAAGCCTTTAAAACATGACTTTCAATGTCAGCAGGTAACAACCCATAGTCAGGGCCATCTCGTTTGGCATCATAAAAAACTATTTTCCCTCGACTTGTTTTCGTTATCTTCGCGGGAACTGCAGCAGGCACTGGTGCAGATGCAGATGCAGGTGCAGGTGCAGGTGCAGGTGCAGGTGCAGGTGCAAGTGCAGGTGAAGGATCCATTTGCAACTCCACCAAGGACGACGTCATTGACTTCTTTTCCATATTTTCTCTCGTCGGCGGTGTTGCAAATAGATCCTCAGAACTATCAGAATCCATCGACTCTGATGATTTAGGTTTCAATCCCATCAGATTGCTAGCGCTAACAAATCCAGTTTCCACATTGTCTGGCATGTTAAACTTCTTCACAATTTTGGTGGATTTTTTTCTGACCGCAGTACGCTTGGTTTTCATGCGGCGTTGTGTCATCTCCATCTCTTTTAAGACATCTTCAGACTGAAGCATCTCATTATTTTCCTGAGGAATATCAATTTTTTGCTCAACACATATAGGGTTATGTGCCAGCGGAATGATCCTATTTGTTTCACAATACTCCAAATCGCCCATGCGTGATGTCCCCGCAATTGAGCTTTGAATAGTCTTGTAATTGTCTATAGACATTTCATACTTCTTTTTCTCACCTTCAGTCATCAGCATGTGAACCGTGCCACTCCGCTTACGACCTGTTCTGCCCATTCGTTGGAGCTATCAAAAGTTAGTCTCTATTAAAAACTGGTTTTATTCCTTTTTAGAACTTACCACTTTGATTGGACTTGCAGAAGCATCAAAACATATAATCATGTCAACTTCACCAATATCAAGACCCTCCTCGCCAATAGATGTGGCAATCAAAGTATTGAATTTGCCTTGTTTAAACTCAGCAATTACCTTTTGCTGCTCTTTTTGAGTCATTCCAACATTATATGTTTCCTCCAAATTCATAAGATTCGTGCTATTCAAAGTGTTATTTGTGCTGTTTTTGGTTTTGGACCCAGTTTCACCACTGGATTTTGTTGATTGACCAACAAATATATGCGAATGGCACTGGTTTACATGCAAACTTAACATCCGTTGTATCTCAGCTGTTGTATCACGATACATGGCAAAAATGATGATACGCGAAGACTCCTTAAATTCTATAGATGTGAAATAGTCCTTGAGAATATAAACCAAGCGTTCCATTTTGGGGTGTCCAAAAAACGGGTTTACAAGATTATTTTCGCGCATCATATTTGTGTGCGCTATCTTACAACTTTTGTTGAATCCAGGGCTATTGAGAACACGATGGAGATACTTGCTCTTAGAACTTTTCCCTTGGTCATGTAGTTTCTGCATCAAATGATAAAAAGGAACAACGCCATGTAACTTGAGCCGCTGAATAGCATATCCTAAAGATGTTAAAATACCGAAAATTGCCTGTGCTCGACCACGCGTCTGCATGTTTCCTCGGGCTGCCGGTGAAGCCATATAACTTCTCCGTGCAAGATTGACGCCATAAAGTGTTAAGCTTTCTGCGCCGTTAAGGAAAACCCCAGTTGCATTGCGAAGTTCATTTATTAGAGGCTGGGCCACACTGCAAATTTCCTCTAAAATTTCCTTTTGTTCAGGAGAAAAGTCTAAAACTGTTTTTTCAATGTTTTTCTTGTGAATATAAGGTACAATATCCATGCTGTCTTCAGTGCGGATTTCAACGCGTGAAATGTTAAGATTTGTAATAACTTCTTGGACACTTTCTATTGTAGATCCCGGTGTTGCAGTTAACGCTAAAACTCGGAAAGAATTGTTGAACCTTGAGATAAATCGAACTACCTCAGCATATGCTTGATGGCCTGTTGATCGATGAGCTTCATCAACAACCAAACACGCAATACTTTTTGGATCTAAAATTCCAAGTTTTAAATCATTTTCAACAGTCTGTGGAGTTGCAAAAAAAACACGTTTATTTTCCCATTCAATTTGTCTATCTTTTTTATGAACCGTTCCCATAAGAATACTAGCCTGTGTCGCTGGAATTCCTGTAATTCCCAAACACGCTTCGAGCTGTTGAGAAACAAGTGGCCGAGTTGGTGCCATAAATATAATTTTGGCATGTTTAGTCCATCGAAAATAATTTAGCATAACTGTTGACGCGATATATGTCTTACCAAGACCTGTTGGTAGCGCACACAAAACGTTTGCAAATAACGCGGTCTTGACAATATTATACTGGTATTCACGAATATCAAGGTTTGTAGGGTATATGTAGGTATCCAAATTTTCTGGGTTAAGTTCATGATGAGTGGGCCATTCCTTGTCGTTGGCTCGTAAGGACTCAATGGTTGGAGATGTAAAACTAGTTGTTTTAGTCCCAGGCGCAGGTATCACGGCACTTAGATCCACAGGCTTGTGTACTCGCGCAGGAGGCCGCATAGTTCCTGGCTGATGGCCCAGCATCATTGAAAAGTCACCAGAAAAAGTTGTTTGGTTAAGAGTCTTGGCTGACCGTCGTGGTGTGGAAAAGTTTCGAGTTTTATTTTTTGCGATGCTCACTGGCGTTGTTATAGTTGTAGCTCTATCGCGACTTGTTTCTGGGTCTGAAGTTGATGCTGCTGAAGAACGAGTATCTGTATTAAACACATCCTCATCATCAATATCGTTAAACATGGAATCAAAATCGTCTTGTTCCATGATTCCGGTTGATTAAATGTTTGATCTAGATCTGATGTATGATGTAGGTTTAGTGGTGATTTTTTTGGCTGGTGCCAATGGTGGTAGTGTAAATCTAAGTACTTGGAAAAGTTTTTGACTATTTGATTTTGCCACACGCGTCGTGTCTTTCACGCGAAAAGCACGCGGTTCAACGATGGCACGGCTATTGGCTAGTCGGATGTTTCTGACTTTTTTTTTTTTGTCTCCGTTTGTCGTACGTTAAAGGCCACTGAGGCTCTCTTCCCTCCTTCCCACTGAAATTTTTCAATTAAACTCTCTCTACTAGAGCAGGTTCTAGCAATTAAAAAAAAAACAGATAGTGAAACAATCTAGGCAAGGAAATAATAATCAGTTTTTTTTTAGAGTATTTGCCAGTTTATTTTGTTTCTTGCTTTCTGTTTTCAAAAATGTCTTCAACATCGATTGAACCAGCAAACCCTTTATCAAACTCCACTTTGTCTCCTGACTCGCTTCCAGAGGTTGCCTCGTCTATTGTCGACGATGAAACGGCTGCTTTGGGACCAAATGCAGGATCTTCGGCCTTTTTTTGGACTTACCAGGAAGAACCTCATCGTTCTCGCCGCAAAGCCATCATCAAAGCACACCCTCAGGTTACAAAACTATGTGGACCGGAGCCCTTGACCAAGTGGGTGGTGCTAGGTGTAATGCTCACTCAATTCACCATTGCCTACTATTTAACAAAAACTAACACGCCATTTTTTTCATTCAAATTTTGGGCATTGGCGTATGTTATTGGGGCTACTTGCAGCCAAAATCTATTTCTAGCAATCCATGAGATGGCTCATGGCCTTGGATTCAAGACTCGCATTCATAATCAGCTATTTGCTGTCGTTGCTAATCTTCCTATTGGTATTCCCTACGCCGCAGGGTTTGGGCCATACCACTTGCTGCATCATAAGTATCTCGGCGATAGCCAATACGACACAGATCTGCCCACCGTTCTGGAGGCCCTAGTCCTGGACTCTGTTGCTGGCAAGGCATTTTTTGCAACTTTTCAGATTTTCTTTTACGCTATTCGACCTATCTGCGTCATGGCTATCCCCTTTTCCAAAATCCACGTCATTAATCTAGTTACTCAGTTTGTTTGGGATTATATTGTAGTGCATAACTTTGGCTGGACCCCTCTTGTTTATTTCTTGCTTTCGGACTTTCTTGCGGGCTCCCTCCATCCGTTGGCTGGTCATTTCATTGCTGAGCACTATGTTCTTGACCCCCCAGCGCCAGAGGAGAAGAAGGAACCTAAATCTAAAGACATTCAGCAAAAGGGTGTACAGCCTGCGCAATTTTCTAAAATTGCTCCGCCAGAAACTTACAGCTACTACGGACCTCTGAATATTTTTGTCTACAACGCAGGCTATCATAATGAGCACCATGATTTCCCTTATGTGGCATGGACTAAGCTCCCCGAGCTCAACCGCTTAGCTAAAGAGTTTTATGATCCATTACCATGTCATCGTTCGTGGTCCAAGGTAATTGTCGACTTTGTTTTTGATAAGCGGGTCAGTCTATGGTGCAGAGTCAAACGAAGTAAAGAACAAATTGATCCGGACGACTACGAACATCCAGAAAACAGCATTGAATCAACATCCACCACCACGGGAGCAAAAATAATATCACCAGCAGCAGCTCTTGCAGCTCGTGCAAACATCAAGTAAAACTAACATACACACAATATTAGGGTCAAAAGAATAAATAAATAAAAAAGAGGAACTTAAGTTTAAAATTGTGTTATTAATGGTATTTTTTTACATAGGGTAGGAGAGAGGTAACCATTAGTAATATTGGCTCGTAAAAATCATAATGTACTTTCTGATGTGACTTGGTATCAACGAAATTAAAAAAAAAAAAAAAAAAAGGCTTCAGTTACTCAGAGGAAGATTGAGCAGGAGCCACAGAAGCAGAGGTTGCAATTTTCTCAGTGGCCTTCAAGTCTTCGACAGCCTGGGACACCGTTCCAGCCGGTTTTTTGCCCCCAGGCTGCGACGCAAAGGTATAGTAATCATTGGCAAGATCTTCCATCTTCTTGATACGGAGTTCGCGCTGTTCTCTAGAGATTTGGCGCTCATATGCAAGCAGGTTATTGTCAATGACCCAGCATGCACCTGTAATTACAAAAGCAAGTTGGATAAAGGTGCGGAACTGGACCGTCAGCGAACGGTACTTGGGCGAGTATTTTTGGGCAACAAAGTGGGAAATGGCACCGGCAACTAGGCCGGCAGCACCACCTTTCACACCGCCATCAACAATCTGTCAAAACAATGTTAGTTTGTTGCTATTGTTGCTAATGTAATTCAAGCTTTGGTTAGCTTCAAAGCAGAGGGGTCCATTTGATTGTATACATACAACGTCGATAGCACCTTGGATTTTTTCAGGAGAGTGATGAGCAGGCTTCATTGTGATCGTATAAGATAAAGAAAAAAAAATTTAAAAAGGAAGAAAACTCTGATTTATATAATAATCGTTTGTCTTGATAAGCCTTTGGTTTGAGTCTTTTAATAATCCTCAATAGACGAGAGTTCTTAGTGGCTATTAGAAAGGAAAGAAAAGAAAAGAAAAGAAAGAGTGCAAAATGAGCAGATTTCTTCTTTCTTTTGGGAGGGAAGGTGTGGTTTTTATTATGGGTTTGTTTAAATGCTAAAAGGTAAGGTTTTTTTTTTTTTTTATAAGACAAAAAAGTAAAAATAAAAAATAAAAAAAAATTAACCAGTTCGGATCCGCAAACCCCGGATTCCATCTTTTCAAACTGTACACCAGCCAAATCATAATACCGGCCCATGGCGCCGCCGAAAGAGTCTCGATGAAAATTAAATCACCGCGGATGTATGACGGATGATTGAAATTTCATCAAAAGGGTTGAATGAGAAAAAAAAAAATTCCCAGATATATATCATAATCATACAGGCATATATATACTCTGTCGGGCAAAGCTCTATCCAAATAATAAAATACTGCCACCAGTACCTGTGAGAACTGATAAGGGGAAAGAAAAAAAAAATAATAATAATAATATCCATAATTAATTAGCTGGTGGTTTATTCTATTCTTGGGAAACCAACTAACCGATTCGTACAGATACCAAATTTATACTCTCCATTTAATCATCCTCAGACACAGGCTTCTCATCATCTTCAAACTCCATAGAAACCGGGATGACAAACATTGTACTTTCAGCGACCCCGGGAATCGTGCCCAGCCCGCCAAACACGTCCACGCTTTCGTCTTCCTCGTCCTGCTCTTCTCCAGCATCTATATCTTCATACAACCGGTCAAACTCATCTTCTGCTTCGTCGTAAACCACATTCTCATCTACTTCAATGAAATCCGGTGCAAGCGCACTCCATCGCTGAGGCGGCACAGACGTCCATGTGTGGATCCGGCCACTCTCTAACCCGGTCGCCGCAATAAGTGGTCTCGTGGGGTGCCATGCAATTTCTACAAGCTCCTCTTTTGGGCCGTTGTAAATCTTTACCAGAGACCCAGTACTCGTGTCCCACATGTAAATATCTTGTGCATCTTCAAATGTCGATGCAATAATGTATTCAGCAGATGGCGCAATTGCAACCGAGTTCCATTGCAGCCGATTCACCACATCCTGGAACTTGTGTTGTGTCTTAATATCCCATTCCTGGATATTGGCAAACTCCTGTCCATCATCATTGTCCTTACTAAAGCCCTCCCCGCTCTCGTTATTTTTGTGATTTCCGTTTTGATCTGGAGGGGGATATCGCATATCTGGCATCGCTAGTAGGCGAATAACCCGATCTGATGAATTCACAACCATCAGCCGGCCAGAAGGTGACAGTGCCATCGACTTGATTTTGCTTGTTGAAATGCTTTTTGAATACATCACTTCAGGACTACCGGTTCTTATAATATTAATGCTTCCTCGTGATGTTCCTGTAATAATGTACTCGCCACTAGGCGAAAACATTGCTGTTAGCACATCTTGCTTTACACTACCTGTCTTTTTCTTGGATGATGATCCTTTCCCCTTCTTCGTTCGTTTCCTTTTGCCTTTCCTTTTCTTGGTATCTTCTTCTGGTTCAGGTTCCGGCCCGGGTCCCGGCTCTTGCTCTTCTTCTGGCTCTCGCTCTAGCTCTGGCTCTGGCTCTTGTTCTGGCTCTTGCTGTTTAATGGATGAATTTAAATCCAAAATATGTGGAATAACATCTCCTCCGATATTCTTCTGTGAAATATCAACAAATACTGCATTTTTGTCGAGTAGGGATGCTACAAACAAATTATCGTTTTTCGGATGAAACTGTGCCATCCATACAGGTGCACCTAAATTGACAACAACTTTTATCTTCTGTATTGCACTCACGTTGCCTCGTACTCCCAGATCCCATATAATACATTTCCAATCTCTGCCTGCAGACAAGAGATATCTATTGGTGTGTGACCACGATAGTGATTCAATCTGCCGGCTGTGGCCTTGCAAAACTGTTAGCACGCCGTTGGTATCGAGATCAAAAATTGCAATGCTTCCATTTATCAGACCAGAAGCAAGGTAATCACCATTCGGACTAAACTTAAGACATGTCGCATGTCCTAAATGTAGGGTTGTAGCTTGTGTATCTGGAAATTCCTGTGCCAAAGCAAAGGGGTCTAGTAGTGATAAATTCATGGTGGTAGTAGCAAAAAGAGATCTATTTGGATTACAAAAAAATAATTAAAAATAAATAAATAAACAACCAACTGAATTGGGACAGAAAAACACCCACACTTCTTTTTTTTTATCATTTTCGCAAACACCTTAAAGTAAAATTAAAACCTCATTTTATTTAAGAAAAAAAAAGTCAGCTATTATGTACTATCAAATTCATTAAAAAATATCAATTTTCTTTCTAAGAAAGCAAAAATGATCCCAATCCTTCCTTGATGGCAGTCATGATACGCTCCCGTAAGATCTCCTTCGATGAGTAATTAGGCAGCTTGAAGTAGTTTACGCAAGTCATAACCGTAGGCAAATATTCATCAGGCGTAAGAGGTGGCTCCGATTCACGGCAAACAATTGTGAATGGAGGTCGAAGAGCCTTGAACCCACCAATGGGAAGGTTGGGGCTGCCTGTGACAAATTGCAAAAATGCCTTTCGTTGTTCAACAGTAAATGTGCTCATAACCTCAAAAAGATCTTTAACAACTCTGCTCTCAATATTGTATCCATGGTCTGCCTTGGCCATTGCGCACAGCGTCTCATAAGACCAATCGGCTTCACCCTGTCCACACATAACAACGAGCTCCTCAGGGACAAACGTGCTAAGCGCGCTGTATGGGAACACAACGGAAAATCCCTCCTTAAATGCCCTAATTTGCTCAATTATTCCTGAGCCCAGTGTCATGTTTAACACTTTCTTAATATAGTCGTCGATATTAAAGATAGTTACTTCGACATCTGCTCCACCGGGAATGAGCTCTAAGTTATTGCGGCCTGGAAGTCTAAAGTCAAGAGCCAAATCTTCAACTGACGCACCATCAACTCGGATGTCTTTAATGGTCTGCTCTGAAGCATTATTCTCTGTCAATCGATTTCGCTCCTCGACATAAGATTGTAATGTGTCGAGAGATTTTCCAGTATGCTGATCCACAAGATAAACAGTTCCAATGTTATTGGCAGCACTTAAAAGCTGCTCCTCAGTCATAGCAGCTAATCGGAAAAAGAGAGGATTAAAATTCAAATCAATGATTCGAGAATCCAACATGGCGCGAGCAACAAATGTTCCCAATGACTTGAAGGTACTCAAAATCTTCTTCCCAGAAGAGGAGGTCGTCAGCCATTTGGGGTCGCGTGGCAGAGGGAAAAGGCCTTGCTTGGAAAAAACATAAGAGTTTTTGCCACTATCTTTAACAGAACTGCCATCGTCATCACGCCAGATGCTCAACTTTCGACGAGTAAATTGTTTAGAAACCGTAGCATAAAATTCCAGTGTTGGACCCAAACCAGTGCCAACATCGTCAAAAAACTCAACCTCCAACGAATAAGGCGAAGATCCGTAGAGGTTCATAACTTTCATTGCACTTTGAAGCATGTGGGATCGAGAGATTCTAATCTTTTGTCGCAAAAGGCTGCTAACGTGCTGTTGGCTATCACCCCCAAAAGGACCGCCAGATCCTCGGCTTTCTGAACTGTCTTGAGATTGCTGAAGACGGTTCATCAGTCTCGAATAGCCAAACGATGTAGACTGTAAAAACAATAATCTAGTTTCAAATGGAAACAAAAATGGATACAATCTGCATGCATCAACAGCCCAACTTGGCATCATACGGCTAGCAATAATAAGAGGCTCTTCAAGCTGTCTATTGAGCTTGGCAGTAAGTTTCGAGTTGGAAAACTTCGCCATTGGAAGTGGCGAAATGGAATGTTTTAATGATGAGGATATAGTGCATGCATTACCAGGGCGTCCAGAGTTGGCAAATAAGTCGAAGACGCTATTATTCATTTTAAAAAGAGTGTTGAGAAGTCGAATAACAATAGAAACAGACTCATTTGAGCCAAAGGATGCCGGCATTCTAAGAATAGGATCAAGATCTTCAGCTTCAATTGGTTTTTCTTTGCTATCAGAAAAGCTTCCCTTCTTTTTCTTAAACCATATGCTGTGTGGTTTCCCCCAAATCTTCCATGAAGGGTTGTTAGTGTAAGATTCTCCCATTTCCTTCTTTTCCATTTCCTTTGCAAGCAAGTTCTTGAAAATAGCACCAAAAACAGTGGCGTCATGAGAAATTGGAACGCCATCAATATAAAATTCAAGATGCCATGGAGCAGGGTTCAAGCTGTTGGAAAGAGCCGAAAGAGCATCAGTTCTCGATGCAGATGATGAGGCAATGGGTTGTTCCGATGCTGTGCTGGTTCCCTGGGGTGTATTGTTCTCAGAATGAGCTTCGTCTTCATCGGTATTATTATTTTCTTCCTTCTGAGGTTCAGTATCTTCCATGACCGTATCCTTGACAGAGTTTTCTGTAGTACCATCTTCCTTAGACCCGTCCTGTGTATTATCTTCTAATTTTTCTTCGTTCTTCTTTTCTTCCTTTTTTTCTTCCTTTTTTTCTTCTTCTTCATCTTCTGTCAATGCTAAAATTTGACTAAAAATTCTCATGCTAGAACCAAAAATAGTATTCTCAGCCTGAACCTTGGTTTTGTAAAAGTCATCAATGGCCTTTAAAGAAGCTGTGGCCTGAATTGAAATCATAATTGGTTTAGCCTTTTTCGATGAAGAAGATTCACCACCTTCTTTTGGTTTCTCTTTAATCAATGGAGTCAAACTGATGCGAAGTTGTCGAGAAAGACTAGAAGAAATAGAGTTGCGCATTAGAGAATGGGAGTCTGCAGCCAAAACTTCAAATCTTTCAAATCGGCTCAAAGATTCGTTAAGTCTTTCAAGCAAAATCTCAAAAGGTTTAGTAGAACCATTTCCCAAAAAGGTCTCTAAAAAGAGTTTGCAAGTTGTTTGAACATTATCACCAGTAGTTAAAATAGTAAGCAGCGAGCGAAGAATGTGGGAACAAAGAAGCTCAAACTCAGACACGCTTGTAATTATTTTGGCAAACTTTTGGAAATTAGCTTCTAAATCTTCATGAGCAAGAAACTTTTCGCTGAGATCGGTCAGTTGATTTAAACCTTTCTTCATCTCATCTTCAAAGTTGCGGCTTTTGATCTGTTCATTGTAGACCTCAATAAGTCTTTTGGCCTGAGAAAGGACAAGAGGTGTGAGGTCAGAGTAAAAAGATGGAATTTTAACTAATGATTCATCACTTTCGCTTCCTTCATCATCTTCCTCATCTTCCTGATCTCCGTCTTCATCTTCCATTTCATCTTCATCTTCATCTTCATCCTCTTCTTCCTTATCCTCTTCTTCCTTATTTTTCTTGTCCTTAGCATCGGTTTCTTCTTTGTTGTTAAAGGAAGAACTCTTTTCCAAATTCTTTTCTAACTTCTTGTTCAACTCTTCTTTTTCCTTTTCAATACGCTCCTTTTTATCTTTCTCTTTAATTTCCTCTGTTTTTATGAGATTTTCAATTTCTTCAATAATTCCTCCTCTGAAAAATGAGACAATATATATGTCAGGAAGCTTTTGCATTAAGATTGTTGCAACTTCCAAAGCACCAAGGGTGAGTGAGTCATGATCACGTTGTGAAAGAATTGAACTTAGTAAAAGAGAAAGCTCCACATCAGCAACAACTTGTTGAAGAACATTAGATGGTAATGTAGAAACGACTTTAATAATTGTCTGCAAAACTGATCTTCGGATTTGAATGTCAACAGTTGATGAAAATGTATCAATCAAAAGGGATAGGGTAATTTTTGAAAACCTGACAATTTGGCTGACACCCAAAAGATCTTTTGTGCGTTTCTCCATGCGTTCCTTTTCTGCTTCCGAGCTAAAAGAATATTGGTAGGGGCTGGCAACCTTTGATTCGTCAACAATAGCAAGCTGTGGGTAAACGTTTGAAAAAACCTGAAGAGCGTTTGAAAGAATTTCTTTATCAGCATATATTAATGCTTGAATAATTGCAGTGGTATTTTTTTCATAAGCACTTTTGATTGGTTCGCTTTCATCATCATCAAAGTAAGGTGCATGTTTGGTAAGAACTTGGTAAAGATGGCTTCCAAGTTTGTTTTCAATGGCCAAAACAGTGAATTTTGTCGAAACTCTGATTAAAGTGGCAATGGCTTTGATAATGCGAGGCTTTAAAGTCAATCCACTATTGACGGAAGGATCAATATACGATAATAACTTCATAGAAATTTTAGGCGTCATGAGTTGATCAATGTAATTAGAATTTGTGTTAAAACTCTCAATAATGCCGCAGATAGAATCTGCAATATTTTTTGAAATTTCCGGGTCATTGTTTGAAAGAATATTTTCAATTAAAGGAACAGCATCCCTGACAGAATCGAAATATCGCATAGGAACAGATGAAAGTGTATTTGCGACTGTTTCTGTGGCAATTCTTTGAGTAGAACTTGAAAAAAAGTCGAGGTATGAAAGACAAGCTGTTAATCCTCCATTTTCTAGAATGGCATGAGTCTGAGAGCGAGAAATTTTCCTCAATGCCTATATGATGTTAGAAAAAAAAATGTGAAAACAAGTTTCAAACATACCGTGAGAGCTAATTCTGCAGTATCAATATACTGGATCTCAAAAAGCTTTTCGCACAAAGCCTTGACCGGTCGTGCATAGCTAAATCTGTCAAGCGACATAGGGTTGGCATCTAATAAGTTGAGTAAGCACCGGCAAGTCATGATGATGATTTCGACACTGTTTTCGTAAAGTTCGTCCACCATAATATCTACCAAAGCGTCCAGCACCTTGGCGGTAGGAAGGTAGTCATTAAGAACATCTTCATTAGTCATGAGTAAAATATCGGCAAGCTCTTGGAGGCCAGCCATTACGTTTGAAGGGTCTCCATGATCCTTTATAACCTCGAGACATGGTTCAATATGGCCAACAATTGAAGATACAACATCTGGAATACCCAATGCTCCTCGAAGAGATCTGAGCATTTGTTCATTTGCTGAACGAAAAGCATTTTCTTCATCGTCATCATCGTCTGCAGCGTCACTACGTTCATGGTCTTCATCATCATCTTCTTCATCATCATCTTCATCATCATCATCATCATCATCATCATCGTCATCATCTTCATCTTCATCATCATCATCGTCATTATCGTCATTATCGTCATGACCATGATCATGATCGTAAAAGTCTTCGTCATCGTCGTGACCCTCGCCAAAGCCGGCATTTGTTTGGTTAATGGCCTGAACTAGCTCATTTGCATCTTCCAAGTCTCTGTCGTCGCTTTCATTTTCTTCTTCGTCATCGCCACGATGATAAAGGTCCCTATCATCATCGTGACCCTCGCCAAACCCGGCATTTGTTTGGTTGATAGCCTGAATCAGTTCATTTGCATCTTCTAGGTCTCTGCCATCGCTTTCATCTTCATCATCTGGGTTTAAGAGCGAAGGTTCCTGCTCGATGGCAATATCGGGGTCAGCTCTAGTAGAGTGAGGCTCAAGTGGCAGACCGGGCGGTAAAGGAGTAGAAGATGAAAGGTAAATGTCATCGTCATCAAGGGCAACATCACCATCAAGATCACTAGGAATATTACGGGGAGTGTTTGTTGAAGAAGAGGCGTTGCTGTTATTATTTGAGTTTTTAACAATGCTGAATAACGGTCGGTTGATTCTGGCTGCATCCTCGTGAGTAGTGTGTGAGCTTGGGCCAGCAATATTTACAAAGTTGGATGAAATAGAGGATGTTTGGGACGCTTGATCAGAGTTGTCGTCGACACCAGTCATGATGACATCGCTATCCTGGCGTGTTGCAAGCACCGGTTTATCAGAACTTGAAGATTCCGCGGTGGGTTCAGATGAGCCTACAACATTATTCTTCATTCTGAGGTGGCAAAAAAAAAAATCAAAAAAAAAATAAAAGCTGAGACTGCAAGTCCAATAGAATCTTATTGAGGAGTTTTCAAAGAAAAAAAGAAGTGTTTCTTAGTATTGAAATATATCAAGTCCTTTTTGCAGTAACTTATACCGGAAAAAAGAATGGAATAGGTGTTATTAGATGGATAAGAGAGTGTTTGATGATGAGCTGGGAAACTGCTGTGTGGCGAAAAGAAGGAAAAGGGCTCCTTTTTATTTTCTTTTATTTTTTCCCCTATGAAATGAGGTAGAAAACGGGTGGTTATAGTATATCTAGGACTGCACGGCGTAAGTACTGGACTGCGCCTGGCGGCTTACAAGTTTATTCCAAAGTTTTATCTGTTTATTTTTATTTTTATTTTTGTTTTGCTAATCTTTTGATTCTTTAAATATATCCAATTCATGCAAGTTTGACTTGGGATTTTTATTTTATGCTATATGCTGCATATTGATTTGATCTGAAATGTCACTTTATGAAGACTTTGGACATGAAAAATATAAGTTGTTGGAGCTCACACCTGAACTTGTAGAGCAAATCAAAGCAGGCAAGAGGTATGATTTTCTTATCCATTTTTAGATCTGCCTTGTTTTTTAATGCAATAATAAATCTAGTCTGGAGCTGAAATCCGAAACGCCATCTTCCACATTAATGCTATGCACAGAAGACAAGACATTTAGAATACGTGAAGCGCATCATTCTAACTCTTTGTTTGTGTCGACCACAGACGTCTCACATAGCGAGGCTTATAAGGATTGCAACCCTGATGCCATTATTCTTTTAGATAATATCCCAGCATTATGGGAAATTGCGCCAGCCGACGAAAGTCAAATTTATCTACCTAGTGATATCCCCATCTACAAAGGATCAGAGGAAAATCACGAAAAAATTGAATCTAAAGGAACCACTCTATTAGATGTCCGTGCCAAGGCTGCGATATCACAGAAACAGTTTGATGACTTGTGGAGAGAGAATGGAGGAGTGGAAATTGAGGATAAGAAGAATAATAAATCTACTGCATATTTACTTGACAGCTCAGTTATAGCCAAAGTCATGAATTTGATATTAGGAACAATTGAAACCACTTCGGAGTTAAGCCTAGATAAAGTCTCTATTGCCGCTTTACATGAAGGTATGAGAAATTTTGCAGGAAAACGAAGTGATGAACCATACACAGTGGTTGAAAGTGTTGTGAGAAAGTTTTCCAAAGAAGAGAATGTGCCATATTCGTTAAATATTTCAGAGATTATTCACTGGTATGGTATCAACACTTTAAAGGAGCACCAGGGACAAATGCTAGTTGAAAGAGATTTTTTGGAAATGTGGAGACAATCGCTTCCTGTTAACGTTATGGATCCATTAAAACTGGAAAGTTTGACTGGAAATTTCATTAATATGGATGGAGGGAAAGTGACATTTTTTACCAAAACTAGTTTACCAAACGATCCCAAAGAGCGTATCAACCAGTTGCTAAATATTAAGCCTAACTGGGAATTATCTGAGATCCTACCATTTATTCAAGATATTATTCCAAAGACGAGCAAAGTGGAGAGTTTTATTATGAAATTTGCAAGGAAAAAAACAGTTGGAAAGAAAATAATCATTTCTAAGCGGTAGTAGCGTTTATGTACAGCATTTTTCTATATATCTAAGTGTATATACGATTAATATTAATGAATCTATTCGAGAATCATGAGAGCATACTTTCTTGCAACTTCATAAGTACCCAAGAAAATAGCACCTCCCGCACTGATCCACATAGTTCTAGGACCGATACCCTTCCAAAAGGCGCCATAGCCGTCTTCCTTGAGAATGTTTTTGGCAAGAGTGATAATTCCGATAGGAGTTTTATTGAGCATAAGTCTTGTTTTAATAACGTCAAGAGGGGTAGTAAGGGCGGCTGCAAATCCGCCTGCTATCGAGCCAGCAATAGCGCCTTCGGCGGGTGAGACAGACTCAACATTGAGAGCCTTTGCACGAGTCTTTTTCAGGTATTCATAGAGGGGGAATTGAATGGCTGTGAATGGAATTTCACGCAGAATTGTAGAACCCCAGCCACGGTATAATCCTCTAAAAACTCCCTCACCAGATTGGTTTGAAAGAATTGCCTTGAATGCTCCGACAGAAGAAGAGAATTGAGAAGCTTGAGCACGCTGTTTGATAACTTCTGCAGGGACACGAACAGAGCATGCGGCAATCTCACCAATGGATGCAGAAATCATGTGAACAAGGCCGGAGCCGATTTCCTCGTTGGCAATATGTTTTTTAGCATATGGATGAAGAATTTTTTTAGAAGATTCATAGGACAGGAAAAATAAACTTGCTGGAAAGATTAAGAATGTTAGAATAGGTTGTATAGATTTACAATGAAATTCTTTGTTTGTGTAGACATACCGCCAGGAGCAGAAGCAACGACGGCGCTGCCGAGACCGCGATAGGCACCTTTCCAGCCACCATTTGCCCAAAACCCGCCCTTTGCCTGGAGTCTGGTTTTGAGTGTATCAATGGGGAAGAAGGCAATGTCAGTTGACATTCCTGCGAGACTTCCACCCTAGAAAAAGTGTATCAGCTTAAATGATAATGAAAAATTAATAGAGATTAGCACACATACAATTAGCGAGGCAGCAACGAGATTTCCGTCCATGATCATAATCTAGATGAGGGGTTTGTGCTTTGAAAAATTAACCAAATTGTGGTGGTGTTTATGAAGAAGAGATGGTAAGGAACCGAAAAAAAAAATACAAATAATTCAACAATGAGCAGATTAGATTATATTGGCAATTGGCAATTGGCAATTGTCAACAACAGTTTCTATATAAATTAAAATGAAAAAAAAAACTACAATGACTGTTGATACCCGTGTCATGATCTATATGATGGGGAAAATCCCCGTGTTGTTTTGAATCTGGGCCAGTTTATTATTATTTAATCTCTTTCATTAAGGCATAACTCTCGACAAGATCGTATTGAAAGGCTTTATTATTGTGAGTCAAAAAAAAAAAAAAAAAAAATCGCGGAGTATGGTCTATATATTACTATTAAAGACTGAAATATACTTAGATACCATGTTGCTTCGCGCCAGTTGGGATGATGCAACATTCAAGAGTCGCTGGGCATTTTTTTGGCCAGTCAGAGGCAGGTGGCTGATTATGTAATGGCGCTTTTTTTTTTTTTTTTTTCCTCTTTAGTCACCGCCACCACCACAGGCCAAAATTCCATCCAAATAAAATAAAATTCAAACATTGTAGAAAAAAAAAAGCTCCTTCTAACTATCCTTCTTCAATATATTCATTTTGGAACATTCAAAGAGACCCGAAAAGAAGTCACAGAGATACTAAACCCTTGATCTTAATACTAGATCTAATTGGCATATCAGTATTCTTAAGAAGAAATTTTATTTTTATTATATTTTTTTCTTCTATTGTTATCTTTATTTTTAGGTTTCCCTTTAAATTTCTAATCTCCTTGTCCAAAACATTTTGAAATACCCAGAGAGCCTCGCACTTTTTTTTCTCTCTCTCTCTTTCTCTTTTTTTTTCTATTTTACCCTCTGTAAAAAAAAACTACCCTGAGATATTTATCATTTTATTAAATTCTCTTTTACAATGTTTCGTTTGACTTGTCGAAATATCGCAAGCAGGGCTAGTCTGAGCAGCGCCCGTCTCTCTGCCCGATCTGCAAACCCAACAATAACAACAACTTTGACCAGATTCATTTCTAATTCCACCGCCCCCCTCAGTGCTACTGCTAGCACGGCCACCACTGAGGCTGATCTTCTCAACGCTGCTGCAGCTGGTTCTGCCGTGTCCAAGCAACCCCCAGCCGACTCGCACATGTTTAACTCAGTTAAGGATGCTGAGATTGTTCGCAGTAAGGATGCTGAGCGACCCATTTACCTGGACATGCAAGCTACTACACCCACAGACCCCCGCGTTCTGGACGTGATGCTGAAATTCTACACAGGCCTATATGGTAACCCTCATTCGAGCACACACGCATATGGTTGGGAAACAGATACTGCCATTGAGGAGGCCCGTGCGCATGTTGCTAACCTGATTGGCGCCGATCCCAAGGAAATTGTCTTCACTTCAGGCGCCACCGAGTCTAACAACCTTTCCATCAAAGGTGTTGCGCGATTTTACAAAAATAAGAAGAAACACATTATCACCACTCAAACAGAGCACAAGTGTGTGCTGAATGCATGCCGCAGTCTTCAAGACGATGGTTTTGAGGTGACCTATCTACCCGTTCAAAATAATGGCCTTGTTGACCTGAAACTGCTGGAAGCCGAAATCAGACCCGACACTGCGCTTGTATCTATCATGTCTGTCAACAATGAGATTGGTGTTATTCAACCTATTGAGGAGATTGGTCGTCTCTGTCGTTCGCGCAAGGTGTTTTTCCACACCGATGCTGCACAAGCTACTGGTAAGATCCCCATTGATGTCAATAAGCTGAATGTTGATCTTATGAGCATCTCTGCCCATAAGATTTATGGTCCCAAAGGCATTGGTGCTCTTTATGTCCGCCGCAGACCCAGAGTTAGACTCGATCCCCTTATTTCTGGTGGAGGCCAGGAGCGTGGCCTGCGAAGTGGTACATTGGCCCCTCCTCTTGTTGCTGGCTTTGGTGAAGCTTGCCGAATCGCAAAGGAGGAGATGCCATACGACTCTGCCCACATTAAGCGACTTTCGGATCGTCTTAAGAAGGAACTTCTTTCACTGGACCACACAATTTTGAATGGTGACCCTGAGGCCCACTATCCTGGCTGTATTAATATTTCATTTGCATACATTGAGGGTGAGTCACTGTTAATGGCTCTCAAAGACATTGCCCTTAGTTCGGGCTCTGCTTGTACATCCGCATCTCTCGAGCCCTCCTATGTGCTTCACGCTCTTGGTGCTGACGATGCTCTTGCACACTCCAGTATCCGCTTTGGCATTGGTCGCTTTACCACTGAGGCCGAGATTGACTATGTTATTAAGGCTGTGAGAGAACGCGTTAACTTTTTGCGTGAGTTGTCGCCACTTTGGGAGATGGTTCAGGAGGGTATTGATCTCAATTCGATTGAGTGGTCTGGTCATTAGATGGTCACGCCTACGCTCACCATTGCGATTGTAATATGATGTATAATAATATTATTATACATATATATGCTGATATATTTCATTTATTACTTATATATTAAAAAGTTGCTTTATTGTTTGACTCAGGTCCATGTGTTTGTCGGATCGAAAAATGGGAAAAGATTTGTAAGGTGAATACAAAATGATTAATCTTTATTTATTTATTTATTTATTTATTTTTGTCATATGACCATCATTTAGCTCTCCTAGCGAAGATTAGAGATGCTCATTTGGATGGACAGCGAGCGGTACTTGGCCCTCTACCCTTTAAAAAAATTTTCTGGGGAATGTAATGTAAAGCAAAGCAACACAAATTTAGCAACAGTATCAGTTACTGCTAAGCAGCAGCAGCAGCAACTACTTTTGTGATATGAGGCAGCCTCAGCTTTTCTTCCCTCCTTTTGTTTGCCGATGATAACCATAGAGATTTCTACCTTGAGATTTTTTTTTTGTTTTCCTAAGAATTTCGTTCCGACACGCCAAAATTGTCTTTTTTTTTTAAAAAAAAAACCTAGACAGCACTGGATTGCCTGGAAACAGTTGACTTACAAAAAAGAAATTGGGAATTTATTAAAGATTATTCAGGGGGCCGACTGTTGATAATAATAAACAGACTGGAACGAGTCCCTGACCTGCCCATTTCACGATCTCCGTTATTGTAACCGAAAAAAACTCGGTGTGGTTTGAATAAAAAATTTTTTTTGGTCCGCCTATAGCCCCCCCCCCCTGCTGCTGGACAAAAACCAATCAACCACCAAATTTTTTTTTTTTTAAAAAATCTTGGAATTTTTTTTTAACACAACCGCCGGTGCCCACATTTTGGACCATCTACGCTCGTGTGCTTGATAGCTCAGAACCCTAGCAAACTCTTCTGTGATTCTTCTCTGGCTTTGATATGTCGTCTTCGTCTGTCAGAAACACTCAAGAAACAGCCGCTGGAACTGGTTCAAAGCTTTCTTCTCTTGTAACCTCGATGGACCCTTCAACTCAACACGACCTATACTCAGCAACACGGTCTTCTAAAGGTATGAAAAGAAAAGAAAAAAATTTAAAAAAAATAAATAAATATAACCTTTTACTCTTTTATTCTTTTATTCTTTTATTCTTTTATTCTTTTATTCTTTTATTCTTTTATTCTTTTATTCTTTTATTCTTTTATTCATGCGCGGTTTGTTTTCCCCCGTATTTCTTGATTTTACTAATAGACCTTACCAAAAGAGGACTCATTACTTTTTTGGAGAAACCATTCTCATGCGCAATCCATGAATACCCGTGATTAACCTTTCAACGGTTTTTAAAAACCAACAAGTTCCTTTAACCTATATGCTTGGCCCTGCTGACTGACAATTTCCATTTTAGACCTGTCGCCAAATGCTCGTAAAAGAGCTTATCCAGACTCGGATCCCCGATCAGACACTGGTGGTAGTGCTGCTGCTAATAACAATCGATCAATGGCCCCTGTAGGAGGTAGACATTCTCTTTCCTCTCCTTCACTCTCTCCATCCACATCTTCACCATCTAATACTCCACTGCTCAATGCAGCTACTGGTCCTCCAGGGTCAGAGCCTTCTGATGACCCTTTAAAACTTACCCACCAACAGAAAAAGGTCTTTCGTCGTTCTTACAAGGCATGCATTAACTGCCGTCAAAAGAAAATCAAGTGCGATCTTGGGGACCTTTCCAATCCATCAGACCCTCCATGTGTTCGATGCCGTCGTGAAGGCCGCAAGTGCGAGTTTAGTGTCTCGCGACGCGGTGGTGCTGGCAATATTCGCATGGGCAAACAGAAGAAAATGGCGGCGGCTGCTTCTGGGCTTGGAGGGTCAGAAGGAAATAGCTACAATTTTGGTGGGGCCCGCTCTTCAAACTCAGTCACAATCTCACACTTGTCTTATGATCCTGAGGCCCTTGAAAACCGTATTTTGGAGCAGCGTGCTTTAGAAGAATCCGCAAACGTTGGAGCTACGGGCGTTCCTGAAGCTATATCCGAAGGTGCTGGTGTCATTACTGAAACTGAGCTGCACAACCCAAGTGATGCATTAGGAATTTTGGCTCAAGCGGCACGCAGCCAAACTAAAATTGATAGCCGCGGATCCAACTCTCGCGTGGATTCGCCCGGAAGCAACAGTAGTAGCAGCAATAACAACAACAACGGAAATGATAACGGAACTCATAATTGTAACGAAAACCAGCAAGAACAGAGCCCCAGCAGTAATAATAGTAGTAGTAGTAGCAGCAAAAATAACATTTCCGGGACTTTGTTGCCGACGCTTTCCGGTACCAAAACAACAACAACAATGGCAACGGCAACGGGAACGGCTACGTCAGCGTCAACGTCAACGGGGACAGCAGCAACAACAACAGTTCAAGCCAACCAGCCTTTACACCTAAAGTTTCATATGGATCCAACGTTATCTCCACAAGTGACGGCTCAAAATCATCAGAGTACACAGCCAACCTCTACAAAGTCTGGCACACATACCGATCCTCCATCGCCATTCACCCAATACCCAGCAAATTCTTCTTCGCGGCCGGAGTCTAGTTCTTCTGCCCGCCAACAACAGTTTCCGTCACTACCAAATCTTTTACATAACTCACAGCGTCAAAACAACCAACAACAGCCGCAACGATCATCGCAACAACATAATAATCAAGATAGACATTCTTCGAACCATGGTACCACACGCTTTAAAGCTCTTCCAGACTCAGAAAACCGAATCCAATTTCATCACTCAATCAACGATGCTGCTGTGGTTCGCGAAAATTACTTGACCAGCCATGAAGCCATTCTTTTTATTCGCTTTTTCTTTGACAAATTACACCCCTTTTACCCATTTATTCCTGATGAGATGCACTCGACAGAGGTACTAGCTACCATGCCCATCTTGCTAACTGTTATTCTCACCATTTCATCGCGTTATTGCAAATCTGCCGAACAGGGAACCAAATATAGCATTTCTTCTTCACGTGGGTCTCAAATCCACCACAGTTTGTGGAACTACTGCCAAACTCTGGTGTCAAAAACTGTGTGGGGTGAAGCCTCCACCAGATCTATTGGTACTGTCTACAGTTTTCTTCTTTTATCCGAATGGAACCCCCGTGCTATCCACTGGAGGTTCAACGACTATGCAAACTCTCCTTTAGGTGATTCAAATGATTCTCCACAGTCGTCGGTTGACACCAGTAGGCCAAAGAATAAGGGACGAAACAAATCAGCACAGTCTTCCCAAGAAACCCCAGAAGAAGAAATTGATGGCAGCGCTGATGATAATAACGATGCTACTGAACCACCAAAACCTGTTCTTCCACCGGGAGATACTGTGTTTAGCGCTTCAGAACGTAGTGACCGTATGTCGTGGTTGCTTATAGGATCTGGCATTCGACTAGCTCAAGATCTTGGAATTTTTGATACTAATAGTAAAGTGTATCTTGCAACACACTTGTCCGAAATCGTCCTCGCTCTGCGGCTTGGTCGACGCTCCATGATTTCATCTTGGCTCAATGAAGAATCTCCAGAACTTATATTTAATAGCTACGAACAAGCAAAACTGTCGATTTTGCGTATAATGTCACTTGCACACGAGACCCTGTATGTCTCTCGCAAAACTACACGCAATTTGCTTAAAGGTCACAAGTTTCTTGCCTTTTTGAATCTTTTTGCGCCGCATCTAATCCACTGGGAAAACACATACATGAACCTGCTAAATGAGCTCGAAGGAGAGTCTAATCTTGAGCGTGAGTCCATTTTGTTTGACTATCATTACACTCGTCTGTACATTTACTCACTTGCTCTTTCCAACGAAACAATCACCTACCCGGGCCAAAACGATGGAGGCACGTTCCCCTCTGACTCGGAAGGCGGGATGTCTAACCCGCTTCTTTTAAGCGACGGATTGTCGGCCACAAAGTATGTCGGCATGGCTACAGACGCTGCTCGCGAAATGTTGGCTGTTGCTTATCGTGTCCATCAAATGGACCAACTATGCCTAGCTCCTATTCGTTGGATTGTACGCTTAGTTCACGCGGCCGTGTTTCTTGTCAAGACTGTGTTACTGACGCCCACAGGGTCCATGTACATTCACAAGTCAACGGTTGCCATGATTCGGCGCACTGCAAACATGCTCAAGGACAGCTCTCCCGATGAATTACACTTGGCAAATAGATATGCTTCAATTCTACTCCATATTTGCCATGACATGGCTGAAAAATGCAACAACTTCCAAATTAACGAGGAAACTGCACCAAACAATAATATTAGAGCAGCAGCAGCCATTATTAGTGCACATGGAAATGGACCTCTATCTCAACAACAACAAGATATTCAGTTGCTCCACCGCCTTAAAGACCTTCAAAAACAAGATTCTCCTGGGCGTAGCGTCAGCCCAGTCAACCCGCCATCAAAATCAGCTGAAAACACCAACAGTAACCAGCAGCAATCACAAGTGCAGCAGCAGCGGGTTACGCCGCAACCGCAACCACCGTCGATTCACGAACAGATTGCATCGCAGTTTTCGCCTACAGGGCCTAAATCCAATAACCTGTTTGGAAGCAATAGCAATAGCAATAGCAATAGAAATAGCAATAACAATAACAATAGCAGTGGGAACACTACACAAATCATGCTCGATGGTGTTGCTCGCTCGCAGGATCACCAGCAACAACAATCGTTTAGCAATTATAACGTTAACAATGTGTCTACAGGTTACACTCCAAATCCTGTACGAAGCCCTTCTTATGAAGACTATGCTCCATTTAATCATTCACGGTACAAAAACACCACAGGCCAGCAAAACAGCTCTAACAACAACGCCAATTCACCAATACCACTTTTACCTGTACAACAGCAACAACAACAACAGACTTCATCTGTTTTGCAAGCGGGTTCCTTGATGTCAGAATCATCACAGAGTCAATATGAACAAGGGAATAACACTAATTCCAACAGCAATAGTAGTCTCTTTCTCGGTTCTGGACTATCACCATTCTCAAACAACTTTTCATACAACAACAGCAGCAGCAACAGCAGTGGTGGTAATAATATTTCGAGCGGTATAAATGTACAGCAGTCTAGTGCTATTCCACCAACACCTTCCTTCATGCATTTTGGAATGCTTCCTTCATCTGTTGCTTCTAACAGTTCTTCATCAATGCCCACTGGTACATCTGCGGCTCAAACCCTCCTTAATGTTCCTTATTCTTCTGCAGGGACAGCTTCTGGGACCCCTAACAGCATGTTAAACACCTTTAATCAAGACTTGATTTTCAGCGCCACTTTTAACGACATGTCGGACTTTGGGTTTAACTTTTCAGAAGACGGGTTTGAAGGATTGGGATTTGTTAACCAGTTGGTCGATAATTTTGAAGTACATCAGATCAATACACAAAGACAACGTCGTCAAAGTAGAGCGGGACCGAGCAGTGGTATTGGATCGAGTAACAACTAACCACAGCAGCATTAATCTTGGAAGCAAATTTTCTTTAGGGGAGTTAGATTTTATTTTATTTTATTTCATTTCATTTCATTTCATTTTATTTTATTTTTTAAATTTTAAAGCACGTAATATAAAGCAGAACATACATAATGATGACTCTTTACTTTTTATATTGCGTTATTGTGTTTCCGAATCACTGGAGCGGGGTGAATTATTGGTAGTAAAAGAAATAGAGAGTTATTGAATTAGTTAAGACCTCAGGTTCATTCTATTTATATACTATTATTGGAAGTTTTAACTTCCCCGAGGGGCACAGTTTGGTTTGGTATTTTTTTCTATTTAGCGGCCGAAGGGAAATTGGAGCCCCGCGTTTTGACCCTTTTAGGTAATTTGGATTTAAACGAGATTTAAGGACCAATTACAGAAAAGATTTCCTCCCAAATCAAAAGCAAATTTGTCAAAACAGGTTAAAGGGCAAAACAATGAATATGTAAATATAGTATAATTTAAACAAGTTTTTTTTTATGAAACATTTTATTTTTATTTAAAACTGGCAGGGAAGATGATTATTTTCTATGACCAACGGTTATTTGAAAAATTTTTTTTTTCAAAGATGAATGAAAGAAACAAGTTGGCCTGAATCGGGCCGAGCTTATCATCACGTGGCTATTTTTTAACTCTACCCGGCGGGCGCAATCTTGCAAAACAGTATGAAATGTACGCATATGCGTGATTGGATAACCTCATATCACTAAAACTTTAGCAACCACAATTCAACCTGGCGCACGCGCTGGCCCCTGCTTCTCAGTATCGGACATAAGCGAAACCACCAAGTATAAATACCTGAAAAATTTCCACTTTTGAATTGAAATATTTTAATTCTCTTTTGCCCCCCTTTTATATTATTGTATAAATATATTTCTATCCATAATAACCAAATAAAATAAACCATGTCTGCTGCTGTTGACGTTATTTCTCACGAAGAATTTGTTCCTTCTATTTCTTCCAAGTATTCTGGTAAGTGCCATTTAACTTTATAGCTTTATTCTGTCAGGAATTCATAAATTTCTAACTGTAATATTCTTTGACAGATGTAATTGGCCACAAGCTTGGTGGATCCATCATTTCTTTCTCTGATGAATGGTTTGCTGCCGCTGAAAACCTCATTGCCCCTAATGCCCCGATCCGCCAAATTGGCAAGTTCACTCCTGCCGGTGCCTGGTACGACGGTTGGGAAACACGCCGTCACAATACTGAGCCAGCTGACTGGGTCATCATAAAGCTTGGTGTTGCTAGTGCCCAACTCATTGCAACTGAAATCGATACCGCCTTTTTCAATGGTAATCACGCCCCAGCTATCACAGTCGAAGCCACATACCTTGCCCCATCTGAAAAGCTTGAGGTCTCTGAGCGCGAGTACCTAGAGAAGCAGGCTAACTGGGATCTTGTCATTGACAAGACCGAATGTGGCCCTTCCCAGCGTCACTTTTTCGTTCGCAAGGACGGGTTGACTGATAAAGTCTACACTCACGCAAGAATTAAGATGTACCCTGATGGTGGTATTGCCCGCTTTAGACTTTACGGCAAGCCCACTGCGGTCAAGCCCACAGACCCCAACGAGGAAGTTGATCTGGCACACGTTGCTAACGGTGGTGTTGCCATTTCTTTCTCTGACCAACACTTTGGTGCTGTCGACAATCTGCTGATTCCTGGTCGCGGCAAGGATATGGGTGACGGCTGGGAGACTAAGCGTTCTCGCGAGCAAGGACATGTTGACTGGGTCATCGTGCGCCTTGGCTTGCCCGGATACCTTGACAGAGTTGTTATCGACACTGCCCACTTTAAGGGTAACTTTCCTCAGAGCATCACCGTCGAGGGTCTTAACTCGGATGATGATAATATTACTGTTGATGACGCGCGGTGGAAGTTTGTTGTTCCCCAGGCTAAGACTGGCCCTCACAAGGTTCACGAGTATATTAGAGAGGGTGAAATTTCTTTTTTGACCCATGTCGAGGCCGAGAACAAGGAATCTTACGGTGTTCTCCAGGCTACTAAAGAACAAGTTTACACTCACGTCAAGTTGACAATCATTCCTGACGGTGGTGTTAAGAGACTGAGGGTTTACGGCCGAGTCAAGTTTTAAAAAGGAAATAAAGGGAACTTTTTCCTTTTTTGGGATTAATAATTTAGAAAAAAATAGAAAAATACACTGGGTTTATTAATAAAATTGTTTTCTTGTTGAATTTCATTTTTTATGAGAATATTTATAAGCTCAAAGATCATTTTATTGACAGAAGTTGTATGGGCTAAGCAGGACTGGGAATGGACATACAGTAAGTGGAATACATAAAAAAGAAAGTCTTTAACTTGTTTGCTTAGGACCATGATCAATGATAACAATTTATTTATTTTTTCAACTGTGTGTTTTCCTTAATTAAGAACCATACAACTCTCATTTCTTTTGAATCTCTTTTGACTTGCGTAGGTTGCCAAAATGCTCAATCCTTTTACCACGTAAACTAGCGGAGCGGACATAACTAAAGTTTTTAGGGAGAATAAATGAACCGGCCTTAAGTCCATGGGGCCCTTGAGTGCAAATCGGCAAATATTGCCTTAAGGCGGTGAAAGAATGGTAACAATTGGGAGCTAGAGTTTAAGGTTGGATGGTTAAACATATATGCGACTAATAATGTACTCTGGATCTTAAAAGTTCTTTTAAAGGACTTAACTCTTTAAAAAATCATAACGATTATGACAAGTTAATACTGAACAATATAAAAGATTTCAAAATGGTATATTCACAAATATATCTAGATGGATTTTTAGCTGAATCATTATGTTATCAAATCTTCAAATGCATAAGTTTCGGAGTTATTTAGGAGATTTTCGGTTTCCGAATTCCATCATCAAAAACTCTATTGCTATCAAAAAAAAAACTTTTCTCTTAACCACAAACTATCGGAAAAGAGGGACTAATTGTTGAAAAAAAATATGCCAACAATCAAACAAAAAAAAGAAATATTTTCGGTTAAAAATTTATTCCATTGCGGAATCGTTGGCAAAAGGACTCAAAATCCGGACTATATTAAAAACAATATTATTGAAATCATCGATGGCACTCAAAAATCTTAGATTTTAGCCTAAGGCTTTACTTTCTTTTACTTTTTTCTTTTCCTAAAAAAGAAATAAATCATGGACAAGTAACAAAATAAAGCTTGAGACTCAGACTTGTTAATATTTCATACTACTATTGATAGTCATTTCTTTTCTTTATTTAAAATTGGACGGAGATAAATTTAACGAGTTGCTAAAAATACTTAAATAGTTCCATACTGATAGTAATTACCTGTAAATGTTGAATTAAATTCTAATAACTAAAGATTAGACTGGTGCTTTTTGATCTGGAAAGTCATGAGAAGACGATGATTTAAACAAAATCCCACATCTGTTTTAGTATAATTGATATATCTTTGGGTAATAGATCAATAAACACAAAAAAATAGTTTGAAATATTTAAAAAAACTATTGACACAGACAGGAATCGAACCTGCAGCCTTTGGATTTGGAATCCAATGCTCTACCATTGAGCCACTGCATCATCACGTGATTTTTTATTCATATAGATTTAGAAAAGCACAATGTCATTGAATTCAACAAAAAGCGATAGGGCGTGCTTAAATGAAAACTTATTTTTGGGACGTTGAAGATGCAATGTTGAAGCCAAAATTAAAAGTTTATTATGAAATTGAAAAGATATAGCGCAGATGCTGATGTTATATAATTCTATAACCCTTGCATAAAAACACAAACAAATGCTTGAATGAAAATAAACCTTGAATAAAAACAAACAAACAAACAAACAAACAAACAAACAAAAAAAGCTTAAATAAAAGAAACAGGACCTGTTTGTGTAATAAAGAGGACGTACAACAAATAGGACTGAATTTGATTTTGAAATGTATCCTTATCTCGAAGGAGTGTTACTTAGAATACACTTCTCATCCAAGCCTCTGAGTTTCAGAGCTACCCAAGTGTCCGTTCAGTTTAATTTGCTTGCAGTCGATTGCAGTTCTCATCTTTTACTAATGAAATTAAGAAATACACGGATGTCTGTAAAGCCAAGTGGGAAAGAAACAGGTAGGCTTGAGGACAACAAACTGGTTTTCCCTGTTTTTCGTAAATAGATATCAGGATTAATTTTTTGGCAGTCGGAAATGCAACCCCAGTTAAAAGTATTGTAAAAACAGAAAGCTATAGTAAGAGAAAAAAGAATATCGCTGATGCTGATGTTGTATATTTCTACAACACTTGAATCTAAACAAACAATCAGTATGAAATAGATTTTAATTACTGGAATAAAAAAGGATCATATAAACTACAAATTCAAGCAAAAAATAATATTAAAAAATTAAATTTATAATCCCCAAAATTTAATGACAAAGATTAAAAAAGGGTATCTTATTAAAAAATTTAGTCTTTTGAAATTAATAAGGTAGTCTTGGTTTAACATTTTCTTATCACGAAAAAAATACAAAAAAGTAACTTTTTCAATTTAATTTGACGTTTAAATTAGATGAATATCAATGTTATGTTAAGCGTAACGAATCTTCTCAGGGCAAATGGCTGCACTATTAGATATCGCACAATATAACTTTGAATCTCTATTGTGGTGACTGTTTATCGGATTAAGCAAGAAAAAAAACCTGAATTATTATTATGATTATTTCACATCCATATGGTATATATTAATTTTTTATTTCGACAGCATAATGCTAACAAATTCATTGTAGTCAATCTGACCATCGCCATCGGCATCAGCCTCCTTGATCATTTCGTTAACCTCATCTTCTGTAAGCTTCTCGCCAATGGATGTCATAACATGTCTGAGTTCTGCTGTTGAAATAAAGCCGTTTCCATCTCTATCGAAAACTCTGAAAGCCTCTCTAATTTCCTCTTCGCTATCGCTTTCCTTTAGCATTCTGGCCATTAGTGTCAAGAATTCGGGGAAATCAATCAATCCATTGCTGTTAGCCTCGCTGATCATATCCTGAAGTTCTGATTGAGACGGGTTCTGGCCTAAACTTCGCATAACAGTACCAAGCTCTTTGGTGGTGATATAGCCATCGTTATCCTTATCAAAAAGAGAGAAGGCCTCCTTGATAGATTCAATTTGATGTTCAGTAAGTTGGTCGGCCATTTTTAATATTTGATTCTTGTAAAAAAGAAAATGTAATTAGTGTTTTTTTTAATGTAAGGTGAAAAATAAAAAAGAAAGAAGAAAAAAGGGGAGTGTAAATAAACTGTTACTGTTAATGTGTTTGAGGCTTTAATCAAGTGGTGGTGGTGATTTAAGAGGCTGAGTAAAAAAAAACTGGTGGTTAGGGTCTAAAGAATTCACCACCACAAATTTGCCATTGATCTTGGTTCGCGAAGTCGCTGAAAAATTTACAATTGAGGGAAATTTCAAGATTGATTTATTAATAAAATATCATACTAAAGACATAGAGATCATACTTTTAATATTGATTGTAGTTACTTTATGATTAAAGAATGATATTGATGTTGCTCTCAAATCAGAACACCACGTAAATCATTACGTTTAATTTTCCATAAGACATTGGCTATTTTGTTACAATCTTCTTACAATCCGCCACGCAAGCTGTAATTATTAAACTTGGAGCTCGTCTATTTTTTTAAACCCCGACTTTAGAACGCTAATTAGTTGTTTATGATCATAATCTAATCTAATCAAAAAAAAAAAAAAAAACAATTAAGCTAGAGAATCCTAATTAAAAATATTTAAGGTAATAGTTTACTATTTTTATTGATATAGTTCAGATTCTTTTGGTAAATTATATTTACTGCTAAAGTAATAGGCATAAATTGTTTAGAGGGTTTTCTAATAAATTATAATTAGTCAATTGTAAATGCCCGAACAAAGTGTTTAAAACCAAAGTTGATCCAAGGTCGGTATTTAAAATGCGGTAATATAGATCGCTATAAACAGAACAATGGATCAATTCAATTATTATTATTATTATTATAACTGATCAGGGATAATAATAATTATTTAGATTGAAGATAAAGTTAAGTACAAAATGATGCAAAAAGTGAGATTTGATCTCAAGACCTGTAAAAAAAATTCTGATAAAGCTTAACAGATATTTTATAGCTTAACTGTAGACTTTGTTGGAAATAGGAATTTAAAAATTCTCGTTATTTTGAGATCATTTTTATTTATTTTTTTATTTTTTTTTTTTGACATTAATCGAAGTCATGATTTTGAAAAGTTATTTCCAACTTAAATTCCCCGCCTTTTACTTTTCTTAGATTTTCCCCCAAACAATTGAGCAACTAGCCCCCCTTAAAAAGAAGAAAAAAAACTACAAATACCAGGATAACATGCCTACGATTACTGTGATTGGTTCATTAAATTACGATGTTGTGACTACGTATTCTCGTTTACCCAATGCTGGCGAAACCGTTCCAGCTAAAAACTTTGAAACTCATAACGGTGGAAAGGGTGCAAACCAGGCTTTAGCTTGTGCTCGCCTACGCACAAAAGGTGGGCAGTACCCATCTGTCAACGTCAAAATAATTGGATGTGTTGGTGATGATACCTTTGGTTGTACACTTAAAGAGTTTCTTTCAAAATCAAATGTTGATATCTCTGCAGTTCGGACTCTTGATAAGAGCACGAATATCGGAACTGGTGTAGCAACTATTTTAGTTGACGAAAAATCCGGGCAAAATAGAATTCTCGTTTACCCCGGAGCAAATTCCCTAGTTTCTAAAATAGATGTTCTATGTGCCATCATTGATCCAGAAACTAATAATTTTAACACTGATTCTTTAATTCTTCAAAACGAAATTCCAGTCAGCTTGGTTCAAGACATTATAAAAACTACAACAGACAGAAAACTTGGAAAAAAGCCATTTGTCATTTATAATCCGTCTCCCATAGATGCATCGTTTGACAGTAACTTATACAAATACGTTGAGTGTCTTATCGTGAACTCTACAGAGGCCAAGGCCATTGTTCCAGAAAATGTGGGGTCATTACTGGTAGATGATGATAATGCCGAACAGGCACTTCAAGCAGCGGTTCCTATTTTCCAGGCATTGAATCTTCCAAAGTACTTAATCATTACACTGGGAGCCGCTGGATGTGTCTATGTCGATGGCACAGTTTCGCTAGAAGCACGGCATTTACCTGCGGTCAAGCCGCCCAAACCCATCATCGATACAACAGGCGCGGGCGACACCTTCCTTGGTGCAATCGCTTCACAGCTGACCGAAGACAACGGACTTGACCAAGCTCTTAAGGTGGCGCTAACGGCCTCTTCTATTGCTATTACCAGAAAGGGAGCTGGTGATGGGATTCCGGAATTTCGCGAGTTAGTTTTGTAATTACAAACCTATAATTTAAGTGTGTAACAAATCTGATGAGATTTGTGTGAAGTGTGTGTAATACTCTTTAAAACCATAGAGGAAATACTAATCATACTACTCCTCCTAACAGAAGGGTGCTGAATCCTTTCTGGAAAGTTCGATGATAGGCTTACTCTTTTAATATTTTGGAAAAAAACAACAAAAAAAAATATCAACCCTGTTTCTTCCTTTCTCCCCCCCCCTTTTTCCTATTTTCTTTCTTCTTTTTTCATTTTCTTTTTTTATTTCAAAAAGGGACTTAATATAAAAGCTAGTATTTAGAGAAAAAGATTAAGTGAACATCACTTTGCTTTTACTGTTCTCTACTTTATTGAAATTTCATTTGTCAGTTCACTGAATCGACAATATTACTTTTTATTACCAAGTCATAAGAGACTTTTCTCATAAACACAAACACTTATAAACATGTCTGTGAATGCTGAAGCTTTCAAGCTTGAAGGCAACGCTTATTACAAGTCTGGTTCTTATACTCAGGCTGTCGAATCTTACACCAAGGCCATCAACGCTGATCCCACAAACCCTATCTACTATGGCAATAGATCAATGGCTGAAATGCAGGCACGCGACTACGATTCTGCTCTAAGAGACACCCTTGAGGCTCTTAAGTTTAACGGTGATGCCATCAAGTCTCAGATCAGACTTGGTAAGATTTACATGGCTTTGGGCCGATTTGATGAGGCTCTCGAAACATACAACGAGCTGGAGAAGCTCTCTAAGGACAACAACAGTTTTCGCCAGGACCAGTTTAAGGCACAAGATATGAAGGCCAACTTTGAGAGAGCAGTTAAGCTTCTTGATGAGATCCAACTTCTTGCTCAGTCATCTCCTGAGGATATTAAGGACGAATCGGTTTCTACCACTTTACATATTATTAAGAAGATCAAGGATCTAGCTTTGATGGCTTTGCACTCTCTTGAGTCTGCTCAAAGATATCTAGATTCTGGATCTTCTGTGCCAAATAAGTGGCGGGTGATGCGTGGTAAGATCCTCGTTGCTGCTGGCAGAATTGACGAGGCCGCTAATCTCGCAATCGCTTTGCTTCGTACTGATAATCGCAATCCAGAGTTTTTGCTTCTTAGAGCCCTTGTTCTTTACACCCAGGGCGATGTTGACAAGGCTATTCAACACGCCCAAATTGCTTTGCAATCTGATCCTGAGCTTAAGGATGGCCGTGTGTTGCTAAAGCGTGCTCGTGCTATTGAAAAGAAGAAGAAAGAGGGTAATGATGCATTCAAGCTTGGGAAGTACCAGGAGGCTAGAAAACTTTATACTGAAGCTCTTCAGGTCGATTTGATTAACAAGTTTGTTAACTCTCGCATTTTGTCGAACCGAGCTACAGTTTACATGAAACTCAAGGAATATGAAAGTGCTCTGGCTGACTGTGAAGCGTCGATAGAATTAGATCCTGATTTCATAAAGGTTCGCAAGACCAAGGCCCGTGTCTTGGGTAGTCTAAAGCGATGGGAAGATAGTGTTCAAACTCTGAAGAAGGTCATCGAGATCTGTCAAAGCAACGACAGTGACGAAGATATTAGAGCGCTGCAGCAAGAGCTGAGAGAGGCTGAGTTTGAGCTTAAGAAAGCCAGCCGTAAAAACTATTATGATATTCTGGGTGTTTCTGAAAACGCTTCGGATTCTGAACTTAAGAAGGCGTATCGCAAACAGGCTCTTTTGCACCATCCTGATAAGAACCCTAATAACCCAGAGGCCATGGAGAAGTTTAAGGAGGTTGGTGAAGCCTATGAGATTCTTTCTGATCCTCAAAAGAGACAGCATTATGATAGTGGTGCGGATTTGCAGGAGGATATGTTTGGCGGCATGGGAGGCGGCATGGGAGGCGGCATGGGAGGTGGAATGGGAGGTGGAATGGGGGGTGGAATGGGAGGCATGGATCCTGAGATGCTTTTCCAGATGTTTAATATGATGGGTGGAGGTCAAAACGGTGGCCACGGTCATAGTCACAGTGGTTTCCAGTTTTATTAATGATGATTTTTATTTTGATATAGAACTCTTTTTTTGGCTCATGATGTATATTACCAAACAAAAAAAATATCTTTTCATTTTATATGTCAATGGTTATAGAATTATTTTAAAAGCTTAAACTAGATCCGAAGTATTCACTGTTATCAAAAACGGGTCGTTTGATGATTCAAACGAATCACTTGCGATTTTCTCACTGTAAAGCGGCTGAGGAGATTTTAATGTAGTAGTACACTTTTTTTGGAGGTTTGGTGTACACTCCCCTTACCTCCAGAATTTTTAATTTTTTTTTATCTTCATTTCCATTAAATTTTTGACAGGAATTAAACAAAAATGTCTGAAATAAATGATATTAATAACTCGGTAAGGATTTTGAGTGATAGCTCGGAATGGACTTTTTTTGCAGAAGGTGCGGCCAATATTATTTACAAATATATAGGCTCAGAGCCTTGCTATAAAGGGAAGCTGCTTCGACTTCGCAAGGATATTCCAGGAAACCCCACGACTCTTGAAGTTTGGGAGTTTTTACAGAAGGATGTTTTGCCAATCATTGGTGATTATTATGTTGGCATGGATCTTGTGAAAATTAATTCAGACTTTGTTAACGGAATGCTCAATAAAACTGCAACAGAAGGCCAGCGTCTAGATGCGCCTGTGAGCAATAAAGAAACACATGCTTTTGTTATGGAGAATGTTTTAAATGGTGATTCTGATGGGTTAGAATATTCCAAGGGAAAAATTAAGGGTGGAATCGAGTATTTTCTTGGATATGATGGAAACAAGCAACTTAAAGAAGTAGTTTTTGAATTTAAGCCCAAATGGCTATTGCCTTCTCCGACGACCACTTCAGAAAAACACAAACATGAGTTCAAGGTCACTGGAGAGGTGATTCGGTGCCGGACTTGTTCCCTTAGCTACCAGCGGGACAAGCCAGTAGTCTTGTGTCCATTGGATTTAGTGTCAGATGATTACGCTGTATTGGAAAATGCCATTAAATCTAGCTTTGGCAAAATTAATAAGGCTGATTTTGGATCTGGAAAAAATGGTACCAGCGATATCGCTGAGTTTGTCTTGGCACCAAATGAATTGACTACTGTTCTGGCAAAGGCTCTTTACAAAAATCCTCTTTTGACACAACTTCAAAAGCTACAAAGTCTCGACACTCGAGGCATTCTTGACTACGGTCCAAGCTCTGATATTGGGGATAAGAATGAGGAGGAAGAGAAGGAATTTGACATGGGATTTTTGATTGCCACTGCGGCTCGCGATTGCACCCTGTTCGTTGCAATTAGCGAGGAGGACGGTTCAAACGAGGCTAAACCTACTGAAACTGATACTTTTACCGTGACTCTTGGTAATAGATTGTACAAGGCTAAATTCACAGTCACGGATGTTGATATTAAGCACCCGAGCAAAGCAAAACGAGCATACTGGACTAATATCGAACGTACACTAGTTGATGGTGGTTGGTATGAAAGTGAAAAGTATCCTCTATGCAATTATTATAAATCAAAATAAGTTCTTTATAAGTAATTTATTCTATTTCAATTGTACCACTTGTACACTGAGATCCTCTATGGTTTTGCATCCATAAATCAAAAGTATTAGTTTTGTCATTCAAAGGCATAGCATGGACCGTAATTTTCTCATTAACAAAAAGTGGAAGCAAGCTTCTATAAGAGTATCTTTTAATTTTCAAGTCCTTGCCCAAAGTTTTGCTCATCTGAGGAAGAACGGAATTATAAATCCATGCTAATGCTAAGGATACTGTGAAGGGTCCATGGACAACACAGTCAGGTAACCCTTCTACTTGAGAGGCATAAAGTGGGTCGTAATGTATACGATGACTATTAAAGGTCAAGGCGGAATAGCGGAACAATGTTACATTTGTTGGAGTAAAGGTATGGGAATAAGTGGGTTCAGTTTTGTATCTTGGAGTGATTATACGCGTGAAGGTATGTTCACGCGAAGATGCGGTTGAAACTGGAGGTGGAGAAAAGTAGGCTAAGGACCTTTTTTCTTTGATAACCCAGGGAACGGAGCTAATCACGTCATGGGGGTTCAAATCGGCAACAGAAGATGAATAGAGATAGCGATCCATGGAAACATCGATGCGCTCTGAGCAATGACTGAGTGGGTCGTTTGGATCTGTGAATTTGGCTTTGTAGTCGACCTTTGAGATTTGTTCGATTGCGGATGCAACTGTGGTGGTTATAAGTGGCGACACTGAGTGATTAAATTCAATAGATCCCTTCAGCCACATTCTTGCGGGGAATAAAGTGGCGTCCGGTGCCTGGCTTTTATGATAACCATCTGGCGAAAGCTCTGCTTCTTGTGAAATGTCATTGAAGAATATAAGATGGTAACCTGGAGGGACGGCAAAAGATGATTGTGAAGAGCCTTGGATGGGAATATGAGAGCCCAGAGTAGCATCTAGTTTCCGTATTTCAGTTGGAGAAATATCCTGGGTCATGACCCAAGGTCCTCTTGTTTTAATCTCTTGTGATATTTCATAATTAGGTCCAAGGTTCAAAGAAGTCGAGTATAATCGATGAGAAAGTTTAGACCAAGTTCTTTCTTTGGCATTTAGAACCCGACACCTTGACAACATGGCAGTAATCCTAGCTCTGTGAAAAAATGGGTTATGAGTAGTGGAAACATTCAGAAAAGAGAAATATATATGAGGATGAATGAGTAAATTTTTTTTTGTTTTTTGTTTTTTGAAATGTGGGGAAGTGTTTTTTTTTTTTGCAATTTGGTTTGCCAGATGTTAAGAAAAAAAAAAAAAAAAAAAAAAAAAAACAAACAAACAAACAAACAAACAAATAAATAATGACGTAATTAGTTACGTAAAGTTATCGAGGCGCACTGCATCATGCCATATTACATAATGAATTATTCAACAACTAATTTAGTAAGGGGTATTAATTGTGATACGTACAGTAGCGTGTGCGGTATAGTGCGTGCGTCAGTAGGCTAATATTGGAAAAAACCCATCCATCAAAAAGATTTGCAATTTTCTCGTTCCTTTTTTTTTTTTTTTTTTGCAAAGTTTTTTTTTTTTTTTTTTTTCCATCATAATTATTAATTTTTAGTTGCATTTTTATTTATTTTTATTTATTTTTATTTATTTTATTTTTGACTATTTTTGACTAATTTTGATTCTTTGATTTTATTTATATATATCATACGATATTTGGCCATTTTAATACTTTTATGAAAACTATAAACAAATGAAAACTCCATCATCAATAAAAAATGAACAGCCTTCTTTACCTTCTTCTACTCAGTCAGCGGCATCTTCGGCTCAGTCAAACAAACGATCATTTCGCAACTCTTTTTCTCTAAAATCCTTTCGGAGAAGTTCGAGCTCAACAAACTTTGCAAACAACAACAACAACAACACCATCGAAATACAGGTCAATTCAAAACCAAATAACATGGCTAAAGGATCTCTCGATTCCATGTCATCATCCTACCTGCCGGATCACCCAGGACTTGCAAGCAATGACAGCAACGCAAGAATACAAGCTTCAAATAGCTTACGCGACCTGTCTTCTGTGAAGACAGCAACAGAACCAATTCCAATTACGCCAAACCAATCACTACATGGAAGTCGGCGTCCATCTTTGGCAAAAGATCTTTCTCCTTTAACATCTGCAGCTTCTGACGGAGTTCAATCGTCCAGTGGAGAGGGTTTAAATTTGACAGGCTCTTCTACAGAGACATCTTCTACCATTCATTCCAAAAACGGACCCTCCACCACAGCAAGCAGAATTACACGGTCGATCTCTAAACAAAACATTTTCCGCTCAGTCAACTTACGCAAAAAAACCTCTTCAGAGGGGGTTATTGCTGATCCCATTCTTATTAACACTGGTCCAAGACGCTCCACCAGCGCTCTGTTCAACAAATCAGTTACCATATCCAATGAAGACCCATATCAACATCAACATCTACAGCTCCAACGTCATTCAGTTTCAAATTTACTAGATGTGGAGGGTGATAATAATAATAAAAATATTATTAATAAAAATAATATTATTTTCCAGGTAAACCCATCAACAACCAAAATAATACAAAGTGACAGTTTTGGTATGTGTCTATCCACTATTATAATTTTTTAGGAATCCATACTGCCCAGCATGAGCACGAGAAAAAAAAAAAAAAAAAAGAGAGAGAGAAATATCAGACTAACGCATTTTGTATTTAGATGATCTTTCCAAGTCCCATTCGGATAACGAGTCTCAAAACTATGCGCAAACCCATATTCCGGCTCCTCAATTGACTTCTTTAACTAATTTCCCTAACAGCTCTGGGTCAATGCTCTTGTCGGCAAAACTATCCCAATCGAGTAGTTTAATATTAGAGGAGAGAGAAAATGACAAAGCAACCAATCCCACCACTGATTCATCAAACTTAAATTCTCAGTCCTTATTAATTCAGCATCATCTTTCTTTGAATAATAATAATAATAATAATAATAAAAACACACAAATTTCAAATGTAAACACCCATTTGTCATTCTCGCCGTTTACCACTTGTCCTGTTGTGCCCACCGTTGACGAAACCTATAAAAAGTCTCCCCCCTTTTCTACCACCCCCTCCGTCTTCCCCCATATACTTCACGAGCAAAGGCCGGGTTTTGCTGAAAAACCAAAAGAAAAGGAAGAAGAAGAGAGTATAAATAATTTCAACATGCAAGGTAGTAGCAGCAGCAGAAGCAGCAGCAATGATGGTTTTGACAGTACCCATGGCGGATTTGTAAGAGTATTTTCAAATGGTGCACAGAACACACATCCCAACAGGACGCACAATAATCTTGTTCTTGATCAGCAAACCCAAATATTGAAGAGCGAAGAAGGTCTGAGTTCTTCTCCTTCTTTTACTACCACCAATTCTCAAAACACTTTTTCAAATTTATCTTACAACAATATCACCAAGAGCAGTAGTGGTGGTTCCATATTTAGCACTTCTACAAATAACTTTTCCTCGGTTTCTTTACCTGCCTCCCTAAATATCACTCCTACTCCTATTCCTCCTTCTTTTTCCCAAAGTATAGCCCCTGAAACTGACTTGTCGTCAACATCCAAGAAGAACAAAAATAGCCTTTGGACTCGGTCTAACGCTGCCAGCACAACAAAAAGACTCCTTAAACTGCAAATCAAGTCGAAATCAAACTCGAAATCACAGCGTCATAGCAACGTTTCAACAAACAACGACTCCCTTGAACAAGAAAAGCAACCATTTCCCCCATCCTTTTCTAGTGAACGCAAAAAGAGTACTTCTAGTCTTCTTTCCTTTAACTCATCTTCTCTTCCCTCCTTCTCTAAAGTAACTGTCGACGACGTTGAATCCCAACCAAGTTTAAATCAAGGAAATAGCCAGCATCAACGCTATCAATCACAATTCACACTTAGTTCTTCTCCTCATCATAATATGCGACACAGCCACAGTGCTCAATCCATTTCAATTTCTACTCTTTCTGCCAACCGAACGAAATTGTATGATGACAGCCTGTCTTCTTCACAATACTTTGGAGAAATAAAACACAGACGCTCAGAAGACATTACTAACCAGCATTCATTTGACTTTTTGCTTGAAGAAGACGATGAGGAAAAAATCTCAACGTGGCACCACCATGAAGCGGAAATTCTCAGCTATATGGACAGCTATCCTGGGTTTCTTCGTCAAAAGAAAATATGGTACTTGTCTTCTCGACCCACACCTGACGGCAAAAGTTTTTCAAATCTTAATAAAAATGACAAACCTTACTGGAAATGGTATGCTAAAAATCTTTTTTTTTATTGATTCAATTTCTATCTCTCTTTTTTTTATTCATCTATCACTTTAGTACAATCTAGCCTATTATTACTAAATTTAGCGTCTCATTTTTATTCCAATTCCATTAAAGATCCACTTTTTTTTTTATGAATTTAACTTTATTACTGTTTACTAACTAATTTTAAAATAGTGCTCTTGGATCCATTGACACTAAATCTCATCTCTCGCTTGTTGTAGACAATAACACAGAGACTGGAGGTGTTTTGCTTTCGTCTCATGATATCCGTTCAGCAAAGGTAAAAATCAATATTATTACCCAAGTAATTCAAATTAAACTTGAACCTAGCAACAACTATGATAATATCCAACCACATCCTTACAGTAGCATTGCAGGGGACGATTCCGATAAATCAGCTACTTTCCAACAGTATACAAATGAAGAAGGAAATATTATTCCTGTCATTACTTTAAAATGCTCAGACTCAAACTCTGGGAGTTGTTTCCATGAATGGGTGGCCGCAATACTTTTACATGCCAACCTCAAGCCGCCTGGACTTGAAAACAAGGTTTACTCGCCTTTCCAAGTTCTTCAGCCAAGCATTGTACCCTCAGTTACATGCTCAGAAACAGGCTCAGAGCCACTTCCGAAAAATATTTTGGACACTCAATCCGAAGTCGTTTTTGAAGGGTATATGCAGATTTATATTCCATACAACCATCAAAAACATAATTGCCAAATTAATGCCAATCAAACAAAGCCGCATATTGGACAAGCCAACATAGAAAAAAGTAGTGGCAGTGGTGATGGTAGTGGTGGTGATGACGAGTTTGTTTATGCCGAAATCCAACACAATGACACACATGCATGGAAGGATAAGGACAATACTTCTAGAAGCCAACCTCTTTTTTCTAGAAACTCACATGAACAAAGCACCACCTCACAACACAAAGGCAAATTAAGCTTTTCTGACTCGACAGAATCCAATCAAACACATCCAGACTTATTATTGGACTCCCCCCATTGCGATGACTTGATCCCCCCCTCATCTGAATCATCATTTAATGAGCCCGGTGTTTCTGATGGCTCTTCTCTTAAATCTGTTGCATCTTCTGTGTCACCATTCAATACCTGCGAATGGACTCAAGTTTATGCTACTCTTTACAAAGATGGCATGCTAAAGTTTGCATATTCTGGTGGTTCTCAAGACATTGACTCAGATGAAATTAACTCTGTAAAATCCGGGAGCAAAATTTACCACACGATTAACGTAGGGCATGTTTTTTCTTCAGGTATTAGGCTTTTGGATCGTTCTGTCTTTGATGTTCCGAATGTCATTTACCTCGGCGATCGGCCCATAGATGATGCTAATCTAGACTCGCTACTTTGCAAATCTATTTCGTCTAAACCAATTTTTGCTTCTAATTCTCTGTCTATCAACCAAGGGTCTTTGCACCAAGATAATTCTGCACCAGCAACTCTTCGCCCGACTGTAAACGATGTTGCCATTAGGGCTCCTGTTGGCGCCGATGGCTTGAAACCATCTAAAATACTTTCTCGCATGTCGTCTCATAACAACATACCAGAGTCGCCTTCTGTAACACGCAAAGAGTCTTTTGAGTCTTCTGCTTCTCGTGCAAGGTCCTTGCATACCAGACCAGTTTCTAGTATAATCAGCACCAACTCGTCTAGTAGCTCAGCAAGTGTTTCGAAATCAGGTTCTGGAACATCTGCTGATCCCCCCCAGCCATGTTCTCTTTCTTCTTCACCAATTTCTGGCGTTTCGACAAATAGCAGTGCTACGTCGTCTCCCTCAGGATCAGTAAAGAAGAGACGATCGCTTCATTTGAAGTACAAAAAGTCTTCTACTTCAAACCCTCTTCCCCATACAAAATCATTTCCTTTAACTAATCAAAAAAGATCAGCATCTGCCACTGGATCTGTTTCCATGCCTTCATCTGCACCTCCCACTACATATTCTGATGCAAACTCAAATAACTCTAGCGCTACACTTTCAGCTTCAACCCCTTTCAACCACGATCTTAAGAATTATTCTTCCGTTGGATTATTTACCGTTTCTCATAACAGTATTTCTTCCGGATCTGATCAATCTACAGAATTTTGTGCCAATGAGGATCCAAAATCGAGCCCGTACATGGAGTCTGATCCTTTTAGACTTTCCACACAGCCCGAAAATGATACTGCTATATTTTTGCATTTTGGCACAGATTCAGAGTCTCTCAAAAAATGGTTTTCAGCTCTTAAGTCTATTGCTCGATTAGAAATATTTTCACCGTCAACTGGAAATTTAAATGAATCCTTTAGAATTTCTAGAACCATTACTGTTCGTGTCCTTGAAGTGAGGCTCGAACCAATTGAAGGACTGGGATTTTCGAGATGCTCATCTACTGCTTCTTTACAAACTATTAATAGAAATCCTCTCCCCAACACGGCGTCACCAATATCTTCTGTTTCTATTTCATCAAGTGCTAATATACCACCCCTTTCAAGCAATTCTACCCCTCCAGTTACGCAGCGGACTTCTGCTAATGCTACACCTTCAAACATATCTGGCAACACTATTCGCAAAGTTCCAACATTAAGCTCTTCAGCATCACTTTCTTCATTTCCCTCACCAGGACTTTCTTCTACTCGCGATTCACAATACGCCGTATCAAATACAGCTAAAGGACAATCTTCACCTGCATCTTCTTTTCATCAAAAGCCTACTCAACGGCAATCTCAGCAAAAGGAACCAAATCCTTTTCAAATTCAGTCCATGTCAACCCTTCCGGATTCTTATGTGGAAATTTATTTTGGTGGCAGAGCTTGGGCTCGTACTTCTATTGCAAAATCATCTCGTATGCCGTTTTGGCGCGAGGACTATGCATTTAAAGATTTCCCTGGTATTGGAGTTCCAAAATTTTATTTTGTACTTCGCCAACGCCAATCTTCTAAAACTGAAACAGATGAAAACGAAAATTTCCTTGATCATCAGAATGACCCTGTTCTTGGATATGTTGCTTTGACGCCTAGTGACATTCGAAAAAATGGAAATTTGGAAAAACCATATGAAATCACATCAGTTTACCCCAACTCTTCTTCTCCACAGTATCGCGCGTCATTATTTTTAAAGATTGCATACGAAGAGTTGACAATAGGCCCTGCCCAATGTTACATGCTAATTGATAAAACCCTTTCTTCTTTGGCTAATCGTAACTGGGCTAGACTTATTCAGTCTGATGAGCGTCGAGATGTAACTCTTCTTTCAGAAACATGCTTAGAAATTTGTCTTTCTGAAGCAAGTGGATTTTCTGCCATCAAGTGGATTAAATCCCTTATTACTGAAGAAATATACAAAACGCATCGGTTCATGATTGAGAAGTCTGGTGATGCAGAAATGTTTTCTTCGTCGCCAAGAAATGAATCCAAGTTTGCTGATTTGAAGAAGAATATTGATAACACTCTGTTCCGTGGCAACTCTATTCTTACTAAATCTCTTGAGCGTTATATGCGTATTGTAGGATACAATTTGCTGGTCAAAACTGTTGGCACTTTTGTTAAGCTTGTTATTTCAGAGCAACCGGATTTGGAAATGGATCCATCTCGTATTAAAATCTTTTCCAAGTCTACTGGAACTTATTCTACTGATCTTGACAAAGACGACCCTGAAGTGGTTGCTGCTTCTGAAGTACACCAAACAAAATTAGCTCATTATACTTCACTTTTGTGGAAGCTTATTCGTGATTCTGCTGATGAGATACCTCCTGGATTCAAAGAACTTTTTAGCCACTTATCTAAAGAGCTTCGCTCGGTTTTGAATCAAACTGAAACCTCAGTTTACAACTCTGTTGCTGGTTTTTTATTTTTGCGGTTTTTTTGTCCAGCAATTCTTAACCCTAAGCTTTTTGGCCTTGTGAGAACACAATCGGTTATGACTGTTCAACGTTCTCTTACGCTTATCACCAAGATGATTCAATGTTTTGCGAACCGGACAAGGTTTGGAATCAAGGAACCATGGATGATACCCATGAATTCTTTTTTCGAGGAACATAAGGATGAGCTTTTTGAATACTTTGGAAAAGTTCTTACTGTTGATCCCAACATTAGCACCGAAGCTGCTTTAGAAAAAACCACTGATGGAAAGTTTTTCAAATACACACCACATCCATTAGGGCAAAATTTCAATAATCCATTCCTTATTGATCGTACATCAACATTTATGCGACTTATTGAACTTTGGAAGTCTTCTTATTGTACTGCAGACCAACTTTCAAAGCTTACTTATGAGCGTGACAGCAGAAAAAGCAGTATTGTAAATTCAACACCTAGTTCCGCTAGTTCCATGGCATCCTTAAGCTTGGTACCCCAAACATCTCAAACATCCACGCGCAACAATAGCATAACCACAATTATGTCTTCTTATGTGAATGGCCTTCCTGTTCACCCTTATTCTATTCAAATGTTGCAACCTTCAATTGACGGCCAACCAAGTGAAGGAGATCAAAATACAGTTGATTCATCGAAACTCAGTCCCTTTTCATTTTACGCCAATGGTTCTGTCAGCCAAATGTTATACAGTCCTGAAGCTGAAAAATGGTACCATGACGAAGTCACACGTCTTTTTGGAGACGACTCTGTTCCAGTTGAGTCACTTATTGAAGATTTCAGCAAGCTTTGCAATTACATTGATGACGTGGTGCGAAGATTGCGAGTCAAGCTGGAGATTCAGCACGAGACGTTTTCTGAGCAAAATTGCATGCTTTATTCCCAACATTTGCAGTTGAAATACTCACCTAAAGATAATCAAGTGCAGCTATTGAACTGTGTTGGTGTTTTAGATCCTCATCAAGAAGCTTCGTTCCCTAAGCCACATATTGCCAGAAGTGAACCCACCCAGCAGACAAAAATGGTGTCTTCTACATCCACTTCTTCTTCTGAAGTTTCTGTACCTGTATCTACTGACTCTGAAAAAAGTTGTATGACGGCAAACACTACTGCTTCTGCTTCTCCATCTCCTACAGTACCGAGATCCATTACACCAACTGTTCTAGTCGCTGATCGTAAGCCGTTGTCTCCAACTACTAGCTCACCAGCTACTACTATTCCATCAGTCACAATATCGCCACCATCATCTCGAGAACGAATTCGTGAACATGACATGGTTCCTTTTGCCGTTGCATTGGCTGCATCTCGAAGTGATTTTGAAGCTTACTACAACTACAAAAACAATAGTTCACTTCAAAAAATGCCATCTGAATCGACATCAACTTTGCGCAAAAGTACTTCTAATCAAGAAAATTTGCCTCTTGCTTCTATTGATTTAGACATGACACCTTTCCCATCTGCGGATTTTGTTAAAACTCAAATTGAAGATACCTGCAAGCTGAGTACCCAACTGGATGATGATATTTCGACCACAACTGTTGCTAACTCTATTAGAAAGGCAGACGAAAAGAGTAGCATTAAAAATCTTAGCAACACGTCACGCAACAGTTCGCCTTCTAAGAAACATATTCCATCCAAGTCTTTGGAGTCGCCTAATTCTTCATCAAAGATCAGGGTTTCCAGACGCAGCAGTAGTCTTTCATTTTCATCTTTTCCTTTGATTTCTTTTCAGTCTTCAAAACGATTGTCAAAGCATTCGGAGCCTTCAAATTCCTCATCAATGTTCCCGTCACCGCTTCCTCCCCCCTCGAGCTCTACACGGCCATATCCAAGATCAACATCTATGGTACAACTTCCATCTTCTATAGGACCAGCCACAGCAGCAGCAGCTGCTGCAATCACCCATTCATCGAATAACAATGAATTAAATGCTGGGTCTTCGAGTTTTTCCAAAACTAGATTTGGTTCTACCAATTCTCCCAACGTACCTGGTGCTCTCCCTTTACCAAACTCGCCATCTTCTGGATCATATTATTATACCCCTACATCATCAAATTCCGCTGGAACTTCTCCAATTACTGCTCCTTCTTCTAACCAATTCAGCCCATCTGGCAATGGGCCCCGAGTCTCAGTTGGTTCTAACGCACATTTGAGACATACTGGAGGGTCAAAACAAAAACGGAATAGTGCTGGAACTATTGTTTTTTCTTTAAAATCTTCACAGTCTTCTCAGTCATCAAAGGCAGCTCCACATTTGGTTTCCCATAATAGTCAGCCTAATCCAAGCAGCAGCCCAAGTGGCACTTCTTTATCTGCACCTTCTTCTAAGTCATTAACTTCAAAAAGTATCGGTGATTCGCAAACACGCTCTAGATCTTTGACCTATCCTCGACCCCGACCTATGTCCCAAATTATCACCTCAACCTCTGGTGGCATATCTCCTTCTCGTCAGTTAAGTGACTCTAGTACCTTGAGTTCTTCTAGTGACTCTAGCAATGATAGTTTTCTTAGCACACATTACTTTCGCAGACAAACAGGAAACCATTTGAAACATAATTCTATTTCTGCGGGCATGTCTCATGGCTCCACTCGACCTATTTATTCTTCTAATTCATCGCATGTCTCAGGTATTACCCCCCGCAGCTTGGCGGAAAGAAGCGGATCTATGGGTTCCAATCCACCCTCTAGTCCAGTACTTCACGCTACAAAACCACATATTTATTCTTCAAATCCTGCATCCCCGGTCTCTTCATCAACTACGGGACCAAGTTCAAATACAAGTGCCAGTGCAGCAGCAGCGGCAGCCGTGGCTCGCTCAACAGCAACTACAAACTTTTAACATGAAACCTTCACGCATTTACATATACACATGATTTTTTTTAAAGACATAATATTAGAATTATTGTTATTCTTTTTATTTTTATTTATTTTGGGTACAATTAATGACATAATATATACATGCACACTATTTATATTTATTGGGATTTTTTTATTAGAATAATTAGGCGTTTATAATTAATATTTTTGTTTTTGTTTTTGTTTTAGTATGTTTAAAATATAACTAAAGAATCATGATAAAATCCAAAAAATTATAAATCACAGTAGTTTTTATTATATTATGCACAACACAACACTAGGATCTTTCTTAAAATGTTTTCACAACACGATAAAATCCAACAAATGCAAATGCAAATAGAAGAATGAAGTGCAAAAAGAAACAGCTCCGACACGGGGAATCGAACCCCGATTTCCACGGTGAGAGCGTGAGGTGATAACCATTACACTATATCGGATCACGTGATAGAAAATTGATCATTGTTAATTTATTTATATTCAAGGGTAAAGAATGATACAACCTCAATATTAATGTTGAAAGGTATTAAGAAATACAATTACAGCGTTGATGAAGACAAGTGGAGATAGGTTGGGAAGGTTTGGTTATTTTTAACCCCCTGTTCCTCGTAAGCTGGCATCAGGACTTATTTTCGGGCTGTTGGAGATGCAATGTTGAAGCCAAAATTAAAAGTTTATTATCAAAATGAAAAAATATATAGTATGGACAAGAAGGATAGCGCAGATGCTGATGTTATATAATTATATAACCCTTGAATAAAAACAAACAAACAAACAATTGAAAGGTATACTTAAACAAGTTTGTTTTTTAACTTACAAAATATGTCAGACCCCCCCAACAACAACCAAACCACGTTTAGTGGCGGCGACCCTCCTGCCGACAATAATTATACCGACAATAATAATGAACAGACTAATATTAATGATATGCAAAAAATTATTGCTGTTGAACTGAAGGAGAAAGAAAGTTCTCATTCCAGAGGACCTCATTCTCATGAAGCTCATCACATCAAACCCTCGACAAAAATCCAAAAAAAATAATGAAAAACCAGACTCCCATAAAAAAATTGAAACTATCCACAAAAAGCTTGAATCGAATGATAAGCATAACGCTTCTTCAAACCACGAAACCCCCGTTGAAACCCCTATTGTGAATGTTGGTCCAACCTTGAACCCTACCTTTGACTCTTCACCAGATGGTGGTGATGTTGAAATTGACGCAACACCATCACGTGACATGGATGTTCTCATGCCGGATGCAAATCCATTTGGTGATAATTCTGAAGCCTGGGAATACATCTTAAAACTTAAGGATGTATTTCTGGTTGAATTGTCTATTGTTAAAGAAGACTTGAGTATTACAATTGAAGATTGGGAAATAAAATTTCAAAATCTTGAACTTAAAAACAATGAGTTAGCTAAACAACTCATTGCTTTGACCGAAAAGCTTAAAGCTTCAGAAGGACAAGTGAATTCTCTTCGCTCAGAACTTGATGTTTTGAGAAACAATCAGGTTCACACAGAAGTTAAACATGTAATGTTTGAAAAACTCAAAAAGGAAGTTAAGGATAATAAGGATCATTGCGATAAAGTGAAACATAAAGCTGATGAAATAGCTAAGATGACTTTTCAAGATTTGTCTCAAGAAAAAGCAAGAAACAAAAGAATTATCGACACTGAAATCAAGGAATTCAAAGAAATGACCAACAATCTTGAGAAAAGAGTTGATAATATGGAATACAAAGTTGGAACTATTTCAACTAAGGCTGATTTAACTACCAAAGAACTTAGCTACGCAAAAAAGGAAATCAAGAGCGCGGTAAGAAAAGTCGACACTTTGCCTTTTGCTTTGACCCCTAAAACTCCAAATGGAGCAACTCCAAAGTTGAAAGACATTATGAAGGCTCAAAAACAACACCGTGAAACTAAAGTTGATGAAGACAAACCCACTTTTAGAGTGTGCATAAGAATTCCAGATACCATGAAAAGAGTTAATATCCCTGCGATTGGAAAGAAAATTGATGCGGTTGCACAAAAGCCGGTGGCTCAGGAAATAGGCTATACTGTCAAAGGGCATTTATATGTTCAACTTAATGACAAAGATTTTGCTGATAAAGCTGCAGAATGGATCCCCAAAGTTGACCCTACTTATTCAGTGCTTGACACAGATTCTTGGTACAAGGCTGTACTTCAGGAAATACCTAATACGGCATCGATTGAAGACTTGAAAGAAACTCTCTACAATTTTAATGATTACCATATTGTTTTGAATACCGAACCCAAAATCATTAGCAGAAACCAATTTACCCAAACAGCATTGGTTTCATTCAGAAATGCCTAAGACTATGCAAAGTGTGCTGATAATCTTATTATCCAGTACACAAAAGTTAAAGTTAGACCTTTTATTAGCAGAAAAAAAACTCCTGAAGAACTCCAAGCTATGCGTAATAAGATACGATTATTGAAAAATGAATCAGACAAAAGGATAATGAGGCCCATCCTGTTTCCACTGACGACTCACAAGATGAACCGATGAAAGAAACAAATATTGAAGAACTAGATGAATCCAATGAGGAAGAAAACGAAAACAATTCTATTACATCCAATGAATTATAAAGTATTCCAACTCAATTGTCATAAATCGAAATCTATTACTGAAACTATCTTAGAAAAAAGAACCTGATATCTTGTTATTACAAGAACCTTACTTTAACAACTATGGGCCCATTAAACATAAAGATTGGATCCCAATCTTTACAGAAACTGGAAAAAAAAAAAAATAAATGCAGAGCAATTACTTACATTAGGTCTAACTCTGACTTACGAGCATTAACTACTAAAATTGAAAAGTTTACAAATCGAGATATGGTTACCATTTTGGTTAAAGACATTACAATTGTCAATGTCTATAATCAACCGAAACCATCCAAGAAATACCCTGAGCCACCGGTTTTTGAGTTTCTCAAACGGGAGATCAAGGAACAATACTCAAAGATTGTCATTGCAGGTGATTATAACTTACATCACAAGGAATGGGAGTCAAGGGCAGGTCCGAATACGGAAGCAGATGAAGTTGTTGAGTGGCTACATGAAAATGATATGATGTTAATTACTCCAAGAAATCAAAAAACATACAACAATAGAACCAATATTGATTTGGTTTATGGCTCAGTGGACTTACTTCATAGAATTTCATTTAGTGGAGTGGATGAAAATACACTAAGTGATCATTCAATTGTGGAGTGGGACATCTCTATGTCTCAGAGTAAAAACGGGGATGAAGTTTTTACTTCGGTGAAGAGATTGAATATTAAGAATGCAGATTGGGAAAAGTTTGACAAGGAGCTTTCTTCTGCCATTAAAGATTTTAATGTGCATAACAAAACTCTAAAATCAACTGACCAAATTGATGACCAAGCTAAAGTTCTTGAGGAGGTTGTAAAAAGAGCAATGGCAAAGTCGATGAAAGAAGTTAAGGTGATGAAAAAGTCCAAACGCTATTGGAATCAAGAATTAAGGGAGAAGTTAGAAAAAGCGCTAGAAGCTAAAAGGGAAGCCCGTCAAAGGCAACCTTCTTTGGCTTTGAAACGACAAAAAATTGAAGAGGCGAAAAAAGCTAGAAAAATTTTTGACCACAGTTTGCGTGAAGCAAGTACTGAGCAATGGAATAAATATTTGTCTAGTTTAGAAGGAAATGACATTTGGAAGATTTTGAAGTATATTAATCCAAAAAGCAATGATACCATTATACCACAAATTAGAAAAGAAGATGGAACTCTCACTACTACTGTTGACGAAAAAAGACATGAAATATGGAAGGCACTTCTACCTGAAATTGATCATGGTCTTGATAGAGAGTTTGAAATTGATGACGATTCTCGATGGCCAAAATTAGATTTTTGTTTGATGAAGTTGACTCTGCATTGGCTGATACCCCAAATGATAAAGCTCCAGGAGACGATGGAATTACGGGCAAAGTTTTAAAGATGGCATGGCTAAATAAAGACTTTAAGGAAAGGTTTTTCAAGCTTCTCCAAGCTTGTGTGAAGTTTGGATACCACCCAAAAGTCTGGAGACATGGCATTATTGTTGTTATACCTAAACCTAAGAAACCTGACTATTCAAAGCCAAGAGCATACCGACCAATTTCCTTACTTAAGATTCCATCTAAAGTACTGGAAAAAATTATACAAAAAAGAATGACCAAGCTTACAACACACTTACTTCCACCAGAGCAATATGGGGGAAGACAAGGTTATTGTGCTACTGATGCTGTTTTGGAACTTGTCCAAAGAATTGAAACTAGTAAAGAAAAAATTTCAGCTATGCTCATTGATATTCAAGGAGCTTTTGATAATGTTAACAGAAATATATTGGCAGACACAATGGAGGATATGAAACTACCCAAAGCACTTATAAACTGGACGTACCAATTTGTAAGTGAAAGAGAAGCTAGTATGCTCATGGACCGATGAAAAGGATCAATGCAAAAAATTAGTACTGGAATTCCGCAAGGCTCACCTATTTCACCACTACTTTTTTTGATATATTCCACACCAATGTATCATGCCATTAAAGAATGGGGTGGAACTCCTTTTGGCTTTATTGATGATGTGACTATTACCGTTGAAGGTAAAATTGAAGAAAATACCAAAAGCTTAAGCAACATATTAGAAAAATGTTGTAATTGGGCTAAATCAAGAATGACCAAAATTGATTTGGGTGATAAATTGGGTTTTATTCATTTTACAAAAAATGTGAAACCTAAAGATGAAAAAGTGCAACTTACTTTACCTAATGGAGAACTTCGTGAACCCCAGAAGGAAGTTAAATTGCTTGGAATTACTTTGAATAATCTGCTTGATTTTAAATCTCATATTTTGAATATAATCAATAAAGCAAGAAAAGCTGTTGGTGCTATTTGGCATCTTGGTGGCGTGCAAAAAGGTATGCGAGGGTCTGCAGTCAGATCACTGTATATTGCTTGCGTGAGACCAATTGTCGAATATGGCTTGGAAATTTGGCATCATAAAATCTTGAAAGGAGAAATCCACAAGTTGGAAGTGATGCAGAACATGGCTTTAAGAAGAATTGTTGGTGCTTATCGCACAACTCCTATTGCGGTACTACAAAAGGAAGCTGGTATTATGCCATATAGTATTAGGCTAAAATTTATGGTGGCACGAAAAGCTATTCGTTTACACCTAAATATTAGCAAAACTAATCCTATTAATGGTCATTTGTTAACATTGATTGAGAAATATCCAATTCCAAAGCTAACCACGCTTTACGTTTTGGCGGAAGATGATAGAGACTACATGATTAAAAAGGATGAAAAACGAAAATGCAAGAGGGTTGAACCTCTTACACTGAAACAACAACAAAATCAAACGATTGGAATTTTGAAGAAACAAGCAATGGAAGAATGGCAAGAAATGTATTGGAACAGCAGTAAGGATCTGTGGTATCATAATATCACAGTGGAGTCGAAATGTACTGATAATCTTTCCAAAATGGTTACGGGAGTGATCATGAAGAAAGATAGTCGAAGGATCTTGAGTAATATTACTCAATTTCGCACAGGCCATGGCAACTTTGGCGCATGGTTTAAAAAGTTTGGAATTGAAAAGGATAGTTACAACTGCAAATGTGGAGAGCTGGAAACAGTTCATCACATTTTGGTTGAGTGTCCTTTGCTTGAAGAAGAAAGAAAAGGACTGAAACGGATATCTCCAGAGATGGACATGTCGACTCTCTTAAACAGTTTAACTGGCTTACAAAAGATTGTAAGCTTTATCTCTGCTTGGAGGGATTAAGAAATACAATTACAGCGTTGATGAAGACAAGTGGAGATAGGTTGGGAAGGTTTGGTTATTTTTAACCCCCTGTTCCTCGTAAGCTGGCATCAGGACTTATTTTCGGGCTGTTGGAGATGCAATGTTGAAGCCAAAATTAAAAGTTTATTATTAAAATGAAAAGATATATAGTATGGACAAAAAGGATAGCGCAGATGCTGATGTTATATAATTATATAACCCTTGAATAAAAACAAACAAACAAACAATTGAAAGGTTGCTTTTGCAGAATAATCACCAAAATAATTTTTTTTGCAAATTTTTTCAATTATTTGTAAAATTTAGACGCTTTCCTAATGTTTGGAGGCCATCGAATTATTGTTGTTATACCAGAACCTAAATAACCTGACGATTCAAAACCAAGAGCATACAGACCAATTTCTTTATTAGTCATTCGAAGCAAGTTAACTTTCTTTTTTAGTTTAAAATGTCTTTTTAAGGAAGTAATTACAAAGTAAGTTGCAATTTTTTATGATTGGCTTTAATATTTTTTTTTTGCAAAATGAATAAAAACCAATTTATCATCACCAAAAATGATTTTGATCTTCCTCAATTTAGCCCAATCGATGCAATTTTTTGATATGGCACTCAGTAATTTGATAATTTTTTAATTTTATTTTCTACTGTGATTCCCATATCATTAGCAGTGATAATGTTAATACTTTAATTTTTTATAGGTCTTGAATAATGACGATAAATAAAACTTTAATAATCTTTTCACAAGTCACGTGGCAATCTGGCCGAGTTGGTCTAAGGCGTAGGATTAAGGTTCCTATCTCTTCGGAGGCGAGGGTTCGAATCCCTCGGTTGTCAAATAAATTTTTAAATTCTTTTTAATAATTGTGAAAGGTTTTTTCTAAAGGAACGTTTAAAAGTTCGAAATGTGAAGTTTGGAGACTCAGATTTGTTTTAATGAAATGTAAGTTTAACTTTGCAGTAGAGAGAAGACTACAGATTATGCAAGTTTACATAATGAATTACTAACAAAATCATTGACTTAAGTTGTAATTACTGAGAGATACACTTGGTAAGTTTTTTTTTTTTATTAAAAGAGTGACTATAGTTAAAATATTTAAAAATAAAAGGAATAATTGATAATTGATTTTGATATTAATATTAATATTTTAGAGATAAATGATTTATTTTTGATTTTTGATTTTTGATTTTTGATTTTTGATTTTTGATTTTTGATTTTTGATTTTTGATTTTTGATTTTTGATTTTTGATTTTTGATTTTTGATTTTTGATTTTTGATTTTTGATTTTTGATTTTTGATTTTTGATTTTTGATTTTTGATTTTTGATTTTTGATTTTTGATTTTTGATTTTTGATTTTTGATTTTTGATTTTTGATTTTTGATTTTTGATTTTTGATTTTTGATTTTTGATTTTTGATTTTTGATTTTTGATTTTTGATTTTTGATTTTTGATTTTTGATTTTTGATTTTTTTATTTGTTTATTTGTTTCTTTGGAATATTTTTTTTTGTTAATTTATCGTTTTCGGTATTTTTTTTTTTGGTAATTTTCAAGTTTTTCGATAGGTATGGTTTGCTTTTTTATTTTTTTTCAATTTTTGTATTGAATTAGAATTTGTCAATCAAATGTCAAACCTTCAAAAAGGAGTATGAAGAATCATTCAGGAATTATATTAATTACTGTCTTCCACAACTTATTACTTTTCCTTTTCCCGTCCCCTTCCATATCTTTTAAACTTTTTCCTCTGTGCGCATTGATTCATTAGCAAAAACTTTTCTCTTGCGCCAAGTTTCCGAGTTTCTTGGAGTCACTTCATTAGAAGTGAACATTTCCTCAATTTGGCCAGGCAAAAGGCCCTTGGTTTCGTAGACAAAAAAGTAAACCACAAACATAGCCAAAACCAAAAATCCAGAAAATACATAGCCAAAAGCATAGCCAAGGTAGCGAGTAGCAATGGGAGACATGAATGTAATGCAAGAATTAATGAACCAATTGCTGGCAACGGCAAGACTAATGGCCATGGAACGGAGATGATGAAGAGGGAACATCTCGGAGATAACAACAAAGGCACAGGGGGCCCAGGTACCTGCAAAGCCCACAATAAAGATACACACAAGTCCAATCATGGTGTAGCCAACAGCAGGGTTGATTACCAGGGTAGTTGAATTGCGCAAAAAGAATTGGCCAAGGGTAGAGAAAGCAATGAAAGCAACCAACATAACGGCTGTTCCAGTCAACAAGACAATGCGGCGAGGAAACTTGCAGACAAGAGGAAGCAAGCAAATAGTGCCAATAATGTTGACCGATCCTAAAATCATGGAGGTGGCATAGGGGCTGAGGCCAGCAGAACCATCAGAAGCGTTTCCACCACAAATCTCCTTGAAAAGAGAAGTTCCATAGTAAAAAAAGTAATTGATTCCGGAAAGCTGCTGGAGCATCATAACACCAATAGCAAGAATGACGCGATAACGCATTTTAGAAGAAACATCAAAAATTTGTTTCCAAGAGGCATCTCCCTCACCCAATGTAGCCTTATGGGTATTAACAGCGATATCAACCTGTTCAGCAATGTACTTGTCATCTGCAGAAAGACCAGTGATTTGGGCAATAGACTTTTTTGCCTCTGCAATCTTTCCATTAGAGACAAGGTACTTGGTAGACTCTGGAATGATTCCCAAAAGGGCAACAACGCAAAGAGGCATGGCAAATAATAAAACTCCCAAAAGTGGGAGCATGAATTGCCAAATACTCCAGTTGGGGAGATTGCTTGCACCATACGCCACACCCTGGCCAATGAGAATGCCAATTGTCAAGAGGAGTTGGAAGCTTGAAATCAACAATGTTTGGAGGCTAGGGGAAGCAGCTGTTTCACTAATGTACATGGGACAGACAGCAGAGATGCCGCCAATAGCAAGACCTGTACACAAACGAGCACTAAAAACAACAGGCCAGTACATGTATCCGGCACCCTGGCTGAGAGTTGAGATACAGAGAAGCCCTGTAGTACCAGCCAAAGTGAGGCGGCGGCCAAAACGGTCTGCAGCCTTTCCAAACAAAAAGCTGCCAAAGAGGCCACCGAGGGAAACTGCGCCAACAACGAGGCCAGAGCGCCAGGAAGGAATGAAATAAGTGGGAGGGTAAACTGAGCGGTCAGCATCGCCAAGGACACGAATGTAGGCAGGCATGTTGAGCATGCCTGAAATGGAGCCTGTATCATAGCCAAGTATGATGCCTCCAACAGCAATGGTCCCAGAAATGAGAATATTGCGGGTCTTTTTAAAGCGGAGAGGCATGGCAATAGTTTCCTTTGAGTCAACCTTGTGAATAGAGGTAGTGTTGACAAGAGTCTCGGAGTTGTTAAGATCAATGTTGGTGAATTCAGCCATTTTAAACAGATAGATAGATTTCAATGATATATTAGCTGATTTTTATTATTAAGATATTAAAGTCAGATAATAGTAACTATTTTTATTTGTGTTATAAAGAAAAAAAAAAAAAAAATAATCATAATTTTGAAAGAAATTTCTTTCATTTTATAGACCATTTCTGCATGAATTTGGGATTTCACTGTTTGGAATATAGAATGGCGGTGAGGGTATATGGCCTTGTTATGAATTTTTTGAAAAAAATGACTAGAGTGGTATGAATTTTTTTTTGATAAAATGACCAGGATGGTATGAATTTTAGGGAATAGCATGAAATCGTGAAGACCAGTATTTTGAAAGTAATGCATGTTAAGTTATGGGGAAGCATGGTAAGGGGATTCATGTGGAATAATAAGCATTAAACGAGTACTTTTTTAAATGAAAAAGAAGAAGAAAAAGAAAGAAAAATTTTTTGATATTCATGTTATTCTAAAATTTATGTGAAATTTAAAAGTATTCTGCAAGGTACTTATCCACAATGTCAGCAGTTCTTTGGACTTTGTAAGACTCATCATGTAGTCCAGAAGTTTCTTCCACAATGACATTTTTTTCGCCCAAAATAGGTATGTATAGTTCTGGGCCTTTAACAGGCTGGAACTTGGGGTTAAGAAGCTCATCAGATTTTGAATAAATGATAATGAGTTTGAAGGCGTTACTAGAGGGGAATGGAGCAACGTGATCTTTAATGTAGGGGACAACAGAGGAAATTTCCCAAAGAGCTTGATCTGTACCAAAGGCCTCCTCAGTAAAGCCAGTGTACGATGCATCTTCAATGGGAAGAAGAGGAAGAGAATAAATGCCAGAAATGCCAAATACGGCAGCACATTTTTCACGGGCAAAGTTTGTTGTTTCTTCTAAATCATTTAGAAGTTTAGTGGTAGTGATATTTTGGTCAAAAAGAGTAGTATAAAGAGAAACAGATTTATAAACAGGGTTAAGCAAAACTTTAGGTTCAATGAAAATTTGGAGTGACATGAATGCACCAGCTGAGTGGCCTGAGATGGCAAACTGGTCGACACGGTGGTGAGTGCGCAGGTATGTGAGGGCTGCAAGAGTGTCGAGAGTAAAGTCAGGATGTTGGGCACCTCTACCGTTTGATCCATCCAAAGGCTTTGCAAGGGTGTAATCTATAGAAGCGCAGGCAAGGGACTTTGGGTATTTTTCAAGAAGGGCCGATATTAGGGGGAGGCCATCTGTGTGGTTAATGCGGGGGTCTCTCCAGGCTCCACCATGGATAAAGATAAACCAGAAGGGTGGGTATTCTGAGGCAGAAGAATGTTTGTAAAGACCAATTGTACGTAGGGGATCAGCGGGAGCCCCGAGGGTTCCTGAATAGGATACAGCGGTGTAGTTGATAGGCATTATTGGGAGATTAATGGTGGTTGTGGATAGAAAAAAAAAGTAGGAGGGTGGGATTTTAATGAGAAAAGTACATACACCACTAGTCACGTGAACTTCCAAGAGGAGATTACCAGTGCATAATGGTGACCTAGTTTTCATATATACAAGCAACAGCAAGATCAAAATCAAAATCAAAATCAACAGCGGAATTAAGAATAACAAAAAAAAAAAAGAGCTTATGAACAAGTGAATATGGCATTCACAATTCATGTAAAAAAAAAGAAAGTGTTCAAAAAAAATATAATAATAATGCGGAAAAATAGTCTTGTTTTTTTTTATTCTTTTTTTTTTTAATCGACTAACTTGCCGACAATGTTGTAACGCTGGATAAAGAAAGAGTACCAATCCTCGAGAGTTTTAAGCTCTTTTTCAGAGAGATCAGCCAGAGTCAAACCCTGGTTATAGATGGAGGTGTCAAGAGAAGACTTTGCGAGAGCAATGGAAGCGTCGCGAGCCACAAAGAGCGAGTATCCTTGGCCCTTGCCGTATTTTTCCTTGTTGCGGGAGACGTCAAAGATTGTACCTTTGATGGCGACATAGATGCGGGGGTCCTGGATACCTGTCATTCATTTGGTTAGGAATTGGAGAATTAGAAATCGGGAAGAATTAAGTGGACACACCATCAAACTTTGAAAGCTGTTCTGTGGTAAAGGGATCTGAGCGAGGAGGATTAAGCTGGACAGGTTCTTTTGGAGCGAACTTTCGAGTAGACATTATGGATGATTTTTTGGCAAGTTTTTTTTTTTTTTTTTTTTTTGGTATTAGAAAAATGGGTTTGGTGGTTGGTTGTATGATGAATTTATTATTATTTGAACTAAATTATAATTTAAATTAGTTAAATTAAATTTAAATTTGTTAAATTAAAATTATTAAAATCTTCCTTTTGGCTGGTTGGCGGTTGCTGCATTTTTTTTTTTTTTTTTTTTTTTTTTTTTTTTTGGGGGCTGCAAACTTCATTTTTCTTCTTCTTCTTTTTCACAACCACCACAACCATCTCAACAACCTCCCTCCCTACCCGAAAGAAAGAAAGAAAGAAAGAAAAAAAAAATGTCTTCTGTTGTCAATTACGTCCAAAACCTTTGGCAAAGCGTTTTGACTCCAGGTTTATCACCCACACTTATTGGGTCGACCCATGTATCGTTCGGCCTGTTGTTAATTGTCTTGGTGTTTATGCTTGTATATACTGGCTCGCTACACTTTTTGGCTCTGCTTCTTATTGCGTCAGGACTCTGGGCTGCCATCACTTGGTTTATTGGCGAGGTCCAACTCCTTGAGTTAGAAAAGAGGAAGAAAGAAGAGGAAGAAGAAAAGGAAAAGGAAAAGGAAAAAGATCAAAAGAAAGATGCTGAAAAGCCTGAAGCTGTCACTTCAGGGTCCCAGCCTTTGTCATCATCATCGTCATAATTTTTTTTTTTTTTTTAATTTGATTTGATTTTACTTTGATTTTACTTTGTTTTGTTATAGTTTTTGTTCTACAGTTGTTATTATTATGTACAGTACCCTTCTTTAGTATATATATATATATGTATAGATTTATTTGAATAATAATTATTCCCCCTCCAAAAAATAAAATAAAAATGAAACCTCCAAAAACTTTCTCATCACCACCTCAAAATTTTTTTTTTTTTTTTTTTTCTTTTTGAAAAACAACTAAACCCAACCACACCTTGCATAATGTCCACACACACAACAGCCCGCCTGCTACTCGTGCACAATTGCATCCAGCGCAACACTGTTAGTGCCCTGAATAAATCATACTCTTCAACTCAAATTCGCTCTGTCTCCAACATCTCAGCAGCTCTCAATGATCTCCCGCGCGTCGCTGGTGCAGGTCCTTTCCCCTCGTATCCATCCTTCAAGTCACTAGGCTCTATTGTCGCCGTTTCTTTACCTTCATCTGCTCCATTATACACTCGCGAGGCTGCCATTCTTGCCGTCAACACTGAATCTTCTTCCTCCTCTTCTTCTTTTTCCTCTTCCCCTTCTGCATCTACTTCTCCTCCTCTTTCAACTACATCCCTCTCGTCCTCTACAAACCTCTCTCTCATCTCAAAGGCTTTCCCCTTTGTCTACACTCGCTTCATTGCCGTCGAACCAGCTACTGTGCTCCTGACATCTGCAGCCGCCCCAGAGTCTCCCGCCGGGGGTTCTCCCACTCAAACTGTGGTTATTGCACCCACATCCACTTTTGACTGGATTGTCCCTAACCGTGCCTCCATTCTTGCTTGGTCCTCGGCCTCCCCAGGTGACCCAACCGGCCCCTTTGTTAGTGACAAGTTTGCTTCCATTAGAATTAAAGGAATTTCACCTAACCCGGAGTCTCCAGTAAATCCACAGGTTGTGCTGGCAGCGCGTGCGGCAGACGGACCCGTGTTGGAAATGAAGCTGCACCAAGGTGAAACGGCTTATGTCCATCCAAACTCATTACTTGCTTACACCGAACCGGCAACATCGAAAAAGCTCTCAGAAACATATGTCATAATACCCCAAAAACTTCCCAATGTTACTGACTCGTCCTCATCATCGACTACTACTACTACTACTACTACCACAAACAATCAATCAAATACCTCGCTTGTCCAAAAATTCCTTAACCTGCCTGGACCCCAAAATATCCTCGCCTATTTCAACTCACTTAAAGCATTGACCCACAAGTTTCTCTACAAAGGTGACGATATTCTGCTCAAAATAACTGGTCCTAAAACTATTTTGTTGGCCAGCAGTGGTAATTCTTTGGCTTCAGCATACAACCCAGCAGCCCCAGTGCAAACCCAGCTAGAGAAACTCCTGGAAAAATCACAAGAAGACACTATCCCACAAGAAACTCCCCACAAACAAGAAACGCATTGAAAAATAATAAGTAAATAGATTCCATTTGTTTTTGTTATGTCATTTCCCTCTCTTTCTTTCTTTTTGTTTTCTTTTTTTTTTTTTTTGTCTTCAATATAACAAATATATTAAATATTATTACATACATCATACACTCTAAGCATAAGTCCAAACCTCCTTACCTTCATTTTCCATCCACACACTCAGGTTCTTGACATCATTATCCCATTGAACCAGACGCAAACGCATGCTCTCAATATTGTCTTTATTCAATACTCTGGGTTGTAACCAAGTGACGGTAACAGTTTGGCTAACTTGATCAATGAATCCCTTGAGCAGACCCAGAGACAATGCCTTCATGACGAGATGTTCAACCTCGTCAATTGACAGCCGAGTTTCATGGGCAATTGTTTCAAAAGTAAGTACACGCGATGACGTGGGTCGCTTGAAGACAGCCTCAATAAGGGCGGTCAGGCAAATCTTTTGGCGCAGAAAGGGGAGTGAGTTTTGCAGAATAGGTTGTTTAGAAATGTGCTGAGATGTAAGAGCCTCAAACTTGTTAACATTGCCGTCATTGAGAGCAAACAGCAGCTCAAGCAACCATTGGTACTCGCTATCTTTGAGAGAGTCGAGAATTGGGTGCAGAAGCAGCTCGCCAAAGTTGTAAATCTTATCGCCCAAAATGGCAGCAATGCTCAGGTCGTATGCGCGTTGTTGCTGAGCCACAGGTGTCAGATCTTTTTGAAGGTTAATGCATGCCAAATAAAGCAGTGCATTGCGGTAGTAGGATGTGAAATCTGCGCTGGCCTTGTTATACTCAGCAGACACGTCGTAGTATGCTGCATTGATCATGGGGTCATAAGTATTAACTGTTGCAGAGGTATCGAGGGCCTTTGCAACTTTTTGCAAAAGGGTATGGGCCTCTTCGGTATTATTGAGGACAAGTTGAACGCGGGCAATTTCAATTTCTGCAAACAGATGTGCGTCCCAAGACTCTGGGGTGTCGACCTTTTCGGCGAGCTTTGTGAGGAAAGAGAGGGCTTCTTCAGGAGTTGCAGATTGGTTTGCAGCAAGTAAACCAAAGGAAACCAAGCTCAGCTGGTTAATTTTGCGCTGGAACTCGCGAATAAACTGGGTAAAGACGCGCAGACGCAATGGTTCGCTACGTGGGTCGGCGTAAAACTCCTTAAGAGTTTGGGTGAGTTGGTGCCATAGTTTGCGCTCCCATAGATCCTCCATTGTGTAGAAGATGGGGGCCAAGTCATCACCGGCCTCGACGCGCAGAGTAGCGAGGATTGTGGGAACGTCGTGGTCGATATCCATTGTTATTTGATGTATATGGAAGGGGAAAAAAAAGGTATATGGAGGATGGTGGTGGTGGTTAAGTTTGATTATTTGTTTGTTTGAAAATGTGGTGAGATGGGAAGGGAAAGGTCGTCTGCCTTGGTGGCAAAAGTTTTAATTGTGTATATATGGTGGTGGATAGATATTTGTTACAAAATGAAAAAAATGGTTTTTTTTTTATTACACATTTTGCAAAATTTGTGTTAGATGTCATAGCTTTTTCTTTGCACTAGAAAAAAAAAACATTAAGTGATGATGAAAATTGAAAAAAAAAAAAAAAAAAAAAAAAAAAAAATAAATAAATAAATTAGGTCGCTAAACAGAGTCAAAAATAAAAATAAAATAAATGGCTTTAAGTTCCGAGGAATTATCTTTGTCTGCTAGAGATGAGAAGGGTCCTATATAATATTTGATTATAAGTCATTTATCAATGCATTGATATGATTGATTGTAGCAGTTAAAATCCATTTTATGTTCAAAAATTGACAATATCTGTGGCTGATATTTCAATTTCAACACAAGCGCTTGTCGATTCTATTTGTAACTTATTTTGCTAGTATAATCTGTAATTAAATGAAATGAATTTTGTGGCTGTTTATTTATTCAAAGAATTAAAAAAAAAAGCACCCGACCCCACCGAGGATTTACAATAATTGATTCTAAGTATTAAAGGTAAAATACCAAAAAAAAAAAAAAAAAAAAAGTTGTCAGACAGGCACGTTATTAGAGCAATTACTCTTAAACATTGTGAAATACTTGTTTGCACTTTGTAATTATTTTGGGATTCGCAAGCAAAGTCCAAACTGACCGAAGAAAATAAAAGGAAAAAAAAGGTACTTACTTTCTAAACATTCTAAACACATAATTAGAAATAGAAATAGAAAATAAAAAAATAAAAAAACTTCCTTCTTGATCTAACTTTCGATCCAAAAATGGATGATAAAAATGAAAGGCTTACTGGAGGAGGCTTAATAATGTCTTTCATCAAACCCCTTAAAAACCTTAGCAATTGAGAAAAGGAATTCATTGAGATGGTATTTTAAAATAACGCAAGTTAACGATAGAAGTCTATGAAAAAAAAAAAAAAAAAAAAAAACTGGCGACTTTAAATTAACTCGTTTACAAAATTTTGTAGGAATTGATCCACTGATTGTGGCGTTTGGATAGGAATTAAACATCTGTTAGATGATCAATCATCATCTTTTTTTTTTTGCGCTTTTTATTCTCGTGTCCCATATACACAATATCCGAGAAGCCTTGCGCAATATTGAGAACTTAGTCTAAGAATTAGAAAGAAATAAAAAAAAAAAAATTTACTTCTCAGACATCTGCATGTCGAGCCTTTTGAGCAGAGGGAAAGTTTGATATCTTTCAACGACAACTTCTAGAAAGTATAAATTTTAAAAAAACTTTCATGTTAAAATTAAAGTTAAAAAAAAATGTAATTGCTAAACAAAATATGTTAGCAAATAAAAGAAAATTTTTTTGAAAAAGCGACAGTTAAGTAGACATTGTTGAAACTTGTTTTTGTTTTGAATTCGTGGGGTATGTAAATTTTATAGATCAAAATAGAGAAATAGAAGGATGGAAGGGGGTAGGAAAAGAAAAAAAAAAAAAAGAAAAGAAAAGAGAAAGCAAGAAAACCTTTTTTTGTTCTTTTGATTTTATAAGTTAAGTTTGTTTTCAGTTGTAAAAAAAATTCTCAAATTGTGGTTTTTTAGGTCTTGAAGATTATTAGATTAACATCAAAAAGTAGAACATTGTCGATCTGTTTAACAGTAGTTTTTTTTTTTTTTTTTTTTTTTTTTTTTTTTTTTTTTTTTCCCCCCGAAACAAATTGTTGGTAAAAGTCTGGTATAAGATTGTTGATGATGGTGTTGGAAAAAAAGTAGTTTTTTTTTTTTTTATGTTACTCGCCCATATACTTCCCCCTTTTTCCCATTAGAAGAATAATAATAATCGGAAGACCCTCCAGCCACTGCAACTTTATTTGAATGCCAATATTTTCTCACTACTAACACACAAAATACCATATACAACTATTAAATATTGAAAATATGATGGGGTTCACCAATTCTATCTATATTACTAAAAGATCCCAGATCTTTAAAAAAAAAATAATAACATTTAACAAAAAAAAATTCATTAATAAACAATATTAAAGCAGGTCTGACTGATAGTTTATACAATTTTATTTTAATATAGTAAAAGAAAACTTTTTAATATTGTTAATGGACAATGTTTTTTTTTGTTTTTTTTTTGTTTTAGCGTGATGTTATCGTTCCATTTTGCTAATTAAAGAGGCTTTGACATTAAGTTTTTGCACATTTTGGTCTCCTTGCTTGGGGGGGTGGTAAACTTTTCCCTTGCGCGTAAAAAAATTAAAAAATATATTCTTAACTTAATGGTGTGGAATTTATATTTAGGACCTTTGATTAATATGAAATAAAAATAAATAAAAATCAATAAAAATAAATAAAAATAAATAAAAATAAATAAAAATAAGCTGTCATAAAGGGCACTTTGCTGCACTTTTTGAAACAACAAACTAACAAATCAGAATTATTTAAGGACGCGGCACTTTCCTTTTTTTTTTTTCCTATATAGGAATATATATATATATATATATATATATATATATATATATCATGCACAGTTAGGTGGAAATTATCAACTTGAACCCGTTTTTTTTTTTCTTTCTATTTAAAGCACAAGAAAAAAAAATTGGCTGGATGTTATCAAAGATAGTTAAACGAATGTATATTAATTTATTTATTTTTTTTATTTTTTCTTATTTTTTTTATTTTTTTTATTTTTTTTTGTAAATATAGACACAACGATTTAAAAATAACAACATTTAATAACCCACTAAAATAATAAATAAATAAAAGTGTTTGAAGACCAAGGACGATCATCAGTTGCAAAAGGCTCCAATGCCCCTATGATTCAGATAGGAAAAAAATAAAAATAAATAAAAAATAAAAAATAAAAAATAAAAAATAAAAAATAAAAAATAAAAAATAAAAAATAAAAAATAAAAAATAAAAAATAAAAAATAAAAAATAAAAAATAAAAAATAAAAAATAAAAAAAATAAAAAAAATAAAAAAAATAAAAAGTTTCAAAGAAAGTGTGCATGTATGTGTTAACCAGTAAATTGTCTATACTATACTATTATTATTATAAGCGGCCTTTTTTTTTTTTTTCGTATCCAGCAAAACGTGTGATAATCACCGGCGACAACTTTCTTCTTTAATAGAAAATTCTCTCTTTGTCGGTTTTTTTTTTTTTATAATATTAACAAGTCTATAGGGACCACCCAATCCGCCCTTATATAAAAATGACTACTTTTCTCTTACTTTTTTAATTTTTTTTTTAATCATAATTCTTTTTTTTTTCCCTTTAAATTTCGTTTTTTAATTCATAATTTTTAAAAAAGCCACAAATTTCCTAATCATCATCATCATCATCATCATCATCATCATCATCATCATCAACATCCACTATCACTTGACCACATATCTACCAACCCCAGCATCTATAATAATGTCACAGCACAGAGGAATAATAGTAATTACCATCTCGTTCTTTTTTGTATCATTGATGGCTATCAACTTTTTCTTTTTCAACAGTAACAATATACGGATTTTTTCTTCGTTGCAAGATTCAACATTAACCCCAGTTGACCGGCTATGGACCAATTCTCCCTTTAAAGTACTGACACATCAAAATCGTCATAACGCATATAACCGATTAACATCTGCTGAACGAGAAAAATACATAAAGTACCTTTACATGTTTGAAGGCTCCCATCCTCAACAGGGATCCAAACTACGACCAGATTATCAAAAATTGAAAAGAATTCTAGACCGAAGAATTAGAGAAACTCTTGAGCAGCCACAAAACCAGCCAGGATACAATAATGGGGGGACAGAAGAATCTTTACAAAGGGAAATGAAGGCACTTTCCAAAACAAAGAGCCTTAAGACCGAGAACGATAAGCCCGAGTACGAGTCGGATTTGGAAGAAACCGAGAATGTTTTAAAGAGCAGTAGTCATATTAATAGTAATAGTAATAGTAAAAGTGAGGGAAGTTTAAATAAAGACTCAAATCAGGGAACAGGTTCAACTAAACAAAAGCGGTGGTGGTATGATAATTCTCAGAAATCAGAGCTCGAAGATATTTATCAGAAAAAACTACCAAATGAACGCGAGGCAGACGATTGGTTAAGAGAAGTTATTGGACACGAATCTGGGCTTTAGTGGATATGACAAATATATCTAAGATTTTAAACAAAAAAAAAAGTTTATTCTTATAATAATCAGGGTTTTAATTTTTTTTTCTTTTTATCTTTTTTTGAATCTAAAAAAACAAAAAAAGAGCAATTTTCAAACATCTGTTTCCTATTCTCTCAAAATCATGTACACATTATCAATGCTTTTAATTTAAGAAATTGAAAAAAAAATAAAATAAAAATTACACGTTATTCTGTATATATTCAATATTTATATTTTAAACAAAAAAAAAGTATTCATTTAAGAAAAAAAAATTAAAAAAAAAAAAAAACCTGGGCTTACGTGGGGAATTTTTTTTTTTTTTTTTTTTTTTAAGCTTACAGAAGTTTAAAAGCATCTGGAAGGCAGGGAAAAAAAAAATGCCAAGACTTTTAATGTGGGTAATTTTTTTATTTTTATGTTTTATCCCAGATAATATAACATTATTAATATTTGTTACAGTTACATTTGTTTCTCCGCATCGGCTCCCGCTTTCGGAACTCCTTTCAATCTTTAACCAATAAGCAGCTGAGGATTAGCAAGACCAAATTTTTTACTTCTCTGGCCAAGGACGAAAGGCTGGCTGTACTGCGCACACGCACACACACACACACATCCACACAAGCCATTAAACAAAAAAATTTTCAGTGACTCTTAGTGTGACACCTCCAAAAAAAAAAATAATAATAAAAATTAAAAAATTAAAAAATTAAAAAAAAAAAAGATTGGATCACCACCCACAATTTTTTTTTTTTTATTCTTTTGAAAAAAATACATCTTTTGTGGTCCTAAATATTTCTTTCAATAATCCCTAAAAATATTAAAGGATTTTTCTTAGAAAATACCAAAAAAAAAAAAAATGTCAATGCTTAGAGCCTCTCGTGCTTCCATTCTGCGGTCGCAAAAGGTTAGTATTTTAATATGCTAAAATATATACTTAAACCTTCCATCTCACAAATCTAACAAAACTTTTTTTTGCAGTCTCTGAATAGATCGCTGGCCACTGCCGCTTCTTCAGACTTCTTCGCAGTCCCACAAGAGTTCAAGTCCCGAACACCCCCCTATGAGGCTTTGCTTAACCGTCTGTCCATCGTCAAGTCCATTCTCAATGACCAGCCTTTGACTTTGGCCGAGAAGATTCTCTACTCGCACTTGGTCGACCCCACAGAGTCCCTCACCTCCTCAAATACTAAGGACATTCGTGGTCAAGCTTACCTCAAGCTTAACCCAGACCGTGTTGCCATGCAAGATGCTTCTGCCCAAATGGCTCTTCTTCAGTTCATGACCTGCGGTATGCCCTCTACTGCTGTTCCTGCTTCCATCCACTGTGACCACTTGATTGTGGGCCACGACGGTGCTGACCAGGATCTTCCCCGCTCTATTGCTGCCAACAAGGAAGTTTTTGACTTTTTGCAATCATGCGGTAAAAAGTACGGTATCCAGTTCTGGGGTCCCGGCTCAGGTATTATCCACCAAATCGTCCTCGAAAACTTTTCTGTCCCTGGTCTCATGATGCTTGGTACTGATTCTCATACCCCTAACGCCGGCGGTCTTGGTGCCATCGCCATTGGTGTTGGTGGTGCCGATGCTGTCGATGCCCTCACAGGTACCCCCTGGGAACTCAAGGCCCCCAAGATTCTCGGTGTCAAGCTTACTGGCCAACTGAGTGGCTGGTCGGCCCCCAAGGACGTCATCACTCACCTCGCAGGTCTTCTTACTGTCCGTGGTGGTACTGGCTCCATCATTGAGTACTTTGGTGAAGGTGTTCAAACTCTTTCTTGCACTGGTATGGCCACCATTTGCAATATGGGTGCCGAGCTTGGTGCCACCACCTCCACCTTCCCCTACACTGCTTCCATGCAAAGATACCTCACCGCCACTCACCGTGCTCCCATTGCCGAGGCTGCCCAACGCGTCAATGACAAGTTTGGTTTCCTACGTGCTGACGAAGGTGCTGAGTATGACCAGGTTGTTGAAATCGACCTGTCCACCCTCGAGCCTCACGTGAATGGTCCCTTCACTCCAGATCTCGCTACCCCCATCTCCAAGTTTGCCGAGACCGCTAAGGAGAAGGAATGGCCCGCTGAAATCTCTGCAGGTCTTATTGGCTCCTGCACAAACTCTTCTTACCAGGACATGACCCGTGCTGCTTCCATCATTGCTGAGGCTACCAAGAACGGTCTCAAGCCCAAGATCCCCTTCTTTGTGACCCCTGGTTCGGAACAGATTCGCGCCACCATTGAACGTGACGGTCTTACCAAGACTTTTGAAGATGCTGGTGCCAAAATCCTAGCCAATGCCTGCGGTCCATGCATTGGTCAATGGGATCGTTCCACCGAATCGCTTTATGCCGACAATAAGGAAGAAAAGACTCCCAGAAACTCCATCTTCACTTCCTTCAACAGAAACTTCCGTGCCCGTAACGATGGTAACCCCAACACCTTCAACTTCTTGACATCACCTGAAATCGTGACAGCCATGATTTACGCCGGTAGCACCAACTTCAACCCCCTCAAGGACACCATTGTGACTGAGAGCGGCAAGGAGTTCAAGTTCTCCCCTCCTCCTCTTGCCAAGGAGCTCCCTGATGTTGCCGATGGTGGCTTCACCAAGGGCCCCCGCTCACAGTACTACCCTGAGACTGACCCCACGCCCGTTCCTGAGACTGAGGTTGTTGTTTCACCTACCTCTGATCGTTTAAGTTTGCTTGAGCCCTTTGAGCCCTTTGATAACAAGGAGATTTCAGCCAACGTTTTGCTCAAAGTCCAGGGCAAGTGCACAACTGACCACATTTCTGCCGCTGGTGTGTGGCTCAAGTACAAGGGACATTTGGAAAACATTTCCTACAACACACTGATTGGTGCCCAGAACAAGGAGAATGGCAAGGTCAACGTTGTTGAGGACTTTGATGGAAAGGAGATGTCTATTCCAGATCTCATGATCAAGTGGAAGGAAGAGGGCCGCCCTTGGTTGGTTGTTGCTGAGCACAACTACGGTGAGGGATCTGCTCGTGAACACGCTGCTCTGTCACCACGTTTCCTTGGTGGTAAGATCATTCTTGTCAAGTCATTTGCGCGTATCCACGAGACCAATCTTAAGAAGCAGGGTGTTTTGCCCTTGACTTTTGCCAATGAGGCTGACTATGATCGGATCAGCTCCACTGATAAGATTGAGACTTTGGATCTGCTCGATATGCTGGAAAAGGATGGCAACAATGGCGGTGAGCTCAAGCTTCGTGTGACCAAGCAGGACGGTACCACTTTTGACATTACAACTAAGCACACCATGTCCAAGGATCAGGTTAACTTTTTCAAAGCCGGATCTGCCATTAATTACATTGGCAATCAGCGCAAGGCCCAGCTTGCCAACAAGCAGTAAGGGTATAAAAGGAAAAGGGATGACTATTATGTTTTTTTTTATGTATAAGAAAAAGAGTTAAAATAAAAAATGAAATAACAGATAAAAGCTCATTTTGAGTTTAAAACGTGGCTGTTTTAAATTTGAATTTACACGTGCAAGAAAACAATAGTAAAATTAGCTTCTTCGATGGGCTTTTTTTGAGTGGTGGTTTAACATTTCAACTTTTTGACCAGGAAATTTTTTTTTATTAATGATTATGGATTATGGACACTTTGTACAATTTTTGTAATATAGAGAAAAAAAAATTAATAAATAAATAATGATATATAGGGATTGTTTTTTTGCCTCTTTTTAAGGAAATGTATCATAAAATATCGCATTGAGTATTTTTTTTAAAAGAACATGGGATGTACTCTTGTATATTTTATGGGTTTAGGTGGAGGAAGCCAGTCACTTAATTAGGATGTTTCTGGCACGGTTGACTCTACAACCTTGCGTAGAGGAATTGCCCATGAAGAAATGGCGCCATGAACCATCATATGCTTTACAATTTCGGTTCGAGCTGCACTCTTGTTTCCATCCAAAGCGATAGTCAAGCATTGGCTCACCACTATAGTATGTTGTGGACCCAGTTCTGGGACCAGTTTCAGCAAACGGACCTTGTAGTGAGCAAACTCGCGAGCAGGCAGAGTAGAAGGTAAGCTTAAGACCTGCTCAAGCTGGGAGAGAATGCTGGGTTCGGAAGAAGAAGAAGAAGAAGATTCTAAATTGTCGGTTAAAGATGGAGGTGCTGATGAGGATGGTATCGAAGAAGATGATTGTGAATTATTGTCTGTGGTAAGACTACTACTGCTGCTACTAAGACTGCAACTGTGCGAAGAAGAAAAAGAGCTTGAGCCAGAAGAAGAGGTCAAAGAATCATCATCATCCGAGTATGGGACGTTTTCTGTGGCCGAGGGCAAGCACATTGGGGGTGGAGGTAAGACTGCTGGGCCATCTGTTGGTGGATGATTCAAGGAATGTAAAGAGGTGGAAGAAGAAGTTGGATAAAGGGCTTGTGGAAGAGGAGCAACGGCGTAACGTTTTGAGTGAGATTTTGAGGAAGATGAATGTTTTTTGGAGGAAGATGGAGATGAAGATGATTCGAGAAAAGTGGAGGGAAGGCAATCGTTCCAGCCTTGTTGGCCTGCGTAATTTGTTTGAGTAGAAGAAATCATGCTTGTGTGGATTTGGTGATAACGAATGGAAAAGTAAAAAAAAAAAAAGAATGCAGTGTCAAAGAAAGGTTATAGAGGATGCAAAAAAAAAAAAGAAAGAAAGAAAGAGAAATATATATATTTGGAAGGTTTTTTAAGACGGGGATTTTTTTTAAATTTATATAAAAAAAAAGAAGAAGATTTAAGTATTTTTATTAACAAAAAAAAAATTAATTCAACAGGCTGTGTGTATGCGTTTTGGAGAGACTGCAGTAGTTACACGCCCAAGATTAAAATAACCATCACAACCACCGCAACTACAACCACCACCACCATCACCACTAGTTAGGAGATCCAAGAGCTTAGTTTGGTATTTTTTAAACCAAAAAAAAAAAAAAAAAATAACAAAGGCAGCAGCAATAAATAAAGGTCCTGATTTTTTTTTTTTTTTTTTAATCTTCATTCATAATATCAGGTAATCAGCATCATTAATTTTTAAATATATATATATAGAGATATAAACTTATGAAACATTTTATGCTAATTTGACAGTTGAATATATATATAAGTAATAAACATTTAAAATCACACTCCAGTGACATTGACAGACGTTGAAAACTTTAATGAAATCTCGAGGAAGAAGGAAAAAAGAAGATAAATATTTATAGGGAGACAAGGGGGGGATGTTATTAACTATTTAATTTAGTTAAACCTAATGTTTCAAGTATTTACTTTTAAAAAAAAAAAAGGTTTGATATTACAATTAAGTCTAACTTGAAATTGATCATTTTCAAAACAATGCTAATTATTCCGAGTTTTTTTTTTTTTTTAACTAACACAAAAAAAAAAAAGTCTTGAAAGTATTTTTTATTATTTTTTTTATTTTACTCGTTGGGCGTTTGATTGTTACAATTAAAAAGATAGTTGAGAAAAATCTGGAAAGATAGATTATTTTTAAAAAAATAAAAAATAAAAAATTGAATGATAAGGCTCTTCAGGTTCATTTATTAGAGAAAAAAAAATAGACTTTGGAAAAAAATAAAAAAATAAAAAAAACGAGTATATATATATATATATATAGGCAGGTACATATAAATAAAATCTTGATATTTTCAATACTCTAAGAATATATATTTTTAACTCATTCTAGAAGAAAGACTGTTAACGCCTTAATGCGAGGTTGCGTGCATGGATTTTTAATATACAAGACCTAAGTTCTAAAGTTCAAGTATTTTCATCGTTCAGAGATTAATGCGAAGAAGTATCTATATATATTAGGTTTTTATTATTATTAACTCGTTTAAAGAGAAATGAGTTTCTGGTTGTAGAAGTTTTATTTTATTTTATTTATTTTTTTTGATAAATATATATGAGATTTAATAAAGACCATTTAAAGGAATAAATGATGAATATTGATTGCAATCAAACAATTGTTTATTTGAAAGTTAAAGCTTAAAATTTGTACTACCATATAAATAATAATAATAATAATAATAATTTAAGTACTAAGTCTTAAATGGAAAACAAACCCACCAGCTCGTTTTCTTTAAAAAAAAAATTTATAGCTCTGCCAATTGGTCTTTTCCTTTCTTTCTATTAATCTCAAGTTTTTTTTTTTTTTTTTTTTTTTTTGGTTTCCAACGAGGTCGTCAACTAGAAGAGGATCCTCTTAAAAAAAAAAAAAAAATTAAAAAAAAAAAAAAAAAAAAGAAATCAAAAAATCTCATTTTCCGCATCAGACTTCTTAACTTGTTTGATGTTCATTTGTAGAAAAAAAAAAATTACAATTTTTGTAAGATCTTGCAGCTGTAATAAATATCCAAAAAAAAGAAAAAAGAAAAAGAAAAAAGAACAAAGCGCTTTGAAAGAGATCGGACTTAACTAATAAGATTTTTCATTTGATAATCTTTTTTAGATTTCGATATAAAAGGATTAATTAAGGTCTTTGAGAATAGATTGAATATTTCATTTATTCATTTATTCATTTATCCTTTTTTTTTTTCATTCTTTCTTTCATTCATTTAATCAATATACCTTATTTTTTTTTTTTTAGTTATATTTCCCCAACAAGGCACACAGGTACTTCTTGACTAGCTTTTATACTTTCCACCCTCGTACATAACTCAAAAATGATTCGTCCAAAAAGACCCACCTGGGCAAAAATGCGCTTCTTCAGTCGTCTTTTACTCGTCTTTTTTTTTATTTTTATTTTTATTTTTTATTTTAATAGACAGTTGAGTTGCACTGCATGCTAAGCGCTTAAGTTTAGTTCAGCTCATTTCATATTCGGTTACCCGGCGGTCAAAAGTCTTTTTTTTTTTTTTTTTTTTTTTTTTTGGTCTTGTTATAACAAATTATTCATTGATTCTCTTAATACTCCATGTGATGAGCATATGATAACTCTCTTTTTTAATTTTTTTTATTCAAAATGAAACTTTTTTTTTTTTTGGAATAAAAATAAAAAAAAAAAAAAAAGAGGAAAAGAAGTGGTTTTAAAAATTTATATTAAATATTAAATATTAAATATTATTATTGTTATTATTAAATGTGTAATTGTAGTAAGATATAGTTAAAAAAAAAAATCCCATTCTGTTGTTGTTGTTGTTGCTGTTGTTGTTGCTGCTGCTGCTGCTGCTGATGTTGTTACTAAAAAAACCTGCCGTTGTTACCCTTTCCCTTTCCCTTTGCCTTTTTTTTTTTTTTTTTTTACTCGTTTATATATATATTTTATTTAAAAATAATAATAATAATAATAATAATAACACCACCAACAAACCCTCCATCACCATCCAAACATTTAAGCATATCTGTATTTCCTGCAACTGGTACTAATAGTAGTTGGCAGTAACAACAACAGCAGAAGCTAAATCAAAAGTAGAAGCGCGAAAAAAAAAAAAGAACAACAAGTTCAAACAAATCTACAGTAGTAACAACAAATAGCTCTCTTCTTTTGTTTTGTTTTTGTTTTTTTTTTTGTCCAGAATCTGTTTTACAGCTTTCCATTTGCCAACTTGGTTTTCTCTCACAGAAACTTTTTTCTTTCTTTCCTTCTTTCCTTCTTTCCTTCCTTTTTTTTTTTTCTTCTTCTTCTTCTTCTTTTCTAACTTTACCACCAACATTGAAACAAATACTATTTCTAACATTATACAACCATATAAAAAAAAACACTCTCTCCACTACAAAATAACTTTACTGTTCATGCCTCTTCCTTTCGTCTTAACTAACCCAACACCTGTAATGCATTGATTATTGATTGTCTCTCCTCTCCATGTACCGCTCCCATCTATCCACTATCGATCGTGGAAATAACAACACCGAGCTCACCTCTACTACAGGAAAGCAGGGCTTTTTTACCCATCTTCAAGCTCAAGTCTCTGCTGCTAACAACAACACTACCGCACTTTCCATGTCTCATTATCAGCCACAACGTTCTCTTCCGCAGCAGCAGCAGCAACAGCAGCAGCAGCAACAACAACATCAACAAAATGCATTTTCTGCCCAACTTAACACAACACAATTCACTACATCCAGCTTTGCAGATGACCCCAGAAACCTCTTCCCAACCACTTCGGTAAAGCTTGGCGGTATCACCTCTGGAAATCCTGGAGCTGACATTGATAATGATAATGATGATGACTCAGTATCTTCTTCCGATGGAAACTTCAAACCTCCAGTCCTTAGTGACTATGCTCACTCTCTTTTCTCAGATTCTCGACATCATCAACAATACCACCCTATACCCACTTCCCATAGACATCCCTCAGGCGGTCTTACAATGAATGAAAATTACGATACTAATGTCACACGGCCTGGAAGTACCTCCAATACTGGACTTTTCAACCCTACCGTGGCCTCCACCCATTCAAATTCCAGCTCAAGTAATAACACAAACAATTCTATTTCAAACCCATCATTACGCATCGGTGCCACAAATTATTCAGGCAGCAGTCTTCACGCTCATCAACTCCTACACCATGGTAATCACACCACATCGTCTCCAATCAATGGCACTCGCCAACAACACGAAATGAAGAGACACCTCAACAGAACTCGTCACTCAACTGTCCACGATTCAAACTTGACTGAAAACTCAACAGGAAGTACCAGCTCTAGCAATAACGATGGCCATCATAACAATAACAATAACAATTTAGGGAATTTGAACAATAACAGTAATAGTCATAGTCTTCATCATCCTCAAGGTCGCCTTAGACATTATAGCAGCTCAGGAAGTAATAATACAAGTCTTAGTATTGAAGGAATCCAACAGCATCCTAAAATGCAAGATTACGATTCTCCTGTTAGAGCTTCTGGCCCTTCGCGGCTCGGTGATCGCCTAGACTCAAAATCTCAACCTGCGGCAAATTCTTCAAATATTCCTGATATTGACCATTACGGTAACAACCACCCACCACTCTCCACTTCACCAATACCCTTACCCACCAATCTGGCTAACAACAACAACAACAACAACAGCAGCAGCAGTAGCAGCAATGGCAACAACAACAACAACAACAACAACAACAATAATAATAATAATAATAATAATAATAATAACACCAACAAGGCCACTGCCCGCTACTCTACAACAATCAGTGCCAATTACACGGCACAACTCTTTGCTCAAGATTCCACTGACGCTCCACACGTGGCCACCTCATCACCACCAACTATCTACCAAACCGCTCACATGAATGCATTCACAACACATTTTTCTAAAAACTCAGTTGCGCTCTCCTCTTCGGCCTCCGCACTCTATTCTGGAAACGGTTCCTCTTCAAACCAACAGCCCCCAGTCCCTCCAATGCCCGAAAATGAAGTCTTGAGCCAATCATACGTCTTGCAAACCCCGGCTGTAGCAAAGTCTAATGGCCGTTTGACGTTTAATGAAATTAGAGCAAGCAGCACCGTCCGTTCAAAACGATTTGGTCGTGGCCTCGGCCCTCCAATGAGAGTCAGCAGAGCAGACAGTGGTGATTTAATACCCGCAGCTGAATCAAAGGCTTTGATCTCTTCTTCTGCTTCTTCCTTGAATCCCCTACCTATTCCTGGCTCGCTCGATGATGGTGGAGCAAAACAAATGACCATGTCTTCTTCAAATGATGCTGCTTTCCTTTCCAGCAGCAGCTCCGGTATGTCCCAGTCTTCCAGCAACAGCGACAATTTTCATGATAGCTACACGTCACATGTTCCACCAGAACAAAATGGGACCCATGAAACTGCAGATGAGGATGAAGACGATGATGATTACGATGATGATGATGATGATGACCAACCAAAGCCTCACACACCACTCTTAAAGCCTTCGTCATATCATTTAGATGCTCTCACAGAAGCTTACAGCACAGCTATTTCACCTCACCCAACCCCATCTGCCGGCCAAGCAAAAGCTAACTCAAATGAAGAAAATTCTCATAATTCTGATGATGTTATTCCGGAAGAAGAAGAAGAAGATCATGATATGTATCCTCTTCCCAACGATAATAACCAGGAGCTTTCCATGAGTGAAAGAGCTCGAATCGATCTTGAAGATAAAATTGAGCGTGAACTAACTTTGGAACGTCAACATGAAGAACTCAAATATTATCTTGATTCACAACAACAAAAGGCAGCAGCGGCAGCGGCAGCAGTAGCATTAACATCATCATCAGCAGCAGTACCATCAGCAGCTTCAGCAACAACTGCATCGGTAACTTCGGCATCAGCAGCTTCAGTAGTATCAACCTCTGCAACTTCTGTCTCTGCTTCCAACACTGGCATATCTACAGGCGGTGCACCAACAACCGCATCTTCGGCATCAACACCAATTGCTAGAGAACAAACATCGTCGGATCATCAAAGTTTAACTCCACAGCCCCAGCGTGTTTCACAAGATCAGTTACTGCGGCAACAGAAGCAGCAACAGCAACAGCAACAGCAACAGCAACAACTACAACAACAACAACAACAACAACAACAGCAGCAGCAGCAACAACAACAACAACAACAACAACAACAGCACTTTCAGCAGCAACAATTCCAGTCGCAACCCCACCAGCTCCATCAATCCAAGGCAATGCCATCTAAGAAACCCAAAAACATTGTCTACGTAAATGGTCAAGCTTACCAGCGACTGGAACTCATTGGAAAGGGCGGATCTTCCAAGGTTTACAAGGCTCAATCGGTTAATGGTCGCGTGTATGCCATCAAGCGTGTTTCATGCGACGAGGATATTGACGATATGGTTCTCAAGGGCTTCAAGGGAGAAATCGATCTGCTAAAGCGGCTTAAGGATGAAGAACGAGTTGTTAAGCTTATTGACTTTGAAATGCGGGCTACTTCAATCTACGTGGTGATGGAGTGTGGTGAAATTGATCTTGCTCACGTTTTGAATGCACGCTTATCGCTTCCACTTGACATTTCTTTTGTACGTTATTATGCTAATGAAATGTTTCGATGTGTTGCGGCTGTCCATAAGCACGGAATTGTACATAGTGACTTGAAACCGGCAAACTTTTTGCTTGTTAAGGGCATGCTGAAAATCATTGATTTTGGCATTGCTAACGTTGTCCCGGACTACACAGTCAATGTGCACCGCGATGCACAGATTGGCACACCCAATTACATGGCCCCGGAGGCTCTTTTGGATGCAAGTCATGTGTATGCCAACACAAGCACACCTTCAGCTCCAACAACAACAACAACTAGTGGAGGTAGCATTGAGAGCTACCGTAGTATGAACCCTGCAGCCCAGCGCCCTAAAACAACTACAAAGTTTAAGGTGGGCCGGCCGTCAGATGTTTGGAGTTGCGGATGCATAATCTACCAAATGATTTACGGGCGCCCGCCTTATAGCGACTACAAGGGCACGCAGCGGATGCTGGCCATCATTAACCCGGAGGTGCAAATTTCATACCCACGACAAGGGTCTGGAACTGTGCGTGTGCCTAAGGAAGCCATTGAGGCCATGCGTGGATGTCTTGACCGAGACCCGACGCAGCGGCTGACGATTGAGGCAGCGGTTAATGGCGGCTTTCTAAACCCACAGGCTGTTGACCGGCGATTTATTCATGACTTATTGGGTCATGCTGTCAAGTATGGGGCCGAGCGTGGTAATAGTATCACGGCGAAGGAAGTTGAGATGCTCACTGATAATGTGTGGAAGAAGATTCAAGTATCCAACATGTAAAAAACAATGAAGGGAGGGGGAGAAAAAAAACGAATGGGTCCAGATTGCCCATAAAAAAGAGTTTTTTTTTTTTCTCTCATTATTTAAAAGTGTAATTTTTTTTTTTATTTTATTTTAACCCAAGCATTTACATAGTTTCTAATATATGTCATAAAAATAAATAAAAATGAAAACAGTACTTGATAACTCTTTTAGCCTAGATCCACTTGTCCACAGGATTGGCCTTGTATTCTTCGTAATCCTTAAAGTTAAAGATGGACAATTCCGTTTCGTTTTCAACGCCATAATCATGGAGTGATTTATTTGGGTCAGAAAGGATCCAATCGTCATCATGATCAAAGTTGATGATAAGGTTCATTGTTTTCGATCCATGAGCATGTGTATAAATCTTGACAGTATCCAAGTTTACGTTTCTATATGCACGGAAAGCACCCTGTTTTGCAATGAGATCCTTGACGCGCTCTAGCAACTGTTGTGCTGTAGTCTTGGTCAAATCAATGTCATGAAATACATGGTTTTTCTCGGTGCGGTATGGGAAAGATTTGATAATGCGAACTGTGATAATGGCTAAAGTGTCTGGACGCAGGGTAGAGGTTAATGGTTCTTCATCATAGATTTGTTCTGAAGTCAGTGAGGGTGTAGAAGATGCCATTTTGTATATGTTTATAATAATTATTTAATTTGAAGATATTAATAATGATGAGAAAGAAGTGGGAAACTTGAAAGGAAATAAATGGGTAGTGTTGAGGTCGTTTTTTTATTTAAAAAAAATAAAATAAAATAAAATAAAAAACAAAAATTCTAAGAAACCTATTGAAATGGAATCGCTTGGAAATCTTTAAAGGCAGTGATGCGAAAGAACCTGCAAAAAAAAAAAAAAAAAAAAAAAAAATCAAAGAAAATCTTTTTGACTAAGAAACAAGTTGGTAAAGTCATGTGAAAAGCACGTGATATAAAAATTTTATATATAATTGTAATATTATGGTTATAAATATTTTTTTTTTTTTTTTTTTGTCATTTTGAAGCAAACAAGGGGTATTCTATATTTCAGTTTAGTTAACTGATCAGTTCATATTGTTAATGAAAATTATTATTATCTATATATATATATATTATTTTGTTTTAATGATAATTATCATTAAAACAACTTATAAGTTTATGATTTCATGTTTTTTTTATTTAAATATTAAGGAGAAAAAAAAAAAGAAATGAAGAAATAAGTATTAAAAAAATAAAAAAAATAAAAAAAATAAAAAAAATAAAAAAATAATTATCAGTCTAATGTCTAAGCTTATTACTTGAGTTTGGAGGAGGGGAGAAAAAAAAATAATAATTTAAATTAAGAAATAATTCTTTAAAAATAAAAATAAAAAATAAAAAATAAAAAATAAAAATAAAAATAAAAAAAATTTAAAACTAGTTTGGTAAGCCGTTATGTATCACAGTTTATATTTTAATAATTTTTTTTTCATTATTATTTGTTTTTTTTTTAATGAAAAGAAAAAAGAAATATGAATTTGAGCAAAATATGATAAAAATATATATATATATATATTTTAAAAAACATTTCTTAATACAAATTTTTATGAGAGTATAGTACAATAACAATACAGCATACGATTTGCTTAAGATACCGCTCATTTTCTTTTTCTTTTTAGTCTTCTGGGTATATATAGTATCAAGAAATGTTGATAATATCTGCACATTAGAAAACACTAAAATGTAGATTAAACAGTGAGTACACTTCAGTTATTACTTGGCCTATAAATTGCTAGGAGATATACATCTATCGACAGGTGAAAAACCTGTTATTTGTTGTGATTGCTGTTGTTGTTTCTTCATCCCTGAAATTAATGTAAGTTCTTTCTTAGTTGATTGAAATATCTATGGAATCGTTATCGTCATTATCATGCCATTTTTTTTAATAAAAGAAAAAAAAAAAAAAAAACTATGCTTTTTATCAAAATATAGCAAATATTTTGATTTAACAATTCTCCTGAAAGAGCAAAAAAAAAAAAAAAAAAAAAAGTAAGAATATTTAGAAGTCTTTTATATCTCCCCTAAGGTAAGAAATTATCCAATATCCTTAGTTTATTTTTTTTTTACTTGTCTGAAATTTTTTTTTCTCAAGGTTTCTTATAAAAACAAGTTTGAGTCAGCTACAATTGTGTCTGCGTGGCATCATCACTCGGAACAATAAATGAAAAAAAAGAATTCCTTGAAACCGAAAAGAAAAACAAGAAAACACAAGCAATTGGAATTTTTTTTTTTTTACAATTATTATAACAATTTTTTTTTCTTAAGTTCTTTTTAAATAAAGATATTGTCTTCATAATTGATAAAAAAAAATTTTTTTTTTTTTCACATTTTTAAAGTCCAAAGTTTTGGGAAAAAAATATTTAATTCATATTTTTGCCAGAATTACAATAACGATGAAAAGTTAAAATATTTAATTCTGGTCTTATTGTCCTAGACAAGATACCATTTTGTTAATTGTATTGAATTGAATAACGGTCACAATTTTTATTCTTGAGTTAAAATAAAATTCAAAAAAAAAAAAAAAAAACAAATGGTAATAAAGATTTATGTCACAGCTCGTCTTTCCCCTCCAAAATCAAGCGGCTTTTCTACTGCTCTTGGTAAAGTTGTTGCGTACTCGGGGTGTTTGAAAAAAAAAAAAAATAAAAAAAAAAAATTGAATTATGTGAGTTATAATATACAAAAGATTTTTTTTTTTTTTTGAGGCTGGAGCGTATGCTCACCGTGGGCGCGCGCGAGTTTTGGAGCACAACAACAAGGAAATAAAAAAAAAATTATTATTATTATTATTATTATTATTATTATTATTATTATTATTATTATTATTATTATTATTATTATTATTATTATTATTATTATTATTATTATTATTTTCATGATTGGAAACGAGCTTGTTTTGTTTGAAATATTTTTATTGTTATTATTAATTTTATATATTTTTAATAATTATTCACCCCGTTATTATTTTTATTTATTTATTTTATTTTTTGATTCTGAAAAAAAAAAAAAAAAAAAAAAAAAAAAAAAGGACAATCGTTATAAAATTTGGGATTTTGATAGACATTGAGATAAACAAATAAGAATTGTAGAAAAAAAATCGCAAACTGCTCATTTTGAAGATGGTCAGTTCAGAGACTACAAAAAAAAAAAAAATTTGACATGAATATGTCAATAGTGGCTGGTAGTAGTATACATTTATTGTATATCATTATTATTATTATTATTATTATTATTATTATTATTATCATTATTTTTACTACTATTGTATGCATTTTCTCAGGAGAATAATGCCAAAAGTACCTCAAAAGGGCCTTTTGAGACTAGTTTTCATCCATTCAGAAAACGGGTTTATAAGAAATAAAGAAAAACACACATTGGAATATATACTTAGAAGAAAAATATTATTATTATATTCTTGCAACTGAAACCAAACAATATTTCTTTAAAATAACACTTCATATACATCTTGCTCCCCCCTTATTTCAATTGCAAATGTAATAATATTTATATTTAAATTTCCGTTTATTTCTTCTACTCCATAGGGACAAAAAAAAAAAAACTGTTTATTTACCTTTTTAACATCCGATCGGTTGTCACTATCAAGTTTACTGGGCAATTGTAACGTGAACGGATTGCTACAAAAAAATAAAGAGATTGGAGGAGGAATAGAAGAAATCCTTTTTTTTTTTTTTTTTTTCAAGTTTATTAAGTTTTGGATCTGAGTAATGTCTATTCCTAATATCAAACTAACATATTCACAACGACTTCCTTCTTCTTATCCTTTAGAGGGTCCGTGGTGTATTCTTAATCCACCCTCTTGATGGGTTGGTCTCCCCACAGGCCCTGACAGGTTCCAGGGGCAAATAAGAAAAGATTAATGAAAGAAAGACTTGACTTATTTGCTCATAAAAAACGTTTAAGAAGACACCTACAAAAACTTAGAATATATATATATAAACGAGCATTTACCGTAGCTCTGGGCGACTCCAGTGAAGCACGATAATAATAGTTATTTTTTTTTTTTAAAAAAAAAATGGACTGACTTCTGTAATGCGATGGTACTAGTAGTATAATAGTATAGTCATATATATACGTGCTATGGCGCGTAGGTGTGCATTTTTTCTCTAACCACTATGCTTTAGTGAGTCAAAATGGGCAGCCAGATATATACTAAGATAATAAAAAAAAAAAGAAAAAGAACGAGCCTTTTGTCTCCATTTTGTAGTGTCTAAAGGGCCGGCCGTGATAAAAATTTGATTGATTTAATAGGAACTTTGGGCGATTTTGGGCGATTTTGGGAGATTTTAGATTAATTAGTCTAATATATCGCTCTAGGATTTATACCACTTAAGCGGGACTCACATGACTGTATTACAACTTTTTTTTTCTGAGATATCTCCGTGTTTACCCTACCTAAATATAACTCAAGGATAGCTGAGGGGGGAGTCTCATTTTTTCCGTGGCGCGTCAAAGTACAGAGTTCTAGGTTTTATTTTTTTTTTATTTTTTTTTTATTTTTTTTTTATATTTATTTTATTTTTTGGTATATATATTGGTATGTCTTGCTGCTGCTAACATAAGCAAGTTCAGGTCTTCATTCCTTTTTTTTTTTTTTTTTTTTTTTTTTTTTTTTTTTTTTCTTATCCACACTCCCATTTAAACTCATCACCACCACCACCACCACCACAAACCATTATTATTATATTTATTACTACCATCACCACCACCAAAAACACACCTACCAAACATCCTCACCATTGCCACATCTTGCTCCTCCTTAAATATATAAATTAATATATATACATATATATATCTCGTCATATATATATACTAGAGACATTCCCTCTCTCTCTCTCTCTCTCTCTCTCTCTCTCCTTCCCTTTATTTTTATATATATATCTCTCTCTCTCTCTTTCTCCAGCTGAAACTCTAATCTATAGCTCTTGATAGAGAGACTCCTCCAACTTGTATACCCATAACTTCACCATATTTTTATTGTGTGTATATACCCGCTCATTGTACGCTTCTTCGCATTACCACCCCCCGTTATGATAAAAGATGTCTGCGCCATCTCAAGCTTCTGAGGGTACTCCCAAAAAGGAGATTATTATAGTGGGTGAGTATCTTTGAGATTTTATATTTTTATTTTATACTTATTAATCTAACTGTGATTTTTTTTTTTTTTTTTTCAATTCTTTCAGGTGCCGGCATTGTTGGAGTATGCACTGCTTATTACCTTACGCAACACCCGTCCTTTTCCAAAGAAACGCACCATATTACTATTCTAGAAGCTAGACGTCCTGCCGGTGCTGCTTCTGGAAAGGCTGGCGGACTGCTTGCAATGTGGGCCTTCCCTCAGCAAATTGTTCCTCTTTCTTTCCGGCTTCATGAACAACTAGCCGAAGAGTATAATGGCGCGGCCGAATGGGGATACCGTGGTCTCAAGACCCTCTGTATCGAAGGAAACATATCATCCTCTCACTTGCGCAACATTCGCAACGGAGTCGTCAAGTCAAACACTGATATTGATTTGCCCGATGACCTAGATTGGGTCACACCAGAGATTATTGACGGCTGGACCAATCTCGGCGATGCAGACTCTACAGCTCAAGTCCATCCTTACAAATTCACCCTTTTCATCCTTAAAAAAGTGCTTGAAACTGGGGCCGTCGATCTTATCACTGGAAAGGTGATTGAGGTCACTACAGATGCTGATGGTGTGGCCAATGGAGTGGTTTATCTCTCCTCAGCATCAGACAAGCACCGCAACCAAACATCAATTCTTCAAAACTTTCGTCAGCAGCAACCAAGCCCTCAGAAAGAATCAACAACTTCCCAGGCTTCAAAGGCTGCGGCTGCTGCAGGCACAGGTGCCACATCGTCTCCGAAAAAACAGCAAAATAGAAGCTCTCTCCACCATCCAGATAATCCAACATTTAATAACAACCCTTCACACCTCGCCCCATCCACTTCTGCTTCAGCTTCTAAGCCTTTGACACCCGAATCCTCTTCATCAAATACTTTCCGCGGTATTCATAACAGTTCCTACTCTAATACTCCTCTCTCCGCTACCTCCACCAAAAACACAACCCCAAGCATATCTGAATCCAGCGAGGAGTCAGCCAACCTGTCGACAGATGACGACGAGTCTATTCTTGACGGAAGCATAGCATCCTCTGAGGAGTCTGAGGAGCTAGTTTCTGGTGTAGATAATGAGGATATTGATTCCTTAACTACCGGACTAAAGAGCACCGATGAAGGCTCTGCCAATACCAGTAATACCAGTAACAACAATAACAGTGACCCTGCAACATCTGGTTGGCCATCACTAAAGATTAACGAAAACCCTAACGACAAACCTAACGACTCTATAAATGAAAATGATACAACCAACAATAATAATAACATCACAAATAATAATACCAAGTCCCGATCTCCTTTTACACACAAATCGGATTCATCACGACTTGATACACCAGCTTTCATCGACAATAGCAGCACCGATAATAATGGTGATCAAACAACTGCCTCTTCTGAGCTGCATATAAATGCAACAGAGGAAGAGGAGGAGGGCGAAGAAGCCGACGTTAAGGAACGGATTCCGGCTGGAAAGGTTAAGACCACGTTAGAGGGTGATCAGATTGTTTTAACTTTAGGCCCTTGGACTTCGAAGCTGTTGCCAAGTTGCCCCATTTCCGGGCTGCGTGCACATTCCATTACTATTCAACCATCCAAACAAGTATCACCTTTTGCACTTTTTACTGAGATGAGAACAAGCAGAACTTCGTATGTCTCTCCAGAGATTTATCCCCGTCGTGATGAGGTTTATGTTTGCGGTGAAGGTGATACATTTGCCGAGGTGCCCGAAACTTCAGATGACGTTGAGGTTCTTCGTGACCGATGTGACGAGCTATTTAAACATGTTGGTGAGATTTCAAGTAACTTAAAGAATGGCCGGATTCTTAAGCGCCAGGCGTGCTACCTGCCAGTGGTGGACGTGCCTTCACACTCGGGGCCATTTATTGGTCCTACAAATGTGGATAATTTGTATTTAGCGAGCGGACACTCGTGCTGGGGCATCAATAATGCGCCGGCTACGGGACTTTTACTTTCGGAGATTTTACTGGAGGGTGAGGCCAAGAGCGCATCTGTGGATGGTCTCGAGCCAGAATTTTACTTTGATGCTTCTCTTAAGGTTGTTTAAATGATACATCCTTGGTAAAAAAAAAATTAATTAAAGCATTACTAAAAAAAAAAAAATAGAAGTATTGATTGGAATATTCTTTTTTTTTTTTTATTCTTTTGATCACATTCAGTTTCTTGTTGAGTTTTTTATTATTCTGTTTTTTTGTTCTCTTTATTTCCTCACACTCCTTCTGACCAACCAAAAATAAAATAAAAAAATTTAAAAAAAAATATTATAATGAAGATAATGATAATGATTATTATATAAATCTAAATCTAAATATATATATAATATGAAGTCTAAAATGGCCGTTGAGAAACAAGAGTGGTTATTAGATACAGATGAGTAGAGACAAAATAATGTGCGAATATATATTAACGAGTCTGAATTCCTAATGCGTATATACTGAGAATACTGAGAATGCCCAAATGCTTATATTTATTATATGATAGACTTCTAGTCTAACGTATCTTGATATCATGGAAAGATGTTTATTTTTTATTTTATTTTTTTTTGTAAAGCATATTGGGTAAATTATAATAGACCTTTATATAATACGCCAGAAGAATTATTATTAATGTAATTAAATAATTATGCAATTTGAAAATAACCGCAAAAGAAATCACACGTATTTTTAATGTGAAATCCAAATTGTCGTTAAGGTGTATTTATGAATATGGCAATAAATGGTATCTGACATGTAATACAAAAAAATTTTTTTTTTTTTTTTAATATTAAACTTAGGCATTTGATAAATTTTAAATAAATAAATATTTTAAATTAAATAAATATTTGATATTAATTAAAGGTTTTTTTTTTTTTTTCATGATTTCTTATTTTTTTTTTCCCCCATATAATTCTTGCAACCCTAAGAAACTCATTTACTGGCTCCAAGACTCATCAATTTTTTTTTTATTTGCTTTTGTATTATTTATTTATTTTTTTTTTTTTTTTTTTTTTTTGATAATAATCCAAATCAATGTTTTATACAGTGGTTACCATTTATCAAAAAAAGTGGACTGATTTTTTATTTAAATATCCTACATATTGGCGTTTAGTTTTTTTTTTTTTTTAATTTTTTTTTATTAAAATAAAAGAGCTATTTTTGAGTAAATTATTAATTAATGGAGTTTTTAGTTTTTTTTTTAAAAAAAAAAAAAAAGAAAATCATCTACGTTGAATTTATAATTAAATTAACAAAAAAGTTATTATAATTATGTTAGCCTAAAAAGATTCAAAAAAAAAAAAACATGCAAGGAATAAAATTATTGCATTTTTCTTTAAAGTAACTTTAATAAAGCTACCAAGAAATTCTAATTTTATATTTTGCTTCAGCTGTTCTTGTTTCTATTTATTTAAAATTTTTTTTTTTTTTTTTCATTTTCAGAAAAAAAAAAAATCACTGTGATATCTTGATCTTTGTCCCAATAATGATGTTCAGGGTTTCTTTTGCAGATAACCATCACCTTAAGGTAAACTTATATAAAAAAAAAATCGATAAAAAATCGAATACCAAATGTGAAGGAATTCAGATGCAAGCGAATGAATACATTAGTGATAGACATAAATAGAAGTTATAGCAGAAGGGGACTTCAACTAGAATGTATATGACATTGTGAACTGAAGGAACAAACCAAGAAGAAAAGTAAGAATTTTTTTTATGAAACCTTTAATTATTGCTAATCCTATGAATCTGTGTCGACTTCTAAGTCAATCATGATATATATGATCTGAAGTAATTGGTACGTTTTGACACGTAATATATATAGTAGGAAGTAGTATTCCTTCTATCCTTTTTTAAAAGCTTCACTGTATGCTAGAGATGTTACAACCCTTAACCGCTTAAAAAGACACACTTTAAGGTTAGAGTCCAAGTACCATTATGGGCAACAGAAGTACCAATAACACTAGGTTATGACAATGCACCCTCGTCGAGGCACATAATATCCCAACACCGAATACACACTTTCTTATTCTATGAAGACTGTTACTCCTGCAAGACATCGTAAAGTGTCGTTTGTTTTAGGATACCAGAAAAGCTCCTCTTTCATACCCTTTGCATACTACGATATTAGCTAATATCTCTCTCTCTCTCTCGCTTTTTTTTTTTTCTTCAAATACGATCTAATAAAATAGATCTTTCCCTTGAAACAGCACGGGTTTCGGTCCCTGAAATATCGAGATTTATAATAAAAGCATTGTTCCAAAAGCTATTTTTTTTTTTAAAAAAAAAACAAATTGAATTGCAAAAAAAAAGGTTTTGAACTTCATTTAAAAAATATAATAGAAATTAAAAAAAAAAAAGTAGAAAAGATAGATTTTCCTGTTTTCAAAAAGAGAATTACCCGTTTTGATTAATTACATTTGCTTGCAAAGTAACTCAAGATTAAAGCAACAAGTAGATTTTAAAAGATTGCCCATATCAATGTCATGATGAGAAATCATTTAAAAAAAAAAAAATCTGGAGTGATGCGTATCACTTTAGTCACTTAAATTAAAGTGATATGCACACTCCAGATTTTTTTAATAGCTAAGTTGATTTCATTAACCAGATTTTGCAACAGTTTTAGTGTTCAATTTATCTTTAAAAATGGCTATGAAAAAAAAAGAAAAAGAAAAAGAGAACAAAAGTACTGATATCAAATTGTTCAAAGAAAATGACTTGGAAGACCACGTTTTAGGCTTAACATTGACATTTATTATTACAGTTGTTTTGATTGTATTATATATATATATATATTAGATATATATTTTGAAGGGTCAAATAACCAGTTTTTATTTAGCATTGTTATATTTACAACTAATTATTTTATGAGAATAATAATGTACATGTAAAAAAATTGTTATTTTTGTTTGAATTGCTAAATATTATAAATTTAATAATCTAAGAACTTGTCACATCGATGGCATCAAAGATTTACTTAGGTAATGATATGTTATTTCTTAAATTCAATTTAAAAGTTTATATGTAGCATATATCTCACAAAGATTTCAAAGTTACATATGATTAGTATATTTATTTTCTAATTGAACCATTTTAAAATATCCCAATCATTTCTAGAAATAATCCAATTGTTTATACTTTTCTTTGGCTTTTCAAAAGGCAATGTTAAATGTAACCTGTTTCAAATGATTATGATTTATATATATTTTCATTTCAACAATTATCTAAAAAGTCCAAAAAAAAAATAACAATTGTAAAAGAAATTACATCGTTGGGACTACTTTAGATCTACTAAAGATCATTTATTTTTTTTAAAAAAAAAATCATCTAGATGATCATTGTATCAAATCAGCCGTACTTTTTGGTCATATACTATATATACAAATTTGTTCCTGGACATTGTATATTATAACAGCTGATAACAGCTAATTCCAGGTATCGGACCCTTTTGGCATTCAATATCTTTGTCATTTTAGTAAAAAAAAAAATAAAAGACTTGCAAAAAAGAAAACAAAAAGATATTATATTAAATGAAGATTCTCACAATATAACAAAATACAATATCTTATCATCTAGATGATAAAATAGGAAGAACTTCAAATTTCATGTCTGAGAATAATGATCATCACATGATGAGCATTCCATACATTATTAATTAAATACTTTTAACTACGTGGATATATATAAATTACAAAAAAATAAAGGAAATCAAAAATATAATTATTTTCAAAGTTGAGTATTCAATTTTCTTAAAATTTCAATATATGATCTCTTGTTTATTTTGCCATTTTATTACTGTTTTTATGCATTGAAAAGGCAGGCAATACTTTGTTTACTTTTTGTATGTTTATTTTTTTATTTTAATTTTTTTTTTGATTGGTCCCAAAAATAAATAAATAAAGGGTTAGGTTAAGAAAAAAAATAACAAACATTTTTTTAGACTACACCGAGAAACCACTTACTCCAGGCCAAACCCACAATCAAACAATAAACAAATATATACTATACTTAGTATTGTTATACATATATGCCTTACTTACTTTTGACAAGTTTGCTTGCCGATATTTCTTCCTATTACTTACCACCAACTATTATCGATTCATGAACATTTGGTAACCCCATATCTGGACTTTTTTCCAGAAAAAAATTCTACTATGGGTGTCAAAGAGTATGTTTTTTTTTTTTTTTTTTTGGTTCTTTTCATACAAACCTGTCCCACTTGCTAATAAAATCATTTAGAATCTGGGACGTCATTCCAAACGAGTACAATGAATATATCCGTATGTTTAAATTTATTTTAAATTTGATTTGTTTTTATTTTTTTTAACATTTCTTTCATTCAGCTCTTTCAGTATTTGTGGATCGGTTTACCCGTGAACACAACCGGTGTCCTGTTCTGGCTGTTGATGCTTACACCTGGTACTTTGAAACTAAACACGCTGCCCCAGAACATCGCATCAGAATTTTTTTTGATCGTTTGTGTGCTTTTCGTCGTTGTGGTATCCAACTTATCATGGTTTTTGATGGTCAAGCCAAACGTCGCAAATTGCGCTGGGGCTCAGCTTTCCCCTTATCTACTAATGACCACCACCACCGCGAAATCGATCTTTATTACAAAGAGGTATGCCGTATGATGGGTGTACGTGTGGTCACCGCTTCTTCAGAAGGTGAAGCAGAGTGTGTTCAAATTGAGGCTTCTGGTGTTGCAGACTTTGTTTTCACAAACGATACTGATGCACTTGTTTACGGTGCTCGAAATATTATAAGATACCCCAAAAAAAACATTCTCGTTGAAGGAGCTTTTGGAGAAGCACCTAAAAGGATTGAAGAAGCAAAACTTAGCGGATATGATCGTTATGTTTGTGTCACTAGAATTCCCCCATTTGACCCCAAATTTTCTCAAAACGCATTCATCATGTACGCTATCCTACAAGGAGACGATTATGATGATGGCACTCATGGAATCGGTACCGTTTACTCTTATGAAATTAGTTTTCCACCAACACGCTTTGCTGACCGTTTAATAGAAATTTATCGCAAATACAAACTGATGAACTCAGGAAGCTTATCTGCCCTTCCACCACCAGCTGCTGTTCAAGCAGAAAAACTAAAGCGCGACATTCTTGTTGAACTCCGGAAAAACACTTCTGGTTATTTCCGCAAAAAAATCAGCGAAGCAGTTGCAGCTCAATACATTTCAAAATTCCCTAATTGGAAAGCTGTAGATCAATACCTAACCGTATCGTCCCGTATTGCAATACTTAAAAATAATCCTGAAAAAGCAGAGGCTATTAAGAAACAAATTGATGCATACCATGCTTCCCCGCCTGCTATTCCACCTATTGATATAAATAGGATTTGGAAGTTCTGCTCAGCGACTCTTGAATTCCCAGCTTTCCGGTTCCTTAACTCAATTATTCCGACATTACTTCCATACATTATATCGCATGATTCCAAGCTTCTTGAGATTAAAAATAAAAAATCATACCGAGAAGGTGCTACTAGTTCTTTTTTCCGGAGTGGAGAAATTGTCACTACAGGTGTGTCAACTTCTTGCACACGTGCCCAACGTGCTACTTCCTCTAACTCAGGTTCTTCCTTTCATGACAATTCAGATATAAAGCTTAATCACACGCTACCAGATTACTATAATATCATTCTCACGCCATGTGATCTATTTAAAGCACTTAACGTTGACGTTTGTGCAATTTCTCAATCGAGCTCTGATTTCCAAGAGGTTATCAATACTCCTTGGAAGAACATTGTACCTGAACATGTGCTACGTGCCTGTAAATATGGGTACATTGCTGAGCATGAGGCTAGGAAACTTGAGGAGCAGGCCAAAAAACTAGAAAAGGCTAAAACAAAAAGTGCAGCTAAAAAACGATCCTTAAAAACAAGTCGCTGTGCGACTAAAGCAACTAAACCCACCAAACTAAAAGAACAAAAAGCTCATTTAATTGAATCATGTTCTCATGGGGAAAATAGTGATACTGATGAAGATATTTTTGCACCTATAAACTTGGACAATACAGGCGTCAATAAAGAAGGTTCACACTCTTTTAGGCGCATTCACGATGTCTTTCCCTCAAAATCAAAAACCAATTTTTTGGAGCAAAACACAACTTCATTACCCATGTTTGCACATTCTTTTCAAAATCGGTCACGTTCTTCTTTTATTGATCTCACTGCAGAAGTTTTAGAGGCTCCTAGTTTTAAGAACACAATAATTAACCCTTTGAAAAACACACCCCGAAACCGCCTCAATGAAGTTATTTCGTTGGAAACTGACGACTCGGATGAGGATTTGTTTGCACCAGCACTCAAGTGTGATTGTTACGGAAACATGAACGACGATTCTATGGAAGTCGGACCTTCAATTAACTTGTGCGATAATAAAAAATCAGAAGAGAAAGATGATTTTTGCAATGACGATACTGATGTTGAATTTATTGAACTGCAGTCAAACTCGTTTAAAGAAAACTCACTAAATGTTTTTAATAGTTTTCAAAAAACAGACATTTTAGAAACACTTTATGGACAAGAATCTAGTGATGAAAAGGCGATCATTAATGCAGATATAGATACAGATACCAATTTCCCTACTAATTTAAAGTTTCGTTCTGGGGAAATGAGAAATGAATCTCAAAGTACATTGATAGAAGATGAAGTTAGTCACTCGGCGGTTGATGCATCAAATACAACATCACCATCTAGTGGTTCTAAAATACAAAAGTCTTTGTTTGTGGACTTGACTCAGAACCTTAGCGATCAAAATCTTGGGGACGGTGATCATTTCGTTAAACCTTCATTCACAGAACTTTCAATTCTTTCAAATGATGGAGCAAACGATATTCACAAAAACCTTTTGCAGCGTATTTTAAAAAGAAAAGCTGTTGATGAAATTCAAGATCTAAATACTTTGAAACGTTCAAATAAACGATCATTGGTGGAAATATGTTCAATGTCTAAAGCAAGCAATCTCTCGTCAGCAATTTCGGATCCAAACTTTTCAAAGCCGCAACATCCGAATTTACCTTCACTGCATGAAAGAGAGCCAAATGAGAAGGATTTAAGTGATGATAATCTTATCGGAAACCAGGGAAACTGCGCAATTAGTAAACCGGCCGACAATAACAAGAAATTTAGTATTGAAGACTTGGTGGATGATTCTCTTTCTTCTTCAGACTTTGATATTTTGGAGCAAGAAATGTTGAGCAGGCCTCAAACAGCATTCATTTCGGAACCTTCATCCATGGTTACCAGTGGAATTAAGGCAAGCATTATGCACGAACAGATGGATCAAACATTTGCTAATGGAGAAAAAAAAACTTTAGTTGAAATTGAGTTATCTTCAGTTCATGTGCCACTACCTACTGCACAAAAGTCATCTATGCAACAACCGAAATCTTTTTCATCTAATAATAGGCTCCTTGATTTTGGAAATGATTATATTAGAGAAGAGAAAGTCATTTCCCTGAGCGATATGGAAGTTTCTTTTTCCGTACCGAAATTGCAAAATTCTATATCTTACACGGTCTCAAAGACTGTCGATGGCCATGAACTTATTGAATTTTCAAGTGAAAGCGAAAATTAATATTTTATTTTTAATATCACAGCATGAGCCCGATTAAAATATTCATGTTTAATATTTTGGCAAGCTGTGATTAATGATTAATGACTTGTAATGACTTTTATGAAAAAAAAATAACATTAAACTATAAATTGTTAACACTCTATTACTTTTATTTACTTTCTTCCACCTTCGAATTCTTAAACTCTGCCTGGAGCCATATCCGGTACATTTTCAGTTTTCGCTGACGGTTAACCATGAGCCGTCTATCTGTAGCCACCTTAATTACTTCAAACTCTGTACCGAAAATTTCGTGGAGTTCTTCTTCAGTAAAGAAGTACACACGTGTACCATCACCGCGAATATAAAAATTATCGTCGAGCAATCGACCAGCTTTGAATCTTAGCTGGGTAAGGTCGTAACGACCATAATCGCGGAATAGAATGCGGCCATTAGGTTTAAGTAGCTTCTTAAGATTGGAAACAGCCTGAGTCCACTGTTCTGGTGCTAGCGCGCTAAATACGAAAATCATGACAATAATGTCAACGCTGTGCGGCTCCACTCCTTCAGGTAAAGCTCCAGTAGGCTCGGCCAAATCCCAAACCTCAGCGCGCGCATATTTTGAATCAAAGTGCTCCGATTCGCGCACAATCTTGACGGCTTGTCGCGAGTAATCGACACCCATAATGCTCAGATGTGGGTTTTCGTTATTTTGTAGGACTGGGAACATTGTATTACCAGCACCGCACCCGACTTCAAGAATTGAAATAGGCCCAGCGTCCGGCTTTTGTGCTTCGTAGAGTGCTGGAAACTCCACCCGTAGCCATTTGCGATCTTTGAAAAAGTTTGCCTGGTTGTTGCGATAAAACTGATCCCAGTACTTTGCTGGGTTGCCCATGAACAGACTTTTATCAAATGGTTTCACTGGCATTTCACGCTGCTTAGCAAGCTTTTCTTCAGCTTCAACTCGCTGTTCTTCTCCCCATTCAACATGATCCCATGCATTATGATTCCACACATCATCTTCCGATGTTAGGTATCTTTGCCCGAAGGTAAACGGCCGGTCTCCACGGTCTTCTCGGCTTATAGTCCAATCTTTTTCTCCGTTGGTTTTTGGGACTGTTTCGTCTACAGAAACCACATTGTTTTCTTCCGAAGGTGCACTATCGGCAGATATCTTGTTTTCCATTTCTGCACTCATGTTTTATTTGGAGAGGTATTAGTATTTTGTATATATTATTTAAAAACCTTAGAAATTTCCTGAAAATTTTTTTTGACTGCCATTAATCAATATTTCACGTATTACATAATATTTTATTTGTTACAACCTTCGTTACATTTTTTAACATTGAAATTTAAGTATATCTTGGTATTGGTAATATTGGTTTTTTTAAGTTTTTTTTTTCTTCTGCATCTTTAATTATAATTATAATTATAATTATAATTATAATTAATCCTAATTAGGATTAGAGAAAGATAGAATAAAAAAATAAACAAGTTATTAGAAATTGATATTACAACAACTACACTAATTCAAAAATTATTTAATGAGATTTATTTCTAGAAATTTTATTCTATGTAAGATTTCTGCGTCATCAAATTTTTATGCAACCCTTTTAGATAAATTGTCCAAGCTAGCATGAAGTTAAGGAATGAAAAATGACAGAAAGCCAGATTTTTTTTTAATAATAATGGGAAAAGATACCACCTCATTTACAAGCGAACTATTCTTAAATTGGTTTAAAATCCAATTCACATTTAAATCAGTCTCCAATTAATTGGTCTTTAATTTGTGTATAACATGCTGAATCACTAGAATCGGCTTTTCTTGTTTTTTTAAAAACTAAGCAATGAATTTGAATAAAATGTTGACTAAAATATATTCAGGAATGCAATTATTGATGCTACTTTATCTTTAGTTTGTTTTTTTTTTTTTGAATTTCAACTAAATATTGGCATTTTCTTAAGCAATCAAAAATTCACTAGTAACAATACCATATAAAGTATCAGATACCTTTGAGGCAATTTAAGATCCGTTTAAACTTATAGATATACTTGAAAACTCTTTTTTTAAATATTATAAAACTTTTTTTTAACTACTTTGATAATTACAAAATTATTGGGTCACCTTTTATATTTTCCTTCTTTAGAAGTTGGATTGTTAAAGTCTTCTATATGGATAACCTCGAAGCTGTATCACATAAAGGCGAGCGCAAAATCATCGTTAACATTATTTTTCCCCTTTTATTTTTGTTATTGTGATTACACTACAGGAGACTGCTGATCTTGAAGAAGATAGGAAGATGCTATGGCTTGGTTTTCAAGGGCGGCTGAATCCAAGAGTGTGTCAAAAAGCTCCACTTATTTCCAAAAACGGCAAGACCGAAACCACATTGTGGATAGAAGTCTCTCAAAAAGTTTTTATCAACTCTTTTTATTAATAAAAAAACGCCATTTGTATTCCTCATTAACTTTAAACATCTTAATGCTAAGATATTTTGATGTTTTTTTTTTTTTTTCACATTTTAAATCCTGATAACGACTTTACTTTAAACGTTTCTAAAATTTATACCAAATAGTCTTCATGAATAGAATAGTAAAAGTATTCGTCTGATGTTTAAATTCAATGTCTAAGTTTTTTTTAGATATGTGACCGTTTATTTCTAAAAAAAAAAAGCCGTTATACACATGGTATAATATTAGGGTAAGATGTATACACGTGAATCGGAGAAAAAGAAAGACAGCATGATTAAATAAAGAAAAAAGGTAAATGTAATTCACTCGTAACCTGAAGTAAGATTAAAAAACATGTTCTGGTTTACCAAATTTTTTTGTCTTATTTCTAAAAGAGAGAAAAAAACCAAGATTGCAAATGATTCAGAAGTTGGAACTTAGAACTTTTAAATACCTTGTCCTATCTAAGTTAAACCTCACCGCGGATTCTATGCAAACAAACTTTCCATTCAGTTGAAATATGATAACATTTCTGCATGAATAGTATTAAAAGTATGTTCAATAAATATCCGTTCAATCACATGTTTTTAATTCAATTCAATCTGGATTTGGAAAACTTTTTTTTAAAGGGATCGTCAATATTGCAACACTTGATACTTAGGCTTTTTTTTATCGGATAAAATATTATTATGTATTAAGATCTTTTAGTCGTAATGCAAGAGCCATTCAGATTACTAAAATAACAGAATTCCACTATTATTTTAAAATTTATTATGTTTTCTAATATGCAAAGTGATGTTCTCGCTGGGGCCTGTATTAGAAATTTCCCACTTGTAATTGCCATTACTGCTTAATGGTTTTCTTTATTAACGTTTTATACAAGTAAACCTGTACTTTTAAATTATTTTGAACATTAACCTTAGATAAGATTTACATTCTGGATCCCCACAAAGACCAGGAACACAAACAGTATTCTAATTCTACTACCGTAATATTTAAATTTTTGTCTTCCAAATTCTGTGGTTATTTAATCGTTGGCATGTGATGCCAAATTCGAAAATATGCAAAATTTGGGTTATTCAGATCTTAAAATGCAAGTTAATAAACGTTGTGAAGCATTGGGCTAAATTTGGAGAGCTTTGAAATAATAACCACTTTATAAAAAGAATATTTCAAGTTAATTCATTTGATGAAATGTTGTTTTAGAAAAATACAATAAAGTACACATGATAAAGTGAGGGTTAGCCCAGCCCAATGACCCTTAAATTAAATATTAAATTGGGAGTCAATGCTTGATATATATATTCAAGTTATTCCTTTTAAGTTTTGAAACTCCCTGAAAAACCAAAATTTGTGGAATAACTTTAAATTGGGCTTGAAAAAAAAAAAGTTTAGTTCTAACTAGTGACAAATCGAAGGTACTAGCTTAGCTAGTTTTTGTAGTAAATTAAGTAAAGGGAAAAATAGAATCATTACCGCAAGTTAGATCTGAATCTGCTTTTCTAATTATTCGTACTAATTTGAAAACCAAAGTGTAGAAATATCCAGGATACATTGATTCAAAGTGGCTATTGCTATGGTTTAGTGATACTGATTAGGGGTATCCTAAGTAGCAGATTTCTGTTTTCTTTTTTCTTTTTTCTTTTTTTCTTTAAAGTACAGTGTCTCACAGTATCTATTTGCATGAATTTCAAGGTTTCTTTGAAAAGTATGATACTAAGGTGTAGATGACAGCTATCCCCCATCTTAACTGTAATTTAACTCTTAACCCCCGATAATAGCTATATAAATATATATATATAAGATTGCTCCTCTTCCCATTTTTTTTAGCTTGCCACGGTCATATATTTAATTTTGCCCTAAAGGTCCTTATGTTTTTTTATATATTACTTTCAAATAAAAAATGAAAAATCTTTTTAAGATATCTACTAGTTCAGACAATATCACCCCTTTGTCACCAAATCCCCCTCCACCTCCGGGATCTTATAGACACCAACGACAACTGCAGCATAATCAACAGCAACAGATAATACATCATCAACAGCAGCAGCATCAGTATCAGCATCAGCAACAGCAGTATCAGTCTTATCCACAACAAGAATATGAACGAAAGCAATCATTTACATTTTCCCCAAAGTTTGGAGGGCGGCCAAGCAATTCTGGTTCATCGAATCCTAAAAAAAAAGCATCCTCCTCAAATGGCCAGTTTCAGAGGAAAATATCAGCACCAATAGAAACAAGTACATCAATTAGAATTGGTCTCGATCAACTTTATGACATTCATGAATCTCGGACATATAACCTCCCAATCAGGTTAAATCTCCCTAAGAAACCGACTTTATTGAAAGATGTTCCGAACCCCCATGAAACAACACCATATTACAACCATCTGAATACAAATCTATCAACTCAGAATTTATTAGCAGAAAACAAAAACACAATTCAACCCGAAAAAATTGTTAGATCGTTTTCTGATTCATCCGTCATAATGGAAAAAAATCCCACTAGTTCTACTTCATTTTCGTCGTCACAAGCAACAACATCATCGGCTTCCACATTTATCCCGGAACGTGCTACAACTCCTTTACCTAAAAAGGAGACCCCACCCACATCTTCCCCAACTAATACATTTACAGAAACCGTCAATCCCACTACAAAAAAATTGAGAAAGCCCAAATCAGCTTCGCTTCTCAATACCTTCAGCCCCAAAAAGAATTTGCAACACATAAGCTCACCATTAGACTATGATTATCAGCTGGCAAAAAATAATGGTATGTTTAACTGTATAAACGATTACAATTCATTTAAAAAATGAGTATTTAGATTTTGATATTATAAGCATCGTACTAATCTGGTTCATGTCTTAGTTGATAAAGTTGTGAAAATAGACCACTTTGGTTTACTCAGTCCCATTTCTCCTCTTTCACCATTAATTTTAAACTCACCTACTGGCCAGTCAAGCCTATTAAAATCTGTTACCAATGATTCGGTCAGCACCTCTACAAGCACGAGTTCCCCTTTAAACAGACAAACAGTGTCACAAAAAAGCTCTCTTGCATCTCATCATGATTATTTTGAACAGTACCTTTCTGACACATTTTCGATTTTAGACAAGCAAGAATTATCTTTAAGCTCAAACTTTTCAGTTTCTCAGCGAAAGTGGTCCAAAAGTCCTGATCCAGAGTTGTTAAATCCTATTATTCAAGACAATCAGTTTATGTCTGATTTGAACTTTATGAGTGAAGTTTCTCAAGCTGGACCAGGTTCTTTAGAGAAATCTTCTCAACCTCCAGTACACGGCCTTTTAAAGAAAAACGCTCAGCTAAATCAACCAGACAGTCTACCTTCTAATAAACAATCTAAGTTTAACTCCAAATCACCATCTCCTTCGCTGCCTCGGGGCCAGGATTTCAACGGAAATGACAACCATAGGCACAAGGAGTCTACATCTACCTTTTCAAGTGAAGTATCAGAGAAAATGTCTGTAATGTCACACACAACAAGAGCAAGCAGTGTTTCATCTGGTTTTGGCCACAGTCGACAGTCTAGCAAAAATAATTCCTTTGATGCTGGCACTTCAACTGCGCCAATTTCTTTCAAACCTAGCCATAAGCCTGAAAACTCCATTGCAGTTTCGGAAAGTCTTGATGATGATACATTTTTTGGAACGCAAAGCAAAGTTCCTAAACATTTTCACAAAAAGTCCAACTCTTTAAATGATGTTACAATCAATCTTACTCCTCCTTCTTTTACCATGTCAAGAAAAGAGGCTCAAACAAGTGCTCTTGAACAATATGAAAACCCACTTCTAACTCAAGAAATGGATCCCAACTTAAAGGACTTGGACCAAAAGGGTCTGAAGATTACTACACCTGTCCCCCCTCCACGCTCTAAATTCCGAGTGCAATCCATTGACAAGGAGCATACTGGCCCATATTCAAATCTTCCATCAATCCCCAAAAATGAGGTTCCACCTACTCCAAATCCTAGTTTTTATGACTCAAATATTTTTCTCAATCCTAGTCTACCTACTCCACCCCAATGTGATTTGTTGTCCCCCATGAGTCAAGAGAACTCAGCCTTCTCTCCACTTCAAGATTCGCTCCACTCGCAGGGAACATCTGCTGCTTCATCACGAAAAAACTCAAAAAGTTCCCAAAAATGTGTTCCTTATTACTTAAATAAGGATTTACCTGATCTTCCTTCTGAGGGGTCTTCTTCAAGAAAAAACTCTTACAAAAAGTTTCCCCACCTTAATTTGCCCACCCCCCAAATCCCCTCTGGAAATACCAGCCGTACCCCTAGTATTTGTGATTGGGAATATATCAATAACAATCTTGATGCAATTAACATGAGCATTTGTAAATGGGATCAGAGTCAAAACAGTAGCAACGATATGCATAGTTCAAACACCCCTAAGAAGTCATCATCGCATAATTTGGTTGCATCTGAATCAAAACCACCTGGCTTTGTCTCGCAGGTCCCTCCTAGAGCCATCGACATTAGCAGCATGGAGCGAAGCCCTCCTTCAAAAAATTCGCATTCAACTCAAAAGCATTCTTTGAAAGGTTACGATCTTACAGGTCAAGTTTATGGTAAATCTAAGCACCTGAAACAAAAAAGTATATCAGCAATCACCTCAAGTCAAGGCTACAACTACTTGACTACACTTGTTCCTCCTCCTGTAATTACTGATTTTGGGACCTCATTTGGTGCTCATAAAAAATCGGCTTCTACTGCTTCGAGTCCTTCCAGTGTATACACTGAGTTTCAAAAATCACAACCATCACAACCAAGTATTGCATTTCAAGAAAAATGTTTTTCTAATGCTGAATATGTCTCTATTTCTTCCGATCACCATGGTGATTCTCAGTCTTTCACTCGTCAGCAACCTCCTCGCTCTATGAGTGTTCCAACTATCCCAATAGACCAGCAGAAGTCGATTTCAAAATTTAAAAAAGATTATGAAGCCAAGTTCACACAAAAAGAAGATGATATTGAGGAAGAGTCTCTTCTTCCTGCACCTCTTGGTCCTGGTGTTACGCTACTTCCCTCGGCATCTTCTTCGACCACTTCACTTCAGCAAAAGTTTGGCAATTATCAACAACCAGATTTGTTTCAAGCAAATCGGCTTTATCTTTTGGAAAACAATAGTGCATCTAGAATATCCAGACAAGCATTTAATGCTAGCAATGGTCAACGAGAATCTTTCACCACCTCGTTCACTGAAGCCATTTCCATGCCCGAAGCAATCAAAGAACTTCCTCAACAACCTATCTGCTCCTCAAAAGGCTCTTTTTCTGCATTTACATCTCCTAGAGCTATTCCCCGGGGACCCCCCTTTGCTAAGCCTTTTACATCTAACGGAAAAACTCCTCAATCTATCAATTTGCGAAGTAAAAGTATTACAGCTATGACTCCTAACAAACTTGAGATCCCGAATGAAAGAATTTACACAGAAAAAACAAGCAATTACATGGATAAACAGCCAAGAGAAAGAAGTATGAGCCTGAGCGGATCAAATCATCAGCGAGCACTTTACAACTCCTCAGTAAATAATGCTAAAGAAGCTCAAGTTCATACTTTGCGTAAGCCTGGTTCTATGAACAATTTGCGCAATCCTTTTTCCAGTGTTAAACAAAATTCTTCTAACGATGGGATCTTTGGTGATTTCCAAGTTTCTCCCCTGACTAATTCAAAATCACCCTCTCCTGCTCGATTCTACAATGAAAGTCCTTCACCCTTTAGTTCTCCGAATGCTCCTGAGTTTTTTATGAATTATAATGGCTCGTGCTCCAACTTAAATTCTAAAAAAATTAGTTCAAATCCATCTTCATCTAACAGTACACTGTATAATGGAGAAATAAACATCAGCACAGGCATGCTGAACCCAGTCACTACGCTTTATCCTAATGATCAACCAGTTCTACTTAACAATGGGAGCACTCGTTGGAAATGGAAAAGACCTAGTCTTTCCATTGGTAAAAAGCAATAAATTAATGTTTATACTTTCTTTCATGTTTATCTAAATTTTAATCTTTTTTATGCCCTTACGCTCTTTTTGATTTGTTTTTATTAAAAAAAAATTTCTAATATTTAGTTTATAGTGTTTAATGTTACATATAAAATTCATTTTTATTAAAAGGAAAGCAAATAAAAAGGGGTACCTTGAATAGTAAAAAAAAGAGTTCGGGGATTGTATAAAAAATTACTTGAGAGTTCAATAGATGAAAAAAATATCTTTGTTTCATTAATAGCCGGTTATTAATTAATTGATAGAAGAGGAACCTAATTTATTTATTTATTTTCACAAACTTGGGTTAAGGGCATGAATTTGGGCCTTTATTTTGTTTTTTGCTAAATTTATTTGAAATGATTGACATCGCTAAAATTAATCCCAGAGTCAGGGATGTAAATCATTAATGACACTAATGAAGGGAGAAACAACCCCACTGGGCTAACACAATATCAACTCTTTTTTTTTTTTTAATTTTTACTACAGGCGTGCGTGAAAAAAAATTGATAAATCAAAACTCAGCAAGTTTTATATATAATGCCTAGTTTCAGAAGAAAAGTTTTTTTTGATAAGAATATATTCCTAGATATTATGTTAAAAAGCAAAAAAAAGAAGCTTAATTCTAGAACTAGCTTTGTTGGTTCTGTGTCAGACGTTGATGCCGTTCCTCACGATACGATTTCCATTGGTCCATGGTACTGATTGCTCTTTCCCAATGACCCGTAATTTTTTGTACTTGTTCCTTAAGAGAATCTATTTCGTGATCTTTTGCGTGAAGATCTTCGATAGGAACTAAGTTTGGATTATGTAATGCTTCGAAAAGTGATTCAAGCGAATGTTCCAGATTAGAGTAAAGAGTGTCAATAGACAAAGGAAGTTGGACAACTTGGGGTATTTTTTGGCCATTTTGAGATGTGGTAGATTGGAATAGATGGTTCGAATTGTTAGTTGTATGAACAAAGTTTGGTGAATTGAGGGTATCGAGAGGTTGGTTTGGTATTATGGTTCGTAGATCATAGCCAAAAGATTCGAGGTCATTTAATTCCTCAGGAGATAATTGAGAGAGATAAGAGCTAAGTGACTGAGAGTAACCAGGGCTTTTTATCCCAGATGAAATGACATGCAAATCACTCATTATGTGATCGCCGTCCTCCAAAGAAGGTATACGCAATGGACTCGAGTCTTTATTTTCAGTGATAGATTGATTTATTAGACCCTGAATTTTGTAAATGGCTGCATATAGCAGTGAATTGTCACGAGCCAAGTCTTTTACTATTTTTACCAAAATATCTTGCCATTTCTTTGTGATTGGTGTCATATGCGATAGCGATATAATTCCCTTTAAATCAGAGGAATTTTCGTTATTATGAGATAAGGAATTCGGATTGTTTATAAATCGAGAAAATGATCCAGATGATTTTTGGAAACGAACTGTGTCTGGTGGTAGTGGGGATAATGATTCAAAATCGATGGCGGATTTGTGGTCTTCATGAGTCGAAAATATAGGGACGGAAATGGTAACATTTGATCGTATGGCCGGAGTGGCAAGTTTCCGGGCAAATGGTTCTTGGAGCCGTTGTTTTAACTTTGATACTTCAACATCTCGCCTCCTGAGCTCTACCTGAAAGTCTCGCTTAGCTTTTTCATACAGGTTGACTGTCTTAATTAAGTCATCCTGTGTGGATTTGTTTTGGAGGTTTAATGATCTTAAATCAGACTCTAAGATGCTTAACACTGAATTAGTATATTGCCAAAAAAAAAAAGGTGAAAGACAGTAATTCTGTTTCAGTTTTCATTCAAATAGAGAAGGAAAAGAATCAAAGATTAAGTTAAGGAAGAAGATATTTCTGTGCGCATACCTATTTAGTTTGCTGATAGAATCCAGTTGCCTTTGTAGTCCTTCGTTTTTAGCTTCAATGTGTTTCAGATTGGCTTCCATTATTTCATGTTCTTTGCGTGCGCTCTCGACCTTTTGCAGCAAAGTATTACGAGTTTGTTTGTCAGACTCGATTGCTGACAAAAGTGAGCTTATAATGTTTAGGACTTTGAGATCATTGGAGGCTGCTGTATCCACCGTTGCTGCTGGTTGTGTTATTATTACAGGAGATACGGCATCTGTAGAGTTTACTGGTGATGTGGTTGTTTTGGAACGGGGGGTGGAGCTGTTGAGAGGCGGATTTTTTTTATTACGGCCTGTTGGTGTTAAGGCTGTTTGATTTTTAGTGGGCTTACTTGATTGAGAAATATTGCGCAACAAGTGGGAAGATAAGGCAATTGAATCATCGAGATCCAAGAATCCTAAAGATATTAAGCGATTACTGACATAAGAAGTTTGTGTTTTGATCTCTTGTGGTATTGAAAACATGGGACCTTGGGGAAGAATGGGGAGTGAAAGTAAGTTTCACAAGAGTTTAAAAATTCAAGTGGTTTGTTTATTTTTGGTAAAATTACTAAGACATGACTAATCTACAGGTGTTTTGGAGCTTTTATTTTCTTGACGAAGGGTTTCAATCTCTTGTGCCAACGATTTCCAAAGTTCGGTTTTTTTAGAGCGCGAAGGAGATGTGACTAGACCAGAAGTGGACGGTAGAACCACAATGATGGATTTTCCACCAGCAAATAGGAAAGGGATTCCTCTTGTGTCATTTTCACCTGGTCGATATTGGACCCCCCATTCAAAAGATTTTAAAGGTTTTTGTGTCTTGAAGCGATAAATTTTTTCCCAGATACCTTTACCAACTATGCATATTATGCGCGGCGCAAAGGGTTGGAGGTCGGCTTCCAGGGTCGGGACAGCGGTTAGCATTTCGCTTGCAGAAAGCTCATCTATACCCTTTGTTGGCCTTGTGACAAGGTCATGAAAGCCGTATCCAAACTCGTCTGGGAGTTTTTGGTCGTCTATGAAGGAGACTTTACGGTTCACACAGCCAGATTCATATATGAGTTTCCAAAAGAGGTTGGAGCAGTGGGCATAATAGTGTCCTTGGATTGCAGTCTCAATACCTGGATTGAAGCCTACGAATACACAAATGAGGTTTTCGCGAAGCAGAGGTGTGAGATGTGATAAATGGGAGTAAGCTTCAGGACCGACATATGCTTTTTTCTTTTTCTGTTTCTTTTTTAAAGGTTCATTGGGGAGGCCTTCGAGTTCGTTTGTAGGATTAAGAGAGGGTGGCGATCTTTTAAGAGACTTTGCCAGAAGCAATAATGCCTTACTTGGCCCATTTTCATCAGTTAGAGTGTCACTACAAGCATTGTATGAAAAGTTTTTTAATTTGTCGCCAAAACTAGGAAGGGGTTTGGATGACATATTGATACCATTGTAGGCAGCTGTTATGAGAATTGGAGTTAATGGGCAATTGTTCAAGATAGCAAGTTCAACATGTAAAGCAAAGACATTTAAATGTCTTTACCAAATTTGGTAAAGATGTTTAGACTCAAAATCACGTGATATTTTTTTGAAATTTACAGGTAATTTTTTTTTTCTTTCATTTTTTTGATTTTCCAACAACACCACCAGCTTTCAGCTTTGTATAAAAAAATGCCTAAGATAAGTATTGGGGATTTTATTGAATTATTGAGTTACGTGAATTTACTAACATGTTAGTCTTTTTGTGTGTTTTACTATCAGTGTGACTATTGCGGAAGTAAGTATTAATTTTTGGGAGACATTACGTTTGTTTACAAGCATCTAACCAGAGGTATATAGCATCGTTGACTCATGATTCCATGAGTGTGCGCAAGTCGCACAGTGTTGGCCGAAATCATATCAAACTTGTCATTGACTATTATGAAAGTGAGTACTAATTTTATTTTTTAAAGGATTTTTTTAACAATTTTTATTTTAAAGCTGTGGCTATTGAAGAAAAATTACTACCTGAATCCCTTCTTGCATTTCCAGTTCAACCCAATGGCATTCGACTCATTAGCACACTACAAGAGGCTATATTAAATGCTAAAGATCCATTAGATCAGACTACAGAACTGGACGAGTTTACCAAGGGTGCACCCGGGACTCTTCCTCGTGAAACAGTGTTACAGTTGATGTCTGCGCCCCGTAGATTACCGCATCCTGCTGTAATTTCTCCTTATACCACGGCTACTCCCACACTTTCCAGTGTTTCTAGCAGTTATGTAACTGAGATTAATGGTGGAACGCTAGCTCAAAATGCTTTAACTGGGGGTGTGTCACAGGTAACAAGTAGCATGCCTTTGAGTAATCAATACCAACAACAACCCTCACAGTATTCACAGCAGGTGCAACAACAACGACAACAACACCAACACCAGAACCAGCAATATCAGCACCAGCATCAACATTCCAACTATGGATACCAACAGCAAGGGGGTGGGAAGCCTGGTTATACCAACCGAATGGATTTTCGAGATAACAATACCCGATCACGGTTTTCAAACAACCAAGGGGGATCCAACTATGGTGGGAGCAATGGAGGAAACAACTACCAGCAAGGAGGTTACAATAATCGTGGAGGATACGGAAACAACAATAATAATACAACCGGAGGAAAGTCTCAGTATAGTAATGATGGATTCAACAATAATGGTGGTAATAACTATAATGGGAGCTACGGCCAGTACAATAATAACACCAATAACAATAATAACAATAACAACAACAACAACAACAACATCAATAATAATAATAACAATAGAGGGTACGATCAATCACAAGGATCCCAGCAGCAGGACCGAGGAGGATATGGAGGCCGTGGGCGCGATGGTGGCAATGATCGAGGTGGCTGGGACCGTGGTGGAAATGGAAGTGGAGGTCGGTATAACGAAGGGTATCGGGAACGCGGAAACGGTGGCGGTAGTAATGTTGGTGGTCTCAGCAAGGATCGAAGCGGACCATATGATCGAGGATCGAGACCCAACCAAGGGTCGTACCGGCCGAATCGTGCGTTCCGGGAGCGTGAAGGTTGAAGAAAAATGAAAAAGAAGAAATTAAAGAATAAAGAAGCAATTGAGCTTTTCTGTAATTACAACATCCTATAAGTAAAAGTTAATCTTATTAATTTACATAATAATCTAAAGATAAAAAAAAATTAATAGGTAAAAAGTGGATCTTTTATAAAATAAACGATTTTGAATTTTGGAATAAACATTTTAATTATAGATAAGCTTCAAAGTTGTATGTGGAAGAAATGCCAAAGAAAAAAAAAAGTTAGCGATGAAATGTGATGATATTTACTTAAAGGTCTTGAAATTACTGAGGAAATATGAAAGATTAGTTGCCGAGGCAACAGGGGATGCCCTTCTAACGGTTCTCAAGGGTACAGGAACCTTTGTTACAACAGAAATATTTTATGTATATGCGGCAGTGTGTAACAAATGTGTAACAAAAATGTTCTAATCCCTTCCACGTCAAAAAAAAAAAAAAAAAAAAAAGATGAGCCCATGAGTGTGTATGTAAGTGATAGAGGCTAACAGCGGCGACGGCTTACTCTATTTTATTTTATTTTATTTTTTATTTTATTTTATTATTTTATTATTTTATTATTTTATTATTTATTTTTTTTTTTGTGGTGAAAATTATGTAAAATTTTTTTTTTTTTTTCCCTCTCCTTTCCTTTATTTTTCCCTCCCTATTGAGATTTGACTATCCAATCTACACCACACTCGTCTTTTCTTCTCACCAAACAACCCACATTAATCTCTCTTATACATATACAAAAATGAGTGAAGCTGCTTCTTCCGGACCTTCCTTTAAGCTCGTTCTCGTCGGTGACGGTGGCACTGGTAAGGTAAGTTTTAATAACAAAACAGAATGTGTTTTTTTCTTTATATGAAAAGGAAGAAGACCTTTTTAAACTCTTGAGAAAGAAAAAATTCTAACCATGGTAAAATTTTTTTTTTTTTTTTTTTTTAAATATAGACTACCTTTGTCAAGCGCCACTTGACTGGTGAATTTGAAAAGAAGTACATTGCCACCCAGGGTGTCGAGGTTCACCCTCTTGACTTCCATACCAACTATGGCAAGATCACCTTTGATGTGTGGGACACTGCTGGCCAAGAGAAGTTTGGCGGTCTTCGTGACGGTTACTACATCAACGGTCAGTGCGGTATCATTATGTTTGATGTCACTTCACGCATTACTTACAAGAGTGTGCCCAACTGGCACCGTGATCTTGTTCGCGTTTGCGAGAACATCCCCGTTGTTTTGTGCGGCAACAAGGTTGACGTTAAGGAGCGCAAGGTCAAGGCCAAGGCTATTACATTCCACAGAAAGAAGAATCTCCAGTACTATGACATTTCTGCTAAGTCTAACTACAACTTTGAGAAGCCTTTCCTTTGGCTCGCTAGAAAGCTTGCCGGCAATGCCTCACTTGAGTTTGTGGCCTCTCCTGCCCTTGCTCCTCCTGAGGTTACTGTCGACAATGAGCTTATGGCCAAGTACCAGCAGGAGATGGAGCAGGCTACTGCTTTGCCTCTTCCCGATGAGGACGATGCCGACTTGTAAGAATACTATTAACAAGGAGGTATTTGTGTTTTAAATTATTTTTCTATTGGGAGGAAGTGCATCAAGGCTAAGAAGGAAAAAAAAGAAAAAAAAAATTTTTTTTACAATCTTTTGATAGAAGATGGAATCAAGAGAGAGATGATGAAAAGAAAAAACAAATTTTTTTTATATAAATAAATATATAATGTCGTCTGTTTGATTTTTTTTATTAATTAGAAAAGGGGGAAAAAAAAAGGTATAAACCGGTTAGTTTTTTTTTATTTATTGAAGATGAATGGATTATATACAGATATGGTTATTTTACAGATTGTATTCAATAACCGAATTCAATTGATCCTAGGATGAGATGGAGGGGTTATATGTAAAGACGGTATTGAGTAAGGAAGATATATACTGTGACATTGTATCCGATGGTGGTAATGGATGGGTGCTTAATAGTTTCGAGTTGTTATATATACTATAGATATATATATTCATCTCAAAGACTTATCTCTGTTACTACTGCAATTGCCACTTACTAGTGTAGATTTGTAGTTTAAAACTGTCAATTTCTGAATCCTTGTTTCCAGAATTTTCTAAATATTTTGTTAAATCAAAAGATTTTCTTAATTCTACAATTGTTTTTTTAAAAAAAAAAAATTTAAACAGTGTTGTTATCGTCGTTGTTATTTTTATATTTTCGTTCAAAAAAGTCATTTTTAGCAAGGCCAACACAGAGATTTTTCATGGTGGCGGTTTAAGCAGGTAGACTGTTTTTATTGTGTGTGTGTTGTTATTGTTGTTGCTGTTGGCTTTTAAAGGCAAACAACATTTTGTTACATTACAAAGTTTACCTTCTTTGGTGTGTGACTGTCTGTTATTGTGAGATTTCAGCACATCACTATTAAACTAAGAGTAATAATAAAACAAACAAAAACATTGAAAATTTAAATTAAAGAATTATTTTATTTTTTTATATTTTGAAAATTGATGGCGAATTTTTATTATTTTGAAAAATTTTTTTTTTCAAAAATTGGTAGGCTTATGTAGGTTTTTTTTTTTTTTTTTTTTTTTTTTTTTTTTTTTTTGAAAGCAAGAAAAAAATTTTTTTTTTTTCCCTCCTGATCATGATGACCAGCAAAGCAGCAGCAACTGTTAAAGGCAGCGACAGCAGTAAAAAAAGAAAAAAAAAAAAAAAAAGTCGCCACCAGTGGGTGTTGCTGTAGAAACTTTTATTTTATTATTCCTTTTAAAACTATCACGTGTTCAATTTTTTTTTTCTATAGCAACGTTACCAGAATTCTAGAAATATATACGTTATCAATAACCTTTGTTACTATATGATAACGTTATCTCCCATCCCAGTAACATTGGCTCATATTATCACTTTTTATTGTTTAACATTCAAAAACTGCTTAAAATCTTCTCTCTCCAAAATCAAAAGAAAATCAAAAGAAAAAAAAAAAACCACCAAATTTATTATTTTTTTGAATTTATTTGAAAATGATGATCTAACAAGAAACATAGATTAAAATACTCTTTTCTTTCTTTTAAAACAATGACAAAAATATAAGCAAAGCCATCTGAACTATTTGCTAATTATATATAGCTGGTGACTTGTAGAATTTAGATCATCTAGATAAAGTAACTTTTGAAAAAAAAAAAAAAAAAAAAAAAAAAACCAATTGTTATTACTATACTCTAGACTGCATTATTTTTTTTATATTTTCCCATTTGAACAATTTTTTTTAATTCCTCTCAAATATCATTCAGGCAGTGCACTTAAAAGAATTTAAGCATAGACATATATTATTGCAACTATTTTGCACCAAGTCTTTTGAGAATGTGCAACGTGTATAAAAATTTGGTCTATTCTTGTATAGTTGGTTAATTAACTTGACAAGTTCATTCTGAGAGTTATTATAAAGAATTATTATTATTATAATATTAAAATTATTATTATTATTATTATTTAGCATTATTATTTTCCAAAATAGGTTTTTTTTCTCATATCCTTTATTTGCCGGCATATCAAAGCTTTAACCCGGCAGGGCCCAAGGCAATTATCACACTGTTCATCTGCGCCCTGATCTTCTTTGTTAGAAAATCAATCTAGCTACACCAATAATAAAGACAAGTAGGATCTGAAATCTGGAAACAAAAAAAAAGAAAAAAGAAAGAAAGAAAAAAAGAACAGAAAAAAGAATGTCTATAATATAAATATACAAGACAATATATTTAAGAAAAAAAAATATTTCCAGATCTTACAGTTCTGTTCTATTTTAATAAAAAGAAACAGTGATACAATCACAATAAAGACATTCTTTTCTAGCTTCTTACCTTTTAATGTATTTATTAATTAAAGTCTACATGGTTAACAAAACGACTAAAACGGAAAATTGTACATAAAAGTGGATATACAAACCACCTTAGGAAAGCTGCCATGCAAGACCGTTTGGTGGATCCGCATTTTTTTTATAATTTTTTTTTTTTAAGTATTCACTTCCACGCTTCTGGAGGAACAAAAAAAGTATTTTCTTGTTTGTTTTATGTTTTGGCTGGTCCTAATGAATGATGGTTTGTAGTGGTGCTGGTCATATCAGTTTATATGTCCTCACATCCCATCATCACGCACACACACACACACACATAAAAAATAAATAGAAATACTCCTCCAGTCCCGCAATATCCAGGAATTTTTTTTTTATTAATTTTCCACCATTACAACACACCTCTGTATTTTTTTTTTCCCTTCTTATTTTCACCCCTGAAACCACCCATCTTCAGATTTTCCAATATTATTATAATAATCCACACAAACAGGACTATCCATCACCCCCCTTTTCATCCCTTTTTTGCTCTTCCATTTTTGCATAACTTTGACTTTTGTTTGTTGTCGGGTCATCCTGTCCCTAAGAAGTATCCTTAAAAAAATCACTCGTATAACCCTCGTCCAAATTATATATCCGAAATATTCTTCAATCACCACCATTTCCCTCCAGTTATGGCCACACATCCATCCGATTGCTTCTCTATGCCCAGCAATGTAACTTCCTTCTTATCTCAGCAGCAGCAACAACAACAACTTCAACATCCCACCTCCATTATCTCATCTTCCTCTCCATCCTCAACACATCCAGACAACTTGCAATCACTTGATTCGGCTCTTTTGACAACTTCTTCATCCTCCATTTCCAGCACAAATACTCACACTTCAAACAGTAGTACATCCAGCAGTATTAACACCATCGGTAGTAATAGCAGTAATAGCATTGCCGGTACAACAGTAGCCTCAACCACAACATCATCAAGCTCCCCAAGCATATATCCTTCTATCAATACAACAACCGTAGACTCTCCGGATCAAATCATTGAGCTTGTCATGAGCCAGCTCGAAGATCAAGGACCAAACCGTCTTTCCTCTACTTCTACAATAACCATCACCGGTATTCCCAAATCTCCGGAGCCTCTCGCAACTTCGTCTAATGCTCTTGGAGCATCATCATCATCATCATCATCATCATCATCATCATCATCTGCAGCAGCAGCAGTAGCAGCAGTAACCACAACTGCCATCCATGGTAGTAGTAGTAGTAGTAGTAGTAGTAGTAGTAACGACAGTGACAATGGCAGTGACAGTAATAACATTAGTAACAACTCGTCAACACCCAGTCTCCCAGACTTTTCATCATCTTCTAGCATATCCTATCACAACCTTGCTCCACCAGATCGTGCCTTTTACGACTCTTCTTTTACTCCTCCTTCTTTAGGATCACTCCCTCCTCATGCATTAAAAGACAAATTAAAGTACAGTTTGACTTTACCTACTACGCAGCCCACATCCCCTTCTTCTACTACTACCACTTCAGATTCTTTCATCTCGCTTCCTCAGAGATCCCTCTCTTCCATTTCTCCAACTTTAACTTCCCGCCCACCTTCAGATGATACTGTGACAAGTCCTTTCCGCACTGCAGCTCCAATATCAACAAGCCCTACAACAAACTCTGCTGCATCTGCAGCTTTTGCTGTGGCCACAGATTCTGATATGCCTCCACTAAATGATGGTGCTGCCGTCCAGCTCAACAATAAAGGCCTCACTATGCTGCCTCCAGAACTCTTTGAGACAATGCGCTCTTCTGTTTCGAAGTTAAGTCTACAATCCAATCAGTTATCATATCTACCTCCGGAAATTCAAACAATGAAATTTATGACGTATTTAGATATTAGCTACAACCGTTTCACAGAGTTCCCTAGTGTGGTATGTTTATTTTTTATTTTTATTTTTTTTTTATTTTCAATTTCACTAACACTCATTAGCTTACAAAATGTCCTTCACTCATTATTTTAGACATCAGTCATAATGAAATTCAGTGTCTACCAAAAGACATTGGCCACCTTGATGGTCTTCGCATTCTCTCTCTTTCACACAATCGATTCAAGTACATGCCACCAGCTATTCTTGATATGGTGGACTTAATGGTTGTTCAGGTTGACGAAAACCCTTGGGTTTATCCTCCCAAGGAAATTATTCAGCACCCAGACGCACAAGCAGCTGACCAAACCGAGTGGTTGGATATTTTGCGAACATATATGGAAAATAATTTGGGAAAGATCCAAAAGGAACTTGAACAAGATTTAGAAATGCAGCAGAAAAAGCAACAAAAGGCTCAAAATTCTAATACTTCGGAATCTCAAGTTAGTGCTGCTGCACCACCACAACCTACAATTGCATCTTCCAACAACACTACGCCATCTACACCTGCAAACTCTTTACAACCCACTGAAATCCATTCTAAGATTTCTGACATTGAAACGCTATCTAGTTGGTTTAAAAACAATGAGTCATTTGAGGATCCTCAAAGAAAAGATGGCATTGGGCCTTTCCTTGATAAAGTCGAGCGTAAAATGAGTATTGCTGAGCAGCAGCAGCAGCAGCAGCAGCAGCAACAACAACAACAACAGCAGCAACAACAACAACAACAACAACAACAACAAGTAGCCACATCTGCTCCATCAATTGCTACCTCATCTTCAAGCACTTCGTCTACTTCATCTTCCATAACAGTTCCTTCATCATCTGGCACATCTACACAATCTTCGCGAGCTCTTAAGCGCATGGGGTTTGTTGTCAAAAAACCAACTCGAGGGAACTCTCTAGATAGTGAATCATCACGTACTGGGTTGACACTCCCCTCTCAAGGGTTTGCCACAACGGCAACAACAACAACAACTGCGGTTTTATCTTCACCCGGCACCTCTTCAACTTCAACCCCACCTGTTCCATCAACAGTAAATACAACAACATCTTCTTCAACTGAATCAGTTAGCCAACCCAACTCTACGTTATCACTAGCTGCAATCAACACTTCTACTGCAGATTTACCCAAATCAGGATACCCTGCGGTGCCTTTGTCTCCGGAAGACAGCCACCCACCTACCCCTTTAGCTGCATCTGCCGTGCTGAGATCTCCATCTCGAAGGACTTCTCAGTCAATCTATTCCATCAACTCACATTCCCATGACTTTGACTCTATTCCGGAATCGGGACATAGTAGCATTGGAAGCAGTGCCAGTAGCAGTGGGTTTGCCATGGACCGGCTCCCCTCTTTTGATGAAACTCCTTATTATCCGGCTACTACCGCTGCTTCAACATCGACATCCTCTTCAGCCGCAGCTCTACTTAGTGTCACTATGGGGTCTACACCAGTCATTTCACCTTCATCTTCTAGTTCATCATTCCCGTCACTGCATAATGTGCATACACCTACACATTCTATTTCTTCAAATGGTGGCGGTGGTGGTAGCATTTCATCTCTTGCTTCACGTCTACGTACTAATTCACATTCGTCGCGTGAGCGTAGTCATTCTTTATCAGTAACATCTTCTCCTGAAAAAGAGTCTGCTTCTGGGGCGTATTTCCGACGCTTATCTACATTAACGGAGGAAATCAAGCCTGTTTCTTCTTCGTCCACGTCATCAGCATCATCCCCACTAGCTTTTGCCTCAGCCGTAGGGAAGTCTCCAGAACACACTGAGTGCCTTGAAGTTGAACGCCGGATTGTGTTTACGGCTCGGACCATTTTATTTTCTCTTGTCGAGTTTCAGTCGATTCTTCGTCGCTGCGCCAGACTATGCAACGACAAATCTATTTCTGTAAAACTTTCAGAATTACTTTATTCAGGCCAATCATACAATGACAACTTGGTGCGTGCGTTAGAACAGGAGGAAACGCGCTCGAGATCTAACGAAGAGGTGTCTATTGAAGAGTTGCAGTCAATTACTCGTAAGATTGCACAAACCTCAGTAACATCAATGAAACATTTCCGGCATATGGCTCAGTTTTGCAGTGATCATTTATTTGGATTCACATCACATATTGACATTAAGTTTATTCGATGCTTGATTCTGACTACGTTTGGATCATTCAATGAGCTTTTTAATAGTTGGAACACTCTGAATGAGGTTGAATGTCCTCCAAAGTATCCTCCGTTGGCAGATTCAACGCCATCTTTAACGCCAATTTCTCTTTCCCGCTCTGATACAGTAATGGCCAACATGTCCAAGAGCCACCAAAGCCCACTGGCAATGCCTTCTTCTTCAATTTTTACTTCATCACACCATTCATCTCCAACCACGCCATCAGGGTCTGCTGCTCCCGGCGGGTTTGGAATGATCCATACAATATCAGGGTCTTTACCCAGTCCTCAACTTTCATCTACTTTTGCCGAGGCTGATGATGCACTGTACCATGGGTTGGAGGCCGCGGCAGCCGCGGCAAAAACGCTTTTGCGACAACTCACAGAAACCTTGTCGAAGGAATCGAGTGGCTCTAAAACACCAAATGCTTCGGTAACTTCGCACGTTAAAAATTTGTCACATCGGTGTGTGGTTGGTGTTGAAGTTACACAGCGACTCAAAGAGCAACTTGATAATCTGGGGAAGGCAAGGGCGGCAGCAGCTGCTGCTGCTGCTGCCAATTCTGGTGGAGGTGCTACTACTAATGGCACATCCACTCCGGGTGGTTTATTCTCTTCTCAACCCATGCTTGATCTTACTGACCGGCGGCGGTTTTGGGACGACATGAATGCATTTGTAAAGGGCATGATTGGGCTACTGGCTAGCACCAAGAGTGCCATTACGGATCTGCCATATCTCAAAAACACACAGAACCTAGCCACGTTATCGAAACTGACAAAGGACATTCCACCGCTGATGGATTCATCGTCATATAAGCTTTTGATGGTGTCTGCTGCAGTGTCTGCAGCAACTTCGATGCCGAGCGTTTCGGCGTTAGCCGATGGTAAGGAGCACTCTGCCTCTATTTCAGGGCCAGTCATGAGTACTGCCTCTGCTTCTTCAACAGCTCCAGCGGCCTCAGCCGAAACTTTGTCACTTTCTGGGCACCCGTCTTTTATTTCTATTCCAGCTTCTATTAATGCTAATTTCCAGCAACAGCAGTTATCTATTTCTACAGCAGCGGCGGCGGCAGCAACCGGAGTTCCTGGGCCAGGATCATCTGGACTCCCCCCGCTAACTTTACCTAGAGTCCACTCTCCGGGACCTGTAACAGCACCTGCTGCACCGGGATTTCACGAACTTACATCACCAACAGCGACAAGTGGACAGTTTTTTCCACCACCAACAACTCCGCTTTCTGCAGTTCTTGGGCCTGCAGCAGCAGCTGTTGCAATGCCATCACCACCAATCAATAAGACTTTTGCCAGCTCGCCGTTTTTCCCACCTCATGGGGCTGATTTATCTTTAGCGAATACCACTAGTGGAGCACAACCAGTAACTACAAGCTCGTCCTCGTCTTCTACGGCTGCTACAAGTAGTGGAACAATAGGTGGGGCCTCAGCTGCACCTGGGATGGTGTCTAGCACAAGTGCCAGTGCCATTTCGTCGCCATTGATGATGCCTACTATAATGTCTGGACTTTCTGGGTACAATAATAATAATAATAATAATCTGTTGACGCAGGCAGCAGTACAAGCAGCAGCAGCGGCCCAAGCGGCAGCGGCAGCGGCAGCAGCGGCAGAACTTTCTTCCTTGCCATCGTCTTCTTCTTCTTCTTCTTCTTCTTCTTCTTCTTCTTCTTCTTCTGCATTACCAGGTATGACTACGATTGATGGCAACATGTCTACGTTTTCGCTTGCGGATCTAGGATCAACGATGGTATCACCGACCATGTCAAAGGCTTCTCTAGCAACGGCTGGAATGCCTGCTACGGTGCCTGCGTTACCTGTATCACAGCAGATGGCGGCATATTTCCCAGTGCTTGCAGATCATTTACCTGTGAGCTCTGCTGGGGTTGTTCCACCAGTTGTGAGCCCAAGCAGTTTGTATTTACATCAGCATATGAGTAACACATCGACTCAACAGCAGCAGCAGCAGCAACAACAACAACAACAATTAGGACATAGTGGTGCAGGATCAGTACCGTTTGATTCTTTACCACAGCAGTTACAACAACAGCTGCAACAGCAAGCAAGTAGAGCACCTAGTCGAGTACCAAGTAGGGCACAAAGCCGAGCACCTAGTCAAGGGCCTAGTCAGGGTCTCAATCAAGGACCAGGACAAGGACCAGTTGTTACAGCACCAAGTCGTGGTCATGGGCATACTTTAAGTACAGGATCTTTAGAGAGCATTTCTAGTAATGCGACTATTAACAGTTCTGATGGGATTGCTGGTTTGTCTCAATCTGTGGTGGACATTATGTCTGGTGGAGGTGCAACTGCTGCAAGTAATAATTATGGGACTCAAAGCAGCAGTACTACTAATAGTAGCAACAATAGTGGGGTGCCCAAAACGCATAGCCGGAACCAGAGTGGGAGTAGTATGGAGGGGACTACTCGACGGCATGGTCGACCTGGTAGTGCTGTTGTTGCTGGTGGTGGTGGTGGTGGTGTTAGTGTTGGTGAGAATGAGGCTGGAGGTCCGATGCCATTTACGTTTGGTGGGTCTGCAGGAGTTGCGCCTGTAGTTGCTAGCACTGTAAGCAATGTGAGCAATACTAGTGTACGGAGTACATCGAGTTCTGTGAGCAGTGGTAGTGATGGTGTATATTCAAGTCATGTTGGTCATTCTCAACAACAGCAGCATCAGCAGCAGTAAATGAAGAAAAAAGAAACAAAAATAAAAAGAAAGATAGGGTATTGATATAGTAGTAATAGTAACTACATAGATGGAATAGATAGAAACAAAAAAGAAAAGAAAAGAATAGATTTTGGGATTTTTGGTATTAAAACGTTTTTTTTATTTTTTTAAAAAAAAAAAGTTCACTTTTGGTATTCAAGTTGAGGGTTTTGATATATATAAGATTAATATCATATCGATGAGTTCCCTAACCCATCCTTTTTTTTTTTTTTTTTTTTTTTTTGAGAGTTGGCTATGCTTTTAGAATGCGGGGAGAAAACCAATATTTTGATATATTATCTGGAAAGTTGCAACATGATTAGTAATAGTGATTATTTAAATTTTTTTTCTTTTTTTTTTTTTGCTTCACTAAGTTGGTTTTGGTGGCTTTGTTGTGTCTGTTGCTGCTGCTTAAAGCTTTAACTTAACAAAAATTCTTAAAAGAAAAAAAAAAAAAAAAAAAGAAAATACTTTTTGATTTGAATGAATGAAAAAAAAAAAAATTATCATATTTGATTTAAAATATTCATCACGAGATAATTATATATATAATAATGTTTCTTTTAAGTTATTTTTAAAGATGAAAAATCAAAATCTTTTTTTTTCCCCTTATTTTATATATTTATTTTTATATATTTATTTTTATCGTATGATTTTTGGTAGTAGATCATCATAGTTAGTTAGTTAGTTAGTTGTTGTTAATCTGAATCTGATTTAGAAGCAAAATCTTTATTTGAAAAAAAAAAAAAAAAAAAAAAAATTCAATTTAATTTTATGAATTGTTTATATATAAAAAATTCCAAGTTTTAAATTTAAGACTTGAAATATTTATATATTTATATTTAGTAGTATTTATATATAAATATAAATACCACTTTTTCAATTGAGTTTTTCTTTAAATATCATCAGACTTAATTAAAAACCTGGGCAATTTTGGTTTTTTTTAATATACATCAAACAATCAACAACATGTATATTTAGTAGATAAATAAAATATATATCTTCATAATATTAAAATTACTTGAAACTAAACCCTAGAATTCTTTTAATAAAAATAAAATAAAATAAAATAAAAAAACACTTTCATCATTATCATTATCATTATCATCATCATATCTACTACTACTACTACTACTACTACTACGGGACACGTCCCGAAATCGGTTGTGCTGCCCAAATTGGTGGAGAAATTTTTTTATTTTTTTTATTTTTTTTATTTTTTTTTATTTTTTTTTTTTTGTTTAGGCAAATCATGCCGTGGCCATTACAATTTTATTTTATTTTATTTTTTTTTTTTTTTGTTAAAATTTTCGTGCACCACCACCACCAAATTTTTTTTTTTTATTACAAAAAAAAAGCCTCCGCGCCTCCGCTTTTTTTTATTTTTTTATTTTTTCTCCTTCCTTCCTTCTTTATCTATATCACCACCAACACCACTAATATCACCAAAATTCTATACAACTCTTTATTTTAAATCACCAAACAACTCCAATCTCATCCTTTTTAAAATCATCACAATCTAATGTCCTCAGTCCCACCTTCAGAGTCTCCGGTCTCTCCAAAAGTCTCTCCGGCAACTGCTTCGGCCCCAATCGCAACTACCCCTTCTTCCGCGGCCTCTCTCCGCGGGACTACCCCGGCCACTTCAGAACCCCTTACTACTGCTGTTTCTGACGTTGCTGCTCTTGAAGTATCAACACAGACTACTAAAACAACAGAAGCCATTGAAACAACATCAACTCCCATCCCATCTTCTACATCTACCACATCTACGTTAGCTCAATCTCCTAAAACCCCTGCTACCCCAATCTCAAAGAATACCGCCACTTCAGAAATACTGTCAACCCCTCCACAAACCCATATTGAATTGGCCTCCAAAAATGCATCTGAAGATTCTTCTGCAATTGTCGCCTCTCCTTCAAGCTCCACTTCAGCTGCACACTCAGTCTCTTCTCCTACAGGCTCTGTCCCTGCATCAGTGGCTTTTGTCACAAGTAACTGGATGGACGTGCAAATGAATGAACTTGTCCAACGTGAAAACCTTGTCTACGTGGATGGCGACACAACCGTTGAAAAGGCATTTGCAACTCTCGATCAATACAAGTTCACCTCTCTCCCCATCAAGGTCCACCCAGAGGACCCCTCTGTGTCAGACACTTTTGATTATGCAGATCTCAATGCCTATCTGCTTATGGTTATGGGCCTCATTGAACCAGTCAATACTAGCAAAGAATTTGCTGAATATGTCAACAAGGCACGCTCTGGACAAGTAGTCCCCGTTAGCTTTGCAGCCCATTTGGGCGTTAAGAACGAGCTCATTTCTCTCAAATCCACAGATACAATTGCCTCCGCTGTTGAGATTCTGGGCGCAGGCGTCCACCGCATTGCTATTGCGGACGTGACCGACCCCCGCATTGTCGTTGGCATTCTGTCACAGCGAAGACTTATTCGCTTCATTTGGGAACACAGCCGCCGCTTCAAAACTCTCGACCCGCTCTTCCAAACTTCTCTCTCAGACTTGGGCATTGGTCCCAAAAAAGTTGTCTCTATCAATGGCGACCGTCCTGTTATTGACGCCTTTAAAATCATGCACGACGATGGCGTTTCTTCCATGGCTGTCACTGATAACCATAATAACTTACTTGGAAATATTTCCATTGTCGACGTCCGCCTGATAACAAAGTCCTCTCAAAAGCACATGCTCCGCACACCTTGCAAGCATTTCCTCAGCATCATTCTCAACGAGCGTGGGCTCCATGATGGCCAGGATTCATACCCTGTTTTCCACGTCACTCTCGGAACCTCGGTCGGCCGCACCATTGCCAAGCTTGTTGCCACCAAGGCCCACCGTTTATGGATTGTCCAACCTCCAGCCCCACCGTCGGCTCCATCCTCGGCTTCGTCTTCTTCTTCAACTCCTGCCTCTCCAGCACCACAGACCCCATCTTCTTTTAGCATTGTCAACACAACTGCGGGTCAGCTCATTGGTGTTGTTTCGCTCACAGATATTATTAACATTCTGGCAAAGCAAGTGGGTAAGGCTAATCTGGATCCCCATGCGGCGCGTCGTCAACGCCGACGCAGTTCATCGAGCAGCTCGCGTTCATATGACAAGTTCCGAAGAAGTATTTCGATTGAGAGACATTCTGGTCGATGATGTGAATTGAAATAAAAAAAAAAATTAAAAAAAAAAAAGTTTTTTTGTGTAATAAAGGTATAATGTAAAAAAAGAAAATCTTTTAGAAATGTCGAAGTAGGGAATTTTTAATTAATGTGCAAAAAAAAAAAAAAAAAAAAAATAGGTGTAGTTGTTTGTTTAAGATGGTTCCTGGGGGGAGTATTTGTTTTCTTGTAGTTTCCTGAAGCCAAAATAGTCAGTTTTTCCAACAATATTGTTGAAATAAGAAGAAAGAGGGATAAATGGGTTTATTAATTTTATTAATAAAGACTGGACTTCTTTTGATGACTGTTGTAGATAGATAGATAGATATATCTATCTATATAGATATTTTATGATTAGAACAGTTGAATAAAGAATAACATAATATTTAATTTAATTATTGGAAATGTTGGAAAAAAGTAGCCAAAAAGAAAACTAAAATGAGTTTGATGAATTCTCTCTCTTTTTTTTTTTATTTTTATTTTATCCAATTAACAGATTGACCGATATCTTTTGAATAAGATAAAAAAAAAAAGAGTATAGACTAGTCTTTATTAAATGAAATTTGAAAAAATAAAATAAAAAATAAAAAAAAAAAAGTTCATTGATTGGCTTTCAGTTCTTGTTGCGTCATAACAAAAAGGCTCTCTTTTTTTTTTTTTTTTTTTTTTTTTTTTTTTTTAGCTCATGGAAAACGGTGGTGGCTAGACTATCAAAATAAATATTTAAAGGTGGGCGCTGGAGGAGGACGGCAAAATATTTTGATAATTACAGTTAGCTAGTTAGCTAACTGTATATAGAGGGAATTTTATTATTATTATTATTACAGACAAAATGAAGAAGAAGAAAAAAAAAAGGAATCAGATTTGGAATCTATAATAATAATAATATTAATAATATTCAAAAGATTCTTATCTTAATAAAAAAAAATTTTTTTTCTTCTTTCTATATTAACCAATGACTAGATACCAATTAACTTAAAGAGGGAATTTCATTTTGCGTGAAATATTTGTTGATGAAGACATGAAGACATGAAGACATGAAGACATGAAAACATGAAAACATGAAGAAGAAGAAGAAAAAGAAGAAGAAAAATAAAAATAATTTAATGAGAATAAAATTTTTAGTAAAAGGCGCCAGCTACCTCTACACCACCAAAGCCAATATTGGCTCTATTAATTAATATTAATATTAATATTAATTAATAGAGCCTTTTTTATACAATTATTACTATTATTATTATTATTATTCCCCCCCATCAAAATCTCTCTTTTAAATCAGTTTAAACTCATTGTTTATATTAGATAAATTCATTCGTTGCCAAGTCTCTTATTTAAAACTTTTGTTCCCCGTTTATTTTCTTAGCTCTGTTTCTCTTAAACTTTTTTTTTTTTTTTGTAATTGTTATTCTATATACTCTTTTGATTCATTTTTTAAAAAAAAACATAAAACTATCAAATTTGAAGGAAGAAAGAAAGAAAAAAAAAGGCATTTGATTCAAATATCTTAGATGGTTTGTGTGGAGAGAGAAAGAGAAAAAAAAGACAAGACAAGACAAGACAAGACAAGACAAGTTCCGGTGTTTTTCTTCTATCTCTTCCATCATCATCATGCACCCCCCCTCAAAAACGTCTCTATTCTTAAATATCTTGTGATTTTTTTTATTACCTGATAAGAAATGACTGCAATTCCATCAAGCATGAATATAAATTCCCGTATGTGTTGTAGTTAAATATATATATTTTTTTATTAATAAAAGGAATAAGGAAAAAAAAAATATAAAGAGAAGAATAAAATCTTACTTTATTATATGAAATATAAATAAAATATAAAAATAAAATAAAATAAAATAATAAGTTATTATTTGTCTTTTCTTTTGGATATCATTTACCGGTTATTACTTTTGTTATATTTTCAAGTATAAGAAAGAAAAAAAAAAAAAAAAAAAACTTGGCTTTTTAATAAAATTTCTTGACTATAATTATGCTAAAACAAATTTCATTTTATCCAATTTCATTTATTTATTTTTTTATTTTCTTTTTTTTTCATTTTTTTTTTGTTAGTAAGTAATTCAAATAGTTATATCTTTTGTCCATTCATGAAACAACTTGTAAAAGAATTTAACAACGCGGGAATAAGAAAGTCTCAAAGATATCGGTAACGTGTAGGTAAATTATTTTTTTTTTTTAAAATATGAGAATTCATGGAGATTATGACGTATATTAAAATTTTTTTTTTTTTTTTTTGATACTTGGAAATTAAAAAAAAAAAAACTTATTTATTTTTTTAATCGCCTAGTAATATGTAAATTATCAAAAATAAATACTGTGCCTGAAAAAAAAAAAAATTTTTTTTATAGAGAAATTCACTCTTTCTAATGGAATAAAATACACATATAACCTTTTTTATTAAGTCTTTTTTTTTTTTTTTTGTTTACAAGGAAATTATGCAATCAGGGCAAAAAAAAAAAAAAAAAAAAGAGAAGATAATTCATTTCGAAAAGCCTTTTTTTTTTTTATCTCATTCAGTTGTTCTAGAAATAAAAAAAAAAAAAAAACTGATTTGAATTAAGAAAGATCAAAGTTGAGGATAATAAAACATCTTTATTTTTTTTATTTTTTTTTTTACTTCCATTATTCAGTATAATTGATTTATGAAAATATGTGTTAAGAAATAAATGACCATCACATTCAGGAGCTCTCTATGTCTAAACAAAAAAAAAAAAAAATAAAATAAGTTTCATCTTGTCCGTTTAAACCATCAAACTGAAATACAAGACAATATTTCACTTCACTTCACTTCAATTTGTTTTTTTTTTTTACTTTTTTTTTAATTTTATAGGCATTTCCCTCTTTTTTTTTTTTTATCTTTATTCTATTCCCGTTTAAAACTTGGCTTTTTTTTAAAAAAAAATATCAGTCAAAAAAAAAAAAAAAAAAAATTGAATACTAAAAATGTGAATAAAAAAATTAAAAATAAAAATAAATAAATTTTTTTGTTTGTCCCAATTTTTTCAATATTATAATATTAAATATCTTAATTAAGATATTTAAGAAAACTTATGGTATCCACTCTCTCATATATGACGTAAAGAATTTTTTTTTTTTTTTCAATTTGACTGTGACAATTCTTTCTTCTACTTCCTTCCTTCTTTTTTTTTTTTTTTTTTTTTTTTGTTTATCCTGTTTTTGCTAAATTTGAAATAAAAAAAATCCATTTATATGCCTATCTGATCGATCTATAATTTGTTTTTTTGTTTTATTTGTACTATTATTATTATTATTATTATTATTATTATTATTATTATTATTATTATTATTATTATTATTATTATTATTATTATTATTATTATTATTATTATTATTATTATTATTATTATTATTATTATTATTATTATTATTATTATTATTATTATTATTATTATTATTATTATTATTATTATTATTATTATTATTATTATTATTATTATTATTATTATTATTATTATTATTATTATTATTATTATTATTATTATTATTATATCGGTTGAAGAAACTCTTAGTAGAAACACAAAAATGAGAAGGGGGAAAAAAAAAAAAAAAAAAAAAAAAAAAAGAAAAAAAAAGAAAAAAAATCATGGGCATGTGGCAGTGCTACCCAATAACTAACCAAATAACCAATTAAATAACTAACTGAATAACTAAATTTATTTTTTTATTTTTTTATTTTTTGGCAATCGCGGTAATTACTCAAAAGAATATATTTTAATGTAAAAAAAAAAAAAAAAGATTCACATGTACTACGATGATATATTATTATACCTTAAAGAACAAACTTTGACTTTATTTTTTTTTTTTTAAGGAAAGCAGAATAAAAAAAAAATTTAATAATAATAATAATAATAATAATAATAATAATAATAATAATAATAATAATAATAATAATAATAATAATAATAATAATAATAATAATAGAAGGCATTAAAAAAAGGCGTCAAACAATTAAACTAGAACTTTTTTTTTTAGTCTTCTATTTATTTCACCAAACTCTTTTTTTTTTTTTTTTTTTTTTTTTCAATCAAAATTTTTTTAAAATCTCATATAAAAAAAAAAAAAAAAAAAAAACTTTTATAGATATATGTGAAATTTATATATATTTTAAAATCAATATTTTTTTTTCTTCTTCTTCTTTTTCTTCTTTTTTTTTTTACCAAAAATGTGGAGACGATACTCGTAATTAACAAAGTTGAGGAAGATCATCGTAGCTAAGAAAAAAAAAAAAAAAAAAAAAGAAATCTATAAAAAAGATGTTTCTTTATAAAAAAATAAAATAAAAAAAAAAAAACTTAAACAAAATGAATAATTCAAAAATAAATATTTTCTCTCTCCACCTCTCTATAATTGTCTGTTAAATGAAAAATAAAATAAAATAAATAAAATAAATAAAATAAATAAAAAGGCAGTGCTATATGTTATGACCTCATCACAAGTATTTTATTTTATTTTTGCATAATTTCAATTTCTTAAACCTGAATCCTCATCAGTAACACAATCTTTCATTTTTTTTTTCCTTTCTTTTCCCCCTCTCTTTTTCTTTTTGGGTCACTTTCTAAATGTCTTTAGATTTTGTTTCTAGACTATTATTTGTTTGTGTAGCATCAGATGGATAAAAAAATAAATGAATTATTTTCCTTTCCTTTCCATTTTTTTTTATTCTCTTTCTTCTAAAAGGAAAAGTTTCTATATTAGGTCTTTTCCTTTTATTTATTTATTTGTTTTTTTTTCATATAAATTCAAACTTCTTTCCTCACATTTTTCAATTTTTTTTTTTTTTTTTTTTTTAAAAAAATCAAATAAATAATAATAATAATCTTCATTTATTTCAACTAAAAGACTTGTTGCTATTCTTGTCAACCTTACCTCTTTCTCTCTCTCTCTCTTTTACATTCTATGTCCATTCAGGTCTCCAATGCACAGAGCCAATGTCACTCGCGACCTTTCTCTTGCGAAGGTCGATGAACACAGTACTGGCCCACAGGTGACTGTAAAGTATGGCTTGCTTGCAAATAAAAATTCATTACTCTTTACAAAACTTCCCAACTCTCTCTTTTCAACAACAACATCAACAACAACATCAACAACAACATCAACATCAACACCAATGACCCCACCATCATCCCCCATTGATGGCGCTTTTGTCACCTCTACAAAACCAAGTTGTAATTCTACCACTTGCTGTGCAATCCACGACGAGGAAACTAGATCTGCTCGTAAGGCTTCTACAACTTCACTTACCTCATCAGCTTCCTTTTTAAGTCTTTCCAGTTGGGCAAGTACTTCGACAAAATGTAGTTCCATTTTTTCTTCTTTTTCTTCGACTCGTACTCCAAGTACTGGCAAATCAGTCTCATCTCGTCAGCAACAACAACACCAACAACACCAATACCAATCTACACAACCACAGCCTCACTCATTCAGCGTGGTGCCAGCAAATCTCGGTGGCAGCCCGTTGTGCCCTAACCAGCTGGCTATCTTAGATCTTGTGACGTATTATGATGTGGTGAATATGTGTGTTAGCGCGCGTACCTCTCCTGTTGTGCGTATCAACCGTGCAGACGTCACATATACTGATTCACTTGTGCGGAGTTCCTTTGCATGTACACGCGGAGAGGAGGGGCAACCCACTGAACATGAGGGGGGTCGAAGAGGAGGAGGAGGAGGAGGAGCCGTATCTAGTGGTGATGCGGCGATAGTTCCACGGCGCAAGAATACGCGACGTATTCGAAAGTTTTTGATGGCTCCTGATGTTTCGCTCAATTGTTTTGAACGTAAATTTCTTTACAAGTTGATGTTGGAGTGTTTTGAAAGCCCATTTGATGACGAGTTTGAATATACACCTGTATCTGGTTTGCGCCGTGCTTCTGCTCCGGGCATTATGGTTCAGGAGCAGGCTACTACTAGTAGTAGTGCCTCTACTACTACTACTACTACTACTACTACTACTAAAGACACTATTAGTTCAACCTGCTCAATACCCACTGGATCTGTTGACAAGTTGGAAGGTGATGCATGTTTACATGTGGAATTAGTACATCCCGTGGAGCACGGGCATTTGAATGATTTGCTGCGCAACATTTTAAAAACGAGCACCACTTTGCGGGAGGAGAAGGAGGAGGAGGAGGAGGAGGAGGAGGAGGAAGGGGATAAAGCAGCAGAAGCAGAGACAAGAAGCTGTGAAGATGTAAAGAAGAAGAAGACGAAGACGAAGACGAAGACGAAGACAAAGAATAATGTATCTGTCTATGCAATGAGTAGTTATACGACTCCTCAAATGACTATGACTGCTGCAAAAAAGCGTCAAGTTTATGCATACCAAGCCGGGCCTGCTGGTAGAGCAAGTCGGGTAGCTTTGGAGCGTAATACGTTGCGGTACCAAAGTTTTGACGAGTCACTGATGTTGATGATGAATGTTAATGAAACAAATAATGCTGTGCCTATAGTTGGATCTGGTTTGCGCGGTACTCGTCATGCTTGGGGTAAGCGAATAGCTATTTTTTGATTAGATGAAGGGGTTGTTACTTTACTTTTAGTCAACCAAAAAAAAAAAAAAAATAAAATAAAAATAAAATAAAATAAAGCCTGTATAGAAATGATAAAAAAAAAAAGTTTCAATTTAAAATGAGGGAAATTTAACATTTGAGAAAAAAAAAAAAAAAGGAAAGGTAAGAAGAAATTAAATGTTGAAACTTTTTAATTCTATTGTTAAACAAAACTTATCCTAGTATATATATATATGAGAGAAAAAAAACAAAAACAAAAAACAAAAAAAAAAATAATTATATATGATGGTATATAATAGCCTTTCTATGGGGTTTTTGTTTCAGTAGTTGCTTGTTGTTGTTGTTGTTGTATAGGAGCCTCTCTAAAAAATTTTATGCTCTTGTCGGTCACTTTGCCCTTATTAAACTGTTTACGGACATACCATCCTTCGTAATTATCCTCTACTTGATTATCCTTGATAAACTGGAGGTATTGTTCATCGTTTGCTTGTCTGGTATCATTGTATATTATATCACATTTTTGAATCTTGCGAATTTTACGAATCCGTTCAATGCGCCATCCAGAACGTGAATTTTTGTATACTCCCTCCTTATTATTTTCAAACTTTTGGCGAACCGCATCATTTGTCGGTCGCCCAAGTTTGGCTGTTTTCCCCAGCCCACAAGTCTTGAGCTCAGGGAAGTAGCGCCATGAAAGACACTGGTCCCATTTTTCACATTCCTTTTTGCAAAGATCAAGTGAATGATATGGTCTAGAACCAAGTTTTTTCACAAGCTCCATAACTATTGCTTCTTCCTTCTTTTTAAGTTCTTCTTGTTCACGCCTTTTTTCTGTCTCGCTTTTCCCCTGTGTATCATCTCTCTTTTCCTTTTTACCACCAGCTTCTTCTTCTTTTTCTGCTTCCCTCTTTGCCTTTTTTTCTTCTTCCCTCTTGCGTTTCTCTTCTTCCTTTTTGCGCTTATTTTCAATATCCTTCTTGTCTTTATCCTCAGAAAAAGTTTTATCCTTGGCATAATTGTTCCAATCAGCACGCTCCTCTACAATATAGGGCTGGACAAAATCGCGGTAAATGTCACTATAAGTGATACTTTTGCGTTTTTCAGGACCAATGAGACGTTCATATTCCCAAAGGATTTCAACATCAAGTGGCGAGAGATGATGGAAACTGATAATCTGGTCGCACCATGTGTGGTTACCAGCCTCGATACTCCAAAGTGATTCACCTTGAAACTTTTTTTTGACATTGTTTTGTTCGTTTTTAGAAAGCGAAATGTTTGCCTGTTTAAGCATATAGCCCACCATGTAGTCACCGCAGCATGAGCGACTAGTTTCTTCTTCAAGTTCGTGAACCCATTCAGGATGTTCTCCAAGGGTCATATCCATTGCTTTTCTGGAGATGACAACACCGGTGCCGCCATGGGCAAAGGCGACGCCGCGGAAACTAGTTGGGGAGCCGAGATAAATTGGCTTTGTGGGGTCAAGGGTACTGAGATACTCAATAAGGTTTTCCCAGAAAAAGTATGAATCTCCATCCATAAAGATAAACCAATTGACAGAAGATGGGGCTGTTTGATAAGCATGGTGGAGCATTGGCATATTTTTATACTTATCAAGAGCCCATCCACCAGAGACTTTAAGCTCACCTGGGTCGAGAATTACATTTGTATCACGGATACTATTGAGTTTGTGATAAAGCTGGAAATCTTTTGTACTTTTAGTTTCATCAGTTACGTTTGCCAAAATATCAATAACTTCGTGGCCGGCAATAGAACCTCCAATGTCTGCATATAGAGCAAAATAGGGTATCTGAGTAAAGGAAGTAAGAAGATGAACTGGGACACGATTCCACAATACATTTGCACCTTCCTTCATCATGACAAAGAGAGTTGAAGCGTTTGCGGGGTAGTCTGCAACAATAGGCTGGCGTAGGTATTCTGCCTTGTTGCGGAACTTTGCGAGTCTTGGAGCATGAGGTCTGAGACGAGAGAGTGCCTCAATGTCAATATCATAGGAATCATCAGGTCGCCAAGCATCATGGGAAGCGAAACGGCCATCTTTTGGAGTATCTTTGTATGAAGGGTCAAATGTTCCTGAAAAGTCCTGTGGCTGGAGTCCATTTGGATCATCACCATCTGCAGGGCCAAACCTTTCAAAGTCGGATTGTTGTTTAAGAATCTCTTGTTCTTGTTGTGATTGTTTTTGAAAGAGAGCCATTGCATCTTGTTCCCATTTTTCGGTGAACTTTGCGAGTTCTTGTACTGAAGGGTGAGATCTGAGAGGGAGTACAAAGATATAAAGAAATGTTAGGGTGATGATTGTGAATATGATGGTGAAGGAGCGTCTTCGCCGCGAAAAAAGGAATTTTGGCGAGATTCTCATTTTAAGAGAGATTTATGATTAAGATTTGAACAATGTCTTTTGAAATGAATAATATTGGAGTAAATTTTAGATATATATATGTACAAAAAAAAAAAAAAAAAATAGAAATAAATAAATAAAAAATGGTGGTAGTGATGAGCCTCTTGATATTCAAAAGATTTTGTACTTTTTTTTCTTCTTTTTAATCGGATCTAGTAAGTATACTAAAAAAGCACCAAGTCCAGCCACGTTGGCTATTAAATTCAAAATTATTTAATAAATCCCATTATATTATCTAATTATAATAATATATTATTTATATATGTACTAATGTAACCTTTCTTAAACCTCCTATCAACTAACTTATTATAGTTGGATAATTTTAATCACTAAAAATCCACTATAAAAACCTTTTTTTTTTTTTTTTTTTTTTCCCTTTTGTCCATTATTATAATCAACTCCACGATTTTTCATCAAATATTTCAACTTTTATTTATTTTTTTTTTCATTATTTGTATGTATATATATATATATAATATGTAAAAGATAATTTTTTTTTTTTTTGTATTTCGTATATATATTTATATTATATTATCATCCATAAACCATAAGATCCTTAAACCCGTAAAAGGCATGCATCTCCTTATTGACCTGCTGGTAGTACCGATTAACCTCCCACTCGGCACAGTTGCGCTCAGGCAAACACCATTTATCAGGCTCTGGCTTCTTGACCGTCATGTGCACAAACACGGCCTCGTCCCATAAACTATCCCAGTGAACACGGTGATGCGCCACCATGACCAGGTTAAGATTATACTTGAATGGCATGCCATAGTAACGGAACTTGTAAAAGGCATTGAGGAATGCCTGGTCCGCCTCTCGAGGCTTGTGCATGTTAGGATCCGATACCGCCTTGGACAGTACCCGGAATTCATCCACATTAGGTCGTAGTACAAGCACGCCCGAGTTGAATCTGTTGTCCACAAGAATGTTGGACCACACGTCCGGAGATGCAGCAATGTCGCCAGGCATATGTAAAATATCAGCAAACGCATTTTTGCAAATCACATCTGCGTCCACAAAAATCACCTTTTCATATTGTGTCCAAGTCCACAGATGCAGCTTGTTAAAGTTGTGTCGATGCCATGGGCGAATATCAGAAGTCTTGACTTCTTCAAACTCGAGTTCTTCACCCTCTCGCACATTCCAGCCAACTTTTTCTAAGTTGGTAATATTTTGCGGAGTAATAGCATCTTTCCCGTCTGTACGGATCAGCAGCACCATCTCCAAGTCCAGTGCATCCACGTCGTTGTGCTTAAGAATTGAATAGCCCAATGTGGCAGCATAATTGGCGTATTTTGCGGTTTGTACTGATGACGCCAAAGCGTATTTACGTCTCTTTTTAATCTTTGAATAATCGAACGGCTCCACCGTACGCGCGCGCCGCTCGGGAGTTTGCAGATCAAAGAGCGGCATGTTGTTGATTGCTGCTGCTGCACCAGAACGAGCCGCCCGGGAACCAGAGCTCAAAGACCCATACAAGCCATTGACCGCGGCAGCAGCCGCAGCAGCCCCATCCCGCTGTGAGGAGGGGGTCAGACGTATGAGTAGCATCGAGACCAAGTAGATGCCTGCAAAGAGAATTAGGGCAAGCACGCAGGATGCCCTCAAGAGTCTCATTGTAAAGGCGGTTGTTGAAGATTTATTTTTTTTTGGTTTTTTTGTTTTTTTTTTTGAGTAGGTAGGTGGATGGGAAGGCAGGTTTGGTTTTTGATTGTGAGAAATCAAAATAGAAAGAAATGTTGAAAGGGGGAGAGAGAGGGAGGGAGAGAAAAGAAATGGAAGGGAAGGAAAGGAAAGGAAAGGAAAAAAAAAAAAAAAAATGATTTTGGTGGTGGTGGTGGTGGTGGTAGTTTTGTTAGTTTTGGTAGTTTTTAGTTGTAGTGGTGGTGGTTATATATATACAAATTGTGCTAAGAAAGTTAGAATACCCCTATATATTATAATATATATTATAATATATATATATGTGAGTGTGTGTGTGTATATACAAAGGAGATGCCCAAAGTGGAAAATGCCAGCGCAGTACTTTAAATATAAAAAATAAGACTTTTTTTTTTTTTTTTTTTTTTTTGTTAACAACTAATTAGTTAGCCTGTCTGTCTTCTATATATTTTAATTTATTTTAATTTATTTTAATTTAATTTAATTTAATTTAATTTAATTTAATTTATTTGAACATTCCAAGGGGCTGAACCCAGTTTCTAAAATATATAAGTTTTAAAAGTAAAAAATAATAAAATAAAACTCTTTTAAATTTGAAAGGTCTTTATCAATTCTTTTAGAAGAATATATTAATTATGATAATTATGATAATTATGATCAGCAGTTACTACCATTTATTTTTATTTTTATTTTTATTTTTATTTTTCTATCTATCTTTCTTATATATATATATATATATATATTTATAAATCTCAAGGTTTCACATAAACTTTTCGCTACTCCATCAAAAACTTGTTTGTAGTTAGTAATAATATTGGTATAGCCACATAAGTTATCAAAAGAAGTCTTAGATCTTACTAAATAAAATAAAAGTATACGTTTTCAAAATTTATCTAATTTAGCAAAAAAAAAAAAAAAAAAAAAAAAAAAAAAAAAGAAAAAGTTATCTTTTAATGAACCGATTTCCTGTGTTAAACCTCCTTTTCCCATTATCTCTGTTTCGTAGTTTAAGCTTTCGCTCTACCATATCAAGCCTTAAACTTTCCATTGACTTTTTTTTTTTTTCACTCGTACATCTTTTAAGTTAAAGGTTTTAATATATATATATATATGGTGTTTTTTTTTTGTAGCTTTTATATAAATATAAACTATATCATAACTTTATATTACGGGTTATTCTTTTTTTTTTTTTCATTTATTAATTAATATCGTTATCATCCTCATCATTATTATTATTATTATTATTATTATTATTATTATCATCATCATCATCATTATTGTTGTTCCTGCTGATCTCGCTGTTCTTGCTCCTGCTCAGGTGCCTGCTGATTCTCGTGAACACCAGGAGCTGCAACTCCTTGATCTTGCTCTTCAACTTGATCCTCTCCAGTTTTACTAGCAACAGGCTCTTCCTCATCTTCGGCATCTAGAGGAACTGGAGGAAGAGGATTCTGACCTACATCTCCTGAGACCTCCTCCTCCTCCTCCTCTTCTTCTTCTTCTTGTTGATTCTGCTTCAGCAAAAGTGCCTCCTGTAGACGCTCCTCTTCTAAAAGAGCCTGGTACAAGGTATCAAACCCAGAGTTCTTAGTCGATCCGGAGCCAGGAGATGAAATACCGCCAGCAGCAACATACTTGTTTTGTTCCTTGTCAAAAAGCATCATAGGCATGTGGCAGATATTCTAAAAAAAAAAAAAAAAAAAAAAAAAATTAGTAAATAATTTCATCTCTCTCATTCATTCATTTAAAACTTACCGTTCGACGAATCTCAAAATCATGATAAAGGTTCAGCCAAATTTGACGCTCTGGACACCAAGTACCTCCCTGAGAACACTTGGGCGAATTCTCACGAATCTCTTGATCAGTAGCACGAACCCAAGGTTTAGGATGATTGGCATCGGAAAAGTGCACATAAAGAGTCTTGTTGAAAATCTGAGACGCATCCCACTTGCCAAACTTACCCACATATTGTCGGTGCTCAGAATCAACATTGCGCAACTCATTCGTCAAAATCGTAATTCCATAATGAGGGAAAACCATAGCATCATCCTTAAATAATTTGTTAAAAACATCACCCTCATACTCATTATTACCACGCAAATTGCTATTCCCTCCACTCATCGACTCAGACAAAAACTTTAAAATATAGTTAAAAACAGATGCTGAAGGCTCAACAAGCTCCATATGAGTATTGAGCTTAATAAACGAAGCAAGATCCTTGTCGACACTACTATCAGCATTAAACCCATCATCACCATCAGAATCACTAGGATAAACCCAGTATTGTTTGGTGGTGGCAACAGGAGCACTGGGAAGTAAAAACAAGTGGTCCATGTTGCGTCGCACAGATCCATCAGAATCCAAAAATAGCACACGGTCATATTCTGTTTGGTTGAAAATATGCATCTTTGTAAAACTGTAAGAAAGAGCAGGATCAACACTCTCTAGCTTGGCTGTCTTCACAGGCTTAAGTATGGCATTGTATTTCATAACTGCAACCTTGAGCAAGTACTCAACGTTATGGGCCATGCTGCTTTGATCAAAAACACTGTCATCAATATCCCGCTTAAATCGATTAGGTGCCTTGTTTTCTTGAGCCTTTAAAACTTCCTCCTCTTGAGCCTTTTCATGAGCTTCTTCATCAATTTCTTCCTTAAACCCATAGCCAGGTCCAGCAGGGTCCGTAGGAGGATCGAAAAACCCAGGTTGGTTCCATTCCTCAGGGTACATCAGAACCCGTTGGGCACGAGATCCTACCCGCTGGAGTTGCTCAAAAATCATAACAGAGTTGCATAAGTAAACAGCGTTTGTAACATATTGTACATAAGCAAACTTGGACCAGTCAACCGAATTGTCCAAATCTGCAAACTTAGGGTTTTCAGCCTCTTCAAAATCTATTGTGTCATATTCGTCAAATTCAGACTCGTCAATCACCATCTGATTAGCAGTATCACCGGAGCCTTTCACTTTGCGTAGCTGGCCCTCGGCCCAAATCATATTAAACCCATCAGCTTTATTTTCATGAGTCTCTTCATTCTGCTTCTTAAGATTCGAAATGTATCGGCTTCTACTGCCAACAACAGGCTTAAGATTCTTAACAACAGGAGATACCTGTACAATGGGTGTTGAATCTTTAATGTGTGACGCATATGGGCCCTTATTATGAGCTGGGTTTTTCTTACGCTTGAGAATACTAGCCAGTCGTGAGTTGGCCCAAGACGAGGTTGACGAAAATGGCCAAGAGCTGGTGATTGCAACATACATAGGCACAGGAAGACCATACTCTTCCTTTTCTTCATTTTTACTCGACTCCTCATCTTCAGGCTCAGGCACATAATTGTCCATGTCGAGCTTCGAGACCTTTTCTGTTAAGTCATCAGATTTCAGTCGCTGTTGAGAATTTTGAACGAGAGATGGTGGCTGGAATGATCGTTTAGAAAGATCGGAAGATGGCGATACTGATACCAAAAGAAAACCAATGGCGGTTACCAAAACGGCAAAAATCGCAACCCGTGAAAGGACTGACAGTCGCGCGACTCGAGCCATTTCAAATGTTATAAGGGTTGATTTTTTTTTTTTATTTTTATTTTTTTTGGTTTGGTAGTGGTGATAGTTAAAATGTTAAAAAGAAGAATACTTGCAAACAATGGAATTGGGTGGGAATAAAGGAGAGAGAGAGAGAAAGGAAAAAAAAGGAGAACACCACCACCACCACCACTACTACTGATATTTTTTTTTTTTTTTTTTTTGCTGGCCTTATTTCCATGGTTTATCTTGAGTAATAATCTGCAAGACTTTAGGTAATATATGCACATGCCTAATTAGTTGGTGTCAACCACCACTGGTATAGATGCCTGGTTCAGAATATTACATCTTACATATATATATATATATATATGGGGAACTTCTCTTAAGCGGTCTGTCTTGAACCTTCATCAAATTCACAATTATGTGGGCTTCTTTAGTTCCCGCAAAAGTCCCCAGGCCCTCTGAAACTGATAAAAAAAAATAGCCTATATGGGAATTTAGGTTCAATGGATAAATCAATAGGAACTAAAGAAAACTTCACAGGGGTTAGAAGGGAGGGGAGGGAGGCTTAAAAAAAAAAACATGTAAAAAAATCTTGTAGGATATCTTCATTCCTTTTTAAACTGACCACTCTTTGGTCTTTCTTTAAATCTTCTTGAAAACTATCCCTGTATATCAAAAGTCTTCAATGCACTCAAACTGTCTGTTTATATCCAAGCAAACAATTAAAACAAACATATCTTTTAGCGATACTCTATTTAAACTTTTTTTTTTCTAGGTAAAGTCCATTTTACTAATATTGTTAATTAAATGCTCTTAAACACAATATAAAATTCCATACTATTTATTGATATTCTTCTTACAATATAAACAAAATATTTGGTTGTTTGTTCTTATTAAACAGTTGTAAAATATATATAACACCCCCGATTATTAATATCAGTATTTTTTTTTTCAATTATTACACCATTTTTCAAAATAAAATTTTAATTTAATATCAATTTCTGCATTTCGGACTACTTAAAAATAAGTCTTGATGCCAGTGTACAAAGTGCAAGAGCCAAAGATGAAATTTATTCAACTATGTAAACTGAATTGTTATTTTATATTTATATTCATTCATAGGTTAGATATATATAACATTATGAAACTGATTAACTTTAGTGATATCGCTTTTGTTCCCATTTATAAATATAACAGAAATTCTACATTTCAGGTTTTATTGATTTCAGTTTTCACTATAATTTTTTTTTAATTTGACAACATTAAAATCTCTAGTAATTTAAAAATAATTCCCAATTCCCGCTTAAAAAAAAAAAAAAAAAAGATAACGCCAAATATTATGTAAATGTTTGTTTATTCGATATTATTAAAAATATTAACTAAATTTTGTTTTTTTTATTCAAGGGTTATAATTATATAACATCAGCATCTGCGCTATCCTTTTTGTTCTTACTACATATTTTCATTTTCATAATAAACTTTCAATTTGATTTAAACTGCCCAAAAATAAATTCTAACGCCAAAAATTATTGAAAGTTTTGTTTGTTTGTTTTTATTCAAGGGTTATAGAATTATATAACATCAGCATCTGCGCTATCCTTCTTGTCCATACTATATATTTTTTCATTTTGATAATAAACTTTTAATTTTGGCTTCAACATTGCATCTCCAACAGCAAAAATTATTGAAAGTTATAAAATGAGAATTTCTATTTTTTATAAATCGCTCTTTATATATTCCTAAAAATTTTATTTTTTCAAGCCGTTGTAGTATAGTGGTTAGTACACTTCGTTGTGGCTTTTAAAGATCGAATCCGAAGAAACCTCAGTTCGATTCTGGGCAACGGCAAATAACTTTTTTTATTCCCTTTTTTAATAGGAATGTAATTCTCACAATAGCTTTTACCTTTAATTTTTGTTTTGTTTTTATTTACCGTTGCAGTCAAGACCAACATGATTGTGTTAGTCTGTTATAAAAAGATATTATTTTTTATAGTGGTTGTGGTATATCTATCGGGCTGTGAATTACTTAAAAAAAGAAAAAGAGAGCGCATCTTGTAGGATGAATGTATTAAGAATTACCACTTAAGAGATAAGCCACATAGATGACTTGTAGGACCAAATTTTAATTATTTGATAGCTGTCGAGTCCTCGGTATAATATGAATTTAATAATGATAGTGATAAATAATAAAAGTGATTTATTGATTAATAAGTAATAGTCTTTCACGGCAAGTTAATTTTTGGCCATTTCGTGGTTAGGGTTTCAAAAACAAGATAAAATTGATCTTAAGCTGGTCATCTTGTCTAATTTTACCAGCCTAAAATCAATTTTATCTTGTTTTTGAAACCCTAACCACGAAATGGCCAAAAATTAACTTGCCGTGTTTGATCTTAAGAATACTTTGTTATCTCTTCAGTATCCTATTCTTGAGTAATGCTGATCGTTGTGGTGATGCTTCTAGGTTTGTGGTTATATAAAAACAAACAAACAAACAATAAAAATAAATGATTATTGTGAAGTTGCTTCAAATTGGCCTAATATTTCTCCTTTATCACGTGACTCCGTGGCCAAGCTGGTGAAGGCGCACGACTGTTAATCGTGAGATCGTGAGTTCAATCCTCACCGGGGTCGTTGTTTTCATTTATTTTTAAATTTTTATTTTTTAAATTTTTAATCTTTTTTTATTAAATGAAATAATGATATTCATCTAAATATTTACAATATATTTAATCATCATCAAAAAAATCATCATCACTATCTGTCCATCCCCATTCATATGCTTCTGTAATTGTTGCAATATCTTCTTTCAACTCGTCGATGCCTTCATCTGTCGACCTGGTAATCTTCTCCAAAGTTGTTAAGCAATTCTTCATGTAAACTCGAGTCAATGAAGTCATACCCATTTCTGTATAAACATTCTTAGTTTCTGGTGAATTCATATTGAGTTCATTCGATGGAAATGAAGGTACGCTTGACGATGTGGCAAACGGCTGTGAGCATTTGTATTGGTGTAAAGAAAACTCTGAAGTTCCAAGCTGCTGCAATTCAGATGCTTTAAATAATGTATCAAATGTTGTATCTGATTTCTCTAGCTGAACGCACTCAACATCTCTAATTGACCCAACTTTTGTAAAATATCGGACAGAAGATGATGATGAGTCATCTAATCCACGAAACAATGATCCAGTCATGTCCATAGTAGTATAGTTAATGTTTTTCTTATTATTTTTCCCAATAATCCCCATACTTCCAAATTTCTCATAAATGCTCAAACGGGAATCTAATGACTTTTGCACATCATCACTATTAGAGATATTTTCTTCTTTTTCTTGTACAAGAGAACTAGATATACTCGAAACAATATTGCGATTGCTTCCACCTTGTATATCTCCCAATATATTTTGCATTGATACACGACCACACCCAGTTCTTAAACTTGAAAGTGTGCTTATTGTTTCAAAAGGGAGCATAAACATTGCAGCACGATGCCACATACTTTTCACGTCAAAAAGTTTTAATTCTTCTTCTGGTATCTTGGATGGTATCGACAAGGGAATTACTAAAGATGCAGATTTGGCTAATGCTATTGTGCTCTGTATTCGAGAAAGTGCTTGAATCCTTGTTTTCCTATCACCACCTCTGTACTTGTTCCCCTTGTTAAATGAATATAATTCTGCAGTCAGGCATTCATCATAAAGACCCCATGCAAATAATGGGGTTTTGGGGGCATAATCTTGTCTAAACTCTTCAATTACTTTTGCTGAAAACCCACCCCATGCAGTATCAACTTCGGATACTAATGAAAGGCCACTTAAATTATCTGCTTCTTCAATAAACGGCCGCAATGTGTCTTCAATATAGGTACCATCAAGCCCCATAGAATTCACCTCTTTAAACTCATTGACACCAGTGTCGTAACTCAAAAATTTGCGAGCCTCAGGGCCGGTTTCTCCTCTTACTTGTCCCAACGGTGCGGTATCTGGATTGTACTCCCAATTCGGAAGAGTGTGGAATGAAAGTCGTGGATTATAGTAAATATTTAGATAATCCGACCAATACTTTGTGTTTTCAGTATTCAGCATGGAATGATTGGCCCTTCCCAAATCCAATGCTTGCTGGTATTCAGATAAAGGGATTTTTTCTTGCTTGATTGTAGAATCCTTATTGATAGTATCAAGTGTGAGTTTCTTAGACTCGGCTGACCATAAATCAAATTCATCGGCAACACCATAATTCATTTCAACTTTTTCGTAATTGTAAATAGGATTCGATTTCTTCATGGCACCAAACCCTCCACGCATGTCCCAAATTATAGCCCGCGGGGTAAAAGTTTGCGTTTTATGATCTGTGCCAAGGCCTTGCCGAAACAACACTGAAGGTTCTACAAATGACCTAGTTCCAATATCTGAATCATTGTAAGCAAAATATGAATTCTGAGCGTTATAGAAATGTGTAGTCAGATGATTTGCCTGGGTTGAATGGGATAAATGAATGATCTCGTGCATTGTGTTAATGACCTTGAACCCTGATTATTGAAATTTTGATTATTTTTTTAAAAAAAAAATACAAACTAAAATTTACTAATTATGTAATTAATTATGTAATTAACAACAGGAACAATTTAACACCTACAACCATCATCTGGAATATCTTCATCAACAAATCACCATGGCTGTTCAATCATTATATATTCTCAACAGGGCCGGAGGTTTAGTTTACCAAGTATGTTCCTATATTAATGTCGTAATATTTTCTAACTTTTTTTAGAAAGATTTTCAACCCGGCTTAAAAAAGCTTTCAACAAATGAGTATCTAGTTCTTGCAGGCACTTTTCATAGTATACATGCCATCTCATCGCGCGTATCACCAATACCAAACTCATCTGGCATTACAAAAGTTGAAATGTCTAAATTTGCTATGCATTGCTTTCAAACTTTGACTGGAACCAAATTCCTACTCATTACCGATATTAAACAAGGAGCACAGGGGTCTGGCATGTCATTGATGCCAGACGCAATTATCAACAAGGTTTATCAGCTGTACGCTGACTTTGTCATGAAAAACCCTTTTTATCAAATGGACATGCCAGTGAGATGCGACTTGTTTGATCAGAATCTCACAAAATATCTGAATGAAATAGCATAAAACTAAAACCTCACTAATATACACTAATATACACATTTCATGACCTGTTTACAAAAAAAAAAAAAAAAAATAACACTAACTAAACCTAACTGTTAAGTAACTCTCCATCGATAGAATCTATGGGAGCAGATGACTCTGACTCTCCAAAATTATGATGATCTTCCTCTAACTTTGAAATTCTTTGCTCTTCCATGTCCAACCATAAATCTCGTGAACCCAAGTCATGTAGTGATAATGACCCGAGGGCCGCTTCTGCTACACGCCGCTGTTCTCGATTCCAAATTTCCATCCGAGAATCTTTATTCATCAAACTCCACTGTTCATAAGCGACATTGATCTTATTTGTGTATTCTTCCAAAGGCATTTTGTTGTCATAAAATTCTCGAAGTGGTTCCAAAGCTTGTTTCAATTGCTCCAATGTTTGACTAGTTGGGGGATCGTGTGGCCACAAAGCAGGCGGCAAAAAGTATAATACCACATAAGCAAACGAAGGATGTGGTGGCAAGTGTGGAGTTCCTATTCTATCAAAAAAGTTTTGACGAGCTTGTTCTCGTGATCTATGTACTAGATCTTTCATTTTTCGCCTAGCTCTTGCTCTTTCACGTACATCTTCGCGAGAATTGTATTCCTTAGCACGTTTTGCTCTCCGTGCTCGTACTTCCATAACATCTCCTCGACGCTTGACATCAGCGCGAATGAGGTCAATTTGATCAGCAGGGTGTAGTCTTGTGCCTCTTTTCAGATCCAAATGCCTTCCAAGAGACCCAGAATGAGAAAAAACATGACCACAAAATTGGCAAACATTTTGGAAATTAGATTTCGTTTTTTTCAAGCCAGGCGTTCCATTTAACTCTGTTAATTCGGATTCTGGTTGAACACCTACAGAAAGTTGGTCAAATTTATCTGGCTCGTCATATTGTATCATATTCAAAGCATTTGGATTGTTTCCTGAAAAACTATCTGTTTTGTCATCATCAGAGTCATTTCCAGATATCAATACATGTGGTAGATCTTCTTGGACCGAAGACACAATCATGCCACCAGTTTCGTGGGCATTGCCACTGGAATCGATATCCAACTCAGATGGAGTTTGTTGGGTATTGTTTTGTAGAGTTGACTGTGCTATTTGCATCAAAACTTGAGTTGTCTGATCAATATCTGCATCCAACAAATGATCCGTTTCACTATCGGGCAGGCATGGAGATGGATCTGATAAAGATGATGGCCTAGTTGGTTGGTATCTTTCAAAATCTGAGGTTGATAAAACTGGTCCTAAAGAATTAATATATTGCTCCTCATTGTTCAAACTGGCTTCCAGGCCTGTGCTATGATCTTTATGATCAAAATTCGATATCTTATCATTAACAGAACCGTCAATATCAATCTTCCCAGCTAATGAAAGCAAGTTATCAGTGAATGCTTCAAGATCAGTTGTATTAATGTTATCACCGGAAACAGTTTCTGGTGTATCAACAGCATTGATAGAATTGACATCATCTGTATGAGACACAGTATGATAATGATTAGGATTTAATTGAATTAAAACGACTTCATTTTTATCATTTGCAAGGCTACTCGAGGTGGTTGGATCAAGTGAAGCAGTAAAGGAGCTCAGAGTGTCGTTTGTCGAGTTATTATTAAGATTCTGATCACTCTTGATGTCGGAAATAACTGGGGTGCTATTAGAAATTGAATTATCTGTGTTCGAATTAACAGAGAGGTGAAGTAGATTATTTTTATTCTGCGTATTGTCCTTGTACATTTGTTAAGGAATGATCTTTATTTTAGATAAATAAAGCATCAAATTTCAAATAGCAATGAAAAAATCATAACAAGACTCTGAAAGATTTCAGAGCTGAAATCAAAAAAAAAAAAAAAAAATTGAAAAGAAACAACAAAAGGTTTTTTTAAACAATGTGGATTAGATCTTTTGTAAAGTTGCTTCTTGCTCAATGCAAAAATTTACCCTTCACATAGGTGGTAGTGTAGGCACATATGCAAATATAAAAATAATATGACTAACTGATTACAAACTATAACATAATATAGAATATATTATATATATATGTACCCCAGTCTGTGTGAACGTTGAGATGTTAACACCAACATGTGAAAACAGTATCTGCCACCAAACCACTGAGTCCCATGATCAACGTACAATGAATGTAATTACGTGAAGTAATTAACTTTTGAAAATTATATAAAATTTAGTATTTAAGAGATTCATTTTTAACTGCATTTTCATTTTTGGAATCTACAATTTTTAAGTATGTCGACCCTTAAAGAACAAAAAATTCTCAAGGCAGTCGAGGCATTTTCTAGCCCCACAAACACACACACCTTAGTTGAGATCTCCAAATCATTTGATGTCCCTTACAGCACGGTTCGCGATCGCCTCCACGGTATTCGACCGCTTGCCACCGCTCAAGCTGAAAACCAATTATTGATGCCGATACAGGAATCTATTCTCGTGGACCATATCATTAATCTGTGTCAGTTAAAATCAAATCCTACGAGCAAAAGCGTGATGGAAATGGCGGGGAAAATATTGCACCTGGAAAACCCCGAGAAACCCCAACCATCACGATCCTGGCTAAACGGATTTATTGAACGATCTGGCGTGCTAGTGCGGTCGAAACGAGGTATAATCGATGTACCGAATGTGAGAGAAGGTGGTGAACACTTAATACAATTATTCTTCGATCGGTTGCACCACTACGAAACAAAATATGACGTCCCACCTTCACGAGTATGGAATTTGGATGAATGCGTGTTTAAATGTGATGAATCTGTTAAGGGTTCATTGGAAGTAAAACCGAAGGATGTTTCAAACAGCGCGTCGTATGAGTCCTCTAACGATTTGGTCACGGTACTTGAATGTATATCGGCCGATGCACGAATTTTAGAACCCATCTTTATATACAAAGAACTCCACACAATCGAGGCTTGGTTTCCAGATATTTCAAGACCGCAAACTATGGTTTCGGTATCGAAAACTGATTTTATTAACTCAGAGATATTCCTCGAGTGGTTTGATAAATATTTCCCTTCTTCCAAGCCAGGTACATGGCAGGTATTAATTCTTGATGGTTGCGAAGCCAATGAATTGACAAAATTCCACCGTTATGCCATGCGAAAGGGCGTTGTTTTGCTGTATTTACCGGCGGATATGTCGAACGTCTTGCAACAGTTAGATAGGTCATGTTTTAATACAGATAAACAAGGGTTTCGCCGTCAAACTGCAATTGATTTCCCTGAGGGATTGTCACCCTCGAAGCGAACAAATTTTTTATCATATATGAGGAAAAGAAATATGGCATACTCACGAAATGTTATAACAGAGGGATGGAAACTCTCTGGAATTTACCCACGTTCCGTTACAACTGCAATAAACTTTTTTAGAAGGCAGAGGAACCTTCCTATTCTCGAAAATACATCTGAATTGCCAAGCAAAGTTCAAAATTCCGAAGTCAATACAAATCAATCTTCCACGAATCCGGCGCCTTCACCAGTCCATTCGGCGCCCTCGGAAACTCCCATATTTGTTAATTGGAGGGCTGAGCGAATGTATATGATGAGGCATCCCAAGGAATGTTTGAAGGCATTGAAAAGGAGCAGGGAAGATTTGGCGTTACTCACTACACAACTCGCTCAAGTTCAACAAGAGTTGGCCATAACGAACAACAAAATAAGGGATTTACAAAAGGATGAGTCGAGGAAGCGGCCCCGAGTAGAGCTGGATAAAGCACCCTGATTTGGAGAATATATGAAGAGACTCTCAGTTGGGGAGGTGAAATTTGTTATGGGGCATTCAAGTGGGATTCAGATGAGGAAGATCAGGAAGATGAACATAAAAGTAATTGGTACTAACAAGATTGATGGCGTAAATTAATGCTAAATGGCTAGATCTATCTATAGTAATTACTATAGATTATAATCTATCAAGTATTCAGGTCCACAACTTATCACTGTAAAACGTTAAAATTTTGAAAAATGTGTTCAACACGTACCCTCTGTGCATGGGATTGAATGCAGATCGTATCATAGGTATAATAAGGCTGGGCGTCACCGTTAGATTATTACAATAATAACAGTAACTGTAAGATTAATATTAAGATTAAAATTAAGATTAAGATTAAAATTGAAATTGAAATTGAAATTGAAATTGAAATTGAAATTGAAATTGAAATTGAAATTGAAATTGAAATTGAAATTGAAATTAAGAAAAAATAAAAATAAAAATAAAAATAAAAAGATTTTGATAGTCTTGTGCCACATATATTTAGTAAGACCGGCTCTATCTAGACATAAAGAAAAAAAAAACGAATTGGCCAATTTTTATGGAAATTGACAAAATATATATTTGAAGCATTTATATCCTTAAATTATTTTGCTATGTAATAATAATGATAAGTAATATAGAATTGATTTTTTTTAAATGAAACTTTTGATACAAATCTTCAAATATTGTCTTACAACTATTACTATTATTTCTATAACCCTTGAATAAAAACAAAAATAATAAACAAAACTACTAATATTATTTTAGTAAATATGTTGATTCAAATTGAAAATAAATACTTTAGTAAATATGTTGATTCCAATTGAAAATAAATCTATTTAACCAAAAAATGTTTCTACTGAAAATAACTTTAGAAATCTAATAAATTACATACATATAGGATAAATATCTTATCTCCACAAAATATTATTCATATACTGGTCCAGTTGCTTAGTGAGAACTTCTTCAAAAGAGAGTACATGAGCAGTGCGTTCTTGTTTTAAACGAAGATATGCAGTAAGCAAATTTATACAGTCCCTTAATGCAACAATTAAAATAGAACCTAGAAGATTTCTGTTAAACGCGCTTGGGATATACTTCTGAATGATTGGTATATTTCCAAGCATTGTACCGACTGTCCCACTAAGCCATGGCCAAATTAATGCATAACCAATTTGTAAGGATAACCTTTGCTTACTAACAATCCAATTCATATCATCGTCATCGTCATCGTCGTCATTATTATTGACTTCGTTAGCGTTATCATTATCATTTTCATTTTCATTTTGATGGTCTTCACCATTGTTTTCAGCATTCGCACCTTGATCATCTCGACGTCGGTCGTGATTATTTAAACGAGCAACGTTGTTGGCTTGTTGGTTTGCATTCCGGTTATTACCTCTGAACCAATTAATTATACCACCCAAAATTGGCCCCATAAAATTAATTCCAAGGTCATCATCGTCATCATCATCAAGATCAATTAGCTCATCTTCCACAACAACTTCAAAGTTAAATCCTTCTAGAAGTGCACCATCATTTCCTGATGGCTTTACCCGTGAGTCCTTCATTTGCTTTCCAATAGATATGATAATTGGCTGAACAAGTTTTTCATAGAGTTTGAGATATCCAAGCCGTAAAAATGGATAAAGGGCTAGAGCCAACTTCTCATCCCTGAACTTCCATATAGGGGTATCCTTTGATGCCATCAATAGAGGAGATAAGCATAGAGCAGCATTAGCAAAATTGGAAGTTCGTCGCGCAAGCACCAACAGGATCGGAACCAAAGCTGGTATTGCTGTTGTTTTTGTAGTAAGTTCTAGTGTCCGAATGCCGGTTTTATCGCTGGTTATGCCTAGTACAGAATCCGCCATATCCGAAGGACATATAGAGCGAATGACTGATGATCCTATGGTGTAAAGTGAAGTATAAAAAAACAAGACGATACCACCACCGACACTGCTTAAAATAAGAGCATTCGCAGTTTGAGAGTTAAATGACTCAATACTATCACGAAGGTTAAGAAATAAATTGGATTCTTTCACAATGTGAATCTTTCGAAGACACTGCGGACAGGTGAGGGGCTTATTTGGATCTTTTTGTTCAACGGAAGCTGCCCACTTTAAAAGACAACCTTCATGAGCGACAAGATTGCATGTGCACACTTCACGCCAAGGACCACATGAAGGATCACTGGTCTCATCTGTTTCAAGACATATCCAACATCTTTTTTCTGAGGAGGGTGATCCTGGAGCACTCATTGGAATTTTGATAGTTTTTGAAAACTCGGCTGAAACAGATGTGTAAATGTGGAGGTATTTTTTTTTTGGTGTTATTTTTTTTTATCATTTATGCAAAAAAAAAAAAAAAAGAGCGAGTAACTTTTTCTGGGAGGTGATAAATTATAGTCACGTGATTGAGATTAAACAAAAGGTGTGATAAAGATGTTACTTGTAACAACTAAGTAACAAAATTCAATGTAACATCCAAAATCTTCATACCAGTTTCTGAGAATTGAAATAAGTTGGCAATTGATGAAAAAGATAAGGATAAAATCTCAATAATTTTATATTACTGTTACAAATCAATTCTTTTCTGAATCAATCAATTGAAGAATAATATATCAATTTTATAATATGCCATTTTTGACAGCAACATAAGAATCCACTGACATATTGGAAAACCTCAGACCGATGATTGCTTTTAGAAAACTACCTTCTACTGTTTTGTGGATGATTAAATAAGGAAACTCTCCACTTTTATGCAGGTATTAAACGGTCAATAGAACGGTTAAAGATTCTCTTAAACATTTTTTAAGAATGCCCAATCCACATTCTCTCTCTCTCTTTTTTTTTTTTTTTTTTTTTTTTTTTTTTTTGAATCAAGACAAAAGCCCACTATTTTAATTGGGCAAGGTGTATTATTGAAGTTCTAAGAACCAAAAGATACCAAGGTACAAGGTAAATAAATACACATAATAATAGCCAATATTTTTATTAGCAGTAGATTACTTGGCGGGACGGCTATCCGACTAAATATACTAAAGTTTAATTATCAGAAAAGAATTTGAATAAAAAACAAAAAAAAAGTAAAAGAAGAAAAAAAGAAAAAAGAAGAAGAAGAAGAAGAAAAAAAAAGAAGAAGAAAAATAAAAATAAAAATAAAAATAAAAATAAAAATAAAAATAAAAATAAAAATAAAAAGAAAAAGAAAAATAAGAAAAAAAAGAAAAAATAAAATATAAAATATAAAATATAAAAAAAAGAATATATTCATCTATATAGATAAATCTCCAAGTAAAATAAAATTGCAAATTTCATGGGTAAATTTAAGTTCAACAGAACTGGTCCTTTTTTGTATTCTAGAAAGAAAATCTTTAAAAAAAAAGAAATTTGATTTCTTTAATTACATTCATTATTTTAGTTGTAAGACTATAAAAATATTCTTGATAGTATCAGACTGGTGCCTATTAACATATTGAATGAAGAAAAAAAAAGTTGCCCAAGAGGGCCAAAAGTTTCAATTATTTTATAGTGTTGATATCTATCAAGAATTGTTTTGCATTATTCTAAAAAATGCCCAATTATCAATCCTTCATCTTTATTCAAAAATTTCCCAACTTTTTGATCAAGGCTCATTGTTTTTGTAGAATTTTAAAAAAATATGGTTCACTAAGACATGGTATCAATCTACAATGATATTTGTGGTTAAACTTCAACAACAATAATAATCACAAAAATTAGTAAAGTCACTAACTAGATGTTATTGAGAAATTAATAAAAGAAAAATTATTTTAGAGTTCATTTATATTAATATTTTCAGGCGACTAAAAATTTAATTGAAATCGTGTTATTATGATAAAAACTCAGTTAAAAACCTAGACTAAAAATGAATCTTTTAAAACTTCTATTGTTAACTGGAAATTGAGTGGACGCCTTAGTACGGAAAAGTTCATTATCTCAATTGGGTTAAGATATTATTTTTCTTCTTTTTTAAAAGATTTTTAGAGATAGACAGCTCTAAATATGTTGGAGATTCACTACGCATGAATTTAATGCAATGAATAACACGGCTCTGTGTGTTATAAAAAAAAAGAAAACTTGAAATTTTGAAAGGGACCGAAATAATTAGCTCTAATTGAAAGAGATCACAAATTATTTCTATTTTATTTGAGCTTTATATACATGTGGTATTGAAATTATAGCGTGACAAAAAGGGAGTTTAAGACGACAAATTTAATTTATCCCACTGTAGTTTTATTTTTTTAATTAAGCTATATTAACTAGAAGCATTGAAGAAAAAAGAAGGATCCCTTAATTTATTTCAAAATTGGCAATAAAGGAGTGAAAGACTAAGTTATCATAAAAAAAATTTACTTGTATCCAAGTAGTTATGATTGAAGTATATTTACAATAATAAAAATGTTTGAGCCTTAAGATACTCATAAATTCTAACATATTTATTACTGCATTTTACTATTGAAAATTTTTACATTTTTTAAACTCATTTATCTTCATAATGAAATCATAAGTGAATTGTCTCTTGATGAGAGCTTTTACAGATAATTGTATTTTAAGATGTGAAGCTTGGCTTGAATTTTTTTTTGTAGGGTTTCTTAAAATGCATGAATTGTTCTAGGTCAGAACTAATTTCTAGAATCTAGAAAGAAGTTAAGAAAATCTATTTGTAAGCAACTATAGTTTTTCAATAAAGCAAGTGAAAAGGTACAAATTCTGAATTAGGAAGGCAAAAACAAAAATATCCTTCATGTTAAAGTAGCTCCAATGTTCCATTCACTAAATATATTCAATATTGAAATATATGCAAAAAATTCAAAAGAATAAGAAATATATTTTTAGGTAGCTTAAAGTTCATATGAAAAGTACAATATTGAATTCTATTCAGAAAAAAACTGAGTTTTTATCAAAAGCAAAATTGACAACCTTTTTTTAAGGTGAATATTCTCATACATATTTTGTAATGCCCCAAAGACTTAATTGTTTTTTAGTTATGATTGACCAAGTAGATTAATATCGGCAAAGGATAGTATTTTTTTTTCATCTTAAATCAACACATATTATTTGCTGCCTCGGTTTCAGCTTACTCTTCATTTTGGAAAATAAAGCAACGCTGCACTCAGCACAATAAAAATGGTTGAAAAAAAGTATTGACAGATATTTATGTGGATTCGTCGGTTATTTGTTTTTTTTAAAAAAATGCTTTAAACAGCTATAGGAGATAAAAAAAAATTACTTGAGAAAAAGCCCGCGGCTCATACTTTGGTGTAACCTTATAGAGTAAGAGAGATGGTCAATTAAATATTTAGGCAAGCCATATTGATGAAAATCAATTTTTTTTTTTGTGAAAACTGAAAAATCTAGAAAACTTTAAAAATCTCTATTTCTTTTTTTACTTTACTTTATTTTATTTTATTATTATAATTATAATTATATTTTTTTTTTCTTTTTTTCTTTCTATAAAGTTATGCACCAAGTAGTGATGGCTGGTTAAGAAGGGTTTGAGAAGCAGGGGAAAGAAGGGTGTTATGCGCTTGAAACATTCAGCACACGGTAGTCACAACACTTTTAAATGCATTTGGACTTTAATTGATGAGGTACAACCAGCCAATTGACTGATTGATGAAAAGATCAGACGCAATGAGTTTTGGGAGGCTGAATCAAAAACGATTCTAGTGACAAGACCTTAATGACCTCAAGACAAAATAAAAAAAAAAAAACTCCGGGGTATATTATCATACCTAAAAACAAATTGAGTACCCCCATACCTTGTACGTTCACCATCTAATACAATATTGGTAATAAAAAAGACACACAGTTAAACGGAGGTATCATGCAGAAGCAGTTGGAGGAAAGCATAATTCATTCAATTTCGGTGCACAATGAAAAGGGACGCTTGGATCATGCTAGGAAAAAGTAAAACCTTGAAAATCTGAGCCACTTATAACCAACCCAAACTTAATTTGTTTTTAACAAATCTGGTCTTGAATTATCCACACCGTCTTCAATTAATCTTGTTTTACTACTCTTTCTTATTCTTTTATATAAATGAAATAATGAATCCGCTCGTTTGAAGAAAACTTCCCCTCTTTTTTTTCTCTTTCTCTCTCTTTTTTGCATTTTTATATACTTATTCTCCAGGTTTAGGTGCCCATTCTTTTATAAATCTATATACACTCATTTTCATATCCTTTTTTTTTTTTTTTTTGATACTCAATCACATCATAAAATGGTTCCAAACCTTCAAATTAGAGTGCCAGTTGGCAGTCCAAAAAAGTTTCTCGAGTCTTCATGCTCAAGCCCAACCACACCAGTTTCCTATAATTATAACCACCTTCAATTTGAACAATACCATTACCACTACCAGCATCAGCATCCTCAGCCTGTACCAAAGCAGCACCAGCATTATCAGCACCAGCAACAAGCTCCAACTCATCAAGCCCCTACTTCTTCTCCTGTTATGTCTACCTCGGATAAGGTTGGCTATATTCTTAATGACACTTATTACCTAATTAAAATTTTGGGCTCAGGAGCTTGTGGAACAGTCTACTATGCAAAGTGTCTGACATCTGGGAAGGAGGTAGCCATCAAGACAATGCTTAAGCCAGCTCCTGGCTTTTACTCTTCTCCAACAACTGCGTTAAACCTGGAAAAGTGCCACTATAATAACAAAAACAACAATAATAATAATAATAATAATAATACTAGACATAATCGCATTGTTGCGACTCCAATTTCGCTGTTACCAGAAGATCTTGTTGGTAATAATACAAACTCTGCTGAGTCACCTCGATCGAGTCGATCTGCTAACCCCAATAAGGCGCTTTACAATGAAGTTTATTTACATTCATCAGTCCACAACCACCCCAATGTCCTGCAAATTCTTCAAGTACTGGACTCTGAGCACTATCTTTTTGTTGTGCTTGAGTATTGCCCTTTGGGTGATTTGTTTACAGCCATTACAGAGCGTAATTGGTACGTGGGCGATGACAATTATGTCAAAGCCATGTTTACGCAATTGCTGGATGCAGTTGACCACTGCCACCGACGAGACGTTTACCACTGTGATCTCAAGCCAGAGAACATCATGGTTGATAAGCAAGGACGCCGACTTAAGATTGCCGATTTTGGATTAGCGTCGAAGAGTCAAATCTGCACCGTTTTTGGGCGCGGTTCTTCGTATTACATGGCTCCGGAGACCATTCCAGAGAATGTTATTTATAGACATGTGCCAAAATCTGCTTTGGCAGCACCACAACAGGGAGATCAGGATAAACCACGAGACGTGTTGGAGCACAAGCATTTGGAAGCTCAACGCAAGGCAGACATTGAGCATCGCAAGCGTTATCACAATAAAAAGCAGTCGAAGCGGCCATTGCAGAGTAAAGGTTATCCACGAGCTTCGAGCGATGTGTGGGCTCTTGGTGTGATTTTACTAAATCTCGTATTTGGTCGAAATCCATGGAAAAAAGCATCACTGACTGAGGACTCGGCCTACCGAGACTACTCGACCAATCCAGAGACTTTGAAGGGAGTACTTCCAGTGTCTGAGGAGTTGAACCAGATCATGGCACAGGTGTTTCACCCAGACCCATACAAGCGGATCCAGATTCCTGAGTTGCGCAAGCGTATTTTGGCATGCAAGAAGCTGACGAATCCGTCACCTAACTTTACCTGGTTTCAACCATTTGTCAAGAAGGCTGAGCAACAGCAGCAGGTTGTTCGTACAGATGTCAGAGTTAAGAAGGAGGAACAACCACGCAATGTTGACGATAATTATCAGGTTAACGGTGCAGTAACCTCCGCCGCACGCATTCCACAACAGCCCCAGCAGCAGCTGCAGCTGCCCAAACCAGCTCAGGCAGTGCCTCAGCCCCAGCAACCCCAACAGTCAGTTCAACAGCAACAAGCCGTTCATTCCGAGCATCAAGCTTTGGAAAAGGTGGAGAAGCAGCTCACGTCAACTACCACAGCTGGGCTCCAAGGATCTTCGGGATCTTCTACAGCTCCATCGTCTGCTAATTCGTCGACTGGACCCAGTTCTTCAATTGTGGAATCTGTTATTGTAACTCCAGCAGTTGGCGACAATACGGTACATCCCAGCCAGGTCTACTATTATAATAGTCCAGTTGAGTCTCCTGAAAATTGTGAAAAGGATCAGCAGAAACAACAACAACAAGAGCAGCAGAAGCAGCAAGATAAGAATGGCCAGGTTATTACGGCAGTGCGGGAGACTACTAGCAAGAAGCCTCCTCAGCAAGTTACAGTCAACCAAATTGAGGACTTTGACATGGATACTGTGAGCACCACATTGAACGCTAGTGCTGGCACTAGCTTTAATCGGTATAGTACAAAGAAGCCTGGATCTGTGGGCAGTATTTTCAGCAATACTACTAGAGTCGGGGTTCTTAGTAACATTACGAATAATAACAAGATTGGGAACACGATTAACCTTTCTCCTCCTAATAGCATTGCGACGACCAATTATAGTAATGCTGATGACTATTATGGGAACAATAGCATGCACTCATCTTCGCTAATGTTTTCATCAACTTCGGGCAACTCGAGCGGGTCTGGCACTGGGAGTCCACAGCAACGTAAGCGCAAGACTTATGAAGAAGAGTTTACTGCAACGGGGATTATTGGAGGCATGATTGGGAGTCAGTATCGGGGTGGTAAGAATGCCAGCATTAATCATAGCTTTGGAGTGTATGTTCCTTGTGGCAATACTACCATTAGCAGCAACAATAGCATTTTAGGATCTTCATCTTACTTTCATCAAGTGAAGGTTCAACAACAGATTCAACAACAACAACATCAGCAGCTAGATGGAGAAAAAAATAGCCAAGATAATACTCAGTACTTACTTGAAGAGCAGCAGGATCTGTTTGAATACGATGCACTGAGCAGTTATACTACGTCGAATGTGTCTAGTATTTCAGTGAATAGCAACAATACGACTACAACGACAGCAGCAACAAGTGCGACTAACAATAGCATTGACTTTAATACATACCGTCAAAAGTACAATAAGAAGTTGAACCAAAAGCCAACGACGATGATTGCAGCGGCTGCGGCTGCAACTGCGGCTGCGGCGCACTCGTTCCAGCGCAAGATGGAATTTTTGTATTATCAATCGCGCGGCGGAAGCGGTAACAATAACAATGATGGGACCAAGATGAACATTGTGAATAATGTTAATTACAATTACGGGAGTTTCAAGAGATTTAGATCAAAGAGTTTCTCATCTGCATAAAAATCAAGACTATATATTAAGATTAATAAAAAAAAAAGATTAAAGCATTTTGTTTAATTTAAGGATTTACATTTTTTTATTATATTTTTTTTTAATTAATTAATCATCTATCGTTTTCAGCTTGAAGTTCTGAGACCAAGGCGGGAGTTGTCCGCTTAAGTTCATCTTGCTTGAGCTTTGTCTGTATCAGGTCTGTAAGTTTTGTTGCAATATTGTAAGCAGTAGAGGCACAATTCATAATGACATAACCGTCGACCTCGGTACCTCCAGACTTTGAGACTTGACAGAGTTCTCTATTTTTATTGATTGTGATGGTCATGTAGCTATCTCTGAGAGATTCTTCCTTTGCAGTGGTATCGACGAGAATTACGTCTGATTTGGCAATAGAATTTGGGGCTGCGTCTTCCATATCCTGGTCATAATCATCTGGGGAATCTTTCTTTATGGTGGTAGTAGTATTGGCAGTGGTCTTGACTGGTGGTTTGAAGAAGGAAAATGTAACAGAGATGGGGATGTGAAGGATTGATAACGGGATGGGGTTGCGCTCTTCCAGCGAGTGCACGACGTAGGAATTGCCTTCGACCGAGGTATCAGGGCGACGGAAGTGAAGAAGACCGGCAATGACACCGAGACAAGTGGCGTCAACAAGTCCACCATCAAAGTTGAGATAATGGACGTCGGCTCTAATGATCCAGCACGCGGAGCCCGCGGAAATGACAAGGGATTCTACATCGAGCGCGTTTGAACGACGGATAGCCTTTTCAATGAGCCGCGTCAGTAAAACCTCGTCCTCGGACTGTCGCATGTTTTCAAACTGCGGTGATGCCATGGCACTGATGTCTGTAGTGATGATGAAGATTCCTTCATGTGGACGATCCTCATAGGGTTTACTGACTTCTGCTGAGATGCGCACAACAAGTTTTGTTTTCCCAAGTGTGAGGTTGACATGCCCGTAAGAATCGCCAAAGGAGATGTCTACATCACGCATTTGATCAAACTGTCTGCCATCATAACGAGTTCCTGCATCATGGAGCAAAGATTGGAAAAAGTCCTTATCGTTGGTTGAAAGATCAATTAGCCGTGGCATTTTTAGTCTAGGTTATATGTGTATGTGTCCCTGTATATGGATATATATGTGGGTAGTTTGTTGATATATATATTTGTTATTCACTTTTTGATGGTTTGGAGTTGTTGTGTGGTTGTGAAAATTTTAAAATCCACGTGACCTCAGCAGAGATGTGCCCTGATGAGATTTCCAACATTACGAAAATTTCAAGATTAACATGATGAGATTTCTAACAAGTCCGACACAACGAAAGTTCTTTGCAAAAAAAAAAAAAATTAAAAATTCCCCCCTCCCCCCTGTCGATGGAAAAAAAATAAAAAAAAAATTGCCCCTCCGGCACCGCATGTTCCGAAGGCCCCGCTAAACGCCCGGTCGGCCTTTTGTTAAAATCTGTCGTCAGGAAGTTTTGCTTGAAAATGAATAGAGAGAGAGGGGTGGGAGGAGTCTCTTGCCTCACACACATACAAAGTCCCTTGCCTACACGTACAAAGCCTCACACACACAAAGTCCCTCCCCCTCCCACTTCCCCCCAACACATATAAATACCGGCTAGTCTCCACGCTCCTCCTCATTCTCTAAAAGCCCTCTGCGGTAAAAAACCACCCAAAAAAACGCATCCACTCTTTTCTTTTTAGTCTTTCTAATCTGTTTTGGGCCTTTTTGAACAAATCATCAAAAGTCCCTGTCATATCCTTTGCAATTACAAACCCATACCTCGATATTCTATATATATACCCGTGTTTATACTCTCTCAATCTTTTTTTTTTTTTTTCACCCTTTCCTCTTCTACCTACTACTCTTTCAATCACCACCCATCATTATCATACAATAATGGCTCTTAACACAAACCCTGTTTATATTGTCGCTGCTGCCAGAACTCCTGTTGGCAGTCTTCTGGGCTCTCTTAGCTCTTTGACTTACCCTGAGCTTGGTAGCCACGTCGTTAAGGCTGCTTTAGCCAAAATCCCCCAGATCAAGCCCACCGAGGTCGAAGAAATTGTCTTTGGCAACGTCTATGGTGCCAATGTGGGCCAGAACCCTGCTCGACAGGTCGCTCTCAAGGCCGGTCTCGGCAACGATACCATCGCTACAACCGTTAATAAGGTGTGCGCATCTGGTCTTAAGGCCATCATTTTTGGTGCCCAGAACATCATTACTGGTACCGCTGATGTTGTTGTTGCTGGTGGTGCTGAGTCCATGTCCAATGTCCCTCACTACCTGCCTGATTTTAGACGCGGTATTAAGTTTGGTGGTTCCACAGTTGTTGACGGTATGCAACGTGATGGTCTGCAGGATGCTTATGACGGTCAGGCTATGGGTGTTTCTGCCGATTTGTGCGCCATTGAGCACAACATTTCTAGAGAGCAACAAGACGATTTTGCCATTGAGTCGTATAAGCGCTCTCAAAAGGCCCACAATGACGGAAAGTTCAAGGCTGAGATTGCCCCAGTTGAGCTTCCTGGATTTCGGGGAAAGCCCGGCGTGACCGTCTCTACAGACGAAGATGCTTTCAAGCTTAATGAGGAAAAACTTAGATCTGCTCGTGCTGTTTTCACCAAGGATGGTACCGTTACTGCCCCCAATGCCTCGTCTATCAATGATGGTGCCGCTGCTGTTGTTCTCATGTCTGCTCAAAAGGTTAAAGAACTTGGTATCCAGCCCATTGCCAAGATTATTGGTTGGGGTGATGCTGCCCAAGAGCCCGAAAAATTTACCACTTCCCCGTCCCTTGCTATCCCCAAAGCTTTGAAGCACGCCGGTCTCAATATCAAGGATGTCGACTTTTTTGAATTTAATGAAGCTTTCTCTGTTGTTGGTCTGGCAAATTCTAAGATTCTTGGTCTTTCAGCAGACAAGGTCAATGTCTATGGTGGTGCCGTGGCCATTGGTCACCCCTTGGGATGCAGTGGTGCCCGTATCATTGCCACTCTTTTGTCTGTCCTGACTCAAGAAGGTGGTAAGATTGGTGCTGCTGCTATCTGCAATGGTGGTGGTGGTGCCAGCGCTCTTATTGTTGAACTCGTCGAGCCTTCATCCAAGTTGTAAATATGAGATGTAATTGTTTTTTTTTCTTCTACTATTCCAGTTCTCACCCTTTATCGTTTGATTTTTTTTTATTAAATATATATATATATTTTTCATTGTTGATTCTACATATGATGATGACTCTTTATATAGTCCGGTTATGCATACACTCAAATAATCTATATAGGCTATACATGCTTTAAGCCCTAAAGGGAAAGTTTTTTTTCTTCCCCCCCCCCCCCTCACTCTGATTTATTTCTTCTTTTCCCTCTTCATCTTATTTTTGTTTGTTTTTTTTAATTTAAATTTTTTTACTCAACCTTCAAACCTCATCATTATATATAATCATAATGGAAAAAACTCCTAAAGTAATTGTCTCTAATCCATCAAAACTTGAACCTAGTGATGGTGCAAAACGGGCTGCTAAGCTCCGCTCCACGTCTAACGACATGGTTGCAGCTGGACGGCCACAGAACTTGGGCCAGCTGTTGCCTCAAGTCGAAGAAGCCGTCCATCAGAAACGACCTGAGTGGACTCCTACAACCTGGCAAGATTATCCCATCAAGCAAGATGTGGTATATGACGATGAAACAAAAGTGGAAGCTGCGCTTGAAAAACTGGAGTCACTCCCGCCGCTTGTCCACCCAGCAGAAATTGAGCGTCTTAAACAAAAGCTGAGCGATGCAGCCGAAGGAAAAGCCTTTTTGCTACAAGGTGGTGACTGCGCTGAACTCTTTGATTATTGCAATGAAGATCGTATTGATTCCCAACTCAAGGTTCTGCTGCAAATGTCTCTGGTACTGATTTGGGGATCTAAACTGCCTGTGATTCGTATGGGCCGCATGGCTGGTCAATACGCCAAGCCACGATCTAAGCTGACCGAAATGATTGATGGCAATGAGATTCCATCGTTCCGTGGTGACAACATCAATGGCTTTGATATCAAGTCTCGAACTCCGGACCCCGCACGTTTAGTGTCGTCATATTTCCATGCAGCAGCCACTATCAATCACGTTCGCTCTCAGTTAGCCAATGGATTTGCCGATTTGCGCCGACCTCTTGACTGGGATCTTTCGCATGTTCAAAAGGATCATGTTCGTGAGCGATACCAGGAAGTGGTGGACCGTATCACCGAAGGATTGGCGTTTATGAAGACCATTGGTGCTGACAAAAGCGCTGATATTACCTCTGTGGACTTCTTCACCGCCCACGAGGCCTTGTTATTGGAGTACGAACAAACCTTGACTCGTAATCTCCGTGATCCAGCCACAAACATTAAAAAGTGGTACAACACTTCAGCACACTTTGTGTGGATTGGCGATCGCACACGCCAAATTGATGGTGCACACGTTGAATTTTTCCGCGGCCTGGCTAACCCGATTGGCATCAAGGTGGGCCCCAGCATGGAAGCCAAGGAACTTGTTGAGCTGCTCGATATAGTGGACCCGAACTATGAAACGGGCCGAGTAACGCTGATTACCCGTTATGGTGGAGCCAAAATCCGCGACCTTCTCCCTCAGCACATCAAGGCTGTACGCGCATCCGGTCACAAGGTTGTTTGGGTATCAGATCCCTGCCATGGAAACACAAAGGTTTCGCCCGTGACAAAGTTCAAAACACGATACTTTGATGACATTGCAACAGAGATTCGGCTAGCCCTCGAAATCCATAAGGAGTGTGGTAGCGTACTTAACGGCATGCACCTAGAACTTACAGGCGACGCAGTCACTGAGTGCATTGGAGGATCCCAAGCTCTTGAAGACAAGGACCTGGTCATTAGATATGATACAGTATGTGATCCACGTCTTAGTGTGTCCCAATCGCTGGACATTGCGTTTTTGGTATCGGACTGGTTCCAAGGCAATAAGCAGACCGAAGTTTAGGGACCCGACTTTTATGTATATGTCTTTTCCCGGTAAATGTATATAATTATTGATGTAATAGACATTTGTGTAATTTGTCATATGACTTTTACAAACGCAGTTTTCTTGTTGTCTTTGCCCAGCTCAGTTTTGGCTGTTAGCGGGCGATTTTTTTTTTTTCTGCACTTTTCCACCCAATAAATTACCAACAATCCCCGCCCCTCACCAAAAGCCATTGTATCAACATCAACACACTCATTCAACTACAAACTACTTGCTATTTACCATTATTCTACACATAACATACAATGAACAGACTCCCTATGCTGCGAACAGCTGCTAGAACTGGCGTGGCCATGCTCAATTCACAATCTCGCGCAGCGCTTCTGCTTGCTTCCGGTCGCCGAGGCACTGGCATGCAGATTGTGACCCGGTCGTACGGCTCTCGGTCCCAAACCAGTCTCAACTATTTTCAGCGCAATGACCTGCCTGCCAACACTGTTATTCGGTTTGTACCTCAGCAAACTGCTTGGGTTGTCGAGCGCATGGGAAAGTACCATCGCATTTTGGAGCCCGGCTTAGCCATTTTGATTCCGTTTTTGGATAAAATCCGTTATGTGCAGTCTCTCAAGGAATCCGCAATTGAAATTCCCAGTCAGAGCGCCATTACGGCTGACAACGTGACCCTCGAAATGGATGGTGTTCTGTATATTCGTGTTTTTGATGCATACAAGGCGTCTTATGGCGTCGAGGATGCCGAGTATGCCATTTCTCAGCTCGCCCAAACAACAATGCGCTCAGAAATTGGTCAGCTTACACTCGACCATGTTTTGCGTGAGCGCCAATCGCTCAATGCCAACATTACATCTGCCATCAACGAGGCTGCTCAAGATTGGGGTATCAAGTGTCTCCGTTATGAGATTCGTGACATTCACCCACCTGCCAATGTCCTTGAGGCCATGCATCGCCAGGTCTCTGCGGAGCGTTCCAAGCGTGCTGAGATTCTTGAGTCTGAGGGTCACCGACAAGCTGCCATTAACAAGGCTGAGGGTCTTAAAGAGTCCACTATTCTGGCGTCCGAGGCTATCAAGACTGAAAACATCAACACTGCGTCTGGTGAAGCTGAAGCCATTCTTGTCAAAGCAAAAGCTACTGCTGCAGGTATTCGCCAAATTGCAGAGGCAATCCAGCAAACTCCTGGAGGAAAGGATGCCGTCGCTCTTCAGATTGCAGAAAAGTATGTTGACGCGTTTGGCAAGTTGGCTAAGGAAAGCAACACCGTTGTCGTGCCCGCCGGTTTGGGTGACTTGGGTGGCTTCATTGCAAGCGGTATGGGTATCTTTGAGAAGGTCCGTCAGGGCCAGCAACAGATTGCTTCTAAGGAAGCATTGACTGACAAGGCTGTCGCATCTGCTTCAGCTCCTGCTGCTGCTTCCAAGATTTCTGCACATGATGCTGCGGATCTCAACGATATTGACTCCATCATTAAGGCCGTCGGCGATGTTAAGCCATAAATTTAGACCTGGCTTATTTGTATTTCTTTCTCTGTCGTTTTTTTTTTTTGTATATATCGTATCATCTTTCTATATTGTCAAAACTCTCATAATGTCAAAAATCTCATCTTGTCAAATCCTTCATCACTTAACTTATATAAAGTAGCCCGATCTCCCCTATTAAAAAAAAAAAATTTTTCCTCACACTACACGTTACAAACTGTCATCATTACCACCACCAACCTCTTATATCAACCCTTATAGTGAAGCAGCCATTGTCATCACTACCACCACCACAAGCAAATGTCGGGCTCCCAAGGCACCGCTGAACAGCCGGGCCTTTCGCTCGAACTCCCGGTACTTAACTCCGATCAAATTTCCCACGAAAGCCCCAGAAAGCGCGGCGACCCAAGCGATGACGATATTGCATACTACGGTAATACTGATGACGACAATGATCGTAGCAGAAGTTCCAGCTCCAGCAGCGGCGGCGGTGGCGATAGCAGCCCGGAACATGGCCCGAACTTTAGCACTAACAACAACAGCAAACTACGGCCCAAGACGGCTCCGGCAGATGTTATTCTATCTCGCGATTCTACTCCACCAGATCACATTTATGTGGCTAAACGACGACCAAGACGACATTCAAACAATGTAAATGCTCCACCAATCCGCATCAAGGTTGGACGTAACTGCGAAAACCCAGCAGCTAGAATTGTATTCAAAAAACTGCTACCAGTTGGACCAGCTCCAGGTGCCAATATTGGCTTCACAACGACTATCATTAATACCTTTGGCGATAATACAATCCTATCTCCAGATAATAATAACCCCCCACGGCCACATGCCTTGGATATTACTGAAACGCGCGTGTTCAGCAATGAAGACCCGGCACCAGGTACGATAACTACAACCACGGGCAGCGCCCCAGCAGCTGGTCAGAACTTCCTACCATCTCTTAAAACATCACTTTCTACGCCCTCACCTTCTCCATCACCTAATTGCAAAAAACGTGCATCTACTAGCTTATGTATCTTTGATGAACCGAGCGGGTACCAGATGTTTGAGCGGTCTCAATCACCGTCACCAACTCCTGCACAGCGCGCTAAAACAGCCACGGGAGCAACTTCAACCTCTTGGGTGCCCCCACCGTCAAACTGTTCGCCGCCAGTGTTGCAGACAGCACTTCGTAATGACACTGCGCTGCTCTTCAATTCTCATATTCCCAACATCGAGCTGGTCTCGAATAACAATAGGATAACAGAAAATAAACCGATACAACGACCATCTACATCACCTCTTCAGGCACCTCCTATGCACGTATCAGCGTCGGAAGGGTCGCCATTATCTCGTAATGCTCACTTGACATCGCCAACAGGAGCCCTAGGCCGTCGCTCACCAGGGATTGCTTCCTTACGGAGAAACCCTAAACCCTACCGTGGTCGGCGACACACTGTGGGAGTGGCTGCTGCCTCCGATGACAATGATATGGGAGGTACACGCATGATAGAGCCAGGTCTGTCACGGTCACGGCCGCCCACGTTGTTTGAGTCGCCTGTCCCAGACCTGGCGCCTCCTCAAGACACAATGCTTCCGGAAGATCCTGGGAGTTTGGATCAACTACCGCTGTCGCCGCAATCGCCGAGCAGGACTCCAAGCAAACGCAAAAGACAGGAGGAAGAAAATGATGAAGATGTGGATATGGATATAGAATCTCCCAAGCGCCCTGTATTGGTGTGTTCTAACAAAATTCTAAATGAAACAGCTGATCGACTGGAACGAACCCTGTCGTTTGCCAACTTTGAAAAAGACACTACCGCTTCGGGTAATCAAACGCATTCTGTGCCTGCACACAACGAAGAGAGCCATCCACCTAAACGGATTAAAACGATGATGATGGGTGGGGCTTTGGCTAGAAAAAGTAACAGCACAAGCAGTGCAATCACAACAAGTAATAATTATCGCAATTCTCAAAAACTCATCAACGTCCCCCGGCTGGCTAGCATTCCATTACTGCTACCGCTGCAGCTACCACCACCATCTTCTCCACCAACACCTGTGGTACTTCAACCGCAAACGCCGCAGGGCATTGTGCTCAAACCGTGGCAGCACAATGCAATTTTTGGACATTCTAGTGGGAGCGGTGGAAGTAGTGGTGGTGCAGGACCTACTAGTACTAGTACGGATTTATACACACCGTCACTGCCACATTTGTCTCAGTTTCTAGTTCCAAGGCACATGTCATCGCCGTTAGGCAAGCCTCCAACAGATGTTTCTGTGTCGCTTAATGGATCATCGCCATTGTCTTCAAACCAAACATCTGAAGGACGAACACAACAACAACCAAAGGAGCAACAAGAAGATTCTGATCAAATTATGACACCACCTGTTGGGCCATACATGACACCGCAACAGCAACAACCCCCGTTTAAACAATTTTTGACACCGCCGGTAATTCAGGGTTCTCCTGATTTAGAAGCCCTGGTTGTTGCAACGGCTGCTTCACTTAAGGCCATATCAGATACGCCTCTGGAGAAACATCTACTGGACAGTTCAATTGAGCAAGATCAACCAACCAATGTCCCGGCCAAGAATAAGAATCCCAAGTACCGAGTGGGGTTGTCAAAATATGCGCCAGTGGACTCTTTACACGGATACCTTAGGAAATGATATATACATGTGAATAATATTTAATGGATAATTAAAAATAAAAAAAATAAAAAAAATAAAAATCTATACATGGGATACGGTAAATAAATAATGCTTAGGTGATTTCAATCAACCTGTTCTAAAAACCAGCCGCCAAACTCAGCATGCACGGGCTGCGTGTCAAGTTCAGTTTCATCAAAAACGTGAAATGAGTCTGCGGACTTGTAAGTGTAGAGGAAATTGTCAGTTGTGCGGTAGCACCCTGCACGTAATGATAAGTTGGGGGGCTCATCAGCAACAGTGTAAAGTTGCGGGAGCCGCGGGACAAGCTCCATGAGATCAGTTGTGTAAACGCGCGGGTCCAAAAGTTGTGAATCATTGTCTTGGGGGAGCAGCACCTGGCCGGCCAAAAGAACGAGGATCTGGCGTACCGATTGGGGCGGGTTGCGGAGAAGTCGCTGGAGCGCCGGAGACGCGTAGTGGAACCTATGGAAATCAATTTTAAGAAACTCCAGTGCCGGAGCTGAGGCCAGTGCATGGAGCAGTGACTCATAAAAAGTGACAAGAAAGTAAAGGCGAGTATATCGTCGCACGTTTGCCGGCGAATAGGCTGCAGCTGGGTCAAGCAACAAGTTCTCAAAAGCAACGACAGCATCATGGGCGGTTGCGGCGGTACCAGAAAAGTGGAGCGAAACAGCCACAGCCGTGGTACTGGACGAGAAAAAGTTAGAGGATGATGTTGGGGTAAAGCCATTGTGAGAATCTGTTGATTCGCACGACAAAACAGAAGCACGAGAAACAGAATCGCCAGTGGTCGGGACTGTGGGATCAAATACGCCATACACAGGTTGCTGGTACTCGAGCAAGTGCTGAATGTCTGCGCGTGAAAGTGGTTCACCTAAGGCTTCAACATAGGCAGCTTCCATGAGATATTTGAGGGTGATATCGTCAGCCGGAGTAAAATCAGCAGAGCCTGGAGTAGAAAGCCCATCGAGCTCCAGCGCAACTACGCGCAGGTGCGGCATGGCGCGCAGCGCCAAACCGGCATTGGCAAGAACCGCGGTCCACGCGGAAAAGGCCAGGTCGAGGGTTGTAATTCTGCCATAGAGGTCTTGGGATAATGGTAGAGGGAGCTGCGGAAGTTCAATAGTTGATGGGGTAAGAGCCTGGTCCATGGGTCCATATCCTGGAGAGATTTTGAGATGAGAGAGATTAGGGAGGTGCAAATGTGGAGCCAGCTCCTTATACGTTTTGCTGGAGAGTGCGTGGAGCGCGGTAACTTTTGAGAGAGAGAGCGGGAACTCCGGGTCAATGTAAATGTAACTGTCGTCGTCTTCGTCTTCTTCATTATCATTGCCCAAGCTATCATTGTGGAAATCTGCTCCAGCTGTGAGAATGCACTCGGTGACTGTTGGTGGAAGCTGAGCGAAGCACTCAATAGAATGATGCATGCGAGGGCCAGGGAGCTTCAGGTGGATTGGCGCAGCGAGCCACTCGAGATTGGGAAAGAACTCAATGCTAGCAAGCAGGGCAGCAGCGGCTGGGCCAACACGATGGTTAGGACAAGCCGGGTCCGGGACAATACGCAAACGCTGGAGATGGGGCATTGGAGAAGTCATAAGAGTAGGAGGCAAGCTAGATATGAAAAGGGTAGTGGAGGATGCGTTGCTACTTGTGCTGGGGGAGACCGGGTCTGGGTACTGGGAGGAGTAATAGCATCCACCGGCTGCACATAAGTCTGAGTCTACAACGACAATGTCAGTTGCGTAGAGGAGCTCTGAGAAGCGGCACAGAGTTGAAAGTTCAGTGAGGCCGAACTGAAGGGGGGTCTTTTCTGCTCGCTCGCCAATTGACTTGTAAAATTTTGAGTCGAGCAATGTTTCCATGAAGGGAGCATCGATAGGTCCATCGAGAACAACGCTGTTCAAGGCTGGGAATGTTTTTAACGGAAGCTCTGGCAGGTCTAGAGGGTCTAAGGGGTCTGTGAAGATGACAAGGTCACGAATGACGTGGGGGAAAACCCAGGAAAAGTTTGTTGGTCGCAGAAGAGCCTTGAAGGGAAGGGTGTGGTGCATAGTGGTGGCAGCTATAGTGGTAAGCTCTGGTCGGTCATCGTCGACATAGTGGAACTTTGTTTCTGCTGTGGATGCTAGGAACTCAAGTCGGAGTTGGCGCTGAACACGGACTCGCCTCCATGAAAGCGGAGCGCAGATACGGCGGAGAGACGCACAAGTTTTTGCGAGGTTTTGTGTGTCGTAGGTGTTGAGGTAGTTTGCAATTGCGCAAACAATATCATCTGAGAGGGATTTGAGGGACGGAGGAGAGTTGGGGAGTTCTTGTGAAAGGTTTGAGGTACTGGTAGTGTTGATAGAGTTGTTGGATGTGATGGATGTGATGGGGGTAATTGTTTCGATAAATAGCTCAACAGATGGTTCAACAGTTGCAACAGGTTTTGATGCGGTGAGCTCTAGTGGTGCAACAGGTTTTGTTGTGGAATCAACGAGTGCAGCTGGTTCTAAAGCTATGCGTTCTGTAATTATTGAGTCTGTGGAAATAGACCTTGAGGAAGCAGAGTCTAAGGCTGTGGCTAGTTCTAGTGCTGGTTCTGAGGTTGCAGACTTCTCAAGCTCCCAAACAGGTTCTTCTTGATTTGATATTGTAGTAAATATTGGATCAATTTCTGACGCCTCTTCTTCTTCTTTTTCATCATCATCATCATCATCACCACCATGACTAGAAATTAAAAATCTCACAGATGCAGAAGCCTCGACTGGAGTTATCGGGTTTTCTTCTTCCAAATGGCTGGTTGCAGGTTCTACATTATTTATAATTTGCTCTAGAGTACCTCTAAATATTTCTGTGTCTAGTCGCTCTGTATCGAAATGAACTGTTTTGAAAACATCAGAGCCAATCGAGTTTGTATCATCATCATCCGAGTCGAACGAGCACTGTGTTTCTGTTTCGAGAGGAGAAAACTGGCTGTTGACGTTCCATGGCGAAGTGACTGATGTTACAAAAGCGTCTGAATAGGATGTGATGAAGGAAGTATCGTGCATGCCGGTAGATTCGTCATCATCATCAAAGCCATCATCACCTGAGTCGTCTGAATCGTCTGAGTCTTCGCCATAAGCTCCTAGAACCAGATGCATGCGGCCCACAACTGCGTCTAAATCGTGACAGAGGCCTCGTAGTTCAACAACCTGGAAGGAATCAAGAGATGGGGGCAGAGAGTCAAGTAATAGCAGGGCGTGTTTTGAAGCTACGGCGAGCTGGTGCCGTAAAATGGCAAACGGGTCTGCAGCCATAGTTGCTTTTTAAATATATATGTTTATATATTGCAAAAAAAATTATTAATTTATATATATATTTAAAAAAAAAAAGGGAAAGAATGGATTTTAAGAAAATAAAAAAAAAAAAAAAAGTAGCGGATGTGGGAATATATATATTTATGTCCATATATCAAATATATAGATTCAAATAACCAAAACAAGCGTAGTACATAGTAACAAAAAAAAAAAAAAAAAAACTAAATCTTCAATGTTTGCCATTTCCCAAACGAGCCTTTCCTTCCTGCAAGTGTCCGCCGGCTTAACCTACATGTTGCTGCGAATAACCACTATAATACATCATTTTAATATACTGCTGCTAAGCGTTATAAAAAAAAATAAATAAATAAACAGGCCCCGATGAAGAAAAAAAAAAAAGAAAAAGACAACAGACGCGAAAGAAAGATTGCGCGTGCATTCGCGCAGGTTGGTTTCCAAGTTGATAAATCCTCAATAAAAACAACATCAACATCAACAACATATTAGGGAATTGTCGGGAACAAATAGAAATTTATTTCTTGTCTCTTTTTAAAAAGAGATATATGCTTATTTACCTGCGTGAAAACACCTGCTCGTCGCGTTTGTGACGCAAGGCACTTAATAAAAATAAAAACAAAAAGAAAGAAACAGGCGTATCACTGTTGCGAGAAAGATGCGATGATGATGATGCTCATGATGGCTGGGCTGGTTGGCTTCTTTTTTTTTTCTTTCAAACACGAGCTTCTTTAAAATCTGCTTGCGCGAATCTCCAAAATGATCAAAAACAATTTTTTTTGTATGAAAAAGTATTCTATATATATATATATATAAAGTTGATATTTATATGACTTTAAATCAGAGTTAATCAAAAAAGAATTGAAAAAAGAAAAAAAAAATCATAATCTCAAGCAATGGTGATTCGTTAAGTCTCATTTTGTTTAAATCAATCAGAATAAGCATTTTCAACATTGATTGTAATAAAATTTATTTTTTTTTTTTCAATTGAAAAAATAACGTGAACTGGTCAATTGAAACATTAATAAAAAAAATATTAAAATACTCTTAGAAATAAATATTATAATATCCACTGGCTTATATCTATATAATCAGGTCTTGTTCAAATGTCAGATTCTGTTGACGTTAAGAATAAAATATCTGGGGGGGAAGAAAAAGTGAAGAAAAAAAAATATTCAACTTTAAACCAAAACCAACTTTCCGCTTAAGCTTATATACTCATTCTCCACTTAAAACTAGTTGGAGTCGCCATTTTTAGACGTAAACAGGAACACATCTGAGAGGCAAAAAATAAAATAAAATAAAATAAAATGAAAACTAAAAATACAGCAGCCAGCCAAAAGTGCTACCAATCTACTTGTATTAATAGTAAAGTAAGTAACAGTAGTATTATTGAGTTGTTGTTCGCTTATTATTCTTAGTCTTACTTTATTTGTTTGTTTAGATCTCTACAAATGTTAAAGTAATTGCTAGTATCTTTAGTATATACTATTGTACTCAACCAATTCAGATCTTTGAGGGAGTAATTAAAAAAATAACCTCCAAAACGAGCTAATAAGCGTTTCCTGAAAAAACAAAAAAAGTCAATTAAGCTTAGTTTGTATATATATCAAAAAAAAATTACATCTAAATAACTATTTTTTTTGGTCTAACGGTCAAACTATTTGAAATGAATACAAACATGAAAAAAATGAAATAGTCCCATGCTGAAATTTGTTGTAAATAGGTAGCAAGGTTGTTTAAAAACATTGCCTTGGAAATTTATTTTCAAGCTAAGATTATGATAAAGAAAGTGAAAGAGCTTCTCAATCCTTTTTAATTAAAATGTCCTTTTTTTTTCTAATATTAAGCTTTTTCTTATGAGAAAAGTATATTTGGATTTATTGAAAAGTTTATAAAATATCAAAAATTTACAAAATTAAAGAAAAGAATGAATAAAGGGGTGAATAAAAAAAATAAAAAAAAATAAAATAAAAATAAAAACGCAATGTAGCATGAGATTAACGTAGCATAACCACAGGGAACCAAATATAATACTTCCACTCATGAGAAATGTTAAACATGGTTTGTCCACTCTTCCAAACTATGATTAATCTCATGATTACTGTGAAATAACTCTATATAAAAAAATCATGGAATAGAAAAAAAAAAAAAAAAAAAAAAAGATAATTGGGAAAATAAATTAAGATTTATTTTAAAAAAAAAATATAATAAAGAAATTATATCCAAATACCTTTCAAAATATAATTCACAAAAAAACCTCAAATTTTGGCTTAAATTTGAGTCTGTAACTTAAATTGCTATTTCAATTACTGTAGAAAAAAAAAAGGGAAGATCCCAAATATCGGTAAAGTCTCATTACCCCTTTCCCCTTGCACTATACTCTTTTTATTATCAGCAAGTATATAGGAGTGTTTAAATGCTTTATGATTTCCACGTTTACAATTTAATCCATGACTTCTTTCCTAGTTATCCATATAAACCCCTTCTTTTTTGTGCCTGATTTTTGCCCCCTTTTTTTTCTTCTTCTTCTTCTTTTTCTTTAGTTCAGAAATGTTCTTTTTTTTTTTTACTTTTGATTGCTATCGGACTTAGTCCGTAAAAGATAATCTTTAAATAACGAGAATATTATCTATTAAGCCTAGTTGCAAGTATACAAGAGTAAACTTAGCAGCCATTAATACACAACATCATAATAACGGTAGGATTAACAGTAAAATGAATTTTTATTCTAGCGTGTAGCATACAGCAAACAAGCACGGAGACCACTTTCTTTTTTTTTAATGCTGTATTCTGTTTGTTGTTGTCACCAAGATCTTTGATACATATCCGATATAGCCATGGCACACTGCTACTACTACTAAATACGATCAAATTCACCAAAAGGGAATCTCTGCTCGATTCTTTCACTGCTCTGTCTTAACCTGCATCTCTATTAACGCACTTAAAACGAGAGAGAAAAAGGTTGATTGAAAAAAGAGAAAAAAAGAGACTAAAGCTGCGGCAACTAAAAGAAACAGTTCATATATATATATATATATATATATATATATATATCTGTTGGAAAAATGGTAAGCAATTTACATAAGAAAATGCAAAGTTTGTATATTTTGTTGTAGCTCAATGAGCCAAGTTAATGACGGCTTTCTTATAGATAATTTTAGATCTAAGACACAAGTACAAAGCTTCAGTTTTATGTCCATAGATAGGAACTACATAGTAGACCGTTTTGAGTACCAGAGTCTAGATGCTAACTCTTTCTCTTTCTCTCCACTGCGCTCTTGCAGGCATCGACTTTTCTGAATTCATCGGACTATTCTTTGCGCAGGGACCAATCCGCAAACAAAACATATTCTGGATACTTTTGTTTTTTTTTTTGTTTATTTTGTTTATTTGCTCTTCCTCCTCCTCCTTCTCCTCCAGCATTTTTTTTTATTTTATGGAAAAACAAGGAATATACAACAATCATTAACTGTCAGAGAAGCATAGAAGGAAAAGAACAAAAAAGAAAAAGTACCTCGTGGTTTTGACAACCATCAAATAAAAAAAAAGGCTTTGAAGAAAGGGGTGATTGTTCATTATCGACACTGCTTGAGTGCTCGTTGGAAAATAATTATCATATTATAATATAAAAACAGATGATCTGCCAATGTATATATGAGGTTCTTTAACTTTATATATTAAATAATTGTATTTATTTTTTCTAAAAGAGAGACGAGTTTTGTCAAAAAAAAAAATTCTTTTCAGTGTAATAACTGATCATAATAATTCATGATATATACTGATACTGATTTTTTTTTTCTGTTCTACTTGAATATAATCGCGGTTTGTAAAGGCACGAACTTTGTTTCTCTTATGTTTTTTTTTTTTTTGTAGCAGTGTGAAAAACGCCCAACTCTCTTTGGTGTTGATTTTTATTATCCGTTTCTTCTACAAACCACTTTATCGTTCCCAGCCTTTATTTAAGCAAGAATATTACACGTTCTTTACGTTCTTTCCAATGTAGTTTAAATAAATTGTAGAGCTGGTGAAATTTCAAGTACAAGTATATACCAATAATAATCTATATAGCTGTCTACATAGAGGTCTACTTCATTTTATCTTTTTAATCATCTACGTAAAAAAAATTTTTTTTTTTTCCATCCCTTTAAAAGATCTTTCTCTCTTTCGTTTTATTATGAAATAATTTAATCAACCAACCTATTCTCAGATGAACAAACCATCTTTTCACATGAACAAATTTTATGTCAACACATTTACCATTGTTTCTATCATCTAGTCATTAGTACTTTGTCTTTCTTTTTTTTTTCTTTTTTTCTTTTTTTTTTTTTTTTTTGGAGGGAGAGTTTCTCCGCTTATCCCCATTAAATCCTCCAGAAACTCAATCCTATCATATGATTTTTATTCTTAATCTAAGTGATAGAGATAATTATCCATCTATTTGGTTCGACAGTTTCCCCCCTGTTTTGTCTTTTTTTTTTTTTTTTGCAGCATTATCATATTTTAAATCTCAGTTTCAAATTAATGTACCAACTGGTCAAGGTTAGTTTAGGTCATTAGTCTCAAATCTTTTTTCTCCATTTCTGGTTAATCAGGTCCTCAGTATTTTGGCTCTAATGCTTTTTTTTTTTTTTTTTTTGGCCCCTGGTAGTCAACGTAGAAGCTCCCAGACTATTAAAATAAAACAAAACAACAAATAGTGATTAACAATAGAAAACAAATAGAAGTCACTTTTGACTTAAAAAATTATATAAGAATGGTGACTTCTAGTTGCTTTCGTGTTTCCATGGATCTTCACTTTTTTTTTTATTTAATAACCAAAATTTATGATATAATAATGAAAAAAATAAAATTAAAAAAATAAAAAAAAAATAAAAAAAAAATAAAAAGCTTTTAAATAATAATGGTTCTGTCCTGTTTATGTCACATTAGGATCAGCTGCTCGTATCCCTCAGACAAAAATATATGAGAATGAACGGATGTTTCTAGGACTCGGCTTTTTTTTCTTTAATTTATTCGTTTTTATGGTTCTTCTGCTGATAAGCTCATCATCATCATTTTGTTTTTTGTTTTTTTTTGCACTGCCAGAGCGGAAGAAAATTAAAAAAAAAAAAAAAAAACTACAAATACAAATACATCCTGCAGACTTATAATGGTTATATGTGGTGTATATATGTATATGTATTATTACTAACCCTTAACCTGAAAAATCACGGGACTACCAGTTAGTGATCTAAAAATTATTTTATTTTTTTTTATTTTTTTTTTTTTTCGTTGCTAAAAAAAGAGATCCAGCCCACTTAATATGTTTCTCGGCATATAAACCATTGTTAAAAGCCTATACAGTATAGTCTAATATATTTAGTGGTAAACAAAAATAAAGAGAAATATGGTGATTTGTTGTTTATACTTGGATGAACCTCTTCCCTTAAATTAACTAGTTTATAAACTAAAAACTTCTTTTTCCCTTTCATTCATTCAAGTTCATCCTTAATTCAAATCAAAGTTTCATTAAATAGGAGGGAAAATCATTAACCGTTATGACTATGTTAAACATATATTTTTATTGAATCCACTTAGTTTGAAAAGCCAAAAAAAAAAAAAAAAACGAAAAAGAAATAATTCCTAATTTGACAATTTTTTTTTCATCCTCAGCTCATTATTCTCATAAATACAATGAGAATATTCACAAAACCACGTTGCCATAAAATTTGACAATTATATGAATTGTCTAAAAATCCGCCCAAATAATGACCTGTTTTTAACAATTGTTTGCACTGGTACCATCTATCACAATAGTATTTTTTCTCTTTTTTTTCTGCTCAATCGCTCACATTTGTCAAGTAGTTAACGTGTTGTAGAAAAAAAATTATCAATCAAAATTAGAGAAACTCTATATTTAAACTTTCAATATCGCGGATATGTCCAACAATAACTGATTGCACTTCTAATTTTTTCCTTCTATTTTCTTCTTCTTTTTGTTGAGACGTAACGGTCCTTCCACACCGCTATAACTTGGTGCTATAGGCGTGACCAGCCACTTTGTTGCATAGCACAGGGCTACCGCGCAACCAAATTTTGTAGTGTTGATTTACGCGGAAACAGGTGCCCTACCAGCACAGTACACAGTACGAGTAGAGTTCTTGAACACGCCTAACAAAAAGTGAAGAAGTTTGTCTATGAGGAAAGAAAAGATTTGATTCCATTCGCTAAGTGATCCTATTACTTCAATTTTTTTTTTCAATAATTCATAAATTATCTAAAATTCCATCCATCTCATCTGTTTATATTTCTAGGTCTCATCAATTGACTTGCTATTTGACGCTATGATCAGTTTGTAGATAGTTTCACCAATACTATGTTCCGATTAACAACTGCAGTGATACTTTAGGGTTATACTGGACCTTTTGCTTTTCTTTCTTGCTTATTCCTTCAACTCCTATTGTTATATCCATTCTAATAGAGGTCGGCTTACGATATCCTCTATTTAAAACTATAACTTCAATGTATTCATTCATGAGATCTAAATATATCATTATATTAATATTTACCATTTTCAATCTGTCGCATTAGAAAGGAAAAAAAAAATGTTGTATTTGAAATTTGGTAGTACTAACAGTATTGATCATGCATTCAAATATCCTATTCAGGTAATATTTAACAATCTTTTATCCTCGTCTTTTGCTTTTTAATAGCAGTTTTTTTTCTTTTAAAATTAAACTGACATTACTTAATATATAATTTAATGAACAGCACTCAAAATTTTCTTTTTAAAATCCATAAAGTCATTTTTTTTCTTTAAAGACCTTGGTTATTATTCAAAAAAAAAAAAGAATCAAAAAAAATAATTGATTAAAAAAAAAGAGAGCTTTACATCATGGTGTATTTATGGTCATGACAAAACTTTTACCAGCTTATTTTCTTGTAACAAAAAAACAGTATTATTTTTCAATTGTTCAAAGGACTCGAGATCTCATCACTCCCTCCAGAAGCCTTTGATTTCTTTTGATTTCTTTTGAATTGTTAAAATTTTTAAAGAATAATTTTTCAACAAAAAAGTCTATTTTTTTTAAACAAAATCTTTAATATTTAAGTTTGATAATATTCTTTTCTTCCAAAGTATTTTCAATTTAATAAACTTATGTTGCATTATATGGTAAATTACAACACTACTTCATAACTAAAATCCTTATCTTGATAAAATAAAAAAAAAAACTAATTTTTCAAGTCTTTTGGATAATTCCAAACCGTTTTCCATTTCAAAATCAACTACTTTTTTTTTTTTTTTTTTCAAATTATCAAAAAAATATAAAAAAATTTCAAGCTCTATACAAAAAAACAAATATTAATCAAAAAAAAAAAAACTAAATATTAAAATAAACAATCAAAATCAAAATCAAAATCAAATTAAATCAAATCAAATCAAATCAAATCAAGCAAGCAAGCAAGCAAGCAAGCAAGCAAGCAAGCAAGCAAAAAAAAACTTTTTTTTTTATTATTTCATTAATCTTTCCCCCTCTCCTCTTCAATTATCACTGTGAAGACTCTTCTTCTCCGCTCACCCCACCTGCATTGCCAACATCCTCACTTTCACCAGCACCAACAGCTGCAGAAGAACCACCTCCAGCAACAGCTTTCCGATTCTGTATCGCTGTCGCCGCTTGTTTCTGTCCAGATTGAGTAGTATGACCATGTGCATGTCCCACACTCGTCTTCTTACCGCGTCGTGCAATGCTCGGACAAAAATCATTTGCCTCAGGTACCATCTCGCACTTGTCTGTGCACCCAATGTTGGCCTTGTAGCAGGGACAAATGGACGTGCAGTAACCCACAACACGGTTACAGATACAGTACAAGTGGTTACCGCGTGTGAGGTGCTGTCTGGTCAAACCCTGGGTGATGAGTTTGGTGTCAAAGTCAGGTTTAGGAGGACGTGGCTCGTCTGATTCATCGTAATCTTTACTCGCATTTTTTTTATGCCGTTTCTCAATCCCTTCATCATCTTCGTTCTCATCGTCATCTGGAATATAGATTGTTTCCAGCATAGGCACATCTTCAAGACACCCAGTAAGGTATACGCTATCGCTAATTTTTTCAATCTTGGCCTCAATGATTTTGCGAAGATAGATACGGTATCGTTGTAAATTATCCAAAAACTTAGACAGAATTTTTTCATCAACATCGTTGGCAAACGGCGAAATACGCTGCTTGGCTACCCGACTATTAATCAGTGTCCCGTGTCGCAGATATGCAACAGATAAGTCCTGGAACAAAATCAGGTTCCCGTACATGTTGCGCTTCTCCATGGTAATGGACTTGACCATCCATGATGCCCGCTCCGAAAGACCTTCGTAGTAGCGCCGAGGATCGGGTTGCTGCGCGAGAACCACGGCTCCAGACCCTACATCTTCCTCATCTGCAAGGACTGTAGCTAGACCTCCCTCACCACTGCCGTCATGTTCGCCTTCTCCAACAACATTGGACCCTGTTTGGATTGATGCCGAATTCTCTTCGTCATCTTCTTCCAACAAGTCAGATGCAGTTGGAGCTGCAGAAACCATGCTGCGATGTAAACTCGTAGCCCCGGACCCAGAGGTCGGTGAATTTTTAACACTAGGTGTAGTTGAGGCCACGGTACCCGGTGTTTGGTCGTCGTCCGTGTGTCGCAAAAATTGCGCAGTTGTTGGTGTTGTTGCCGTTGTGGATTGCTGCTGCTGCTGCACGTTTTTTTTCAGGGGGCGTTGGCTGGCTTGCTGGTGCAACGCCGTGTGGCTTGCGTCGCCGTTGCTAGTAGTGGTGGAGGCATTGTTGCCGCCTCTGCCGCTACCGCCTCTGCTGCTACCACCACCAATTTTATGCACGTCGGAGCGTCTAGCCGCGGGCGATACAGACCGGTCTGAAGAGTAACTTCGGCGGTGCTTTTTATGTTTATGTTGAGTTCCATTTTTTGAAAAATTAGCAGGTTGTGGTGGTTGTTGAGACGGAGGAGGCCGAGTATTGATGGCATGGAAGCCCAAGCGTTGTTGTTGTTGTTGTTGTTGCTGCTGCTGCTTCGTTGGTGGCTTTTTGCTGCCAGTATTGGAACTGCCGCCGATGTTGCCTCCTTGCCGCCACGCAGACTTCCCTGCGGCTGCCGCCGTGGACGAAGACCCCGCAGCACCAGAAGAATTAGAAGATGCCGATGCAGCACCAGAGCTTGCTCCTCCTGTCTTTAAAGCGCCTGAGACATTAGGCACTGACGCGTCTTTCTTGTATAAGCTTGCGCGTCTCCGCGAAGGTCCCGAGCCCCGATATTCATTCGAGCTCTGGTTATGGTCGTTATAATAGTCGTCAGTATTATTATTATTGTAGTGATGATGGTGATGGTAGTGATGGTGGTGAAAGTCGTAGTTACTATTATAGTCGTCAAGGTCATCGTCATTATTATCGTCATTATATTCGTTGGATTGATTATCGTCATCGTCATCCAAGTAATCCGAGTCGCGCCGTTCATCCCGGTGCCCAGATCGCCGTTTGATGCCACGGGGGCCAGACTGCGACCTATCAGAGAAGCTAACCCCTCGTGAGCGTGGTGCCGCAGTTGTAACAGCCACAAAAGCAGATGTGGACGCAGAGGTAGGCGATGTAGCATGTTGCGACAAAATTGCCTTCAAAGTGGAGTCGCTCTGTAGACGGCCAAGAACCGAGGCGGCGTTGTTCTCGACGGCAGCGGTCAATGTGCCAACAACACGCCAAAGATCACGCACTTGTTGTTGCAATGCTTCAAACTCTTCGAGAGTGGGACGTCCTGGGCTTGTCGTTGTAGCTGTGGCTGGTGTTGTTGGATTCACTTTTGCAGCTGAAGATGTTGGTGTAGTTGCTGATTTTATTTGCTCCGCGGGTTTCTTTGGAGTGACTATTGTTGGCGGTGATAAAAGAACCGATCCATTGATTGGAGCTGGTAAACCTTCTTCGGTTGGTATTGCAGATGACAGCGTTTCGGGCCCAGGCGAAGGTGTAATGGATGGAGGTTGTGTTGGCGGAGAAGGTGGTTTTTCTACAAGCTCAGGTTTGGACGGACTTTCAGGCCGACTCTGACTAGGTGTTTTTGCCATACTATTGCTGCTACTTGGTTGAGGAGATGAAGGAGAGGATGAATCAGGTTTGGGCACGAGGGTAGTGTCTGGATCGCGGGTTGCAGAGTCCCTACTTTCAAGGACTGTATCGTCGTTATTGTTATTATTGCTACTGGTTGTTGAAGGACGCCTAGGTTGTTTCTCTTGTAAGGTAGACAGAACATCAGCAGCAGCGGTTGCAGCAGCATCATAAACGGTGGAAGAGGTAGTGATGTGAGCATCAGCATCAGCATCAGCATCAGCAGAACTAGAAACTGGATCTGATTTAGTGTTTGGTGAGATAGATGTAATTTCTGAGTCGGTTGGCTTTGGCTTTGCTGGATCTTCTTTTTCTGGCGAAGAGTGTTGCGCGGGAGCCAGGGACTCCGCAGAGTCCACAAGGTCCACCATGCTTCTTCTTCTTCTTCTTGTGAGAGTATATGGTCAAAGAAAATCTGAAGAATGGTCTGAAGCACACTCTTTGGTGATTAAGTCCTGGTCAATGCGTTGCTCAGGATTTTAAAAGAGGATAATGTGTATATGTTTAAGTTGTTGAATATGTGAAGTAGCAGTAACAGTAGGACTATATAATTGGTGTGAAGGTCTTTTAAAATGGTGATTATGTGTGTTTGTGTGTAGTCTATTTGTATGTGTATGCCAATAAAAAAAAAGAAAAAAGAAAATATTTTTAAAAGGAAACTCTTCAAAATCTAAAGACCAAAAAAATAAAAATAAAAATAAAAATAAAAATAAATAAAAAAATAAATAAAAAAAAATTAAAAAAAGGGAGGAAAGAAAAGGGGTGGAAATGCATTTCTAGAAAAAGGCAGCCACTGATCAATTCTGTTGCTGCTTTGTCTGCTGCTGTTGCTGCTGCTTCTTCTGTTGTTGCTGCTCTTTCTATTATTACTGCTGCTGCTGCTGCTGCTGCTGCTGCTGCTGCTGCTGCAAAGACACATTCAGTGCTGCAAAGGTAGTATGTGCGCCCGGCACTACCCGTCGCGAGTGCGCAAGCCGCCAGCATTCCCCGTTTGGAAACCCGCTGTGGCTGCAAGTCGTCGTGTTTGTCACCGGAAGGGGCCGCCAAAGTAACCAGTCAATCTGCCAGTCTGCCAGTAGGTAGGCCAGCAGACCAAATTTCACTTTGACGTAAAACAACCAACCAGCCGGCAACGCCAGCTAGCAAAGCCAGTCAGCTCCTATAAAAAAAATAATAATAACTCTCTTGGTTGCACTCAAAACTATTCAGAACTAACAACTACACCCTAGACAACCTATTTTCACAAACACCCATCATCTTAATCGTTTCTACAATCATTTTCTTCTTCATCATACATGCATCCTTGAGTTCCATCGCGGCCATCGGCCTGCCGTACCGGGTGCTGGGCGTTATCGGCGTTATCCTATCTGCTTATCGATTAAGGAAAATTTTTTTGGTAGTAGTTACTTATTACCCACCTACTTAGTAATTATTATTATTTAATTTTTTTTTTCATCAATCTACATGTACATACAATAGTAACAACAACAATTTGCTAATTAACAAAGTAACAAAACTTTTTCATAACTTCCTTCTCATTTTTTATTCAAGATGAAGTGTAATAAATGGAAGATCCTCAACATCATTGTCCTCGTAATCATCAGCACAAATCTCAAAAACAAGAGTTTCGACATGACTACCAAGTGGCTTGCCGCTGACCTTCTCCAAAACATCTGTCATCTTCATTGCCAATCGCGGCTTGTGTTTGCCAATCAAAAAGCTGGCATACAACAGCGTAGACCCAGAAGACATCATGGAAATCTTCAAACCTTCCTCCTTATCGAACTTGGCAAGTAAATCGCCCAAGGTAGGGTTACCGTAAATGTCAAATCGACTCCAAATCTTGTCTACAGCCTTCTCATCACCAGCAGCATTAATCTTGTATTTGAACTTGGATGATGCAACAGGCTCAGAAAATCCAAAAAAGGGAAGCGCCAAATTCACAAACCCATTCTTAAAGTCCTCAAGGGTCTTCTTCTCGCCATCAACAATCTTATAAAGCTCAAGGCACACAAGACCAGTCACAAGAGCAGTTGTAGTAGCAATTGCAGGGATAATACGGCCAGCAATGAATTTCGTCTTAAGACGGTCAGCAGGCTCAATTTGGTAGCAAATGGCACGCAGATTTGAAGCCGCAGTAATAAAGTCAATGTGGTGGTTGCTGTCATCATCCTTTTCAAAATCAACAACATCAAGCTTAAAGCCTGCAAGTGATGAAGGTGATGGAAGCTCCTGCTTCAACTTCTCAATAACATCAGTGTCATCATAAATGTTCGTTGACTCATTGTTTGACTCATTCTCCTCCACCTGAATCTTTACATTCGAAGCTGGCTTAAACTCAGGAACCTTGGTCTTGGCAATCACCCGCTTATAAGTCTCAATATCAGCACCACCCTTCAGGCCATAGTTAAAAGCACGGAGATTGGCAGCAGCAACAATAAAGTTAAAATGATTCTCGTCGTTAATATCGAAAACAGCAGCACTAGGGGCGCGTTTAGGACCAGACCAGAATGGAGATCCAGTAGATGTAACTGCATCTTTGGGGAAGTTATAAAGCAATTGCTTAATGTCATTTGTAAACTTCTTTTCAAACTCAAGACGTGCCCACGAAATGCACTCCTCAAATGTAAGAGGTCGCTCATCAACAAGATACTCTTTAAGAATCTCAAGCATAGACTTTTGATCACCGCTCTTCTCCAAAACATTGGTAGTAAAGTTGGGGTCAGACAAGTACAAGTTCACAGTCTCTGCATTGTCTGTAAAATAGCCTTGGAACAATGACTTGGCCCAAGCAATCGTATGATCAATCTTATTAGGGAATGAACGAAGAGTACACAAAGGAATGCTCTTCTCTGGAGGGTCTTGCGAGGACGAGTAGGACTCAGTCAAGTATGGGTAAACAACTTGAACATTGCCCTTGGTACCAAGTGTACCACTTTCCAAAAGTGGCTTCTTGAAGAAAACGCATCGGCGGTCAACATAAGTACGGGCATCAACGTTATCAAGAGCATTTGTAACAAAGTCAAGCTGCTTCCAAAAATCATCATCAAAAATGTTTTCAGTCTCGCTTCCAACCTTGTCCTGCTTAGCATCAACATGGTTGGCCAAGTCACCGTTCATGGCGACAACAGCTGCTGCAGCAACTTCGGACTTTTGCTTACCAACATCGCGCGGGCGAAACAAAAACTGACGATTCAAGTTACTCTTCTCAATAGAATCATTATCAGTAACAATAATCTTACCATTAGGCCCACTACCAAGTCCCATCAAGGCCCAGTTCTTCAGCATTTCACAGCCAATAGCTCCGCTACCAACCAAAAACACCTTCAGATTCTGCACCTTTTCAACAAACTCTTTGCCAAAAACAGCAATTTGATTGTCGTAACGGGTGCCTTGGGGGGCAACCAGTTCCTTAGTCAATGTCACATCCTTGGGCAAACTCTCCAGAGAGTCAAAGTACATCCACTGCTTGATGGGCCCAAACTTGCCAGAAACACCCTTCAAAACCTCTTGTGCAACAAGACCACCGAAAAATGCATTCACAGCAGGAATATCACCACGGGCTTGGTAAGAAAGCTGCTTCACCAGCTTCTCATCCAGATCAAACTCGCCCAAGTCGGTTTGGGACACCTTGACAGTTCTTGCAATAGCAACCAGTTCATTAGCATCTTCCTCGTCATGGGGATGGGGGAGTCTGCCCTCATGCTTGTTCTGGAATCCTTGAAGAGCCAAGAAAGCAACGTGCAAAGTATTAGGTCGGTCAAACTTGGCAAAATCTGAAATCAAAAACTCTGGGGTCTTAATTTGCTGCTCCAGAGATTGGAAAGAAATCTCGACAGGGCGCTTGACTTGTGTGTAAATACCACCCTTGACATAAGTTCCAAGACCAGAGACATCACCAATATTGAAACCAAAGGGACCAGTCACCTTGACCTCGTAGTGTTGCTGGGGATCATTCAGAGCCTCAATGCCCTCAACCTCCGAAAAGCGAACCCAGTCGCCATCCTGGAGACCATGGCGGTTGTCGTCGAGGCATGCAACATTTCCCTTCTCATCAATGTCAGAAACAATACCAGAGTGCGGCTCCTCGCCATCCTTGTCAGAGACTACAAACTTTTCGCCAAAATCGACAAAAACATTTCCAAACAAGCCGCGAGTATCAGTGGAAATAAAGCCACGACCAGTCTCGTGTGTAAATTTGTTAATATTAAACTGGCTTTCAATTGGCAAGTTGGAAACGACAACAACTTGGAATTTGGAAAGGGTTTCTGCTGACTCGAGAACACTGAGGTCTCCCTCGAGCACAGAAATGGGCACATACTGATTAAGCTCAGAAAGTTTGATAGCTGTGGCCTTATCGCGAGGTTTTCCGATATCTGTTGTGGTTAAAAAGAATTGTGACGAAAGATCCTGGATTTGGGTAAGCGCGGGATCATATAAAGTGATACTCTTGACACCTGCAAGCGCCACGTTTTTGGCAATCTCAACACCGAGACCAAGAAGGCCAACAATAAGCACATTGGATGCGCTCATCTTCTTCATGGCTTCAGCACCAAGCACATAAAGCTGGCGCGAGTATAATGATTCATCGATTTCGCCCTCGCGTGGGTCGACATCCATTTTATCCTAATATGTGTTAGTGGCAAAATAATTGTGGCAAATCATCAAGACGAGTCATTGGACACGTACCGAAGACATGATTTATAAGTGGATATCAAAAGAAAACAAAAAAAGGTAACTAAGTGAAAATTGACGCAAAAGAAAACCGAGTAAATTGATCAAAGGAAAAAAAAAAAGCTAGTCAATGAGAGATTGATGATAGTTTAGTAAATAGAAAAAATAAAAGGAGAGAGACAAGAAGGTAAAAGAAGAGGAAAAAACGATGAGTCGGTGATGATTTTTGGTGGGTTTACAGTTCATCAAGAAATTCACGTGATAAGTGCTGACTCAGCAATTTACAAAGACCGCCAAATTTTCCGTGCGCGTTCAAAATTATCGAAAGCCTCACAGCCTTCAACAACCAACAACCAACACCCAACAGAACTGACAAAAAATGGCCAACTTACAAGACAGACGCCGGGTCCTCGGGCCTTCAGATACCCAGCAGCTCAGATTTGTTACCCCAAAGTCAGATCTTAAGGCATCCTTAACTTCTACTGAAATCACTAATAAAAAAGACTCGGCAACAATCAGGCCCATATTTATAAGGACAAGTCCCGTTGCCAACGCCAGCGGTTCAGCATTTATTGAAATATCCGCTGACCCATCCGATGTGATTCAGGTCCAAGTTTCTGTTCATGGCCCAAGACCTATTCGGGGATCTTTTATTGAAACCGGCCTTTTTAGTGTCGAAGCCAAGCTGAGTGCTTTCAGTGTCGACAATCACAACCCAGACATTTCTCAAAACCGAAACAACTCGGGTGCCAGTGCTTCTGGTGGATCTGCAGCATCGAGGCCCAATGGAACTTCGCCTTTGGAGCGAACTGTAGCTGCGTTTGTTGAAAGCTCTTTGACTCCGGCTGTACGTCTCGAACAATATCCCAAGAGTGGTATTGACGTTTTTGTTACTATTTTGCGCCCGGGCAGCAACCCCAAGGCCCTTCAAGCTGCTTGCGTTAATGCAGCAACTGTCGCACTTGTTGATGCTGGTATTTCTCTGCGCGACCTCGTCACATGCGGTGCCGCCATTCTTACACGCTCTGAAAGTGACGAAAACAAAGTTGAGTCTATCGTTGTTGATCCAAGCGTGCCTACCGTTTCTGGCCGTCAACTCGACATGGCAGTGTCCTACATGACAGCTCATAATTCTGAAATTGTGGGTATGGCTGTTGATGGTGGTGTGTTGAGCCCTCAGATCTTAGAAACTTGTCTGAGTGTAACACTCAAAGCTGCCAAAGATGCAAGAGCCTTAATCAACGGAGTTCTGCTAGGTGAATTTAAATATAAGGAGCAGGTTATTTCTCAAGCTTTTTCTAATCTGTTAAACGCAGACAGTATGGATATAGATCAATAAATTATTATAATAAAAATAGTTAAAAGTAAATCATGTCATTTTCTATTCATTCTATCTATATAACCCATAATATATACACCAATTAATTTTATTCTTTCTTGATTGCTGTAAATGGCCGTAAAGCATCTGTAACCCGTTGCAGTCGTGTTGCCAGTTGGCCCACGCTTTGATCAGATTGAAGCACCTCTGGGGCAAGATCCACGCCCGCATAAACCTTAACTGCATAGCCAAGTCTTTTTGTAACAACGGGATCTTCCAAGTCCCAGTTTTCGTTAACTGTGAGAGGTGGAATAAAATCACTTGCAACAAAAATGCGCTGCACGATTGGAAGAAGCTGTATGCCCAAGGCTTTACCATCTCCTCCCGCCGAAGTGCCCTTAATAGGAGTAGCAATGACTGTAAAAGGACGCGAAATAGCAAGACAATTGTGTTTGCCGTCATGGTGATATCTAAATTGATAAACCCCTGTTGTCCATGGTAAAATGTCGCCCTTAAAAACAACTTCACCAGAAGTTTCATTGTTGGACTTTACTGTATCAATGTGGTTTTCATAAGCTGTCGAATCAATAGCAGACCAGCGGCCTTGCGATGAGATCTTGGTAACCTCCTCAGAATAATTGTCAGTCAGTTTGTACAGGCCAATCCAATCGCGGTTAGAGTGTTTGGGATCGGCAGTCCACTTCACAGTAATTTCTGTACCATACTCAAAAGTCAATGGCTGGTCTTCACTAACTGGAGTATCAATTGTAAGAGAGTACTTGGAAGCATCAAGACCATGGAGATCCTCAGTGACTCGCACAATGGTAAGACGGGCGGGGTATTCTTTAAGAAGTACTTGAGTTTCTTTAACAACGTCTTTAACGCCAGTAGTAAGCTTCTTTTGTTCTAAAAAGTTTTCCACAGCGGATGCAGTTTCGTGCAAAACCTTGTCAATAGAACCTTGTACTTTGCGCACGGTGCTTTCTACTGGCGGAGGAATAATCTTGGCAGCTTCCGCAGCACGCTTAATAGTCTTAACAACACCTGACTGGTCACGAATTTGGCCTCCATACAGTTTTTGCATGTGTGGATGCTCAACAAATTTAATGAGGAAAATAACACCCAACGTCCAGAAAAACGCCAAAACAGTAACAATGAAACTTCCAGAAATGAGAGCAAGACCCCAAACTCCAGCAATACCAAAAAGACGCTCGGGATTGTTGAGGTAACGGTAAATACCAGAATAGGTAAGGTTCTTAGACTTTTCAGGAAAGAAGAAATCTCCAAAAAACCAACCAAATTCACCAAGAGACTCGTAGATGGAATAACTGGTCCATGTTTGTAAAGCAATCAGCATGGCTCCAATAATGTACTTAAAAGGCCAGTAAGGTCTTTCAAGGGGATTATGGATATGACGAATGACAACAACAGCTAAAGAGGCATAAGACATGACAGTAGCAAAATTGTAAGCAATTTGCCATTGTTGGTAAGCTTCGTCAGGGGTGCGACCATACTTAAGAAAAAGCTTTGTCAAAAACTTTTCCTGAGATTGCTTTCGAAGAGCATATCCAAAGCCAAAAGAAAGTAGAGCACGCCAGAAAAATGCATTGTAAATTGCAAACCAACTCCAAACAATAGTATGAGGCAAAAAGGCTAATAAAGTAGCATAAAAGGCCGCAATGACTGTCAATACATCGCTTACTCTAGTAACATGAAAGTTACCAAAAACCAAAAATGCGTGTCTCTCGGGTGTGGCCAAATAATCATCGTCAACAGCCGAGGAATTGACACCTCCAAAGTGTGGTGGGGATGCTTGGCCTTGAAGAGATTCGCGAAGCTTTTTGTGCGAATCTGAGTCAAGGGTGGATTTACGCTTAAGAGGAGCTGGTGGGTTATACGTTTTTTCAATATGAGGGTTTTCCACCAAAATAAGAAACGCAAACTGGGCAGCATGGGCGAGAATTGAGGCAAAAAAGAGTGTATAACTAGCTGTGATGAGACAAATACCATAAAAGCCCGCATAGCCAATTGAATACATGGGATGTGGTGCCATTTCGAAAACGCCATCAAAGGTGAGCTGAACATCCTCAAGAAAAAAGAAATCGCCCCAGTACCATGCAAAGTCTTTGACAACACGATGGGCATCGAGTTTGACCCAGAGATTGAAAAGGAAAAGGGTTAAACCTGCGACATATCGGAAAAAAATCATAAAAAATGGCTGAGAAGTAACAGAAAAACAAGAAATAGCCAACATCATATAGTTGGTAAAGTCACTCATAAGAATCAAATCCACAACGTGTCTGAAGAGTAGCCAAGTATTATACTCATTAGGGGCTGCATAAAAGTCATAGTCCTTACCAAGTTTAGTAGTAAAATCACCCTTAAGAAGAGGTTGCCAAAAGGTGTTTGCATTGGACTTGTCAAAGATGTGATATTGAAGCGACCATTTTGTTAGACGCTTGTGGTTGGATTGCTGCGAAAGCAGCCAACCAATGCCAACATTGTAGGCCAAGCGCCAAAAGGCAAACAAGATGCAGTAAACCGGGATGCGCAAATATGATGGTAGAACAAAATAAAGAAGCACATATGATGTAAGAACTGATACAATGAGCATGTCAGTCAAAGACTTTTTAATGCGAGGATCAAACAGAGTCCGAACCATGTCTTCCGTCTCTGGAACGACAAATACGGTGCCATCTGGAGTCCGTCCATAGATTCTACCTGGTGGAGAAAAAGGTTCTGCAGCTTTAGAAGGTACATCAGCATCAACCGCAGTAACGCCATTGGATTGATCGGGTTGTGTTTGTAAAACTGGTTTTGCTTTGGTCTGATGATGATCGGCACCAGATGCAGCCACACTTGGGCTTTGTGAAGAGTCAAGTTCTGGACGAGACATGACAAGCTAAAAGTAAGAGTAATGAGAAAATATATACAAGTAATAATAGATGGCTTATGCTTTATGTAAGAAGTATAGAATATGGAATGGATATATAATCTCTGATGAATATATAACCAAAGATCCAAGAAAGAAAAAAGAGGGGAGGGAAAGGGGGAATGAGAAATTTCTTCCGCTTATATACTCAGCTGAGACTTAGAAATAACAGCGTATCACAACTGCGCTGGTCTGGATCCCCCGGTGCTTATCGCGTGCGAATTATCACATGCCAAAATTTCACACCTGTTTCTGTTGGGGAAATTTGTCACGCCTCTTGTTGCCCAGGGACACGCCGCACGAAATTTTGTGGAGAAGCCTAAGAAGAATAGCCGGATCCCCCCCCCCAAAATCTCCCGGCCCACTCCCGTTAAGACATAGTCAAACGACGCAACAAGTAACGGGGCCAGAATCGGACCAGCTGCTGCACACTGTAATCACAATACAATCGTGCTCTGGTTCGGATCACTGCTAGTGCCAATGTCCGACCTTCGTGTACGTTGTAGCGTGGGCTTTGATTGCACATATACGTCCACAGTGTCGTCAAAAGTTCCGGAGCCCGACATAGCACGAACATTCAACCGTCGGTACTTGACATTAATATTTTTTTTAGCTTTTGAATCAACGTCGTCTTCTTCATTATTTCCAACTTCAGGCTCATCGTCATCGTCGTCGTCTTCCTTTCTGAAATCCGGCATTACCTGAATATCACGTTCCAATACCTGATCGTTTGAATACATCTGTAACTTTGCAGTTGAAGCGGAATAGGCCTTCGGAACAAATACTAATGCTTGCCACCCCCCTGTTACATTGCTTTCAATTTTAATACGGTCTGACAACGTAGGGTTGTGTCCGTACTCACGAAACTCTTTAATTGTTTTTTTATCTTTAATGTTGATTTTAGGACCCACCCCAGAAAGATCTTCATAACTATGCTGTTGAAGGTAGGGAATAAGGATTTCCAGTAGATTGACGATTTCGCGTTCACTGAGCATCACAGGGTGAAACTCAGAAATAAGGTCGGTTTTGTCGGTCTCCAGCTTCTTTTTAAAGTTCTGGCGCACCATGTCTCGCAAAAGCTCATTGTCGAGATGGATGCGAATTGGGACCAGTTCATTCTCTCCTACACGAATGAAGCGTCTTACTGCCGATACCATTGGTCGATTATTGGTGCTTTGTTAGCCTATGCTTAGTTTGTTGTTTGGTGGTGATGTTGCTACTGTGGTGCGCACTCTTGGTGGTTGCTGGCTACACTTAGGACCGCCACAAAAACTTTAGTAAGCAGTTGTCGTGGAAACCAAGCTACGTGTTTTCGCGTATTTTTTGCGTATTTTTCGCGTATTTTATTTTTTGCGTATTTTATTTTTCGCGTCGCTATTGTTTACTTTTTTGGATATTTGTTTGTTGTTATTGTTTTGTTTTGTTTTGTTTTTTTAAAAAAAATCACCACCACCTCCTCCCTTCATTTTTTTTCAAAGAATCATATATATTTTCATAAACTCTTAAAATTCTTATTCATATTTACACAAAATCTATAAATTATCATATACAAACATGTCGCAAGGATCCTATCCTTCAGAAATTAACACACCAAGAACCCCCTTCACCCCGGGTCTGGGGTTTCCATCAAATTCATATGCTTCGCCCTACACAAGACCCTCTCAAGCGCATTCAGCCCGATTTTCAAACTTACCCACAAGCTCTAATTCCACCCCGTTACCAGCTTCCAGTGATCTTTTTGTGCGTCCAGGAAGACACAATGCAAATGGACATGCTAATGGGACTACCAATGGTCAAACTAATGGCGATGCTTATGAGCAAGATCCCAATGAAGAAACGCTCAGTATTTTGCGCAGAAATGTTTTACAAACAGAGATTACCCAAGTGCACGACACAACAGGAGAAAAAGTTCAGGAGGCTTTTGAACAGTTTTTAGAAACATTTAAAGAAGAAGACGAAACTGGATCTAGCCAGAATTCGGATGATTCGCGATACTATGTTCAACAAATCCGTGGTCTTTTACGTGGCCAACTTACAACTGTTTTCATTGATTATACTCATCTCCAGTCTGTTGAAGACGGAGTTCTTGCGGAAGCAATCACAGAAAGCTACTATCGATTTTTGCCATTTCTGCTACTAGGTCTGCGTCGTCTTATTCGCAAATATGCACCTTCGTTAATTTTATCAAAAGAAAACGGATCCGTCGGAAACGATGTGCTTAATTCACTCGAGGAAAACTCGACATCAAATGGATCTAATACTAACGCATCAGTTGCTGGTTCTACTGCACTCAAAGATAACGGTAAAGTTTTTCAACTGGCCTTTTATAATATGCCTGTTATTAATCGTATTCGCGACATGCGTTCCGACAAAATTGGCTCGCTCATGAGCATTTCCGGAACGGTAACTCGTACTTCAGAAGTCAGACCAGAACTCTACCGCGGTACATTTATTTGCGATGTTTGTCACTCAATCATTGAAAATGTTGAGCAAGTTTTTAAATTCACTGAGCCTCGTCAATGCTCAAAAATAACATGCGACAATAAGGTGTTGTGGAGTTTGGATGTAGCTAAATCCACTTTTATTGACTGGCAAAAAGTCCGAATTCAAGAAAACTCAGCTGAAATTCCTACTGGTTCTATGCCACGAACCCTTGATGTCATTTTGCGAGGTGATATTGTTGATCGTGCTAAAGCTGGTGATAAATGTACCTTTACTGGTACTGAAATTGTCATTCCAGATGTGTCTCAGCTCGGCCTTCCAGGTGTCAAGCCAACTACTGTCAGAGATGGTGTTGGTGCAGGAAGATTCAACGACGGTTTTAACTCTGGTGTTTCAGGTCTTAAGAGTCTCGGTGTACGTGATCTTACTTACAAGCTGGCATTTTTGGCCAATTTTGTCACAGAAACAAATGCTAGGGACAAGCGTCGAAATTACTTTGAAAACGCTGGCGAAAACGAAGAAGGTCACAGAAGTTCCTTTCGCGAGCAAGAAAAATATTTAGAGTCTCTTACTGAAGCCGAAGTTAATGAACTTCATCTCATGGTTCGTGATCCCCAAATTTATGCTAATCTTGTTGATTCTATTGCACCGACCGTTTGGGGTCATCGCATCATTAAAAAGGGTATTTTACTCCAATTAATGGGTGGTGTTCATAAAACAACGGTGGAGGGCATTTCTCTTCGTGGTGACATTAATGTCTGCATTGTCGGCGACCCCTCTACCTCCAAATCTCAATTTCTTAAATATGTTACAGGTATTCTTCCAAGAGCAATCTATACTTCTGGAAAAGCTTCTTCAGCTGCTGGTTTAACTGCTGCTGTGGTTCGTGATGAAGAAACTGGTGAATACACTATTGAAGCAGGAGCTCTTATGCTTGCTGACAATGGTATATGTGCTATTGATGAATTCGATAAGATGGACATTAGTGATCAAGTTGCCATTCACGAGGCCATGGAACAGCAAACAATTTCAATTGCGAAAGCAGGTATTCAGGCAACCCTTAACGCTCGAACATCCATTTTAGCAGCTGCCAATCCCATTGGGGGACGTTACAACCGTAAGACCAGTTTACGCGCTAATATCAATATGAGTGCACCCATTATGTCACGTTTTGATTTATTTTTTGTTATCGTTGATGACCCTAATGAACGCATTGATCGTGACCTTGCCGAGCACATTGTGGATCTGCATATGCGCACGGATGATGCCATTGAGCCTCCCTACAGTACTTCACAAATTCAACGCTATATTCGTTATGCCAGCACATTTAGCCCCAAAATGACAAAGCCTGCTCGTGATTACTTAGTTCAAAGGTACAAAGAACTTAGAGCCGATGATGCTCAAGGCCTTGGAAGAAACTCTTATAGAATCACTGTCAGACAACTTGAAAGTATGATTCGTTTGTGTGAAGCCATTGCACGCGCAAATTGTACTCGCAAGATCACTGTTCAGATTGTTGAAGAGGCTTATGAACTTCTACGTCAATCCATTATTCATGTTGACCATGATGACGTTGAGGTTGAAGATGATATTGATCAACTTGAAAGAGAAGGGGGAAGCAATGAAAATGAAGATTTGTTTGGAGAAACATCTCGGCCGGCTGCAACTGACGATGACACGCAACAAGATACGGTTCCTCAGCCACATGAACCAAGCATTGCGTCGGGGACTAACGAACCTCGCAAACACAAAGTCAAGATTCCATATGAGCGGTATTCTGCAATGGTCAATCTTCTTATGCAACGCATTGATGCTGCGGAAAATGAAGGTGCAAATCAAACCGCAATGGAAGATGCAGCTGGTGAAGGTATCACTAAGGATGAACTTATTGAGTGGTACCTAGAACAGGAGGAAGATAACATTGCCACTGAAGCCGAATACAATTATGAAAAGGCTCTTGTTGGAAAGATCATTGACAAGATGGTGACAGATAATATTCTCATGGTGATGCGTGGCGAGGGCTTCCCAGATGAAGATGGCCATGCTTTGGAGCGCGAAACTCTTGTTCGCCATCCCAACTCTGTTTCTTAAAAATAGCTTGCAAACCCATTAATGATTTAACGAACTCTTTTTATTATGTACTTTTTAGTGTTGTATTATTATTCAATTTTTGATGTTTTTTTACTATTGAAATAGGTTTATTCATTTAGTTTTCTTTGATTTGAAAGAATTCAATCAAATATGTGGTCATGTGACTTTGTGCATTTTTTATAAAAATATTTTACTCCACCCAAAATTTTCCTATCGCGCAACCATTATAAACGCGCTTCAGCTTTAAGTTTTTTATATTGCGCATTATCTTTACGTTATAAATTAATCAAATAAAATGTCGATACCAAATAAAGCAGGAAAGTCAAGTGTCGTTCGTCCTCTTAAGCGATTTTCTACTGCTGTTGGAGAGTGTGCCCCTGTTGTAAGTTCTTTGAACATTATTTTTCAGCAACTATGAAAAAGATGATTAAATCATACGAATTTAAATCAACTTCTAATAAATATTTTATAGGGGAAAGTTTATGGTGACTGTATTTTGGCAAACTATCAGACTGTCTCTAAAAATATGTGTCTTGCTGAGTTTATGAAGCTGAAAGAATGTGTTCAAAGCAAGGTATGAGATAATAACTTATTATTGTGTTTTAAACTAATTAGTTTCTTTAGCTTGGAAAAAAGTGGTAGCTTTTATTGAATCAAATGCTTTACAATTTTTTTTTTGACTCTTTATGAAAATCCGCCATAAAACAGATTTCTACTCAATCACCACTATGTACATACTTTAGACACATCATGAACAGTTATAATAAATCTAATTCAAATTAAAATATTTTTTATTTATTTTTTCTATTTTTTATAACTACTATATTCAAAGGAAAACAAAAGAAAAAAATACAAACTCATTTTCTTAAACAAAAGATAATATTTTACAATTTAAGCAGTCTAAGCTTGAACAAGGTATCACCAATTTCTTGGTCCTCTTCACCAAGGTTATCACCCTCAGTAGATTCGCCAAAGCTTTGAAGAGGACGTCTCAAAGTCTTTTCAATAGTCTCCTTGTGCTTCTTGAGACACTCAGAAAGACCGCAGGTATCCTTGGTGATTTCGATCTCAACCTGGACCTCATCAGTAGCCTGAAGACCAAGCTTCTTGCGGTATCTTTGGACACGGTTGATAAACTCACGAGCATTAGCCTCAGATTTGAGATCCTCATCAATGGAAATATCCATGATAACAAGAACATCCTGATCGGTGTTGACTTCCTGTCCATTCTGGACAGCCTTGTCACTGACACCACGAATAACAGTCAAATCACCCTCAACAAGCTCAATGCCATCAATGTTGATCTTCTTGTTCTTCAGGTAGCCTTGAACCTCGTCGCTGGTAAGACCGGGAAGAGCCTTCTTGACCTTGGCAATATCCTTGCGGAGCTTCTTACCCAGAACGGGCCAGTCAGCCTGAGCCTTGTACTCAACATCAAACTTCTCCTCGTCTGAAGTTAAGATAAGATCACGAATGTTAAGTTCATCAATAATGTAGCTCTTGAGAGACTCAAGATCCTCGAGGTAGCCCTTGTCGTGGTGAATGACAACAAAAGTGCGAAGAGGAACCTTCAAAGAGATGGTCTTGCGTTCACGAATGTTACGGCCAAGCTCGATGACACGACGCATACGGTTGACAGCAAGCTCAGTCTTGTCGTCAATCAACTCCTTGCGGACAACGGGGTAAGACAAGAAGTGAACTGAGCGATCATCACCCTCGTGCAAGTTATCGGGGATAGCAGTCTTGAGGTTCTTGTAAATGGTCTCGGCCAAGAATGGAGTGAAAGGAGCCATGGCACGGACAAGAACGTAAAGAGCCTCAAAAAGAGTGTTGAGAGCCTTGATGGTGTCATCAACACCATTTTCACCTTTCAGACGGCTGCGGTTAAGTCTGATGTACCAGTTGGTCAGGTCCTCGATGAGCTTGAGCAAACCCGGAACGACATTGTACAATCTGTACTGGCCCATCTCCTCGTGAATGTAACCGATAAGGGTCTGGAGAGAAGCCAAAATCCACTTGTCCATGACGTTCTCACTGCGGAGATTAGGGTCGTACTTGAAGTCAATGTTCTCAAGTTTCTTCAGCAAAGCAACTTGACCCTCCCAAAATTTGTAAGAATTCCACCAGGGCAAAAGGACCTTGGAAACAACTTCCTTGACACCTTCTTCCTTAAACTTAAGGGTTTCAGCTCTTAAAACAGGAGAATTGATGAGGTAAAGACGAAGGGCATCAGCACCGTACTTATCAAGGATAAGGTTGGGATCAGGGTAGTTCTTCAATCTCTTGGACATCTTCTTGCCATCAGCAGCCAAAACGATACCACTGACGATACAGTTCTTGAAAGGAGAAACATCAAACAAATGAGTACCCAAAACAACTAATGTGTAGAACCAACCACGAGTCTGATCAAGACCCTCAGAGATAAAGTCAGCGGGGAAACCCTTCTTGAACTTTTCAGCATTTTCAAAAGGGTAGTGCTGACTGGCGTAGGGCATACTGCCAGATTCAAACCAACAGTCAAAAACTTCCTCAATACGCTTGAGAGTTCCCTTACCCTGTTTGGAAGGAATTGTGATGGGGTCAATGTTCTCACGGTGCAGATCAGTAATATCCTGAACACCAGAGAGCTCTCTCAACTCTTCAATAGAGCCAATGCAGACAATTTCCTCCAAGTCATCACTAACCCAAAGAGGGATAGGAGTACCCCAGTATCTGTTTCTGGAAATGTTCCAATCACGGGCATTCTTGATCCAGTTGGCAAAACGACCCTCCTTAATGGCGTTGGGAACCCAATGAGACTCGTCAATGTGCTTAAGCATGTTGGGGATAATCTCCTTAATGCGAACAAACCAAGCGGGGACAGTTCTGTAAAGAAGAGGAGTATCCGATCTCCAGCAGAAGGGGTAACTGTGTCGCAGTTGAGCATCAACGAGAATGCGGCCTTGTTCCTTGAGATACTTGATGATCTTTCTGTCAGCGTCCTTAACGTAAACTCCCTCCCAATCAGGAACTTGGCTGGTGAACTTGCCAGTGTCGTCAACGGGGTTAGGGGGGGCACGGTCTTCAGTGATAACACCGTGAGCAACGCACACAGCATAATCGTCCTCACCAAAAGCAGGGGCCTGATGAACAATACCAGTACCAGAGTCGTCCTTAACATAAGTGTCATTAAGGACTCTAAAGGCGTGATCTTTGAACTCGTCGTAAAAGTAGTTGAAAAGGGGGACATACTTCATGTCCTTAAGATCAGAACCCTTGTACTTTTGAACAACCTTAAGCTTCTCCTTCTTGGGGTTTTTATATAATGTAGTCAAAAGCTTCTCAAGAAGAATGTAGTTCTTGCCAGTCGTTTCATCGTGAATCTTGACATACTCATAGTCGGGGTTAACGCAAAGAGCCAAGTTAGAAGGAAGAGTCCAGGGCGTAGTAGTCCAAGCAACAAAAGAAGTGTCGGGATCGTCAACAAGAGGAAATGCAATGGTGATAGCAGGATCAAGAACATCCTTGTAGTTTTGCTGAGCCTCAAAATTTGAAAGAGGGGTGGTGAGACCAGTGGAATAAGGCATGACACGGTAACCTCTGTAAACAGAGTTCTTGTCAAAAAGCTGCTTGAAAACCCACCAAATGGTTTCCATGAATGACGGGTAAAGAGTCTTGTAGTCATTATCAAAGTCGATCCAGCGACCCATGCGGCCAATGGTGGAGCGCCACTCGGAAGCGTAACGCATGACAATGGCTCTGCACTCGGCATTGTACTTATCGATACCCATATCCATAACATCTTGCTTGCCAGTGATACCGAGCTTCTTGTCAATTTCATATTCAACGGGAAGACCGTGGGTATCCCAACCAAATCGGCGCTCGACATGGTGGCCAGTCATATGAGCATAACGAGGAATAATATCCTTGACGGTAGAAGCAAGAATATGGCCATAGTGAGGGGTACCGGTGGCGAATGGAGGACCGTCATAAAAGTTGTAGACGGGGCGGCCTTCGGATAACTTCAATGAAGTTTGGAAGGCATCAATCTCGTTCCAAAATTCAAGGACTTGCTCTTCAGCCTTGGGGAAGTCCATTGTGACTAGAGGAGAATAGTTAGAGATTGTTTAAATAATTAATTAAAATGATTAAAGATAGTTTCGAAAGAATTAACTTACTTGAAAATGGTGGGGGTGCTTTAGTATTTATAAAATAAAAAAAAATAAAAAAAAAAAAAGGCAGGGGAAGAAAAAAAGCCCTTGAGGCACAACTGAAAAATCAAAAATTGAATCAATTCAAAACAAAAAGAGTCATAAAAATTTTTTGTTACGTTACAAGTGGTGACCACTTTAGGATTCAAAAAATGTAACGATGTAAGTTTGATGATGTGTTAGTCATTATTACTAATCTTATGTATCTGTAAAAGTCGGCTTACAAAAAAAAACAGTTTAACAAAAAAAGATCCGAGGCGTCCGGCTTGACTTGCCAACAATTGATTTTGCTAGAAAGTTAATGGATATCACAAACAATGAATCAAGTTAATCAAGTTAATCAAGTTAATCAAGTTAATCAAGTTGACAAAAAAAAATTTAATAGAATACTTGAGTTTTATGTGTAATAAAAAATATAATCGTCAATTATTGTTTAAAGTATGAATTAGTAAAGATTTTAAAAAAAAAATGTCCCTCAGTTCATCTAAACAACATATCAAAAAAATCATTAATACTTCTAACCATTGCCAAATACAAAATAGGCCTACAGTAGTGAAAAAGCTAGTTATTTCAAAAAAAAATTCCCATTAAAAAATAAATTAATTACATCAAAAGAAAAGAGCCCAGCTGTTTTCTATCCATCATTTCTATTATATAAGTGTATTTGACAGTCTAAAATCAAATGCGAGAAGGCTGAGCAAAATCACTGCAGCATGGGCAGCCAGTAATGTAAGCCTTAGCAGCCAGAGGGTGGCAAACACATCCAGAAGCACCGCTGCAGCATGAGCAGCCAGCGCCATGCTTAATGCTAGTATGGGATGGGCCGTCAACATTGGCAGCACACTTTGAAGGAGCGAGTGTGGAGGTGGACTGAGTAGGGGCAGCGGCAGCAGCAGCGGCAGCCTTCTTCATAGAGCACTTGCAAGCCATTTTGAATTATTAGGTTGTTGTTGATAGAAAAAGTTGTTTAAGTGGTAAATGTCGAAATAAGTATTTCTAAGTTTGAATAAGTCTAAAGATTAAAAATCTTTTATTTGTTCGTAGATGAAGTATTAAATGATTAGAAAATAAGAAGAAGAAGAAAAAAATTTGAAGAGAACTGGGAATTTTAGCAGTATTTATACACTTTGATCAAGGACAGATCCGTTACACAACAGGAAACTACTTCCATGAGATCACGTGCTGATAAGATACTTTGCGGAAGGATTGCCCCTAAACGGGCTTTTTGTGCAAGTCGTCTCGCGACCATCTTGCTCTCGAATCTACATCGGCTAAAGCAAGTAAAAAAAAAGACATTTAAAAGCAAATTAAAATGATATGATCTCAAGTCAATTTGAAGTGTTATTTGAAGCGTTAATTTGGTATACTTCTTTTGTCACTTCCGCCCCGGGTGGTTGGTGGTCTTTTCATTTTTGCTGATCCCTTTACCGCATAGACCTTCCAATGTAGTCGGCCACCTTTTTCCCAAACTGTTTTGTGTCAACATGGCTTTTAAGTAGACGCTTTATTACAAGTAATTACTTGTTATATAAATTGTAACTCTAACAAGAATAGCCGTTTCTAAAAAAGATTTATTTTTTTTTTTTTTGCGGGGTGTCAGTATCTTACAATCTCGTGTAACTTTACTGGCGGAGAAGATTAATGCAAAGGCCGACTATCTACAAATGGTAACTATTGGCCACGATTAAAACAATAGAACGGCGCTTAACCCAATTTTTAACACAAAAACAGGCTTTTTCAATGTCATTTGATCTAGCATCTTTTAAGCCATATTAAGTGAATCGTAAACAGTACAAATGAAAAATGTGGCTAGTTTGATCTTATTCTAGTAAAATCAATTATTAAAGAAAAAAAATACAAATTGCTCAATTTTTTTTCATAATCAAGTAATTAAGTTCTTTCTTTTCATTTGAAAAATTTTTATGAGATTTAAAAAAAAAAAAAAAAAGTTCAGTTCTTGTAGACATCAATATGAAAATAACATCTGTCTTTCAACAAAGGTTAATAGAAAATAAAAAAAAATTAAATCTTAAAAAATACTATTTGCAGAAAATTAAGTTTCGGGTCAGGAAGCAAAAGAAATATCGAGGGCTTCGAACACTCACCTCTAAAATAAGGGACCTAATTTTTATTTTGATTTTTTATTTGAGAGAATCAAGAAAACAAATTTTACAATTTTGTTATGATTATATAAGTAAGTAGGTAATTACTTACTTACATCAAATTCATGGAGTAGATAATCTCTAGTGTATTTTCTTTTTCAGGTATACAGTACTCAGAATTCAGATAGTTGAGCCTAGTTAAGGTTAGAATGAAAAGCATGGAAAAGGAAATTTATTTTCTCAAAATTAAGCTGTTTATTTCAGCATTGACCTAACAACTTTAGAAATTGATATAAGTTTCGGTTCAAGTTACTCTGCTAAAATATATATGCTTTATTTTTTTATCATTAAGTCAATAGATAGGAATGATTCTAACTAAATAACTATATTGATTTGGTATAGCTTATCATTTCTAATGAGCCAAATATGATTGATATTTTAATTTGTCTTATTGCTCGATTGAATTCAGTTTTGTTAATCAAACGAAATAAAAATGTTGCGATTTATTTTATTTCAAAAAAAAGTTTTTTTCCATTAAACAAAAGTAAACATATCTTTCTTAATTAACTTCCATAAGTGTATTGCTTTAACGATTTTTTCTTGTTAGTGTCACCTATAAGCTTAGTAATAACAATAGTATTTTTCTGACTAGACGGAAAAAAAAAATTATGTAAAATTTGAGCACGTTGAAAAAAAAATTCTCTCCAAAAAAGGATAAAAAAAAATTGTAAAACTCAACAAAAAAATAAGAAAAAAAACCAAAAAAGACTTGTTTAAAGAAGTAAAAAGATATCGACACCAGCAGGACTCGAACCTGCGCGGGAAATCCCAAAAGATTTCTAATCTTTCGCCTTAACCGCTCGGCCATAGTGCCCAAATTGTTAGAAGTGTAACGGTTTGGAGCAACACCCAGTGATTGAATAGAGAATGAGAATTTTTAAAATTTTATTTGAAAAATAAGAACAGAAAAAAAAAAAAATGTCAGACCCCCCCAACAACAACCAAACCACGTTTAGTGGCGGCGACCCCCCTGCCGACAATAATTATACCGACAATAATAATGAACAGACTAATATTAATGATATGCAAAAAATTATTGCTGTTGAACTGAAGGAGAAAGAAAGTTCTCATTCCAGAGGACCTCATTCTCATGAAGCTCATCACATCAAACCCTCGACAAAAATCCAAAAAAATAATGAAAAACCAGACTCCCATAAAAAAATTGAAACTATCCACAAAAAGCTTGAATCGAATGATAAGCATAACGCTTCTTCAAACCACGAAACCCCCGTTGAAACCCCTATTGTGAATGTTGGTCCAACCTTGAACCCTACCTTTGACTCCTCACCAGATGGTGGTGATGTTGAAATTGACGCAACACCATCACGTGACATGGATGTTCTCATGCCGGATGCAAATCCATTTGGTGATAATTCTGAAGCCTGGGAATACATCTTAAAACTTAAGGATGTATTTCTGGTTGAATTGTCTATTGTTAAAGAAGACTTGAGTATTACAATTGAAGATTGGGAAATAAAATTTCAAAATCTTGAACTTAAAAACAATGAGTTAGCTAAACAACTCATTGCTTTGACCGAAAAGCTTAAAGCTTCAGAAGGACAAGTGAATTCTCTTCGCTCAGAACTTGATGTTTTGAGAAACAATCAGGTTCACACAGAAGTTAAACATGTAATGTTTGAAAAACTCAAAAAGGAAGTTAAAGATAATAAGGATCATTGCGATAAAGTGAAACATAAAGCTGATGAAATAGCTAAGATGACTCTTCAAGATTTGTCTCAAGAAAAGCAAGAAACAAAAGAATTATCGACACACTGAAATCAAGGAATTCAAAGAAATGACCAACAATCTTGAGAAAAGAGTTGATAATATGGAATACAAAGTTGGAACTATTTCAACTAAGGCTGATTTAACTACCAAAGAACTTAGCTACGCAAAAAAGGAAATCAAGAGCGCGGTAAGAAAAGTCGACACTTTGCCTTTTGCTTTGACCCCTAAAACCCCAAATGGAACAACTCCAAAGTTGAAAGACATTATGAAGGCTCAAAAACAACACCGTGAAACTAAAGTTGATGAAGACAAACCCACTTTTAGAGTGTGCATAAGAATTCCAGATACCATGAAAAGAGTTAATATCCCTGCGATTGGAAAGAAAATTGATGCGGTTGCACAAAAGCCGGTGGCTCAGGAAATAGGCTATACTGTCAAAGGGCATTTATATGTTCAACTTAATGACAAAGATTTTGCTGATAAAGCTGCAGAATGGATCCCCAAAGTTGACCCTACTTATTCAGTGCTTGACACAGATTCTTGGTACAAGGCTGTACTTCAGGAAATACCTAATACGGCATCGATTGAAGACTTGAAAGAAACTCTCTACAATTTTAATGATTACCATATTGTTTTGAATACCGAACCCAAAATCATTAGCAGAAACCAATTTACCCAAACAGCATTGGTTTCATTCAGAAATGCCCAAGACTATGCAAAGTGTGCTGATAATCTTATTATCCAGTACACAAAAGTTAAAGTTAGACCTTTTATTAGCAGGAAAAAAAACTCCTGAAGAACTCCAAGCTATGCGTAATAAGATACGATTATTGAAAAATGAATCAGACAAAAGGATAATGAGGCCCATCCTGTTTCCACTGACGACTCACAAGATGAACCGATGAAAGAAACAAATATTGAAGAACTAGATGAATCCAATGAGGAAGAAAACGAAAACAATTCTAATACATCCAATGAATTATAAAGTATTCCAACTCAATTGTCATAAATCGAAATCTATTACTGAAACTATCTTAGATAAAAAAGAACCTGATATCTTGTTATTACAAGAACCTTACTTTAACAACTATGGGCCCATTAAACATAAAGATTGGATCCCAATCTTTACAGAAACTGGAAAGAAAAAAATAAATGCAGAGCAATTACTTATATTAGGTCTAACTCTGACTTACGAGCATTAACTACTAAAATTGAAAAGTTTACAAATCGAGATATGGTTACCATTTTGGTTAAAGACATTACAATTGTCAATGTCTATAATCAACCGAAACCATCCAAGAAATACCCTGAGCCACCGGTTTTTGAGTTTCTCAAACGGGAGATCAAGGAACAATACTCAAAGATTGTCATTGCAGGTGATTATAACTTACATCACAAGGAATGGGAGTCAAGGGCAGGTCCGAATACGGAAGCAGATGAAGTTGTTGAGTGGCTACATGAAAATGATATGATGTTAATTACTCCAAGAAATCAAAAAACATACAACAATAGAACCAATATTGATTTGGTTTATGGCTCAGTGGACTTACTTCATAGAATTTCATTTAGTGGAGTGGATGAAAATACACTAAGTGATCACTCAATTGTGGAGTGGGACATCTATATGTCTCAGAGTAAAAACGGGGATGAAGTTTTTACTTCGGTGAAGAGATTGAATATTAAGAATGCAGATTGGGAAAAGTTTGACAAGGAGCTTTCTTCTGCCATTAAAGATTTTAATGTGCATAACAAAACTCTAAAATCAACTGACCAAATTGATGACCAAGCTAAAGTTCTTGAGGAGGTTGTAAAAAGAGCAATGGCAAAGTCGATGAAGGAAGTTAAGGTGATGAAAAAGTCCAAACGTTATTGGAATCAAGAATTAAGGGAGAAGTTAGAAAAAGCGCTAGAAGCTAAAAGGGAAGCCCGTCAAAGGCAACCTTCTTTGGCTTTGAAACGACAAAAAATTGAAGAGGCGAAAAAAGCTAGAAAAATTTTTGACCACAGTTTGCGTGAAGCAAGTACTGAGCAATGGAATAAATATTTGTCTAGTTTAGAAGGAAATGACATTTGGAAGATTTTGAAGTATATTAATCCAAAAAGCAATGATACCATTATACCACAAATTAGAAAAGAAGATGGAACTCTCACTACTACTGTTGACGAAAAAGACATGAAATATGGAAGGCACTTCTACCTGAAATTGATCATGGTCTTGATAGAGAGTTTGAAATTGATGACGATTCTCGATGGCCAAAATTAGAGTTTGATGAAGTTGACTCTGCATTGGCTGATACCCCAAATGATAAAGCTCCAGGAGACGATGGAATTACTGGCAAAGTTTTAAAGATGGCATGGCTGAATAAAGACTTTAAGGAAAGGTTTTTCAAGCTTCTCCAAGCTTGTGTGAAGTTTGGATACCACCCAAAAGTCTGGAGACATGGCATTATTGTTGTTATACCTAAACCTAAGAAACCTGACTATTCAAAGCCAAGAGCATACCGACCAATTTCCTTACTTAAGATTCCATCTAAAGTACTGAAAAAATTATACAAAAAGAATGACCAAGCTTACAACACACTTACTTCCACCAGAGCAATATGGGGAAGACAAGGTTATTGTGCTACTGATGCTGTTTTGGAACTTGTCCAAAGAATTGTAACTAGTAAGGAAAAAATTTCAGCTATGCTCATTGATATTCAAGGAGCTTTTGATAATGTTAACAGAAATATATTGGCACACACAATGGAGGATATGAAACTACCCAAAGCACTTATAAACTGGACGTACCAATTTGTAAGTGAAAGAGAAGCTAGTATGCTCATGGACCGAAGAAAAGGATCAGTACAAAAAATTAGTACTGGAATTCCGCAAGGCTCACCTATTTCACCACTACTTTTTTTGATATATTCCACACCAATGTATCATGCCATTAAAGAATGGGGTGGAACTCCTTTTGGCTTTATTGATGATGTGACTATTACCGTTGAAGGTAAAATTGAAGAAAATACCAAAAGCTTAAGCAACATATTAGAAAAATGTTGTAATTGGGCTAAATCAAGAATGACCAAAATTGATTTGGGTGACAAATTGGGTTTTATTCATTTTACAAAAATGTGAAACCTAAAGATGAGAAAGTGCAACTTACTTTACCTAATGGAGAACTTCGTGAACCCCAGAAGGAAGTTAAATTGCTTGGAATTACTTTGAACAATCTGCTTGATTTTAAATCTCATATTTTGAATAAAATCAATAAAGCAAGAAAAGCTGTTGGTGCTATTTGGCATCTTGGTGGCGTGCAAAAAGGTATGCGAGGGTCTGCAGTCAGATCACTGTATATTGCTTGCGTGAGACCAATTGTCGAATATGGCTTAGAAATTTGGCATCACAAAATTTTGAAAGGAGAAATCCACAAGTTGGAAGTAATGCAGAATATGGCTTTAAGAAGAATTGTTGGTGCTTATCGCACAACTCCTATTGCGGTACTACAAAAGGAAGCTGGTATTATGCCATATAGTATTAGGCTAAAATTTATGGTGGCACGAAAAGCTATTCGTTTACACCTAAATATTAGCAAAACTAATCCTATTAATGGTCATTTGTTAACATTGATTGAGAAATCTCCAATTGCAAAGCTAACCACGCTTTACATGTTGGCGAAAGATGATAGAGACTATATGATTAAAATAGATGAAAACGAAAATGCAAGAGGGTTGAACCTCTTACACTGAAACAACAACAAAATCAGACGATTGGAATTTTGAAAAAACAAGCAATGGAAGAATGGCAAGAAATGTATTGGAACAGCAGTAAGGATCTGTGGTATCATAATATCACAGTGGAGTCGAAATGTACTGATAATCTTTCCAAAATGGTTACGGGAGTGATCATGAAGAAAGATAGTCGAAGGATCTTGAGTAATATTACTCAATTTCGCACAGGCCATGGCAACTTTGGCGCATGGTTTAAAAAAAAAAGTTTGGAATTGAAAAGGATAGTTACAACTGCAAATGTGGAGAGCTGGAAACAGTTCATCACATTTTAGTTGAGTGTCCTTTGCTTGAAGAGGAAAGAAAAGGACTGAAACGGATATCTCCAGAGATGGACATGTCGACTCTCTTAAACAGTTTAACTGGCTTACAAGAGATTGTAAGCTTTATCTCTGCTTGGAGGGATTAAGAAATACAATTACAGCGTTGATGAAGACAAGTGGAGATAGGTTGGGAAGGTTTGGTTATTTTAACCCCCTGTTCCTCGTAAGCTGGCATCAGGACTTATTTTCGGGCTGTTGGAGATGCAATGTTGAAGCCAAAATTAAAAGTTTATTATCAAAATGAAAAAATATATAGTATGGACAAGAAGGATAGCGCAGATGCTGATGTTATATAATTCTATAACCCTTGAATAAAAACAAACAAACAAACAATTTGAAAAATAATAAGGGGAAAGGGCTAGATGGTGTAAAGGGTAACACGTTCGCTCGATAGCGGAAGATACTGGGTTCGATTCCCAGAATACCCCCTTTTCCTGAGGATGTGTACGGGAGTATACACCTAGACTGAAAACCATAGGCTACCCTGGTTACAGGAATGCCGACTCTTCCGTACAGTCTAAATAGCCTGCAGGTGATTGCGGGCCGTATCTCTGGCGGAAGAGATTAAGAAATACATGGGCGTCTGTGAAGATAAGTGGAAATGGGTTGGGAAGGTTTTGGGACCGACAGACTGGTTCTCCCTGTTCCTCGTAAGCTGGCATCAGGGCCCATCTTCCGGGCTACCGGAGACGCACAGAACAGAAACCACCAGTACTAAAAAGGTACAAATGAAAACCGGCAAGTCACATAGTCAGACAATAAAAGGATAGCGCAGATGCTGATGTTATATAGTTCTATAACCCTTGAATAAAAACAAACGAACAAACAATTGAAAAATAATTGTTGGCGAAAGATGATAGAGACTATATGATTAAAAAGGATGAAAAATGAAAATGCAAGAGGGTTGAACCTCTTACACTGAAACAACAACAAAATCAGACGATTGGAATTTTGAAGAAACAAGCAATGGAAGAATGGCAAGAAATGTATTGGAATAGTAATAAGGATCTGTGGTATCATAATATCACAGTGGAGTCGAAATGTACTGATAATCTTTCCAAAATGGTTACGGGAGTGATCATGAAGAAAGATAGTTGAAGGATCTTGAGTAATATTACTCAATTTCGCACAGGCCATGGCAACTTTGGCGCATGGTTTAAAAAGTTTGGAATTGAAAAGGATAGTTACAACTGCAAATGTGGAGAGCTGGAAACAGTTCATCACATTTTAGTTGAGTGTCCTTTGCTTGAAGAGGAAAGAAAAGGACTGAAACGGATATCTCCAGAGATGGACATGTCGACTCTCTTAAACAGTTTAACTGGCTTACAAGAGATTGTAAGCGTTATCTCTGCTTGGAGGGATTAAGAAATACAATTACAGCGTTGATGAAGACAAGTGGAGATAAGTTGGGAAGGTTTGGTTATTTTTAACTCCCTGTTCCTCGTAAGCTGGCATCAGGACTTATTTTCGGGCTGTTGGAGATGTAATGTTGAAGCCAAAATTAAAAGTTTATTATTAAAATGAAAAGATATATAGTATGGACAAGAAGGATAGCGCAGATGCTGATGTTATATAATTCTAAAACCCTTGAATAAAAACAAACAAACTATGCCGAAAATTTAGTTGATACCTCAAATAATAAAGCTTCAAGGAATGATAAAATTACTGGCAATGTTTTGAAAGTTGAATGGCAGAATAAAGACTATAAGAAATGGTTTTTCAAGCTTCTCTAAGCTTTTGTGAAGTTTGGATACCATCCAAAAGTCTGAAGACATGGCATTATTATTGTTATACATAAAGCTAAGAAACCTGATTGATCAAAATTAAGAACATACCGACCGATTTTTTTAAGATTATATCTAAAGTATTGGAGAAGATTATAACAAAAGAGTTACCAAACTTACAACACACTTGCTTCCGTCAGAGAAATATAAGAGAAGACAATTTAATTGTGCTACTGATGATACTCAAGAAGCTTCTGATAATATTAATATAAATATCCTGGCAGACACAATGAAAAATATGAAGCTACCCAAAACGCTTATAAACTGGACATACTAAAAGAGAAGTTAATATGTTCAAGGACCGAAGAAAAAGATCAATGCAAAAAATCTGTACCGAAATTTCTCACCGCTTGCATATTTCACTCTCACTTTTTTTTTTATATATATTCTACACCAATTTACCGTACATTGCAATGTACCATGAAATTAAAAATTATAGTGGAAACCTTTTTGGTTTTATTGACGATATTATCATCACCATTGAAGGTAAAATTGAAGAAAATACCAAAAGCCTAATCAATATATTGTAAAAATTTTGTAATTGGGCCAAATCATAAATGACAAAAATTAATTAGGGTGATAAATTGGCTTTTATTCATTTTACAAAAAAAATTACTAATAGAGAACTTTTAGAACCCCAAAAGAAAATTAAATTATTTGGAACCACTTTGAACAACTGAGATGAAATATTATTTTGCAAATTTTTGTTGTTTGTTTGTTTGTTTATTTTTATTCAAGAGTTTTAAAATTATATAACATCAGCATCTGCGCTATCCTTCTTGTCCATACTATATATCTTTTCATTTTAATAATAAACTTTTAATTTTGGCTTCAACATTACATCTCCAACAGCCCGAAAATAAGTCCTGATGCCAGCTTACGAGGAACAGGGAGTTAAAAATAACCAAACCTTCCCAACTTATCTCCACTTGTCTTCATCAACGCTGTAATTGTATTTCTTAATCCCTCCAAGCAGAGATAACGCTTACAATCTCTTGTAAGCCAGTTAAACTGTTTAAGAGAGTCGACATGTCCATCTCTGGAGATATCCGTTTCAGTCCTTTTCTTTCCTCTTCAAGCAAAGGACACTCAACTAAAATGTGATGAACTGTTTCCAGCTCTCCACATTTGCAGTTGTAACTATCCTTTTCAATTCCAAACTTTTTAAACCATGCGCCAAAGTTGCCATGGCCTGTGCGAAATTGAGTAATATTACTCAAGATCCTTCAACTATCTTTCTTCATGATCACTCCCGTAACCATTTTGGAAAGATTATCAGTACATTTCGACTCCACTGTGATATTATGATACCACAGATCCTTATTACTATTCCAATACATTTCTTGCCATTCTTCCATTGCTTGTTTCTTCAAAATTCCAATCGTCTGATTTTGTTGTTGTTTCAGTGTAAGAGGTTCAACCCTCTTGCATTTTCATTTTTCATCCTTTTTAATCATATAGTCTCTATCATCTTTCGCCAACAATTATTTTTCAATTGTTTGTTCGTTTGTTTTTATTCAAGGGTTATAGAACTATATAACATCAGCATCTGCGCTATCCTTTTATTGTCTGACTATGTGACTTGCCGGTTTTCATTTGTACCTTTTTAGTACTGGTGGTTTCTGTTCTGTGCGTCTCCGGTAGCCCGGAAGATGGGCCCTGATGCCAGCTTACGAGGAACAGGGAGAACCAGTCTGTCGGTCCCAAAACCTTCCCAACCCATTTCCACTTATCTTCACAGACGCCCATGTATTTCTTAATCTCTTCCGCCAGAGATACGGCCCGCAATCACCTGCAGGCTATTTAGACTGTACGGAAGAGTCGGCATTCCTGTAACCAGGGTAGCCTATGGTTTTCAGTCTAGGTGTATACTCCCGTACACATCCTCAGGAAAAGGGGGTATTCTGGGAATCGAACCCAGTATCTTCCGCTATCGAGCGAACGTGTTACCCTTTACACCATCTAGCCCTTTCCCCTTATTATTTTTCAAATAAAATTTTAAAAATTCTCATTCTCTATTCAATCACTGGGTGTTGCTCCAAACCGTTACACTTCTAACAATTTGGGCACTATGGCCGAGCGGTTAAGGCGAAAGATTAGAAATCTTTTGGGATTTCCCGCGCAGGTTCGAGTCCTGCTGGTGTCGATATCTTTTTACTTCTTTAAACAAGTCTTTTTTGGTTTTTTTTCTTATTTTTTTGTTGAGTTTTACAATTTTTTTTTATCCTTTTTTGGAGAGAATTTTTTTTTCAACGTGCTCAAATTTTACATAATTTTTTTTTTCCGTCTAGTCAGAAAAATACTATTGTTATTACTAAGCTTATAGGTGACACTAACAAGAAAAAATCGTTAAAGCAATACACTTATGGAAGTTAATTAAGAAAGATATGTTTACTTTTTGAAAAAAACAATGAAAAATAAATTAGTTTTGCAACCAAATTCAATTGTACCGTAAATGGTTACATCGAGTTTTTGTAAAAAATTGTAAATGTTTTTGGTAGACATCGAAACCTTGAGACTTATTACTGGGCTCGTTGTCAACGTTTGTTTTTTTGATTTCATTAGGTATCAGCAAAAGCAAAAGCAAAAGCAAAAGCATATATGCTTTTGCTTATATAAGTAACAATTTAATTTAATTTAATTTAATTTAATTTAATTTAATTTAATTTAATTTTTTTTTCTTTCAAACTATTGTATTGAATGGCATAACCTGGAAACGTAAGCATATGAAAGTCAAATTTTTTTTTTTTAAAAAAAATAAAGTCAAAGCTTGGTTTAGTAAACTTAAGATATTTAAAACTCAGCTTATAAGTTATCTTGTTGACGATACTCTTTGGGTGATTCAGCTCTCCCTTTTTTTTTTTTTTTTTTTTTTGGCTACTAGAATTTCAAACACATGTTGCGTTAGTGTTAAACCCATTACCCATGGTTCTAGCCCTGCATAATTAATGACCAAGCATTTGTTTATATTTCAAACTTATTCATACATTACTAAATCGAGGTTTAGAGAACTACTTAATTTAGGTTAAGATAGGATTTAACATCTAGGCAAATCTTAACCATAAATTTTTTTCAAAAACATAAATTCTAGCATTTCTTACAATGATCACTTTAAATGTTGTAGAACAATAATACTTTTACGGTGAAAACAATGGTACAATATTTGTAAGTGGACCTTTTACCGAGGTTACTAACACATTTAAAAGATTCAATTTTATCCAATTATCGGAATTTTTTTTAAACAAAACAGAACTTTTGAAGATATTTGAATTGGAATATTTGGCAGTAATTGGTAATATTTTATTTAATCCTATTGAGTTTTAAATATTGTTATAAAAACTATTAAGATATAATTGCAGCAAATAATTCCGAAAAAGATTAAAAATCGAGGCGAAAAAAATAACCCTTTCCTTGTAAACTCTACAAATAGTGTTTACCAAAAATATGTGGACTACGGCTCATTTTAATGGACGTCTATCTAAAGAAGAGAAATTTTCTAACCCATATTTTTTTTTTTATTTGAAAGCAATTTATTTTGAAAAAAAAATAAACTAGTAATTTAGGGTAGGTTTAAAGACAGTGAATGAATTAATAATTATTAATTCATTTAAATAGATATATATAGATGAACCGTAGAATAAGTCAAGGAAGAAGGTAAGAAATCCAATATACTCCGTCATTTTCATTCATAGAAACTAACCTACGAATTAGAATTCTAAATGCAAGTCAGGAGAGATTAGTGATTAAGATGAGTTAAGACGGGTAGATGGTTTATTATATACTTCATTGACAAAGCTTCACTGTTTGTTAGGCGTATCCTGGGACTTCGATCATACCGAGTGGTTAGGGTATTAATACTTGGGGGAGATGAAACTATAACATTCGGGTGCGCGGCCGCTTTGCGGTATGCAACAGTGTGGCAGGTCACACCTATAACACCGACTTATAGCGATACTTGCTACTTGTCGAGGATAAAAAACTTGAGGAAAACTTGTGAAGATATTAGCTTTAGACTTGGCAAAAATTATAGAATGCCAAGACTAGGGATATCAACTTTGACTTTGGAAGATGGCAACTTTGGTTATATTGATATCAAGATAATGAAATTATCTGGCTTACCAAAAGAAATAAAGCCAAAAGGCGGAGAGAAAAAAAAAATTCACCAAGATAAAAAAAAAAAAGATCAAACTTTTTCCATAAACAAGCATTAGATTATCAAGATCAAACCGATAATCATTATCGTTTTAATCGCGAGCAGATCCTTAGTGTTTTAAATTTTTAAATTTTTAAATTTTTAAATTTTTAAAATAATTTTTTTTTTTTTTTTTTGATGTCAGCGAGTTATTAAAAGTAAAATTACCTAATCATCCTGATTTACAAGTACCAGGCTAGAAGTAATAAGTGTTTTTGAAAGTTTCGGAGATTCCATCCAATGGTACGGCATTTTGATGATTTAAAATTTCCTCATTTTTGTCCAAAGCGGTGGGCGTGCAACTTTGAGGTCTACTATGGGCTTTATGTTTCCAAATATCATAGGTTTTCTTCTTTCTTTCTTTTTTTTTTTTTTTTTTTTTACCAAAAAGAAACAAAAAACGCAGGGTTTGGTCTATCTTCGTATATCAACTACAAAAACAAAAGAAAAGAGCGGGAGAAAAGTGGAGGATATTTTTTCTTTAAAAAAAAAAAAGAAGAAGTTTAAATCAAAGTTGAGAGATTCTTACTTTCGGTTAAAGATATATCAAGTTAAGTGACCATCACCCAACCATGCGAGCTATTTTTTTTTTTTTTTTTTTTTTTTTTAAGTGGCATGGCTCATTTTCTACACTTTATGGTTGACCACACACTAAACTTTTAAATCCATCCCTTGAATGAAACCTCGAACAGTGTTAATAGTGGTAAGTAAGTATCTATGGGAACCTGTCATTTTAATTTAAAATAAAAAAAAATTCTTCTATATATATACTTTTCTAGTTTTTAACAAAAAAATACAGTTTTATGTAATTGAAAAAAAATATGAAAAAAAAACCCCCATTTGAAAACAAATTTAACCATATTATTAGATTTTAAAATTTTTATTGATGTTTGATTTTAAAAAAAAAAAAAACTTTAGTGATTTTTATAAATTAAAAAAATAAAATTAAGATAGCGAACCAAATATTTCAATTGATTGAGCTTTAGATAAACTAGGAGGAAACATGAAAAAGAACAAGAACAAGAAAAAAAAAAGCTTGATTTTAAACTTAGCTTTAAACTTGTTTAAGTACCAAGCTTATAGTATTTAACCGTTTTTTTCTTAAAGCATAAACTAATGCCATTATTATTTAATCAACAACTGGATACTAAGCAGTGAAAAAAAAAAAAAAAAAGATACCTCTTGAGATACTGATATTTATATACCTACAGTAGAAACGAAACCCGGATGATCAAAGAGGTTTTGAATAGGGCAATATAACTTAATTTCATGAAAAAAGCAAAACTTAAAGTGGGGAGGAACAAAAAATAGTAAAATAGTAAAATAGTAAAATAGAAAAAAAATATATATATATATATATATATATATATATATATAAGAAAATAAATAAAACAGCAAAACAAATGATAATTCAATCGTTTAGATATATATAAAACTAATCTGACATAGTTCCATAGAAAAAAAAAAAAGGAATGGTTCGAAACTAAAGTAATGAACTGAACTGGATTATGAAAATGGGCAAATGGTGAAAGCTAAGGAAAAAAAAAATAAATAAAAAAAAATAAAAATAAATCAAGTTTTAATACTCAATTTGGAAAACCTTTAAGATTGATTAACGATTATGTATACCTAAAATACTAAAAACAGATAATCTGATTAGACCAAACTGATTTCACACATTTGTACTTTTGTAGCCTTCCCTCCCCCTCCCCCTTCCAAAAAAAAAAAAAAAAAAAACGGTAGGTTAATTACATAACTTGGTATTTAGAGAGGGAAAAAAAAGACAATAATTTGAAAAAAAAAAAAAAAAAAAAAAAAAAAAAAGTTTACCAAACTCTCCGAAACTCAACTCAACTAAAATAAAATAAAATAAAATAAAAAAAATAAAATTCAAAAAATTAGAAGTGACCATGTCTGCAATTATTTTAATCAGATTTAAAATATAACTTTCAAAAAAAATAATTAAAGGGTTTTACTTATAAAATAATATACCCGTTGTTACTTCGGCTCTAGACTCAAGACTCATTTAACTTTAGTATCAACAAGAGAAAGAAAAAAAAATGATATAAATATAAAAGGGTAGCTTCCTTCTTTGGATAATTTACTTGTTAATATTTTGCTTAAAAAAAAAACCTTAAACCCAGTATTTTTTTTCTGTCGTTTATATATATATATATATATACCTTTTTTTTTTTTTTTTTGCTATTTCACTATGAAGCCCTCAAGTCTAGTCATAGTGGCTCTGCTATCTGCAGCAGTTAATGCAAAGAACGGGTACATTGCTGCTCTTCAATCGGCATGTAATACCTTAACATCATCATACAAATGGGAATGTCCTGAAGAATATGCAAAAGCTACTACGACGACTGGAAAAGGTGGAGGTAAAGGAAAGAGCACTGGTAGTTCCACTACTTGCAACTGTTGGAGTCCTGAGTATTTGGCTTCTTACATTGACTGTGCTACTAGAGCTAAGGTTCATAAGGGAGAAGAAGTTCTTCAGCTTCTTCTTGCCACATGTAACGTTGCTACCATTAGACCAGATTTGACACGCGACGACCTAACTACCATTTATGATAATGCCACAGACTACTTTGTCGATATTGCTGATGTCAACACCAATAAAACTATTACATCTCCAGTTAAGTTCACTCAAAAATCCATCGATCTTAATGTCAGAGTCAACAAAGCATCCAGTTTTTCAAGTTATTCGGGGAAGCTTTATGGGTAAGTAAAAAAAAAAAGATAAGAGCTCATTGGAATAATATATATATGTATATATATATTAACTTAATTTAGTGGTATTTTGCTGGCTTACTTTGCTGGCGTCATGGCTATTGGTACTTTTATTAACTGGTTCAAGATCTTGTTCCCCAAGTATTCCAAAAAAGTGGCCAATTATACTCCTGTCCGTTTTGTTCGCCAAAAATTTGCCAATCCTGCCATGTTTGGATTCCGCAATGGTATGTCTTTCAAATGGGGTCCTTACAACATCATCAACATGTCTATTCCAACCCGGACCCAATCTTGGGTGATTATTGGTTATATTGTCACTTTTATCATCTTAATGTTTATCAGATATGATATTTTCAAGGAAAACACTCGATTCAAAACTAGACATATTCAGCTTGCTCGTTATGTTGCTGATAGATCGGGTGAAATTTGCATTGCTCAAATGCCTCTCTTGTATCTTTATGCCTCCAGAAACAATATTGCCATGATCTTCACTGGCTGGTCTTATGATACTATGAATGCTTACCACAGATGGATTGCACGAGTTACAGTCATGGCTGTGTTTATTCACTCTGTTGCATATACTGATTACTACCGTCTTACTGGAGGTCTTGCCAAAGAATGGAGCAGACCCTTTGTTGTTTGGGGTATTGTTGGTACCATCTGTGGTGGTTTGCTATGCTTTTTCTCTCTTCGCTACTTTCGCGAATATCTTTATGAATTCTTCTTGTATTGCCATTGGGCCTTGGTTGCATTTTTTACTATCGGTACATGGTATCACCTTCCTCATACACATGCCAAGAAAGATTGGATTTATGCCACTGTAGCAGTATGGGCATTTGATAGGGCAGCAAGACTAGGTAGAATTGTCTTGAATGGTCTCCATGCATCTGCTGAGGTTGAGCTTGTTGGAGATGAATTTATTAGAACTAAGGTGTCATATTTCCGTTTTTGGAAACCCCTTCCTGGACACTATGTTTTCATTCACTGGCTTCTTCCCGTTTGGAGATGTTGGGAGAACCATCCATTTACCATTTATCAATCGCCTGTTGCTGGTGAGGAGAAGATCTTTAACATTGTGACCAAGATCGAGAAGGGTAAGACCAAACAAATGGCTGAGTACCTGGCTAAGAAGGGAGGCAAGGCTAAGATTCCTGTCTTTATCGATGGTCCTTATGGTCATACCTTCCCTATTGGACATTGTGATACTATTATTCTTATGGCTGGTGGTATTGGTTTTACTGGTGCATATTCTTATATTGATAAGCTTAGAACACAGGCTGGCAAGAAACACATTGTTTTCTTATGGGCTGTTCGTACTCACAAGCAAGTTGAGGTTTTCAAGAACGAGGTTGACTTTATGAACCGATCTGGAATTGATGTCCAGCTTTACATTAGTGATGAAAATGCAAGTGCTCAAGAGAGCATTAAGGAGAAGGAGGGATCTGGAGAATCAGCTGGGGAGTCTGCCGATAATGAAAAGGAATCTATTGGTAGTGATACCAGTGCTACCATCAATTATGGGTTTGTTGATATTAATAGTACAGTTGAAAATTATATCAACGAAGCACCTGGAAGCATTGGTTTCTTTATCTGCGGTCCACCTGGTCTTAATGATGCTGTCAGAGCGAATGTCAGCAAGCATATGCACAAAGGCAAGGGTGCAGTTGAAGTCTTTGTTGAGGGATTTAGTTGGTAGTTTTCTTTTGCATTTTTTTTTTTTTTTTTTTTTTGTTTTATCGTTTCATTTCCTTTTTTGAGTTTTTTTTTTTTTTTTATAGATATATATACGTTAATAAAAAAAAGAAAGAAAGAAAGAACCTGGATGCTTATGGTTTTTTTAATATATGTGGGCATAGCGGGAACAATTGAAGTTAGTCTTGAATTAAAATTGAAAAATCATTGCATATTTATTGGGGAAAAAGTTTAGGTGGGATTTAAAACAAAGGTTGTCCTGCAATTTTTTTTTTTTTTTTTTTTTGTTTTAAAAAAAGAAAAAGTTAACCGATCAAGTGAATAAAAAAAAAAAAAAATAAAAAAATAAATAAATAAAAAATAAAAAAAATAAAAAAAGTCACTAGTCTTATGATTATGTAATATTAGATTTATTTTTTTTTATTTTATTTATTTATTTTTTTTTTTTTGGGGGGGGGGGGGAGGGAATTAAATCGAGGTAATAAAAAATCATTAGCGAAGTTATTTTAAAATAAATAAAAAAATAAAAAAAAAATAAATAAATAAATAAATTACATGGTCCATTACTTAAACTTCACTAAACTGTGAGGAAACAAGATCAGGCTGGTTTTAAAAAAGAGTAATAAAATATCATATTTATTATTATGATGTGCTACCACTTGAACTTAAAGGGTCTGTTAAAACTCGGGTTTCCCTTCAAAAAAAAAAAAAAAAATTACCAGCTGCAGCTCGGTGTTTGAATATGTGTTGGTATATATTGTGATTTTAATAAAAGATCAAAAAAAAAAAAAAAAAAAAAAAAAAAGAAAAAAACCGCAAAAAATATATATAAACATAACATTGGTAGATCTTAAAAAATAATAATAATAATAAAAATAATATTTATTTTCTTTTATGAATTTTTTTTTATTTATTTTTACTTTGAAAATGAAAGAACAAAAATTTATTGTCAAAAACAAATTTCAATTACGTGTGCTTATAATATATAAAGACATAATATATTTCATAAAACTAAGCGAATATTATTAACTAGGCAAATAAACAAAAGACTGTATATAAAAAAAAATAAAAAAGAAAACGAAACTCAATTCGTGAATTGAGCAGTCACATTATGACCCTTTTCTAAGTGACGTTTTAAACTTCCAGTATCGGTATGCCACCTAGTTGAACATTTATTTGACCCAGGATGAGCTTCTTGGTCATCTGGTCTCCAAAGTGGACATTGAACTTTGGGAATACTGTGTATTCTAGCAAAATGCTTTTTAAATTCCAGTTTTCTTGTAAACCCAATTTTACTCCATTCACAAGTAGGTTCTAAGCATTTAAAAGTCCTATTAACATAACTTACACCATGAGTAGTCTCAAGTTCTTGAATATGCTGGGCATAAAGATGGAGCTCTGAGTGAAGAAACTTTCTATCACAATGACTGCATTTATACCACCGACCTTTCCAATTTTTGATTGGGCGACCATTAAAGTCCAAAGGTTTAGAGTGAGAGTTTGAAGAGACTTGTTCTACTTTTACACGAGTCAATGTTTTGGAAGTTACACTTCCAATACTTGAGACAGGATTTTGGACTTGAATTGGTTGGACAGAAGATGTTTTATTAGAGTTTGGATTAAGAGGTAAATTAGAAAGTTGATCTGTCTGAACATGGAAAACAAGAGAAGGAGATGAATTTTGGATAAAGTTGGCATTGAGTTGAGGAACAGATTGTAATTGAGATTGAAACTGTTTTTGTGAATGGATTTTAGTTTGAAGATGAGACTGCAATTGGGGAATAGAATTATGTTGGGGTTGAGAATTTGGATGAGTATGGGTATGGGTATGATAATTTGATTCTTGATGAGAATGAAGGTTAGCTTGATGGTGTTGATGATAGGTATTAGAATTATGATGGGATTTATGATTATTATGATGGGTGTTTCTACTCTTTTGATTTGTAGAGAATCCATCTATTTGTTTGGATGTAGAACTTTGAACAACAACACTTTTACTAAGATTTTCATGAGAAGAAGAAGAAGTAGGAGAGGTAGGATAAGTATGATCATTATTTACCACTGGAATTTGATGATGTTGATGTTGATGTTGATGTTGATGTTGATGCTGATTATTATTATTATTATTATTATTATCATTGTGATTATTTTGTTGATGACTTGCTGGGTATTGTTGGTACGAATGTAATACTTGAGAACCATAATCATCATCAAAAATGAAGCTATCAAAGCTTGATTTATGAGACGAGGAAGTGGGAGAATAACGGACTTGTTTGGACGGCGAAACAATGGGATTTTGAGAAGAGGAATTTGCATTGCAAATTGAAGATGGATTGGTTGATAAATGAGGATGAGGATGAGGAGGAGGAGGATGATGGTGATGGTGATGAGGATGAGGATGAGGATGAGGATGAGGATGAGGATGAGGATGAGGATGGTGATGATGAATTGGGAAAGATGGACCCTGAGAAGTAATAGAAGTAATAGAAGTATGTGTAGAAGTAGGAGTAGTAGGTGTTGTAGAAGTAAATATTTGTATATTTTCTTGACTAGCAACACCACCACCACCACCACTACCACTACCACTAGAGTCAGTAAAGGAATAGTGAGCCATTTGGTTAGTATGATGATAGTTTTGACATTCAGAACGTTGGAGAGATTCAGTTTGTTGATTATAAGCTACTGGGTGGATAGGTGTTGACATTGTTGTTGTAAGATTAGTATTATTTATCGAAGTAGTAGTAGTAGTAGCGGGAATAATTGGGTTAGAAGGGGCAGAAGAATGGACGGCTGGAAGTTGTTGTTGTTGTTGTTGTTGTTGTTGTTGTGGAAGGAAAGGTGGCGGGGAAATGATTGTAGGATAAGGCTGTGAAAAACTAGTACCTAAAGAAGCTTGTTGATGGATGTATGCCACGTAGTTTTGGGAAGAAATCTGGGGGGGTTGTAAACTCTGGTTATTTTGGGATGAAGATAATTCAGAATAAGAGTAATTATGGGACGAAGTGTGGCTGGATGTTGAAGAATTCCTTTGAATGTCTTTGGTGTTAATATTTGGTGGCATTAATAAAGACTAGTTATCTATATATATATATAGATATTTTTGAATGAATGCTTTATATTTTCTTTTTTTTTTTTTTTTTTTTATACTAAACTTATTATATTTGAATTTGGATATGAATATGAATATGAATATTATTTATTTAATTATTATTATTATTTTATTGTATATCTGAAGGTATCAATTTATTTATTTTGCTGGTGGAAAGAAGAAGAAGAAAAAAAAAAGAAAAAAAGAAAAAAAGAGAGAAATTTGTTTTATTTTATTTTATTTTTTTTTTTTTAAAATGGAGAGGATAAGTCCAAAAGTATTTATAAAGGATATCTAAAGAAACATAAAAAGATTTTATATATCTTATGTTCTTATTATATATATATAAATGCATCAATATTGGGCCATAATCAAAATAAAATAAAAAAATAAAATAAAAATCTTGAAAGAAAGTAAAAAAAAAAAAAAAAAAACTTTCTGGGCCATTAGAAGAAGAACAAGAACAAGAACAAGAAGAACAAGAACAAACAAACAAAAAAAAAATTTCTCCATAAGCCAATTGCCGTTTTAAAGATGCAGAGTTCTAGTTTGAGGGGGATTTAGCAGAATGAAATATAGAATTGCAATGAAGAACGCATTATGCGTTCTCCATTGCAATTCTTAAATAAATTATAAAAAATAAAATAAAATAAAAATACGATATTAATAAAATAGAAATAGAAATAGGAAGGATTTTAAGTCAATGTATTAAAAAAAATAAAAGGGTATTGACAGAAGTGTTAATTTCTAAAAGTTTTACTTGATTTTCATTCATCCCTTAAACTAAAAAAAAAAAAAAAAAAAAAAAAAATGCCAAATTAATTATTTTCACCATCAACACTTTTCATTCCCTCTTTAATCTTTCCCAACATTTGAACCTTTAATTTTTTTTTAATTTTTTTTTTCTTTTTTTTTTTTTCCCTATCTTTATTTATTTATTTATTTATTTATTTAACGTTAAATGAATTCAATATATTTAAAAATCTTTCCTTTTTTTTTGACATTTTTTTTTTATCTCGAGATGACAAAAAAAAAAATTATTATTATTATTATTATTATTAATATAAATTATATATAATATAAATTTCTCATTACTTGCAATGACAAACAAAAGCCGACCCTAAGTACTCCCTTTTTTTTTTTTATTTTTGCCATCAATAATAATATAATAAATATATTCATATATTTATTTTTATTTATTTATATTTATTTAATTATAAAATAATTTTTACCCCTCCTCTCCTCCTCCTCCTCCTCGGCTTCCTCGACGACAATCTTTGGTATAAAACTTCTGCATTAGTACTACGTGCAATATCCATGCGAAAGCAAGCTGATGTTTCTTTATTTTATTTTTTTATTTTATTTTTTATTTTTTATTTTATTATTATTTCCCCGGCATATATATATTTATATATATATATATATCTTGAACTAAGTTGACTTTTTGTTTACAAAAAAAAAAAAAAAATTGAGACAAAAGGAGGCTTTTTTTTTTTTTTAGGTCCTTTGGAAATTAAAAAAATATAAAACCTGTAGACCAAAATAAAAAAGTAATTTTTCTTTTTCTTTTTCTTTTTCTTTTTAATAATTACACGGAAATATAAATACAATATATATATATATATATATATATGGAAATATAAATGATATAAAAAAAGATATGAATGAATGTACTGCTAATATATCCTTAAATATCCCTAAAATTTCCGTTAGATTCTTCGTATCCTACATTTCACGATATTTTTATTTATTTTATTTTATTTTATTTTTTTACAACCTATAAATTAGGGTTAGGGTGAACGACTATTATTTTATTTATTTATTTATTTGAAAAAAAAAAAATCTCCTCATAAATAAAAAAAAAAAAAAATCTCCTTCCCTCCATGGAATCTTTGCCTTTTTCTCTTTATATAACAAAATATTTATTTATTTATTTATTTAAAACATTGCTACTTTTTCAAGTTAAGTTTATATATATATATATATATTTGGTAAGCATTTTTAATGATTTTTATTTATTTTTGTTTGTTTGTTTGTTTGTCTCTTCATCCATCCATCCATCCATCCATCTACATTTTACCGCCATTATTATTATTTGATAGTAGTTAACATTTCGACCTTTTTTTTTTTTTTTTTTTTATTTTAATACTGCTGAATTCAGACTTTGAAACCCAAAAACAAAGAAAAGATCATTCTAACATCTTCTTCTTTTTTTTTTTTTTTTTTTTTTGGATTTTATTTAAAAATAAAAATATGATGTGATAAATGATAATAATAATAATAATAATAATAATATCAACCGGAATTATATATCTCAAAAAAAAAAATTAAAAAAAAAATTAAAATCATTTTTTTTTTGTTTTTTTTGTTTTTTTTACTTTGTTTAATTTTTTTTTATTTTTAAAGTTTCCCATCTTTGTCTTTGATATATATATATATATATTTGATAATTTCAAGCTAAAAAGTTTAATGGAGTCTCTCAAGTCCTTACCCACCATAAGGATTTACCGAGTAAAGTAAATATTTACCGAATAATAGTATACCATGTATATACTATGTATATACCATGTATATACTATGTATATCATATTCTATTAAATTACATTATTACATAAGTTTTAACATGTGGTGGTGGCTTTTTTTTTTTTTTTTTTTTAAATACCCGTCTATTGTAGTTATTTGAAAGCAGAGGAGGGAGGGGGGGGAGGGAAGAGGAAGGGCATAACGGAGATATTGACTTTTATATATTAAATTATATGGAGAAATTAATTAACAAAACAGACGGTGGAAATCACGGAGGGGGGATTTTTTTTTTCATGAAAAGAAACTTAGATTATAGATTTAATAATAATCATCATCAAAAAAAAAAAAAAAAATTGGATGATTGTTTTATTTATATTTAAATGCAAAAGTATATGGATATATTTAATTGTATTTTTCTTTTTTTTTTATTCAAATGCGACAAAAGCAAAAAAAAAAAAAAAAAAACAACAACAACAACAACATGTACCCTATTTAATGAGTAAACTGAATAATTTTTGTTTTTATTTAAAAAAATAAAAAAAAAAAAAAAAAGAAATAATTGTCTTCTTGACTTTCTCGATGCTAAATTGATTTTCAATTTTAGGTTAGAAAAAAATAAAAAAAATTTTTTTTTTTTCTTTCTTCTCTACCCCCCCTAATGTTCCAAAGTCTTAGCTCATTTTCTTTAATACTCGAGCAATGTTATGACCCTTTTCCAAGTGTCGCTTCAAACTGCCCGTGTCGGTATGCCACCTAGTAGTACACCTGGTAGCACCAGGATAGGCTTCTCGGTTATCAGTTCGCCACAGGGGGCATTCAACCTGGGGGATACTATGCATTCTAGCATAATGTTTTTTAAACTCTAGTTTTCTTGTAAAACCAATTTTGCTCCATTCACACGTGGGTTCAAGACATTTATAAGTGCGGTTGATTTTTTCAACACCATAAATTGCTTCCATTTCTTGAATATGTCTCGCATATTTATCAAGCTCAGAATGCTGAAACTTAATATCACAATGACTGCACTTGTAAAAACGACCTTTCCAATTTTTCACTGGCCGCCCATTAAAATCTAAAAGTCTTGCAGAAGAGGTTTCATTAGAAGATATTATAGAGGCATCTAAAAGACCAGTGACAACAGGAGATGTCAAAAGTTGGATATTCATTTGGGGCATGATTTGTTGGTAGATATCGTTGTGCGAATAAGAAGAGGATGATTTAGAGGATGATTTAGAGGATGATGTAGAAGATGATGTAGAAGATGATGTAGAAGATGATGAAGAAGAAGATGATGATGATGATGAACGATGACTGCGGCTATGATGGTGGCTATGATGACGTCTCTTTTTAGATTGTGAATGTTGTAACTGTGGAGATACTAACGAATCAATTTGAGGTAGTTGTTCGTTTATAGGGGATGAAGAACAAGAACAAGATGACAATGAATCAAGATCAGTAGGATATTGTTGGTGATAAGGTACAGCTGTTGGTGGTAATAAGGAAGAATCAAAGTGATCATCACCAACAATAAAGCTATCAAACATAGGTTTAGGAAGAGATAGGTTTGATTGATATGGAGTCATAGGTGAGCCCATGGTAGCACCTGGAGTGTATGAATAGGGTTGTGGTGAAGATGAGCATTCTAATGGGATATTTTGTTGGTGTTGGTGTTGGTGTTGGTGTTGGTGGGGAAGAAAGGCTGGTGGAGAAACAATATTTTGGACCAAGTAGACCATGTTTTTAGGATCACCAGAGCCGCTAGTTACTATTTGAATAGTGTTTTGCGACGGGAACATTTGAGTTTGGCCTTGGCTTTGGCTTTGGATTTGATCTTGATCTTGAGTCTGGGTTTGGGTTTGGGTGTCGATGTTTATAGGGAAGTGTGTGGTAAAACCCTGGGTTAAGAAGCAGCAGCCATCTTTAGATGATGGATCTAAGGGTGGGCTTACAGGTTGAATATGATATTGGCCATGTTCTTGCATATATGGATGTTCAAAGAACTGGTTATTAGGTTTTTCTTGGAGAAATATTTGTTGTTGATAATGCGGAGAAGGTATGCTATTAATGTTATTAAAGTTATTAAAGTTATTATTATTACTATTATTATTATTATTATTATTATTATTGATTGTAAAGTTATCAAGTTGTTGATAGATCATTTGACAGTTGGTATGGGTTGTCATTTTTTTTTATATTATATTTATATAAATATATATATATCTTGAAAAATAAGAATTTAATATTAATGATTTTGATGTTATGAATGATATAATAAAGTAAAAAAAAAAAAGAAGTAAGAAAAAAAAAAAAGGTTATAAGATTTGACAAAAGAGAGAAATCTCTTTGGATTATATACTTGTCAAAAGCAAACAAAAAAAAATAAAAATAAAAATAAAAAAACATGTTGAAGGAGTATTCCAAAAGGGGTCACACATATAGAAAGGAAGAAATTGATTAATTTTTCTTTTTCTTTTTCTTTTTCTTTTTTTTTTTTTTTTTTTTTTTATTTTTATTTTTATTATTATATTTTATTTGAATCAAAAATAGGAAAAGCCCCCATCATTTTTCAGATCAATGCGTGATATGCAAACATGCAACCCAAATTTCCACTTTGGAACCTTTTTTTTTTTTTTTTTTTTGATATAATCTTGAACGACGCGGTGCACCCCATTACTAACATTTTGGGGGATGAGTCGAAGAAACATTAGTATGAAAATAAAAAAATAAAAAAAAATAAAAAAAAAAAACAAAGTTATATATATTAATAATAATTATTATTATTACTACACATACACAAAAGTCCATGCGATCTAAGTTTGTTATAAATTATTAATTTATATATATATATATATTTGAATGGAAATAAAACTTGAATAGAAGGGGAGGACAACAAAAAAAAAAAAAAAGAAGAAGAAGAATAAGAAGAAATAATAATTATAATTATAATTAAAATATGTAATTATTTTAATTATAATTATTTTAGATCAAAGTAGCCACAAGAATAACAACGGTTACTGTTATTTTTTTTTTTTTTTTTTTAACAAACTACTTATTTCATAAACTAAACAAAGAGTTGTTGATATGAATTTTTTAGAGAGATTTATTTTATTATTTTTTTAAAAAATTCTTTTGGATTTCAAGTCTTTTTTTGTTTTTTTTTTTTGTTTTTATTTTATTATCTCTCTTGTTCTTTCCTTATATTACCAATTTTTTTTTTTTTTTTTTGAAAAAAAGAATAATTATTCTTACGGTTATAACCGTGAGCTGATATACTTTGGATTATCTGCAGGTATTCTTCAAGTACCTAGTATAACTTTTGATTACTTTGATAATTAAAATATACTTAACTATGGTATCAAAGATTACACCATATTGGTACTACTTAGAAGTTGCTTTCTACAAGCGTTTGCGGGGAGGGGACAAGAGGATGGGCAGAAAACAAGGTATATAAATATATAAATATATAAATATATTTATATATAAAGCGGGGGTGATTTTTAAATGTTTGTGATGAATAAAAAAATAAAAAAGGAGGGGGGGGGGGGGGGGGGCAAAACTTTCTGCACTTGACAAACAATTTTTTTTATTTCAAATTCTTTCATGGGCAACAAACAACAACTTTAAAAAAAGCAAATTTTTTTTTTTATGGAGGAGGAGGATAAGGAAGAAGAAAAAGAAGAGTATTTATATATATATATATATACATGAGATGTAGATTATATAGAAGAGAGACTTGAATACAACTTTAATTATATAAAAAAATAACTTTTATGTTAAATTAAATTAACACTAAATTTTGATTTAAATATTTATTATTAATTTTTGTTTTATATATATTATTATATATTATATAAACTCTTTTGATTGTAATGTCAAAAAAAAAAAAAAAAAAAAAGACAACCCCCACACACACATTTAAAAAAAAAAAAAAAATAAAAATAAAATTTATAATAGTGTGATGATGATAGTAAGGGCCCATTTGAATTTTTTTTTTTTTCTTAAAAGTTGACATTAGTAGAAGAATCTTTTAAAAGGGTATCTACATTAACATAACCACCACTACAAACCAACCAACCAACCAACCAACCAGCCAACTAACTAATTAACTAACTAATTAACTAATTTTTTTTTTATAGAATTTGAATAACTCTTTTTGTATTTTATTTTATTTATTTATCTATTTTTTTTTATTTTTTTTTTTGGGAAAAGATTGTAAACCTGCGTCTTTTTTCAAAAACATTTTTCTTTTGCAGGTAAAAAGCCAGTAATTTTTAATTTTAATTATAATTTTAATTTTCTTATCATTTTCAAAAATAAAATAAAACTTGCTATTGTAAACTACCAAAAAATTAAATATATATATATATATATAAATATCAATCAAGAGCCAACCAGAATCCATTTCTATGCGTTTGTGTAGTATCTAAATATGATGAAAATAAGTTTATTCTAAGCGCCGAAGTGTAACAAATGCATAACCCCATTTATCCATAATTAAAATAATAAAATAAAATAAAATAACAAAAGACCTTTTTTTTTTTTTTTTCTTTCGTTGATTGTATATTTCCAAAATGACCTTTTATTTTTTTATGTAAATATTTATAATAATAATAATAATAATAATAATAATAATAATAATAATAATAATAATAATAATAATAATAATAATAATAATAATAATAATAATAATAATAATAATAATAATAATAATAATAATAATAATAATAATAATAATAATAATAATAATAATAATAATAATAATAATAATAATAATAATAATAATAATAATAATAATAATAATAATAATAATAATAATAACATAATAATAATAATAATAATAATAACAATAATAACAATAACACACACAATAATAATAATAATAATAATAATAATAATAATAATAACACACACATAATAATAATAATAATAATAATAATAATAATAATAATAATAATAATAATAATAATAATAATAATAATAATAATAATAATAATAATATTAATAATAATAATAATAATAATAATAGAATCAAGTAATTTCTAATAGTGGATATATAGATATATATCTACAAAAGAATTTTTTTTTTTTTTTATAATAATTTTGGAAAACATCCAAAATACAAAGACTTATTCTAGAAGCTCTTTAATGCAGCAGCCAAAATTTATCATTGAAGAGATGTACCCCTAAAAACTTTTGGATGCAGCCTTGAAGCAGCAATATATATATTAATGTTTCACATGATATTAAAAAAAAAAAATACTTGCCACGGTAATTGATATATATATATATATATATAAGTTCAATATCTATAAAGTTAGCTCCATCTTTATTTACTTGTTTTGTACTAGCACTGTTTAAATATATATATATATATATATATATAGCATCTTCTATGTTAATTATACTGAGAAAAACGCACTATTTTGTTTGAAATTAGTAACTAAAGAGAGAGGGGGTGGTGGTAAGAAAGAATTGAAATCTAGTCTTTATGTGAAATTATTCTATTCGCAATTCGCAATTCGCAATTCTTTTTCTTTTTCTTTTTGTCTTAGTAGTAAACGTTTACAAAAAAACAAAAAAAACAAAAAAAACAAAAAAAAACTAAAAAAAATAAAAAAAATAAAAAAAAAACAAACTTGTCTTAACTCTTAATCTTTCCTCTAAAAAAAACAAATAAAAAAAAGAAAAAAAGAAATAAAATGTCAAAATCTGTCATTTTTTGTTTGATGGAGGTTTTAAGCGAAATTACCATATTTATGGTAAATATATATATATATATAAAATAACGTTAAAAAAAATAAAAAAAACTTGTACAAGAAGAGCAAATAATTAACTAATTAGTTAATTAATTATTTTGTTAATTTGATAAAAGTATCTTCTACATCTATTTCAAAAGTTTATCTTTATCGTTATTTACTTTTTTTATTTTATTTAAAAAAAAATCAAATCCTTTTTTTTTTTTTTTTTTTTAATTCCTTATATTTATTTTATTTTATTTAAATAAAATAAAATAAAATAAATAAATAAAAGTCTCCTTAACTTCTCTCTCCCCCCCTTAAATTTAGTCAAACTTTTATAAAATAAAAAAATTTATGATTCCACAATTTTTATTGGGGTTAAATAATTGATTTATATATTTAATAAAAATCAAAAAAAAAAAAAAAATATCTCTTTTATTTCCCATTTTTGTTACCAGAAAAAAAAAAAATTAAAAATTAAAAATAAATGCCAAGATTAATAAGGGTTGGCAAAAATAAAAATAAAAATAAAAATAAAAATAAGTTAGCCGGGTGGAAATAAAAAAAAAAAAAACTTAACGTAACGTAACGTTTGGGGATTTTCTTCTTTTTCTTTTTATTCTTTTTATTCTTTTTATTCTTCTTTTTATTCTTCTTCTTCTTCTTTTTATTCTTCTTTTTATTCTTCTTTTTATTCTACAAAATATCACAATCTGGACTTTTGACATCAACACTAATTATATACCAAACTCTTCTAATGTATTATTTCAATCAAGCAAACGTTTTCTGTCAACCTTTCAAAAGATCTTTATAAACTCTCTTTTCTTATCAACTTTAAAACATTAACCTAATGATATAAATAAAAATAAAAATAAAAATAAATTTAAACTTAATATTCTATTTTTTTTTATACAATCTATTTCTACATTTATTTATGTCTTTATTAATATATAATAATATATTCTTCTCATTATTATTATTATATTAAGTATATCCAAAAAAGTCAAAAGAAACAAATAAAAAGAAACTAAATTAAAGAATTCAATTTCAGAATGGTGTCGTATCCGTAAAGATGGAAAAAAATAAAAATAAAAAAAATAAAAAAAAACAGCTGTCAAAATAATTCTTTTAATTGACAGCTCAAGTGGCTGATAATGATCATTTATATGCAATGCAGTCTAATCAAGTCAAATATTTCTTCAGATTAATTAACTAATCCCTGTTGATAGTTTGACGGTTGGTTT